CTTAAATATATTTTTAAAAATAATTATTAATTTTTATAAAATTAATAAATAATTATTTTTAAAAAGCTTTAAAATATAAAAGTAATTATTAAAGTAGCTAGCTTTATTACTTAAGTTAAAAAATATTTATAAAAATAATTTTTTTTTAATTAATAAAAAAATATAAAAAGTTATACTTTCTTAAGGTTATATTCTTATAGTAAAAGTATTATACTTTTTTATTAATTACTTAAATAATTAAAAATTATATTTTAATAAATAATTTATTTAATTTTTTCTATATTAAATATATTATTTTAAATAATATTTTTTTATATTATTAATTTTAAATATTAATTTTTAAATTATTCTTTAATTTAATATTAAATATAATATATATATTTAAAAATATTAATTTTTTTTAAAAAAAATATATATTTATATTATATTATTTAGTTTTTATTTATATAAAATAATATAGAAAAAAGTATTTAATTTAATAAATATAAATAAATATTTTATATATTATTAATTTTTTTATAATATTTATTTATTTTATTATTTATTTATTTATTTATTTTTATTATAATTCTATTCTATTATTTATATTTTTATTTTTTTATATCTAGCTTAAGCCACCAATTATTCCATTCCCTAATTTCATTATATATATAACATATTATTTCTTTTTTCACCCAGCTTGGATTCAATATCCCATTTCCCCCTTGTTCGCTTTGTCCTTTAGCTCTTAGCGGTATGTGTATTATGATTCGCTGTGAATCGATTGTCCAGTTTCTCTCTATATCCTCCTTTATACAATCTGTGAAATACTCAACATGTGTGTTAAAGCTCAGCGAATTTTCGACCTTGAGACCCTCAAATAGTAGATCAGTATCAAGTGAATCATGTCCCATCTCAGTTAAATCACGAAGGTACTGTTCAGCGACTTCCGCAAAGGAAGCAATATCGCCAAGTGAGCAAGCTATGTCAATGAGCCATGGGTTATGAGGCCACTGTGCATTGGCAATCAATAGCGATGGCCATAGCAAGTTTAGGATGCTCATCACCTGTCTTAAAATATGAATCCGTGGGCCAGATGAAACCTCATTACCAAGACGCATTTGTCTCATTCCTTCTACAACGGCCCGTAATGTAACGCTTACATGAGAAAGGTCACTTTCATCAAGCTGCTGTGATAATATTCGTCCCGTTAAAAGTAAGCGAAAAGCCGTTGCGTAGACGTCTAGCAGAGGAAAGCAAGAGCTCAGCGTAAATGAGACACGAATAATAGCTGGTAGCATCTTCCCCAGGACAAAGGCTAGTATACTTTTATGCTTCATTCCTTTCCGAAGCATTCTGGCGTCCTCTATGGGTTTCCCATTTGCCAATGCGTGTTTAAAATTGCTAAGTAATAGGAAGAATAGCTGCTTAGCTCCCCTAGCTTCTTCCCCTTCTTCTATCAGGATGCCATACGATAGCATACTTGCAATCTGGAGCTGGGGGTCTTGAATAGGTGGTGAATACTCTTTGCTGACTTGAAGGAAAAAGTTATCCACCATGCATAAACCTGATCCATGCGCCCTAATTGACGATATTATACCCTGGACGAATACAACGTAGTTCTGGTGCTGAGAAGCATCTGTATACATGACACCCAAGTCGTTTCGCATCAGCTTCATTGCAAGCTCAAGTGTTTTAGAGAGGGATCGTCCAGTGCTAGGTTCCAAGCTGCGAGTAAATTTGCGCAATGACGAAATTGTGAGGTCGAATAGCTGTTTATTTGTTTTGTAGCTAGGCTGAGTTGTTGAGTTAATGATGTTATCGGGCACAATGCCTTTAGCAAAACAATAGCGTTGTAAAGTAAAAAGGCTTTCACACTTCAGATATTTAAGAGGCGTGATTAATGCTAATACCCATACTTCAGATGCGGTGAAGCCAGCGTCAGAGAAATCATCAAACCCGTGCTCCAGAAGCGTGGATGTGAATGATATAAAAGATTGCCGTTGAGATGGGTCTAGTAGATGCTGTTGGTCGCTAAAAAGGCAGAACTTTCCAGGCTGAAACATATCTGAAAATTTCAACAAGCCACAATTAATGAAGCCTATCCCCATTCTCGCGGATAATGTAATGACCTGCCTAACGCAGGAGGTCTTATCGGTTATATATGCCACTGGCTGATCGGACATTTCTGTTGGAAATGACAATATGCAGCGTGCCATTGCAAAGTAAGTCCGAGAAACATCCTGCTCTAAGATCAAGAACGCATCATCCGCTTGTGCATAGTTTAAAATTTGACTCTCGCTCTGCTGGCTCTCCTGGCTGTTTTTAAATTCTTCGATTTTGGACACGAATATGTCTAAGATGGTTAATGCTACTCGAAGAATCGACCAGTCAAGTTCGGGTAGTGGCTGTGTGAAATATTGAAATATCCGTTCCAAGTGAGGCGTATTTAAGCAGTACGTCGCCGCCTCTAAATCTAGAGCTTCTCTCATTACATTTGCTGAAGACGTGAATGATAGATGGAGAATCTCCACCACAGCAGCCTTATTCTGTGAGATCATAGCCTCAACATCATCCTGTGTAATGCACTGATCCGCGTCTTTGGACAGAGCTAGATACTGTTGATGGATTTCTGCTGCGATGCCATCGAATTGTGTTATCGTCTGTTGGAAGAATGTGTGTCTCCATTCTCGGAAGGGCTCAAAAGATTTTTTAGCTTCGCCGGATGAAACAATAAAGCTCGCAAGCTGGGCCCATGCCCTAATATTTATCAAGCACGCTTCCTTATGAGAACTAGCAGGAGTAATAAGTCCTTCAATAAGAGTTACTTGAGGCCGAACGCTGGATGGTGCTGCCCAGAAGAGCGTGCCAATGAGGTCATGATGGTTTCTTAAAGCTGCCAAATCTCGCTCAAGGATTTTATGTTCCTTGAGGTACAAGCGGCTATGATTTGGTATTGTTCGGGTTACTAGGTTACGAATATCCTTCTCAGAGCCGAATTGTCGGAGTTTTTTTATGCTTACGGCAAGAAGTTTGAGAAATATGTGAAAGCAGCAGTCATCCGCCTCAATCTCAAGCATTGGCGTACCAGATAGATTGTTCATGAATTGTGGAGATCGATAGACTTCTTCATTGCGGAGATGAGCAAGCTTTTGGGATCCAAAGAAATCAAATATAACGCCGACAATGGGCGCGCTATGACACCAACCCCATTGCTGAACCAGGTAATGGCACCGTGAAACAAGAGCTCGACAGTAGCTGTTGAAGCTCGCAGCCTGGTGATTATTGTCTTGATACAATTGAAACACCCGCCGGATAAGTTTTTGAGGAATCCCCCATCCTTCAGCTCTTAAATTATATGGTTCTTCTGTAGCTATTCTCCCAGTGTTATCAAATTTAGATAGCGGAAGGAGGGTGAACATAGTCTCCCACACAACTTCAAATGCAAGGGCATCTGTACCGGAGAGAACTTGAGGTTGTAGTATAACTCTCTCCAATACGCCCCAGAAAGAGAGTTGTTGTGGGCTTATGTGCTTAAACATTTGAAATAACAGAGCCCATGAATGTACTGCAACGGCGCTTTCTCTTAACGTGCGATCGCGACGATTGAGTTGGCCAAAGTCGTTGTAAATCTGTTTGACTGGGTTAAGACCGCTGCGGAGAAGTATCGAAATCATCAATTGCGATAGCGACAGTAGCAATTCTTCCACAGCGGGTTGCTCGTCTGCTAACTGTGGAACTTTTTGACAACGATTTAACAATAGGGAAGTTGTTAACAAGACCCTATCGAGCATTTTCAAGATAAGGTTACCGTCTTTGATGTAGTTAATCAAGGATCGGTCTAGCCCTGTCTCTATTCGCGCAGCGAAACTGTGAAAAACTTCTTGCAGCCGTGATATGAGGGAAATTGGTGAGTCAGATCTCGCTGAACCTAGAGCATCCCTCGTATATTCTAAGGTAGAATGAATAGCATTGATAGCACTGTTATCATCATGTAGATTGGATCCCTGGCTGTCTTCTAATCGCTCAGCTATTGAATCAAATAAAATTCCAATCTCAGAGGATACTTTCTCGTTCCAGGAGCTCCAGTCAAAGACTTGATCGCCAAATCTGACTGAAATTTGTGTTTCACGATTGGGTATTTCCAAATGCGAATCTCTCATCCATAATCTATTTAAAATGCCGCTACCAAGTAAGGTTGATTCATGAAATCGGACGTCGGGAATGAGAGGAAATATCTCAAAATGGCTAGTATATCGGATACCATACGGCGCCAGACCGTAGAGCTTGCTCTTTTCGGGGAGAGATTCGGTGTCGACAACAGAGGAATGTGTAGGAAGGGGATCATTGGCATGGGTATATTGAGGTGCTTTGATATCAATTCGGCAAGGTTTGATGCTTTTTCGACACCGGAGTGGCCTCGATCGAGTGTGCTCTGGTTCTTGGGATACTTCTAGCGTTATATCCGCTGCTCTGGTGAGATTTGTGTACATTGAGCTTGTAGCTATGGCATTGACATTTCCAGTCAAGCGCCAATTAGGCCCTTTTTGTTTTTGAGTTCTGAAAATATGATCCAGAGTCCCTTTCCTGTAATTGAATGACAATATGGATCTCCTCGCTCTTTCGTCCACCTCCAACTGAGCCATCCGGGAAACAGGTGAAGTTAAAGGCAGAGAACTCATCTCACCCATATTAGGCGTAAGCTCCGTGTTGCTACCTTGATACGAATCACTTCGTCTGTAGCCAGCCGAGCCGTTATCGTCGAGATACTTGACCAACCTGCGGGAAGAATTCCTCAGTGTGCTGAAGTTTAGCTTTGAAGTGAATCCACTATTTGAATATTCCTGGGGCATGTTTGCTCTCTGGCGTTGCATTCGTTTATACTTGCCGGCTGTCGATACTGATGCTCGTTGTTGAATTGTACCTGATTTCCATTTTTCCAGAACAGACATAGCGTCTACTTGGTCTTGCCTTGTAGCAAGCATGATGACTTTTTTATGCACATTGCTACGCCCCTGACTCAGTGTTTGCTTAGCAGAGCGTGCAGCAATACGTATAAACCTGGGGGCGCCTGGCTCTATTGTGTCAAGAATACTCAACAAGGGAATAGATTTTATAGGGCGTTTTCGCCTGCCAAATGACTTTCCATGTTTATTGTTTGACTTCTGTAGAGCATTGTTCGAGAATTGACCAATGATCGCCGATTCAGGCAACATATCGGGTTGAGAGAGAAGAAAGCCATCAATAGTCTTTTGCCTTCGACGAGTCTGAACGGATTTAGTCCGAGATCCGTTTGACAATTTGGTTCGTTTTCTGTTCGATACCGGTGTCTTAGGAAGCTGGAGCTGACGCTTACTGCCAACAATCACTGGACTGTCATCGACCTGGTCGATTTCTTGACTAGGAATAGGTGAGGCGGATCTCTCAGCATGATGTTCAGATGTGTCATCTGTTGTATAATCTCCAAGAGATCCTTCATCCGGTTCAATTGGAAGAATGCTGAAAGCGGTGGAATCAGGGACTGACTTCTTTTTTAGGGCTATTCCACGTTGCTGCGCATTAGGAAGCCGATGCTGCGGCTTCTTCTTGGGGCCTTGGCGATCGTTATTTTTACTCAGCTGCTGGTCTAGTCTCAACCAAGAGGCGGGAAGAACGCCTTTAATGCGGCGCCGATATGTGGTTACCAGCTGATGCGTGCCGTTTTCACCTTTATCGCTAGTCTCGGGTTCTTCGCTGTACCCTTGATGGTCATGCTCATCTTGAGTGTTTAGCTCCTGAGAGGACGCTTCTAATGGGGTTGCAGAAGCTAAAGGCCTCGGTAGCAATCCTGTAAAAGAGTCACCCCAGTAAATGGCAATATTGGGATCTGAGTGTGGAATCTGCTGTGTATCTAATTCTGGAGACTTTGAGGGGGGAGTGGGAGAAATCGATATTCGAGAGATGGCAGTCATTGGTTCTGGTGAATCGCTATAAATAATATCTCGCCTTCTGGCTTTCTGAGTGAGTGGCAACCCTTGGGACGTTTTATACCTCGCTATATTATGTTCGCTAGCAGGTGAGTATTCATTGAGTAGCTCATCTAGGCCTGGCAAATCCTGGTCGAAAGCATTCCCACCAACAGTATCGGTTGCTGAGCTAGTTAAGCTGTTGGCAGCCGATTGTTTATACGACCGTGATAGGTTCAAAGAGGCTGTAGCTATATCTAATTCTCCATGTTCGCTCTGGGTAGCTGCAAAACTGTCGTCGTCCGTTCTATCGGTCCCTGGTGGCAAATCATCACTTGGGCTGTACTGATCAAAATTGTCATCTGGCAAAGCTTTTGCTGGTTGGTATCTCCCTCCCATGTCCGTTCGCATTTTCATGGGTTTAACTCCAAGTTGTGGGAAGAATTTTCTATGGTACACGTAATCATAAGAATAGGGATATTGCTGTTGCGGTTTTCTTTGTCGCAAAGAATGAGTATAACGGGACGACGCAGCCACTGTGGCTTCCCAATGAGCATTATGCTGGCTAACCTCGCTTAACTGAGCGATCGCTGTATTATTCTGCGACGTCGATGGCGATGAGCTAGATGCGGTGACGCCATCATTTTGGGCTGTTATTGTACGTCTGAGCCTAGGGCTGGGGGCGTCCAATGCACTCTGGCTGTTGCGAGAGGCAACCTCGTTGGCAGTAGATGGGGGATTTGTTCCAGCATTCTTCAGAAGCGGCGGTTGTACCTGATTCTGATTTTCTGTTCGAGATGATAAAGTGGTTAAAAGCTGGTACTCTCCTTGTAGGTCTGGCCTCAACGATATTGGGGAGGTCTTTGATATAGAGGCGCAACTCTGCTCGTCATCATCAGACCCAAGAAAATCCCATATACTTTCTGCATATTGGTTTTTAGAGACGGAGGCCTTCGTTGGAGGCTGTGTCGGTGAAATGGTCAGCGATTCATCATCGCTTAAGAATTCACCCTCATCTTCAGAATCTGCTACTTCACCACGCTCTCTCCAGTCAGACATTGTCAAGAATCATTGCTTCCATAAGGCGAGAAACGTGAATGCATCGCGTCTTTGTTAACGGTGAAAGGCCCACCAGGGTGTCATAGAGAACTTGCATCTCTAGGGTGCCAAGTGCTGCTGAAGCTAAAAATAGCCTTACTGTATTATAGCATATTATAAAAGGTAATTTAATTAATAATTTTTAAATATATTATATAAAAATATTATGCTTAAAATTATATATTATTTAAATTTTATTAATAATAAAAGTTAACAAATATATAATATATTAGCTTATTATATAATAGTATATTTTTACAATATTATATTATATACTTTCTATTATATACAATATAATTACTTAATAAACCCTTAAAATAAGAATTGAATAAATACCTAATTTATATATAAATTATTATTTATTTAAAACTATTTTTTATATAATTCACAAAAGTGTTGTATATGTTGTATATTAATACTGGTGAATTTTTTCCCCAATAGCATTGGAATTCCGAGTACGTCCCAACAGGCACGTCAATAGTTCACCAGTTCAATCAGCTACTGGAGGGACTCATGTCTGACGGTGAGTTATGTGCTTGATCCCTTGCTAGCCATTCGATCGGATGCATACACAGACCGTCGGAATCTTGCCAATGGTTCCATTGGCTGTACGGCTATCATCACGTATTTCACGAGCCATTCATTCGTCCGCCGTCCAATTAAGCAGTCACAGCGGAGGAAATGGCTCCAAACCTGTTGAAGATACAGCGGATCATGACGACGAGCTTGAAAACCAAACCGGCACAGAATCATCTGGTGGGCGCTGGAGAGGGCATGCGACGGGGCCTGTAAGGACACGCCAGCAACGAAAGAGACAAGTTACTGCTCTGCCGCCAGTTGAATTACCGCAAACGTTTCTTCAAAATAATATATCACTCTACGCAGCCCAGGAACGGCCACAGCTTCCTATTGCGCTGGCGGAAGATGCAAGGCATGAAAAGTTATTTCAAGCTGTTGCTGAGCAAGGACCATCCTTTAGAAAGAAATATGAGGGACTGGAGAAATATTTTGAGACAGCACTAAGACATCTCTTTGTTCGAAGCGGCGAACTCGCGATAGACTTGGAAAATTCCCGTTTAGACCAGGATGATCGAAGATGGGAATCTCCGGAGACCATAGCGCGAGCAGTGCGGATTGGGGATATGATCATTGAATCATCCAATTGTTTGATTGATGCCGTATACCCCACCCGTCAATTTGAACATACCTATGGAGTGCGACCTTTTTGGTGGTCTCACGTTCTTAAAGTTCTTAAAAGTAGTACACCTGGTCGCCATGATCAATACTCTCCCCTTGCTGCCTCTATCTCTCTGGATGATCAACTTGGCTTTGCGGAGCAATATAATTATGCTTTGCCACATATCATCGCTGACCTCCCTGCTGATACGTTTATTGCTTTACGAACGATGGTTAACCGCGAACTGTTCGCATCGCCACCACCAACGTTCGATTACAAAACGAGTAAGAGGCCAATCACAGTCTTTTCGATCTTTGGATATGGAGGAAAATCCATCTCAGAAGCAATCGGCAGACATTTTGCACACTATAGCGGTGCGGACCTAGTTCATCTAGATGCGTATGATCTCTCAGAGCTTGTGGGCAATTACTTGGGCCAGAATTGGGCTTATTCACGCACTCCCCTCTCAATGCTAGGGTTTAGAGCCGCTGAATTGAGTGGAAAAATCGCGCAAAGTCGAGATGATAAACCTCTGGAGAACCAAGATGAAGAATCTGATGCGGAAGTTGGAATCGCCACGAGTAGTTCGAGCCCTTCAGCTGTGGTGGAAGAGCTTCAGAAATTACGTCAAGGAGAATATGAAAGTTTTAGTAAATGGGAAAATCTCAAGATTGACAAAATATTGGATCAAATCATTCGATCCACAGGCGCTGGATCTACACAGCCTCGTACACGACCGGTGTTAATTCACATCCACGACATAGTTGAACTGAGCATGACGATTGAGGGATCTCTGCTGATCAGCCGGCTGCGAGCCCTCGCTGATATTGCTTGGCAGCAAGGGTTACCAATCGCTTTATTTGGATCATCTTCCTGCGAACAGCCGTCGGAAGACTATCGAAACGCTGTCAAAGAATTTGCCACGAACGATTTTGTTGTCACTCGCCACATTCAGCCAGATTTTATCGAACAGTATACCGCACCTAAAGGAAATGTTCGAACTCAAGAACCATTCCACCTACAAAAAGCTGATTATGTCGCTGAGAATGTCAATAACATTGCTCGCATGTTAAGAGCGTTAGATCCCGAATTATCGCCACAGGTAGCTGGCTTGACGTTTGAGTCTGTTTTATCATTTCTCCGTTCCTCAAATCCCAGATATTCCATACTTCAAGATTCAATTATCCCGGCACCAGAAGTTTATCACCTAGCATGCGCCTTCAAGTCGCAGGAACGTCACAAAGCTAGTACCGGTAGCAGCACGCCCTCCGGTTTCTTGGAACGATTTGCCTTAGGTCATCTACAACAGTGGCCAGGAGATACATTTTCCAACGAAGATGCTGTTGAGGGAGATACACTTAATGGCGTTACAAGGGACGATCATAACACAACGGATAGCCGTGCCACAATGAAATTGAATGAATATGAGAAACGAATAGCTTCTGGTCAAATTAACCGAGAAAATCTTCGAACGACATTCGCAGATGTTCATGCTCCACCTGAAACTATATCTGCCTTGAAACTTCTCACGTCACTCTCTCTCGTGCGACCAGATGCATTTTCCTACGGTGTATTGGCGCAAGATAAGATTTCAGGATGCCTTTTGTACGGACCTCCTGGAACTGGTAAAACTATGCTCGCAAAGGCAGTGGCTAAAGATAGCGGCGCGAATATGCTCGAAGTCAGCGGTGCCTCTATCAATGATAAATGGGTTGGAGAGAGTGAAAAACTCATTCGCGCGGTCTTTACCTTGGCTAAAAAACTGACACCCTGCGTTGTTTTTATCGATGAAGCAGATTCTTTACTAGCTAGTCGAAGTATGTTCGCTAACCGGGCGTCTCATCGTGAGCATATCAATCAATTTCTCAAGGAGTGGGATGGTATGGAAGAGACAAATGCTTTCATAATGGTTGCGACCAATCGCCCTTTTGACTTGGACGATGCTGTCTTGCGGCGGTTACCACGAAAGATTCTTGTTGATCTTCCTCTTGAGAAAGATCGCCGGGCTATCTTAGAACTATTACTCAAAGACGAGATTCTGGATGATTCTGTATCGTTGGATGAATATGCACGACGAACTCCATACTACTCAGGATCTGACCTCAAAAATATGTGTGTTGCAGCTGCAATGGCTGCAGTGGAAGAAGAAAATGAGGCTGCGGCCAAACACCAAGGGTCTACCCCATTCCAGTATCTTGAAAGACGAATCCTTCAGAAATCTCATTTCGACAAGGCCCTGAAGAGTATTCCTGCAAGTATTAGTGAGGATATGATCTCTCTCAAACTAATACGCAAATTTGACGAGGAATATGGCAACAGAAAAAGAAGCACCACCAAGTCAAGCATGGGTTTTGGATTTGTTGATGATAAGCGCCATGCTCCTGTCAGATGATAAATTACCCATCTAAAGGCGATGAGATCAGTATATTAATGCGGGGTATTGACAGTATATAAAACTCCAAATAATACCCAAGGGGCTGTTGCGGCGATATGTATGTGGACTCTGTTAAAGCTCGATTGACAGATTAAATTTCGTAGTTTCGGCAGCGATGTTGCACGATGCCAAAGTGACTTGGCTGGATCCAGCTCTTAATGCTGGAGCGGCAAGCATACAAGCAAACCGAAAATTTGTAAAATGGAGCACAATTACAAACCTCGTCAGCAGTAGGGCCCAAATGCTATATGCAGCCCACGTATTGGCCTATGGCATCTTCAATCTTATTTCCATTCATATGGAATGCCAGCTTCTGACGAGGTCACTAGGTGAGAAACCGCGGAGTTAATTTACGTGTTCTCCGTCGATATTTGAATGTTTTCTTCTCCTAATGCCTTGGAATAAGAGTCCTGTGCTCGTCGTAGTGCATCCAACGTTGGCTGCATTATTTTGGAGACAGCATCACGACCACCGCCCACCATGTCTGGCTTCCACCGGATTTTCTTCCCTGTGCGCTCGAAGTGGCTACGGATCTCCTGCTTGCGTTTCTGAATAATAATGTCGCGTTCGGCCTCAGCCTCGTCAGCTACAGCCTGGATGCGCGTCGTGGATCTTGCTAGTGATTCAGCCAAATATTGGACCTCCATCGCCCGGTCAGGGTCGCCAGAAAGAAAACCATCCCAAAATTGGTGAAGAAATTCAATGGTTGTGGCATGAGTAAGAGCGGATTTGTCGGAAATTTGGGGGGGAATTCCCATCGGAGAGGTATCATCTGAGGCGCCTCCGTATTTCTGGGAGCGTTGTTGGTGTATGCCAGCCATGACATCCTTTTCTGCCTCTTTGATTGCACCACGAGCAGTATTGAGCCCAGGCTTCGTCTCTTTGTCGCTATCACTATCTAACTCGAGTTCTATGTTAATTTGAAGCCCATTGTCTCCAGTCTTATCATTCCCGGCTGCATATAGATTTTGCATTTTGGTAAGAATTTCGCTAGGCTGCTGATTCTCGACGATATCTCTATTTTTTAGCGATGGGGAATCTTTTGATGAGAAAAAATTATTCCTCTCTTTGATACTGAGCATGATCCGTTGTTCCTCCCCCTCTCCCCTTAAATCTCGTAGAATTAGTTCTCGGGACGTGTCGTAAAGTCCCTTTGAATCAATGGCAGTGCTATCCGAGGGAGGAACATTTGCCATGATTTTCTCGCTCAAGTTATTGAGCGTCCTGACAATGGGGATATTAGCTCGAGGTCGCATCTCGACATCCTTGGCGTTGCCTCCTTTGAATCCTCCCTGGTTCTCCTCATTACCCTCAATGTCGATTATGTGAGGAACAGGTTGGCTCATAATTTTCGCTTGAGCATCAAACGTATTGCCATCAGCATTGTACTTGTCGAAGATAGCATCTGCAGGGTCGTTATCGGTGACGCGTTCCCCTTTGAGTCTCTTGGCTAGCTTGCTGAGGAAGAATCGCGACCAGAATTCGGCCTCAGAGAGTCTCGGTACGGTTTCATTGTAAATTCGCTTGATTAACGGATGCTGAGCAAAGATCATTTGGACCTGCTCGACGCTGATGTTTAATTTTAATTCTCCGTCAACGGTCCGAGGTTTAACAGTAGAAAGAACATTATATGCCCCCTTTTTCTGGTTGATTTCAATAGCATGAGCTCTTAGCAGATTTATTCTCATGGACCAGAATTGGGAGTTGAAGGCGGCGCTGGTCATTGAATCTGGCTTAGTCGATATAGCGCTCATGTAGGTTTGATGCAGGCTCTTGTCTTTTTTCATGAGAGATTGCTGTAGCTCAATATTCATTTTCAGCTGGTTATCATCGAACCATTTTGGAGACATTGATTGTGAATTTATGCCATTGGAGGATCCTAGAGTGGCAGAGGCGCTTGCTGAGCCATCGCCATTTGCAGGCGCTCCAGTCGCAGCACCTAGCTTGGACACATTTGCATCGGTGCTTCTGAGATCAGCCAAAAGTCGGGAAAGTAGATCTTTGACTGCTTGGGCCTCTGATTTAGCTTCCTGGGTGTTGAAATGGAATAAATATGTGACGGGGTCGTTTCCGCTCTCGGACTTTTCGAATATTTTAAGCATAACCTTCGGAGAGCTGTCGGGGGTTTGCTGAAGATCTGGCTAGTGTCAGTTATAGTTATTAATATCCAGAATTCAAACAAGAATTACTAGTTATGTTGGTAATTGGTAGTGAGACCGTTGCAGGACCTCCTGATGCTGGTGTCCAAGTTATCGCTCCATGATCACTGCTGAAGGACAGGGTGCCCTCTTTCTTCTTGAAAAGAGTGTGGCCCGTTGGACTGGCCATCGCAACCCGGCTGTGAGAGTCGATGCAGAACGAAAGTGTCTGTTAATCGAAATTTCAAGTTACATCAATCGCATCTTCACTGGAATTTGGCTGCTCGCTGCAGTTCAGTGCCCGCTGTGGAGTGCTGCAAGTACTAAGCAAGGTGATGGCGCTCCGTAATGGTGTTGAACTAAACAAGGGAGCACTTAGTGCAAGGAAGGCCTAGCTCGTTTAAAGCATTCTATTACACCGTGAATATTTTCTGTTTAAGCATAAACTAGCAAATATATATATATATATATATTATACTAGTATAACAATAACAATATTAATTTTTAATATTTCAATTAATTAAATATATATATATATATATTATACTAGTATAATAATATAACAATATTAATTTTTAATATTTCAATTAATTTAAAATATATATATATATATATATATACTTTATGTATATATTATAATAATTTAATTTAATTATTATTACTAATGTAATAATATATTATATTTTCGTTTTAATGAATTAAACAACGTTATTACCTTCTAATTTTTATTATATATAATATATATAATAAACCCGTAGTACGATATTATCGATGTGCGGAGTATGGTATCCAAATACTGCTCCTTGCTTACCAAACTGTGGGGTGGCTGTCTGTCCCATCTAGGTTCCCATACCTCTCCTAATCCACAAAAGACAATCAACGGCTCATTAATTACGACTACCTACTGTTCAGTGCTGCTGCGCCCGTTGATACACTTGCTTTTCCACGAAGAGGACTGTTCTAGAGAATATTAGTCATTTCAGCTCTTCTGGGAATCGACTCGTCCAACGCTAGGGGCCGCCCCCTGCCAACACGAAGGCTGTTTCCTCATGCGCCCGTGCCGGCAGACTTGCTGCAACCGATATCCTGAGAAATCTCCAGGTCTCTTCTTCTGAACGCACGTATGATTTAGTATCTGGGCGGGGGGTTTCGACGTCGGACTGTATTTGCTGGTTAAATATCTTGTGCGACATATTGCGAGCGTATCATTCAGTCTTTCTCTCTGAAAGGGACATTCGCCCGCCCGGTCGAATTTGCCCATTCCTAAATATCGACGTTCAGCGCCTTTGGTCACAAATTCAAGACTGTGGCAGTTATCGAAGCTGGCTGGCCATCTTCTTCTCTCGCTAGAAACGCGGCTACGGTTTACCTTGCTTTTATCTACCCCAACTTAGTGTTCTCGCGGCCGTCTGTCATTATATCTAAAGCCTAACGACTTTCTTTTTGTACGATATGTGGTGGGTGCGCTTTTCTCGATTCTTTTGACTCCTCAGACAACTATGGACGAGTAGACTGTTCTCGAACCCAATCTTCTCATTATCTTGATATCTTTTTGGGCCCCGCTATATGATATCACAATGCTTTACCACGTTTTTTTCGGAGCTGCGATAGCACTCAACCTGGGCATTTACCCTTTTACCCCACTGCATATTCCCCGTTCTCGCTACCCTGTTGACCGTTCTGAGGCTAACAAACTCATTCGTCTGCATAACTAGAACAACGAATTAGTATAATGTCTCCTGATGCCGTGTCGTTATTATTTCCCGATCGGCCTATTCGGCCCCTGCCGAAACGCCGACTTCGGGAAAGGTTATCCCCAGAGGTAGCCAACTCGATCAAGTATCCCTCCAATATCCACGACCATATACCTCTATTCTACTATCCATCATATACTACGAGAGACGACAACGGGATATCCGCTTTGGCATCAGTTGGCCCCACTCTTCAACCTCATCGTGATGAGTCTAGAAGGAATTCTACGTTGCGACGGAATGGGGCAGTTATGGCAGCTGTATTCAAGGAAGAGCTGCGAGAAACTCTTATGATGGGATCGTCGCCGAAAATCCAGAGTGTGGTAATACAAGCTTCTGCGGCGTTAGACCCTCTTCGCCAGACGATGGAATTACAAGTGATACCATCTGTTGCTTCATCGGCGGACGGCTACGAGTCTTTTGAAAACACCAACAACAAGAAGAAGCGGAAAATCCCCACAACTGGAGATTCCTTAGCAAACAACAGCCTTTCTTTGGACGGCGATACCAATGCGTCATTGATACCGAATTCCATGCGAGCTCGGTCACCGGTGGCCGAAGTATCCAGTTATAAAACATCGCTGGCCCCAGCTGCGACTGCGGGAAACAACTCCTATGTCTCAAGCAGCCAAGGATTATCTGGATCTGGCAGAGGGAGACTTGGGCGATCTCATAACGGACGCAGTCCCTTGCGAGCTTTGTCAGATGGAAGCAATGTCTGGTCCGGCCGTTCAAGGGCTACTTCATCCCAGTGGGCACCGGCCGGTACGTTCTTTTCATTACATCTAGTTGTACGCAAACGTACGGTGTATGCTGATAGACTTAGATGCAGGCCAAACTGGAAGTGGTATTATATCTAATGCCATTGCTATTGCCGAGAAAGAACCTTTCCAAGGACAGGAGAATGGAAGTCTCCTGCAGCCGCATGCGACTGCATACAAGGCAATGACTGCTTCCACTCAGTTCACATTCACTTGTGAACCGCAAACACCCGGAGCTATACAGTGGCCAGGTAGGTTTCTAGATGCCCCCTTCCCTACGACTACAGCACTGACCGTTCCACAGGTCGCTCTACAGGCCAAAGTGTGTCAACTCAGTCGTCACAAAATTTACCAGCTGCGCCTCCTCCTAGCCCCAGTCTAGCACAAGGTAGCTCATCAAAGCAAGTCAGTAAACACCCTGCTAGTTCTACTCGAAAAACTCGCAGCCATCTAGAGAGGGAACTGGCCATAGCTGCACGCCATCGACGGCAAATTGCTACAGAAAACTACTATCATAGCATATTAGACTCGGCTGAGATCTGGATTTGTGAATTCTGCGAGTACGAGCGCATATTTGGCGAACCCCCCCGCACTCTTATTCGAGATTACGAAATAAAGGACCGTCGACATCGCCAGGAGGAAGCAGACCGAAAACGATTGTTAGAGAAGGCAAAAGCAAAAAGCAGAAAGGGGAAGAAAAACAACAAGGCGTCCGCAAAAAGCGGCAATGCGAACGACCATATCTCAGACCAGCCTCATGTTACACGGCCAACCGACATTTCGCCCGCCATGACTAATGAACAGAGCCGTTCCACACACTCTGGCGACAGATATGAAGACGATTATGAAGATAGTTATTCAGACGCACCGCCCAGACACAACTCAAGTGCTGTGGCCACCCATGTAGATCCGCTGCCTCCACCGCGAGCAAAAACTTAGGGCTCTGGTCGGCTGTGTGGGTGGCATAACTTGTCTAAGCAGTTGCTCTATGAGAAATGAATATCATTTATGTTCAATCTGTAAATATGCTCATGACTCCCTCAGTGGATTATGAGCAATTGCATTGCCGATTCATCAAGTGACTGGATTTAGACATACGGATCTTTTATTAGTATAGATACCCGAGTAAGCCACAAATCAAATTAATGATGACCCTGACCGATTATGTTTGTGCTCATTTCAAGCATTATGTAGTCCATATGGTTGATTATATTACAAATTAATTGAAAATATGACGACGTTGGCAGTGAGAATGCGAATGACCAGCCATAAGCGACTCCGACAAATATACGCAAAAAAGGAAACAGCTGGCTTCATCCTATGAAGTTGTTGACTAGATGTCGCAGTTATCTGGAATCAAACTTTGCCTCTGCCTTATTATCATTGACTAGTTCCATCAGACGAAAATATGCCCTCTCATCATCGCCTTGGTTAAATCGCATCACGTCTATATCTTCCTCAAAATACAGTCTACCTTCATCTGGGTCGAAACCTCCTTGCCGAAACACATTTAGTGTTGCATATGCTTTCAGCCTCTGGCGGACACGCTGAAGAACTGACTTGTCACGCACCCACCGCTCTATTTCTTTTGTCATAAACGGTGCCTTGTTGTGTCCATATACTAGCTCGGCAAGCGAAGGCTTCGCTTTGTATACTTGATCAAAAAACTCGGCCCAGGATAGGTATTCGTCGCTGAAGCATTCATTTAAGTGGAGAGATCTGAGGACCTGAGCATGGCCTTGTATAAACGAAACCAGCTCTGAGCTGATGAAGAAATTTTCCAGCTTAAGAGATTGTAAAAGAGGGAGGCTCTCGGACTTTAAAGGAAACGGGATATAGTAGTCATTGCCGATAATATCTGAAGCCTGGATATGCAAATGCTTCAGTCTCCTCATATGGTGGAAAAATGAATCATCCAAGCGTTCGAAAAAATCCTGACCGCCTGATGTTATAGTAAGCCGCAACCCTGCATAATCTTCCCCGCCAAAGATGTGAAAAGTTGCAGATTCGAGTTGACTAAGAAATTGGCGAAAGACATCAGTACTATACGCAGACGTCTGTTTTGGAGGCAGCTCATTAAGGATAAGCTCCCTCATGGAAGTATTGGTCACAAGGGCCTCCCAAGTCTCATTCATAAGCGCTCGCCACTTGTATGATCTTTCATAAAAGCGAACCTGGTCGGCGTTTTCCTCAAAGTCAAAATAAACATAGACGTCGGGTTCATCATCATCGAGGTTAAAATCAAACTTGAGTCTGACTGTGTGTAAGTTTGGTGTCAAAAGACCTTTCAAGACCTCGCAAGCTGTTGGTGGCAGAGATGGTTCCGTTGGCGCTGGACTCTCTTGATGGTCGCATTGACAAGTGAATTCAATTGCTTTTGTGTACTGGCCGTAAGCCTCGACGGCAGCCAATGCAGATGCTTCGGATACCTCGTCACTGGTGAATCGTATTGTAGTGAAATTTTCGGGCAGCAGTTGATTCCTGTACGACTTGCATGTTGCACTCAGATGGATTTTGTCGCCAATGTCGAGGAGGTTGATTATGGAAGAGCTAAAAGGCTCGCCATACCCTGGTTGAGGTAGCCAGAGACGTGGCCACGCTATGGAGAGATAGCATTTATGAAAATATTGCTGTAAATCACCCTTTTTGTCTGCTATATATATATCTGTTTAAGTACATTTATCTCGGCCATTTACGAATCCAGATGGTGCCCTCTGCGGCTGCCAAGAGGGTCGTCGTCCTAGGCAGTAGCGACTAGTTTATATCAAGCTTCATTGTATTGGTCAGATCCTGGTCGCACTGATTCTGCAATAATTGGGGGGTTGTGCCAAGGTATTACTTGCATGCCTGAAATAGGCAAATCTACGAATTGAGCAGTAACCGGAGCATCTCAGCTGTCCAAAAGCCAAGCTACCGACTAATACAATTTAAAGTTGCTTATATAGCCGTATATAAATGTCGAGCCTGCTGTAATTCCAAATTGGCTTGTAAGAGCGTGATTTTGAGGAATCTAGACATCCAATGCGTTGCTTTAAGCTTAGAAGCTAGATATCATCTGCCCCTCATTGGATGATACTGCGGGAGGCGGGGTTTTAGCAACCGCAGGGGGGGGGGCATTTCATCCCACCTTTTCTGAACCGCTTGCTTACTTATCTTGTCTATAGCATAACTGCCTTTTTCAATCGGAGGCAGCGGTTGCTTTGCGAGCTGTTTTCCCACCCAGTTTTTGAGCAGCCAGGGATATTCCTGACCTGATAGGCCCGGCCATGGCCTCTACGCAAATAGTCCAGCTGCAGTCGCTCAAACCTGATCTCCATGAGCGTGCCTGGGTGTCGATACCTCATCCTAGCCTCCCTCTAATCGCAACCGCACACGGCAAGAATGTCACAGTCTTCTCGCTATCGACTCTCTCCTTCCACAGCGCCTTAACCGACGGCCACGCACGATCCATCCGAAGCGTTGCTTGGAAACCTGCGCTACCGCCGCATGAATTATGCCTTATCTCAGGTAGCTTCGATTCTTCCGCCGGCGTCTGGCGCTGGAATAAGAGCAGTGGTGAAGATGATGGTGATGGCCTGGGCCAGGACATGTCAAGGGGCCCAGCAGGTGACGAAACCGCCAAGGCTGGCGAATGGGACTATAACCTTGTGCTGGAGGGACATGACTCCGAAGTCAAGTGCTGCGCGTTTAATCCGTCTGGCAACTACCTTGCGACCTGCTCGCGCGACAAGTCCATTTGGATATGGGAGGACATTGCCAGCTCCGAATCCGAGGACGATTGGGAAACGATTGCCGTTCTCAACGAGCATGAGGGAGATGTCAAGGCCGTAGCCTGGTGTCCTGATGTGCCTGGACGCAACAGTGTTGGGCAGCGATATTACAGCGTCGATGTCCTTGCCAGCGCCAGCTATGATAACACCGCTCGGATTTGGCGCGAGGACTCAGATGGAGAATGGGTTTGCGTGGCTGTTCTTCAAGGACATGAAGGCACTGTCTGGGGTGTAGAATGGGAACCAAAACCGAGAGACAATCGATTCCCTAGACTCATGACATTCTCCGCTGATGAGACAATACGTGTGTGGACGCTTGAACAAGGGGAAGATAATGCTGATGGGGACGGCTCAGCAATGTCGCAGGGCCTAGGTGGGATACCAAGCACGATGCGAAGGTCTTTTAGAGAGCAGTGGAATTGCACGGCTGTGCTCCCCAAGGTGCACGACAAGGACGTATATTCAGCCACATGGAGCGCCGAATCTGGTCTCATTGCTAGCACAGGGAGTGATGGTGTTATTGCTTTATATAAAGAAGATGAAGCTGCTCCATCAGACCCCCCGGCAGTTTCCGCGGATAAAGACTCGGATGGCAATGCAAGCTTGAGTCACAATAGCTCCGCTGCTGGCGGGCCACAGTGGCAGCTTTTGACCACAGTGCCTAGTGCTCATGGACCATATGAGATCAATCACATCACCTGGTGTAGGCGATATGATGCGGGCTCAACAAAGAGGGGAGAAGAAGAAATGCTGGTTACAACAGGCGATGATGGACTGGTCCAGTCATGGCGAATTGATGTTACATCTTCATAGCTAGAATAGGCGTTTGGTATGTAAATATTGTAATATAATAGAAACGGTTAAACTAGAAAAGAAAGCTGCCCCTGCCTAAAACCAAATATTATTTCTTCGTTCTATTGAAACCAGTGAATTCCATTCCAGTCCATTAAATTACATCTTACATAGAAGTCCTATTTCATCAAGCCAGCCTTTTTCATTCACGCTTGTCTTTTCCGAATATTACTTCATGTATCGCCAAACACGAATATACCTTTACCCTTTCTGAAGCCTTGAAGGCCTTTTTGAACCTCCCCTGTCAAGGTGGAAGCATCGGTTTCCCAGTTCCACGCTACTTCATCCAGAGGAACGTCTTTGAATTTACCCTCGCGGATACTGTCAACAATATAATCAGTCATGTGTTTGCGCCCGGTGGGGTCCTGCTGGTTCCATCGCGTAAGCCAGAAGCCAACGAAGCGAATGTCTTTGAATATCAACAATCCAACAGGAAGAGCAACTGGCTGCCTAGCCATGCCACCGTACGACACCATAGTAGCGCCCTCACCAAGCGAGCGAGCGAGAGCAGTGGCGGATTTGCCGCCGACGCAATTCAGGCCAAGCCCAATCTGCTCGCGGCCTTTGTTTGTGATTTCCGCCAGCTGGTCCTTCCACTCCCGAGACAGGAACTGTGCCTCCGTCACAACTACATCGGCGCCGAGATCCGTAAGCTCTCTTTTTAATTCTTCAGTCGCCTCGGGGGAGCTTCGTTCCCGAACGATGTTGATGCTCCTGAGTCCCCAGAGCTTTCCAAACTGTATGGCGGCTCTTCCCACTCCGGAATTCGCTCCGTTTTGGATAAACCACTCGCCGCTGCCCACCTCAAGCGGCCGCATGGCGAGGCCCTTGCTTATTCCAGCACTGGGGCCATATGTTCTCAGGATGCGATACGCTGTGCCGGGGTTGACGGAGATGGTCGCTGCCTGAGTCGCCTTTAGCCCCTCCTTGTTGATTTTTAATATTTCATCCAATTCTGCCACGGCATGCGTCCGCCATGTGCCAAACTGAGCCACGGCCGGTATCACCCAATCTCCTTTGCGAATGGGGGAAGACGGGTCGCCCGTTGCGAGAACCTCGAAGACACCCTCATTTCCAGGGATAGCGGACGGATTAGGCGTTCCTATCAGGGAAGTGAAGCTGGGCTGAGAGCCATACGTACCCTGGACGGTGTTTATATCTGCAGGGTTGATGGGCGCCGCAAGAGCCCGCAGTAGGACGGATTTGGAGGAGAGCGAGGGAGAGATGGAGTGTGTATGAAGCCTTGGTGTTGTTAGCCGAGCGATTACTCCAGTTCAGCCTCCAATGGGCGATGCTCACTTTAATACGTCAGAAGGCTCTCCATTCTGAGAGAAGACAAGAGCCTTGGCCTGGGTGTAGCCATATGGGCCAGACCGGCGTCGAATAGTCTGTTGTGATAGAGGATTAGAAAACAGCCGTCCAACGACGCGCCCGGCCCGTGGTAGGGCGCATTGGGCTGAATAAGGACGGCCTAGCATTTCTATCGGGGCTTGAGATAAGAAATCAGACGTTTAATCGAACAACCATAGTATGTGCCAATGATGGGAAAAGACAATTGAAGCCGAAACTTCAATTCAGCCGTCCGGTAAACTGCCCCTCTTACCCCACTAACGCCGAGGAGCTATCTTGACAGCACTGTGGAGGTCTCCATAAACGAGGCTCAAGTTCCAGTATGTCGAATCAAAATAATTAGAGTACGTAGTAATTATTATAACAATCAGATCAAATATTGATTAAGCTGCGTCATGGTGGATGCCCTCTTCTTGTTGACTAGTTAATTATTCTTTCTGGCATAATTCTAGTTTACAAGAAATCGCTAGCAATAGCGTCCCTTGCATCATGCAATAGTACCTAATTACACATGGCATACGCTATGATAAGCAGCCTAAAGCGTGGCATTTTTAAAATAAGCACAATATGGTATAACATTTGGAAATATCACAAACTACCTAGCCATACTACACAGGCCCCTGGATCACTCAGCCAAGGCCAACACCTAGTTTTTTCGAGTTAGCGTGAATCTTGGAGGCAAGGTGGTATCATAACGAAGACTTACTATAGCAGTTCGGCATGGGATGTACACATGAGTCCAATTTTTCCGTCCATTCCACTCCATGGGCGTTGTAAAGAAGCGAGTATTTTCATCGATCCTGTTGTGACCGCCTACCGCTTCTGAGTCGCTGTTCAGGACTATCTTGTAGGTTCCAGGGACGTCAACGCCAATGCGGTAGTCTTTGAAGCTTTCGTGGGTATGGAAATTGAAAACAAAAACAAGTCCCGCTCTCTCGAATACAATGACCTTGTCGCCTTCATGCTTCAAGGAGATGTAGGCCTGGGGAGCGTGGAGCCAGCCATAACGTTCTTCACAGTGGTTCATCAACTTGTCAAAGGTGTTGAGGAATTTGTATCGAAGGAGATGATCCTCCGTGAGGTTCAGTTGCCGACGAGCGTACCAAAACGAGTTGTTGTTTCCTGCTCGAGGGAAATCAAGCCATTCAGGATGACCGAATTCGTTACCTTCAAAGTTAAGGTAGCCCTCACCACCCAATCCATGTGTAAGAAGTCGAATCATCTTGTGGAGCGCCATTCCACGGTCAATAACAGGCGTCAGAGGCTTTAGAGTGGTCATGTTATCATATAATTGCGCATCGCATAGATGCATCATCAATGTTTTGTCTCCGACAAGCCTGGTGCCTAAACGTCAGCGCGATTTTTCATCCTTGAGTTGGAATAACATACGCTTGATCATGACTCTCACAATATGCTATGGTCTTTTCACCATGACGTCTGTTAGTTAAAGTGAAGCATATGTTGGCAAGATCCCACTGTTCATCTTTGCGCTCCTTGAGAATCTTGATCCACATATCGGGAATGGCCATGGCAAGGCGGTAGTCGAAACCCACGCCACCGAGCGATAAAGGAAGACACAGAGCAGGCATTCCAGACACATCCTCGGCGACAGTTACACACTCGGGATAGAGTGAGTGTAGCATCTCGTTGGCAACCATCAGGTATACAACCGCCTCCTCGTCGACATCAGGTCCAAAGTATTCATGGTATCCGCCAGAAAACCCACTGAGTCGATCGGTTAGCTAACACTGCCCAGCTTACGAGATAGAGAAATACTTGACCTACGTTCCAATTCCATGGTGTAGGTAGAGCATACTGGTGACGCCATCGAAGCGGAAGCCATCAAAGTGATACTCATCCATCCAAAATCGTAGATTGCTCAGTAGAAATCGCATCACCTCGTGATGGCCGTAGTTAAAGAGTCTACTATCCCAAAGGTCGTGGTTACCTTTTCCTCCACTGTGAAAGTACTGGTGGTCGGTTCCATCAAATTGGTTGAGTCCATCAAGTACATTCTTTGACGCATGGCTATGAACCACGTCTAGGAGTACGACGATGCCCAATTTATGGGCAGTATCGACAAGCCTTTTCAAACCTTCAGGAGTTCCATAGCGGCTGCTCGCAGCAAAAAAGCTGTTGACCTGGTATCCGAAGCTAGCATAGTAAGCATGTTCCATAATAGCCATCAATTGGATAGCATTATAGCCGAGGTCTTTAATTCTGGGAAGCAAATTGTCGGTGAACTCGTCATATGTAGTGACGCGCTGCTCTGGAGAAGAAATTCCGACGTGAGCTTCATACACTCGGATGCTCTGAGGCCTTTTTGGTCGCGGGTGCTTGAAAGAATACTTCTCTGCAGGCTCCGGGTTCCAGAATCGAGCGTCATATACTGGCGAAACAGAAAGGTCTTGAGTGACATATTTGATCCATGCTGGCAGGCGATCAATTCGATGGCCTCCGGGGAGAACGAGGGAGATCTGATTGTTTTTTTTCGAGAGGCGGTTAGCAAAGATAGCTGGCCCAGAAAGATTGGTTTGGTGAGCTACCTTGATTTTAGAATTATGGGGTATGGCCTTCTGGCCGTTTTCGGCTGGAACAATGATCTCAAACACGCCAAATTCGTTCTTCTTCATTGGGTGGGACGTCATGTTCCAACCATCTATACGAACTGGTGTCAATTGCATCGCCGAGGCTACAAGTAGATAGCAAAGGCTTACTGAAATCACCGATGAGGTACGCCTGCTCGGCGTTGGGCGCCCACTCGCGGTAGATGATGTTGTTTTTCTCGTCCACATTGAAGCCGAAGATATCAGTGCCCTGCAAAGTCCTTGGTGTTAATTGTATGTTTAACGGTTTTTTTATCCTGCTTTGAGAAAAGCAGAAGAAGATGAGGAGGAACGGAAAAGCACTGAAGGCGCTGATGAGCTTCCATACCTTCGAGAACTTATCGAAGCCACCTTCATTGTCATTTATAACTTTAATCCAATCCTGCGCCTTGGAATATCGCCGCTTCAGCGCATCGCTAAATGGGGCTAGCCAGGGGTCTAGCTTGACGACGCCTGTATCTCCAGTTAGATCAAACAGCAGTATGGTTTGGCAATTCGTCGTCTCGAACCTGTGCCATCCTGGGGAACCGTCTGCTCGTCTGGTTGAGCTGCCATGGCGCAAAACTGCTGGGGCGTGAGAGGCGGGGTAGCTGAAGTGGGAGCTGGCGCGCACTTGCTTGAAGAACAAAGCTCGGCGACGCAGACACTATGAGAGATATTATATATATGGTGCGCTGAGGCAAAAAAGAATGGATTAGAGTCGCACTGCAATTAAACCAATATGTAGCTGCGCTAATTGTTGGCAAATGACATGTTACCTGTTATCTCAAGCTTCAAGCTTCACGTTTAGGTAGCTACTCGCGCGTTTTAGCGGCTGCCTAACTGAATGAAGATAGGCTATGGGAATGTGGATATCGAATTTGAATTTATTTGTATGGGTATTCAGTTTGATTACAAGGCCTATTTAATTATCTAGTCATTAATCTTAAATATTTTTCTCAGGCTATTGAATTTCTTTCGCTTGTGCTCTGGCGACAGCAAAATATTCGCGTTGCCTGCATCTGAGCTCCCTTGAAGCTCATGCTGTTGGCGGGGATCTGACGTCAGGCCATCCTTAACGATAGAGCCGCTAGCTGCGGATCTTCTTCCCCCGTCTTCAGTTGATGACGTCATTGGGAGTTCATTGGGCACAGCTCTCCTGTTCTGCAGTGGCCAGCCGCTGCTGTGTGTAGGCGCCGCGTCTTCAGTATTATGTTGTGTTTCATGTGTCTCCCTGTGGTCCTTCTTCCGCATAAGCGTGGAGATCAATCCTGGCCGGCGAGGCGAGGCTTCTTGTGCTGCAGCACCAATTGGCTGAGAACTGGGGCGCATGTGTGTATCACCCTCGTTGTAATATTGATCATCTCTCCGCTTTAACTTATTGTGTTTCTGTGAATTGGATGTAAAGCCTGCATTGGCGTGGGGATTGTGGTCGGGAGTTTTATTGCGTGCGTACAAATGAGAAAAAGAATGCTTCAACTTTGAATGAGTGGGCTCGTATTCGTCACCCGTTAGCGAGCGGTTAGTTAATGGGGTTGTGTTTAGATCATCATCGCTGGAATCTGACATATGGTCCCCATATGCTGAATCTTCATATCGTTTCGATAGAGACCGGTTGGTATGCGGTGCGGCAGCGTTTTGATGGAATAAACGGTTGCCTTGGTGCACGGTCACTGTCTCAGAATAAGACGTAGGTACGACTGAATGGCGCTGTGCGTGCGATGCCGAGGGTGATAATGAGCGCAGCGTCATCCTCTTCCCGCCTCTCGTACCGCCCATCGATAGCCTTGCCTCAGAGACGTTGCTTCTCATTGATGCCCTGAATCCACGCTGCGCATCGCTAGTCGATCTACTACGCACGAAGCTGCTCTCGCTGGAATCGGATCCTCGCCGTCTCAGAGTAGACTTCATGTCTGCTGGATATTCTGTAGCAATTTGAGGATTTTTCGACCCGTGCTTCGGGCCAGAGCCACTTGAGATAATGGGGTTATATAAGGAGCTAGGCCGAGCGACTGGGCCTCGGCCATCATCTGCATGTCTCGGCTCACTGCTAAGAGAGCGCTTAAGTTTTGCTAGTTTTTTCAAGCCGCGCCCTGTCGCCGTATTACCGGTTTTCGTAGCATCAGGCTGTTGAAGCGAGCGATGTCCTGTCTGGGCATCTACCGAGGCAAAACTAGCTTGCCCACTAGGATCATTGTGGCCCTGAGCTGCTCTGGGTGATACTAAGTCGGCTGGTACCGGGCGTTCAACTTGGGACTGATGAGATTGTTTCCTTTGCTTCGCCCTGAGAAAACCCGAATCATCGGCTACGGCCGCGGAGCCTGTTGCTACCACACTCCGGTGGAGAGCATCATCATCTGCTTCCTGGAGAGCTTCTATTTCCAGCCGGCGTCTCTCTTCAGACGTCAAGCTTTTCCAGTATGCCTTGGTTCTTTCCCAGTCATCAGCACCAACGTCATAATCCGACACTTTCTGTTCGTGATTTGCGGTCAAGTTGAAGTCGCCAATGCCTGGTTCAGAGAATGGCGGGTTGGCCAATGCAGCGTCAATCGACATGAATCCGTCACCTGCATCCTCAGGCTGGTCTTCGTAGGCGTCACTGTAGATGCTATCTTTATCTGACTCCTCCTCAATCTTGTTTTCATCAATCGACTGGGTTAGTTTGACGGTCTTGGATCCTGAAGCCTGTGTCAACATTAGCGCAACAAAACCATTTGCGTCGCTCGTGTTCAACTTGGGAACAATGTCATCAGGTGGGAAACTTCCTGGGAGAGAGTTTGATCTAGCCATTGGTATTATACCATGCTGTTGCATCTGCGGTAGCGAATATGGTGTTTCGTTGGAATTTCCTGGTAATCCACTGACGGTTGTCGAGCTCGCCTTGGAAGCTTCATTACCTGAAACGTTAGCGGTCGAGGATAGATCTGGTAATGCATCTCTAGCGGGGTTTTGAGACGTTGACTCGTCTATGCCAGTCAATACGTCTTCAAACCGCTCATCATCCGAGCTGTCCATGTCTTCGCCTTCATGCCCAAGACTTTCGGTGGATGCCATGATAGCTGGTAGTGGCTCCCGATATTTCGAGATATTTGCTACATTTCTTGGCATCTGTTCCCGATTGAAGCTGAGCTCTTTAACGGGCTCTGCCGATGGGATATTTTCAGTTTTGGGTGTGAAAGATGATGAATGAGAAGTGGATGGTGGTAGTGACTGAGGCGATAAGGATCGTTCTCGCGGGCGAACAAGCTGTCGTTCCTCAGGTTCCTTCCCCTTTTTGTCACGCACACTTCCAAATAATGGAAGAGCCGGTCGGGGGGACATTAGTTCATCCTGCTGTAGTGGAGATTCATTGGCTATTTTCAGCCCATCGACAGTGTTGTATGCCTTCTGTCTTGAGTGAATGTTGGATGCTGCTGTGGTATCTGCTTCCTCGAATTTGCTCGGTTCAATAGCCATAACTGTGCTGTTATCGTTCCAGCTTACTCTAGCACCCTTCTTCTGACTTGTCACAGCATCCTCTCCGCTAGAATGAGAAATGCCAAGCCCGGGATACTCCAGATTTTCATGAGGATGCTGGGACAAACTTCCTCTGCTCGAAATAGACGATTTCATGGCAGATTTTCTAGGCGATAGAGAGCGCGGTGGAGGCTCGTGTTTGACAACCAGACGATCAGCCGATGAAGCAAAATGTGCTGAACGCACGGATGTCTCTGAACTGGATCCAGCATATGAAAAAGGTATTTCGACCTTCAAATTGTCGTATTTGGGTAAGCTAGGCGATACACTTGCCGACGTCAAAACTTCAGATGCTTCGTCCTGGAAATCATTTGGACGTTGAAAATCTCTGGTAGCCTTGTCTTCATTTTCTCTCTTTGGAGAAGGCTTTTCTACCGCCGCAGTTACCAGTCGGCTAGGACTGGAGACATCATTCGGAATTTTCCTCTCAAAGAAGCCAGAATCATTTGACAGGTCAGAGGCTAATAATGGAGACTCCGCTTGGATATTATTAGGCGGCGGTAGATTCATCATTTCATCCGCCGGCTCTTGTGTTGTATAGGTCTTTTTACTTGGCTTTGCTCCTTTGGCTTTCTCGGATGATATTTGAACAGCATCCTCAACCTGACGGTTTGCTGGTGTAGCCGTGGCCTTTGGAACCATTCTTCTAGAATTCGGATCGTAAACGAGTTCGTGTTCGGCTGGCATGTTTGAATCATATGATGGCATTCGGCGGGGATATGAAAAGTTGATCGATGAACTAACACTCCCTGATCGAGATTCTGGTAAATCAGGGGTCAATTTTGATATCGATTCTAGCGTTTGATCATGTTGAGCTACGGCGGCTCCAAACCAAGCGCCTTGTTGGTGGCCTTTGGATTTCTGGCTTGCAGTTCGGAAATTTTGGGTTTTTATTGGGGTCGTAATGTTTTTAGAAGCGGGCATGCTGGGGACAGGTGGCACATCTTGCTTCTTATTAGAAGCCGTACGACCCGGTGATGGCGATCGAAAGGTCCGTTCGCTCATTGAGCTCACGCTGGGCGTTCTTGACAGCTTATTCTTTTTGCCTCGATCGCGACCGACAGGGGACGACAGCGAGGAAGCCCGTCGCTGGACCCTTTTGGACGGGGCTTCCGCAACATTTGTGAGTGGCGCTGGCTGCGCTCGTAAGGCTGCTGCGGCGGCTGCTGATGATAATGATTGGGCTGGAGTGCTGCTGCCACGCATGTAGGCGGAGGCCGCGGCCATGGCAGCATCGGGATCGGCTGTTTCTTTTGTCAGAGGTGGCTATAGATGATTAGCAAATTGTTCGCGAATGTACTGATAGTTCAAGGAGGTGATGTCCCCCATTGAGGCCATCGAAACCGTCCGCTGGCTTGCAAAGGAACAAGGCAGAACGCATTTTGCGACAGGGCCGGCCTACCTGAAGCGAATGATCGCGTCGTCGCGATAACTTGAACATGGCGAATTATTGAGTTGCGCCCTCACGGCATAGACGGAAATGTGGTCTGCGAACCATATGATTAAAGGCGAATAAAGTCAGAAGAAACGAGAGATTGAATCATCGCAGAAGGAAGCGGAAACAATGGAAATTAAAATGCACTGGGTAAGCTGCTGATACGAGGATTGCAAAAACGTACCGAATACATCATACTACGCGGCGAGGTGGAGTCGGCCGTAGTACTGCATACTGCTAGGCTGTTTTAGGTCTGGAACATTGCCAAACCGCCCGGAATCAAGGACGTGCCTTTTTCCATGCATGGGTGTCGGCGGAGGCAGTAGTAGTCTGATCCGCTAATACTAATGATTCGATTCATCATTAGGCAGTTGCCCACATAAAGTACATACAAGCACTTCGTCTGCAAGTCGTGCAGCTGAAGAGCAGCACCTAGTTATCCTTCAATTAGGTGCTATAGTGTGGCTTTGGGCTGACTGTTTTGACAGCTTGTATGACACCTAACATTGCCATTGTTAATTCCTCCACCCTTTAAAGTTTCTCGCCTTGGAGCTTACCCAGCAATCTTAGGGCTACTAACAAGGGTCGGAATTCCTGTTCGAAAGAATTGAACTTGAGCTACAGACAGTGCATGTCAATGACGCAAAGCTGAATCCAATAAGTTCCAGAGAGCTATGCTAATGGATCTACCTAATGGATAGCAATCCACCACAAAAAAATTCAATGGATTGGAATCGTGCATAAGCTGGGCCACCATTTTTCATGTCCCTGGCGCTATTGCCCACTGTAAAGATTTACTCTCTGTGGCCATCCAAGCTAGCCGCATCCGTACTTCGCTATTCCGCGCCTAATTAGCATGTACCTAGCCACTCTTTCTACAGTAGTCCTCTGCCTCTCCGGCAGTACGACTCTCTACCATTCAAACTCTTCCTACCAAAACACAATTCAGCCTTGACTAACATTTGATCGCACTCCTCCCTCCCCCCTCTTTGTTTTTATTGCGCATCTTTTTTCTTTCATTTGGTGCTTACAGTATTCAATGGCACCACCCTCGCCACGACGATCTTCCAGAGCTCGCGCGTTGGCTTCCCATCCTCAACAGTCTCTCTCATCCACCAATTTCAGCCGCCTTGAACGACATACCAGATCCCTCAACCGGCCCCAATCGGACAAATCCACACCCAGCGCATCCGTATCATCCGATCCGCTTGACGATATAGACGATACCCTTCTTGGCCGAAGGCGGAAGCGCGGCCACGACGACGAACAGTACAAGAACTTGCGGAACGACGCCCAAGATATGTCTAACGAACTAGATCCTTTGCAAGACGAGGAGGACGAGGCAGTTCGGTGCATATGTGGCTGCGAAGATTACCCTGGCCGCCCTCCTGTCGACGGCTCAGATGCCAACTTCCTCGCTTCCATTGAACTCACAGAAGACGTCACGGGATTTTTTGTGCAGTGCGATATTTGCAAAGTATGGCAGCATGGAGCATGTGTCGGCATCTTTAGCGCCGAGAGTTCTCCCGAAGAATACTTTTGTGAACAATGTCGGAAAGATCTTCACAAAATTCACACAGCAAATAATGGGTAGGCTGATCCTACCCCAAAAACTTGTTATTCAGAAGGTAGAATCTGACCAGGCGGCAGACAAAAATACTCCAAATACCTGCCTTTAAGTCGACCAGCCAGAACTGCATCTCGAGCTACTTCCATCGCAAAGGATGGAGCTCGATCGCCGAGGCTGGGCAGCGCTAAATCTGCTCGATCTCAATCTACGTCACAAATATCCAAACGACGATCCACGATGAATAGCCGCGATGCCGCGTATGACGATGAACAGTTACGTCGAGCAATCGAAGCTAGCAAGGAAGAGGTTGCCCAAGATGGGACAGAAAATATGAATAGGCGCACAAAACGGGGGCGCAGCAATAGTGAAGAGTATGTCCTAGGACTATAATTCCGAACAGCTCTGTTTTCTTGGGATTGCTAACCCCGCCAGCAGGAACAACGTAATTGTTAAACGGCAGCGCACAAATTCGCAATCCACCACGCCGCCACCAAAACCAATGGACACTATCAGTCAAGAAAACACGGATGACGAGAGTGGCGGGCGCAATGGATTAAAACGACCCCGAACCTACAAAGCTACAGAGAGAGCAGAAAGAGAGGAAAAGGATCGTATGCGGCAAGAAACCATAAGCAAACGAAAAGGGCGCGCAGATAGGCGGCGTACTGAAGGTAAGTTGCCCGTTGTGGCTGCGAGGAGGCATGGGCACTGACAAAAACCCCAGATTCCGATGTGTCAGAGGAAGTGAATCCGTCGTCTTCCAAGGCTCCCAATACCAGCGGTGCGGAAACGTCAAATTTCGAAGACCCTACGCCTGCTGTACCATCCCCCGTTCCGGGAACGCCCCCCGCATCGCATTCATCTGCCGCAAATTCTAACAAGCGAACGTCACGGAGCAATCACAAAAAGGGCAAAGGGAAAAACCAATATACGAAAGACCGAACTGCGGATATTGAACGGTCACCCGCAAGATCTGTATCACGAGACACCCAGCGAGCCAATAATGCGACAACTGCTGCACACTCTAGGCACGTGGGAGACCACAAGAGCAGTTCAAGAACAAAGCTAGGCATGGCGGGGAAGATGAGCATGCTGGATATGAAGCGACGGGTGGCCGCAATTATGGATTTCATATCAAGAACCCAGGTCGATTTGGCGGCCGAAGCAGCATTGGACCGCAGTAACAATTCAACTCAATCCCCGCATGATCCTACCAAATCGCCAATGGACCAAGATGCAAAGGAACAGCGTGACTCTCCTGAATCAAAGGTCTTCAAGGAATTGAGCTGCATGGAGATGATGGACGTCCTTACGCGAGATATGGTTAAGTGGCAAAATCAATACTCATGATGGGGGATATGACTCTCTTATTCACGTATCAGGCAGAAAGTCTACATGTTATGTCTATGAAGAAATGCTTGAGCTGGTTCAATGAAAACATCTTTCTGGAAAAGGCGTTAGGGTATATTGGCTGGTCACTTGTTTTTTTTTACTACTGCATGGCGCAGCATGAGTGGAAAGCGTTGCTTTAACTTTGGTCCAACTTTTTTTTTTCTTACTTGTTCTCCGTGTGGCTTTTCCTGTCGTTTAGGTCTAGACGGAAAGCCTTCGTTGCTAGCTATTTGGATTTGTTGAGTGAGATTTGTCTACCGAATACTGTCATGATAGTCTATATTTTACAGCTTTTGCTAATCAAAAATGGTATATTGTTATGATAAACGACGCTCAACTCCTATTCCGAGCCCCCCTTTACGCGTTTCTTTCTTTCTTTTGTTCTTTCCATACTTTCTTCCCTTGGCTCAGGCTTAATGGAGGGCTAGTAACCATCAATTCGTGGTTCCGAAGGGCCTCGTCAGAAAGGTCGTCCAAGACATATTTGCCCAGTTTACCTTTCCGCCACTCAGACAGTACCCTGGCCGCGGATTCCTCCATGTCAGGGACGCCGCCAGCTTTCAGCTTGCCGTCGCGCTTTGCCACAGCGGAGAGAAACTCTTGAATATCGTTTGTCGGTTCGCAGTATCGATTATAGATTTGGGGATCCCAAAGATTCATCTTATAGAGGAGATAGTCTGCCAGTATCTCGTCTGGTATGAGTCCCTTCTTGATACCCTGTACGAGGGAAATCTTCATCATAGCCTCCCCATCTTCGACATACGGCATAAAAACTCCTGGCGAGTCGAGTACATATACACCAGCACCGACGCCCCCTCTCTCCTCTGGCTCGACCACACGGACGCTCGTTCCAATTTTACGGGTTACGCCGGCTTGGTCACCTGTCTTTGCTACTTTTGTTTTCCTCCCCATCGTCCCAGAGTTTCTAAGGGCATTTAATAATGTACTCTTGCCCACATTGGGCATGCCCACTATCAGGGCACATAGCCCAGTTATTGAGTCTACCTCGTAAGCAGTCTCTTTCAGCCGCCTTAGTAGAGATGCTGTTGCTGCAGGGTGATTCTTATCCCAAAACAAGGCGCGACGGCCGTGCAGCCTTTGCAGCAGTTGCCGGGCGCCGGGACTATCGCTACCTAGATCATGTTTCGTATATACGATAATCTTTGGACAGCCAATCACTGCTTTTTCAAGAAGAGGGTTGTGGGTTGATAACGGCAGTCGGAAGTCGCGGCATTCAATAACCAGTGACACTCTTGGGAGCACCGTCTTTAGTTTACTGACAGCGGCGTGGTGATGGCCTAGGAAATAAGACTTGGGAATTGATGACGGGACACTAAATGAGCGGCGGGGGAGGAATTGTGCCATGCTGAGCGCAGATTGCTATGTACATAGTGTAAGGGAAGCAGTTGAGGCGCGATAGATTAGGAAAAAGTTCTGATAAGCTTAATCGATAAGTGAAGTCGAGGCGAGCAAGACTCTGTGCTCACGCAAAGGTACTAGTACTTACTTCTTACTGCTGTGTAGTACTTAGGTTGCTATATCAGGTGCTCAACTTTAATAAGTTGTTTAATTATATAGGTTTACGGTAAATAAAATAATTAGTAGTAGTATTTGTTATTTTGTTATTTTTATAAAACATCTAGTAAATCTATAGCTTATATAGCTATTAATTGTTTATATACTTATAGATGTATATACTATAATAGTAGTATTTTTATTAATCAAGCCTCAAACAATTATAATAAATTTTCTCTAATTTCATTTCTATAAATTATAGCTAAAACTATTCTGGAAATATGTTTTAAATTAGCAGTCGCTTTCTTAAACCGTAGGCTAATTTAGAAGCTCGCATACGGGTTTAACTAACAACTAATAGTGGCTTTGGTATACAACGGAGTACGAGGTACTGCTTAGCATCAGTACTCTAGATTATAGGGGGGTATACTCCATGGGGACCGTGACTGCCAGGGTGCCTGTGTTCCTCTCCAGCGATGATCTGCACAGAGCATCGTCAATTGACCGGCTGGTCTTCGGCCTCGTTTTAACATCATAATCGGAGAGCCGAGTAGTCGACATACCATGTCTTCTCAGCAGAACAAGAGCGTGGCTAGCTCGCGCTTTGAGCTACTGCCTGCCTTGAACCTGAATTTTGGCAGCATCACCGACGGCACCGATATTCCTCCACCGCCGGAGTCCCCGACTGAGCCGACGATTACGCCGGCGAGGACGCCCAAAACCAGTGATGAGAGCATCGGCAGCAAAGAGGCGACTTCAACAACAGTAGCGGCCCAAAACAAAGTTGACACGACGATTCCCGAAGACGCGCCGCCAAGTCCTGTCATCTCGGGTCAACAGGGTAGAGTCCACCATTGGCGATGTTTTGCTACGTTTAATAACAATCCAACAGGAAGCGCCTTTCAAGATAACGGGCGCACCTTTGCCAATGTGTATCGCCCACAAAGCCAGAGCGGCTCCAGCTTCGCAGACTCGGAGAAGAAGCGAGCGAGCGGCTGGTTCAAGCGCCTAAGAACGGGAGAAAACCAGTCAAGGAGGCGCTCGAGTCTCTTAACCCTTGACCAGCCGCATATATCGACGACACCGAAGCCGAATTCCGATAAACCGCCTCCCAAGATTCCCAAGCTAGTACAGCTCGAGAGCGACAATGGCAGCTTTGGATCAGACTTATTTGATAACATTAAATAATAATTAGCATAACCTTCGACATAGACCTTTGTTTTACAGATGTGCTATTTTTCGCCTTTTGTTTCAGATTTATATATACATGGAATTTAAATCTCGCTGGCTTAATCTACAATTATTAATATAGCCAATACAATATCTCAGAATCGTTCAAATACATGTTGTTGAAGCCCGTCTTTAGTAACAGCTCCTCGGAATATTGGAGATTATGGAGCAGACTCGAAGGCATTGTTCTAAATTACACGCCTTAAACGCCCACTTTCTTGCTTACCCACTAACTTGGAATGTATCTGCCCACGTCAATAATCATAAGACTTTTGAATGTTTACATTGAGCTGCATTTGTGGAGCAATCCCTAGGTTGCGATACATTCGAGCTTAGGCGCGACTACGTGTGGGTGGGTATGCCTTAAACTTTTCTTAGAGAGAAAAGCGGACTTTTTATCCTCCGATACGTATCTCCCTATCGGATGACAACTTCTCATTCAGACCAGCCCAAGGTTTGAATTTGTCATTGTACTTTGCTGCCATCGATTCCATAAAATGGACCGCGACCGCGATGGCCGGAGCCGCAGGTAAGAATCGGCGCCTATTTATTCCATTGCTTTTCATGGACCGCATCTTTGGCTGGATGAACTGAGCGTGGCGCATTTGCTATCTTCGCAAATGCGCCACGCTCACTTTCGCACCCCAGATCTCAGTTCTCGGTGGAAAGCCTTGTTAAGCGCATGACTAATTTTCAATAGGTATGACGACGGTGAAGTCGTTAGATATGGAGCCGGAGAGTCTTGGAGACCAACCCCGCGGGAACGATCGCCCAGAAGACCGAGGAGCCCAGTGAGAGATAGAGCAAGAAGCCCGCCGCGTACTAGAAGTCCTCGCCCTCGAAGCCCTATAATTCCAGGATCTGATAGCTATGTGCCTGGGAGATATCCGCCGCGTAGGCGCTCTCGGAGTATAAACGATCGATACCGGCGCGATCGATCCAGAGACCGCGAAAGCCCCCGAAGGCGCGAGAGAAGCCGATCTCCCATGAGAAGATCACCACTGCCCCGCCGGAGCCCACCTAGAAGAGAGTCGCCAGCAAGAGATAACAGATACGACCGACCACGATCTCCGCGCCGGGATTGGGAGCGTGATAGGCCCAGAGATATAGACCGTGATCGAGATTGGGACCGTGAAAGAAATCGACCTAGGGAATGGGAGCGAGATATCGAGAGGCGCGATGATAGGTTTGTTATATGTAACCGCGTCTTATACTGGTATATTAGCTAACTCTGAATTACAGGAGATCACGCTCTCCCTTCGCTCGAGATCGCCGTCGCGAGAGGACGCCGCTAGGGAAAACAACGCCTATTGCTGTCCGTGGTGGTATTTACAGGCCTCGTTCGAGGTCACCCAATCGACGAGATGACAGATATCATTCATATAAGCGACACTCGCCGATGCGAGAACCGGGGCCCGCGTCTGCACTACCATCTCGACCTGCATCAGAGAGAGCGGATTCTCAGTCACAGTCGGCCAAAACTCGTTCCCCCACCACATTGGAAGGCTCCCCTCCTCACCGTGCTGCGACACCGGCTGCAGCTGTCAAAGACATCCAGCGACCCATTGCAAACGAAACTGCCTCTGGCCCTTCAAAATCCCCGCCACGTGGCCCTGCAGCATTACGGGCACCACCCAGTGGACCTGCTGCTGCTCGTGCAACTTCAACTTCAGCAACGATGCCTATTCCTCAGACGCAACGAATTCCCCAAACACCAAATGCGATGCCGCCTCACAGAACAGACACTACAAGTCCAACGAACCCGCCTTCAGGGCCCCGAGGCTACATCCCATTAAACAGGGGGGCTTCTTTCTCATCCCGTGGCGGGAGGGGAGGTTGGAATTCAGTACCATCTCGCCATTTATCTGGCCCACCACCAGTGTCAGCTGCGACAAGTGGTCCTTCTAATATTCCCACAGGCCCTCGAGCAACTGCTTCAAATGGGGCCGGCGCAGGGATACCTCCTACTCAACGACCTTTCAATCCACCCACGGGGCCCTCAGCTCAGCATGGCAGCGGGCAAAGACAGAGCCTTGCTCAAAGCTTGTTAGCGACGATGCCCCCCCTTGTTCCCGGTGGGAAAACAGATCCGACTATGACACCCCTAATACTTGGTGTCACGAAAGAGATCGAAGGTCATTATAGGAAGCTGAAAGACGAAGAGGAAAAAATACGGGAGGAGCTACGTCTCAAGCAAGAGCGGCTCCGAAAGAGTCTCTATTCGTGGTCTAGACTTGAGCGAGATGCCAGGGCGTGGGAGATGAGAAGTGACCTGAGCGAGAAGAGCATGAAGAATTTGGCTGGTGAAGGCGTTGGCGGTGCAGCCTTTTAGACATAATTCTCCCCACAGGAATTTTAGCAGCTGGTATTTTTTTTTTAATGAAATGTTCGTCGAAGTAGAGTTATGCGTCTAGATTTTGCTGGCATATATTAATGACAGCCAGTAGCTACTATTGAGCACCTATCTATATGTATAAAGCGTGGTATTAGAAGAGGAATGATTAATAGAATAATTTATTAACAAAGACATGTTTTGTATGGATGGTACAAGAAATCTGGAGCAAGTTAAGTATTAAGTTTCCCTTTGCAGAGATGAAAGAGGAGATAAAAAAATACCAATCCGTTTCCATTTTAATAAGTCATCCTGAACTCCGCCGATTTTTGATGTCATCTATCCTGTCATTCCCACGCGCAGGATGAGATTCTAATTGCCCCTTTAACGCCAAACGCTCCCTTTAAACAACTATTCGTCAACCCCGGCGAGATGTCGCATCGCATGTTAAGGTTGTGGTCGTTTTTTATTTTTCAATTTGTTGATACGTATTAGATGGAGATGGGTGAAATATTCTCAAAATGCAATAGAAAAGTCGTGATCGTCGTCATCATCCCCGTCCCATTCTACGCCCGAAGACCCTTCGTTATCAGTAAGGAAGTCCTCCATGCTGTAAGGGAACTCCCTCGTTTTCTGATTATCGATTATGATGTTGACAGTATGGCAAAGTCCCTGGACTGCCAATTCTGGCTGTGGATCGGAAGATGAGCTTTGCTGCGTTTCGGCACCGGATAGCTCTGTGTTGTCAAACTCGTCTTCATCAGTATCTGGTTCTCGGTAGAGTGGCCTTCCAAGCCCTTGGCGTTGCGATGTGTTGTCTCTTCTGGGACGTCGGGGCAAGCCACGGACATGGGCCTCGATTCTATTACTTCTTCGTACAGGAGACCTCGGCGATCTAGATCGCTTCCTCTTGCGTGGTATAGCAGTACCGTGGGTGCTACTCATCTGCTCAGAAGTCACCGTATCGTGTGGATCCTCATCTGCTCGGAGAAATACCCGTTCAACCATATGTCTTAGCTTGTGTCGTAGCTCAGCGCGAGTTTGCCATGGGATATCAAGTGCGGTCTTGATCACTAGCTCACGCAAATTTGGCAAGCTCGCGGCATTATCAACAAGTGAGTGAATGAACGTATGCACGCTTTCTATGGACCAGTTGCGAATGTGTTCGATATCGATGACACGGATACTAGAGGGCCATGTTGGAATCTGATCGGGGAGAAGGGCGAAATCATACATGGGGTCCGCATCATTGAGGGAATCATGGTGTCTATAATAAGACATGCTCATGCGCAGCTCTTGCAGGCTGGGACACGCTTCAGCCAAAATTGTCAAGAAAGTAAGATTCAAGGACTGGTTGTGCATCAGGGTAAGAGTGCGGAGGCTGCTGCCATGAGTGAGGAGGAACGTCGCTAGATTCTCAGCATCAATTTCCCAGCAATTGATGAGTTCTAAGTGAATAAGATGTTTTGGTAGTAGAGAGAGGAGGCGGCTTGTCATGATGGTAGATGATTCAAAGACTAGATGTTTGAGGAAATTAAGTTGTGCAATGGCATTTCCGATAGCGTCAATAACCTCGCCGTCTTCAGCAGAGGTTTGTAGGTTTGCTTGAGGGTCATTGAGCGCCGACCCTGAAAGATTGAGCGAAGGGACTTGAAAATTCGTAAAGCTCAGTCGCGTAAGGTGAGCAAATGATGGCATTTGGTGGACTCGGATAATGTCATCGAAGTCTGCAACATAGCCGCCAAGCAAGCTTCCACTCCACTCCCAGCTCTTCAAGCTAATAGGAAGCAGTGCGCCACTAAGAGCTTCAGAACCCTCAGCCGGTGATTGGAGAGCAAGGAATATGTCCTCTGAATAGTTCCATCTGACATGTGTATCAAGCTCTCTGTAGGGCGGCTGTTCCGCAGGGTTAATAAATATCAATTCCTTGAGGCGAGTCAAGGGCCGGATAAGTTGAGAAGCTACTGCTTGAGACACGATTCGAACATTCAGGTGAAGGGACTCTATTTTCCTGCGGTAGTTGAAGAGGGTGTCTGTGGGGGGGCGTTCTAGCAATGCAACCAGTCGTTTCGCTTTGGAGGCGTGCCGTATTACTGGATGGCGGTAGATGGCTGTTAATGCCGGGTCTGATAATAATTTGCATGAGGTGGCAGCCTGGAGTAGCCAGTGTGTATTTGCTGCATCTGCGCCGCTTTCATCGCGAGTATGCAAGAAGACATCTACCCAAAACTGGTAGGGAATCCGGGGATCTGTCCAGTCTGGACCGCCGGTTGGGGATATTTGACCGAGACTCTCTAGTGCTGCTTGTCGCCGTTTGCTCGGCGAAGTTGTGTTGGCGACAGGGCGGCCTCTGTTACTAGCTTTGGCCCTAGAGGTAGTCTTCGAATCTAGGTGCCGTAGTGCTTGCGGGCTTGCTTTACTCCCATGCCCAGCTGCTATTCTAGTGCTCCTTCGTCGAGATGTATGCCGGGTAGGTGATCTGGAAACTTGATGGGATTCCAAAGAAGACCCAGACGCACTTGAATCTGGCTCTGAGGAATCGGCGGAAGTCTCGCGCGCTCTTGCAGAGGTGCGAGATGGATTGGCCCGAGACTGACGAGCTGGATTTCGTCGACTGCTATTTTGAGCCAAGGCTCGCTGCCCTGCGCTGCGTGTCAGCGGCATTGCACCACGTCGTTCACGGCGCTAGCTCTGGGGGCCTTAGTGAAGAGACTGTGCGCATGAGGAAGACACAGGGCTTCGATAGCCTGGGGCGATCTATTGTGCGACACTTTGTGAGCTTGCAGCAGCGCTCTGCTGTTTGGAGAAATGCTGGTTCGGGGCTGGTTGGAGCTGAACTTTTGTGTGGGAGGAGGAATGAGTAAGTATGAGGTAGCACTGCTTCGCTTGCGGCAGCATCGAAAGCATTGAGATGCATAAAGTTTCACGCAGGCGTGGCGGGGCCCAGTTCAACAGGTCCAAGTACTTTGTCATGTGATGAGTACTGTGTAGGCACTTGACGCGCAGCACATCAGTCCAGATGTACCTTGACAAACCGTCTTCAATAGCACTTGATGAGGCCCTATATAATGGGGCTTGGAAGCCGGGGATGAATACATACATGTACAGAGTACCTACGTAAGAAGGCCATATTCACGTCGAGTGGGTAAGGTGCTTCTCCCAGACATGATCCTAACGAGACCCTTGCAGTTATCCACCCACGTCAACTCCCGAGTCTGCAGTTACGCAGTACAGTACATGTACTTTGTACCCAAAGGGAAATACAAGCTTAGATGCGTCGATGAAACTAAGCCAAGTCTGGTACGTGTGAAGATTTGCAGATCCCAATGCTACGGAGCATGTACTTGCAGGTAAGCGATGGTCTTCAAAAATTATAGCTTGCAATAGAAGGTCTTATGAGATACCTACTTACTAGGTATGTATATACTATTCTCTTCATCACGCTTCACCACCGCTTATCACTGATGATACGCGACCACAGCATCGACCAAAAAGCCTTGCAGCGCTGCTTATTCAGATCCGAGTGTCCGATACGCAGCAGGCTGCTCTGTGACACCAGCAATATCTGCTTATTCTATTCACAGTCTTCCAAGTATTCCAGTCACGCACACATGCTCATTGGATGCAGGTATAATATACTGCCTATTGCGGAGAATCGGACCTTGCGTTAGCGCCATGCGATTCAGACTCCGCAGTGTGTGGTTGTTTTCTCAGTCTGCTGTGGAAAGTTTGTTGGTCGGCACTGCTGACAAGGAGAGATCTTCTACTGGCATCTCCACTTGTTCCTAGTGCCACCGCCGGATAGCTAAAATTGGTAGACAGACTTCTGTCGCTCTCTATCATCTCCTTCTCCTTTGTAGGACCTTAGGAGTGCGAAGTCCTGTGACATTTGGCTGATATTATTACTGCTAGCTGAAGCTGTGCACCGGACACGCCGACGGCTATGTGCATATAGTGCCCTCATGCTTGTAAGCGTGGGCTTTGCAAGTGTAGGTACATGGCTGCCCATAGCGCTAGCCACCGACAGTCTGGTACCCGCTACCAGGCGCTAGGCCACTGCTACGGCTGGTAGCTTCAGCGCCGCTTACAGCGAGGTCCGCTGGCGCTAGGCTTTTCCGGGGCCGCGATACAGCCGGGCAGGCCCTCTTGCCCAGGTCTCATCTACACGCGTCTGCTTGCTTTGTTCTGTCGCGCTGTCAAAGCCACTACAGTCTGCTGGCCGCATTCCCAGCATCTTCATTCCCGTCGCAAACTCTCGCACCGCCCCAATCCGTTCTCTCCTGTCTCCGGCCGCTGACTGCTGTTGTGTGCGAGGCGTGGAGCGACGGTTGATGCTTGGTTACACATTGCGGCGCATTCTCATCCCCCAGCGCCAGGCTTTCTCATCCATCTGGCCGCTTCCCTGGGTTGCCGCAGCGGCAACGAGGCGTGCGGGCTCATAATGCTCTAAAGCCAAGGGAGAGCTTCATTCACCGTCTTCGCCAGCACTGTTTGTTTTTTGTCTGCCTTGTCTCATCATACTTTGGGCTCACCCGCCGTCTCATAGACCTTTTTTCTCATGATTGGTTTCATCCCGCCATGACGGTGAAAACCAGGTGTCAGCGTCGAGCCCCCTTTCTTCATCGCAACTGGATCAAAGGCACCAGAGCCTTGAAGGACTCTGCAGCTATGGGCAACATAGTATCTTCACCAATTCATAAAGGATCACATCAAATCGACCATGAAAGGGGCCCGCCGTTGAAAAGGCGACGAGTTTCAACGCCCGACTCGTTTCCTGTTGACCATCTCATTGCCTCTCCACAGACTTCAGATTCCAAATCTGCCCTCCGTGTTGAGGTTCTCAAGATTTCCCATAAGGATTCAAAAAAGGTCAGATCTTATCACGGCCAAGCTCACCCCCACGAGGTTACGCACACCAAAGCTAGCTGCAGGATCACCATCTCTGAACTAACTTCTGGCTTCCGCCCCCGAGTTGTTCACTGCCAGAACCAGATTTGCGGCTTGACAACGTATAAAAATCCTGCTGGCCCTCACCGCGTCGCTCGTATCGACTTGCCCAAGCCCTTCTACATCCCCCAGGAAAGTATCCTGGTCAACCGAGTGGATGATGACAAATTCGACTTGGCAGACTCCTACGACATTGTAGTCGAATTAGAAGCTGCCCACGGCGAAAAATGGCCGCCGCTGGACTCGACTGATTTCGGCATTCCGCCCATGTCTCCTGAGGTCTCTCCCGTCTCCAGCAAATCATGGGTCTTGTCGAGCCGCTTTGACAAGCTTTTTGGTAGGCTCAAGGGTCCTGTGTCCTTATCTGCAGGATATTCGGAGAATGAGCCTCCCTTCTGCACCGATTATGTCATGGATGTTGACCTACGCTGGGCAGCCGGCTACAAAGCGTTGAAGCTCCTGGAGAAGGGATCGATGCCCTGCATCAACGCTATTGGTCCTGACACAGACTTGATGGACGATCTATTCGCTCCATCCATGAACAGAAGGGTCAATGGCATCAATGGTCATCACGTAGATGAGTCCTCCGCCGAAGTTGACGAAGAGGGCCTGGACGGCCCGGAAGGGGCACAAACTCCCTCGAGGTCTTTGAGAACTCGTGAAAAGAACAAGGTGTATAACTTGAAGGTTCTGAGTGACCAAGCTCAGGGCAGAGAGAAGAAACGTCGCGCGCGGGCTAATCACCTCACGGCGAATGAAGGCCGCGTTAGCTATCTCCTACCTTCTGACCAACCTGTCTGCCTAGACTATTACCGCTGCGTGAGTTGTGGAGCCTATCACCAAACTATGCAGCAGCTACAGGCACATCTACAGACTTTCCACCCCGCGTATAACTATGTGCTCGAAACGACGAGTCAGGGGCCGCAGTTCCGAGTCTCTAGTCGATGCGAGGCTATGGCTTCTCCCCTCAAGGAGTATGAGATAAAACCCCCCGTTAAACCATTCAACCTCGAGACATATCTTGTTGGCGACCAGTCGTGGATCTCATCTCGGCTTGGATCGGATACTATTGACGATGTCTTCACGTTTTCAAAGGACAAGAACACCTTTGACAGGCTCCCTTCCCAGTCGCCAGTAGCCACACAACCAAAATTTGGACAACGGCGCTTAGGGGGCCATCAAAACGAAAAGATCCTGGTGCCAAATATTAAGCAGGCCCTATTCGATCCTATCAGCAGAGCGCGATTAACTCCTGGCCAGGAGGTACCAAAGAGGATACTAGACAACACATGGCTGATCCAAAAGCACCGAGAAAGCACGAGCGACTTTTCTGATGTTACTCCCGCGGAAAAGGAGTATATCTGGGAGTGGGACGGCTATATCCTTCGCCAAAGCCTCACGTCTGCTGCCTATTTTCCCCGAGCTTGGTTGGGCTTTGTTCGAGAAAAGGCATCCTGGCTTGTTGCCGCTGAACAGCGTTTATTGGAGTTTGGTAAACATCTTAGCTTGCTTCGAGTTCGCGATATGCTTGAAGACAAAGTTATACGCGAAGCCTTTTCCTATATTAACGAAGCTAGAGCGAGGGTACAGCGAAATGGCAATAGTGAAGGGAGTGGTATGCAGGCCGAGGAAGTAGATCCAAAGCAGTCTCCGAGGGCTACCCAAATCCGCAAAGGTACAAATGGCTGTACCGTCTGCCAGCTGCCCGTGCTGGGGCCCAGAATGCTGGTCTGCGCAAACAAGGTATATTTTCATCTTATGCCCACATTTTGTCTGTTCTCGAACGTATACTTACCGCAGAAAACTGTAGCTCTGCCCTCACAGATTATACCACTCAGACTGTATACGGCGAGAAGCGGTTGTATCTGTTGATAAAAAACAAGGCTGGCTCTGCAATGCGTGTTTCGCGAGCAAATCGAATTAGGAAAAGAAAGCTGAAGATGGCACGCAAGCTGAATCGGATTCCTCAACTATAGGTCCCCCGGATGGCTCTGAGAGTCCTGACAGGGACTGCAACACTACAAGTTAAATAAATGATGAGTTAAATAAATAAAGATATGTATATCACCTAGCTGAAAACCTAGTCTTCCTTGGTATCCTCTGCTTCGTTCACGCGGGAGATTTATCGGGGAGGCTATTGACTCAAAGGCTCCAAGTTGATACGGAGAGCTTAAAGGCTTCTGAATCACTTGACTTGGGCAGACTACAACTTACTAAAGCGATAGACGATCTCAGAGAGTAGAGCTGATCTTTGGAATTAATGAGCTGGGTGGTCTAAGCGGTACGCCAGGCATCCTATCATCCAGATGTGATGGTAGCCAGCCGAGCTAAAGTTGGCCACGCGTGACATGATAGAAAGAGCGAAAATGTTTAATGGTATCAATGAAGCCTGATATTTTACTATAGATGAAACTTCCGCAAAAAAAAAAAAAAAAAAAAAAAAAAAATACTCCATATTTCCATATTCCATATTCCGTTTCTTCTCCTACTATTTTAATTTAATTAGAGCACAAAGTGTCATTCACCCTGCCGCCGTCATCCTTATTCCAATTTCCAACCAAACACGGCTATATATATGTGTGTTCCCGCAGTCGAGATGAGAGAGAGAGCACATTGCCCGGTCGTATTAAAATTTATATTTGCCCTCTCGCTTCTTCTCATTGAGCTCCTTCTCGGTACGCTGTCGCTTCCTCCTCTCTTCCTCAATCATTTGGCTCAGATCATCGTCATAGGCCCACCTTGCACCGATACCTTCTTCCTTCTGGCTGGCGTCATATTTGCTCCGCAGTTCATCTTTGCTGAGGCCACCGTGCTGATTTAGAGAGTCAACGTCGATTGCGACGTCAATGTCGCCAGGCTTCTTCCGCTTCCGAGAATCGTCATCTGCGCCAAGCACAGGCATACCAGCCGCGGCAGCGCGCTGAGCGGCATTGATATCGTACGCGCGGTCGCTGCCAAAGAAGCCCTCAGCACGGACCTGCCGCTCAGGCACCACTGTGTAAGCAGCGCGAGGAGCAGAGGACTCCTCGGTGTCGTATCCACGCCGCTCTTTGCGCAAGTCCATCTCGCCAGCAATCGATGTTTCGACGCCTTGTTGTGAATAGTCGGGATGTACCGTGCTGGCATAGCCTCCTGGTGTCTCGAGCCCGCTGGGAGTTTCGGTGCCGCCGGGGACATCCTCGTCCTCAGATTCTTCTTCCTCCTCCTCTTCCTCCTCTTCTTCAGACTCCTCTTCGCGAGGTTGTAATTCTCCCCATAGTGTTCGTTCCACAGAGTCTCCATTAGATAATTGAGGCTGGGCTGCCTGCGCTTGGCCAGTAGCACCGTTTGGCGCGGTGAGGCCAAAAACATCACCACCGTATAAGGGGCGGTTGAATTCGTCAACTGGGGGCTTACCCCAGCCACCAGGATGGAAGCCCCATGATCCGCCAGGAGGAGGCGGTGCGTTCAAACCTGGTATTCTTAAAGTAGGGTAGGACGGAGGGGTACCGAATCTTTGCTGGTTGATGAGCCAGGGAGGTGGTGCTCCGGGTGGCATGCCAAGCGCTTCTTTTGTCGCATCGCTCAACTCGCCAGAACGGAAGTGCTGATAGTCCACCTCGGTTTCCTTGCCCTCGTAATAGACTTCGCCAAATCGCGTCAGCTCAGGTTTCGTCTGGAAGCGGAAGAAAGCATCATAGAGCTTTTGATAATCGATATCTAATTTGCCCATCTTTGGCGCGACTCGTTCTCGCTGCTTCTGTTTCAAGGTTTGCTCTGCTTGTTTTTCCAATACTGCGTCACGCATCTCCGCAATACCCGTCTCGGCGATGAATTTGGGTAGCCGAAATGCTGACTTCTCAATTCCCCTTTTTGAAGACAAGTATTCTCGTTTCATTGCCCAGTGAGCCGGTACGGGAACGACGTTTCTCTGCGCCTTGACTTGCACCAAGAGTCGCGGATCTGAAGCTGAGACATCATGCCATTCGACCACTTCTGGGATGCTGACGAGCGCCTTGAGCTGGGCCACGGATAATTTATTCAATTGCTTCCGTTTCTTCTTTGATAATTTCTGCTGGCCGGATTCCTCCTCTTCATCGGGGATGTCATCATTGTCGCCGAAGAATACGTCTCCCTGGTTTCCGGCATTGGCCTCCTTGGCGATCTGATCCTCTACAAACGAAACACCAAACTTGTTGAAAATATCCCTGTATGCGGCAAACGCCGGGTCGTCGTCCAGCAGATCTTCTCGGATCGGGTCGCTAGTAACCGCGGAGGGCTTCGCTGAGTCGGTCGTACTTTTGGCATCGGCACCATCTTCAGGCGGTGGTGATGCATCTTTCTTCTCGGCAACTGGCCCATCAGCCTCTTCGGTTGGTTGAACCTGCACCAAGGTGAGAAACTGTGACGCGTACAAAAAAAAGAAAGAAAAGAGAAAATGGGCGAGGATGGGTAGAACGTACTTCTTCTGCCTTGACTTTCTTCTGCTCCTTCTTCTTCGCCCTCCGCATCTGGTTCTTGGTCATCTTTGGGGCCGCCATGGTGATGCCGAGCTGGACGAAAGACTGCTATTGGACTTGGCTGGGTTTGTCGACTGAGTAAGGAGCTGGAAAACAGCGTAGAGACCCGCGAGAGCGACGACGTATTGCTTCGGATCTCTTCCCATGCCGCGGCCAAGCTGGGAGAGGCGCTACAGAGATAACCGAGGCGCGACAGAGGCCGGACGGGATCGCTCAGGCAAGCAATGGGTGATGGCGCAGATGCTATGCGAGAGGTTGGCGGCCAAGCATGAGTTTGCAGTTGCGCTTTTGCTACCACGGAGCGCTAGCGGCAGCAGCTTTTCCGCCCAAGAAAATATCCCAGCGATTCGTGTCTGCCAAGCGCTGGCGCGTGGGCGCGGCTATCGGCCGAACCCCGGCTAATAGCGCCAGGTACCAGGATATCGCCGCCAAGAGATTCGCCAGCCGGGCGACTCCTTTTGTTTAGCCCGAAGCACTTCTGCGTTGCACCAAATCCGCGCGCTGTCGATCTCCTGTCCACTTTGAAGACGCAACGCTTTATTCCCTGCGCTGTGTCTTACTTGGCCCTTTTCTCCTCCCCTCCTTCACGGCTTTGTAGCGACAATTCTTTTTTTCTTTCTTATTTTTTTTTTTTCTTCCCTTCTTGCCATTGCCTAGAAGCTGTCCACTTTGCATGGCTTTGTGGTAATGGACCATTTACCGATCCACCCCTGTCTCTCCTTCTCAGCTCGTATTCCAGATGTCAATTGATGCAACGGCGTAACCCACCAGCACCGCCTCCACGTTGAACGTCGGCTCTCGATTTTGCAACCGCCAGCACCCGTCCACAAATCGTTCGAGAGCGCGCTCAGAGAACGACACCGATACCCGAGCGGCCATCTCCATATATTTTTATTGATTCGAGCCGCTGGAAATAGGACATCTCTACTTTGACCACGCCCAAAGGCAGCACAACCCACCGCCGCCGCGTAATGGAAAAGTTTCCGAGCCTTGCGACATCACCAGGTCTGGGCAACGAGTCTCCGAACGATGCCAATTCCCTCAACTCGCCGTCGATGGCCTTCAACGGCAACAACTTGAGTCCCAATGGCTATCCCGCGAGAAGCGCATGGTCTTCGTCTGGCCGCACCCACGGCCGCCAAAAGAGCCTCGGCGATGCGTTCCGAACGATTCGTGCCAGAAATGGCAGCATGAGCCAAAACGCCCACGAGATCGCCGATGCGCTACGAGCCCCAGTGTCCCCAAAGCTTGTCGTATGTCGCACCCTGCCTTGCGTATGATGGCCGAGGAAGTTAATCAAGTTAATTTTCTTCATCTGTAGATTCTCTGCTTGATGTGGTACACATCGTCTGCTCTGACGAATACGTCGTCAAAGTCCATCCTCAATGCCTTTAATATGCCCGCAACGTTGACCCTCATTCAATTTGCGTTTGTATCTTCTCTCTGCGTCTTTCTCTCCTGGCTGTCGGGCATCTTCCCCGTCCTTCGCACCAAGATCTCTGCGTTAAGACACCCCATCCGCGAGCCCAGCAGAGAAGTCATCATGACAACGCTACCCCTAGCTATGTTCCAGATCGGCGGCCATCTCCTCAGCTCGACCGCGACGGCTAAAATACCCGTTTCGCTTGTTCACACTATAAAGGGCCTTTCGCCGCTGTTTACCGTGCTTGCTTATAGACTGATTTATAACATCCGATACCCCACAGCTACCTACCTCTCCTTGATTCCTTTGACAATAGGAGTCATGTTGGCTTGTTCCAGCGAACGAAGCTACGGCGGCCAACTACTCGGTGTTTTGGAGGCGCTCCTGGCAACCCTCATTTTTGTAACGCAAAATATCTTCTCCAAAAAGCTGTTCAACGAAGCTGCCAAAGTCGAGTCCGAGGGCGGCAACGTCCAATCCAAGAAACTCGATAAGCTTAATTTGCTGTGCTACTCGTCCGGTATGGCCTTTGCGCTGACTATGCCGATTTGGTTTTGGACAGAGGGCATCACTCTTCTGAAAGACTTCCTCCATGACGGGTCAGTAGACCTCAGCGAGCTGCCCAATTCGATGGACCATGGCCGCCTGACGCTGGAATTCATCTTCAACGGCATTTTCCACTTTGGACAGAACATCATTGCCTTCATCCTACTCTCCATGGTTTCTCCAGTCACATACTCTGTCGCCAGTCTCATCAAGCGCGTTTTCGTCATCGTCATGGCCATCATCTGGTTCAGGAGCCCGACAACCTCCGTGCAGGCAGTGGGCATTGCTCTCACCTTCCTGGGTCTTTATCTCTACGACCGGACCAGCGAATCCAACAAAGCGGATCGAAGCGCGCGAATGATGTCGGAGTCCCGGAATGGAGCGCCTTTATTACCGCTCACCGAGGCGCCCGCGCAGACGGGTCGCTACCGTGCATCTCCTCAGCTGAGAAACGGTGCATTTCAGTCATAGAGGCGATGTTAGCTTCCTCCTCGGCGAAAAAAGGCTTACACAAAGAATGTTTATTTCAAAATCAAAGATTCAATCGATTAATGCAACTCAATGTCGGATGATATGGGATTCTCTATCTTGGCTATATAATGAGCAGGGAATTTTTTTTTTTTTTTTTTTCCTTTATTTATATAAATACTGTTTCAATGTTTGTCAAGCCTACATTAATCCCTGCTTCCGGGGACTGGGCAGAATCAAGCAGCTATCAAATAGGAGAAGGGAAAACCCTTTAGACTAGCTGTTTTGAAATAGGTTTCGAGGGAAAAGGGGGAATGAGCATTAGAAGGGAAGGCGTATATAGAAATGGGCAGTTAGAGAAAATGCCCCAGGTGTAACAATATGAAGCAAACTGGTAACCTGATCTACAAGTTATATGTATGCATTGGTCACTTACTCACTCACTATACGTTTCATTGACACAACTTCTTGTTGAGGCATCTAGATATTCATTGGCCTATCTCTATCTACTAAGAATAACATGATTATGTTAAGCTGCTGCAGGGCCGAGTTTGATTGTGAATTATGTGAAAACACATTATGAATGATCCACACGCACGCTTTGATGACTCCGTTAACCCAAAAATGACAAAAACGAAAATACCATGGAAAATGTATATCTGTACCGCCAAACCCCCAATAAACTCCGTTTCACCTATGACAAGGCCGTGGATCCCATAAATTCGTAAATTGAATAACACGCTGCATGAGGTATACGTATTAAGACGACAGCGGCCTGCCGAGGAGAGTTCCTCAACATGGCCTCCAAATGTGTTGTACAACCCCCTTGGTCAGGAGGAAATGAAATAAAAATGATGGTTAATGCTTGAGATCGGTGGTTGAAATGCGACCCAGCGGTGTAAATTGTTCTGTCCCATTGGAGCAAGATCCAGGAGACAGACAACTCGGATCGAGCGGCCACACACGTCTCCAGAGGCGGTATGCCTATTCTTTGGGGTATATGATGTGGCCACCTATGTGGAATCTCTGATCTACAGAGCAAAGTAGACAATCCGAAGCCATTTTTTTTTTGCATCGGCATTAATCATGTTGCGAGGAGGGGAAAGAAGTTTTGAGAAGTTCACCATCGTGGTGATTTAGTAAAACCCTCTAAGTCTCCATGTGTGGCACGTTGGAGCGGGTGTCGGACTACTCGGAAGAGTCCAATGTAGGGTGGGGGTTAGAAAGGAAGAGGATGGAGTAGTGCGTATGAAACTTTTGACACATATTGAAGTTCTTTAGAATGAGTGGTTGCTGGTGCTGAAGCTCGTCTCTCCGGATTCGGCTCCTGAGGATGTAGGTGTTGTTCTCCGGCTAGAGCTTTTGCGGTTGAAACCCAGCTTTGCGCCCACCTTCTTCCAGCCTTTGTTATGCGCCGCTACGGCACGGTGAAAGCCCCCAGGCGACGTGTTAAAGGTCCATTCTGAGGTGGGTGGTGTTGTAGGGGGCGTCATGGGTTCTGTGACGGGGGAATTGGGATCGCTGTCGACCGTCAGAGCATCAAGCTCTGTGCCGCTTGAGACGGCTGTTTGGTCAGACGACGCCTTGGGTGATCCAAAAAGGAAGTCATGATGGCCGTCGGGCATGGTCGGGGCGACTGATTGCAAGAAGGGCACCAAGAGAGAATCGTTCATCAATTCATATATGATGCGTCCTGCGTCGGCAAGCTCGGAGGGGTGAGGAGGGTTGGGCCCATACGGCACGCGGAGGAGGCGATCTCGAACCTGAGCGGGAATGTTCACCTCGCGAGGGGCGCAGGGGACGATGTAGATCTGCATCAGTTTCTCCCACCAGGCGCAGACCTTTTCCCGATTTTCATCCGAGGCGGTCGCTTCGGAGAAGAACTGTTCGTAGAAGGCGGTATAACGCTGGGAATCAAGGGTAAACTCGAGCGTCTCCATGCAGTGGTTCTGCGAAAGGTAGGCCATGAAGGCAGTGAGGGTCCACGGCGGGGGGGCGGTATCGAGAAGGATCTCGTTGAGGGTTGGAGGGTGACCCGTCATGGTGTATCGGGGAGATGATGCTTCGGACGAGGAGGCGAAGCTGGTCGGGCGTGAGTACGGTGTAAGTGATGATTCATTGAAGTCTTCGAACGCAGACAAGGGCCGTGGCTGCTGTCTTGTGTTCGTAAACACGACTCCGAGGGTTTGTTGTCTTATCCTGGGCTTGACCATGCTATGCTGTTACACAAAAGTGACTACTTGCAATGTATGATCCCAATAGACTTTTGGCAAGAGCACTCGGAGTAGGCCCTTACCAAAAGAACTCTTGGGGGGGGAAACACGGCAATTGTAACGGCGATGTACAATGTATGATGCGATGCCGCGAAGCTGACAAGGGGAGACTCGGAGAGAGAGGGCACGCGGGGAACAGCCAATCAAGCAAATGGCCGTATATCGTGGTTGAGCATCCGAGAACGATGCAGTGACAGGTAATAAAGTAAAATCCCAAGCCCCAACTGATTCACAAATGCTGATGCTGCGCCGGATGAAAGCGGAGTAGCAGCAACTCAGCGATGAACCCAGGCCAACTCTATTAAAGACGGTCACGTAATCCGTCAGGATCCACAAGGGGGGATGAGCAAAGACGCAGAAACAGGACAGAAACACAAATGGATGGCTTCTAGTGCTGTACTGTGCGGTTCATAAACTGGGGCAGACGCTGAATCGAACAAGACTCGCAAACGTCGGTCATGAGAGAAGAGAAGAGGAGAGGAGGGGATGGATATCTGATGCAGGAGCTGGAGAATGGAGATGGCCGTGATTATGAAGCGAGGAAAGGCTCGACTCGACGAGAGTGAAGGAGCGACGGCGGTGAGGACGGATCGTCTATCTTGCGGCGTGCAGAGATTCAGACGCGAAGTATCCGGAAGCAGGGCAGAACAGATGGACGAGTGGCGGAAGATACATTTCTTTTGTACGGCCCATGCAGGCGATGGTACATCCCACCAGGGTGGATGAGGTGGCGGGGGCAGGAGGCACAGATGCACAGGCAGGTGGGGCAGGACAGGCGACTTCCCTAGTAGCCTTCCTTGGCTGCGAGCTAAATCAGCAGCGAGGCCTATCGGGGGATCGGGAGGCGTGATTCTGTGGCTCTTTCTTTTTTTCTCCGCCCCTTCTTTATTCCAGCTGAGCTTGGGGGGAGGCGAAAAAAGAGAGAGAAAAAAAAAATCTCAAATACTGCCGAGCCATACGTAGCATCGGCATCGCCTAGTTCGCATTTTCTCCCGAAATAATTTCTCCGTAGATCACTTAGTGAGTGACGGGACAGGCAACAAGGAAAAAAAAAAAAAAAAAAAAAAAAAAAGCCAGAGAGGAGAATTACAAGGAGTAGGCAAGTAAAGAGTTCCTGAATCAGCGCTGCTTGCAGCATTCGACCGAAAGCCGTCTTTAACCCTCTCAAGCTGCATGAAAGCGGAGGAAGCACAACCGCAATGGAGATCTCTTTCCAAAGTTGGACAGAAGGGCAGGCACGAGGCATGTACATGTACCAGGACGGAGCTCTTGCATGCCGTACCGGTACAGTCAGTCAATCAATTGCCCTGCAGCATGGCGGTACCTCGCAGTAGAATTCGCCGGGTGCTATTCCAAGTGCAGGTAGTGGTACTAGTTTTGCTTCAAGGGCTGATGTACCTCGGAACTAGTAGGTGGCATTCCTCGAAAATCTGATGATCATCGCCCCCTAGTGGCCAGTTTTTTTCCCGTTCGATCTATCTTCAGCCAAGAAAAGAAGTGGGCAGTGCCGAGGGAGATATCGACCGTCAGAGGAAAAAAAGGAAAAAAAGAAACAAAAAAGAGGCGACAGCCCACCCGAAAAAAGGGCCTGACGAAAAATGGCCGTAGCCCTGCGGGGTACCTGGCCGGTACTTGTTGACCGCTGGCAAACTGCGGGCGCTCCCTTACCAAGATGCGCTGCGCTTTCGTATAGGCAGGTAGTCATGTGGCTCCCAGGCCAAAAAGCCTGCGAAGGGGGGCAATGCATTGGCCGCACTGTCCACCGGCGTTAGCGGCTGCCGTGCCACCAGAGACACACTAGAAGCCCGCTGGAAGCTGGGCCAGCCGGCCAAACAGAGTCGCTAGCACCCGCCGACCTGGTTAGACGCAGCAGCACCAGTGCCGGCACTAGCAGCGCCTCGCACGCCGCACTGTGCGCACCGCCGCTGGATGCAGGCAGTGACTGGCCGCTAGAAAACCACTAGAAGGGAGCCTCAGCAAGCCGGCGATCCCTGCTTTCGCTCCCTGAAGGGCGCGCGGGTCCCCGCCTGCAGAGCGCGTCACCCGACATGATTGGGTGGCTTGTGGCTGTGCCGACTCGTCACACTGGCAGCTTTGGCATCTGGGAGGGGGCGCTTGAATCGAGCCATGACGATTCGACAATGCCGCCGCCGCCATGTCATAACGATGCAACATGCCGCTAGCAGCAGCGCCAGCACAGACCTGCTGCTAGGCATGTAGACTTGGTAGAGCAGAGTGCATTTTCATCGTCGGTGCTCTGATGCATTACAGCATGCTTGGTCAGAGCCCAGCGGTATCGGTATCCTGCTTTTGGGCCACATGTACGCAGCGCATAGGCCAGTTGCGCGAGCGCAGAATACAAAGGAACAGCATCCCTTGCGTCTCTTAGGCCAAGCCAGCATTGGCATCTTCAGGGCTGCTGCACGCCCGCACATACAAGTACGTACACCCAGCCGGCGTGCACGTCTGTCTCTCTTGTCTCTCCCGCCTCTCTCTCTCCGGTGATGCTGCCACGTAGGCAGGCAAACCCGCAACTGTCGCACAGCACAGGCCATCTTCCCCCCTCCGTGGGTCGAAGCAGGGAGGCCGAAGAAAAAAAGACCCTGACCTGAACACGAACGGCACAACTTGGATCCCTTTCCTCCCACGGCCAGCCCGACCGAAACCTGGGTCTGTCCTGTCCTGTCCTGTCGCACCGCCATACCTGCTTGTGCGAATGCGAACTACACCGCTCATGTTTGCATGCGCCATACATAGTACTGCCTGCTACCTATAGGGCCTGTTTCTGGGTGAAGCGCTTCCATTCTTTTAGGCCTACACCTCTCGTTCCATCTCGCCACGCCTGATGCCAAAGCCGATGTAATTATGGCACCTACCTACTGTAGTTAACGTCGTTAGTTCCCAACCTGTCATAATAAGCAGCGGGAGAAGACGGAATGCAGCGACAGCAAACTGGCCGTAAAGGACTTGGAAGCAGCAGGCTTTGTATTGTAGCGCTGACTGAGCCCTACCGTGTATAGATTGTTCCAACATACATGACACATGCAGCGCTGTGCACCTATCTTGGTATGTCGGAGCGACAATTTGTAAACTTTGCACTTTCGGGCGGCAGACCTAGCCAGTAGCGGCATGGTCCACGGCTGCTGAGTTAGGAAACACGATTGAGTCGATGGAATTTGTCAACAGCATGAGACAGTTACAGCATGTCACTTACATTGCACTAGGTAGCTGGCCTTGATCCAGCAAAACGACTCTGGCATAACAGGTACCTAAGGTAGTAGCATAACAGGTACCTAATGGAACATGAAGAAACGTTGCACTCCAGCGCAATCCAAGGTACTGCTACCTAGTAATACTACTACGTACGACGTTGACTCGATATAAATAGCTGCGGCTCATATTAGACTACCCCCACTAGGGCGAAGATCTCATAGTCGCGTACAAGAATAGGTAGATGATGAAAGAACTCGTCAAGCCCACATAAAGATAGAGGCATTTCTAATTGGCGGCCTTGTCTGGTGTCTATTTAGCGCATGTAGCGGCTCTTTATACACATAGAGCTGCTGCAACAAACGCAGATAGGCCGCTCTTATTGAAGGCCCTCCCTCGGCCCCAGACGGGAGCAATAAGTAGATATATGAGGTTAATATCGGGTTCAATGAAGAATCAGTGTTCCATTGAAAAAGAAAAAGGCTTTGAATAAGAAAGAAGAATCTAAGAACAACGATTCGAGCGAGAATAAAGAAGGTAGCGTCACCGCTTCAAGGTGAGAAGAGCAGCAGTGGAGTGATTGCCAAGTTGATGGCGTTGTCATAGTTTGGCAGAGCCATACGTTGGATAGGAATTGTCTAGGCCAAATGCGACCGACCACTTGGATCGATCATCCCATTCGAACGAAGCCACCTTGTCTGGTTGCGGCCCTTACATTGATTGAAACACAGGAGAAAGCCAGTTATATCAACGTTTGAATTAAGCTACACGAAACAGGTATCTAAGTATGTACCCAAGTTCTTTCCTTTCTCTTGGTATCTTTTCCTTTCCTTTCCAATTCCAAACAATGCTAGACTCGACTTTGCATATAACCATGCCTTTTCTGTGAAATCCAACGCCCAATCCTAAACAATGCTTGCTTGACCTTGCATATAACCATGCCATTTCTTTCCAACTCCAAATTTAAAAAAAAAATGCTTGCTTGTCCTTGCAGATAACCATGCCATTTCGTTCCCTTTAACTCCCAATTAAACAATGCTTGCTTGTCCTTTCATAAAACCATATTTCCCTCTCTCATTTCCAACGCCCTGCATTATGCATTTCAATTCAGTGTTTCCAAAGGTCAAATTCCCCATTGAGTCCTCCATTCAGCAACATTCCGGCAATTCGTAGCCTCTGAAGAGGCATCTCTTCCACGCAGTAGCTTGCGACTGGGTCCAACCCCAAAGCCATGCAAATTCCATTGGTGATCACATGTACACCACAGTCGTAGCCGTTGTTTTGCTGAGGTGACTTCACCACCATCACCTCCCATTCCTGAGCAGTATACAAGTCGCCCAGGTAGTCTGATATCCACGCCAGCGCCATATCAGGATGAGATGAGCGCTTGTTGAATGAATCCAAGTGCATGACTTTTCGTTTCTGGGGCTGAAGCACCATGAGCGTCCAGTGATAGTCCTTGCAGATGGGAATTAGGACTGTGTCCATAAGTAAGAAGTTTTTAGGAGTGACGCCCATCCGGCGAAGGATAGACTGCGTCTGGCGGCCATTTGCCTTTTCGACTCGAGGCCAGAAAAATGAGTTCATGACAAGGCATTTGCGGCCTTGCTGTTTGTAGTCGGTGATGCCATTAACCAAGTTGATTTCCTTTTCAAGCCCGCCCAGTGCCCCGTTGACAATTTCGTCGTTGAGCCAGGTCTTAGCCGCAACTACAGTGACGAAATCGTGTTTTCGAAGAGGCGTTCCTTGGCAGGTTGTAGCCAACACTTCGGTGTCTGGTGCAAAAACCGTGTTGCTAGCCTTCTCGATCCATTCGTCGCTGAGAGGCGCCACGACAGGCTGTTGGGGTCCGTTGGCTGTTCGTTCCCGGAGTTTACGAAGCTTTTCTTGCTCAACATCGTGTGCTCGTAGAGCTTCTGCTTCTTTTCGTAGATTTCGAAGCTCGATTTCTGATTCCTCACTTATTTTCAGTGAGCTCAGTGATGGCATAGACATCAACTCGTCGATCTTATCGTAGGTTTTGTTTAGTGATTCATCGAAAGACACACGTTTTCCGGGACGCTGTGTGGGAAGCCCAGATAGGGAACATGTCGAGGGATTGAAAGAAAATGACGAGTCCAATGAAGGTGGGTTAAACTCAAATGAGGATTTCTCCGGGTCGCTTTCGTCGGCAATCTCTAGCCAAACGTCTGCCTCATTCTCAGGGGCCACTTCAGGGGTCACTTCAGGAGTGGCTTCATGAGTGATTTCAGGGAAGCTTCCAGGACATTTGTCGTCAATGACTGAAAATAGGACCTTGAGTCGCTCCCGATATTCAGCTGATGCCACGTAGCTTGGTACAGTTCGCCTATGAATAATGGCGCCCAAGTCCAAAACGATGCGATTCATGAAATCGGCAGGTACGTCAATGTTGTCGAATCCACAGGCGGCTAAAACGTTTGAAAGAATCTCAGGCAGATCCGGAAACGAGAAGAAGTCTCGAATTCTGTTCAGCATTTCCAGATCTTGTGGCGTGGGTTTTTCGTTCATGAATGATGGCGCAGTTGGCCACTGCTCTCGAAGGTCCATGATGCGGTCGATACAGTACACCTTGTCAAGGAACGCAATGCAGCGAATGCAGAACTCTTCGAAAGTGGCATTCAAAGGAAACAGTAGGCCACGGTTGTATAGCTGGAGCTGCTCCGGGTCAACCAATAAATGCATTCGAATGGGGTAGAGGCAGCCGTCAACGAGAGCCGGTTGTGTGGAGGTCATGGAGGATTTCCAGATAAACTCGAGCAGGGCGGCAAATTCGCTGTACTGTCGAATGAGATCGGCAAAGGCTTGCTTGTCGAGCCAGTGCAGTTCTTGACCACCATTGTCGGGAGTGGACAATCTGGAAGCTGAATTATCGAGAACAGGTTGAGAACCATTGGAAATGGAGCGAGAGGTATTGTCAATAGGGTGAGAGTCGCCAGAAATAGAACGAGAATTGCCGGAAATATAACGAGAATCATCAGAGATATAACGAGAATCATCGGAAGCAGAACGATAAGTACCGCTCATAGAGCGAGAAATATCGGCGGTGGGGCGAGAAGTATCGGCAATAGAACGAGAATTATCGTTCCCAGAGCGAGAAGTACCAGTAATAGAACGAGAAGTTTTCAAAATAGAACGAGAATTATCGGAAATAGAACGAGAATTATCGTTGACAGAGCGAGATTTATCGGTAACAGAACGAGAATTGCTGGAAGCAGAGCGAGAAGTACTGGTAGCGGAACGAGAATTACCGGAAGCAGAGCGAGTCGTGAGGAATCGGCGCTTGTCGAGGTTGGTAGGAAGAGGCTCATGTCTGCGGCGTTTGTTCGAAATGGAAATGCTTTCATCAGAAGCTTGAGCTTCGTAGCTGAACAGGGTGCTATATTGGTTGTAGACTAAAACAAAAAACAAAAAAAAGTAAGTAACGTCGAAAATCGCAGTCACGATTTCTCAAAATAGATAGATCACTTACCAAATCGGCCTAAGCCGGTAAAAGTGGCAAAGGCGATGAGGAGTGCCATTGCAAAGAGGAGAATAAATTGACAAGAAAACAGGATTAATTGGGAAGAAAATGCCTTCATCTAAACGCAGAAAAAAAAAAGGTCAGTAAGAGCAGATATCAAAGGCCAGGCTGTATATGGCGTACGAGATTCTTGTATTCTTGAAGGTCTTGAACGGGAAAGCGATCTGGAGACTTGGCCTTGGAGGCCAGAGGCTTCTTAATGACGAATCTGACGGTCGGATTATTCTCCGGGTCCGTCTTGCGATAGAGAAATCTGCGTGCGTGAGCCATTATGTCGAAAAAAAAAAAGCAGTCGAAACAAAGCAGTCGAAGCAAAGCAGGCGAAACAAGCAGGCGAAACAAGCGGGAAATGATGCATCAAAGGAAAGAGGCATTCTTACCAGAGGGGAGCTGCGCGTATATAAAGCCGGTCGTTCTGTAAGTTTGGCGACTCGTCAAGGGACCGATAGAGTTTCGAAGATGTAGAGTTTGGCGTAGATTCGCGATAAAGGTTAAGGTTAAGCTTATAGAGGGCCAAGCTTTGAGGCCGCGTTGATGGAAGGCGCTGAGTCGTCGCCAGCTGGAAGCCCATAATGGCGCTGAAGGTGCTGAAAGCGCCGAGTTTACAGGCGAGAGGTTGAAATAAATACCCGGCAGAACCTCGGATAATCCCCACTAAAATCGAGGCGCGCAGGGCACGGCCTGTGATTGGCCAACCTTAAATTGATTTACCTTTCCCCACTTCCGCCATGATATCAGCGCGGCAAAAATGAAGCCTCTCTGCATTTATGCGCGTGTCATTTGGATTGACGCGTCAATATTTTTTTGCCTAGGCTTTACTCTAATTTTATGCATCATATCTATTTGATAGGCGAGCAGAGAGAGTAGGGAGTACTGTAGGGTATAGCTTAATAAATAGAAGGACGTTACCATTGACAAGTTTATAGAAAATACCCATCTAGTATTTCTATGAGGCTACCTGTAGTACGATACAGCATTCCCAGCAAGCAAATATCTCTTCTCGCTATTACACATTTCGTTGTATGACGCATGACGCATGACGCACTGCCATCTTCGGTGGTATACACGAAGACGCCACAGATGCGCATACATCTCTCTACTCGTGAGAGTTTATATAACCTTCAAAATACTCATAATCACGCCGAAGTATATTTTTCTCAGCAGAAAAATCTTTGCGAATTTACTATCAAACTTCCGAGGCAACATATTGATAAGGACCTTTTTTATCGCTAATCTTCGGAGATAAATCGCTTCCGCTACCCTTTATCTCGCGAAAGCTAAATGTTAACCTTAAATTGTTATCTGGTAATGAACTTTCACACCCTACTCATCTGCTTTGCTATCATCCAGGGCTACATTTATCCAGACCAATGGTCATAGCACAGGTAAATATATTCAGGAGGCTCAATAAATTTGGTAGTAATCGACAACCAACAGTGAAAAGTAATTAGCTGCTAGAAAGTACAGTAATGCTTCAATAAACGAGATACGGAAGGAAAAAAAAAAAATCTCTAAGTCGCAGAGATGAAAGTTGTAGTATCACAAAAGTAAAATGCTTCAGTGCCCTCCTCTCCTCATCTCTATTGTCGCCCAATAATATCAAGTCTACAGCTGAGCAGTGTTTCCAAATTTCTTAGTACAAAATGCTGAAAAGTATGCGTTCAAAGCGTCAACGGTGCCCGAACCCTCTACTAGAGAAGTCACAAAGCCGACATAGCCGTCTGGTCGGACAACAGCAACACCGCCCCTTTCCTCATTGAAGCCCATCTTTGCGTGAGCAGGAGCCACTGAATCAAGTACGCGACGGTCCCATCTGTCGTCGGCGTAGATGTGGTCGCGATAACGAGCCAGCACGCTAGGTACGTCACGGGCGATTTCAATACGGGGTCTCTTTGCCGCAAAGATGGTGCACAGCGTGAAGAAATGGCTGTGCGGGTTGTGCTTCTCGTGGTGTGAAACCTGGGCAATGTCTGGCCGGGTGTAGGCTGTGTAAAATGACTTGGCGCTAGTCAAGTTGTCTGCAAAGTCTCGGAGCGCAACACGGTTCTTCACTGGGTCTCCAGCAAAGAGGAAGATGCGGAACGAGCCGTTGAGTGGCACTTCTTGTTCAAGGTGGACCACATTCGCATCGACAACCCTTGTCACATCCGCGTTCACCAACAGACGTCCAGATTTTAGCGTTGTACCGCTGGGCTGGACGATATGTGACTGGGCCGGATGGCTTGGAGACCAGTTCAATGTATTGGCCTGGTATGCGACGCCGTAGCCGCTAGTGAACTCGCAGGATTCCTTGAATGTCTTGATGAAATCGTTGTCACCATCCATGTCGCCATCTGGAATGGTTTCTGAGGCTGCCTGAACTTCAGAAGCCGCAGGCGGCCGCTGGGAGAAGAGTTTCGCATAGCGGTTGTCAAAGTCCAATAATGATTCTGCTACTGCTTTTCGTTCAGACTCGTAAGTCTTGAGGATATTTCGGTTCGCGAATCCACTCTCAACAGCATGTATCTTCCAAGCAAGATTCAGCGCATCTAAAAAGGCTGTATTCATGCCTTGACCAGCTTTGGGCTAAACGCGCACAGTTAGCGCCAGCTGAAACCATACATAAAGATTGACGAGGAGGATGGCCACTTACACTATGCGTATGGCAGGCATCACCACCAAGGAAAACTCGCTCATCTAAAGTGTACCTCTCTGAAATTCCCTGGCCAATAGGGTAGACGGAATACCATTCTACACGCTCCCATTCGATATTGTAGGGATACAGAATCTTCTTGGCCGAGGCTTGCACTTCAGCTTCAGTTGCCGACTTCCTCGGGTTCCAGTCGGCATCGGTAGAAGATGCGATCTGGATGTAGAGGCGCACCATGTTGTCCTCACGCGGGATAACCATGATGGAGCCATGCTGACTCCGAATCGTGCATTTCATCTGCAGAAAGATTAGTATTGGCACTGACAAGAAGAGAGCCCCGCCAGAGGTAAGAACCGACCTTGATATCCGGGAAATCAGTCTTAACGACTCCGTCCATCACACCCCAGACATGGGCGATGGGGTCCTTGTGATGAAAGCCAATGTTTAATTGCTGTCTGATGAATGACCTCGCACCCTCGCCACCGAAAAGGTATTTGGCGTGCACGGTCTGCTTTTCCGTGCCATTGACATGTTCCAACTCAACCTGAACAGGATATTCCGACGTCTCGGGGTTGCGTGTCTGAAATCCAGTGATTGTCCAGGGTCGCTGAATGCTGGTCCCGTTCTTTTCAAGATCATTGATAAACACCCTCTCGATATGGCCCTGGTGCAGCAGCGTGGTGAACGGATAACGGGCGTCGATGAAGTTGGGGCAGCTGGCCCAGGTACCTGTCCTACCGATACCCTTGCTCGACTCTGAGTCCCAGAAAGCGACTTCGTAAACACGGGCAGGCTTGTGGGCCATGATGTCAGATTTCAGTCCCATATTCCGCAGGAGGTCGAGTGATCGAGGCTGGATGCCATCGGCTCGACCCGTCGCCGTCGGCTCTGGTCTGTTATCAATGTGCTTGATACGGTAGCCCCATCGCGAGAGACATGTAGACAACATCAATCCTACAGGTCCCGCTCCCACAATCACTGCGATGACAAGTGAGTTAGTATTAATTCTGATTCTGATTCTGATTCAGATACTGGGATGCCGATGGCGGCCTAGTCGGGATCGTACCGATATCATATGTGTCAGAGACATCCTGGTGCACAACGGCAGGAGACATGGCTCTCCTCGATACAAAAGGAAGCAAAGAGATGGAGATGGAGATTTGAATGGATGGATGGATGGATGGATGGACCGGTAGAGTTAGTAGAAGAGAGAGGTGGTAGTAATAATACAGCTCTGTACGGCCAACCAGTCCAGATCAGAGTCGACACAGGCCAAGGCGTAAGCTGAAATGCTACAAAAATCAGATGGAGAGATGAATGACAAGCAACGGCGCGAGTTGGAGTGGAGAGGCAAGCACAAGATATATAGACATATCAACGAGTATATCCGGCGCAGCGGTGCAAGTGCCGATGACGCGAGAAAAGAGGAACTGCGTTGCCTACATGATGGCCCATCCGGAAATGAAGCCCGGGAGCCAAAGGCATTTTGCGCAGTCGAAGCCGTGAGGGGGCCCCGAGAGGCTCCTCTTGAATCATTGGAGAAGAGGGTGGACGCGGCACTAAAATCACGGCAAAGGATTCGGGAGTAGAGCGGAGAAAGGCTGGAGAGACTCGCCGGTACGTACCTCGCGAAGCAGCACAAGCCGCCAGTCGGAGCCGCAAACTCTTGCCCGTCTAGTATTAGTGAAGTTGCCCTTTGAATATTTATGTGTTTATTGCAGGATTTATTGCAGGGCCAACTCTAATGTCGAATGGCCAATCAGGGGAGGGTGTATTATAATCATCCATCGTCATCGTCCTGCCGGCGGACAGATCCATGCTGCCATCTCATACATATCATCTCATCTGATTATTTCATATGTACTAGTCGACTACTAGTTTATTTCCAATAAATAAAAACAAGCAAACAAGCAAACAAACACACAAATAAACAGATAAACAAATACTCCACGATGATGCCAAATTGTACGTATTGGGCATTGTCCATCCACTCGCATTTGCCGCAACCGGCAACAAAGGATTGGCCGAGCTGAGTGTGGGGTTTAGCGCCTAGAAAATCGCTTCATGGTCCGTCGCCGGGAAGACATCTCGGTAGGTGCGAGGTGGGGTCTGTCCAAGTGCGCTGCGTCGAATGCTGGGGAGCCTGACCAGACAGGCGCTACTGGCCGGAGATGGCACTATGCTATGCTGATAGTGGTATCAGGCAGGCATGCGGGGGATTTTTTTTTTTTTTTTTCACCTAGCGAGGCGATTATTTTTAGCATTCTACAGCACATACTAATATCAATTCTGTGTGCTAAAGTATTGATAACGGAATTAGCAGATACCACCAGGATTTCTCCAAACTTGCTGTTTATAGTAATGGATGCTGCCTCGCTAGTAGTATTCGCTCAACGGAGCATATGGCTGATGTGAGATGCCCTTGCATTGCATGGCTTGCCGTCAAAACGTATTTGGCCTCACCAGCATTTTCAACCGCTATTCTTGGCTTCATCGCCGACAATATTTACCTCCCACGTAGCAGCGGTATTAAGCATTCTGCCGCATCTGGACTCTCAGCGGAGATAAAGCATTTCCCATATCAAAGATATCAAAGGGCTACTACTACTACTACACCCACTTACACCCTCTGTATGCTTCCGAATCTATTGCCGCTTGCAGAGACGGTGGGGCAAACCCCGGCTAAATCCCATACTCGGGCTTTGCTTGGTGGCTAGGGGAAAAAAGGGATCTATGGAACGGCTTGGAGATGCGGCGAGGGAGAAAGAGATTAAATCAAGACAAAAATGGAGCATCCTGTCATGGAGCACCCTACAGAAATCACGACTCGCCACGGTGGAGATGCCCATCCGGGGCCCCGGCTTTCCGACAACAATGACTGCGGCTGGCCTGAAAGGGAGATGCCGTAATACGCAGCCGATTCCCTATCTCCCGGCTCAGAGTTACTAGCTCGAGGCAATTTAAAGATGCCCCTAAACGGCAATCAGCTGGTTATTAAACACTTCTATTCGATAGGTTGACAACAGTGAGTAAATTACGTAGCCTGCTATAGATAGATAGCACTTGACTTCGAAAGGGCCAAGATAAGGAGGGAAAAGAAAAGCTCCTAATACAGGGAATCGTAGGTTAGCCAACGACAAGTGACGGCACCTGGGAATAGCACAAAGCAAACTAAAACAGCCTCAAGATTTTTCCTCTTCCGTAGTGTCTCCTTCAGGACGACTCGTAACTCTTTTCATGATCCACTCATGAGCCTCTTCAGCGTGCTCTCTCATCATGTGGTTTAGCCCAAACATCTTGCTGCGCACCACGGTTCCGAATCGCCTCTTGTTGACCTTTCTGGTCAAATCCGGGTCGGACCAGCAGGCGTGGTCTCCCGCCACGTAGACCCGTGAGTTCTCCTTGTACCAAGACGAGAGTTCGTTGTCTGTGTCGGATTTAACGGGCCGTAGATTTCCAGTCACAAAGTTGACAATGCCCGCAATCTTGTTTTTGCAGTCTAGAATAATTGTTTTGTTCATTTAGTATGGCTTTTAGAGTCAAAAATGGGCCATTGCTCCCCTTACCTCTGTTTATCAAAAGAACCTTAACTCCAAGATAGGCATTGCCGACGCCAAGTAGGATGATTTCGTCAGTTTCATAGAGTTGGAGAAAGTTATCCCACAGGTAGCAAACCAGAGACAATATTTGTTCCTGGATCTCTTTCTCGTTAAACTCGGGAATATATGAATCAATGTCCTATACAGTTGATTAGACAATGTAACGAGTTGAAAAAGAAAATTGAGAAAACCTGAGCCGAAAATGCATACCTCTTCATGTGTAACGTATGCTGGGACATTGATATCCATAACCCCGAAATTTTGAGCAACGGCCCAGTCGATATATTCCATAACACCGTCAACCTACGCAGCCGGTCAGTCAATATGCTTCCTACCCTATATTAAAGCACGTTGAAGGTGCGTTACTAACCACCCATGAGTTATGAGCATCCACCGTAGTGTCTACCACATCTAGCTGCGCTAATAACTGGGGTCTGGATCTGGGATTAGTTGACATATCCCATGACAAGGGGCACGGCGGGAAAACTTACGGATCATGTATGATGACAATGATCTTTTGAGCGCTGTGTAGATTTGGCGTTACCAGAACTTGGTTTTCAAACGACTTTGAGATCAACTCTCGTTGTATATAGAGTGGGATCATGCCGTGCTTGGACTGCATAACCTGGCGCTGTGCATTTCTGATGACGTCGTGAAGCCTATTCGCGTTAAGCGACTGGACGTCAGGCACATCGACAATTCCGGAACGCATGCATTCCCAGTAAGGGGCGTGGTATGCTTGCACTTTGGCCAATGTCCTGGCGGCCTCCTTGTTAATCTTGGGGAGGGCCAGTTTTGGCGGAGGCTCTCCCATCAGAGTTCTCGCAACGGCCACCGCAGAACTTGAAATTGCCTGCAGGTTATAACCGCCTTCCAGACAGACAGCAACCTTGCCGTCTGCAAGCGACATAAGCATATGTGTCATGTGGGCGTAGCAGGCAGGTGTAACAAAGCAGCCGCCCAGTTCATCTCCATCAGCAGCATCAAATCCAGCTGAAATCACTACCAGGTCTGGGTTGAATTCCTTTGCAATGGGCATCACGATTTTTTGGAACGCCGCCATGTATTCGCCATCTCCCATGCCCTGGTCATGCCAGCCGATGTTAATGTTCTTGCCCAATCCTGGGCCTGTGCCGCAGTACTCTATACCGCCGTCAGGCGTCATGGGATTTGGTGGTTTGCCAGGGTAAAACATGCCATTCTGGTAGACATGGATTGATATGTAGAGAACATTGGGATCTTGGTAGAAGATGTTTTGGGTGCCATTCCCGTGATGGACATCCCAATCCAGGATAAGGACTTTGCGACATTGGTCGGGATAATCCTGCTGACACACTCTGATAGCCACGGGAACGTTATTAAAGAAACAGAAACCCATGGGCTGGTCAAACTCAGCATGGTGCCCGGGGGGCCGGATAACGGCAAAAGCATTTTTGACTTGTTCTGTAACGACACTTTTACAGGTGTCGATAGCACCACCCACGGATAGCAGGGCAGCAGGATAGGACATACTGCCTACGTATAGAGACTCGCGGCCTTGGTCGAATCGCCTGGTCAATTCACGAAGCTCAGCCGTACTGATCGTGTCGAGGCTCTCCACCCAAGCCAAGTGCTCTGGAGAATGCGCGAGGCAGATCTCTTCTCGTGTAGCTGGTCGAGCGGGGATCCGCCACATGTATTTTGTCGGACAATCTTTCATGATTCTGGGCAGCTCTGACTCTGGTCCCGTGTAAACAAGTCCCATTTTCTTGAAAGCCTTGAATATTTCATGGATACGGCGCGGGTCCTCCGGATGATGCGTATTCGGACTAAAGTCTGCATTCATATGAAGCTTCATTCGATCATCGTAACAGCAGCCAGTGGGGAGCAGGCCACGCCGCACACGCAACTGCGCAATAGTGTCCTCTATGACACTCGGCTCACTCTCTTCATGATATGCGCTCTCCGACGCTGTGTCATCGTTGTCCCCTCGCATTCCTCCGCCATGGCCGTTGGTATTGGCCACATCACTATCTCCCATGACCTGGTCCTCAGATTCCATGGCGTCGTTTCCCGGCACGATGCATACAAGTTGCAGATTCTGGGTTTATGGCACTTGATAATAGGGTGAACGAGAACGCTCCCCAGGCCCGAGGCCGCTCTTCCAACTTTTGATACTCTGGCAACAAAACTTGACCCCAGCAAACTGAAGATGGCGTGTGGACCTGATTTAGTATCAGCACAGCTCATACCATGACCTAGATGAGGGCACCACGCCGCGTTAATGAACAGATAATGGAACAAGGAGAAGAATAAGCGAAACACCCACGCTATACCAGATCACACGCAGACGCGCATGGGAGAACACTGAGCGAATAACGCAGGATGCGAGACGGCAGCAGCATGAGACATCTCCAACATGCAACGCGAGAGCAGCAGCGCGAGAAGCGGTATGAAAATGAATACAAAGTGAATGCAGCTCCAGCCATCAACTCACCTTTACCCCAGTAGCGTCTGCTTCTCAACTGAGCGGCTCCCTTGCCAGGGCAGAGAAGCAGGAAATCGCAATTGGCACCTGGCCGGAGAGAGGGTTACAAAAAGGAACTACTTTGAATGCTAGTTGCTATAAGCCTTTTCGGGTGCCTTTGTATAGTCCTCAAAGGCTGGCTTAGGGCATCAATCACAAATAGATGCGGGACAGGCGCTGGAGATCCTTTGAGATGCACTGGCTCATAGAGAGATGAGGCTGGTTTTGAGGACAAGCCCTGGCCGCAGCCCACTAGGAGATTGCTGTGCCGGCTAGCGTGGCTGGTGCGCGACAGCTACTACCGGCCTAATATCAGTGCAATCAGCGTAAAGTCAGCACCTGAAGCTTTTCCAGTGTCTTAATTTCCGCCTTGCTTGCCTTATTTCCTTCGTTGACAGGCTTCCTTCCTTGCATTGACTTTTCTTCTTCTTGGAAAAAATGTAAGAGCAATAGCTGACTATGCCCGTGAACTTGTGGTTTTTGACGCTTGCATGAAGAGCCAACCAATCTCTGCTGGAAAGATGCATGTGGCACGCGATACAAAGAGCAAGCGCTGCATCCGGGATGGTACGGGGTAAATGGGTATATAAATTTTATGTTCAATGTATTGCAAACGCCATTTTGAGCTGATAGTACTGGCTACCCACATTCTTACTCTGATATACGCTGGTCCTAACCCTTATGATACTGCCAAATCAGACGACTGCTCTTTTCCCTCTAGGGGACATCTATAGCTGCAATGCATTAATGTGTTAAGAATTAAATATCTATCATTATCGACCTGGCACGGAAGCAATCTTGGTACATGTTCATATCTGGGCCTGTTTGTGAAAGAGCCTTGCGAGACGAAAGGCTACCGTGCCATATAATCAATCCATTTTGTGCGCCGCCTGTGTATATACAAGTCCAAATCCTAAGTGCAGTCTACGTACAAGACATGCCGCTATGATATCGAATCTCCTCCGCCACCATTTCTGAGCTGTGCCTTGGATTACGCAAACAGCGCAGACTTATCCAGCTCATCCTTAGCCCGTCGGTTCCCGTTGGATCGCAGACCCAAATCGCTCTTCTTAGACAAACGTCCGACTGTCTGTTCTGTCCTGGCGTTGTGTCTTGCAGCCTTTGCCCTTCGGATATCGGCTCTGATCTGGTTAGGAGAGACGAATTCTCTGTTTTCGTATATGATCGGTCCACCGAATGAGCCTTCCTGGATCACAAGGGGGGTGAGGACAAATCTAGGCCCGATTTCGACAAGGTTGATGTCCGTGTTCTTGGATTTGCCGGTCGCGGCTTGCTCAGAGATATCCTCGTCATCAACCTTGACTTTGCTCTGCTCAACTTCGGAGATTTGATAGTTTCGAATCCAAATTTTTCCATCCGCAATGGTGAAGCCCATGACGTGATCAATGAAAGGCTTGGACTTTCGCGCGCCCTGAGGAACGCCAAACGTGTGAAGGAATAGCTCTTTAATGACACGAAGGTGTGGCTGTGTCTCGAAAGCGGCGTCGAACGAAAGGATCGGCCGTGAGCCCTTTAAGCAGTTGCCGGTGAAGTGCAGCTCCTCCATTGTGTGCACTGGATGAACGTATTCAGTACAGGATTCACGCATGAGAAAATTCAATCAAGAATGGTATACTTACAGTTCTGGAGATGAAACTTGACTGTCGGGCCATTGGGGACTTTGCTCAACCACACATACAAATCTTTGCCCTTCCTCGCTTCGAAGAAAAGAACGTTGTTGCAGTTGTAGAGCTCAGCGAGCTCATTGAGCTCGCCCAGTCTAGACTTTGAGTCGAATTTGGCATCTTTTCGGCTGTGAGGGAGCAGTGAAGCAATATCGTTCAAGAGATGGCGGTGCCTGTTAAAATAGAGTCAGAAATGAAGATCCCATCACGGCCAATTGACAAATCGCATAACTTGCCTGTAGGTGACACCTCGGCTGGACAAGATCAGCACTCTCTGCTTGTTTTTCTTGACGCCATTGCTCGATGATTCAGGCTTCTCGTTGCCGCTCTTCGATAACGACTTGTAAACGGCCGCCATTTTTGCAGAGTATGGGTAATTGTTTGAGTGGTCTGAACTGGACGTCGAAAATAGTTGGCGACTGCTAGAAATTTTAGAGGAGCGCGAGTCTGATAAGCCAGCAACTTTCTTATCAGAAAATTCATGAATGTGGGTCTTGAGATAGAGTCCAGGCACGGCTTAGCGCCATTGGAACACAAAGTACGTACCTAGTGGGGGTCTTGCCTACGCCGTCGACGACTGCCGTAGAAATGACTTGGCCTTTAATGCTATCGGGCTGTTCTGCTCCTAAAAGGTTGGATTTCGGTAACGGAGATTGACAGTGTATTTTCTTTAGTTATTCACTAGGAAGAGTTCATGCAACCAGCTATTTACGGCATCGAAAAAAACGAATCATTTCATTAAGAGGTCATGTAGCTACGTAAGAAGAGATTCCGTAGCAGTCATCGGATAGATCAGCCCAGAAAACCCATCGCGACAAACAGAAACAGCAGAAAGTCAAAAGTGTCTGCGCCCTTCTAATTTGAGAAAAAAAGGAAGCATCAGGCCTCCCCCTCATTTCCTCGACACAGCGTCGAAGTCTTTCGGTATGCGATGTACATTTTCGAAACATGCGACTACAATATTCCCGTATTTCTCCTCATGTAGTTGGCATCATCATAAGTAATTTAGCAGCACTTGCCACCCTTGGCAGCCTCGTCGTCGGCAGCCTTGCTGAGTGAGATATTAGTGCCAGCACCGATGGTGGCTTGGGCACCATCGCCGCTGTCGAGCGCCTTGCTAGATACGATCCGGTAGATTTCTGGAGAGGAGAGTTTGTTAGTACTAAATGCGTAAACTTGGTATGGGAACCCTTTATCGCACCCGTAAGAATATTCTGGAAAGCAAGCTCAACGTTGCTGGCATCGAGAGCGGATGTCTCGATGAAAGACAAATGGTTCTCGCCTAAAGGAAATTGGTTAGCTAATGCCCCTCCAACGACGTCAGACCGTAAGACGAACTAGCAAAGCTCTTGGCCTCATCTGTAGGAACAGCTCTCAGGTGTCTCAAATCGCTCTTGTTTCCGACCAGCATGATGACAATGTTTGCATCGGCGTGATCTCGCAGCTCCTTTAGCCATCTCGTAACGTTCTCGTATGTCTGGTGCTTGCTGATATCGTAGACAAGGAGGGCGCCGACCGCACCTCGGTAGTATGCGGAAGTGATGGCACGGTAACGCTCCTGGCCGGCTGTATCCCAAATTTGCGCCTTGATGGTCTTGGAGTCAACCTGAATTGATCTGGTGGCAAACTCGACACCGATAGTCGACTTGGAGTCGAGGTTGAATTCGTTTCGAGTGAATCGGCTGAGAAGATTGGACTTTCCGACTCCAGAGTCTCCAATCAAGACAACTACAAGCAAGGCAAATCATTAGCATAAATGCTGTCTTTGAGCACGCTGGTGCTGTAGACCGTCGGTCCATGATTCAAGGGAGAGAGAGCCATACCTTTGAAGAGGAACTAGTGGGGGTTGAAACATTGCTGTTAGCGTCCCGCCAAATGCCATTTCATTAATTCAGGAAGGCGGAACATACATCATACTCGTCGTTGGCCATGGTAGCAGCAGAGTCGTGGGGCGCGTTGCTGGAGGCTGGTGATATGTGCTGCAGAACGAAGCTGTGACGATGGGAATGTGTCCAGGTTGTGGATGTGGAGGGGAAGAAGTGGCTGCGCGGCTCTGACGATTGGCTTAGGTCGCTAAGTCACCTGGATTCGAGCTCAGGAGGCGCGAACTGCAAGGCAGCGAAGAATGCGGCCTAGCAGGTGGCATGTGGCACGGCGGAGACTTCGCAGCGACAGCAAATTTCTTTGTGCGGCACATCAATTAGCAAGTCTCTGGTAGGTACCCTATTTGACCCTCTTTGCCTTGTGAATGCTAGACCGTTAGCACTGAGGGTACTCCGTAGCGCCTTTACTACACTGCACCACAGGCAATGAATGCCCTTTAGGTACAAACTAAGGAGCCCACCGTTAGGAGTGCCATATGGAGACTCTAGACCCCATATCCAAAACACAGAAACACACTCTCCCCCTTTTCTCTCCTGAGCGGGAGAGGTGCTAAAGAGGTGCATAAGATTACGACGGAGACAGATCTAGCTGTCCAGCAGCCTATCTAGGCAGCGTCAGAGCTGGAGCTATAACCTGCTGCAGGTCCCATGGTCCAAGCGACCACAAACATCAAAATGTTTGGTGGAAGTTTGTCTGCCTACCTTGGGAGCTAGCAGTAGGGGTCATAGACACGCTGTGGGGTTAAGCCACAATAAACCCGCCCCGTAGAGCTTGTTTTAGCTGTGGTCAGCGCGCAGGTGGTCGGTCTCATATACTTGGCCTTGCTTGACTTGTTTAATCCGTTGTGAGCAAACAGGCGACATTGGGATGAAAAATATACTGCTAGATAGCTAGACTATTGACATGAACCGCGAGACAGAGCATATTCTCGACAGTGACGCCTGTTTTCCGCTGTAATCACGTGAATGTACCTAGGTGCTGGCTGCCGGCAGATCGGGGCCAGCTGAACAGCTGCAGTCGCTGCCTGTTCCAACATGGCCTCCCCACAGCAGTATCCTCAGAATGGCGTCTAAACCACCCGAAGAAGACCTTGACGAGAATATTTCAGTCACTTCTACGGACGATGGGGCTGGAGGTCCCGAAGAAGACTTCTTTGTCACCAAGATACTGGCCGAGAGAGAAGTAAATGGAGAACCTGTCTACCTGATTGAGTGGCAAGACCTCCCTTTGGCAGAAGCAACATGGGAGCCCAGAGAAAACTTAAGCGATGCACTCATGGCCGAGTGGGAGCAAGCCAAGGCAGACCAAAGAAAAGGATTGGTACCACGGTTTAAGATCCAAGAATGGAAAAACGCTAACATCCAACACTACGAGTCTCGACTTGCCCGACACCGTCTTCGTAACATTGTGCGAGAAAGACGTGGCTTACCGCAGACTGCATGGACAAGAACGTTAAATCATCTTCTGAGAGATCTTGCCGATTTTGCAAATGACGAAGACGACCAAAATGATGAGGCTGAAACAAATCTCACAACAAAAAGCCTGCCTCAAAGTCCTGCTAGTGATAATGCATCTACTCCTATGAATCTTTTAGAGAGTAGAGTTTCGGAGCCTTCAGCGCAAACTATAATTAGCTCATCTGAAAGGGTCTCCCAAGAATATTGCATTGGAACATCTGACGGGGGAGGAGGAAGAGAAGGAGTAGGAGGAGCAAGAGCAGGAGGAGGAACAGAAGGAGTTCTAAGTCTGGTGGAGAAGTCAGCTCTCGACCACCCCAGCGATGAAAGACCGGTTTCAGAAGATGTCGAAGTCACAATACCAAAACCTCACAGAGATTCTATTCAACCTTCAAAATTTTCTTGTGAGTTACCTAAAAGACCCTCTATTCCAAGCCGGGCACCTGCAGGGGGATCAGCAAAGTCAGCAGGATACGCAAATGTTTTCGCTGGCGGTCTTACTCGCAAAGGGAGAGGAACATTGAGCGAAGCAGCGTCAAACCCAGAACAGAATCCCAAGTTTTTGAATTTACGCCTTACAAGGAAGATAGAGTTGCAACGTCGGAATAAAGAAGGGTTAAACCCTCCAGCTCATCGGCCGTCTGCACTCATCTCTCTTGATCGCAATAATCCTCAAGCTACGATAGGCGGGCAACAAACGACCAAGAAAGCCGCAGATAATGCCTCAACCAGCAAAAATTCCAACGGCGAAAGCACCAGCCCCAAGAAAAATGGCATTGTTCAATGGGAAGACGAGGCGATGGAAATGGATCCAACTGATAGTCTTTTTGTATCTGAACATTTGCCTCTAACACCTCGGGATACATCAAATCAAGAAGCTAGAGAACCCGGAGCTGAGAAAGAGGAGGCGAACGATCCGACAACAATAAGCAAAACGGTACAAGTAGGCCCTGGCCAGCAAGATACTGTTACTATCTCATTCGAAGGGGTGCCTTCTAGAGCGAGCTCCCCTTGGGCGACACAATTTTGTTCCGATGACCGTCTCATCTTCACACATACGTGCACTGCTCAGGCTTTTTCGTACCAGATAAACAAGGGAGCTGATTTATCAAGGGCACAGCTATGCAAAGGCACCGCTTTGTCATTTACCGAGAATATCCGTCTCAGTAATTTGGCAGACAATCTGAGACTCGCGAATCTTGGGTTGCTATGTTCCAATGAAAGATATTATGTGGTTTTGTTTCCTAATAGTCAAGCAACGCCAAATTCCGACAAGATAACTCTGGAGTATACAATTTTCGAACCACTCAGTTCCCTAGGATCGTCGATGCTAGCTCCCGCCCCACGACTGAGGATGTCAAACAAGGATATCATGAGCTCAGCATCGTATCCAAGGCCCTTGGATCATGTTTTTGGGGGGAAATATGAGCACTTGCTGCCCCCTGACGCGAGAAATGCTCAAAAGCACAACTTTTTCTTGGCTTTTCCCCCTCGTGCTGAACAAGAGGCTGCTATGTTATCCTGGTGGCTGAGGATTTATGATAGTAACAGCGATGTTCGGACCAGTTTCAGCGCTGGCCATTGGTCTAGCTTCTTAGAACTGCCTCATGGTACTGTCATTATTCACGAAGACGGACTCTGGTTTATACGGCTATTTCCCAAGCTTCATGGTCTACTGCATGAGCGTAGGGCAAGCTTTAGTTTTTGGATGTTTGGCCGTTCTCTGGCACCAGTCCCTTTATTCGGTTCTGGCGACTTGACAGTCTCCCCCCTAGGTGATGTTCATCTTCAGCGTGTATTCGATCTTGGAGCCGCCTATTTAATTACTCCAAGCTTCCTCGTCTCCGAACCGGGGCAAGCGTATACCTTCTTGAAATGGTTCTGGAATATTCACGTCAAAAATGACATGAGACGACCTAGAAAGTTGGTTCTCTGCGCAAAAGTGGACGAATGGATGCACAACCTAATCTACGAGAAGATGCTACTGAGGCGCACACTACCAGTTACAGCTTCACAAGAGGAACTGGAAGCTGCTGGTATATCCGATAAAGCAATTGAATGTCGAAACAAGTCTTTTAAACTTCTTCAGCAGCTTGTTTTTGATGCCGTCTATGAAAGAACTAACTACATTGTTGCTGCTCCTGAATCGATTGATGGCAACGATGAACAGAGCTTGGTTAACTGGTTTGGATACTGGTCTACTCTGAACATAGACCAGTTCCGCAGATATTCCGTTGTAGGTTCCGACTCGCAGACTAAGGTACGCCTCTCGAGGATCCTAAGAACACCAAATTACTCAAAGTCTATCATAACCGATCCGGACAGCGTAGAGTCAGATCTTACAGACAGCCTTGACTCTACTTTAGCCACGTCTCCTTCGGCACAACGGCCGAATCGAGATGATGAGAGCTCTCAGTTAGCATTTGAATTGGCCGAAATAGAGAAGTCGCAAAGGGGTGAGTGGTGTCCCGTGAAGCTGTTCTGGTTTCCAGTGGGGTACTCTACGTCGAATGTTTCGTTTTGGCTTGGGGACATCGACCCAAAATATAAAAACTATGATGAGTGGTTCAATCATTTCTGGAGAACCTTTAACACGGCCAGGCAAAGCCGGAATTCATATGCCGGATTGTTCTACACTCTTGACGAACGCCAGGCGTCATCATCGCGCGGAGTACACAATACCAAACGCTCGCCGTGGGCTGTTATATTCCGGGCTATAAGTCCGCATATACGGCCATGGAAAAAATCTGAGATGTTCATCTGGGACATACGTTATTCAAAGATGCTCAGTGAAGGTAAAAGCTTTTGCTACTCAGACCTTCTTGAATCCCAACAGCATTTGATAAAGTACTTAGAAGAAAAAACAAAAGGTATACTGGACCTTGAAAAAGTGTGGGTTGGTTCTTTTGGGGCTAGGGCTGGCTGTAGTGCTCTGGATGTCACAATGCGATGGCTTGATAGCTTGCTAGGGAAGGTTAGGGACTGGATACCTGCACCAGCTAAGGAAGTTCCTCTTAGGGGCTGGAGCTTGGCCACTCGTGAGAAGTTATCGGAAAACCAGAAGAGCGATGGGGTCGCTATGAATGACGATATCACGAAGATAAACTTGCCACTTCAAGAGGACACATTATCAACCCCAAAAATAATTTTCCATCCACCCAGCGGCAACAACCAAAAGCCGTATACAAGATGCAGAAACCGATTACACCAATGGGCACGAGAAGCAGATCCCAAGTTAGAAGGGACCAACTTTGAGTATGTTTTTAGGCCGACGATGGATTGGTACAGCGAGCAGTGCGAAGAAGGACGAGGGTTTGAGCACATCAAAGTTGTGCCTTGGGAAAGTTTTTTTAAACTGTACAAAATTGAGGAGTTTTTGCACAAAAAGGGTTGAGGGATTGTGTCGTCCGACATAACCCCAAGCATAAAGCGATTTGATTTTGCCTTTCTCTGTCCGTTTCTTTTCTTCCTATCCCTCTTCTGCTATTTTTTTTTCCCCCTTTATTTCTTTCCGTGTTTGTTGGTGGTTCATTTCTTTCTTTCTATCTGTTTATCTACTCCATCTGATGTACTTGAAGTGATCGCAATGGGGCATGGGAGAGAGCGATATATACGGAAATGCACCTAGCAGAGCAGCATACATGTCGACAGAAAATGTAATTATAGCTATAGGAAACACTATTGTCAAACTACCCTAAATCAGATCCTTACATGCTCTTATCAAGTAAATGCTCTATGTATCAAATCACAGCTATTGTATTAAAGAAAAACCATCTCCCCGGATAGGTAGGTGTTATTTCTGCCTCACCTGGCAGATGTAGGGAATGTCCGTGCACTCAACAAAACTCCCTTTATCCTCCTAATATTATCTCTCACTTTTCGAATCTCGTCTTCGGAGTCGGTCTTCTTCTTCTTCTTGTTTATATCGTAGGCACCGAATATCTCGGCATGATGGCCGTACGTCATAGTGTCAAGCTCATCGCGGAAGGTGTCCAAGAAAGCCTTGATATTTTCAGAGTCGGTGCTCTGCTTTTTGTAGTCGTTGGTGAGCCCTGTGAGAGACTTGGCTAGCTTTGAAAGACGGTCTGCTTGGAGCTTCGACTGGGCCTCATCTTTGCCCTTTGACGAAGAGGTGAGAGGGGAGGTTGTCTGCGTGCCAATGTCTCGGTGGAACATTTCGGAGGGGTCATCGACATCGTCGGCCTCTGAAGCAGCATTTGACCCAGTCTTGTTATATGATGGGACAACGGAGACGGTGCCTTCAAGCTGTGTGAGAATACTCTCTAGCTTCTTGGAGGTGGTCTCGTGCAGGTCAATCCGCGCGCTTGTTTGTTTCTCCACCATCGGCTCAACGGCGTATTTACTCGCGCCGTATAGAAGGGTAGAAAGGCCACCAAAGGCATAGAGAGTATTAAGGAGCCCGTTGGTCGTGACCAAGGGGGGGTCATTCTGCGGCTTGGTGAGGAACTCGGGATATGTCACTACAGGAGGCCGATCGCTTCCTGCGAGAATAGACGTCGGCGGCGCGGGAGCGGCCGGTGGTGTAGGGGCAAATGATTTTTCTAGCACTGATAGTGCTTTCTGGTTGGACTCCTGCGTCGTGGTGTTAGGCTCGGTCGTGAGGCATGCGGTCTTGAAACGACGCCCAGATAGAATTGCATTCTACTTACGTCTGTTGGGACTGAATCTTCCGTCGCTGATGGCTCTCCTTCAGGCTCGTTTAGAAGAAACTGGATATCTTCGTCTTCAACACCCTTTGATTTCAGAAAGTCGATCTTGACATCTCGCGGAGCAGTCTTGACGGCGTCATCCTCCAGGAATCGTCTCGCGACCTCCAGCTTATCTGACTGGGCATCTTCTGCTTGTGACTGCGGCGCATCAGCTGCTGGCTCATCGCTGGGCAGGTTGAGCTGCCACTTGGGCACGCTGTCGGTTGATGTTTTCCCCTCTGAGTCGTCCATTGGAAATTTATCTTGTCGGAAATTCACATGGTCTTCAGCTGAAGCGAAGGCGCATCAACAACATTTACACCCCGGATAACCAAGGAGCCGCCGGTTGGCCGGGTAAGATCCGGCTGGGACAGGCCTCGGCACATGCTAGACGCGGGCGCGCAATGATGGAGGCGCGGCTTAGTAACCACCTAGTTTAGTGTGCCTGCAGGTACTGCGTAGCATCAAGTGCGTTCTGCCATCTGCCAAAGTACAGCAGTACCAGATATATAACTTAGCAGCACTAGTCGAATTGGCCATGCAGGGCCATTGTAGGGATGCACAACTTGCCGTGATCCAGTATGACAGAAGTTATCCCCGAGCGTCCGTGGGTTTCACTATATTTGTACGATACAGCGATTCGCGGCAATAACATGCTCTGACAAGGCTCGTCAGTCGCGCATTGCCCAGAAGAGTACGGGCGACATCAAAGTATAGGTATTCGCAGATTTATATGGGGTTGGATGCAGTCAATATGCTGTGTGATAAATGACAGGCCATGATTATAAAAAATGACCATTGCTCCTTATGCGCATTTTGTCATCCATCAATACCTTTCTTCGTACTACCAGTAGGCAGTATTACTCCGAAATACCTTGGTAAAATACATGTATAAACATGTAGAGCAGGCTGAGAAAAGTCACAAAAGTGGGCCCAAGGGGCGAGCAAACTTCAATGTTCTGAGCCATCAGCGGCCTTCAGCACCATAAATCGCTGAGATTGCGATGCGGCCATTGAGTAAGTAAGACTGATAGCTGCTGAAGCAACGCGCACACATTGCGGCATCCTCAACCGGGCTCTTTCTCCCTTCTTCCAGGCGAATGAGATAAAAGCTCTCGAAGCGGCTTTCCCTTCATCCTTCGCGCATTGAGAACAATAACAGACACGCCTCTGAGTTTTGCTGCGGCTGGATCCTTGCGTTGAAAGCCGGGCCCTGGCAGCTTCCATCATCGCAGCAACTCTCTCAACCGCCATCGGATCCGACTCGCCTGCATCCTTGAGACACAGTAGCGTTGCATTGAGCCAACGGCTTGAGCTGCTCGTAGCACCCACCACCACTGGCCCGACGTGGTGCTGCTGACCGTCAGAGCCGAGCAAATCCCGACGACTGCACGCTGATCGCGGCATATCTGCTGCCAATCCAAGGTGGTAGTACTGATACCGCAAAGTAAGTACCTGCTCTCGCATACAAGCAACGCCTGCGGCACGCGTATCGTGATTGCACGGGCTTGGGACCAATAAGAGCAACTCCAACAACAGCCATCCTTGACCTATAAGGTGAGTAAGGCAAGCCGGGTACCTTGTACACAGTTCTTTTCTGTTTGATCAGTCCAATTGCTCTCTCGGCGGGTTGCTACTTGACCCCATCTTGCGCACCCATCACTCTGTTCGACAGGAATCGCCGGGGGCGTTATCACGGCCATTGGCTGCATCGTTGCACTTCCTATTTTGCCGCCGACGGTGGCTGTCAAGTGCGGCATCTCGACTCAAAGCGGCAATTGGCGAGAATCGAACATGCCACTGTCTCTTTCAAGCGATGGAGACGATGAAGTGGGCATTGGCCTACGCCGCATGCTGCTTTGGGCCGGCGCCACTCAGCAAGGCTGAATGCCGAATCAAAGACGTGGATGGTGGTGCGCAATGCACGCAGAGCGTCTCCAAGGCCCAAGGCCGCAGGGCGGTTGCTGTTTTGGGGCCTGGATCAGCCGGCACCACAGACACCGCTCGTGCTATGGCGTGGAAATTGCCTGAGAGAGGCTCGCGTCCGTCCAGAGCCCAGTTACGCGGGCCTGGCTTAGTGGCTAGACCCCGAGCTTATCCCAACTACATTACATGCCGCAGGTGCATGTCACCCAGGCACAATCATCATCCCCATCTCCGTCACGGTCGCAACGCCCGCCACGGCGACTCCTCGTCTGCAAAGGCCGCCGCGCACGACAAAATCCCAGACCCAGCAATATTGAAGCACCCCGGGCATCTGCGAGTGCAGGCCGCATATCATGTCTTCACGGCCACGGCGTTCTGCCGCCGCAAAGGCGAAGGAAGTCATTTCTGTCCACGCCAGATGGGCTGACATGAGCGAAAAGGAAGACACAGGTACTAGCATGTCATCACGACGGACAGGACGGGGCGCTGCCTCGCGCGATACGGCCTCATCGCCAGAAGAGACCCATTCCAGCGTTACAGTCAAGCTCCCCACTAGTAAACCACGGCAAAGCACCCGAGGAGGCAATCGCCGGGGGACCGATGCCTTTGAGGGCGGCGAAATTGTGCTCGGAAAGCGTAACCGTGGCGCTAAAAAGAGCTATGTAATCGACTCGAGTCCTGATGATGAAGATGAGGAAGAGGAAGAAGAGGTAGAAGTTGAAGATGACGATGACGATGACGATGACGACGATGAGGACGAGGAGGACGCGAGAGCAGAGGACGACGATGATATGGAAGAGCTTGGCGACGAAGATGCCGAAGGCGAGGATGAGATGGACGTTGATGCAGAAGGTGAAGATGACACTGACGTGGCGCCCAAAACGGCTGGACGCCCCTCAGCAAAGAACTCAAGATCTACCAAGCCCAGGCCTACGGTGAAGGTCACCACATCCAGGGCTAATCGGGATGATGACGAAGATGAGGAAGAAGATGACGAGCTTAGTGACCCTGCCGATAGCGACATCGGCGACGACACCATCGTTTATGGCGATCGGACAATGGGAGATGACGAAGATGCTGAGGGAGAAGAAATCGAGGTTGCTGGCGATGAGGATGACATTGAAGAAGAGGAGGAGGAGGAGGAGGAGGAAGAAGAAGAGGATGATGAGATGACTATGGCGCCAGGAGCAAACGGCGATTCAGATCTCGATAGTGAGGAGGGTAGCCGAGCGGAGACACCAGACCTCGCGAAAATGACCAAGCGACAGAGGGCTCGGTTCGAGGATATACCACAAGAGTTTATGAAATTGCCTGATGGTGAGTCTTCCTCATGCATCTACACATCTGTGTGAGACGCAGTGTACAAGGTATTTTCCCTTGATCAAAGTGCGCTTACCTACTTTTAACTACAGAGATTCAAGTTAAGAAGGTCTTTACCGCGGAAGAACTATCTATGCGTCGTCAGGAGATGGCGAGAAGGCGACGGAATCTCAGCGAGAAGCGGAATGAGGAAGTCAAAGTAAGTGACAAAATTTCCGCCTTTCTTGCTTCCACGTCCATTGATATACATATATGCATATAAACACGCGTATATATATATATATATATATATATCAACACACATCATTTTACACACGTCTATTGTGTATTACACTATTGCTAACACACTGCTCTATAGATGGAGACCATCAACAAGCTTTTGAAGAAGCAGGCCCCGAAAATTAATCGCAAAGCAGCTGCCGCGGCCGCGGCCGCTGACTCACAGGACCAGAATGCGCAAAAACCCGACCCTATCTTTATTCGCTGGGTTAGTAATAAGAGCGGCAGCCGAATTGCTGTTCCCGATGAAATTGTTGAGGGACCGTCTGGCATCCTATTCGGCGACAAGAGCCAACAGCCATCGGCTGCACCAGCAAAGCTGGTAACAGAGGTGGCTTAGAGAATAAAGCTGGAACAAGGCTGAAACGAGGCTACAAGAGGCTTTCGTATTCGAGCTCCTCATCGCTAGGCAAAAACGTAAATTGCCACAAGAAAGCAAAGCTTCGTATGTAATTTACGCTTTGAGGCCAATGACACTGGGATTTGGGTTCATGGGCGTGGCTAGAATTAATAATGATTAGAAAATTGGTAATAACTGCATGATAATTGAGCATTTTCAAAGTTTGATATCTCGCTAGCAATGCCAAGTAGTTGATCCTTGCGCATTCTGTGCGCTTTTCTTTTCCAGCCCCACGGTGTTATCTCGGGTAGAGATGGCGTGTACTGGGGCGAGGGTACTTGAAGATGCATGTATGCCTCAGATATGATGAAGAAGATGGTGAATTAGATGAAGTTAATAAGTATGAGCGGCTCACAAGGCGTCTGTGAAGCCATCGTCAGGGGGCTTGTGTAGCTTTACAGCAATGGAAGTTCATTTCTGTTACGCTGATATTAATGCTCAAGGCCTGAAGCTTAACGGGCTTCTAGAAATTTATAGTTTACTGTAGTAATGGAGATCGACTACTAAGCTGGTGGCGTTGATGGCTTGGTATCGCCATGGTAACTATTTATATAACGGACACTGAAACTTGGCCTACGGAGAACTACCAAAGATGAAATCTTGCTCAAACTCAAAGGCGTACGCCATAAGAGAGACACCTAACGGAGTCAGGCAAATAATAGAAGATTTAAGTGTAATGGTAATGCATTGATGCAGGCCCCCTCGTCCGCCAGCTGGCAAACGAAAACACTGCCGTAGAACGTGCGTAGATTTGGAGAAAGTTCAGTCCGGCTTCACAATTGAGTTAAATTGGTATTTGCATTGAAATCAGACGAAAAAAAAGCTCAAGCTTAAAACTGAAAAAGTAGTCTGGCCTTTGAGTTTTCCAATGGTACATGCATATAAGTATCTGCATAACCCTTCCTCCCCTTTCACTTCTCCTTCTTCCCTTTCTTTTTCCCCCTACAACCTTCTTCGCCAGAATAACTACTACCCACATATAACCACTTACAAACAAAATGGCGTATCGATTCAACTGCTTTACCGCCAATCCAGGTGGGCTCTACCCAGAGGACGTGTTCGGCATACTTGCCGGGCCCTCTCAAGACAACTCGGGTAATCGACAACCTGCTGAGCTCGACAAAGGCAACTCGAATGATCCGCCTATTGCACAATACAATCCACCTTTTCTCCCATCTTTTCGCCCAACTGCTTCTCTACCGCCTATTCCTTCATTTATTCTTAGAGACCAGCAAATCAAGCCAGACGAGTGGGAGATGATGGCACGCCGATTCGCAATTCCCGGCCAGCCTGTGCGCAGCCCTCCGGCATATCACTTTCCTCCTCCGGACGCTCCATGCTGGAATCGTAACCCAACACCTGCAGCCCAGCACCAACTTAGCAACAATACTCGGGGTGGGCAGCAAGAACATGAGCCGTTCACTTGGACCGTCGGTGGCAGTGGTGAAAATTGGCAAATACACCCGGGATTAGTCGAATTGCGTAAAATGGCGCGGCGCGAAGGTCTCTACCCTGGCGATTGGATAACTGCTGCGAAGGAGATCATGGTACTCCAAAGTCAGGTCAAAGATGGTATCATCCGCGGAGTTCCAGTTGTGCCTGAAATAAGAGAGCAAACGCTTGACCGGTTACAAAAACTAAGGAGCGCTTCGAGGAAAGAAATCGCCAACTTCAATGCCGCGATCGATAAGATTGTGGACGACGCCAAGGCGGCTCACGCTGCTGCCGTGAAGAAAGGCAAAAGTACAGCTGCGTATCCAACCGTGGTAGGCGCCAGCTTCTCGGATCCAGTCAAACAAGACACTGAAGCTGCTCTGAGAAACGAAGCCGAAAGGCAAAAAAATGCCGTGCTGGACAACCAAACCAAGCCTCCTCCATACACAAGGGGCCGCATCAAAAATGAACGCCGATTTACTCTTACCGACAAGAAACGAACCCTGTCCGATGGCGACAGCCAGTGCGAGTCTTACTAGTGCTCTGACGGTCACTGGCGTGTGCTGCAAGGGGAAGAGCTGGAAAGTGCTAAGAAAAGAACTGAGGCCCTCAAGGCAGGCTCTGGAGTTTCGGCCACCAAGGCTGACTTGAAGCGCAAAATCGATTCCAGCAGTGGCAAAAGTCGCAAAAGAATAAGATCTTCGGAAGAGGAGAAGGAGCCGGAGATGACTCTTCCAAAGACTGAGCCGGATTCAGCTTCCCCAAGCGAGAAAAGTACTGATACCAGTCGCACAAATGCCGATGATACACTCAGCTCTGTAACTACTGAAATGAGTACGGATCTATCTTTCCTAAGCGAGAACAGTAGTCTGTTGGATGTGTCACCTATTCCAACCGCTAGTGAGGGCACATCTCTTGCTTCGCCAGTTGTTGAAAAAGAGTTTGCTGATCTGCTCTGGCTTGACTCGTATATGAAGGACATCGAGTCGCCTTTCAACTTGTAGTCTTACCTGCTGGCAGCGCATGGTTTCTGAAGAAAGAGCGAGTAGTGAACAGACTAAGGAGAAAAGAAGAAAAAAAAAAGGAGGGGTATGAAGATGGAGAGAAGTAGGCATTGGATGGACAAATATTGAGTGGATAGGTATTTGATGGCTACCTACCGAGGTTTGAGTTACAGATGTACCTATTAGTGCCTAATGAGTGATTGCTGCAGTAAGGAAAATACCTTCTAGTAGCTGATATTCGCGAGATACAAGTATAAGGAATCATGATTCTCTGGAGGAAAACAAGGCAACAAAAAGGGGATACTCTTTGTGGGAGAAAGTTGGTATTCTTGACAAAGAGAGAAAGTATAAAAGAAAAGCAGTGGTCGTTAGGGGGTAAGGTTGGCGTTATAGATTTTTGCTTTAATTGATATGCTTGATATAAACATCATAAAACAATTCTCTCCATTCAATCATCGTGATTATATCACTTGCGCCTATCTGTGAATGCCAGCAACACTTTCTCGCCCGATCCAAGTTCTCGTTGTAGCTGTGAAAGTTGATTGAAGCAGAAAACAAAAGACACGTGTCTATTCAATTTTGTATTGTGTATGTTCATGTACTTGCATAGCTGCTCCTCTCTCTCTTGTTTGGCATGCTTGGTGTACATGAGATGTTGGGCCACAGTTAAGAAGGAAATAGAATAAAAGGGGGGTGTCATGACCTTAAACACATGGCTTAATTATTCCACACACTGTTATTATGCTATATGTGTTATTGTAAAGGTGGTTATACATATACTATATATATATGTAATGACTATACTGATTATACTGCATTTTCATTTTGCGTCTCAGTCCTTATTAGTCAGCGGGGATTATGCTGTAAGCGGTTGTATTCCACCATTGGTTCTAAGAATCTGGTCTTCGGAATAAGACAGGATGCCATATTCTTCATCCGAGGTCTCTTTTGAGTATTCAAGTAGGTATTCACACAATTCTTTTTTTTTTTTTTTTTTTTTGTCCAATAGTGAAACTACAAGCTGGGAGAGTTTCTGCCTATCAGGCTACAGTTTAACACTCTCTGCGTCCATCTCTCAACCCCACCCTCTTCTACATTAACGGCCTACTGGATAGAGTAGTACTACTACCTATTCAATTGTCACTTTGTCGTTTCTATCATTTTATTGTATACGTGTAATCGGTATCTTGGCTGTAATCGGGTGGAGGCGCAGGCAGCGAGTAAACTTTTGCCAAGAACCAGCTCTATTTGCCAAGGCTGTTGTAGCCGCATGTACTTTGCACTCCATACAGGCACCCCAGCTGTCAAGTCCATTCCTCTTTTCTTTCTTTCTTTCTTTTTCTTCCCACTCTTACACGGCCAAACAGCTCTCTGCTGTGGGTGTACCTGGACACGTGCGAGACCCAAGGCAGGAGGTAGAGCACGTGTTACCTCAATCTTTGCCCCCTCACAGGAGCTACTGCAAGTGCGGAGAATCAGGATCAAGCCTGGGCTGTGGACAGCGTCGACGTGGATGGGGACAAATGGCCGACTAGCATGTTTCGTGATTCATGATTCAAGGCTGCTTACGAAGTGAACGGCACGAACTAGTCGTGCGCGGAGGACAGGCGGTGCTGTTGTTTTCTTTTCTCTTCCACGGGGCATGGCACCCCCGCTCACGCATACCGCTTCTTACCAGTGGTGCCCCGTAGCTATTTGTCCATTGTCACCTGCAGTATGCGGCGTACAGTATGTAGTAGTATTGATGGCTCCGTTTCGTGATATCCCGGCATGTTGGACACTGCTTGCACACTCGTATTGGGGACTTACCAAAGGGGGGGCTCTGTTGAGCAGAGTCGCCATATACGGCAGACTGGCTGCTGCTGAAAGCGGCAAGTTAAACTTTGAGCACATGCTCTCAAACTAGCATCTGCTAGCTCTGAGAGGCTGCTGGGCTTGGCAGACGAGCATTGCCCTTTTTCTCCTTGCCTCGTTTTTTCAATTGCGGGGAAGACGGAAGAGGAGTGGAGTCGAGCAGAGCCGAGGGTCTAACGCTGAGGAGAGACGACGGTTGGGTGGCAGAGCTACATGTTGCTAGCCTGCATTTGGAGGGATGGATGCTTATCTGGACCTGCTGGAGCAGTGCCGCCGGCCGTTGGTCGCTCGGGCCTCGATGGCTTGAAGCTAAATGGTCGGGACCCGGAAGAGGGCCAGGACTGGGGGGGTGACACGGGCGATCGTTTGTTGTTTGTTCACGGCTTGGGTGGCGGGTGTGGCTGCGTCAAGGTTGGCATGAGCATGACTGCTGTATGCTGTAAGCTGGAGGCTGAGCACCAGGCCCCGCGGGATCCGTGACGCTGGTAAGAATACGACAAGGCGCCAGGGAGCGCCCTCATTGTAAACAATCGAGTGCCGAGCAACACTCCATATTCGTACAAAGCCATCTGCAGCGATAGCTGGGCGTCTGCAGGGGCTCCTATCCCGGGCGGGTTGATGAAGAAGGGGGAAGAAAATTTCATCATTTCAGATGCATGTGCATGCATGCAATACGCGGTGAGCGCCAAGTACCGGTGACCTGTACGGTGCATGGAACTTCTCGGTGACCGCGAGTACTTGTACACGTAAGACCATGTCGCAGCATCTGCAAGCTGGTGACTCACGCTTACTGGGCAATTATGCAAGCACTCGGATCTCGGGGGCATCCGTACAAAGCAGTAGTAGCAGCCTTGGCTTCTAAAAAAAAAAAAAAAAAAAAAAAAAAGATGACAAACATACGCGTGCTTGCCTGAGCGTTTGTTGCCATCGGGGCTGGGGCCTCTGCGGGTTTGACGAAGTACTTGCGAGTTGCATGTCACTATTGATTGCCGTTGACGCAGGCTAGCGCACAGTGCAGGTATGTTGACTCGGGCAGAGTTGAGTTGAGCTCGACCCTGTGCCTGTCACTGAACGGAAGGTGAATCGAAAGGGAACTGATTTCTTGCCGGAAGCAGAATCAGGCCAGGCCAGGCCAGATCAGATCAGACAATGCTACTCGGTCGCGGGCCCCGTGATATCAAGATTACTAGTTGGTGCAGCGCAAATCGCATCAGCCAATGCGCCGATCAGCAAATTGGGTGGTGCCATGCCGTGCCATGATGCGAAATGCTATGGACACGGAGAATCCCGTCCGCAACCTACGTATGCACTACTAACTGCTTGCAAGCAAATTTGCAACAGGACAAGATAAAACAGAAAAAAAAAAAAAAATCAAACAATAATACTTTGCTAGCGCCGCTGCTAATAAAAATTTCAACAGCCGGGTCACACGACGACAAGCCCGTCCAGCCCTGCTGGCCCCACTGCCGATTGCCTGTCGATGCGGTGATGGTTCGTGATGGCGGCGTCGACGCACATTAGCACCAACTTACGAGGGAGAGCCCCCAGAACGGGCAGCGGTAGCGTCGCCAAGCGATAGCCATGTACCGACGCCGTCTCCGATTTCAGCCCCGAAAGCTGCGCAAGAGACAAGTCCCGCGCTATCACCGCCTCCCCCTCTTTGTGTTGTGCTGCAATGCGGCTTCGCTCTCCTCCTCACAGCTCCAGCGGGGCAAACCAGACATGCTGCCCTTGTGCCCTGTGGTCCCCCCCCCGTCAAGCGCTTGGGGGGCGAAAAAGGCAATTTTTTTTTTCCCCTGCTACTGTAGACGACGGTTGATGCCTGACCTTGACCTGGCCTGATTGCGTCCTCTCGTGATTAATCTCTTGCATGCCCGACCCGGCAGGCCTCCAGCTGCAAATCCCCGTTTGCTTGACCTGATCGCCCGGCCATTGGTGCTGTCGGGGATCCAGCATCTGCTACCCGTGGCTTGGCTGTGGCTCGTGTGCCCAATCGTGTGTAAAGCAGCCGGCCATCGCCATGTCGTCGCCGTCGGTGGCAGCAGCAGCAGCGATGCCTGTCGCCACAGCATCTGCCTCTGCTTCTGCTTCTGCTTCTGCTTCTGCCTCTACTTCTGCCTCTGCTTCTTCTACCTCGCCGCGACTGTCCTCTTCTCCTCATTCATCCTCATCCAGCGATACCGTCACCTGTGCTCCCTCTGCATTCTCGCCGTCGTCTGGCACCGCCTCGGCACTCGACAGTCACCACCACGCAACGGTCCTAGAGCGGCTAGTTTTGAACGGTACGTTTTGTGCATCGATTGCCCAGTTTTGCTGCATGCCTCACCGAGCCGAGTGCTTGCTTGCTTGTCCACGCACTCTCCTCTCCTGTGCGACCATCGCCATCATCACCATCCAAGACAGGGCACTACAGTATCCGTCAAACGTCCTTGCCTCGCATTCCACATCCCAAGACACCAATCCTCCTCCTGATCCTGCGTCATCTCATCTCACCTCCCCTTGCACTGTACTTTTTAGCTTTAGCGTTTTTCAGCCACCATTTGTGGCCAACAGCTTGTATCGACGACTAGCTTGATATGTCATTGCGATACAAGCTCCTCGCCTTCCGAGACATGCATCAGCTGGTACTTAGCGGTACATAGCTTCAGGCTTGGCACCGCGAGGCTCCTCACCTCCACTGGGGTACGGAGCAGTACATGGCAAGACAACATCTTGGCTTCGCCTCTGCAACCTCCCCCAAGCATCCTTCTATATTCCTATTCCTATTCCTACTCCTATGGCCCTGCCTATTTCTTTCCCTCTATTTTCCTAAGCCGCCCTCGCTCAATTGCTTCTTTCTGCTCTTTATCTCATCGCTGTATGTCCTGTCTCCTTCACTGTTTTCCCCGCCAGCATCTATTAATGCCACCCCATTCTCCTCTATTACTGAGCAGCCGGTAGTCCAGCGCTCTCTTCATCTTGTCTGCCTGGATCGTATAGCTAGCCTTAAGCTGAGGCGGCGGTTGTTGAAGCCACTATACACCCACTTCTCTATTAGCAGAGGCTCATACATCGAGAGCATCAACATTGGTGTGTTTTGCTTGTCGGGCATTGCTGCTCCCCCGCCCTGGCCTCGTCTCATCTCACATCATTTCATGATTTGGTTCGTTTCATTCATACTTTTTGCTTGCTACGCCTTTAGCATACTTCTCATCACAAGCTTCAATGCTCAGCACTAGTCGCTCTAACCGCTCCCCATCCATGTTCCATGTCACTTACACCGCCCCCGTCTAACCCTTTTGCTACTCCCCTTTCGCTCGGATACATTAACCTTGGCGGCATATCGTCGATAAAACAACAAGGTGCTGACGTCTTCTTTGCCCGATCTCTCAGACGCTATAGATCTTACTGCCGATTCTAATCTCGGGCACCGGCCACCACCACTATCTTTATCAGCAGAAGAACAGAACACCACCTCTTCACTGCCGGCTTTTTCAGTCCCAGAAGCCATTTCCTCCGCTGCAGATCCTGACACTGCCATGATCTTCTCAGACTTTTACAAAGGGCGACGGTCTCCTTTATCTCGGCTCCGTGGGCAGAGCCCCCAACCCTCGGCAAACTCACCACCTTGGCTTGTTCCTGAATACATAGACCTGTTTAGCAAGGACAAGTACAGGCAAAAGGATACTATAAAGAAATATCTGGCCGCCAAGGTGAAGAACAATTGGAATTTTCAGTGGTCACCGCCCCGCAAATCTAAAGCCAACGTCATCGAGAAACCCTGTGACACAGACGAGGAAAAGAAACCTTCCGTCAAGGAGTCCGAACCCCAAGCGATTAGGGTTGATTCTGCTAAAGACATACGGGATGATGACGCCGACGCCGAAGCCCACGTTGACAGCAGTGCATTGAGCGACAATGCTTCAGATCACGAGGACGTGGACGCAGATAACAACGACGACGACACAGACTCCATCTACAGCCTTGTCTCCGAAGATCCCGTAAACTACCGTCCTCGTATGGACTGGTATTCTGATCTTTCTGAAGACGAAGCTACCATTACTTCAGTAATTGAGGGCGCTGATTGCCCAGCCAGGACTTCAGCCTTGGAGAAGAAAGCACAGCGCCGGAGGGCTGCCCGAGAGGAAATGGCTTGGAACGAAGGTCTAGCGTGCTTCCAGGCGCGGCGAGATGCTTGGACCGGTGCAAAGATGGCTCGAGTGCGCAGCAAACCAATTGCTTCGCCTCCGGTATCTCCTCGCTCTCGACGTTTCTTCTTCCGCCGTTCCATATCAGGGTCGCCGCCTTCATTATCTTTGATCAAGTCCAATTCCCACGCTGATAGCCGCTCAGGCACAGCCTCAGACGCGTCTTCCCTAGTAAGAGACGATAAGGATCTCAGCAAGCAAGGCTCTAAAGATTCTGACCAAACCCCCGACCGCCTATTCCCTGTCGAGACGCTACTTCCTATCCCTCACCCGATTCTCCCCCCTACCAACGGTTTCCGAGCTTCTATTACCCCAGCGATTTATCTAAGCCTCTACGACAAGGTTATTCTCAATAGCCTACAACCATCATGCCCCATCAACTTATCCGACATGATCCGTTCTTGCGTTATGGGGTGGAAGCGTGATGGAGAGTGGCCTCCCAAACCATCGGGTCCCGAACCCACAATCGCTGCAGGCCGGCGTAAGAAGGCCAAGATGGCATCGGGGACTACAGGAAGCTCTATTGGCGTTACCGCTCGCAGAATGAGTCTTGGCTTATTAGGACGTGACAAAGATGACAACGGCATAAGCATTCGCAAGAGTCTTCAGAAGGCTCTTGGTTTGGGAACACAACCGGGAAACCCACAGCATTGATTGGTATATCTGGAAGGGTGATGGTTGCTTTCGTCAGCAGCCTAGATTGGACGAAAAACCGGTCTCCGTAGGCTATACAAGGACCCAAGCGCAGGAAATGATATGTAATGGGAGGCAACGGCGTCTTGAGAAACTGGAATTTGCCATTTGGCATCATGAGTCTTGGGTGCTTTTTGTTTATGGTGTACAGATATCGCTTCGTGCGATGGCCTCTCTTATATACCCCATTCAGCGTTTTCACTTTGGCAAGGAAATGGCACTGGATGGCTATAGCAGATCATGTTTTTTTCTTTTCTTTTCTTTTTTTTTCGTTTTCCTTTTGTTGGGACTTTGACTTGGGTTATGAGAAATGAATATTTACCAGCGTCTCTACAGTAAGCCGCGATTTAGCCTTTTTTTTTTTTTTTTTTTTTTTTTTTTCATCATTGAATATGTGCCACGAGACAGTCAAGTTGGAGAGTTTTAAAGTTTTTAAGTCTTAAAAATTCCTCATTGGATGGATATTGAAGAATACTTGGTTACGGCATATCCTAAAATTGCTTCTTTTTGACATTTCTCTAATATTCTCCAAACTCTACTCTATAGGCATATGAATAATATACAAACCAAATCACTCACATTCGTTTCCAAATAGCTTGGCGTGAGGATCCTTTAACAGCACTCCCACGGCGGTGACCAAATCATCTAACAACCCTCTAGCATATCCGCCCCAGCTCTCATAAGTAACAATTTCCAGAGTCAGTTTGTTGCTATTATCGTGGACGAATGCTTGAATCTTCCACTCGCGCAGTGGCTCTTCGTGGGGGTAAACAGTCTCCAAACGGCCGCTTCCTGCAGCAGCAAATGCCAATTCTTCGACGTGCTCGACGTCCTGGTGGACAACGGAATCAAACCACAAGTCTGAAGCTCTACAGCCGCCGGTCGATAGCCAATCTGTGCCGCACACGGTTGCTATCTCAGCGAGGCTGATGCCCTCGTGAGCAGAGCTGGCTATGTGCTGATGCTGGACGCCAGAGAGGACTTCCAAGGCAGTACAGCCTGGGGGGAAGCGAACGCGGACGGGAATGTATTGCCAGCAGGGGCCGGTGACTGCGTTGGCTGCACCGTAAGGGAAGTCGATGTTGCGGCCGCTGACGACTTCGCCGAAGGTGACGTCTCTGAGGGATAGGCGGCGGGCAAGGCACAGGGCCCATGCGGCAGTGGGGAGGGAGGCGACGGTGATGTCGCGGAGGCGTGAAGAGATGTCGACTGTTTGCTGGATGGCAAAATGGTTTCGACGCTGGATGGGAATTTCAGGCTTAAGGACGGTTAGGGAGGAGCCGGAGAGGAGGTCTGTCCAGTAGGGGATGCTTGCTGGCAGGTTCTGTCGAAGGACGCTGTGGACATAGGCGGAGAACGGAACGGTCTCCTGGACGGGTTTGTCTTCGTAGAGGCTTGATAGTTGCTGGAGCATGATGGGGAGACATATTTCATCGTATTGGGCGTGGGATAGGCGGAAGATGAGGCATGACTGGCTGCTCGACTCAACTAAGAACCATTTCACGAAACTCGAGCCGAGTGGTATTCTCGTCAAAGCGTCTAGTTGACAGAGCTGCTTTGCAAACGTTTCCACGTCATCGCTATCTATTGCGTATTCGGCAAAATGAGGCACGAGCTCTTCGAGGACGACGGCGTACCCGTCACTTTGGTACTCTGCGAATACAGTTCGCAAGATCTCGTTGCGCGCGACAAGCTGCCTACAACTCTCTTCCATTTTGGCACGATCTATGGCCTTGTCGAAGTACATGAGCTCGTATCGTGCTGAGAAGCGTGGGAGCTGAGTTGTGCCCTTGACGGCAATTTGCTGTAAGGGGCGTGTAGGGAGGACGTTGCTGATGCGCCAGGCCGGATCGGACAGCTGAGGTGCGATTGTATCATTAATGAAGCGTTGCTTTTGGTCTTCACCTCTAAGACTGAGCAGTGAAAATGGCTCTAATTCTGCGCCCTCGACGGTAGTTGTGTCCGTAGATGATGCGGGCCTCTCTATCTCTTCCATAGCGTTGGCCATTTCGTACAGCGTTCTCTTCTGGAATATCTGGGCCACGGTTAACTTGACCCCCTCTAGCCGAGCTTCTGATACAAGCTTCATAGCTGCAATGGAATCACCACCGAGAATGAAAAATCCGTCGTTTAGGCCAATATCGTCCTCGCTCATACGCAGCACACGAGCCCATAGGCTACGAAGCTTGCGTTGTCTGCTGGAGCTTGCAGAAATTCGGCTCTTGATCACTCCTGCTGGTGGCGCTGCAGCGTTTCTTTCACCGGTAGTATCGACTAATTTGATCCGAGCCGGCTTTCGAGTTGAGTCGTATCTGGCCAGTTGCCCGGTTTTGTATAGTTTACCCTGCTCGGAAACCTTCGAGCCGAATACTGCTTCGAGCCAAGCTGGTGGAGAGACTTCCATTAGGTTAGATGGATCTTCAGAACACTGAATGACAAGCTCTCCCATGGCAGAAACTGGAACGAGTTGATTTGAATCATTGAAATCCACAATATAGGCCGCCTGAACGCCAGGGTATTCCTTTGTTGCATCACTAAAGTCTGCATCAAAAATTACGTTTTGAAGCTGCCCAATATCATCATCAGTCAAGGGCGGCCGAAGACTGCCGACAGAGACCGAGCTTTCTCTGCACAAAGACTGCGCAATTTGTCGAAACTGGTCCAAGACTCGCTGCATCACAGTTACCGAAACTGTTTTGGAATCGAAGCTGGCCATGACAAGGAATCCTCGCGGATCAATAGAACAGACCAGCATTAACGCGTAGGTGTTGAACTTGAGAGCCTCTTGGGCAGCTTCTGCATCTCCAGCCGGGACAAGACAGCTCGCTGGGAGGTGGCTGAACTGAGTAGGATCTTCTTCACTCTCAGCACTTGGGTGCAGCACCAAGCCTGTTCGGAGCTCGCATGCGTCGAAGGCATCAGGACTGAGCTTTCGTATGTGTTGTAAGCCGAAATGCTCGTGAGGTATCTGGTCCACCATTTGCTCTTGGATGGTTTGGAGATAGTCTGAAACAGGAATATCTCGATCTACTTGAACCCGCACGGGAACGGTTGTAATCATTGGCCCTTCAATCTCTTCCGACCCAACGACGGGTGCATTTCGACCGGTCAGCGTCTCCCCGAAGACGACGTCGGTGTTACCGATGTATTGTGATGCCACAAGAGCCCAAGCTGCACGGATAATTGTCGCAGTAGTAGCATTTGAAGCATTTTTCTCTTGTAGAGGCACATATTGCTCTAGCAACGAGTCCGATTGTGGCTGATACCCTTGCCAAGGCAGAGGTGGAAATTGAGAAGGATTGGCGCCATGAAGCTGTTCCCGCCAAAAATTGGCTGATTTGTCCATCTCCAAGTTTGCCAGATATTTAATAAAGTGCTTAAATCCTGCAGGGCGTGATACTGTTTGGTTCTCGTAGGCCTTATTTACTCGATCGACAACCAAGGGCATAGACCAGCCATCATACAGAGCATGGTGAATTGTGAGCACAAAGTTCACTTTCCCTGATTTGCCATCGTTTATAATAGCATAGCGCACAAGAGGCTTTCCTAGTTCCATCGCGTCATTCCTATCATTGACTAGATATTCGTCGAGATTATTTCCAGAGAAGACATTTAATCCTCCCCTTATGATGGCTTGAATGAGACCACGTCCAGGGACTTGCACGATTCGCGTCCGCAATATGGGACTATCATGTTGTGCGATGTCGAAGGCTGTGATTAGCTTCTCAGCCGTAGCAGTGTCCTGAAGCTCCACCACTCTCTGAGCGACATACGCCTCTTTAACCTTGGCGGATAGAGCCATGAGCGCTTCCTGGAGGGGCGTACATGGATACGCATCTTCTAGGATGCTGGCTTCCACGCCGCACAGAGCAGATATCTCATTTTTCGCATTTTCCATGTCCCAATCTTTTTCTAATAATGAGAAGGGTGAGATGTCTTCCACAGAGGACTCCGAGATCTGAGTAGCCTTCGACGCCATGTGACTCAACGTTGGATTCGTGAATATATTAGCAACCGTCAAGGCGATTCCATTCGTGCGAGCCGCAACTACAAGCCTCATGGCACGCAAAGAATCGCCTCCTAGCGCAAAAAAGTTGCTCTGTCTGAAGATTTTTGCATCTGATCCGAGTACTTCAAGCCATGCTTGCTGCAATTTCTTTTCCATCTCAGTTTCCGCCTCTTCTTCTTCTTGAGCTTCAGTCGCTTGCATTCGGCTGAAAATTTCGCGCGGTATCGATGCCCCAATCTCACGCAGCTTCTTCCTATCCGTTTTACCAGACACTAATGAAGGCATATGTTGAAGAGTCACGAAAGCCGCTGGAATCATATAACGTGGTACTCTGGAACCCATGACAGTGCTGACTGTTGTCAAAACAGTTTTCAGTTCCGGCGAGGGATCTACAATGACCGGGTCTACTCCAGAAGTGCCCACGGTAGCGGATTCTGAGAGAAAGGCGACAAGGGAAGGAGCACCGCCATTCTCTGGCTTTATTACCTCTGCTGCGACCTTGATTCCGTTTGGCAAAGAGGCTCGTAAGTGATGCTCGACTTCTGCAAGTTCGACTCGCTGGCCACGCAGCTTAACCTGTTGGTCTTTTCTGCCCACAAATTCTATGGAACCAGAGCCGTTGCTCTCATATCGTACTAGGTCCCCTGTTTTATATAATCTGCCAGGCCGACCGGGGAAGGCCTTGTAGCCAGATTTGAGCCATGTTGGATCTTCGATAAAGACCTGCGCTGTTTTTTCTAGCTCATCAAGGTAGCCAGCACCAACAACTGGACCCTCAATAATAAGCTCTCCAACGGCTCCAACTGGCATGAGGATGTTGTGGTCATCGGGGTCGACAATCCAGGTAACGCCGCCAACGCCTTTACCGATGCCCGTGGAGATGGTAACAGTATTGTTGATCGTGCATCCGACGGTACACTCGGATGGCCCATACGCAATGATCAAGCTTGTGTATTTACTCCAAGCCGCTGCATCACTTGCAGATACTGCCTCGCCACCTAGGCCTAAAACGTCCAGAGATGGAATGATGTCGGCATCCAAGACTCTGGCCACAGAAGGAGTCATGTGGACCATATTGGCCTTGCTCTGACGAATGGCACCACTGAGATCGTTCATCCTAGCTTCCTCAGAAGGTACGCATATCTGGCCACCAGTTGCTAATGTGCACAGCATGCAGTCGATGCTCACGTCAAAAGCATAAGACGGGAAATCGAAGCATCTAGAGGTTGATTTGTAGCCAACGGCTTCTGCTCGAGGAATCGCACCGCTGGTATAATTGGCATGGGTAATAACAACCCCCTTTGGCTTGCCTGTACTTCCAGATGTAAAGATGACGTACATTGGCGTTTCTGCGGGCACTTGTGGCAGGACTGTATTTGGTTGTGATCCTTTGATGCTATCAAAATAATCTCGAGATATTGCGAGCACTTGGCCTCCTTCTCTGGATATCTCTTTGCCAAGCTCGCTCTGAGCTACCGAAGTGATAACGAGGTCTGCTCCTGTCTGCTCGACAATTGTTTGCAGCCGTGCTACTGGCTGACTTGGGTCTGTTAGAGAGAATGTCGCACCTGCTTTCATGACAGCTAGTACCGCGACCACGGTCCACATGGATTTTTCGAAGCATAGGGGGATCCGGCTGCTAGCTTTTAAATTTCTTTGTAGAATCTGTCTGGCGAGTTGTGATGAAAGGTGTTCTAATTGTTGATATGTCAAGGACCCATCCCATGATTCAATCGCAATCTTGTGTGGTTGCTGGCGAGCTTGTTCAGATATGATATCATGCATGCAGCTTTGTATAAGGGAGGGCACATGCTGATTCCAAGTCCATAGCTGTTCGAGGTCTGTAGCGCTGATGATGCCATTCTGATTCGATGCCACTTCACTTTGGTGCTTAGGAGCTACTCTCCTTGCCTCTTCGATGCTTGAAATCGCCTCCGTGGCGAGACTAGGAGGAAAGTTCATCGAATTGGTGTCACCAATGCCATCTCCATCGATAGCCATTGCGTCCGCCTCTGCTTTGATTAGGGCAGCTAGACTTTGTGGCGGTATTGCATGAGTGGTAAAGTGTGAAGCTTCGCGATTCCATATGCAACGAATGAAAGGAAATGCGCCTGGATATCAGCTGTATAGCGCAGGCCACCGAGGCTCAAAGCCACAAGCAAGTCAACCGATGCCATTTCTCATCTCCGATGATGCCCGCACTTTGGAGCCAAGTTAGGCACACCAACTGCTACCAATTACTCACGCCAATACAGTGCTGCGCTTTTTCGGATAAATTGCAATAGCCATGATGCACCAAGTTTCCAAATTGACGCTTGAGATCATGTAGGAATACATGGCGGGTGCGAGGCGTGCAATTATCATGCACGACCGGGATCATGGCCCTCGCGACCCCATCCAGAGTGCCATGGAGGGGGTTTGCATAGCAATGGACTTGTTGGTACGTCCAAAGAACCTTTTCCTGCTCACGGCCTAAACGGCGGATCAGATAAGCAAAAAGAGCCAGTCTAGTGGAGCAGGCTGGGCGGGCGGGGCGTGATTACGTTGCTTTTAGCCTCGTGATGGGGCCCGGGACGATCTGATAACTTTTTTCCTCGTATCGGCAGTTGATTGGTGTTGTGTGACGCAGGTGGGTGGGGAGTTGAGGAGAAGAGAGAAATTGGTGCAACAAGAGGTGGAGGAGGAGGAATGGGGAAGAAGGAAAGAAAAAAGAATTATGCGAATCCGCTCAACGGAGTTGCCAAGACGCGGCATTTTGAGGAAGGAGGTACGACTTCCGCCGACGCTGATCTTTGAAGTATTTGCTCTGGATATTTTGCAAGGCATTAAAGGCATTCTGGGTGTCTCGAGGTGCGCAAAGTCAGAGAAGGGAACATGTCGAACTGAGAGAAATCTAAATAAAAAAGAGCAGATGTTTGTCCTTCTACCCGAGATCTCAGTATACGCCCGCAGACAGTCGTGGTGCCAAGCACACTGGAGTAAATTGTGCATCAAAATCACCTCATTTATTGCGGATACTACTGCAATATACACTAGCTGTCAAGTGCCTAGTAGCGTGGAGGAAATAATTATCTCAACATCTCCATGTGGAAAGCGTCCATCACATGCCAATTCCGGCTATTGCAGCTACACCCCTTCCCCTTGTTCATCATCCACCAGGTGCGGATACTTGTGCTTTGGCCCAGAGCGACGACTACTCTACGGGTTTGGGCCAGGATTAAGATCTGATAAGAAAATTTTTCACGAGAGAGCAAGGGCCGGGACCGATTTCGGTACCTTGTATTTGCCAACAGCGTATTATTCGAGCTTCTGATTTCGAGAAGTGGACCTTTTGGATGCTCTTCCAAGATGAAATCTTATCAGATCATCTGATTACTGGATCTATGACTCTAGACGCCGCGGAAACGCCGCACAAATGGGCTTGGCTCCTGGTAATAAACTCGGCAATTCTCGGATGTTTGGAGAGTTGAACGGGGCTCTGTCAAAATTTGGTAGCTCGTCCTTTAGGCCTGGAAATGGTGTCAAGCTTGGCCTGCACCTTAGATTAAATGATGTACATGAAAGCTAGGCTTGTTCAGACCAACTGAAGCAAATGTTGCAAATAGTAGCTGGAGGTAGTGGGTCTAGGATAAACAGTTAGAATGTAGCGATGCCTATGGTTATGTAGGTTGGCCGTCAACCAGCAATCCAGAGATGCGTTATAGGCCTACCACCTGAGTGTGATTGACGAGAGCCTCAGAGAAGCTACCACTATAGCAGTCTTCACACACAAGACACACAAGTCTCTTGTCCAAAGCCTGCCATAATGACTTCACAATCAACGGCTATTCAGCCATTCTCTACACCATCCACCCAGAAGCTCTCTATTCTCCATGGCCCCTCTGATCCTCCTCTCGTCGATCTGACACTTGGTGAGCTTCTTGAGCTTCAAACGTACCAATACGGCACCAAAGAATGTCTCGTTATTCCATGGACCGGCGCGCGATGGACATATTATGATCTCAACCAGCAAAGCTCGGCATTGGCCCAGTCCCTGTTGGGTATGGGCATTGGAGTCGGCGACCGCGTTGGCATCATGGCTGGCAACTGTGAGCAATATGCCGCAGTATTCTTTGCCGTCGCCAAGATTGGCGCCATCCTCGTCATCTTGAATAACACTTACACGGCAACCGAGGCCAAGTACGGCCTCAACTTTTCAGATTGCAAGGTGTTTTTTACCACAAAGACAATTGGCCGTACAGACAACACTCGGCTGCTGCAGGACCTGCACAATGAGGCTTCTCCGATCAAAGTCGTCATCTTACGGGGGGAGCGCGGCAATTACACGACATATGATGAGCTCGTGAAGGCAGGCTCTCGAAAAAACCATGATAGGCTACATCGAGTCATGAGCAAAGTGCTACCTCACCAGGTTGTCAATCTGCAGTTTACGAGCGGCACGACGGGTTTGCCAAAGGCGGCAATGCTCACTCACCAGTATGCTGAGCCCTCCTCTCTTCCTAATTTTCAGATATTCGGTTGCTGATGTGCTCCTTTGAATAGTAATTTGGTTAACAATTCTCGGTTCATCGGCGATCGAATGCGTCTAACCCATGAAGACGTCCTTTGCTGTCCGCCACCGCTTTTCCACTGTTTCGGTCTTGTCCTTGGACTTTTGGCGATTATCACCCACGGTGGAAAGATTGTCTATGCAGCTGAGGTCTTTGACATTCCTTCTACACTAAAAGCCATCTCAGACGAAGAATGCACCGCTATCCACGGCGTACCAGCCATGTTCGATTCCCTGTTCCAAGCTGAGCTTCCACCCAATTTCAAATGCGACAAGCTCCGCACGGGCATCATTGCCGGCGCACCGGTTCCACGATATCTCATGGAACTTCTGGTAAATCGCTTTGGCATGACCGAATTCACTAGCAGCTATGGCCTTACAGAGGCTTCCCCAACGTGTTTCAATGCCTTCACCGACGACGCAATGACAAGGAGATTGACCACTGTGGGCACTCTTATGCCTCATGCGCAGGCCAAGCTTGTTGACCGTGATGGCAATATTGTTCCCATTGGAGAGAGGGGAGAGCTTTGCATTGCTGGCTACCAATTGCAAGCCGGATACTGGAATAACTCGGAAAAAACCAACGAGACTATGGTGCGAGACGCTGCGGGTGTCCTGTGGCTGCACACAGGCGACGAGGCCGTCTTTGACGAAGATGGATACTGCTCGATCACAGGCAGATTCAAGGACATTATTATCAGGGGTGGTGAGAACATTTATCCTTTGGAGATTGAAGAGCGTCTCATGGGCCACCCCTCCATCTCGCGTGCAATCGTCGTCGGGCTCAAGAACAAGCACTACGGAGAAGTCGTCGGAACATTCCTCGAGCTAGGCGATGGCCATGGCAAGCCTACAGACCAAGAAATTAGAGATTGGGTCCGCAAAACGCTGGGAAATCATAAGGCTCCGACGCATATATTCTGGCTGGGTCACGATGGTGTGCCTGCGGATGTGCCTCTGACAGGAAGTGGGAAAATCCGGAAGTTTGAGATGGCGAAGTTGGGTGACGAGATTTTGAGCAAAATGGCTAAAACATCTAAGCTTTAGATATGTGATATATAGCGTAGAGGATAGAGTGTTTATAGAATTGACTGTAGATGTTTAATATTCAGTAAAATTTATTGAGTTATCCAAAACCATTAAACACCTGAGTCATGTCTTTTGTATATAAGTACACTGAGCTCAAACCCAATATGGCGATATATCTAAAGACAAACATCTAGCTATTTATCCACGTATTTACAACTTTGGCACTAGCCCAATCCTCATTCCGCCAACCGCCTTTTCGTTATCACCCAGAGGGCACAGCTGGAAGAAGCGCTCTCTGTGGCAGCGCACAAATGCGCTACGCTTGTGCGGCAGATCGACAAACTTATCCAGGCCAAAACCATGGATGAGGTCGTACATGACGACTGTGGAGTTGCTGTCTTTGGGCTCGCCCACGACATACATTGTTCGGGGATCGTCAAGGTAGAGATAATGCATCAGGCTACTCCACCAGGCCGACACGCGGTGCGGACCTCGGAAACGAACATCGCCGACGAGGGAATGGCGGCCACGGTCGAAGTCGCCGGCATCGTAATAGCTGCCGAGTCGATCCTCCTAGGGAATTAAGTCAGTATGCTTCATTCTGAGACATTGCAGAAACATGGTACTAGTCTTACCTTGGCCCAGTAAATCTCAAAATATGCAAAGTATTCGTCATCCCACTTGGCTAAAACGGCAACTTGATGCGGGTCAACGTGCATTTTCCGTAGATACTCTCGGTGTTGCTCCAAAGTGCCCGTCTCGTTCCAGCCTTGAGATACTCGAGGATCGTTTTGCCACTCGTGGAATAGTCTCAAATGCTCAGCATCTTGCCAGTCAAGTGATACCATCGAAAATGTTTCTTGTAGATGCGGGATCCATCGACTGTAGATCACAGCGCCTGGAGCTGGCTTGGCGGGCCGAATGGGATGCCACGTCTGCTGGCTGCGATCAGGATCTTGGGGATCGCCGGCCGAGGTGATGGTCATTGTATGTTGGAGAGGAGTGATGGGATACGAGTTTAGAGGGCTCGACGCTGGCAGAGATGAAGGAGACTCCTCAGGGCACCAAACAGGTCGAGGTCCAAAAGGAGACCCGGCGCCTTGCCAGAAAGTGGCTCGCAAAGCCAAGACGACATCTGTATCTGTAGTTGTAGACGGGCCTGGCTTCTCTCGAGGGCGCAGTGGATGATCCGTGGCAAGCGCAACATCCTTCAGCTGCTGTCCCAGGACAATGGCATTTGCTCCCCTTAGCTCTAGTCTGAGTGATTCAGTAGAAGGCCGCGTTGTGAATAGTACGTAAAGGATCATCCACGCTTGCGCCAACGTGGGACGCTCCGTAAGACCATCCCATGATATGGTTGCGCCTGGCGATCGTCTGGCGCGTGCCCAGGCGCTATTGTTCGAATGCGGTGGCAGCTCACTTGATTTGAGATCAATTGGCTCAGTGAAGACGGCCTTGGATGTATGAAGCTCGACGGGGGGTTTCTTTCCTGAAGAGACATTGGGCTTGATTTTCAATTGATATTGTTCTGCACCGTCGTCCCCATTCTGCTGTGACGAGACTTTTTGGATGGAGTATTCGGTATGGTAGGGATGCGGAAGCTTGATCACAGTCTGATCAGGAGGTATTGAAGAAAGAGAAGCAGCAGCCATTGTAGCTCGGCTTTGCAAATTAACAGATATAAAACCAAAATGAGTAAGATTAACAAGAATGAAAATGAAGAACCCGGTGATACCGTAGTACTCAAACAATGGTGATGTATATGGTAGATTGATAATAAAACAGGAGAAAATACAACAGATCAGATAAAATAGGGCATCAAACAGCTACCGCAAGCAAAAGTCCTGTGAGGAAAGAGCTAATGCTACTCGCCAAGTGGCCTCGGCTCTTGCTAATTCAGCAAAAAAAGAAGACTCCGTGCTTTTCCGCTTCGCGCCCATTTTACCAGCTCCTCTCCCAGCTAGAGCATACATGAACATGGACCATACTGCTACAAGTTAACGTCGTACTCTTTGTCTCTCCATCGCAAGTGACGACGGATCTACAAGTGGTCAGCACGCAACGAGCTCGGCCAAGCAATACCTGGGCCCGAACGTATGCATTACATAGCTTGGCGCAAGTGGACGAGCGCTCCGACAAGACACGAGCATAGCCATCAAGTACAGATACAAGGCCTCTGGAGCTCCAACGATGAAACACCAGCCAAAGCTGGCGATGGCCTAGTTCTTCGCTTCACGCCCCTCCCCTTGCTTAGCACGCACATGGAAGACGCAGAGAAAAGCGACGGACCAGCCAGTTTAACCCAGCTTAGCTCGGTGGCCGAAGCGTGAGCAGATTATCTCCCTGATTGATTGATTAGATCCACTGATCTAACCCGCGCTTGAACTAACAGGGTTGCATCAGTATCCCACTCTGCAAATTTTTTCTCCAGTCAACATGAAGCCTTCCATCAGGGGTCTCCGCCCGTGGCCCGGACATGCCATTTTCGGTACTTTGCTTCCCCAATGGCTCGCCTAAAACGACGCAAGCTATAGAGGTTTTGATTCCGTAACGCAATCTGCTGGTTTTCGTACGCTTGGAGCTTCTGGATCCATTCGCAAATGTGGCGCCGCATACGCCAGATCCTTGCCCTTAGGCGGATCTGATAACCTTATTGGAGCCACAGCTAACCTCTTTTCCACATGTGGTCCGGTTGTCGGAGCGGCTAAAAGCGCCAGCTTCGGGCGTACATGATCTGATAATTTCTAGGCGTATTCCTTTGGGAATCTCCACTTGCCATTACGTTTAGTACTTGCACGAGAACATGCCATACTTGGCCAAGACTCTGAATTCGCGCAAGTGATCTACTAGCACGAATACAAGTGCCGAATACCCGTTGAAAGAGAACAAATAGCACTTCTTGGCCATTGCCAGTTTATCTAGCTGCGGCTACGACAGAGTACTGCTTTGCTAGTCGCGTTGTTTATTAGACAACACCGGCTAGAGACCGTTCTTTGAAGATTGGTATCCAGTTACGGTGCACAAATGCAAGTGGGTAACAATCAAATGGTTTGCGGTCCCTTTTTGATCGACGAGCTAGCATGGACAATTTTTTTCCCGGGAGATGATCCCCATCGTCATCGCACTATGTATCAGATTTTCACCATTGCAACTGTTCAGACAAGTCAGAGTACCCATTTTGCGGTAATGAAACGGCACTTCTACGGCACAAAAACGCCATGGGTCTCTCTATTAGTGTCACCTTACAAAACGATAGCCTAACCAACAGCTATGCCGAAGAACCGAGAAGAATGGAGCCTTGGATTGAATACGCAATCAAGCAGTACTGGCATTGGCAGACAAGTTGATTCCACTGCTCGTCGTACTGCTCCACGTAGTATGATGTTGGGACACCGGCTTGGTTCAACCGCCACATCCCGAATATAACGCCAGAAGCAGGGTTTCTCCCACGCAGAGCTTTTGGGCTTTTGATCTATCATGCTAACGGAGTAGGTGGCTACTAATTCGGCGCTGGTGGCTGCAAAATCTCCTCTCTACTAACCTGTTATTGGCATTAAACGTCCAGTTCTCAACGGCCATTGCTGGATCTTAGCGATTGGAAATGCCCCATATGAAGGTGGCCATGACTAGTGTCGCCAGTGACCACCCTCACACTCGATCTATGTTGTAACCCATGTTGGCGGTAAAATCTAGAACTCTTCAGCCTTCTGCTTCCTCTTTTTCCACAACCATTTCCAAGGCGATAAGTAGCAGCCTTGTCCCTACTGATCAGGGACATCGGTTGTCGAGCTCTCAAGTTGCAACCACGGGTCCAGTAAGTAATCGCATTTTCTTTTACATTACCTATATTTGCATATAGCTCTCTGGAGCATATTAATGCAAAATTCACCATTATTCTATGCCTTACTAACATTGTTTTTGTCAAAGTCATGGCTATTACCCAAGAATCTAAGCGCGACCATGTCGATGGAGGAGAGTCTGGAAAAGACGATCCCGATGTCTGCATCGGCGGTCCCCAAGATTCGGATGGGGGAGATGGCGTTGACTCCACGGCGCAGGCTGGTGTGCAGAACATCGAGGCTATCACTTCCGTCTGGACAAAGCATGCGCTGTACACTGCCTTTGCCATGATCTGGGTCATTTACTTCGTTGATACCATGCAGCAAGGTGCAACTGGGACACTTACACCTTGGGTCACATCAGCCTTTCAGGAGCACTCCCTTACTCCCACTGTCAATGTGATAAGCAGCATCATAGGAGGCGTCTGGAAGTTGACTCTTGCCAAGATTCTCGACATATTTGGTCGCCCACAGGGTTACTTGATTTCCATCATGTTCACAACTCTGGGATTAATCATGATGGCCGCCTGCAAGAATGTTGAGACCTATGCTGCTGCACAAGTATTTTACTGGGTTGGCTACAATGGCTTGGATTACTCATTATCCATCTTCCTCGCTGATACAACATCTCTGCGAAATCGGTTCGTTCAAATCTGCCTTCGAATATCGTATATATGAAACAAGACTAACAGAGATTGCTCTAAAGAGGTCTTATTTTTGCATACAGCAGCTCGCCTTATATCGTTACGACATGGCTTTCTGGCCCCATCTCTCAAGCTTTCTTGGAGGGCCCCGGTTTCCGCTGGGGCTTTGGATCTTTTGCTATCATCACTCCGGTTATCACTTCGCCACTTTTCTTCCTCTTCATGTACTATAACAAGAAGGCAAAGAAGCTCGGTGTGATTCGTCCACGGGAGAGCAGGGGCAATTTTTACGAAACGGTGATACACTACGGCCGAGAGTTTGATATTATTGGCCTGCTCATTCTCTCCGGTGGACTGGCAATGTTTCTCTTGCCCTTTAATATCTATTCATACCAGGAAGATGGATGGAAGTCGTCCCTAATTATCGGCCTTTTGGTTGGAGGAGTGGCCACTCTCATTGTGTTTGGAATTTGGGAGAAGTTCTTTGCGCCCATTACCTTTATTCCCTACTCGCTTCTCATGGACCGCACTGTCATCGGTGCCAACATCTTAGCTGCTTCTGTCTTCGTCAGCTTCTACATTTGGGACAGCTACTTCCTCAGTTTCCTTCAGGTGGTGAACGGTCTCGATGTCACTGAATCCAGTTATGTGGCCCAGATCTATAGCGTAGGGTAAGAGATTGGAAGATATACCTTCCATCAGGTTTTACATGGCTAACATCCTAATAGATCTTGCTTCTGGGCTATCCTGGTTGGCCTCATCATTCGCTATACCGGAAAATTCAAGGCTGTCTGTCTCTATTTTGGAGTTCCGGTTACTATTCTTGGAGTCGGTTTGATGATTCATTTCCGCCAGCCAGATGTCAATATAGGTAAAAAAAAATTAGACACCCTTGTTAAATTGTTAGATACATGCCGCTAATCTATGGCTGTTTATTGCAGGCTACATTGTCATGTGTCAGATCTTCATTGCCTTTGCTGGTGGCACTATTGTCATCTGCGAACAAACGGCCATCATGGCAGCAACCTCTCATCAATATGTTGCCGTTGTGCTTGCTATAGAGGCCATGGCTTCATCCATTGGTGGCGCCATCGGACTGACTGTATCAGCTGCTGTCTGGCAAGCCGTCTTCCCTAAGAAGCTCGCCGCGTATCTCCCAGAGTCTGAGCAAGGAAATCTCACGACCATCTACGGCAGCTTAGATGCCCAACTGTCCTATCCGATGGGATCTCCAGCCCGTATCGCTATTCAAAAGGCCTATGGCGATAGTCAGAAAATGATGCTGATTGCTGCTACTGCCGTCTTGTCGTTGGCGGTGGTCGGTACAGCCATGTGGCGAGATATTGATGTGAGAAAGCACAAGCAGGTCAAGGGAACTGTCTTTTAAATTGTTTACGACAAAATAGGCGATGGTGGGGGTTTGTGTCTACGGCTATGTTTGTTTCTGTAGTCTAATTGATGTGAATATATTTTATATTTGATCGAGAAGCATTGCTATGCGAACCAAGTGTAGCAGTCTTGACAATCGTATAAGCGCTGCTGGATATGAGATTAACAAGATTGGAGAAGGAAAGGGGAAGTCTTCAAATTTCTAAGCAAGAGAGTAGACAAATTGGCGACAGAAAAGGGTAAATCTGAAGAAGAAAGGAAGAACGTAAAAGAGAACGTTAAACAACCGCCACAACATATCACGAAGAAGTAAGGAGACTCAGGATGAACCTGAGAAAAAGAAGGTCGATGGCAGAGTAAATGAGTATACAAAGGATAGTAAAGACTAGAAAGAGCAGGAGGATACTTAGAAAGGCGAATTTGAAAGAAAATAGAGTTAAAGTCAGGATATGCGTGTATCCCTTAATGTATACTCTATTTGTATATGTGTTGCATCTAAATCAGTGTGTAAACTCCTCAAACGCCTATAGAATATCTCTCTTCTATCCATCTCTATATCTAAACTCAACGCCTCCAGTAATTAAGAAGACTTTGTCTCCAGTGTCTTGACATCAGGTTGTTGGTTTCCCAGCTGCATATAATCCCAGCAAACTATAACACCATTCATTAGCACATTGATATGTTTACTGAAAGGGGTAAAAACAGAGGTCGCGCGGATAACTTACTCGCCCAGCCCAAGTCATCTCTAAAATACGCCTCCATTACTTCGGGCCCGGTAATAACGCCAACGTCAGGCCCATATGCAACGGCATTCTTGCCCACCGCCAGGCCAATCATGGGTGGAATTTCTTGCAGCTCTTGGAACTTTGGTTGGTGACCAACAACCTGCTCTAGAACGCTTTGGTGAATATTGTAGGCGATATAATGTCCACCGTGCATGGCGGCGCCGCAGCGCTTGATACCTGACCATTTAGTCACATCACCAGCACAAAAGTGTGACGCGGCGTTGGGAGTGCCAGACTCGAAGCTCATGCTGAGGAAGAGGCAGTGGTGTTAGTTTGTGCTTCTCCAAATAATCGACTGGGCAGAAAGGCTTACTTGGGTACAATCTTGACGAGACCTTCGGAATCAGTAGCCGATGATGGTAGATATGAAGTTGTCGAAATGCTTTTGGAAATAGCCATGATGACTTGGCTCGCAGCCATTCGATGTCCATTCGTAAACTCAACTTCATACTTTGACGAACCGTCAGGGGACACGACCTTGTTGGAGCTAACCAGCCGGTGGTTCATCAATACTTGGACGCCAGCTTCCTTGACCATTTCCAAGGCTTTGTCCTTGCACTCATCGGGGAGCGGCTCAGATGACATGAGCTTGTCTCGCGAATGAACCAGAGTCACCTTGAGATGAGGCTTGACCAGTTTCAACTCAGCAGCCATCTCGATGCCAACAGCCCCGCCCCCAACAATGACAACGCCATCTTTTGCATCGTCAAGGGCACTAATTTGCTCTTCAGCCTCAATAAGATACTGCTTCCGAGTCAAAGACTGGGGCACTACAGGCCACACTCTTCTCAGGCCGGTGGCGGTGACGAAGTAGTCGTACTGGTGGGTGATGGCTTCTTTGGTGGTGGAGTCGACAATGGTAGCTGTCTTGGCTTCGCAGTTGACGCTAGACACCGAGCCCTGGACGAATTGAACATTGGGGAGTTGTAGGCCAGGAATATCTTGAAACTTGACCCAGGCCTTCTTTGCATATTCAGAATCGGCCAGAGCTAGTGGTGATCCAATCAAGTGGTCTACGGAGGCTGCTGTTAAATGCAAAATTCGGATTCAAAGCATGCAGATGCTTTAAGAAAATAAAAAAGGTAATTAAGCGGTAATTACTTACAGTAGCCATCTCGCTCATCGGCAATGGTGATTTGAAAGTTGACCTTGGGCACGCTAGGATGGTGCTGGTACCGCTCATGCGCCATGCGTGGTGACAGGCCATGACCCAGATCGAGCAGATTGACGGCCGCAGACAGGCCAGCGTAGGAGCCGCCTGCAATGAAGACCCTGACGACAGGGGCAGAATCCGGAATTGAGCCCATAATGGTCTGATGTGGAATGACTGAGCCTTCAGCAGCAAATTGACGAGACGGAGAGCTGTGAAGAGGACGGAGCTGGAGCTGGAGCTGGACAGGGCTTGGGGGACTCCGGCTCAGACGGTCGTTTATCTGCGTTATGAGAGATGGGCGGGAAAACGACAATGCAAAAGGCAAAGTATCGCTACAGAGGGTGGTGCGCCAACGGATGGATGGCTCAGACGAGGAGACCAGCTGAGCCGCGATGTGCCGACGAGCTGCCCGAGCAGAGAAAGACGCGCCGATAGAGGGACTTGGCGACTTCAACGCAGCCAATGGCACCGAGCAATTCATTGTCGTTCTTGCTGCCATTCCATTCGGTCTAGTACGAGCACCGCCTATTGCCAAGGTTCAGTCCTGCGGCGGGCCCCATTAGAGCAACAGGATCTGCAGAGTCCATTCCAGGGGGTGTAAACAATACGCAACAGGACCTCCTAGTTTATATCTGGTAGGTGGCCTGCAATTCCCCGAGGACTGAGTACATGTGGGAAGGGCGTCTCTCTCGAAATCTTATCAGATCCGAGGCCGAGGCCGTGAGAATATGAAAACGCCGGCCCCACGAGCGTCACGGAAGCCGAACGGTCCACCTCGAAGACCGAGCAAAAAAGCAAGGGCGCGGTTGACTCAATGTCCGAGAAGAGCATTTTCGTATGTATTAATTCAAAGCCCCCCTGAAAGAGGGATTTTTTTTCCCTTTTCCCAAGTCATTTCACTTACGCAATTCCTACTTCTCTGCCAAGTCTTCGTGATTGTGTTTCGCAAGCTACCTGAGCCGATCGTCGGACGCGCAGTGGGGATTTTTGCCGAGAGAAATTATCTGATCCGAAAAGTAGTGGGGAGCAATGCAACAATGTAGAGGTACAAAGCGGCGGGGCAGAGTAGGGGCGTGTATCTTGGACGGTCGAGGGACATCTGTGCAACAAAACGGTACTTGCGCTGAGCTTTTTGCGGTCTCTGTTCTCACGACATCCCGGTGGCAGCAGCAACAGTGGATATTCCCGGCCTTGACATGATGGCACCTCCACGTATACGTCTAGTCCAAGCAGGCAATATGGAGCACACTAAGCGGTGGTCCAGAAGCGCGAGACACCGACAGTGAGGGCGACAGTGGCAGTGGCAGTGGGAGCCGGAAAAGCCCTGCTGGCCCATCAAGGGGCCATGGTTGGGCGACGCTGCAAGCTTAGTGTGGGTTGATGGTAGTAGTCGTAATACTAATGCCAGGGAGGAAAGAAAAAGAGGACATCATGGCCGCGCTCTCAGTAGTCAGTCGAGCCGAATCACATCCCAGCCGCTGTCGATCATGCAAGTGGGAGAGGGCTAGAGCTAGACGCACATTGACCCAACTACCGGAACCTGCCCAGATTGGCCGGCAATTCTACCTTTGATAGACCGTTTGATCCTTTTCATGTACTAGTTCTTGGTCGTGTGAGCGCGCGGCTTGTTGGATAACCATCAACAAACCCGCGACTCGTCAGAATGGGCACTCAGGAAGACGCAGAAAGCCTTCATGCTGCGACTGAAGCTGCTATGGCATCCCAAGATGGCAGCGAGGCAGCAGAATCGGTCTCCAACAACAAAAAGGAGCAATCCAAGGTTGGAAAGGTCAGTGTGGTCTCGTTTATCATGAAGCTTGCAGAGTTCGCGACTGACATTGAAGGCCGGATAAATGTAGTTCTTTTCAGAATTCTTCACATACTTCCAGCTTCTCGTCTATGCCAACCCAACATGGCTCGACATCGTCCTTCTCACCGTAGGCACAGTGTCTGCTGCAGCCGCAGGAGTGCCGTTTCCTCTGATGGGAATCCTCTTCGGTCAGCTCGTCGACGACCTCAACACTGCGAGCTGCGATGCCAAGAGCCCCAGCGCGGACGAAGCTTCGCAAATTCAGCATTCAATCGATGACAAGGTGCTCGAGTTGACTTATATCGGCATTGCTAGCTTCGTCCTGATCTACATTTACATAGTCAGCTGGAGCATCTTTAGCCGTCGGCTGGAAGCACGTATCCGAGACCGCTACTTTCAAGCGCTTCTGCAACAAGATGCGACCTTTTACGACAAGCGTCAAGCTGGTGAGCTGTCATCTCGTCTCAATGCAGATGTGCAGGCCGTCCAGTCTGGAACCTCAGAGAAAGTCGGCATCTGCATCGCCTGCACGTCCTTTTTCCTCACAGCCTATGTCGTGGCCTTTATAAAGAACTGGAGGCTTGCTGCCATTCTTCTGTCTCTTATTCCTGCTTTCTTCCTCATGGCAGGACTAGGAAGTGCGTTCTCCGCAAAGTATACCGGTGCCATGTCTGATGCAATTGGCTCGGCATCCTCCATCGCCCAGGAAACTCTGTCCAATATTGCGGTTGTCCAAGCCTTTGGCGCTGGCTCGCGCTTGGAGGCCAAATTTTCTTCACATGTCATGACAGCTCAGAAAAGGGGCATAAAAAAGGCTTTTGCTGCTGCAGTTCAGGCCGGCACTCTATACTTCATTGCGTATGCTGCAAATGCATTGTCTTTTTGGCAGGGAAGCCACCAAATTGTCAATACCATCGCCAATCCTAATGGCGTATCCGTGGGAGAGATTTATACAGTCATTTTCCTCCTTGTAGATGGTGAGTTTTTTAGAGGCCAATCATCATCATCATCATCATAACGCTTGAAACCTCGCTGACAATTGTCATCATAGCATGTGTCGTTTTTGGCTCTATCGCCCCCCTATTGCCCCTGTTGGGGGGTGCGTCCACAGCTTTCCTAAAACTGCGACAAGATATCGAAACACCAGCCACAATCAACTCCAGATCGACTTCCGGCTTGAAACTTTCAGATTCTGCCGCCGCCTCCATTTCGTTCCGCAACGTCTCGTTCGCTTATACCTCCAGACCAGATCACCTTGTGCTCAAGAATGTCTCATTTGATTGCCCTGTCGGCAAATATACTGCGATAGTTGGACTGTCTGGCAGTGGTAAGTCTACAGTGGCTGGCTTGACAACAAGGATCTATGACCCTCAAGGTGGAAAGGTGCTGCTTGACGGGCATGATTTGAAGGACATAAACGTAAAAAGTTTGAGAAGCTTCATCAGCTTGGTTCAGCAGGAGCCGTCGCTGCTAGATCGGTCAATCTTGGAGAATATCGCGTTGGGATTGTTCAACTCGCCGTGGCAAAAGCATCAGAAATTCCAATCCATCATTCTAGGAAATGGACTTGCCGAGGTGGCAGAAAAGGTTAGAGATGGACAAGATCTGACCACTGTCGCTCAGGCGTATAGTTCGGATATGGCTGAGCTCGTGGAAATGATTTGCCAGTCAGCTGCTCTAGCTGACGCATCAACCTTTATTCACAAGCTTGAACATGGATATGGAACTCTTGTCGGCACAGCAGGAAAGCTTGTTAGTGGAGGGCAGCGACAAAGGCTTGCCTTTGCTCGCGCTTTAATCCGAGACCCAAAGATTCTTCTCCTCGACGAGGCGACAGCATCTCTTGATTCAGCCAGTGAGCAACGCATCCAGACGGCAGTTGAGTCGATATCCAAGGGCCGCACCATCATCGCCATCGCCCACCGCTTGTCCACTATCAAAAATGCTGATAACATCATTGTTATGAATAACGGTGAAATTATTGAACAGGGCACACATTTAGAGCTCATGGCGCTTGATGGTTCGTATGCTGGCATGGTTCGTTTACAAAACCTGGCGTCCAAAGAACAGGACGACACGCCATCTTTGTCCAGCACAGCCAAAGGCGAAACTGAAATCATTCTCTCAGAGAAAGAATCTTCTTTGAGTGAAACTGCAGCACTGAGAGAAGATTTACCAGGTACAGCTTTGGAAACTGAACAAGAGCCGAGCCAGACAGCCGCCGAAGGAGAAGATAAAGCGCTGGATGCCGATATGTCGGCTTGGAAAATCATCAAGATGTTTGGCCTCATGCTTCGCCCACATCTCCTGATGCTCCTACTAGCCGTCTTCTCTGCCGTTATCGTTGGCGGTACTTTCTCCTCTGCCGGTGTCATCTTCGGCAATACGGTCTCGAAAGTAAGCCCCTGCAACTCGACCCATCAAATTCTATGGGCAGGCAAGTTCTTCGGCGGCTTGTTCTTTATGCTAGCCGTGGTTGAGCTGTTCGCCTACACGGGAAGCTGGTTCGGCTTCGGCTATGTCGCAGAAAAGCTTCTCTACAATATTCGCGTGCTCACATTCCGCTCGCTCTATGAACAAGAGCTGGACTGGCACCAATCAGAGGGCCGTTCGCCAGCGTCTTTGCTTTCCATTGTCACAGCAGATGCTGCCGCCGTCGGCGGTTTCAGCGGGTCAATTATGGGAACAATGTTTTCCATCATCGTCAACTTCTTCGTCGCCATCATTCTTTCACATATAATCGCCTGGAAAATCGCCATTGTGTGCTTGGTAACTGTGCCTATCCTTCTGGGCTCGGGAATCATGCAAGTCCGTTCCTTGTCACGTTTTGAACGCAAGCATGCCGGAGCATTCTCAAACGCTCTCGGTATTACGGTTGAGGCTGTTACTTCGTACAAGACCGTATCGTCGCTAGCTATCGAAGATGAGATACTGCACACATATCGTCGAGCTCTCAAAGCTCCTCAGAAGGAGATGGCTCTGTCAAGCGCCTATACCAACTTTTGGCTTGCCATCGCCAACAGCATCGGTAACCTTATTTACGCCTTTGCGTACTGGTGGGGTTCAACAAGGATCACAAGGGGGGAGTACAGCCAAGCTCAGTTCTTTATTATTCTCATGGCCATGCTCGTGAGTGCCCAGTTGTGGGGCCAGATGTTCACGTTGGCTCCCGAGGTCTCACGTTCCAGAGCAGCAGCATCTAGAATCCTGAGTCTCATAAACCTTGGTTCTGCCAAGCGCCTTGGTGTGACGGAGACCGAGTTTGGCAATATATCACGCGGAGAGAAAGATGTCGAAGCAGCATCAAGCGCCATTTCAAGCCAAGGGATCAAGCCAAGCCGCGGTGGCGTCACCGTCACATTCCGAGATGTATCCTTCGCATATCCTGCTCGGCCACATATTCAGATTTTGAAGAACACATCATTCACGATACCAGCAGGCCAGTTTTGTGGTCTCGTGGGTCCGTCAGGAGCCGGTAAATCCACAATCATGTCACTGGTCCAAAGGATGTATCGCCCTTCTAGTGGAACGGTTGAGATTGATGGGGTCGATATCTGTGCTCGTGAAGGTGTGGACTTTCGTCATGACATTGCCGTAGTGCCACAAGACTGCGCCCTGTTTGATGGAACCGTCAAGTTCAACGTAGGACTCGGCGCGGTGCCAGGTCACGAAGCCACCGACTCGGAGATCGAAGAGGCCTGCAAGCTGGCTAATATCCATGACACCATCGTGGCACTTCCGAACGGCTACGATACGGAATGCGGTCCTAACGGATCCCGATTGTCTGGGGGTCAGCGTCAACGATTGGCAATTGCGAGGGCGCTAGTCCGAAAACCACGGCTTCTGCTGCTCGACGAGAGCACCAGTGCCCTCGACGCAGAGAGCGAGAGGGCCCTGCAAGAAGGCCTGGAACAGGCAGCCAGAGGCATTACCGTCATTGCCATCACCCACAGGCTACACACCGTCCGCAAAGCTGACGTGATCTTCGTCGTCGAGGGAGGAAACGTGGTCGACAAAGGTCGTCACGAGGAACTGGTGGAGAGAAGTGAGTCGTATAGGATTAATGCGCTGCAGCAGATGCTGGGCTAGGATAGTGGTAGAGTTCGGGATAGAATAGAATACAAGCACTAATAGCATACCTATGTAATACATCAACCAATAGCTAGACGCAGTTCCAACACGTGGGAAGATCGAGACGCTATGAGCGGGCACCAGGGGGGAATATATAGCTAAATCATCAGCTCCTAAGAATATGCGCCATCACCATCGTTGCCGGAGCAAGAGGTCTGAGGAGCAGTCATCTGCCCGCCCCTCACGCCCCAAAGGTGGGATGGATATGATATATCACGGAGGTGTGGCGGGAGCTTTCCCTAAACTACGGGCAGCGATGGTGGATGCTTCAAGCGCTGCAGGAAGGCTATAGCTATAGCGTGCATGAACCGCTAGAACGCAGCGTCGCTAGGCCGCCATGTAGCGGGTGCGCTCCGCTGTTGCCGCCCTCCCTGCAGCGCGACCTGAACTTCTCCCATTTAGCGCAGGGCTGTCAGCTGCAGGTCACATGCTTCCCCCCTGAGCCAGTCACAGCGCACCGATTTACCGTGCGTAATGGGTGCACCTTTTCTGGAGCCTCCCGATAGCGCCATTACGCCGATGCTTGACTCGAGATCCGAGGAGCGGCTAGACAGAGGCTAGGGCATCTCAGAGTCCCATTGGCATAGCCCAAGGCTTGACTGAGGCTTGATCGAGTGTTTGTATGTCAACCTACCGATAGCCACGAGACCCCCATCGCAGCCATCCATCGGCTCCGGCAAAGCACAACACTGCACTGCACATCCATTCATCACCATTCAGCCCCAGGAGCGGCCAGGCAATCCCTCCTCCTCTATTCCTGTTACAGACTCGACAACTTGTTCTAGTAACGACAATACACGCTCAATCGGTGGTCGTGAGCGAGGAGGGAGTGTAGAATTGTCTGCGAAAAGCACCTCGTCGCCATCCCGTTCGCCGATTCCAACGCCAGACCTGACATCTTGTGTTCGACCACACGACAGCGACAATACCTACGAGCTCTCCGATTACAAAGAGATTGCAGGGCGCAAGGCTACTGAAGACCGCGAGCGTCGACGACAAGAGAAACGGGCGTCGAAGCGACATTGGCTAGAGACACGGGACGAGATGAAGTTCTCCCATAGCATTCAGTTCAACGCTGTTCCTGATTGGAGCAGCCACTACATTGCATACAGCAATCTCAAGAAACTGTAAGTCTCGCTACGCCAGAGTGAATATCAGCCAGCTCGTCAACTAATCGGTCCTGCCATCGCTTTAGCATATACCAGCTTGAAAAGACTGCGCATCAAGCGAGAGCCGGCGATGCTGAATCACGACCCCTTATATCGGCCGAGGAGCCAGAGGAAGTCTTCAGCAAATCACTAGGCGTTGAGCTGGAAAAGATTTGCTCATTCTACTCTCTCAAGGAGGGAGAATTGCTCGAGGAAGTTAGCCAGCTTCTACACGATGTAGGAGAGGGCCCTTCTCTTGAAACATCGACTACGTTGCGCCCAACGCAATCCGAAACCCAAAGCACCCACGCTCGACCTACTAGCCTGCATAGCCGTGGCTCCGATGACGATGACAGCGCGACCGACGATGACGAAACCACCGGTCTCACGAGACGCAAAGGCAGCAGTAGATATGGCCGGAGAAAGACTGCGTCTAGCATCCCAGACATGGGTGCATCTTCAGAGTTTGGACGATCTAGGAGATACAGCACTACCATAGATGACTATGGCGATCAATCTTTCCTCTTCGGCTCGACGCTGTACTCGTCCGCCATTATGCTGAAGAAGCGCATAGTAGCCCTCTATGTGCAGCTATGCGAGCTTAAGTCATACGCACAGCTTAACAAGACCGGCTTTAGCAAGGTTCTCAAGAAATTTGACAAGATTCTTGACAAAGAGCTGCGATCATCTTACATCAGCACCTATGTCGATACAGCATATCCCTTCAAGCCGGAGACTAAGAAACTGCTCGAAGAAAATATTGCCAAGATGGAGGCCGCTTACGCTGATGTCGTTACCGGCGGTGATGAGGAACTTGCTAGAAAGGACTTGCGTTCTCATCTTCGAGAGCACGTTGTTTGGGAGCGCAACACCGTATGGAGAGATCTGATTGGTATCGAGCGCAGAGGAGAGGCCGCCAGAATTGGCCAAACATTGCTGGGACAAGACTCTGGCATCACACCAAAGAGATTGCAGGGCGATGATGAGATCATACCAGCAGAAACGCAGATCAAAACGCCTATTGGCAGAATAGTTCTTCCTTCATGGTTATCCAACAGCTCTGTGCTCGCTCTCTTCATATCTGTTGCGGCATTCTTCCTGCTGCTGTTTATTCCCATCTTGCAGAACCCTGAGCAACAGAATTGCCTGGCGCTTCTTGTTTTTGTCAGTCTTCTGTGGGCTACTGAGGTATAATCAAACCATATAACGTCACGTTCAGAAACTTTCTCACTAACCACTACTACAGACTATCCCCCTGTTCGTTACGTCTCTCCTCATCCCCTTCCTGGCCGTCGTTCTTAGAGTGGTTCGTGAGGAGGATCCTACCAAGCCTCAAAAACGACTCACTTCAAAGGAAGCCACCTCTGCCATTTTCTCTGCCATGTGGTCGCCTGTTATCATGCTACTACTTGGTGGCTTTACCCTCGCTGCTGCCCTGTCCAAGTGCAAAATCGATAAGCGCCTTGCGACGCTCATCTTGAGCAAAGCTGGCACTCAGCCGAGAACTGTATTGATTGCAAACATGTTTGTCGCTGCCTTTGCGTCTATGCTCATCAGCAACGTGGCTGCTCCTGTTCTTTGCTTTTCAATCATTGAGGTACGTTTACTAGCGATGATATCAATTCTCGACGTGCATGTCTAATCTGTTCTCATAGCCTATGTTGCGAACTCTGCCGTCAGACTCGAATATGTCCAAGGCTGTCATCATTGGTATCGCCCTTGCTTCGAACATCGGTGGCATGCTGTCACCAATTGCGTCACCGCAAAACGTCGTAGCCATGGGAATTATGCAACCTGAGCCTACCTGGTTGCAGTGGTTCTTCATCGTCATTCCCGTTGGCATAGTCTCCATTGTCTTGATCTGGTTGCTTCTGTTGGTCACGTTCCAGCCTGGCAAGGGAACATCCATCGCACCGATCCGCCCTCTTAAGGAGAAATTCACCGGTGGGCAATGGTTCGTATCCATCGTTACCATCATCACCATTGTTTTGTGGTGCACTAGCCATACTCTGGAGTCTGTATTTGGAGACATGGGTGTTGTGGCCATCATTCCCATTGTGCTCTTCTTTGGCATTGGCATCTTGACCAAAGAAGATTTCAACAACTTTCCTTGGACAATCATCATCCTGGCTGCAGGTGGCTTGTCACTCGGCAAGGCCGTCCGATCTTCGGGCCTGCTCCATACCCTTGCCGACATTGTCTCACGCGAGGTTGAGGGCATGAGCTTATACGGCGTTCTGGTTGTGTTCTCCTCTTTGATTCTTGTCATTGCTACCTTCATCAGCCACACGGTGGCCGCCCTCATCTTCCTCCCTCTGGTGTATGATGTGGGCGTGGCTATGGACCAGCCGCACCCCAACCTCCTTGTTATGGGTGGCGTTCTGATGTGCAGCGCTGCGATGGGTCTACCTACAAGCGGTTTCCCCAACATGAGTAAGTCTTGTAATACTTTCCTACGGAAGCGAATAGGTGCTAACTTTGTCCTTCAGCTGCCATTATGAAGGAAGACGCTACCGGTCAACGCTACTTGAGCGTGAAACACTTTATCAGCCGAGGTGTTCCAAGCAGTTTACTTACCTTGGTTGTTGTAGTGACCCTTGGGTATGGCATTATGGAAGTGGCAGGTTTGGACTAAGTTGCAGTGTCAGGAGAGCTGAGAGTATTTTTGATGGGCGAATGGAGCATTTAGAGACTGGATTATATATGAAGCATATGCGGTACGAATTTGTCAAGCATCGCGAGAAAATAAATTGTCTACAATTTCTTTTCCTAATCTCTTTTTTTAATTTTCAGAATTAGGAATAAATGCATACTAAGTAGATTACACCATTGTTCGCCCTCGCCCAAGATTGGCAATGTCTTGTTGGAGCGATGACAGTGTGTTATGCATGTTCTACACTGTGTCGCAACTAAGCTGAAACGGAAGTACCCTGACGTCGTTGGGATAAGATAGTGCAACCTGACGTGAAGAGCTCCGGCACCAGTTCAGGCAATAATGCCACCCTCAGGCACAGCAGCTTCTGTCGCAAGAATTCGGATCCCAACGCTGTAGAACATCAGCGAGGTCAAATGAAATCGACGGTCTTCTGATGCTCATCTTGAAAAGATTGCGATTCGTTCCCTAGAGCTGGCCGACGCCATGCTCTCCGCCTTTACAGCTCGCCCTATCATAGAGCTCCGACAGCGGGACAAGTCAAAGATTGAGACGATCCTCGCTTATGGTAAGGGCGAATATGTTCATTGAAGCGCTCTCTTACTCTCCAGATGGCCTCTGACCAAATTTTCAGGTGACCGAATTCTCGTCGGGCTCAATAACGGCGCTCTTCGGGTCTACCGCCTCAACGAGCTTCCCGCTAACGGCGCTTCAACGCCTCCACACACCGCAAATGCGACTCCTCCTCAGAATGGCGACCATCAGCCCACAGACTCGGCCGCCAAGCCGACGGATTTATTACGTGAGGTCGAACGATTCTCTACGCGGGCGATAGAACAGCTGGCAATCATAAAGGAAGCAAACACCATCGTCTCTCTATCCAACTATCACGTCTCTCTTCATGACCTACAATCCTACGATCTCATCGAGACCCTGTCGCGAACCAAGAATGCGTCATGTTTTGCCATCACGTCCAATATTGTTAGAGATCCCGACACTGGCGTCCCAGAAATCATCAGCCGGCTAGCCGTTGCGGTCAAGCGGCGGCTTTTGTTATGGAACTGGCATGAGAGCGAGCTCAGCAATGACGTCTCCGAAGTGGTGCTATCTGAGTCTATTCGATCAATAACATGGGCGAGCGCGACGAAGATAGTCTGTGGCATGAACGGAGGTTATGTCATTGTTGATGCCGTAACGCAAGAGGTCGAGGACATTGTGAGCCCGGGTGCTGTGGGAGTGTCGGGTCAAGGAAGCCGGTTTGGAGCTGTGAGCAGTGCAGGAATGGGATACATGGGCCTCGGAAGCTACATGCCCAAGCCCCTAGCCGCCAAGTTGGCTGATGGCGAAATGCTCCTTGCCAAGGACATCAATACGCTATTCGTCAACGATGAGGGCAAGGCCTTGGAGAAGAGGCAGATCCCGTGGCAGTCTGCGCCTGAGTCCATCGGATACTCGTATCCGTACATTGTGGCTCTACAACCTCCCTCTAAGGGCTCACTTGAGGTCCGGAACCCTGATACTCTGTCTCTTATGCAGACTATTCAACTGCCTGGTGCTGCTCAGCTGCATTTTCCTCCGCCTACTTCGAGCCTAGCCCATGCCGGCAAAGGATTTCACATCTCAAGTGACCGCTGTGTGTGGAAAATGGGAGCTACAGACTATGACGCTCAGATTGGGGAGCTCATTGAGGCTAGCAGGTTTGACGAGGCCATTAGCGTGTTACAAATGCTTGAGGATGCTCTTTTAAAGAACAAGAAAGAGACTCTCCGAGAGGTCAAAATGCTAAAGGCAGAAGGTCTCTTTAAGCAAAAGAAGTTTCGACAGTCGATGGACTTGATGAACGAAGATGATGTTCATGCCCCGCCCGAGCGAGTCTTGAGAATGTACCCACCTCTTATTGCAGGAGAGCTCTCTAGATGGGCAAATTACCAGGAGACCCAAGAGAATGCAGACAGTAAAGTGAAAAAGTCAAATGGAACAAGACCGAATAGTCCAGAAATTACTACCAGCGAACATGCCGAGTCTCCCACAGTCGGAGGGTTTGTGAAGTATTTCAAGGGAACCCAAAAGAAACCAACTGACGTCACTTCAATAATCTCGACGAAAAAGGATGGAGAAACAGAAGACTCGGACAACGCCAAAGAAGCACCGGTATCAGAGGACACACCCCTTTCAGGCAAGGAGCTTACAAAGGCCGTCTTGGAGCTGAACAGCTATCTCGCTGGCACTCGAGCTCGCCTCCAGCGTGTCATTGATCCTGTCACCGGTAAACTGAAGCCGCGAGTAGATCAGCCTAGCTCGACGGCAGAGGCGGAAGACCGACTTCTGAAGATTACGCCAGATGAATCCGACAAAGAGCGTGAGCAAAAGCTGTGCGAAACTTTCCGATTAGTTGACACAACTCTCTTTCGCGCATACATGTTCTCACAGCCGTCTCTTGCCGGCTCACTATTTCGTATTCCGAACTTTTGTGATCCGGATGTCGTGAACGAAAAGCTGTTAGAGCACGACCGCTACACGGAGCTGATTGATTTCTTCCACGGCAAAAAGCTGCACAAGTCAGCCCTGGAATTGCTGCATAAATTTGGCGCTACTCCGAAGCCAAACGAAGCAGCCCCAACTCTACACGGTCCAGATCGCACCATACAGTATCTCAAGAGTCTTCCACCCTCAGAAATCGATCTAATCCTCGAGCATGCTGAGTGGACGTTGAAGGCGAATCCAGAATATGCAATGGAGATATTCACTGGCGATACAGAGAATGCGGAAACTCTACCGGCAGAGAAAGTCTTGCCTTACCTCCGAGACCTTGATCCAAAACTTGAGAGACAATACCTGGAACACATCATCATGGAGCTTGATGATACCACGGCGGATTTCCATAACCGACTTGTCGAGCTCTACGTTTCAAGCCTGAGCAACAGCGAGAGGGGCCATGATTGGGATGACCTTGAAGAAAGATTTGTCAAGTTCTTGCGAGAATCTCGACAGGTCTACAGTCTCACCAAGGCATTTGCATTGATACCTAAGGATGGTAAGAGTCCTTTCAACTTGACAGCTAGAATCATCAATTATTGTGCTAACGCCGTATAGATCCCGCTTTTTACGAAGCTCAAGCTGTTGTATTAAGCAACATGGGGCAGCATCGACAATCTCTAGAGATTTATGTATTCAAGATGAAGGATTATGTCAAAGCAGAAGAGTACGTTGCCATGGCGCCTCATCGGTATCTAATGGGACTACAGCTGACCTTTTATCCAGCTATTGTAATCGTGCACATAGATCGCAGGCCCCATCTACAACCCCTTCAGATGACCCAGACGAATCAGCATCGTCTGTATATCACACGCTACTCTCCCTCTATCTTCAACCACCTCCGCCTCACAAACCAAACCTCGAGCCAGCTCTGGACCTGCTTTCCAAGCACGGCTCTCGCCTGCCTGCCACGTCGACACTTGGGCTGATCCCCGATGATCTTCCCGTAGGCTCGCTCGAAGCCTATTTCCGCGGGAGGATACGGGCAGCAAACAGCCTCGTCAATGAATCTCGTATAATGGCCGGCTTGCGAAAAGCCGAAGGCATATCCGTGGCCGCAGAATTACAGCTAGGCGACGGTAAACCCGGAGCGCAAGGCGGCCGGAATCGCCACGTCGTGATCCATGACGAAAGGCACTGTGTCGTGTGCCACAAGAAATTGGCTGGCGGAATGAGAATGGGCGGTAGCGTAGTGGCCGTGTTGACGGATAACACAGTTGTCCATTATGGCTGTTTGAGCAAAGCAACGGGCGCTAAAGCAAATGGTTCGAGAAGGCCCAGTTGGAGTAGAGGTTTTTAGACGCCCCTGTTATTTTTTCGGATTGCTCTTTTTTTTTTATCTTCCCTCTCTCATAGCTAGGTGTTCCTCCTTCTTTTCTCTTCTTCTTCTTCTTCTTCTTCTTCTTCTTCTTTGGAGTCGCTGAGCTGGGTTGGCTTTTATCTGTTCGTATGATGTGGCTATACCCTTTTGTACACATTCTAAGGCGTGCTGTCTTTTTTTATATATAAAATCGTATCGCATGTTGTATCTGCAGAAGCATCTTTAAGTGAATAGAGACGAGATTTTTAATCCTCCTCTTCTTGAACCTCCTCGCCGTAGTTTTCTTCTTCTTTCTCCTCATCCACAGCTGCGGCTCCCTCACGAGCTTTGTCTTCCTCCATACGCGTCGTGAGCTCTTTGTTGATCTGATCTTGAGCTGCAGCAACGGAAGCACGTAGCGATTCAAGGTACTTGGATTTTCCGGCCGGGTCGAGGGGAGTAGGCGGCGCGGTGATGGACTTGGTGATGCTGAAGGGGGCGCTGGCAGGCGAGGAGTAAGAAGCTGTGAGGGCGGGATCTGAAGGAGCTGATTGCGACATTGCGAAGAGCTTGGCTTTGCGATTGAAGAGGATCGCTTTGGGGCGTTGTTACGGAATGGCAGCAGAGATTGGTGGGGTAGCAGGCTGACTTGAGAGCTTTGGCTGCTTCATGGAGGGGCAGGTTTTCTAGGTGAGAAGCGCGGATCACGTGGCGGTCCAGAAGTTGGTAGATTTCAATGCCAATCTTTGACGGGGCCTCTAGATGCCAGCCAGTACTCTAGTAGTTTGAAAATATGTGTATTACACCAAGTAAACATCTCTGTGCCTTGGAAGGGTTTGATGTGCAGGCGCCATCTGCAGTCGGGGGCTTCAGATGAAGTCGTTTGACAGTGTCTCATCAGATGAAATCATCTACCTTGTTGGCAACAGCAGCAAAAAAGCTACAAGATGCATGCAATGATGCCTTTAGGGTTACATCATTGCACTACGAGTTGGATACAAGAAGCTACGAGAAGGTATAAAGACCAAACAAAGACTTTGGCTCAAATCCTAAGCGTGAGTCATTCGTCTGATGTCTGCCATAAAAGGGCGGCGGCTTCTTTATATGGCTTGAGGCTCAATTGATGGCGAAGCAATACGAGGAAAAGGGAGCAGTAGCCATGAAAAGCCAGAGAATCGATGAGTCGGAGTAACGCAGCAGAGTAGCCTACCACTACTCGATTTGGACGTCTAGGAATCTCAACAAGAGATTTGAATAATTAGTAGTATTCTTGCGCAATAGCGAAATAGGCATACATATCAGCATCTTACCTGGGGAGAAAAAGAGGTGAAGCATCGCCCTCAACAGAATGATCGGAATTGTGTGATTTATCCTGCCGAAGCAAAACAAACGCTGCATATCGCACTCAAGTTTGCGCAACAAGCTTCGCAACGACTTCCCATAGGACACCGAGAAAGAGACAGCCGCGTCTTCCCGAAGTATACACGCGGGTCCTCCCGGGCCTGAGATTTCTGATGTCTGTTGCAGACGTCGGGGTGACGCCAGGCCATCACAGGCAGACTCGATAGACACACGTCGAGAGCCACAAGGGCGCCAGACATGGAAAACGAGCACAAGAGAGACGTATCTCTCTTGCTTTGAAGCTTTCTCCGAATTTCCCACATGCGAGATGAGGCGAGATTGAGAGGGCCCGGAGGCCGTCATTCTCTGTTTGTAGCATGGAAACGCAGCGTTGAAGAGGGCGATGCTTGAGGAGAAGCAAAAAGGCTGGACGGACGAGATTTTGGTTTTTTTTATAGCTTGTCCAAGCTGTGGTAGGCCCCACATACCATATGTACCTCAGTACTGCTACTACATACTGCTAGTCTACCTCCCGCAGGCTGTGCTTTAGTGCGGAATTTGAGCCTCAGCTTGGCGCGTGGCCTCGGTACTTGAGAATCCACCGAATTTGGGGAGTAAATGAGGTACATATTGCAGCTATGAGCAGAACAGAAGAGAAGTGAACAAAATGTGGTATCAGGCAAGTAGAAAACAGAGTTACGCCTTGACATGATATCTCAGAAATAGAATTTCTGTTCACGTAGCCACAATAAATACGTACTCTAGCCAGCCGATGGCCCGCGTACCTATGGAGCAGAACAGGATGTGATAATGCCTGCCGAGATAAGCTCTATGCATGCAGATCTACTGCCTTACAGTAAAACGACCTACAGGTGCTTCGTGTAGATGCAACCCCACGGCAGCCATCTCATCCTCAACAACTCCAACTCCAGCAGCTCAGCATCTGCCCATCAACGACCAACCTCAGCCTTCGGCCTCTCCTAGAGCTCCCCTCTCTTAGTAGTGCTAGACTTCTGGCGCCTCGACTCTTATAAGAAGCAAGCCCAAGCGATAGACCCACTGGCCGTTGTTGCGACATCGAGTCGCGGCCCGTCCGCCCTGGCCACGACGCCAGAATCACCTCGCCTCATGTTCTCGGCAGCAGCCAAGATGTAACGAGCCCCTCACGCAACCGCAAGATGCAGCCCACACCATCCAATACGGGACGGCCCCAGGGCCGAGCTCCCGGCAGCTTCTCTCCCTTGCCCGGGGTGCCGCGATCGTCCATCGACCTGCCGGGATCATCATCGCGACCACCTCCCCTGCGCATTGTTGACTCGCCCAGCAGCGAGGAGGGCACGCCCGCCATTGTCATTCCAAAGACTCGACAGCACAGCGGCGGCAACCCGCCTTCCACGCCCATATACCAACAGTTCGCCAGCCATGCGTTCTCCAGCAGCGCCAGCGTCCAACAGAGCTATCCTCGCCCAAGCGCACCCCGAACCGCGCCTCAGGGAGCGTCGTCCCCAGTTCTGAAGACGCATTCGAGGAAACACGCTGCCACTCAAGGCATGTTCGAGCCATCGTTGCCATCAACCAGCACATCCAACCTATCCCAGATCGGAATGAACCACAGCGGCCAACCTGGTGGTCCAGCGACTGGAGGATTGTCTGCCAGCGCGATTGCTGCGCAAGCGGCCGTAATGTCGCATCAGAACATCCTCCAGTCGCGCCAGCGATCGCAGACGGCCCCAGAAACCGAAGGCGCGAGGAGAGGGAGCGGGAGCAAAGGCCCTATAAGCCCCCCCACATTGAGCCTGACGGAGGCCAGTGCGCCGCGGGAATCAGCCTTCAATATATCAGGAGGAGGAGCACATCAAGACAGGCTTGGAGCCGCCGCCATGCAGTCTTCCGCCGCTGCTACGGCTGCGGCCAATGTCGTGTTCCCCCGGTCTGGCGGTAATTCTCCAAGAGAGCCTTCCGTATCTCCTCAGCCACAACCATTCCCGTCTTTGCCTGCTGCGACTTCCGCTTCAACTATTTCGGAGAAGCCTCTCTCCAAATCTGAAAAGGCAAAGGCAAAGCTCTTCTCACGGCCATCAAAAATTAGCGCCAAAGACACCAAGGAAAAGGCGTTGCCAAGCCCGGGCAAGATTGGCTCAGCATTATCAGCTCTCCAGAGAGGCAACTTCAGCTCAACCAATCTCACAGACTCTGCTAGCCAATCCTTTTATAACCTTAACAATTCATCTTCAGCAACCATTCGGCCAAGTGAAGCTACCGGGGAGGAAAAAGCTAAAGAGAAAGAGAAGAAGCATCACTTCCTATCAAGACAGAAGCAGAAGCTCAAGGACGAGTATCATTTACCGCTCTCCTCAGCCGCTAGCAATTCAAGACCTACGGATCCAAATGCACCGAGCAGTCTTTACAATTTCAGCGTCCCTGCCAGCCCGGGTCCTACATCTTCTACTTTTGCAAAAGCCAAGAAGGATAAAAAGAATGCTGAAAGATCGGATAGCCGCATGGACAGTGAATCGGTGCCCGGAGATTGGCCTGGAAGTAGCAGCTTGCCATCCATGTCACAGCAATCAAGCATCTTATCCGATACATTGGATGGTGTCAAGTCAGTGCTGACAGGCCTGGCTATGGACGATGCATGGAATTATTTAAAGCCGAAGCTTCTTGTCATTTTCCAAGGCGAAGATATTCGCCTCCCGGTTGAAGACATTAACCGCATTGTTAGCCTGCATATTCAATGGTGTGTCCATAAGAGGTCACCGAACAAAATGCTAGAGGACCTTCGAGAGCTGCTCTCATTGGGCTTCGCTACAATGGATAAAACTCTGCGGAGAATGCCAGAAGAGCGCTTCATGCCAACTCTCGTAGACAATTGGCTCGTTACTTTCACTTCCATCTTGCCTTACATGCAAGCGGCATTGCTGCCCCTTGATCTGGAGGTCTCAGGCTGTGGGACTATCATGACGCCTGAACAGGCACGCGACTTTTGGGGCGGCGTTGTCACTGCTCCCTCTCCTGCAGCAGGGCAATCAGCACAGGTGCTGCCTGCAGCGACTGCTCTCGATGTAAGACGCCTAGTTTTGACGGCCTACCGTGACACCGTCATCCTGTCGCGCTATGATACTCTCAAAACAATATTCTCTCGCCTCTCTCTCGAGTTTCTTCCTTCGGCGTGGGCAAATATGGCGCTCGCGTCTCCTCCTTTGGAAGCTACCCTCTCCACATCGCCTCCCGAATCCTTCTTCTCCATGGCTCGTCCAGGCACGGCCATGTCTATCGATCCTTCAGTTGGCTCGTACAATTCCACTAGCACTACCTTGCTGGGGGACGGCTCTGCCGGCAGCCGCAGTCGAGCTGTGAGCAACGTCAGTCTTGGTAGCCGCGGTAGCGATGGGGTGATTCGCCCCTATACCCCATCAGGCATGCAGGCCCTCAGCAGTGTCCGTGAGCAAAATGTTGAGGACTCGAAGCAAGTAGCTGATATGGTGGGCCGGATGTTCCAGTGCATGAGCGTCCTCTCAAGCATCGGTGGCGTTGGTGGCGACCTAGACGACGCGAGTAACAGGAAGATGGTTGAGCTTTGCAAGATGCTTAAGCTCAACTGGCTAGGTAGAGGTAGGACAGGGCGTAACAGGATGGGTATAGTTGGTGGCAGAGTTCGAAGAGACGAGATCCGTGAGGAGTTGCGAGTTGCTTGAGACTTTTTGATCTGAAGGATATCTGGTGTTGTTTTTTACAATGGATAGGAGAATAGGGAGTTTTTCGTTTTCATTTTGGGAGAGAATATATAACTACTCCGTACTACAATGTGGAATGCTTTTGTTCATTTGATTTTTGATAGGAAGAAGAGACATACGTACCTAGCAGCTTATACATTTTCCTCGAGTTGTGTTTACATAGTGTGTGGCGTTGATTCAGCGGGTGCAGGACACGAAGAGGGTTTCCCCAATAGAAGAAGAGAAAGAAAAATGGTCTTAATAATAACATATCAAACATACATAGCTACTAGAGAACCTACGCAGGCCTAAATCTATCTGTTTTCAATGATAATACCATAACAATCTGTTTAATTGCAAACGTCCAGGGTAGCATCTTTCGTGATTACGCAGTATCAACGCACGATATGTAAACTTTACTTTTCGGCTATCCTTTATCGGGATAAGGGTCTTGTCCAAAAAAAAAAAAAAAAAAAAAAAAAAAAAAAAAGAAAACAAAAGAAAAGAAAAGAAAATTGGGCACCATTGGTTCGGCGGAAAACAAGCCGAGATATCAAAGATATCAAATACAGTACATCATTCAAATTCCTTTTGATTACAATTGATGGACAAGATTTAAGGGACAGATATGTTAATTATTTTTTTTTATTGTAGTGCATAATTGTAGAATGTCTATGGAAAATCTACGACGAGCATTCTGCTCAAGAAAATCACTGTATACACTTTGACAGGTCAGCCTCAAGCTCAGCTAACGCGTGAAAATAGAACAAGACGTGAAAAAAGAAAAAAAAAGAAAGACAATGTGTTTGATCAGACATCCAAGGAAGTATTAACCCTCATCTGTTCCAGAAAAAGGCTCATCGGAACTCGAGTGGAAACTGCGAATTAAATGGAAATTTTCATCATGCAAACACATGACCAAAGGCATAAAAACTGCTGAAAAGTACTCACCATAAGACGGTCAGGGCACAAGCTTTGTGGCTGCCAGGTTAGCTGTCGATGAAAGGGTATAGTAAGCTGAGAAAATTCTAGAATCTGGGCCATAGAGTTAGCATGGCCACCAAAGCAGAAAACAAAAATGTGCATTGAGCAAATGTGTGCAAAGGTCAGACAATTATACTGGCAAGTAACAGATCCTGAGGATCCGAGTAGTCAAAAACTTCTTCATGGTCGATTCGGTTGGGAAAAGAAGACGTTTATTAAGTGTCATCATAAAAAGAGGGAAAAGGAATTGCATATTCCTGTGAAGGGACGAAAAAAAAAAAAACACGGAAATTCTTACCTTTTGACATCACATGTCAAACACGCGTTTGCACAACACGCTTCGAGAAACTCTATTCGGACAGACCCGTCGTCTTTCTGTTCCAGCCAGGAGAAAATAGAAGCCAAAATCAAACCTCTCAGATTCGTTTCCAGCGCTGGGAAAGACGACGAGACTGCCAGCGAGCTCTTTGCGTTGGCAAGAAAAAAAAAGTATGTTGGAAGGAAAGTTTTGCTCAGAAGCTCCATCGGCGAGAGAAGATATTCCCAGACAGTGCTAGCAAATTTTTCTCACTAATCGCACTGTCAATATCTCACGTGATACAGTCCTCCCGCTTAAAGTATTAGCGGCGGCAGCCGGAAATGGTGCCTCGGATTTAGTCATCTCATTATTCAAATGATTTCACTTGACAGAGCCAGGCAAGATTGCTAAGGCTGAATGCAGCGCTAGTAAGTACTAGGTAGGTTTGCCGCGGATTTTCGCAAACTGAGGATTATGTGCATGTCTGCGGATAATTTGTCACTGCGCCTCAGTGTTGTGTCAAGGAGAATTATTCGCTCCGGTATTCGCACTAGCAGAATTCCCCGATACCTTTGTTTGGTTGTATTTGCTGCATGATTCTCCCATCAGCCGCAGAAACGCGGAAAAACCGGTCAGATAAAGAAAGATGCGATTTGGGCCGGTGGCGGACGACGCTGCCAGGTACCAGGTATTCAATTCCGTCTTTCGTCCGGAAAAGAGTTAACCCGATGTTAGCGGCCCCGTTAGAGAGTTACGATAGCTTTACCAGCCACCGACTTTGGGCGGACTATGGCGATAAGCAGACTAGATCAGAGAGTGGATATCAAAATGATGCTTGAATAGGTTTAATTGGGGCTGTTCTTCCAGGATGGCTGCGTACTGCAATTTCAGAACGATTACAAGATCTCGTAGTAGAACATTCAAAGGTTGGATTGCATACGAGATATTCGAATCCTTATGAGATTTGTTTTTCCACAAAGAGAGATAAGGAGAGAGAGATATAGAGAAGAAATCCGAATAAAAATAATTGTAAGAAAAAAGGAGCGATGGTGTAGCCCCAAGCCCCCCTCTTTGTGTTGAGGTATCTACTACTGAGGTATGTGATATGCCAGCGAAAGTATTCGGACTTTGAGAAAGTTGAGGAATACTTTCAGTTTTGTTAGTGCTCTTGGTAGTAGTTCTCCGCTCCTAGACACTGGCACTACTGTATTACTTGGTACCTTTACGTTCTCTTTACAGTACCTACAGGTAGATATCTGGGGTCGAAATACCTTTTGACGGTGCTGCCTATCTGAGGTGATGGGGCCTCGTCGCCCTGAACTTTCCTTACTGATTACTAGCAGTATGACAAAAAAAAGCCCACTCAGTTGTTCACTAGATCCATCTTCAAATCACTTTGAAATTTTCTTCTTTCCTCTGCATATAATGCCACTTCGCTACTTCTCTTTCCAAACTCTGCAGCTCATATAGCACCTACATAGTGGTTTATACTTCCTCACTCACCCTCCCACACACAAGCAACAAAAAAAAAAAAAAAAAAAAAAAAAAGGCAAGTCAGAAGCGGGGCTTTTGCACGGGATAGTTGCATATTCTCCACGGCCCATCCCTGGCCTCTCTCCTCCCCTGGTCATTCCCGCCCACTCACGTACCCACGCACCAAAGATCCCCCAAACGCCGTCTCGCTGCTCCCGCAGGGTTGGTCTGCCATATCGACGCCTTGCCTGCTGCACTGCGACGTCCTTCGTCTCGCCAGACGGCCTGGGGACCTGACACAACATCCACCTGGATACGTCCCTCGTCCTTTCGCATCTCCTCGCCCTCTGCTCTATACTAGCTTCTAGTATCCGCTCCGGCACCAGCACCAGCACCAGCGCATACTGTGGCGGCAACAGCGCTGCGAGTCGCGCCAGACGCTTGGGCAAAAAGACTGGGAGAAAAAGGACGCGGGCTGCCAAGCAGAACAGCCAAAGAGCCGGTTGGGTCGGTTGCCGCGATTATACGCAGGCTGAAGCAGGCTGCAAAACCCCGTCTGATCTAGCGGAGATATTTATTCACCTCGCTCTGCATCGCGTCCCAATCTCGTTTTGCCGGCCTGTTCCTCTGGCGCCCGGCTTTTCCCTTCTAAATTGGCTTTCTTGTCCCCGAACATAGCTCTTCTTTGGGCTTATTCCCCTACTTGCTGCCCACTCAGCCGCTAGGCCCTTTATTTGTCACCCGTCGCAGTGTCTTGAGTCGGGCTGGTGTGGTATCACGGATCGCACCACCAACTACCCATCGGACCGCATTATCTCTTGCCGATGCATCGTCGCCACTGCAAGCCCCGTCGCTTCTTCTCGCTATAGACGCATTTTTATCCGTTTTGGACGCGGACTCTGCGCTCTCGACGATTGTTGCTATTACCAATTTTCTAGAAGTCCTACTTGCGGTACTGCCGCCTCCCACCGCTGCTACCCCGTGATCCACGCTACCTGTCGCCGCGACGCGAAACCCCAAATATATAGCAACAGAGGACAAGGCAGCAAGACTTGAGCCCACACAAAGAGGAAACACGTCTCTCTGTACCGACAACGGTCGCGATCTCTCATAACCCCCATCGTATGCGCATGCGATAGTGTCTACGGACGCTCGTCGATATCCACGCTGTGGATAGCCGACCTCATCTAGAGATGATGGCCGCAAGTATGGGCCCCAACTTCGCGGGGCACCCTGGGATGGGACATCCGGGAGTCGCAGGGCATCCGATGGCAGGCCCTGGTATGCAACCCAACGCAGGCCAGCAGGGCGCGCCTGGTGGGATGCCTCACCAGTTTGCCGGCAGCCACATTGCCGTGTCTGGTCCAGGAGGCCAGGTCAATCCGGCCTTGATGGGCGGCATGCCTCCCGGGGCAACCCCGAATCCTCACCCGATGCACCAACTGAGCCCCGCGCAACAACAGCAGATGTTTCAACACCAGCAGCAGCAGTTGCAGCAGCAATGTAAGTATCTTGCAAGGATATCCGTCATGGACTTGGCAGACTAACGCGCCGGCAATCTAGTTGGGATGAACAACCCGAGCGCAATGGCTGCTATACGCCAGCAGCACATTCTCCAGCAACAACAGCGGCAAGCTTTGATGGCGCAGCAGTTCCCAGGAATGACTCCTGCCGGAGTCAACGGCATGCCTATGGGCATGCAACTCACACCGCAGCAAATTCACCAGCTGAGACAGGCGCGGAACGCTGCTGGACTGGGTCACGTAAATGTCAGTTGTTAGCTCATATGACAACCTCTTCACCGCAATGGAGAGAGCTGAGACACTTGCTAACATCACTCCGTAGGCGCATAACCCGCAAGCGATCATGGCCCAACAGCTGGCCCTTCAGCAACAGGCAGCAGCCCAAGCCCAGCAACAGGCAGCGCAGCAGCAGGCTCAGCAGCAGCAGCAGGCCGCGCAGCAGCAAGCAGCGCACAACCAGCAAATGGCTGCGGGCCATAACCAAGCACAACACATGACGATGAATGCTCAACCTATGCCGGGTATGCCACAGCCGAATCCTATGGCCACTCAGCCATCAATGGGCGCTCAGCAGCAGCCGGGTCAGCAACCGCCAGGCCAGCCCCAGCCGCAACCCCAGCAGCAACCTGGTCCCCAGTCGCAGCCGACGCCTCAGCAAGCCTCACAAGCCGGTACACCTGCACCGACGGGGCAACAGACTCCTCAGACACCCGCACCGACTCCGGCTCAGGCGAATCAGATGCAGCAGGGCCAACCCCAGCCTCAACAGGCCCATCCTCCGAATCAAACTCAGATGGCTGCCGTGGCAACCCAGCAACTCATGGCCAACACCATGATGCAACAGCAGCAGCAGCAGCTTAGAGAAGGGATGAAGACAAGGTGCCTTTTAAGACTGATGCACTTTGGCGAATGCCTAAGTACCTTCCCTGTATGTGCTGCCCTAAAACCTTTGATAGTCGGGTCTTGAATGCTGACATTCACTTCTTTAGGGAGCAAAGAGCAAAGAGGATCTCGCGTATTGGGGCAGAGTTGTATCCCAGTTCTTCTCATCACCCAACGGCGTTTTCCGCCATTCATTACACGTTAGCGAGAACGAAGATGCAGCAGATAAGCAATATGAAATTGCTTACCCGGTAATTGCTCGATATATCCATACCTATTTCAGCAGTGGCGTCAAAAGTATACAACTCATTCTCGACGGTGGGAGCATCGACAAGGCATTGCCTGGGGACTGCTACTGTATCGAGAACCAACGAGCAAGCTTCGTCTATTGGTTTGAGACGGGTTCACATGTAGGTTTTCTCCCTGCTGCTATGATGTTCACGAGCCCCTTGTTTCCGGAGATTTCCGGAGTTGTTTGGCTGTATTGTTTGGCTGTGTGCTAATCTATCTTGCCTTCCTAGCTTGTGGCCAATGGAACGCTACGTACGCAGTTTGATGCCGAACAGAAAATCGAATTGTTCGAATTTCTCACCACAGGACACGAGGAATTTGTATCTATGCGAAGTGTCGTCGAGGCAGCGAAGCCAACACATGAATGGATCAAGGAGTGGCGTACTGTCAACACGATTGATGGCAAGCAGTCTCCAGAAATGTCCAAGAAGGGCAAGGCTCGGCAGCTCAAGTCGCCTCAGAAAGAGCCACCCGGAGTGCTGGTTGATCTTAATTCGGCTGTTAACAAACAAGGTGTCACTCCGGCCGTCCATCAATTCCTCGAGGTATGTCAAAGACAGGTTATATACGAGGTATAATGGGGAAGTTGAACGATCTAACTAAATTCTGTAGATTGTGGAAGTCATGGGTCAGATGAACCCACTAATCGGATTCTATAACTCCAACCCTGGCCTGACTCCCTATGGAGCGCTTGAACAATACGTAGCAACCCAAATCAATAGCGCGACACCGGCGATGAATGGCCAAGCTATGGTACAAGGGCCCAGGACACCCGGTTTTGGGCAATTTCCAATGGGAGCGAGCCCTGCGGCGGTACATATGAACCTTCCCGGCTCACCTCACATCGGTAGTCCCGCGCCAGGTCAAGCTCCTGGCATGCAGCTCCAGCCAAGCCAACAGGGAACAAGTTCGAGCGGGCCAAGTGCAAACACGTCACCGGCTTCCAATAAGCGTCGGCGTCCGTCTACTGTCAAAGTTGAAGATGATTCCATCGCCCCAGGCGCTGGCCAAGTCAACGGGGTACAGAGCAGGGTCAAACCCCAGACTCCTCGGATGGCAAAGCGTGTCAAGGGCAACCCAGCTTGAGATGCGATAATGCATGATTGACATTATTAGACATCTTTCCTGCCTACGGCATAAAAAGCAATAATGCCGTAGCACGCATTACGCCAATTTTTTTTTCACGTCCTTAATCATCATGCAGCATGGTGGCGTCTTGTGTTTGAACTATTTTATGGTTTCATCGACTTGGTGTTTTTATCTTTGACATTTCTTTTATCGATATTGGACAAGTTGGAAAAAAGCTCTGTTTTGCAAAAGAGAACCCGGATAGTGTACTCGTTCCCGACAGTATGCGCGTCTTGGCAGCTATTTGGAAAGCCCCCTGTTTTCCACAGGTCTATGTGTGTGTCGGTGGATTGATACCCAGTGGTTGGTTTGGTGTGTGTATATGTTGGCAATAAACAAGACCCGGGAGCAGCTCGACGCCTTAGTGCGGAAGCATCGTTCATCCAGGACCCGACGTTTCCACGGACCTAGTGCTCTATTCTCTCTTTTTCCCCCCCAACATTGTTCTGCTCTCTACATAACGACATATACGGAGTAGACGCCATGAGATGCGGAGTTTTTGGGTCTTGCCACGTTGTGCGACAGTTTTAGCGAAGGAAATATTAGAGCTTTTGTGCCGGCGCTGTTTGGAAGAGAAAAGGAGGATAGGCTCTTATAATTTGGGTAACGGAGTTACTCGTGTACCATAAACTTTTATCTCGGAAGACTCGACCTGTCTAGTGGGTTTTGCTTTTTTGTTGCGCATCCCTTGCTTAAGTTCTTCCTTTCTTCAAAGACCTATTTGATTTTTTCTTTCTGCTCTTTCTGTTTTTACCGGAAATGTTTCTGGGATCTCGAAAGTTACTGCTCGAAAAAAAAAAGTTTTTGTGTCTCAACGCAAGATAGACACAGCATTACTTTTTTTTTTTTCCTTTTCTTTTCTTTTCTTTTTCTCTTTTCTTTTTTTTTTTCTTTTTCACTCCATGGGTCAGGGGAAGAGGTGCAGATTGAAGCTTGAAACGGCTTCGTCCTACTGTCACTTTCTCTACTTCTCTTCTTTGTCCGTTGGAGGGGCTGGTCTTTTTGTTCTATGCTCCAACCTCTTTTCTATATTCTTTTTGCCTTTGAGCAAGTCGGTGTTCTCGCTGAGCAGCCGCGATTTTTCTGATATATAAGCAAATGGTCACACACAACCCCCCTATTTCTCCTCCTTCTGAAGCAATAAAAAAAAAGGGCGACAGATATACATAAAAAAAAAGAGTTTTTCTTGGAATATTATACTACTACAGGATGCAAATGTGTGAGTATGGGATGGTTTATTTGCGATGTGTTTTGGCGAGGACTGGTTAATTTTTTCTTTTTCTTTTTCTTTTTGTATACGAATGAGGGGAGCGGGGGTGTTTTATAGTCGTACATGCTGATTTGTTTGTTTTATGAAAGTTGACTGTTCATTTTCTTCTCCTATTTAATTATCTTACTAAAGATGTGATACTTTGAAATGGTCTTCTTCCGCTTCCTTCCTTGTGAGAGTGATGATGAATGAACTCCGTTCGTTTAGCCCATTGTGACAGGGCCATCATGCGGCTTCTGCTGCTGCTGCTGCTGCTGCTGCTGCTACTACGGCCTGGTCCCCATCCGTAGCAGCAGCTGGAGTTGAAACTGTATCCGTGGCTGTAGTTGTTGTAGTCGAGTCCAACCCACCATCATCCTCTTCAGACGTAGAAACGGAAACGCCCATATCCACCGCAACAACAGCTTCATAGCCCTCCCTCTTAATCTCCCGCAGCGCCTCTTCCCAGTCCCTCTCCTCGATCCCTCCCATCCTCACCACTCTGACCACGTCCCCCGGCACAACCAGGCCTACACCCGGCACAACATCCATCCCAGATACCACCAACGCGTTGCCCCTCGGCAAGACATACAGCTTCACTCTGAGAGGGTCGATTCGCCCACCCGGATGCCGGATCGAAAGGCCATGATGTCCAGCCCAGGTCGCTAACCCCGCAAGCAGGGCATCTCTACTCGGTAGCGACGAGTCCTTGTATGTCGCGCTCGAGAGGCACAGCGGAGGCGTATAGTCGTCGGATGGGTGGCCGTAAAAGACAATCCGCAATGTGAAGAAGCTGCTTGGTAGATTGTTGATATCGGTGCCTGGCGGCAAAACTGATGGCTGAGCGGGTGCCACGATGAATGAAGGAGGAGTAAAAGGAGGATGAGCTACCATTGTTGGCGTCGTTGTGATGACAGGAAGATGATAGTATTGGACTTGAGGCGTCAGTAGAAACTGAGGCTGCGACATGGGTATCATTGGCTGTTGAACAATGGTGGGATAATGGACTTGGATTTGCCCGGGGGGGTTGATTCCGAAGCCAAGAACGTGGGATACGAATGTCATGATGTTGGCAGATCTTGATCGGATATCTTTCTGTAGACAAGTAGAGTAACGCCATCGCCCATCATCCATCAGCGAGAGGATGGAGAGCTGTTATGTCGTCGTGAAAAAAGAACAATTCACAGCTCGAATTGGGCAGATATTCATGACACTGTTTAAGTGAGCATGCGAGAGTGAACAAGAGTCGCCTTAACATTGAGAGGGCCGTAGAAAATGACTGTGAATCACAAACAAATGTGCACACTCATCGAAAAAACGTATAGAGTGCCTCAATATAGCTGTCACTCTTGGACACTCCCAAGCAGTAAAAATAGTCATAAGAATAAAGCAAACAGCGTTAACATATTATTGATTTTTTATTTAGAGTTGAGTGAGCAGCCATGGACTCACTCTCTTATCCTTGGCCGATGACCATGCAGTCAGTGTACAAAGTACTCCATTTCCAATCCGAAAAACCACATAAGAACAAGCGTAAGGTGGTATACTAGCCTTGTTGTGTGCCGTTGGTCGGCAGTTTTATCCCTTCGTCTCTCCCAAACTCCGGATACTCTCAGTTGATCATGAACTTAAATGCTTACAATTTTCTTGGTCCTGTCCTTCTCCCCTCCTTGAAATTCCTTTCTCATACTCCGCCTCAAAGGCTTTCTGGAGTGGGATTCTCATGCTTGGCAGTGCTTCCTTTTCCGCGCCAAGTGCTCACAGCAGGAATATGCGCCTCGTACCGAACTTCCTCCGTGCCGTACGCCCTTGGCGTCAATTTGATGAGTGTGTGAAGCGGCACGTTCATCCAGGGACTCTTAGCCTGGTCCTTCTTCATGAAGTATGCATAGATGCAGCGCAAAACCGCCTGGTGAGTCACAATGAGAATGTCCTCGCTACGCTCCAATTCCATTATGATCGGTTCCAGGCGGATAACCACGTCACGGTACGACTCGCCACCGCGGTATCGGTAGTTGTATTTATCCTCATCACGGGCCGCAAAGTCTTCAGGGTAGCGGTCTTTTATTTCTTGGTAGGTCAAGCCATCGCACACACCGGAATCCAATTCATCCAGTGCTTTCCACTGCAACTGATTGTAGTGCGGTGGGAGGAAGCGGGCTGTGGCGATGGTACGTTTCAAGGTTGAGGTCCACACCGTTAGAGGGCGATCATCCTAGTTAACATTATTAGTGCCCATTCCGCATATGTACTCTCAAAATACATCCGAGAAACTTTCACATCAGCTGTAATGGGGGGGGGGGTTATAAGACTTACTCCCACAGATTCTCGTACCAACTCTGGCAGCTTCTTAGCGTACTGCTCGCCCCGGGGAGACAGAAGCATGTCTCCGCCAATACGTCCACTCAGGTTATAAAGAGACTCTCCGTGCTATTGTTAAACAAGAGGTTAGATAACAGAGCCAAAAAGACATAGCAAAGACATGGCTTGTGCTATAAGGTGACTCACTCTTGATAGCCAGACTGATCGCGGCCGGATATGCAGGTTCATGAGGTAGTAGACAATGCGACTTTGAAGATAGTCTTGAATGCGGTTGATGATGACTTGCTTGCCAACGTTCATCAGCTTCAAGTAGGTGTAGCTATCCTCGTCATGGTCGGCGTCAATAGTCTTGTAGACCTTTTCATAGTGCTTGATTCGATTGCGAAAGTCCTGGGCCGCATCTTCTGGATCTTGGCCGCGGTAGTCAGGGCTTGTCAGCTTGACGTCACGAATGTTTGCCATGATGACCTTTTCATCATCGCATTTGCTTTCGACAAACAGAACCTCAATGCCATGGGCGGTGCACGTGTCCCAGACCCATTTACGACGCTCCTTGGTAGAATTGGTCGCGTCCAAGATGCCAACGACGCCGCCGGTGCGGAACCAAGCAAGCATGTCAGCAACGGCGGCCTCGGCAGCCGCACGGCGTTTCCGCTCACCCTCGGGATTGCTGAAATCAAAAAAGTCGGCCGTTGGCTGTGGAGCGTCATGACGCCGATAGTTGCCGACATTGAAAGTCGCTGCCGGAATTGACAGCCATTGCAAATATCTTTGGGCTGTATATCCGAACAAGCAACGAGAGAAAGAGTAAATGTCAGTCAAAGTCTCAACAGTCTGTCTATACGAAGTGGCGTGAGAAATTGGAGGAAATCAGGCAGCTTCCCGACGCTAGACGAGAGGGGAAGAAATCGCCATAAAGCAAAAAGCTCTGGAGGCAAGCATCCGGCTCAATGGAAGTGTGTGCGTGCGTGCGTGCGTGCGTGCGTGCATGTGCATAGGAATATGTCGGGATTGGGCCATTAAGAAGCCAAAAAGAGAAGGATGAAAAGGAAAAAAAAAGAGCAGAGATGCAGAACAAGCATACCTAGTTGGGCAATGTAACTCTTCCCGCGCGCCGGGAGACCGACCATGACGACGCATATCTTGGTGTCCTCGACCTGAACCCCCACGCCATTGTTAGTTTTTGACGGCATTGTCACGATGATGAAGCTGGCGATGCTGTTTGCTAAGATCAAGTATGCTAATACGGTGTTTGGGGTGTGATAGCAGAGGCATCCGGCGTGGCGGCTGATACATATGATGGCCCAGCAGGAATAGGGGAGACGGCAGCAGCAGTTTGTAACAAGGCAGAAGCAGCAGTAGAGGGTGGCTTTTGACCCTCGGATCTCTCTGGAGAGGAGGCAAAGGTGAATGAAGCCGGGCGATGGATAGCAGCGGCTGAGAGGCAGGCGACGCAGAGGACGTTGGCTGTGGATTGCGTGAGTGTGGCTGAACGGACTGGGATAGGCGAAGGTCCAGAGTCAATCAGTGACTGGGCAGCAGAGCGTGACGAATTGCCCGGGAAGTAGAAATGCGTGAACGGGTGTTCAATCCAAGTGTGCGCGTGAGGGTGTGCGGCAGTGAGGCAGCTTGTCCAAGGACCAAAAGGGTTCGATGCTCAATCGACGTCAAGCCGCTTTAGTGGCTGATGGGCACTAAGCCTCAGTGGTCGAAACAGCCCACAGCCGAGGCAAGCCTGCAGAGACGCAGAGCCGGGAAAAAGGGCTGCACGGCGGGTAGCACCGCAGCAGAGGGCCGTGATTGGGGGGGAAAATGGCACCCCGGCAGAAAAGTTGCAGATTGCCTTATGGCCGTGATAGTGACGATGGGCGTAAAAATCTTCCAATGCTCTCGGATGATGCAGATTGCGGAGACGGCGTTGGCACAAAGTCCAAGGGAAAAAAAGAGGAGACTTTAGCACGCCGGAAGGCCAAATATATCGGCACCCAGAAGTACTGCCAAGTACCGTGTGACAGTGGTGGCGGTTGCTCGTGACTGCCAAATACAAAAATACCCCAGATTATCAAGGTACACGTATCGGCTCAAAGTAAGTGCAGCACGCCCCGAGAACAGCTATAGGTAGGTGGCCAAGTGCTAGTTCGCAGGAAGGTCCTAGGTCTAGTACCCAACGGCAGGTTCTGTCAAGCAGTCCCAAAGATCCTTTCCACAGGAAGGAACAGCCTGAGAGGTGGCAAGTGTGTGTCAATCCGGCAATAGCAGCAGTAATAAAGGAAAACCAGACGCCAGGGGAAGGAGCAGTGTGGCATGCGGACAGGCAACCAAAAAGGCCAGCAAATTCTCCGCAGGCAGGCAAGCAACGGCACCGGGCTCGGTGAGAGCGAGTCGACAAATGCATGCACCTTCCGTGCTTATGCAGATGGCCCTGAAACAGAATGAAAACCAAGGGAAGGGAAAAAGAAGAAATTTGGAACAAAAGAAGCCCCCCTTGCTTTGCCTGCCTTATACCTCGGATTCCCCATTCCAGCATCAACGCTCGGAAGGGCATTGCCTTATGGAAGCACTCCCCGCATCACGGCGGCCAGGCTCGTCTCTGTGTCTCTGCTGCTCATGCCATTTGCCCCTTCAAACTGCCGCCGGATGCCCCGTGATGCGTCTGCGTATAGCACGGAGCACCAAGTAATTACCACTGCTCCATCCTGCGCGGTTGACTCTGTCAGGCGGCTCTCGTGCCCCCCTGTGCCGCCCAGCCTGCAGTGGGGGCAGCTCTGGGGAATTGGAGCAGCTCCAGGGCGGTGGGAGCGCTGGGCCGCGCTGCAGTCCGGCGTCCAGTCAGGGGGCTCAGCACCAGCTGCAGCGCCCCAGCACCTGGGCGAGTGCACTGCGGGGCCGCCAGCCGCTAGAGCCCTTTGCCCGGCCAGCCCCTGACAGCGCCAGCTCTGGTCCCCGAATCGTCCCGGCGGCCAGACGCCAAGGCCCCGTCTCGACGTTCCGATTCGAAGCGCTTCGTTTTCGTGGGCAGGTGACCGCAGTTCAGCAAAATGAGGCGTTGATTGACTGCAATTGACAATCGATTTCCAATGGCTTTCCAATCGTCTCGTGTTTTTCTTTCTCCGGCTTCCGGCTGTCGAACCATCTGCCGTCGAATCTCGCCATATCGCAAGCGGCCCAATGGCGGCGGCCCGAGGATGGATTGCTGAAATCGATCGTTGCTGGTGCTCTTGATCTCTCCCCGTCGGCGCCGTCTCCGTGATTGCCTCTTTCGGGCATCTTGGGCCACAGGCAGTGGTCGCCTGCAGGAACGCTGTGATGCACCCCTGGCTGCCTTTTCTTCCGGGGTTATCCGACCGGCAAGAAGAAGAAAATTCAATCATGGGATCAGGGCTCATCTCGTATGTTGCGTGTGAATGGCCTGAGCGCAAAGTAGACCGGTCACCTGGATGAAGTGTCCTCTCAAGCACAAGAATTGCCAGGATCTGTCCCCGTGTCCTACTGTACGGTATTCCGTACTTCGGGCTTGCTTCGTCGTCTGCATGTAAAGCCTTCTCGCCACGGCTCTGCTGCTGGTGGAACCGCCCCAATCTGACGGAGTCATTGTCTTGGATCCTCCGCCTTCACCGCCTGCGTCTCTTCATCTGCAACCACTGTCTCGTCATGTCCAGTCACTTGACTGGCGACCATGTCTGCATCTCGGAGCCTGTGTGAGAAATAGCAAGGCTAGTACTGGGCACTAGTAGGAGGTAGGGAGGATTCGCAAGGAGATGTGCAGGTAAGCAGAAGACGAAAAACAGAAAGAGACGTGACGATATCTCGCTCGTCCTTCTCACCTTGCTGAAACTCCACGTATTCGCTCTCGCCCTGCCCAAAGGCCTCGACGGCGGCCCAGCAGCAACGCCTATCATCTTTATACCGAGATAGAGTTATCGTCCTGGTCCTGCTGTGGCTCTCTCTCTCTCTTTTCCTCCCCTTGACTTCAATCCTTCCCCTGCTTTTTAGCAGAAGCTCTTGGGAAAGCCGACGAAATGTAATGCCGCGTTATCTTCGCACCCTGGTGAGCGTCTTCAACGTTGTCTAAAAAAAAAGGCGTAGGTAAGGAAAATAAGGAAAAGAAAAAAAGAAAAAGGAGAAATTATGTTGTTGCAGATAGAATTACAGTTGGAAGAAAAAAAAAAAATGAGATTGACTCAATCAAAAGCACGCAAAAAGTCTGATAATGGCAGATGGGGGGCAGTGGATTTGAGCTACGCAGTGTTATTAGTACAAGGAACTACGACGGAGTAGCTGATAAGCACTCAAAAACCACCCCCTTGCATTACAAGACAGGAGCCGCATTCCATCAATGTTTTTTAACCTGATAGTTTCAGCACCAAGTCATGGGCGGATCTCCTGAAGGAAGATGAAATGACTGTAAAGAAAAAAAAATATTGCGAGAAAGAACCCCTGGTGAAATTTGAATTAACGTTCTAGAGCGTCTCTCACATGGAAGAGAACCAAGCGATTCTTGCAGCTTTCAACACCTAATCAAACCACCGGCATGCTTCCTCCTTCAGGTCGCACAAGTGCCAAAAGACAAAAAAGAGAAGAGAAGAGAAGAGAAGAGAAGGGAGAGAAAAGTTTCTCATCATGGCATCTCGCCTACAACTGCATCATCACTTTCTCGAGTAGAACCGCATCTCGGCCGCTCCGACGTCAAACACGGCCAGCACGTTCTGCAGAAACACATCGCCTAAAATATACGGCCCGGGTCCACCGCTAGCTATGCCAATGGCGCAGTAGCCCGTCAGCGGGTCGATGAGATCTTGGTAGATCAGATCCGCCGGGTTGATCCAGAACTCGACGCCCGAGATGATGATGGCAAAGTGCGGCGGGATGGCATCGCAGGGGGCAAAGTATGTGCCCCATTGGTAGAGGTATACGGCTCGAGGCTGGAAAGAGTTGGCGATGGATTCAGCCAGGGCTAGAGAGATGGGTTGAAACCATGTAGTCAGTATTGTATCTGCTGCACTGCGAAAAAAAAAAAAGTTACTTACGAGGAGGCAGATAGAGCATCGTCGTGCCAGTGTCGACAATGTACGGATACTTGGTGGTATCCGTCGTCTGGCCCCATTTCATGCCATCAGGCACAATAGTATAGAATGAGTACTTCCAAGCTGTTTCAGGCTGGCCAATAAGATTTGCCTGCCACATTTCATTCATTCGGTGATTAGCTCTCTATCATCTCATCTCATCTCCTCTTAACGCTCGCTCGCCATCGTTTGCCAAACACTTACAATAATCAGATCCGTCTTGGCATATCCCCTGAACTGCCAGTCCATCGGCGGCAAGCCTCCCCAGGCGATAACGCCATCTGTCGAGTTCTTGATCAGGGCAACGCTGAAGACTGGGTCGATGGCGCCCTGGCTGATGGCATTGGTGAGGAAGGGCGTGTAGCTCATGGCGTTCCACGGCGCCTCCTGGCCAATGTCGCCATAGTACGCGCTGGTGATTGCAGGATACGCAAGGCCGAGAATGCCGACGGTTACGTTGTTGCCGTGCCAGTAGGTGTTGTTGGCGAGGCCGACCTGCTGCTTCGACACGGATACTCCGCCGCACGAGACGTCGCTGTAGCCCATGGGGCCGGAGATGCGCTCGCCGGATCCATACTTGAGGTAGAAGTGCAGCTCGTCGATTTGGCCGTGGCTGAAGCCATCAATATAGGGCGTGGAGAAGCCACACGCAGCCTCGTTGTGGGAATCGCCAGAGCCGTCTGAGCACTTGAAACCGGTCTTGGTCGCCCAGGTATCAGAGCTTCCAGTGTCGAAGAGGAGCCAGACGGGGACGCCATCCCAGCCGCACTGGACGGCATACTGGGTAGAGGCAGCAGTGAGGGCGGAAATGTTCTGGAACGACTGGTTGATGGAGCCAGGGACCATGCCACGGAAACGGCTGAGAGCAGAGACGCCCGAGTGCTGCTGGCCTGGTCTTGCCTTGATGCCCTTGAGGTGCGAGAAGAACATCGTGGTGCGATCCTTGGTCGGCTCCTTGATGGCTTTTGCTCTCTCAAAGGTGAGGCCATTCATGGGCTTTGCGAGGTCCCAGTCTGGAGCATGGCGTCGGACTTGGGGAAGATTGGCAGCCGATGCCGTGATGGCAATGCTGCCGAGAAGGCAGATGGCCCACCGTAGAGCCTTTATGAAGATCATGGCGAGCGGGCAGCAGTGTAGTGCTATATGACGAGGAGATGGGTACAGATGGGCAAGATGGATGCTGGAAAGAGATAAAGGGGATGGCAGGCTGCGAGAAACTGGTGATATCTCACAAAAGCTGTGCAAGGAAGAAGAGACGCAATCTGAAAGACGACGATGATTGAAGACGAAAAAAACAGATGGATGAGAAAGAGGAAAGGAGGAAAAGCCCATAGAGACAGGCACACCATGGAACAAAAAATCGAAAACAAAAAAAAGGGGGGGTCGAGGCGAGCAGCAGCATTTGACAGCTGGCTATTCAGCTCAGAAGCAGTGCAACACCTGCCACCTGTTTCACTCGGCAATCACATCAAACGGCTATCTTGTGCGAGTGGCGGACGGGTGCAACGTTTCGACGGTCCTTGACGACAGAAATAGTATCAAAGAGTTGTTTGTTAGGACTTGTTTGGTTCATTCTTACGGTAGGAGGGGAAATGATTTGTCGAGATCTTTGAAGAGATGAGAAGTGGTGTATATGTCTATCAAGAAGATTTATTTCAACCTAGCAGTAGTTGTTGCAATACGCTGTTAGCACTATCATTTTCCATAAATGTATAACATCTCTGGAGCGAGGCAACCCAGTAACCAGCCCTATAAACTCCAATTCTCCTCGTCAGGTGCAGAGCAAATAGTACTAGTCTTGCTATATGAATTAGTACACGTAAACTCTGTACGTTTTTTGTACAAATCTGCTTTCTGAGCCAATGTTTGCTTTTCCCGTGGACCAGTTTTAGCTTTCTCCCGTCCCGGTATCACAGATCTAGCTCTGCCTTTCCGAGACACAACCTAATCGACCGAGTCCTGGTGTCCATCAAGATGAGCTGAAGAGCACATGTATGCGGGCTGTCCTCATAAATCATCGAGCTTCAGCTTTGGTGGTTTCATATAGCTCAATGCGTCCTCGATATGCCATTCTGTCTATGGATAACTGCGTAGAGCTGTATCTGAATGTATAAAAACACACATGAATATAGTATATTACGTCCACTCTACTCGCCCAACAACACATGAGTGTGTATAATAGAGATATGCAACAGTATACTCGGCAAGCTTCCAAGGGGGCTAACTCTGTGCCACCATTGTCCCCAAGAAAGAAAAGAAATTAAAAAGGACTTGTACAACTTCACCACGGCAGCGAAGCAAATAGTATCATCCGTCAGGTTCAGGCGTCAAGATACTGCCCCTTCTCAGCCGTTATAATGAGCCATTCTTCAAAAGTATCGAGCCGTGTATATCGAATTCGCAGCCATATCAGGGCGTACATGTTCCACAACCTTGCCTCCTATTTCCTTCGAGTTCTTCAAGCTCGGTCACACATTCCACCTATTTTCTCGGCTCAGAAAGCCCGGCGGCATTGAGTACGCGATCTGTATTGTATCTCTCTCGCTTATTTTCTGAGACAACAAAATAAAGCCTTTGATATTTCCCCTAGAATATCACCAGATGATACATGACATATAGTAATAGCAATAGCAATAAGAGTAACAAGAAGACGGCAACGGCGTAATTATACCGCATGAATTAGCTAGATACCCAACATCGGTTGCAATTTATATGGAAGGTAACCATAGCTTTTCCCACGAAAAAAAAAACAATTCAGCTTCAATATCTTCCATTCTTTAACTAGGAACAAGCATAGAAGTAAGCTATAACTTTAATAAGACATCTCTTCAAGAACCCACATCACATGGAAACCTACCTGAAATCATCCATCACGATCAATCTAACCTAGCAGTGGACCCAATTCTAAACGAATAGGAAAAAGACGCCAAAGGCACTAAATTCTACCTCCATTTCCCCGAGCCTGTCAATCTCAAAGGGCGTAGCGTCTAGTAGATTAAAAAAATAATAACATAAAAAAATAAAAAAATCGCCGGGCAGCGCCGCTTCTCGACGGTCTACCGTCAGTGCTATTTTCCATCATGCCGAGGTTAGATCTCCAACAGGGAAGAAGTGGAAATACCCGCCAAACAAGCGGCACTAGATAAAATGCTTCTAATAGCCCATGAAAGATTTCTAGAAGACTGTAAACTAAAAAAAAAGTAAATCAAGAAAGAAAAAAATAAACATCAGAGGTCACAAAAAAGTTGAAGAAAAAAGAATCTCTGCACTATTAGCAAAAAAAAAAAAAAAAAAAAAAGTGCACACTCTCAAAACTACTCTTCAGCTTTCTTATTTGATCATCTGGCAGCCAGTCGCATCTCCTGCCAAGCTGGGCTACCTCTGCGACATTACCCCAATCCATACAGCCCGCATGTCCCTTTAGAGCTATACCTCACTAACAAGCTACCTATTCCGCATCTTAATGCACCGTACCGGACGGACCCCCCCTGACGCCATATTTTTTCCTCTACCCAAATGCCGGCCTCATTCGCTGTCGCTCTGCCGCGTGCGTCTCGGGGCTTTGATATTGGCCAGACTCGCCATGTAGCATTAGCTTCGTCTTCTTTATTCACATGTGCGGCGCAGGGGGGGTTAGGGCGAGGAGCGAGGGCAAATCGTCGTCATCTTTATCAAACTTGTTCTTCAGCGGAAACGAAGCCCTCCTTTGTGCTGCCGCCCAGGAGGACTTACACCACTACGGGGGTCACGATGGCTTCGAAAACAACGTCAATTCTTCTAAGAAGAGAGCCTCCACTCTCGTTCATGGAGCATCTGAGCTCTTCCGTATCATACTATTGTCCAAAGGATGCTATTCCTCTCAACAATAAAAGCGACAACGACAATGCCCCAATCGATCAACGCCGCCATCCAGAACTCATCCTCGTTCTCAGCTGGATGGGTGCCCGAGACGTTCACATAGAAAAATACATTGCCCAACACCGCGTGCTCTTTCCCTCGTCCCGAATCCTTCTCATCCGCTCTCCTGCATCGCATGTCTTTTGGCCAAGCCTCGCTCGCAGACATATCCCGCCGGCAATCCGAATCCTCAGACAATTCGCAGAGTCAGAGACAAGGGCCACGAATAACAGCAGAAACAGCAGGCCCAGAGTCTTGTTGCATATCCTCTCCAACGGTGGCGTCAGCACAGCTGCAAGAATCCGGGAACTCCTGAGAAAGGAGTTGGGCAGAGACGGTGCCGGGAACAAGCTCGTCATCCCTCGATATGCCCTCTGTCTGGATTCATGTCCAGGCAACTTCGTCTGGAAAAGCACCCACCAAGCTCTCCTCCAATCTTTGCCTCGCTGGACCTCCCCGTTGGTGCACTTTGTCATCGCGGTCGCCTGGCTGATATACAAGCTTCGCCTCACCCGGCCTGCTCAGAATCTCAATGCTGAAGCCTTAAGGAGAGGAAGCCTACTCCCCAGAGAAACACAGAGGACCTATCTGTACGGAACGGCAGACGCCATCATCGACTGGCGCCAGGTCGAAGATCATGCGAGAAGGGCAGAGGAGTCAGGCTTCAAGGTACGAAAGGAGAAGTTTGAAGGCGGAGAGCATGTATCACTTGTAAGAAAAGAGAGTCAAAGGTATTGGCAGGCAGTAAAGGAGACATGGCATGAGGCTGATCTCGACGCCAAAAAGACGACTAGCCAGGTGTGAGGACTGATGGTAGTAAAATGTTGAGAGATGGCAAATAATGCAACAGCGCCACGATGGACCGATGGACGAAAAGATTGGAAACAAGCATAGAACAGGAAGGGGAACTAAGGCGCATGGCGTTCGTCCGTAGATGTATAAATATAGAGACGCTCGGGATAGAATCTAGACAGTGTAAGCCATGAAGCTAGAAATAGCGGTGATAATTAAGGGCAACGATGATAGTGCTCCGCTGATTATTTTTCTGCCACATAATCATGGATAACTCGAAATCAGCAGCCACGTCAAGCCGACATGATCTTCATCATCGCTCATTGTCTCAAAATACCATGCTCCCTTTTGGTTGAATGACGGGCGCAAATGCCTCTGCCAATTCACAACAATGCCGCCCATTATTAAAAATGCTGAATGCCGATTGACAAATATTCCCAGGAATTTGAGCCCGATCAAGGTAATCCGTTATCAACGGCCCAAGATTATCCTCTTCCAACTCCATAAACGCCCGGTACCATACCACACCCTCCCATCACACAAATATATCCCAAAAGAATCGAATGCTGAGGAACTCGGAAGGTGGGAGAAAAGAACAGCTGTATGTGGCGCTCGCTCGCTCGTAAGGCAATCAAGGCAATCGTCGTAAAACAAAAAAGCATTGGTCCATGTCGTAGAATTTTTTTGGTTCCTTTTGTTTTTCTTTTGTTTTCGGTTTTTAACTTTTGGTTTTGGCTTTCTTCCGTGAGTCCTTTGACTGCTCTTCCTCAGCGAGCCGCTTCCCATGAGCAAGGAGGTCCTCCTCTGCCTCTTCACCTACATCGCCGATTCCTTCATCCTCCTCGGTGCATTGGTCGCACTCTTGGTCGAATTCGTGTCGTTCTTGAAACACGCCGTTTGAACAGTCTCCAAAAATCCCATTGTTTTTCGCCTGGAGACATGATAGTTCTTGCGTAAGATCTTCCCATACTTGGGCTTCGCCACACTTGGTACAAGTGCCAGTGAATATGACTAGACGACACATGTCGTTGGTAGCCGGAAATGATAGACAGAGATGGTTTTTTGAAACTGGGCTTAGAGAGTTTGTCCAATCATGAGTTTAGCGTCCATCAATAGAAAATATATCGAAAGATTCGAAGTTATAGTAGCCAAGGGGGGAACAAGAGATTAAGTTAAAAGCCCTTTGCATGGAAACAGTATGAAGATAGGACAGTAGAGACTAAGAGGCATCTATTAGACGTTTAGTCCGCTCTGTAAATCATTACAAAGCTTATTGACACGGTGAAGCAACGAGCAGGGGAGGTGGGCTCATACAAATCAACAAAGTTGTGTTAGTAGAGGTGGACACACGGGCCTCCATTCAAATCTCTCTGCTAGAGAGAATCAAACGTAAATTATTCCCTCTCTCCTTCAATCAGATAGTTGTGTTGGTCGATTAATGAGAGAGAGAAAAAAAATCGAAATGCTTGTTGTACGAGCAGTATACGTCGTAATTGAGTTGGTGCTGTGTTGTCAAAGTCACACAGCTGACAAGACACGGCTTCTTTTCATTTGTATGTGAGTTGGTAGAACCTGGACAATCGGTTCGCTGCATGTGGTGGTATGGTGGGAAGAGGAATGGTAATTAATCGTGCGCTCATTGAAAACCAAGAGAAACACAGGGGAGCAAATGAGGAGAATCAAAAAAGAAGGGGGGCGGATGAGCAAATAATTTGACTTGTATGCGGAAACAAAGTTTCGGTGCGGAAAAGTGGTGAGGGCATGGCAGCCAACAGCATCAAGTCAAGAATGGATCTCTGTGCGTATACTTGTACTTGTGAAAACGCCCCGTCGAATCTTGCTGCACGGTTTGCAAGAGCCTATTCCTGCGACTACCTTAGGCAGTAGGCCTAGAGCGAAAAGTGACAACAGGACATGACTAACCTGCCTGCCTGCATACGTCGCACCGCACAACCGCTGTGGATGGATGCAGCAAACTCTTGTCACCTATCATATTTGCACTTGCGCGCAGCGTCTGTCTAGTTTTGAGCCCACCCAATAAATATGGGCCCGGGGCTTCTAGCTTCCAAGTTTGAGCGTGGAGCAGGCCAAGTTGCGTCGGCTAGAGCTGTCAAAGGCATCGGAACAGGCGGTAGGGAGGGCCTCGTTCAGAGGGAGTCGTCCTGTCCGCAACACGAGACAGCGCCGGCGTCCATTAGGTGACTGACCGACTCGCTCGCAAGGGGTCTTTCCTGGTGCTGGTGCTGGTGCTGATAGTCCACGCGCGATCGGGATGTCCAAGGAGATCTATCGCTGTCTTCCCTTTTTAGAGAGGGCCTTGTAGAGGGCATAGGGGTGCGTGTCTTGCATGCCATGCAAGACCTGGCCCGTCTGTGAGTATGTACAAGTACTGCATGCACGCGCCAGAAAATGTGTGTCTGAAGCCCGTCATCGTCCGGCGACCCAGTCATATGTACAAGCTTCTACCAGACTACAGAGCAGATTACCTTGCTTGCTGACCATTCATGTATCTCTGGCCACATTCGGAGCTGATGGTATGATGCTGCTGCTGCATAAGGGCACTGCTTCCCGAGTCTCGTCCTGCCCTGTCCCGTACCACGACGACAGACACGGCTCGAGAGCCACATTTGTGCGGTCGCCACTGGGCTAGCTTTGTCATGGCTAAGTCATAGCTGGGCTCCCAAATAGGCAAAAAAACGATGCATTATCGACTTGCTGCAGCTGTCACGAGTCGCGTAAGAAGCAGCCAGCCAGAGAATCAGAGAGCGGAAATCAGACCATGCTTCAGACCTCCAAGATGGCCGTCGGAATCCTTCCGGGCTATAGACGTTACGAGGATAGAAGAGACGAGAGATGAAATGTAGAGAGGGAATGTTGGCCACTCTTGGTTCTTGTTGTGTAGCCCTCCAAGCCGGGAGGATGAGCGGGAAGAGAGGGGAAGCTCGGCGCCACCATGCCTCTTGTGCAAAGTATGTTGCCGATACGACGCGATATCATATAACGCTCCATACTGTATGTCTATACGACTGCTGAAGTGTGAGCGGTAGATCAACCAACCGATTAGCGGACAGATGGACGAACTGACAGGGCAAACGCGTGGTTCGGACGGGGCCAGGATCAAAGATCCCCTCCAGGACGGGGCCTCTGTCATACCCTTGGCTGTACGCACTGCATTTGGCAGCTATTGCCAGCCTCATTGACTGCCTGCCTGCCTTGCTGCTGCCGCCATGCACGAGCACGAGGGTGGAAACGATGCACGAGGGTGCTTTTTGGCGGTTGACGAGGCAGGCCAGCAGCAGAGCTTAGCCATTTGCAGCAGTGCCTGATTGGAGAGCTGAGCTTTTTTGGCACCTGAGGCTGCAGCTTAGGTGCTCTTAAGCTACTGCGCTATTGCTACTACTAGCAGCAGATGCTTGTTCTATCACGACAGGCTGTACTGTGCTCGTATAAGATCAATGTCTTGCTATACATGCACGGCTTCTGCTAGCATTTCAGCTACTGCAGTGATCTGTACAGCAACCATGCAATTATGGGATTTCCCGCCTCCTCTCGAGCCCGATGCACACGCGCCTTTATCCGCACCAACCGCCGCCAGGCCGCTGCATGTCTTGCCGGATCCCCTTCTCTCCCACCCGTCCACCGGGAGTATGCCTCGATAGGGCACGGAGCATAGCTTACTTGTGCGCTACTTGATCTCAACCAGTTGTCTCTCAATGCCCACTTGCCGCCGCCTCAGTTGCATAAAAAGGAAAGCAAAACCGCACGGCTGCAGCCACACGGCAGGGGTTCGAGCGAGAAGCTCCTTTACAGACCACAGGCACAGGCACAGCTCAAGTCACATGCAGCCCGGCCTGCTGCGGCCAGATGAAGCGGCCACCCAGACTCAGGGCCCGTGAGATTCTGCGGCCAGCCATTGTCGTGGTTGTGCACAAAGACGAGGCGATGGAGATGAGAGGATGCCTGTGCCATGCTCGTTTTCGTGGCACTCATACCTACTGTAGTGTAGGCCTTGTCCAGCCATGGCTCCGTGCAGATTGCATTGCATGGTATCGTAGTACTCCGTATGCAAGGCTCGATGGACATGAGCGATAGCACCGTGGTACACGTATACGCGCAAGGGGACTCGATGAGTTGCTGTTCAACCTGGACAAATTATCCATCCAAAGGGGAGGGGCGTCTGGAATCTCAGCCCAATAGTGGCAGAAGACGAAGCGGGCGGAATAAAGTGGCGGGTAGGACACACACACACACTCCACAGAGAGCGGAATCATGCATTTCGCATCCTCGCGATGCCAAGATCCAGGTCGGCGTCCAGCTCCCAAAGCCCGAGACATCCCACGCCCCCCCAAAGCGTTGGGCTTCTCCTATACACAAGGTAGGCCATTGGGCTCCTCGTCTATATAGAAAAGTGGCTCTTGCGGGCCCAGCATTGTGTTATCGTTCTCCAGCACATCATACTCTATCTTGGCATATATATCATCCCTCTCCGTGCACGGGAGAATAATATGCGATATTACACCGGCACCTAGGCTCTCTCTACACCGTGTCCAAGGGATATCAAAGACATCTGAGAAGGAAAAGAGAGCCCTCACCGTAACTGCAAAGACAACAAAAAATGACGAGTAACTTATTCGCAAGAGCAGGAGGATTCCTCTCCGGTCCGTTGGTCATCCGAACGGTGGCGGTTTCTGAACCGTCAGCCATCTCGGCACTTGCATCGACGACACCCTGTCCCTGTCCAGCTGAAGATGCTCCCCCCAGCGCCAGTGGCCACAGGCCATCCGCCTATCATCATCACCCAAGGACGGACAAACACGCAGCTGTATGTGAGCAGTCGGCTACTAAACAAGCTAAACGAAACAAGAGCGTGTCACCCGTCTTTGCTCCGTACTCACACATGCATATCCCCATCGAAGGCTGCATATACTGTATCAGTGTTCATATACGATCCAACCAGCCCTTTTGAGCAACTAACCGAAGGAATGCCTAGCAACGGGGAGCACATCCGTCCAAACGAAATGCAGCAATAGTCCCCCGGCTTCTCCTCCGAGCTCCATCCGATTGGACGCCCATCGCAGAACCCGTCACTTATAGTAGTCCGTGCTATGTACTGTAGTATTACTTACTACATACGCTCATCCCCACTTACATAACATCTCATGTGCATCGCCATGGTGCGTCCAAGTAATATTGTATAAAGCCAATCACAGCCCAAATAAATCCTCCCAAGAGCCGCAGCCAGCCGATTTTATATATGCATGCACGTTGCCTCAACTAGCCACGTCGAAGCCCTGCTACTAAATACTACTGCACGTGTAGTAGTATTTCAGCCTGACGTACTAAAAAGTCGCCAATTGCAGAGAAGCGTCAGGATTCTGCAAGGGACACATCACCGGCTTATTTACTAAAGGGTCCAGACGATTCTAGCCAGCTTCCTTCACACCGCAATATTTCGTTTACAACGGTAGTTGTATTACCATAGATAGCAGATTAAACCTATTATACAAACCGTGGCACTTTTTTCTCTTCAACTCCATGCCACCTCTACCACCGCCCTTGTAATATCAACCACTGTCCCATTTCAAACCAGCCGGGTGGGAGCACGGCAAAGCTCCAATCGAGGCGTCGCACCGCAACCAGGCGAGAGCAAAACAAGAATAGAAGAAGAAGGAGAAGAAGATTGCAGTAATAAAATGACTAAGTTAAGATTTAGGGAGGTGGTTTTTGCGATGGCATAATCTGTGCAGGACTAGTAATCGGCCAAACGACAGCGCACTTTCTCGTCACTCGACTTTGTCCCAAAGGTGTCTGATGGTATATGTACCTATATCCGTAGGCAACAAGGGGTCCAGCTGAATTACGTAGATTGCGTAGAAGATAAGAAAGCGAGATCAAGAATCCAGTAGTCTTTTTTTCCTTTTTTGGTCTTCGTTTTCTTTGTTTTATTTTTCCTCTTTTTTTGTTTGTTCCTATCTTTCAGAACTAGTAGCTGATAGCGGAAAAGACACTCGCGATTGTGACACAAGTCGCCATAATCAGGTAGTGTAACCAACAACAGTTATGCCCTGGCGCCATGTTCCGCAAAGGGGGATGCCTTCATGATAGGAATGCATAGCAGAAAAGTACGTCATTCTCGCAGCAATAGATCGGAGTCAGCGATCCTCGATCAGCAATATGTCGACATGTCAAAGCGAATCCAAAAGTCACGGCTCTGGAATTTTCAGCTTCCGTTGCAACGACAGATTCATAGCAATGCATTCTGTCACTTAGTTCTGTCAACCTGGCGTCTTTCTTTTTCCTGGAACACTGACCTCAGGACCATAAATGTACAGAGGCGATACGGGAATCAAGAACATAGTAAGCAGGCATGGGTGTTGTTGGCGCGCAAGTAGAGTACCAGGTCTCCCCATGCCGGAGGCCACCAGGCTAAGATAAGGGGGGGTTGTACGTTATCATATCAGACGGGCCGTAGAATCGAAAAAGAAAATCAGCAATCCTTGAGAAGAAGGAAAGGAAAGAAATTGGGGTGAGGGGTATATAAATGGTGAGTACAACGTGGACTCCATAAGAATAGTGTCATATAGTCGTGGGCTTTTTTGTGAGTTAAGTTTAGTCGGGAAGGATTTTTTTGATGGTAGCGCTGGTTCAAGTTAAGGCATCTTTCAAGGGGGCGCTCAGTCTGCGAATTTATTAGGCCAACGCCCAGTGTCAAGGTCACACCCAGTCACGAAAGCACGCGGCTGCTCGCAATCAACGAATATTACTGGGCTCCGGGGGGGAGAGCACCGGCAGGAGGGCCCCCAGAGGGAGGAGTCGCTTGTCCTCCCTGTTGTTGTTGCTGGTACATCAATGACTGGTACCAGAGAGCGACGTAGTTTTGATAACCACCATCTAACAGCGTTGGTCAGTAAGGGTCAGTAGAGGTAAGGGCCATGAGCCTCAGCGTCGGATGATGAAAGGCACTCACATTGAGCATATGGATCTGTGCCATCGCCTGAAGAAGTCTGGGGAGGCTGGTTAGTAGAGGAATCAGGGCCTTGGTGGGCATAGCTTGGCCGGTCATCTTGTGGCCCACGGCCACGGCCGCCGCCACCGCCACCGCTGCTCTTTTGTCGCTACTTATATGTTAGTCTTAACACTCATCAGACAGCATACACGATGGCACTATCAACATACCACAGCTTCTACTTTTTCATCGATTGCTTGCTTGGCCTGGGCGATGCTCTCCCGCGTCCCAACGAGCGCAATCTCTCGTTGAACTTCACCGGGTCCTGATGACTGAGCTACATTGATCTTGCAGCCCGTGACGTTTTGCATCTCCCGAATGGTTTCGCCTCCTTTACCGATAATCATACCTACTGCATCAGAAGGAACATATATCGCATCAGTGATCTTGTCAGTAGCGCCACCGCCAGTGTAGTCTCTCGGAGGTCCATCGTTGCGAGAAGCACCAGCAGGCTTCTTGGTACCAGAGGCCGGGCCGTCGCCTCGGCTGTCGCTATCGACAATCTCCATGATGAAGTCCTTAGCCCGGGCAGCAGCTTCACGGCTACCAATGAGGTTCACAGGTCGCAAGCCGTTGACACTCTTTGATTCACCGACAATATTGATGTGACAGCCAGACCGTTCCTGCAGATCCCGAATAGTCTCGCCTCCTCGCCCGATAATGAGGCCAACGGTGCGATCTGGGACCATGATTTGCATATGGTCTTCACCATCTCTTAGAGCAGCTGCTCCACCTCTTGCGGGATCGCGAGGCTTTTCTTGGGCGCGGTTGAGGGCTCCCATTCCGCTGTCTTCAATAATGCGATTGACGGCCGTCTTCACTTCAGCGCGACGAGCGCGCGGGCCAGTGATCTTGCACTGTCTAAATGGGCCGCCATCAGTAGCTGCCAGGAACTGTACACGACAGTTTGTGTCGGCTTCAATCCTTCGCAGGTTCTCGCCTTGACGGCCAATAATCAAGCCGACCAAGCTGGATTCGATCTGGATAGTCTCGGAGTTGTCATCGCCTCCTCTAAGGGGAGACCTTTCTCGGCCGCTGCCACTACGAGGCGAAAAGGTGCGGCCTCGCGATGGGGGCGAGTAAGAACGATCGCGGCCATACTCTCGACCCTGTCCTCCACGGCGATCATCTCGATATGAGCTGCCGTTGTTATGGTATTCGCTGCCGCCTCGGGGAGGAGATCGCGACCTGGATCGACGGTAGGGTCGATCAGGGTTCCTAGAATCTGAGCCGTAGACAAGTGGGCGGTCATAGGGTGTGATGCCCTTCTCGGTCGCAAAGGCCCGCGCTTTCGAGATGATGTCGTCGAAGTTCATAGTCCCCGAGTTAACAGGTCGAAGGGCGCTCAGGTCGACATTGCCGCTAGACGCAGGGGCAGGCAGCGCAGAGCTACCGGGGAAGCTCGCGACACCTGGTGGCGGGGGTTGATACGATGCTGGCGGAGCACCAGCAGGCGGCGCTGGATATGCGCCGGTTGCTGCCGGTGGTGTCTGAGTGGACGTCGACGACGGTGGCCTCTGGGAAGCTGATGCGCGCTATTAGTCTATGGTCCAGTCTCCGTTACAGGACTATTTAAGTGTCTCACCAAGCGCGGCCAGAATGCTCTGGATATCGGGGCGGGCAGATTCAGCCATGGCGGCGGATTAATGTGGTAGAGTAGATGTTTGAGGTTTTGAGGCCGAAATAACGTTGTTCAATACGTCACAATGCGACCGAGCAGTGGGCAGCTAAGATCGGTCAATGGCAGATTTTGAGAGCCAGAGCGAGCGGTAGACAGTACGGCAATAGCAGCAGCAACTCGCAAAGTGGTACTAGATAGTATTTTGACCAACACAGCACAATCAACGTTCACAGGTTGGACTCGCGCGCGCAAATATTGTAATCAGAGATGTACAGCCACTCGCGATCGGGTTGTATTGATATAGATATGTATCGTTGGACACAATGCGACTTGCGAAATGTAGGCGAACTTGGGCACTATTGGTGGGATTTGAGAAGAGAATGAAAGAGCAGCCTTTGCCGGGCGCAAAAGTATAAAGGAAGCCGCTGAGGCGGTCGCAGCGCTGTTCCGGAGGAGTCGCCTCACTCTGGGTCAAGGCAAGACAGTAGGCGCCCCGTCTTTGAGGCCGTAAATGTCGGTTGCCTTTAGGCTAGAGGATGGTGAAAGGTCTGGCGTCGGCCGTGATATTCAAGCAATTTTTCGTGTAGTTCATGGCGACCGGATTAACGATGCGCCGGGGAGTTTGGGGTTGGAGCCGCTAGGATTGCCCCAATCCCGGAACGCCTGAAGCGCTGCCAGAAGCTGTGCGACTAGCCTGGCTATAAGGGATTAAAGGTGCTGCAGGTAATATTACGGAAAGGCTTCAGCTACTGCTTTCGTACGCGGTGCTCCGTATGGAATACCACCCCGGCATTATCCGTAATTGACCTGGGACTGTGGATCACGGAGTGGCATGAACTCTCGCAGGAAGCGGCAAAGGCTAATCTCCATGATCCATGGAGCGCACTGCTTGTACGAAGCACTTGTAGCATGTACTGCAAATTTACAGGTAGGTACCTAGACTACCTAGAATTGGTAGGCAGGCATACAAGCATGCAGTTTAGGCACCTTGCTCCGTCGTCGAGTAGCAGAAGCTTGCCGGTGGTGTTGTGAGGATTGGGAGATCCATGAAGACCCCAGCGAGCCAACTTGACCTTATGTTAACCTGCAGCCTTGGCAGGTTTTTGTTCAACACATAGGCATAATACAGTTTCATAGCCTGGCGCCACGCAATATACTCAACCTCTCCTGCTGCTGTACCTCTCTACTCGGAGTAGTGGTACTATCAAGGCACCTACTAGTATACTCCGAAGTGCAGTGGATATCGAACAAGTGCCTTGCAGTAGCATTTAAACGAGCACCTTGCGATGCGCTGCCCCAGACTCGGGCCACATACCGCGGCTATCGCGAATCCCGCCCGCTGTCCAGGCCACTGCGACTCCCAGTCTGGCAATGAAGCCCAGCTCAACTCCAAGGGACGAGATGAGCGAGTCACATGCGCCAGCAGGGGCTCTCGATTGAGACAAGCTGCGAAACTGCGTACTCGTATCGTGCTGATGCCACTGGAACTGGCACCGCCACCGGCAACGTACCTTGACTTAATAATTAGCGCGCCTCTTCCTCGGTGCATTCGTGCGATGAGAGAGGCAGCAGGAAAAAAAAATCCTTCCATTCGGGTCTCAGAGGGTTCCCGAACCGCCATTGATTACGCGCCACGGCCACTTAGGGACGCCCATCGTGCCTTTTGGCTCGGTAGCCACGGAATCTACCCTCGTATCAGATCAGCTAACAGTGCGCCGGGTCACTTTATTGCGCACAGCCCGTCATACCATCGAACATTAAATACCTGAGCCTTTGGCCAACAACCGTGCATCGTCTCCATTTGCTGTGCCGTAGTATATGCTTTATGCTTTACGCTTTACGCTTTACGCTCGTTTGCCCTGAGAGAATGCCGTTGAGCTGGGCTACATAGCTTTTGACTTCTTGCCGGAACATAACAGCATCATCCTCCATACCTCGCCACTAATCGTGCCATCGCGACTTTTCAGCGCCTCCGCGACAGTCCGAGCTGCTCGACAGCGCCACCAGCCTCACAATGTGTACGCGCAGTGTCATCGAATACCGCTGCAAGCACCAGGTCTCCAGAGGGAACACACGGTGCTATCGCGACGACTGCCCCGGCCCGAGAGACGAGGTTGCATATGACTCGGAGGACTGCCCGCAATGCGAAGGCAACAAGAGAGTCCACTCTGCTCGATGGTGCCCCATGGGCTGCGCGTGTAAATGCGTCGTCATGTAGCCGCCACCAGCATAGACGAAGCCAAGAGATATACCGGATCTTAAGCTGCTGAGCTTTATTTGTGAGCAGTAGATACCTGCCTTGTTCGGAGCAGTCTCGACAGGGCGAAAATCGAACATGCAACTCGGCGCGTGTACTGCAACCACCCCAGCGAATGTTAGGTTCATTCAACACCAGTGTTCTTTTTCATCACGCCAAAAAACAAAACTCAACCCCCAAAAATGCGACATTAGCGCTGCCCGCGCGTGTTCTTTGTCATTCCATCTCTTTGGATATACTACCATACGCCGAATCTTTGGTGGATTGATCGAGATAATGGTTTGGAAAGACTGCGCTTCTATATATACGCGAGCAATAATGACGATATGACGATAAAAGCAAAAGTCTGGCTGCTTATATAGAAGAGAGTTGGAGGGGATGATTGCAGCACTGGAGAACGGCGTTTTTTTTTTTTTTCCTATTCTTCTTTTAAATTATGATACCTCCTCTACTTATGAGAGTTGACGCACACAATATAATTTGCTAGATGCATTGTTCCATGTACCTGTTGTAGCACCTGCTTAGTAAAGCCTCGATGAGTCCCATGGCCCGCCCTTTTCGATTCGATCTCGCGCATCACCACCTCTAATTCCATGCCGCTGCAACTTGGCTCTCTCGCGCGACAATCCTCAGCACCTCGAGGTGCCTCTTCCTAGACTCGGGGCTTCGCTGATCGCTACGCGGCCCCCACCTGGGGAAAGCTAGATACCCTCTTCCCGGCTAAAGAACCGTTGCAAGTCCCTTCGCAGCGCTTTTCTCGCAAATCAATAGCGGCGCTGCTCCACAGCCACTGAGAGACACGTGGAATGACACCGAGAAGCGCTAAAGGCCGCACTTCTGCAGGGCCTGCAGGGCCTACAGGGGAGCTCCGCCTGGCCAATCCAGCCGCTCCCACCGCCGACTAAGTTTCCCCAGCGTAGCATTCGCATCGACTCCAGGCGGCCTTCTTCCCTCTCTTCTGCGACCATCGTCATTCGCTACCAAGACAGCTTCGACGTGCCTCGCTTTTCGTCGAGCTGCTTTATGCCTGTGTTTCGCCATGGCCAAGAAGGCGCGTCAAAGGATCAGCTACGGTGAGGCCCCCACGACTCCGTGCTCTGGTAGCATTTGTCACTGCACCATTGCTTTGCTTCGCACATGCATGTCATGAGCCCACCCCGCACGCGACAGACGGCCCATGGCATATCGGACGACGAACCGAGAACTCTTGTCGATTTCACTTCCCCCAAAAACAGGCCACGGACAAACGAGCTTTGAGAGAGTCTTAAGCTTATGGTTGCTGATATTGTCTTGTCTTATCCAGTTCTCGAAAATGCCAAATCTTCGGCAGGCGGACATCGCCTCGGCGTCAATGGCCTCGCCGTTGATCCGGACAACGCCATCCTGTAAGCCGTCTTCGACTTGTATATTCCCAGCTGCTTGCACAGAGTCTGCGTCGAGCTGAGCAAAAATGGTTCGCTAATATATGGGCCTCATTTTTTTATAGCTACTCTGGCGGTCGAGATGGCATGATTTGCGCCTGGGATCTGAACCTTGACCTGCATCGCCGAACCGACGTCACCGGCGATGCGTCCGCAAAGCCACCCAAATCGACCACAACGTTCCGAGCACAGACGCAGGCGCATATGCACTGGATCAACGATATCGCTCTAGCGCAGCAGAACACCGCATTGGTCTCGGCATCCTCCGACCTCACCGTCAAAGTTTGGCGGCCACACTCTCAGGAAAGCGGCAACCGTGCCCTGAAGATTGGAGAGCATGCCGACTATATCAAATGCGTCGCAGCGCCCCCAAGAGATGTCAACGCCAACTGGGTTGCCTCGGCCGGCCTCGACCGCAAGATTTGTCTTTGGGATCTCAACGGCGGGGGTCAGACACTTGAGGTTACAAAGGGCGAAGAGACAACTGAGAAGGGGTCCGTCTATGCTCTCGCAGTTGGTCGTAATCTCATCGCCAGCGGCGGGCCCGAGAAGACAGTGAAGCTCTACGATCCACGCTCCGGCTCCAAGGTTTCCAACCTCGTCGGCCACGTAGACAATATCCGCGCTATCCTGATTGACGATGTAGGCGACACCATCCTAAGCGCCAGTGCCGACAAGACGATCAAAATGTGGAGTGTCAAAGGTGGTCGTTGCATGTATACATTTACCATGCACGACGACAGCATCTGGTCGCTATATTCAGACGACCCTCGCCTCGGCATCTTTTACAGCAGCGATAGATCGGGCCTCGTTGCCAAAACTGACGTACGAGGCAGCTTAGAGGACATTGATGACGGACTAAGTCTTGCGGTGGCACAGGAGCATTTTGGCGTCTCCAAGGTTGTGGCTACAGGCGGTTACATCTGGACAGCTACCAATCGATCATCAATCAACCGCTGGGAAGATGTGGATACGAGTGCAGACTTGCCAATCCCCGAGACGTACCGGCGTCAACGCGCATTGTCAGCTGCATCAAACAAAACACGGCAATCGACAGCAGCGTCAATAGCAGCAGTAACAGCGACTCAACCACAAACAAACGGATCAACCAAGAAAGAAATCCCTGCCGAGTCAATTTTACGAGTATCCAATACAGCCACATTCCCATTGCGCACGCCCTTAGACTCAGAACCGAATCCAGGTAACGATGGATTATCAAGAAAAGGATCAGAAGTCGCTGTGGAACAGCCAGAGCCAGAAATTAAACCCATCTATAATTTGCCTATAGAGACGATTGAAGGCCAATTTGGTCTTTTGAAGCACAAGCTACTCAACGATAGAAGAAGGGTCTTGACTTTAGATACTGCCGGCGATGTACTGCTATGGGATCTAATCAAGGTACGTCCAAGCTGTAGTGTCTCCCCCCTTAATTTGTATAAATACTTACACATAACCAGTGTAAACCAGTCCAGAGTTTTGGAAAACAGCACCTGGAGGACGTTGAGAGACAGGTCAATACGAGAGAAGCGGTTGCGCCGTGGTGCTCGGTTGACCTGAGCTCCGGCAATCTCACTGTTGTGTTGGAGCCATTCAATTGCTTCGATGCCGAGGTATACGCCGACGAGCTGGAACTAGATGAGCCCATTGAGTTCAGGGATGACCAAAGAGGTAAGTTCAATGTCTCCCACTCACTTTCACCAACTGCATAGTCTTAACATTCTCCCCTAGTCAGCCTTGGAAAATGGATCCTGCGGTATTTATTCGCCAACCTCATCGATGAAGAGATTCGACGTGACGAGTTACATCGGCAAAAGCTTAATGAAGGTGTGGAGAAGAGACAATCTACCACCCGAGCAGATGCGCCATCATCAATCATTATACCCTCGCCTGGCCTGTCCATGAGAGATTCATCAGACCAACTCCTCACTCCGCGCGCCGGCGCCCCTCATCTCAGTGTGACCACTCCTGGTCTCGCGATAGGGCTGGCGTCTCCCAGCGTTGCCATGACTCTTCAGGGTGTACCAGAAGATGCTGTAGCAAGCCCCCTGGAGAAGGCAGGGTCGCGCCCATCTGCCGAAAACGACTACTTTACTGCAGGTATTACGCCAGCTGGCGGCGCAGCGACAGCCCCTGCCGCCGCCACGGCAGAGACATCCGAGCCAAAGACATCCACGGATAACGGCAATGAAAAGGCTAAGGACAAGGAAAAAGAGAAAGCCGAAAGTAGCAAATCTCCATTTAGCAGAAAATTCCGCATGTCTTTCAGCTCCAAGCGAATTGGCCGCTCAATGTCTCAGGCGACACAGGATAAGCCGGTCGTCGTGGACGACAAGGCTGAAGAATCCGAGTCTTCTTCCAACCATGAAAAGGAAGTCGACGATAGCTTCTTTGGGGTTATCCAGAAGATTCGAAACGAGTACGATAAGCAAACTGCCGAATCACCCGATAAGCTAGTTGAGACTCGAGTAACGCCGAGCCTGCCATCCGATACACCCGTTTTGAAACTGCCGCCTGGGACCAAGGTCATTATCCAAGAAGAGACATCGGGTGGCAGTGCAAACTTGTATCAGGGGACGGTGGAGCATGTCGGCAGAGATGCCGACATCATCGAGCAGAAGGCGCCCATGTGGCTCGGCGACGTGCTGCTACTAAACCAGATTCCGATGAAGGACCCTGTCAAGATATCGTTTGTCCTGAATCCCATGGACAATTTACCTCCGATTGCCTCGGATGGAAACAGCAGACTGAACGCCAATCGCATGCTGCGGGTGAAGAAGATTTTGGCTTACATATCCGAGAGGATCGAGCCCGAACAAGAGGAGGACCCTAATGCGCTCAAGCCAGAGGAGTATCTTGAGCTTTACTGTAACGATCAGGTGAGATACGTCTACTCTAACTTTTTTTTTTTTTTTACTTCTCAGGATTTATCCTACCATGAACGTTTCTATGTCTAACATAAGCCTCTTTCTGCAGCTCCTTCATCCAACAATGAACCTAGCCACGCTCCGAACCCATGTTTGGAAGGGCGGAAGCGACATCATGCTCTACTACAAGGCCAACGGCCGTAAGGAAATTCTGCCATTACGAACCAGCTCTGATGCAGCGCCCGTAGAGGCAGCTCCCGCGCAAGATACGGCAGAGCCGACTGAAGCTACCAATGGCGTATAGGCGTGCGAGGGCACGCTCTTTTTTTGGTTGATAATTTGTTCTTGTTTTTCAAGTTTCCAGTCCAGCGTGATGTTTCTTTCGGCTTCTTCCCCCCCCTTCGGCCTCTGCCCTTCATCTGCAGTTCATATCCCTGCTCACAAGATATATACGTTGTGTATCTGGCATTTTCTCCTGAATAATTCTTATTGTATTATTTTTATGTCGTTATTGTACACAAAAATATCCCATGGGATAGGGAGGGAGGATATACAGTATTGAAGCGCTGGTCTATTCATACAAAGAGCCCTCCTAATGTTTGTCTTTCTTGTTGATACAGCCATATTGATGCATATATATCCGTCGTTACAGCGCCTATATATATAGCCCTTTTCTCATTTATACTCTTCCTTTATAAATCTGTCGCAGTGTCTTTAGAAAGAAGACGGTGAAGTCTGTTCTGTCATGATTGGATGGTGTTCATCGTGTTGATGACCCATTGGTAGCTCCCCAAGAATATCGCTCCGCCAATCGATATCCATGTTACGCGCGGTGCAATGCCCGCAAAGAAGGGCCGGATGCCTTCCTCTCGAGCCATGCGCCCAAACACTTCGCCAACGGATACTCGGTCCTTGGAGAGCATGACTCTCGTCTTAAGCACATCGAGCGGCGTTGTCGAAGCGGCAGCCACTCCTCCCGCCAAGCTTCCGTATATGGCGCTCTCTCCGGCCGATACGTCCCTTCCGTCGTTTCGGCGCTTGCGACCCCACGCCTTCATAGCCTCCCACAGCGGGAACTGGATCACGGTGAAGGGCACCTCGCGAAAGACGGTGATGCCCCAGCCGCGGTACAGCTCGCGCCACACGGCAAACAGACCCCCTCCCTGAGCAGAGTACCGGCTGAGGATATGGCCCAGCGCCTTTGCAGACGAGCCTCCGTGGTGGCCGGCCTGGGCGCGCTGTTTGACGACCTCGGTAGGCACGCGCACTGAGCAGGCGGCGATTTCTCCCAAGCTCGAGGCAATCATGTGTGTCAGGATATCGGCCGGCACCCAGCCTCTTCCGTTGTCTTTTCCATCATGGGCATGTCGTATCCGCTTCCCGACAAAGCTCTTTGTCGTCTCGTATGTGCAGAAGAAGAAGGCGGCGCCGGGAGCTGATCCCACGACGGCGGAGCCGATGCCGCGGTAGATGCCTGAGAAGCCGCCCGAGGGGAAGAAGCCGGCGGAAGACTGGAGACGTGTCTTGAGGGTGTCGAGGGGGAAGAGGGAGAGGTCGACGGTGGTACCTGCGAGGGCGCCGGCGAGGAGGGCGGATTGGAAGGACGGCGGCGAGGAGGACGAAGAAGACATTGTGCGGACGAGGGAAGAGAAAAGAAGAGAAAAAGAGCAAGGATTGAGACAAGGGAGGGCTGGAGAAGCCCAACCTTGGGGGAGAGGGAGGGAAGGATCCTTTATTTAGTCGTTGGAGGAGGGATTGTTGAGGGAGGTTGAAGCTGTTTGTATGTATGTATGAGTCCGATATTAGGTGGGTTTATCGATAGCCGCTGAAAAGCGATCGGAGATATGCGAGCACTTTAGGTGGGGTGGGAGGCTAAGAATTGAATTGAATTTTCTTACCCTGGAGAGGGAGAGTGGACAAAAGGCGAGTGTGCTGCGACGAGGAGATCAAGGCGGATTTCAAAAGCAATTTGGCGCAGTGGAAGCGCGCCGGGCTCATAACCCGGAGGTCGCACGATCGAAACGTGCAATTGCTACTCGTCTTGTTTTTGTTTTTGTTTTTATTTTTTGATTATTCTTTTAAAATATCTTGTTATTTTGCCGCCTTGAAAGGGAAGTGTTTTTGGCTGACTTGAGTTGTTAAAAAGAAAAAAAAAAAAAAATGAAACAAATCAGAAAAAGAGCAAGAAAACAAAATAATTAGGCGTGATAAGACAGGATTACTTGGCTGATGTGTGAAGATCAATGATACCATGAGCATTGAGCCCGCAGGATATATAAATATGAGACCTTGATCTTTCTTCCTCTTTGTTTGGTACCATAAAGTTACGGATAGAGTATATAGGATAGCAACCACCTAAACACTCAAAACAACAACAACACTACTACTAGGCAGTATTACAACTCGCCACCAATAACACTTTTACAGACTTTATTCGTCCATCTATAATGATAAGCTCAATGTACCAATCTCTGCTCTTATAGCAATTGTCATTCTCCACAAACCAACCATGATATCCATCCAGACTTTGAAGAAACTCTCCTCACCCAATAACAACCACCACCAAAACTAATACTAGTCCCATCTACATGGCATCTCTCATACTCGTCCCAGCCTTGCTCGTCTCCTCAGCAGCCTTCTTCGTCCTCTCCTGCAACGCGGCAATCTTCTCCGACGCATGCAGATCCCTCGACGCCCGGTCCGCCTTTACGGCCTCCTCGCTGTCGGACGCGAGCTCGGGCTTCCAGTGGCCAGAGCCCTTCTTCTGCTTGGCGAGGGAGTCTCTCTTATGCAGGTCGTAGTCAATGTTTGTTTCTTTTTTATCAAAAACTCGTCAGTTGCGTTTCATAATCAATCTTATAGAAAGAATAAATAAATAAATAAATAAAAAAAGGGGAAATAAAAGGACATACGAGTTGATGATTCCTTGAGCCCCAGTCTCTTTGTAGCTGAAAAGGCAAAGCCGCGATGGCTCATCGCCGTTCGTCTCGCAGCAGCGACAGCACGAACAGCTCCAGAAACTGCCAAGCTTCGATTATACATGATGGATTTTACTTTTGTAAGTTTTGAAAAGGAAAGAGAGAGTTCAATTGAGGTTGTTTGTTGGTTAGATGGATGCGGCAGTATGTAAGTTGAATCGGTTGCGAAAAAAGGGAAGATAGACAGATGTAGGACTAGAGAGGAAAAGAGAGAGAGAAAGAAAGAAAGAAAGAAGAGAAATAGGATCAAAAGAAAATGCCAAACCTTAAAAAAAAAAGGAGGAGAAAGCAAGAGAAAGCCGCAGTACAATGCGAATTGCAAAACGTCATGTCACTGCCCTCTCTCCACCTCACCGGAGAGGTACGGATTCGCGCATCATCGACAAAGTAGCTCGAATCGAAGCCCAGTCCGGCCCTGCAGAGCACATCGCAATTTGTGACGTCACCATTGCAACATGTCTGACACCCCAGAATCGACACACGATAAACTGAACGGAGAGCCGCTTTTTATGCTTAAAATCATTGTAAATATGTAAAAGCCTTGGCCTGGTATATCGAGGTGCAATTGCGTGTCTTGGTCAGTGGACTCGGTGTTCGTCCAGCATACTGATTGACATCAGGCCGAAAGCGCATATCTCCTCCACCACGACGCCAAAGAAGCTTTGCCGGCAAAAGGTACCCGCATACCATACCATTTAGCTCTACTATCCTGACTGGAACGTACATCTACAGGCGAATACCTCCTCAGACGATATCACAAATGGCAAAATATCTAGCTTTGTTTAAACATTCGTATATTCTCGTCCTGTAGGCTTTCAAGCCGCGGTATCTAAACCACACACATGCGCCATATAAAATTCCCGGATGCCATGGATCCGCTGTTCCAACACACCCAAAATTTCCCATGAAAAATTGCAACAACACCGAAAGGGCGATTCCAAGAATGAATGGAAAAAAGCCCGAGAAATCCCTGTGAAAAACCCGACCCGCAAAACCAGATCATTGTTCATATATAGCTTTCCTTCCTCCCAGGCCACTCCAAAATGCTTCGCAAATAGAAACAAAAATAAAAAGGTAATAATCAAACATTTGTCTTTTTTTCTCAGACGGAGAGAGAAGATCCAGTAACACAAGGGGCTCGCGTGTTCGTCAGAGCAGCGAAAAGAAGAACCAAACAGGACAGATCCACACGCTGTGTCTCCCAGAGGGGAGCATTGTAACAAGTTTCGAGAAAAATGAGACAGAAAAAAAAGAACAAGCCGCTTTCCCCGGTTCGATTTGCACACTGCGGCGCCGCATCAACTCCCCCAAAGAAAATCGACTCAGACCAACTCCCCGATTGTTTCCCAATAATAATAATAAAGGTAGTAAAAAAAAAAAAACCGTTTCCAGTATGGTGATGCGCAAACAAGAACCGCTCATCCTTCCCAAGAACCCCGCCAGCCTAAGGTATTTCCCGTATGTGACTAGACAAGAACAGCCGCGCCCCTTCCAACACAATTTCATAAGATACTCGCTTCTATATCTTTCTTTTTTTGATTGTCTTGATGACTTCGTAACCCGTATAACCGCAAGGCAGAAGGCATTTTATAGTGTTTTTAAGCAGGAAGAACAATGCACTTCCAGAGATGGTGAGACGCCGGATAGTCGTTATAAAGAAAAAAAGAGAAAACAAATCCCACAACTCCACTGTCGGTTACCGATGCAACACAATTATAGAGAAATGCAAGGAAATTGCCGTGATACAATGAAGGAAAAAAAATAATCAAAAACGCCATGCGTTCCCAGCAGCCTCAAACTCAGCAGGGCGGCATTCTCAAGTGAAACAACAAAGACAGAAAAATGGTATCGATCTTTCTCAAGTCGCGCCGGTAATATCCTCGTAAGAAAATTCTGTCGAAACAAATCGGTGTATGGCAGATTAAGAGTGCTTATACATAGAAATGGGTAGAGGTGTGATATGTAGAGAGGTGAGGAGGATGGTTTTGCGTTTTTTGTCTTTTGGAGATATCCCATGACCAGAGTTGAAGGCGACTGCCAGTAACCCCAGGTCAATAGGAAGAGAGAGACAGAGAGGAGAAAAGAAAAAGAAGAGTCAACAGCCTCGAGGAACCCAGCCCGCGAAAAAGGTGATGCATCATTTTAGTGTTTTTGAAGCTTCGCTTGTGTCCGCCACGACAAGAAGAAAAAGGTTGCTGCGAAACAAAGACGCAATCTCAATTTCTTTCTTCAATGGACGCACAGCACGCGACAGCAAGTGCGAGGGAGTCGTCTCCACGACATTCGTGACAGCCCCTCCCCAACTAGGGAAGCGCATAGACGACTCGCCAAAGACACTTTACCATCGGCGAATGGACTGCTGTAGCCGGGCGGGCGACAGTGACAGAGGCGGGCTGGGCATGGAGATGCCAGTGGCCGGGTTGACAATGGGGATGGCATTGCGGCCGCGCGTGGCAGAGGGCTGGTGCAGCTTGAAGCTCGAGGGCTGGGACTGGAAGCTGGGCGGGACAAAGGGAGGCGATGACGAGTTGAGAGAAAAGGCGGGAGCGACGGTCTGAGGCTGTTGCGTGGGCGACGCTTCGGGAGAGTTGCTGGCAAGTGAGGAGCGCTCAGAGGCAGAGATGGAAACCAACTGTTGGCGCGGCGAGTCAGAGGGGCTGCGCGAAGGGGACGAGGCCACCGATCTTGGAGGGCTACTCACGTCGCTGTCAGTCAGCAGGCCGGGGCAGAACTCAAGGTCGTCCTCGAGATCAAAGGACCGGCCGGCCTCGAAGCGGGTGCGAAAGGCGGACAGGGCCGCCGACTCGTTGAGCTCCTTCATGCTGCGCACGCCGCGGAACTGGCGCTGCGAGTTCTGCGAAACGGTCAGGCGGGGGGTTCTGCGGTTGCGGCCGCCGCTGTGGTGGTTGTGGGAGACAGAGGCGGCGTGCGCGGCATGCGCGTTGTATCCGTAGTATGAAGACATGGTTCGGTCTGTGAGTCTGTGTTATGATGCGAAGATGCGGTGGCGGTCCAGCGTGAGAGTTGGACGATTTGCTGTTGTTGTTGACGTTGTAGTTGTATTGAAAAACGCTGTTTTGTGTGTGTGGAATTGAAGCCTAGGCGCTAAGCGGTAGGGCAGCAACGATTTTGGTATACAAGATTTTGGTCTTGCTTGAGCAGCAGGAGAAGAGGGTTGATTAAATTAGACAGTTAACGACAAATGCAGATGATGAAGAGAACGTCGTCGCTGCAAAGGGCCGGCAATGTCGAGGCGTGGGTTGTGTATGTATCTAATTTTGGAGAGCAAAAAAAGTGTGTGAAAGAGTTGGTGGTTGAAGGCGGTAGCAACGGGGTGCTGTAGAGTTGGGGGCGGGTGGTACGAATGGGTGGGAAGCAGAAAAAGCAGAGGAGCAGGAAAGCAGGGCAGAAGCGCTCGGGGGTCTGCGGCGGGCAGCGGCCTTTTTGTTTGGTTGCGAGCCTTTGGGGGACCCTCTCGCTGAAGGCCCCGGCGGCGCAGCCTGTCGAATGAGATTCCGGCGAGCCAGGATACGCCGTCTTCGCCACCAGCTAGCGATTGGGCTGGCGTGCAGCAGCGCTACTAGTGCTGGGTCGTAGCAGTCGAGGCTCCGTACCGGGACTAGGGGCCCCTTGGGGGGGGGGGGGGGTTCAGGGCGTGTGTGTGCGTCGCTGCTTGCACAGTGGGGAGTGCTGCCGAGCGCCACGCGGTACTTTGCGCTACAGGGTAGCCGCCGCACGTACTGTGCCGGCAGCGCACTGTGGCACCATTGGCCAGAGGCCGGCATCGAGCGAATACCAGGGCCCGATTCAATGGGACTGTGTCGTCAGGTGGCAAACCACACCGTGCATACGCAGCAATGCGCCCACTGCATCCCGCCAGCGCTGCGTCCATCACACTGTGCTGATGCCCGGAACTGCCTGGCGCAGAGACAAGCGATCGAGGTCCAAGCGATGAAGCCGGACGGACTCGGGCTCTCTCGCTCTCTGGTCAGCAATCCTTCCCCCCAGATTATTCTCTCCCACGCACGCACAGACGCCCTGATGCACTCACCACTGCATGCGCTGGCATGTCTGGACATGCTTGATTCGCACACTCAAGCGCACCGATATTGCAACAAGCGCCGAGACATGGCGATGTCTGCGTCACGCCTGAGAACGGGGAGCCGTACTACAAACAGCAGCAGCGCAAACAGCAGCAAATACAAATACTGCTCTCTATCGTGCACAAAAACCGCGCGTATACCGGTCGATGCCTGCCTCTACACAGTGTCCGTGCTAGCACCCTCTGGACAGCAAGCATGTCTCGCTCCGTACCGTGATCCTGATCCCCAAGTCAAATACAGTATGCGCAAGTATGCCTTGGTGGTCCCAGACTTTTGCCCCTGCATCATTACCAACCGGGCGACAGGCCTCCATCCAAAAAGCCTCCACAGCGCCAAGTGCGCTGGCCGGTACCGACAGGTCGCGTGGCGGGCTGCGTGGAAGCCAAGTCACTCTGCCTTCGTGCCAACGGCACAACGTGAGATGCCAAATTTGCTGGCATGGGCCCAGATGGGATAGACTTCCAATCCTCGCACGGTGCTTGCCCAGGATCTTGCCACCCCTTCGGAGGGTTATGCCGCTGCGTGCGCTTGCTTGCACTGTACGGCAGCGGTACACAGTAGCGCCATCTTGACGGCGCCCTTTGTTGCTGTCACAGGCCCCTCTCCCCAACGCCCAGTGCGTGGTTTGCGTGGCTATCCCAGCCATTCCAGCTCGCTGATTCAAAGGGATGATCACTTGACTGCATCGTTTTCGTGCCTAGTGCGTCGTCGGTCCATGCGGGCCTAACGCGATTTCTGTCGCCTCTGCTGACCAACTTGGTGCGAATCCCGCAAGCGATATGGTGCGAAAAGCGCTGGACGTACTGTGCATGTTAATTTCAATCGCCTTTTCTGCTCAGGAACAGCAAGGCGAGCGAAGATGAGACAAGCGTTTGGCTGACTTGGGCCACGACTGGGCAGCTGGGTACTGCTAGTAGTAGTGCTACCGGTATGTACTACTTACTACTCTACTACCTACTACTCGTAATGAGATAGTGAATAAATTTCCCGCCCGGCTTTCATCAGGCAGAGCGGACAGGCAGACATGGAGGAGTTCTCTTCATGGGAATTTGCTTTTAAAATTCGCAATGACATGGGCGGAGATTGAACCTCGCTCTCGGGCTGCGAGTACTTTCCAGTCCGGGCCTGGGGTTTTGATGAATTATGGTGTTGGTTTGCGCCTCCATGACATCAATCGAATTTAAAGAGCTCAAAGAAGCGAGACTAGAGGCAATATCCTTCTTCAATGCCATCGGCATCGAGCTGGGTTTTGTTCATTTCGGCCCGCATCTGCATGTACGGCTGCTACCGATGCGCCGGCTCCAGCGTCAGCGACAAAGCAACCCGGTGTTAGTATCAGCTCCGGCCGGCGGTTGTTTTTATTTCATGTTTATTTCTGTCTTTGTTTTAATTGATTCTTATTCTGAAGGCGCAATGCTGCCCTTGATAGCTGTAGAACCGTGCATCCTGGCCTCGTGTGTGGAGCGAGACACTGGGTCTTGTATAGCAAGTGCCAGGCTGTACATGGGATTACTACCACTCTTGTAAGTGCGAAGAAGTACCTGCTCTATTGCCTCTTTGTTGTTGTTGTTGTTGTTGTTGTTGTATATGATTGTATACGTGTGTATGTCGCGCATTTCTGACTGGCTTGACGAGACTCGACGTCGAAATTGCACACCCCCAGACAACGGCACACAATACGGGGACGCTGTTAAGAAACGCATTCCGTTTCTCATCTTGCCTCCATACTTGGACCTGTACCTGCGCCAGTTACCGCCAGGGCCAAGATGAAACCTGAAGCAAACCCCCTGGCAGGGAGTCGAGGAGCCCCTCCTGGCCAGCCCTTGTTTTCGGCAGAGCAGTCTGCTGTACTGCTATATTGACTGACCCGCCGATGGACAATGATGCTCGCCTCTTCGGCATCGCGACTCTGCGTCTGCCTGCCAAGGCTGTTTTTGCCACAGCTCTGTGGATTGACTTTCCCCCACAGCCACAGCTCAAAGCCATCTTTACAGGTACCATCTCCATACAGGTACCATCTCTCGGACAGTGAGGCCGTCGTCTACCGACGCTGCAGATGGACGAGATAACACGGCCCGGCCGCGCACCGGCTCCAACTTTTTTCAGCCAGCTGCACAGTAGCACTAATTTCCAGTCATTGCTGAATACAGCACAGCAGCACCCCAAAACCCACTCACACACACACACTCCTTCTCCGTGAACCAACCCCAACCCTCTCACCACTGCCAGTAATCCGCACAGGGGGGAGTCAAAAATGTGGCGGTCTCCAGTAAGCACGCGTTCGCGCACTGTGGCGTGGTGAGGTGGTTGGATGTGCGGCCGAAGTGGAATGATGATGCCAAAAGGGATGGATGTACCATTGGCTGTAGTATGTACAAGGACGAGGCTATCATATCAAATAATATCAAATGACAGGTTGGGCGAACGCCACCGTCGGCAGCCAGCCGGATTTCTGCTAACTGGCGGCAAAGGATTGTCCAATCTAATGATGGGTTTCTTTTCATGGTGTTGCAGATCCCACCCACAGCATGTTTAATCGTCCAAGCATCTGACTGCGCCTCCTCCATGATTCTGTGCAGCCCGGGGAAGCTCATTTCATGCGTGGGACGAGCAAGAATAGGGTAACGCAGATACATGCCCAGCATGAGCGGCGCAGACTGAGACCAGCCCAATAGCAATACATGACAAAGAGAATGGTTGGTCCAAGACAGTCCAAATTCGGGTTTCGCAGAGCTGCATTGGATCGATCCAGCTTGTTACACCCGCGCGGCATCGATCTGCAAAGAGCTGCTTCGCCTCCCCCATGGCTGGTGGTATCGATGCCGCTGCGGCGAGGCTTGGCTCATTTGGCTTCATCTAATCTGGCCACCGGTGCCATCCCAAACTTATGACTGCAACACGGGCATTTGCAGCTATTCTTGCTCCTCTGCCGTCAGGATCATGCCATGCTTTCGTTGTTTGGCCATGCCTTCAGGAGATGCCGTCATCGCTGCTACCCAATCGCTTCTCGGTGACCTGCTCCAGCCAGCAGTAGCTTGAGTGTGTCCGCCTGGTAACGCCATAGCCGCTGGTTTTACAATAAGCACTGCACGGGGTTCCCGCCTCTGGCCAGTAGCGCGGTGCTGCCGCATCAGCTTGCTTCTGCAAAAGCAAAGAGCAAAGCAAAGCAAGCTGCTACGGGGCTAAAATGCTTCGAATAGAACACCGCCATGTCGAGGGCGCTAACGGAGCAAGCAGCGTCATCCGGCCACAAGCGCCATCGTTTATGTTGTAGACGGCCACTCCTGAGCGAGTCCTACTCGTAGAAGTAAACGCCGGGTCGGCTCCGACGTGGCATTGGATGGATGGATGGGTGGTCTGGCCTGGCTTGTCCTCTGGTTCGAGCATGGCCTCGCCATGTGCGGCAATCGTCATGATACAGTACAGTAGTAGGTAGCACTACACGTCGACTTCCACAAAGCGCACAGCCAGCTGCTGCGTATACGAGTACTATACCTGCTAGTTTGTCGTTCTAGCACTCGCCGTTGAACTCTCTTTGCGTTTGGCACCGTCCTTCGCTCGTCTCCCTGCAGACACCCAAAACAACATACCACCGTTACTAGCAGTAGCAGTGTCTCGGAGCGTTGCCGCATACAGCTCCAGTCAGTCAACGTGATGCCGTATGCAGTGCTCCATAGCAGCACTCAGCAGTAACAGACGCTCAGATCGCCCGCTGTATCCGGCTCGGTTCGCCGCTCAATCGCATGGCTCCTGCTTGCCTGGCTGCTTGCTTCCGGTAGATGTGTGCTTGGTTGCTTCTCCATTTCCGTCCGCTGGGATCGTTCGGTATCTGCACCCCATATTCCGCACCGCGCCCAACGGATTTTGGTCGTGCCTGTAGCATTCCGTGCCTGGACCCTGTTCGATATTGCCAGAAGCAGCGCTCCGATCGATCGTCAGCTTATCATTAGCCGCAACTGGCTCTTCTCCGGATCCTTCAGGTCAAGGTCAGGCACGTACATACATACTGCCGCTGGCGGGATGGATGCCTTACCCACAATCCCTTGTTCTTCTTTTCCTTCTTCCCGCCTTCTACAAGGGTACGAGCCCGCTCGAGGTCAAAGAGAAAAGCCACAGGGTCAGCACGATAAAAGCAGCAACATCTTCTAATTACCCCCCTTGCACACACCCTGGTATTCGATCCTGGGCGAAACCCTGCCGGACCCATGAAAGAGCGGTGAGACGACAGGGGACAGATACTTGCGAATATGATAGACCATGCTGATTGGCCCAGTTCTGCCTATGGACACTGAGCTCGAGCTCCTGTTGGCTGCCTTGGGTCTCATTTGGTGGAGAAGCGAGACACGGCGTGGTGGAGTCGTCGCCCGTTTGTGGAGAGGAATGACCTGAGACTCTGAGAAGTGACCAGAGCAGTGACTTGCGAATGGCCTTGGAGGCTTCCGAGAGTACTTTGCACGCTGCCGGCGTCTGGAGGCCAGGTACATGCCCGTGTGGTGCTGCATTCCTGGGTCCTCTCCTGGAGATACCGCCATCAGGGTTGCTGGTTCTCGGACCTCAGACCTCTGGCGGGGCGCAAAGCCACGCAGCCGCAGCCACACGGTGCGACTTCGTGCCCTCTTCGTCCCCCGAATGTGGCGCCGGGTCTTCCGCTCTCCACGGACACACGGAGAAGTCGTCGCTCTACTGCTCCTGGCCCGAGGCATTCTCGATCGCCGATTTAGAGGCTATGAGCCTGCCGTCCTTGGCGATTGCAGCAGACGGGCTTGCCGGCAGATAAGGGTCTTCTTGTTGAGGTACCTTATCGTATGCAGAATCCCGAACTGCCACAGTAGAGTCTGTAGCTGTCCTCAACGGTTCCATCCACTTGCAGGCCAAGATGCACCATGCCGCCATGTATGTACTATGCAGTAATTGACTCACGCAAGTTTCCCCTTTTGTTTCTTTATTTATAACTTTTTATCCTTTCTTCGGCACTGCCCTTACATGCGGCATACGCAGGGATGTTTGAGTGAAAATGACGTAGTTTTACATGTTTTGACTTGCAGAAGGGGCTCAAGAATGCAGATACTTGTTCGACTGATGGCTTTCATCATGGTGCATGTCCTGGCTCTATCGATTGAGGCTGAGTTCTTTTAGTATTTTTTTTTTATGACCAGCTGAACTAAAAATTCTCAACAGCCTTGATGGTCGCTTTGTCCCCCCCTTAAACTGGCTTCCTCTCATGGCTTAGTATCTAAAAGTCATTTTCAACCACAGAAAACGAAACGTGGTCTAGATGCCAGCAGGAGGGGCAATTCTGGTGTTTTGTTTGCAGAACGCACAACAAATTGTAATATAGGCAGAACAAAACCACACCAATATGCCCACCTTTAGTAACTGATAACAAAATCCCATGAATTGCCATAAAGTCTGAAGATTTATTGTAGAATCAGAAGCGCATAGCTCGCTTCTGCCGCTTAGACACGGCCGTCCATGTTCACAAGAGAGGAAAACACCCTCGGCATTTTGGCGGGGTGGATAACGGCCCCTCCTCAATGGCCTTGGAGATTGACTACCCTCGCAACAGCATTGAGAATGTGTAGTAAACTGGCGCTTTTTCGATTGCAAAACAATTCCCAGTCTAGATTTTATAGATTCAAAATTTTTCTTCTCTCCTTTTTCGTTTGTTTAGCTGGTCTTTTATTTCTGGTTTCGTGTTCGTAGCGGAGCATAATTACAAAATCGGCCAAGGCCATGAGTCTGTACGGGCAACATCTCCGCCCAGACAAGCTCTCGCGGAGAGGCACCGCTGCTCTCGCAGCAGCGGCCTGTCTGTCTCTCTACCTGCTCGTCCGGCCAGCCTTATCACCGGTTGCAAAGTCTCCCAAGACGAACATCGTCCGCGTCAAGGATCGCGGTGCGGGCGCCGATCCGGAAGACTCCGAAAAGTCGGCGGCCGTGCCGTATCCGCCGGAGCTGTTCCCGGGAGGCCGGGACGTCGAGACGGTGTATGGCACGATCAGGGTCTTCGAGTGGGGTCCTGAGGAAGGCGAGAAGGTGCTTCTGGTCCATGGCATCGGTACGCCGTGCATTGCCATGGGAGACATGGCGTGGGAGTTGGTGAGGAAGGGATATCGAGTTATGCTCTTTGGTAAGGACTTTCTTGTCTCTGTCTTGATGTTGATTTGCCCTCTTGCTTCTACAAATACTTTTGCGTGTGGCAGGCCCTTCATATATGCCTGCTTCTGTGTTTGTATTTTCAAAGAACAATGGCAGATATACAGGCAACGACTGTTAGCTTACACTGCGCCGTACGTAGATCTTTTTGGGAGAGGTTACTCTGATGGTCCTTCCGATACGGCATACGACGAGTGCCTCTACACTACTCAGATCCTCCTCGTGCTGGCATCTTCATCGCTCTCCTGGACAGGCGCCTCTTCCTTCCATCTCATTGGCTACTCATTAGGCGGTGCTCTTGTCGCGGCCTTTGCAGCATACCACTCGCACATGGTACGCTCCCTCACTGCCGTCTGCCCAGGAGGCCTCGTGCGAAAGTCGCACATTTCTTGGCAGAGCCGCCTCATGTACTCCCACGGCCTGCTCCCCGAGTGGCTTCTCCAGAGGTGGATGCGATCCCGGCTTGAGCCGCAGCATGGGCAGAGTGCGGATGTGCCCGAAGGCGACGAAGGAGATGTCCACTTTGACGACGTGCAGATTACTGCCGGGAAGAGCTCCGTGAAGGTCGGTGAAGTTATAGGTTGGCAGCTGGAGGCTAATCCGGCATTTGTTGACTCTTACATGAGCACCATTCGCTATTCGCCAATTTACGACCAACACGACAAGATGTGGGCAGTCTTGAGTAAAAAACTCGCTGCTAATCGGGAGCTTGGCCTAGGATTGCAGCGGGTCTGTGTCATTTTGGGGGATAAAGACGCTCTTATTGTGAAAGACGAGTGGATCGAAGATACCAAGGCGGTGTTGGGTGAAGACGGCGTAGACGTTCGTGTGATTCCTGGCAGCCATTCCATTGCTATTTACAAAGGCAAGGAAGTTGTTGACGCAGCCATTTCATCGTGGAAGAGCAGTCGACGTAGGAACGGCAGGTCATCCAAGAACAGTGGAAGTGCAAGCAGCAGCGAGTTTCGGTCCAAGAAGAATAGACATAGAAATTAGAATTATACCAAAATAGATGACTAGCGTTTGTTTTTTAGTCCGATGCTTTGAAAAAAGGGTTCCGCTAAATTAATGCCACTGTTGGTTCCATGTACTTTAAAAGAAAGGAGAGAAACAAGTGCCTGGTTTGTAAACATAGCTTTCAAACGAGGCAGACCGTTCCCAAACGCCCAAGACGCCATAATCCCCAGCGCTTTCCATGCCGTTATATTCAAAAATCAGATCCCAAGCCCCTATTTATCGAGATTTCGAGCCTTGACAAAGCGGTTGATTTGCTCCCTCGTAAGCTTATCATTATACTGTTCGTAACACTCATAAAATGATATAATCTCTTGCGTTGCGTCCACCATGGCGGCAATGTCGACTCCGCTCTCGGCTAGCCAGGCTGCGAAATGCTGTACCCGAGTTATCCTGGCCTCCTGAACCCGTTCTTTGACATCTGGTGTAGACGGAATCTCGGCAAGGATGCCTCCTTGGCCTGATCGAGCTGAGTGTGCCTGGCTCAGCGCAGCTTGTGCGGCAGCCAGGCCAGCAGCGGCAGCCGATCCTGAGGAATTCTGTCCTGGAACAGTGGAATTGGGACGCAGAACTAAAGCTAGGAGGATTGCTACTAGCGCAACGGTGTGAGGCGAGCAGAGAAACGGCAAGTCTGTCATGTAGTGATCGTTGATGATGGACTTGGCGAGCTGCACATCTTCGTCGACCAGGGAGAGCTCGCCGCGCAGAGCCAGCAGGCTTCGATAGGGTTGATGCACAATGAGCTGGGAGCTCATCTCGCTAATGAGGAAGAATTCGCACTCTCCAATCTTGGACGTGTCCAGCCCGATGAAATCCTGCCAGAGCTGCCTAGCCTCTGTCACAATCAGACGAATGTGCTGTGGTGACTCTTCCATCTTGCAGGCCAGGTATATCGCGGTCGTGATGACGAGATAGGGGTTCGTGCGGCGGATCTCGACTCGAGTGTAGAAGCGCTTCAGGTAGACCTGCGCCGTGGCCATGGCCTGCTGGCGGATGGTGAGGCGCTTCCCCAGCCTCAGCAACTCTGTTGAGAGGGAGGGAGGGTTAGCTGGAAACGACAGCATCACGGGGCGCTGCTAGCAACTCACGCTGATTGAAGTAAATGGCTAGATGCCTTGGCTGCGGGAGAGGAAACATGCGCACGAGCTCGGTGTTCTCCTCCTCCAGCTTCTGTCGCATCGAGGCGAGCTCATCTTTGGTAAATAGCCAATATCGCTTCTGCGTCGACTCCCAGTAGTTGGCGGACATGGCTGTGGAGCAGGAGGCCGCGAAGGCGCCTCTCCCTCCGACAGCGAGATAAGACGTGTATCTCTCTTAAAGGAACGTGTAACGACTGACCCAGGTTTGGATAAGTGATGATTGTTAGGTTGAAAGGAAGCGTGTCGCATAATCCTGTATGTAATACTGCAGTACTACCCATTTCCTCCAATCTACGCTCAGACAGGCGAGGCTGCGGGGCGATAAGCGATATGCCTTATCCTTATCAAATCAACCCCCCTTATTTGCCCCAAACCAAACACCTGCGATTTATTACGTAGTGGTCGCTAACCCCCCCGTAGCACAGCACTACCAAGGCTATTCCTCCCTAAAAGAGCCGCCGTTAACCCGCGGCCTTCCATCCTGCTACTCCCGAGCTACGACGTCAGTTGCTGTCCCCATTTCTCAATTGGCATCGCCCGCCAGATCGCAAGCTTCCAGACCTCTACGATGCGGTTGAGATAACACCAGAACGACACAAGACGACGTGCCTGCAGATTTCTTCAACCCATAGCGGCATCCCAATTGCCGCTTCGACGTCGCCTTCGAGACATGCCAGAGCCATGACACAGTCTAGACCAGCTACCGAGGTGGAGAAAGGGCTTCATGAGCCGCAAATCCAGCATCATGACCGCGTTGAGAGTCTCTGGGCTCGGCTGGAGCCCAGCGCCAGCGGAGAGCTGGACCTCAAGGGCCTGAAGAAGGGCTTTAAAAAGATAGATCACCGTAAGAAGCTTTCTCTCTCTCTCTCTTTTGCGCCTTTGCGCATCCTACCCCACAATAAGTATCTGGATGTGGATGTTGACTTTTTTTTTCTCTTTTGCAAACAGCACTGAAGAATGCGGATGCGATGCTGAAAAAGATCATGAACGAGGTGGATACCAACGGCGACGGAAAGATTCAATATGAAGGTACATAAAAACAATTGTTCCTGGCGTGCGCAGGCCGCCTTGTATAAAGCTACAGCTAGCTACAGCTACTGACTCGGAGCTTTTTTTCTTTGACTTGCTAGAATTCCGAGATTTTGTGCGGCAAGCGGAGCGCCAACTCTACGACCTGTTCAAATCCATCGATCGCGACGGCAACGGGAAGCTGGATAAGTCAGAGCTCCAAACGGCATTCAAGGCTGCGGGGTTGACGGTGTCGAACCGAAGACTCAATGATTTTTTCAGCGACATGGACCTGAACAATGATGGATATGTTAGCTTTGACGAATGGCGGTAAGCACTTCTTCTGATTCACAGACCATATCTTTGTTTTTGCAATGACATAGATGGGGGCCGTTTATTGGTCTTTGGTGGATCGCTGTCAGGCGCACGATGCCAAGGGGTCATGTGCCTCGGTCTTAAGCTGGGGACATGGGCACTCTGAACACCACAAGACCGATCACCAACAAACGCCCTGTTTGTGCCCTCTGATATATATGCCTCACGAAAAAAAAAAGGCCCCGAATGGCGAAAAAGAATCCACCAGCTGACCGAGTTATCCCAGGAATTTCCTGCTCTTCATGCCGGGGAACCAGGATGCGTCTCATCTCCATGCCGTCCTGTCCTTCTATTACTCGGTGGTTAATGTCACGCCTGAGGGAGACTCCCTCGTGAGTGGGGAAACATTGGAAGGCTTAGGTAGGGCCGGTTCTTCTAGCTCTTTTCTTAATATCCTCTTCGGCTCTCTTCTAAGAGTGGCCTTTCCTTCGTCCTATCCGAGGACGCCCCCAGAGCTTCCATCACCTCCTCCACCGCCTCCTCCGCAAGCCGCTGGGATAGCGGACCCAGAGCTCCAAGTGCGGCTACAACATGCAAGAGGAAATTTTGTTGACGCGACGGCGCATGCGTCTGCTATCGAGATTTCAGAAGTCGAGCAGGACCCGTCAGGGGCAGATGGTGCCATTACACAGACCGACGGCGATGGCATCTCAGTCGACCACCGTGAAGAGTCCTCTACCGGAGCTTTACCGACAAAAAAGAAGAAGTTTAGACTGACAGACTTTGCTCCCCATCCAGGTTACTTCCTTGCGGGTGCCATCGCCGGTGGAGTGTCGCGGACGGCCACTGCTCCGCTCGACCGATTGAAGGTGTATCTGCTTGTCAATACCAACAGCGGTGCCGAGACGGCCATAGGGGCTCTGAAGCAGGGCCGCGTCATTGATGCCCTGAGAAACGCAGCCAGGCCTTTCAGCGATGCTATGAAAGACCTGTATCGATCGGGCGGAATCCGCAGCTTTTTTGCCGGTAAGCATTTTAAATCATTATATTGATGAGCAATGAATGTCCTTTGCACGATGAGGCTGACCAATGGCCGTTTAAAAAAAACAACAGGCAACGGATTAAATGTGATAAAGATCATGCCGGAGACAGCCATCAAGTTCGGATCATACGAAGCGGCTAAGCGAGTGCTGGCAAATTTCGAGGGCCATGGAGATGCCAGAAATATCAACTCGTATTCAAAATTTGTTGCTGGCGGCCTGGCTGGAATGATTGCCCAGTACGTAGCAGCTGTTGGGCCCCAAGCGACTTGGTGTTGCTATGAGTTTAGATTTTCTTTCTTGCTGATCATGTCTTTCAAAATAGGTTCTGCGTCTATCCCCTAGATACCCTCAAATTCCGACTTCAGTGCGAAACTGTCAAAGATGGCCTGACGGGAAGCGCCCTCGTTCGACAGACGGCCAAGAAAATGTATGCAGATGGCGGTCTGCGAGCCTGCTATCGAGGTGTGGCTATGGGGTTGATCGGCATGTTCCCATATAGTGCCATCGACATGGGAACATTTGAATTTCTCAAGAAGACTTACCGCATCCGCTATGCCAAATATGCGGGATGCCACGAAGATGATGCTGAACCCGGTAATATCGCCACGGGAATTATCGGCGCAACATCCGGAGCCTTTGGCGCGTCGGTTGTCTACCCACTCAACGTGGTTCGAACACGATTACAAACGCAAGGCACAGTGATGCATCCTCAAACATATACAGGAATTTGGGACGTTACGCAAAAGACGATCCAGCATGAAGGATTCCGCGGACTCTACAAGGGCCTGACGCCGAACCTTCTTAAAGTTGCCCCAGCGTTGAGTATAACGTGGGTGGTGTACGAAAACGCAAAACGCATTCTCGCACTGCACTGATTAGTGAAAATCAGGGTAGCTGCAACATCACGGAGCTGATGAGAAGCATAGAGGAAAGGATATGATGATGATACCACACACGCATCTATTTTACTGCATTAGCATTGTCGATCTCATTTGTCGGACATAATGGTTGGATGGTTGGAAGCGAGCTTCATTCGCATTTGGAAGGCCTTTTTTTTTTTTTTTTTCTTTTTTTGTGACTGTTTGTTTAAGCTGGACCTATGTAGTAGAAAGGAGGACTGGCGGCTGGTTTTAGACGTATCATGGGGCGGTATTGATCATTGCCACATATTTATTTGAGGGCTTGGATGCGATGGACTGAAGAAAGGAAAGGAAAGAAAAGGAAAGAAAAGAAAACATTATTCCATTTTACACTTTGGTTTCAGTGGGGAAGATGAATTAGAACGGGGGGGTAGAAGAAAGGCAACCTTTGATCCATGCGCATGGTTCTCGAGACACGAAAAAGTGCCATCAATCCAGGTACCATTTTATAGACTCTGTACACTGAGAAAATTCAATTTTGAATCTTAAAACAATGAAACAAAGCATTGTAAACAAACTGGGCAACCTGAAGATGAAGAAAGAACAGAGGAGTAGAAATGGGCACATTGCCAATATGGGGGGTCATGGCTTCGGGCTCGGTACCCGGAAAAGTGGAGACGAGGAGCTCCGTGACCGGTGGCAAAGGCCGGGGGGGATTTCATTGGAGCCGGGGCTCGCATGTTTTTGCCTTTGCCTGGCGCAGAACTATCGAGCAGCAGGGATGGATGGATGGATGGGGATACATGCATGCATGCATGCATTTGAGTTGGAGGGGGAAAAAAAGAAACAGGTCGTAATGCTAGTCTAAAGCTACGTGATATGACTACATTTGGTGGCAAAAGGAAGGGCGCGTAGAATGGCCATCGTTATCGCCATGAAGGACAAGAATGACGAACACCCTATCGTCGCTTGGTGGGTTACGTGCCTGATTACGCCAGCCGGCAGGTCATTTCCGGGGGGTACTGTACCTAGGACAGAGATATGGAGAGTTGGAGAGACAGAAAAAAAGACAAAGCAGCACGTGTGCGGCACTCCCGGCCCGTAGCGAGCTTATGGCGCCGTAGGTTAATGAGGAGAAGCTGGGTGGTTTTGACCTAGCCCGATCCTTTGGGGGACTTTTGCAAGGGCACTAGCGGGCTGGTTTGGCTGGTTGGTAATGGCACCTGAAGCTTGTTGGATCCAACAGAGATTTTCCCTTTTGTTGTATCTCTGGATATTGGAGAGATGGAGGGTTTGGTACGAGTTGAGAGGAAAAAAGAAACAACTGCCTCTCTCTTAATTGGACCACCGAGACGGCGAATTGTTGCCTGTCAGAATTGGCCATCCTTCTGCAATTCTCTATATACCAGGCGCTAGCCCACTCGTTTTCATCGTATCGTCTAGCGCACGCACAGCGGATACAAGTACAGCGAGTGGAGGTGTGGAGAGCCGCGGAGAGGAGGAGAACAGGAAGCTCCCCCAGACGGCTGTCCAGAACACAACCTGCACATTACCAGGTGTCGACGCACGAGCTGGCTGCCCAGCTGCGGTGGCCACAGGTAGCAGCCAGGTAGCGACGAGGTAGCGCTGAGCCGCCAATGTGCAGCAGTTGGCCTATCAACGAATTCAAGTCGCCGTGCTTGGCGTGCGATTTCGTCCAACACCACCGCTGCGTTTTCTCTCTCGCGCTCTCTTTCCTCTCTTCGCCTCTCTTCTTCTCTTCTACTTGCTCCGTTTGCCAGTAAGACTTGTCTGCTTGACGAGATACGAGCGCGCGCTCTCTCGCCTGGTTGGCTGGTCCTCTGCATTGACTTCTGCTAACCTCCTGCATGCTCTGAACCCACAAGCCGTGGTGCAACCCACTTTGCGGTTTCTGCGGGCAGTAGCCTCGTCTTAGACGACGACAGGCTTTCGTCAGCTCTTGAAATACCCGCGCAGCGTTTGACTTTTTCTGTTTCACTTCTGCTCTGCTGCCCGCGTTCCCCATATTCGCAGACGCCACCGGCCTTGATTCGAGCCATGCCGGCCCCATACTCCGACAACCTGTACTCCGGGCACGACAACCCCTGGGAGGATGAGCAGCAGCACGACGACAGCAGTGCGCTGTCGCCCGCCGACGGCTACTTCCACGCGTCGTCGTCTGGGCTAGACGAGGCCGCAACGTCATCGCAGCCCTCCCCGGCGCGCCAGTCGTCCAGCGTGCCCTTTGTGCCCAATGTCATGGTGGAGGACCCGACGCTGCAGGAGGACCGCGCCGCCGCAAAGGCGAGAGAGGCCGCGGAGGAGAGCCGCATAAATAGAGCTGCTGCCGGCGGCTCGACTCCCTTTGACGACCGCCAGCCGCATCACCACCCTTCAGTGGCTCACGAGGCCAGCTTCTACTCGCCCGCTCACCCTTCCCGTGCTCCTCCGCCTGCCTCCCCGGCTGCTGCATATCCCCAGTTCCAGCCTCATCGCCACCTGGGCTCGTCGTCGGCCTCAGCGTCGTCGTCATCTGCCTCCCCCTCCGGCCACTATCACCGGCGTAGCATTGACGAAGAGGTTTCGTCGTTCCAGCCTGCGGGTTCTATGGGCCAGCCTGCAAACCAGTACACGGTCCATCGACAAACCGACGCACCTCCGGCATACTCTCCTTCGGCCTCGTCACCGCCGCTGTCTTCTGGCTATCAGACATTTACGCCTCCACAAGCGGCTGCACAGTCCGAAGCCATGGGCGTGCCTGAGGAGAACCAGAATTTGCTTCCACGACAGCCTGAGTCTATGGGTGGAGCGCCCAATGGACCCCAAGAGACATTGTGGCGAAGATTCAAACGTAACACCAACACGAGAAAGAGGGTTCGCACCATCCTTGGCGTCCTTGTTATACTTTCCATTGTAATTGCGTTGTTTGGCGGCAGCATTGGCGTGCGCGACAACGACAGGGTGAGTCCGCTATGAAAAACTATAAAAGAAAGCTTATATATACACTTTAACCATCTAACACCATGACCAACTAGAAGAAGCCTGGCATCATTGACAAGTCACCTGTGAAAGCGCCCCCAACTAACAACCCTCCCCCCAACATGGTGTGGCCTCCTAGCAACAACTGCTTGGGTGGGCCCTTCAAGGACTCAAAGATCAACGAGGTTGTCAGCTTCGGTAGCAGCAAAAAGCTTAGCATTATCCAAACCATCGAGAAAGACGGCAGAAACCGCCGGGGGCCCACGCCAAACGTCTATGGCGAGGTCATCTTACAGCCTGTTGATACCTCCTCTTCCGGACAGATTCAGCTTGAAATCGTCACCAACGACGAAGATCTGCATGTCGATGTCGACTTCAACAAGCGAGACCAACAGTTCAAGGTGACTGTTCCCCGCTGGGTCGACTGGAGGGAGCCCAGCTGGCGGCCCTGCATCCAGATTAGAATCACCGTCTCTGTCCCTCGTGAGGCTCAGCTCGAATCGCTTCACGTTGAGACTGTTCAACTCAACGTCGCTATCAAAGATGGCTTCGTCCTTAGCTCTGTTACCGATGCTCAGATCAAGACTGTTACAGGAGATGTGGTTACGGGCCGCTTGTCGTCGGGCGATGTGGCACCGTACACTTTGGCCTCTCGGAGCATCATCATTGATACCGTCAGCGGCGATGTTATCGGCTGGTTCCCTCTATACGACCTCGTCAAGATCCACAGCGTTTCTGGCGATATCAAGACGGATCTTACTCCAAAGCCGTCACAGGATAAGAAGCCTGAACAGGCCGTGCTCAATGTCGAGTCTGTTTCCGGAGATATCAAGCTAGTTGAGCCTTTGCTCAGCAACAAGCGCGATGACGAATTCCCTCCGCGAGACTACGTCGTTGGCGTGTCCTCGTCTTCTGGCGACATTACCGCTGAGCTGGCTTTTACATCAAAAGCAAAGATTGAGACCATCTCTGGCCACCAAAAGTTGAAGCTGCTGCCCCTCTTTGGATCTAGTTCGTCCCAGCCTATCCTTTCGACCGACACAAAGAGTGGAGAGACTACGTTGACGCTGCTGGAGCCATTGTGGAAGGAGCCTGCAGCCGGTTACCTCGACCACATGACGCCGTCAAAGGACAAGAACTCAAAGTTGGATAACTACGACGAACCTTGGATCATTATCCACCCCGACCAGCAACTGAACAAGCTTCCGGGCCAGAAACGTGCACCCACTATGAATGCCAGCGGTGGAGGTGATGGGTTGACCCGTCTCAAGTCTCACCACGCATCCATTAGCGGCGATTTCAGGCTCAACTACCCTGTTTCATGGGAAGGAAAGTTTCTCTTGACGTCTCTTTCAGGCTCCCAGGACATTCGAGGCGATGATTTGCACTTTAAACGATCTGGAGGTATCATTAAGCGCATTGAGGGAACCAAGGGCGATGGCAAATCTGACCTGACCATTGATTCTATGTCTGGCCGCGAGGAGCTGGTATTTGCAAATGCTTGAATGATGAAGTAACTTTTTTTTTCTTTCTTTCTTTCTTTCTTTCTTTCTTTTTACAATGATGATGATGACGATGATGGTGTAGAGTTTATTTTGGGACGATACCATAAGGAGATGTTGACAAAGACAGAGAAAAAGAAATACAATGTTGGTGGATATGGAGAGATGCTAGTTAATTCACATTAGGACATGAAGCGTGGTAACATGCTCAGAGACGTATACGGCGATTTTTGCTTTTTCTTTTTCTTTTTCTTTTCTTTTTTTTTTTTCAAACAGAAGAGGAAGCACAACGAATTAATGGACTTTTTTTTTTTTTCTTAACCAATGATATGTGGGGAGGAGTGCTGAAACGTAGCAAACATGTACTTGTTTCTTTCTTTTTGCATGGTAGTACAGTACAATATGAAATTTTATTATTATAAACAAAATAAGTTATGAATGCCAAATGAGAATGAGAATAACTATTCGTTTATATATATATTAAAGAAACAAGGAAAGCAATGCCTCAAACACCATCAGCATCAGTATATCAGTATTTGCTCAATGTCATTGTATGTACCAATCGTAGACCCGAATGTTTTTTTTTGGAGGTCCCCCAAAAAAAAAAAAGGGGAAAAAAAAAAAAAAAAAAAAAAAAAAAAAAAAAAGAAAAAGAAAAGGGGCACTTTGGCCTAAACCCTCTCGAAACAGAGAATAAGGGAAAAGAAAGCCGCAGTTCAGCTAAATAGTAAAAAAAAAAAATTCTCATTTTCTGAACTAGACAAACGACAAGTAAGGGTATCGGTTGAAAAAATAATAACATGAGAAAGAAAAAAAAAAGAAGAAGAAGAAAAAAAAAGAAGTAAAGATTAAGCCATCGTTCCAAAACCAAAAAGGTATTCAACGTGGAAGAAAAAAAAAAAAAAAAAAAAAAAAAAAAAATGAGCCAACCCCCGTTTCATGTAGTCCAGTTCAGATCGGTATATGTCTCGTTCCCAAAAATGTGCTTCTTTCCATCAAAATAGTCATATAGCGTGATATTAATCATCATCATTTTCATCTCATCTCGTTATGGTTTTTTTTCTCTCCCCCTTTTCATCGTTTTTGCTTTTACGCCAATACGCGAATTGCAGACCATAGACTCTGACAAATGCCATATTATGCCGCCTCATGCTGTACCGTATATGTGTCAATATTAAGCCATTTAATCTGAGTAACTTGTCTCTTTCTGGCTCTTATCATTATATACTCCTCCCATCATCTTTCGTCAAGAAAAAAAAAGGGGGGAAAGAAATCATTCTTCTACCGACCAGGGCAGGTCTCTATTGCCGACTTCAGTGCACGTCAAGTACGCAATGCTGTCAGCCACTCGGCTGGAGCCGCTCAAGTCCAGCTCAAGGCCACTGTTCATAAGGGGCCGGACCACAGATCGGGCCATGGCCTTGAGCTCGTCCATGCGCTTCTCGAACCGCCGCAGGTTCTCCCGGCTGTAGAACTCGGGTGTCAGTTTCAGAAACTTCTTGCATTCATCGTGACCCAGAAACGTGTCGGGGTTGTCGGACCCGAGAGTGCGGTACGCTCTTCCGACAGAAGTCAGCGCCGGCGGGGCCGGCGGAGGAGGAGGTGGATCGGCGGGGCGGTTCTCTCGAGACCCGGGGCGGTGCCGATACTCGGGCGGAGGCTGAGGAGTGGTGTTGTCGGCGATCCATTGGCGGAAGAGGCTCGTGGCCAGCCAGTCGAGGTAGCCGTTGTTGGGGGTGACGCGCTCGCCCCTGGACGTGTTGAGGTTGAGGCGGAACAGGCGGCCCTCGACACGGCTGACGGTCTCCTCCAGCTCATCCACCTTGTCCTCGATGATGTCCAGCACAATGTCGGGCATGGTGGCGCGCAGGCTGCGCTCGCCGGCGGGCCACTGGCCGACGACATGGATGAGGGCCTCCTGGAAGATGACCTTGCTGCGCGCAAGATAGCCGAGGCGGAGGTAGGAAATGGGGTATTTTGCAATCTGCTTCCACAGGCGTGACTGGAACTGCAGCAAGTGGTGGTCTACGCGAGGCCCGATGACGGCCAGGGCATCGTATTGGTCTGCCAGCGTCAAGAGGCTCTTGCACTGCACGTAGGCGTCGGCAACGTTGATGCTGTCCAGGACCGGCGGGTAGTTGTAAAAGGTGCGGAACAGATTGTCGTAATCGCGCAGCAGGTCCTCGTCGGCCTGCGACAGCGTCTGGGGCTGGGCGCCGAGGCTCATAACAGACCGCGAGTAGTCGCGCTTGGATGAGTGCGAGTAGCTGCTGCTCTTGTGATGAGAGGAGCGCGAGGACTTGGGCGCCTGGCCAAAGAGAGAAGCCGTTGCCATCGGCCGGGGATCCTCGCGAGGCTCGTCTCGTTGCACCAGCATAGGAATGTCATTCGGCCCCGAGCCGGAATCCAGTTCGTATCGCCATTTTTTCCTCGGCGCCGCATGCTCCGTGTCTGTTGCCTCCCCGCCGTCCTCACCGATGCGAGACAGTTCGTGACCGCTAGGGAGCAGCGGCTGCGCCCGCGACCACTCAACCGACGTGCTCGCCTCGAAGAAGCCGCTGCATCGCGTCAGAGTGTGTCGGTGCAGCAGATATCGGTTCTCGACAGAGCCTGCGCGGATCAGGATTTCGACGTCGCCGCTGTGGGAGAAGACGGGGAATTCATTCTGCGGCAGATACGAGCTGGCGGCTCCGACTGTTGAGCGATTGTAGCGCTTGCTGCGAGCCGACGGCCGGGAGACCAGGGACGAGGTGCCGCGGATTGCGAGAGATGGCGCTGGATCGGGTTGAGAGACCATGGGGATCAGATGGCGCGGGCGACGAGACGAGACGAGACGAGGCGAGGCGATGCGAAATCCGGCTCTGGCGGTGTTTATTCTTGGGCACGGCAGCTTCTCTCCCAGCCGTGGACTGCTGCATCAGCGAGCAAAAAGCGTTAAAGCCAGCCGGCCCTGGTATCTGCAAAAGGTGGTGGTTGGAGTGGGGGACGACCGAATTTTTCCTGTCGCAACAGCAGCTGAGTCTCTAGCGAACCCTGCGCGAGAACATGGCCAGCGAGGAAAGAGGGAGAGGAGAGGGAAGAAGAGAAGAGAAGAAGAGAGAGAGAGAGAAAAAGCGCTGATCGCCGTCCCGGTTTGTCGTATCGTGTCGTGTCGTGTGCGTGCATGCAGCTGAAGGCAGACTCGGTGGGCCAGTCGCCAGCAACTGTTCCGCCCACTGCTGCAGTTAGCCTCGCCATGCCAGACGCCCGCGAAACCGAAAAGCCGGACGCCTGTAGCTCCAAGCTCGGGTGGCAACAGCGCGGCAAATCAGAGGCGCCAGCGGTGGCCACCCCTGAAGACGGCCCTGTAGAGGGGTTGAAATGCCGCTGCTTGATCCACTGGGGCCACGCTGATGGTTGCCTCCATATCTCGACTGTTTGCAGGTAGAGACGCTTGCAGCATATATCAGCTGCCACCTGTGATTAGTGGCAGCAGCATCGTCTATGCATACAGCAGAAGAGAACGGGGGACGAAGGGTTAAAAAGAAAAAAGAAAAAGAAAAAAGCGATGGTAGGGATGCTGCTGCTGGCTACCCCTTGTCCGGTACTTGGGCAGCTCGAGAGCTGTTTCCAGCCAGAAGAGCTAGAGCAGCATCTCGAGACCTGCTTTGCATGACCCCTGCAGCGGGTGTGTGCGAAGTCTTTTCACATGCACGAGGATGGATGGATGGGATATGCGGAGATGATTTTTTCCCAACTCCTCAGGAGAGGCACCGTACCTGACAGCTCGTCCACCACAGCTTATCAAAGCCAGCACAGTCTGTGTGATGGCAGCGCATGACCCATCATGGCCTATTGTGTTCTGCTCGGCGCAGCACACTTGTCGGCAAAACAGCGGGCAATTCTGCGTCGTGACTGCAGGTACTTGGTGCAGGTACATATGTACGTACCTGTAGCTACTAATTGGCGGGAGCTTTTCCCTCTGAGCTCGTCTCCCGCCAATCAGAAAATATCAATCCTTGCCTGCTTCACTACAACCTCCATCCTTCGCCCTTCCCCGTGCACCACCTACATGGACTTGCCCTGATCGTGCTATTGCAGCAGCACATGGTGGAATGAGCTCGCAGACGCCGGCTTTTCATCATGGCTCCAGTCCCATCTCCGTGCACGAGTTCCGGGATGCCGTGCTGGCAACATGCCGGCCACGGTTCCCTACGGCGTACTACGCCCGGCCACAGCGCATAGGCAAGTGTTGGCAAATGCCACCCCATAAATACAAACATATAGATGCATCATGGCTAATCTCCATTGTTTGTTTGCTATAGCCCTTGCCATTAGCGGAGGAGTAGATTCAATGGCAATGGCATTCCTCTTCTCTGCTCTTCTCAAGGTATACAAGGGCATCAAAATCGCCGATAACCCGGCTGAGAGCGCCTTCGCCATTGTTGTTGATCATAAGCTGCGAGAAGAGAGCTCCCAGGAAGCTTCTCGTGTGACCCAAGAGCTGAAGAGAATTGGCCTCAAGTCCGTCATCAAACCATTGAACTGGAGAGAGCAGAGATGGAATGGCATCGAGCCAACTACTTTACCCAATGTCGAGAGCCTTGCACGCACCATGCGATACCAAGCTCTGGGGTCTACTTGTAGATACCTTCAGGTTCCAAGTCTCTTTTTCGCTCACCATCAGGACGACCAGTATGAGACTGTTCTGATGCGGCTGCTCGCGGGCCACGGGTACAGAGGCCTGCAAGGCATCCGTGAAGCCAACGCCATTCCAGAGTGCTATGAATTGCACCATGTCTACAAGAGTGGCCTGCTTGATGATCAAATGCAAAAATTCCCCTTCCTAAGTTTCAGACCACCGACGCGTGAAATGAAGCGGCTGCGGTTTATTCTGAAAGATGACAAAAAGCAAGAGTCATGGGATCAAATCCAGTCGTACCTCAACTTGGACGATGCGTCTACCCGTTTCCCTGGGCATCTTTCGCGAGATTTCGATCCCAGCATACCATACCTGACTCCTCTGCAGAGTGAGGATGGTGGTGTCATGATATATCGACCACTTCTGGAGTTTGACAAGGGCAGGCTCATTGCAACCTGTGAGGCCAACGGCGTCCGCTGGTTCGAAGACCGCACCAACACTGATCCAACTCTCACAACCCGGAACGCTATCCGAAAACTTACACGACTTCACACGCTGCCCAAGGCTCTGCAGAAGCCATCTGTTCTGGCACTTGCTCATCGGTCGAGACAGAGGGCTCAGCTGGAAGAAGCTGAAGCCCATAGACTACTGATTCGCGAAAACGTCATCAAAGATTTTGATCCCAACGCGGGTACTTTGCTGATTGATGTATCTACTCTTTGGCGCGATAAGTTGCGTAACACCAGGAGCCCGTTCGCTCAAACCCGAGAAGAAGCGCGCAAAGAAGCACGCAAACGCTCTCGTCGACTAATAGCCACTATAGCGATCCGCAAACTCATTGCTTTCGTAACACCAGAGCTCCATCTACCACCCCTAGTCAACTTGGAAAGCGCCGTTGACCGACTCCTCCCGCATTTATCAGAAACTCCCGATGAAGTACTGGCGATAGAACCAAAGACCTTTTCAATAGCAGGTGTCTTGTTTGAGCCTGTTTTTAAAACGAATTCATTGATGTGGCTCTTGTCCAGAGCACCGTATTCCTCAAAGCAACCGTTACCAGAGCGAAAACTCCCGGGCTACCTAAATTATAGAGCTGGTGTTTTGAGATTGGACGCTGATAGCGACCAGCCAAGTCGGCATCGCCACTGGCGTGGGTGGAAAACAGCCAAATTATGGGACGGACGCTTCTGGATACGAGTGAGCGCTTGCATCGCGGCAAAATTTCACGTGCTTCCTTTTCTTCCCTCTTCTGCGAAGCCGTTTCGGATGGCTCTACCTCCAAAGGAGCGCTCAAACCTTGAGAAAGTTCTCAAGCACTATGCGCCGAGAAAAGTGCGATATTCGCTACCTGCTCTTTACAGCGTTGAAGAGTCAAGCGACGGCCAAGATTCCAAGCAGATAATGACACTGCTGGCACTACCGACTTTGGGAATCCACGTGCCAGGTCTCGAAAGATGGGTCAAGTATGAGGCAAGATACAAGAATATTGACATTACTTTGCTCGGATCGACCAAGAAAAACCAAAGGAATAAAGTGTCGCTGTTGAGATCTACCCGTCCCTTGGCCAAGAAGCAGAGTGCGGTACTGCGGAGCCAAGGAACGCGGAGGGGCGGACAAGCCAGAAACCCCCATGGTGTATGGGAAGATTCAACGAGCCTATGAAAGGAGTCATTACTACTAGTATCCGTGTCGGCAAAGAACAGTATTGCCTAGTCTCTCATCCTAAAACAGACTAAAGACCTCCCCAGAGATAGGACTTGCTGCAGTCATACCCTTGGCTCCCCCCTTTTACCCGATATTTAGTGCTATTTGATTCGCGAGATCCGGTTGGAATGATGGAATCGTCAGCTAAGTTATTGGAGGATGCAGGGCAATGTTCCCTTGCCTTTGCATAGGCATCTTGTTTAGCCTTGGTTGATGAATTGAATGAAACGCGCGGGCCAATCTATCTGCCGCAAAGCAGCCCACTGCGGGTTCGATACACTTGTAGAAGACCATCTTGCGAACATATGCACCGTGACGAATATTGCGGATGAGCGCATGTCGTCAGCAGCCGTCAGACAAGGAGCCGATGGGTTATTGACTTCATACTCCGTATAAGTGCGTTGCCGCTTAACTGCACAGCCTGCTGCTTACCTGCGCACAGATATGACTATCTACTCTATATATCTATCTACTCGTATCTCCCTCACTTACGCGCTCTTGTCTGTACTCACACTCAAGTGAAAGCGCGTCCTTTACTTAAATTCTCAAATGTCTGGAACCTGGTATTAACTTATGAGGGAGTACCGCTAGCTACCTTCCTACTACCTACCTATAAATATTCTATGTGATACTTTTAGCACCGTTGGGCGATGGCCTGTTGGTACCTGATGCTGCACGTAAAAAATGGCTATAAATTCTTTGGTGCCACGATTAGGGTCTTGAAGGTAAAAAAAAAAAAAAAAAGCGAGTCATAGCATCACATCTTTCGCCACAGAGGCAGCCCATGAGAAACATTGCATATTTGAAAACTAAACAAAAAAAAGGTGTTCATATAAAGGATATTTAGTATATCCATATCCATCCGAAAAAACATTCATCCGAGGCCCCCCCAGGCTGCCGCTGCCTATAATCTGGGCAAACGCCGCCAGAAAGTGCAACCGTGAAACAGATAACAGTCCATCATTTTCGTTTCCACAAACAAATACTTCGTTAACCGAGGATTTAGGAGCCAAAACTTGAAACCTGAGACTTGAAACTTCAATCGCCGCGACCGATGCCAGAACTTGCCTTTGCAGCCACCCTGGCATCGAAGAAAGAGTGCCAGCATTCTCTCTCTTGATCAAAAACCAAAGCCAGCCCATCACGCTGACAATATTTCCCATAATGACAAAACATAAGAGGCTTTAAGCCAAAATAACGCCGAGGTATGTCTGTTGCACCCATGAATATAAATCAAAGAGAAGGAGGAAGAAGAGGAGGAGGAAGAAGAAGAGCAGGAGGAGGAGGAGAGGGAGAGAGAGAACAAGTGAGAAGAGTGAATAGGAATTAACATGAATCAAGTAGGGGATCTTTCAAGATAACATTTCTGCTCCGACATGCAGCAACAGTCCGACCCATCAAAAGACGCTGCCAACAGGCAACCATGATAGAACTATCGTCAATGACCATCATGACACAAGTCTCCCGATGTGCCGTCATTGTGCCATCCACGCCGCTCCATCAGAGTACTGGCTTTAAACAACGTCTGCCGTGGGGGACGCGATACTGAAGAAGCTGATGACTTCTCCACCACCCCAGCAACGACTGCCGCATCAGATACAGTGGCGATATGCCATATGCTCATGGACGACGAACCATTTGCCTACGCTCCCGCCCGCGACGCCATTTCACCTCGACAGCCACTTCCTGATGATACGCACACGGAGCAGGCTCTTTGGAGTGTATGCCGCCCTTTGGCTGGGGAGCTTCGTGCCAGTCCTTGTAAATTCGAAAGTTTCTTTCTGAGACCAAGCCAATATCTCGGAGATGGTCTAGAAAGTAAAAGTCTGGGCGAATATCGGACGTTGTCGCGCCGCGGGCGTAGTGGTCGGCAATGTGATGCATTCTGGCTCTATAATTGTGTTCTCGCTCGTCCGCTGTCTCATTTACGGTGCGGAAGACTGCGTCATCGCAAAACCAGCAAATGCAGTCCCTTGGCAGCCTCCATATGAGATGATGGCCGCAAATGTGCTGCACCCAGTCATTAACGTTATTTAGATCGAACGTCTCTTCGCAGTCGTCATACCCGTAAAACTCACACGGGAGCTGTGGCCTATGCATAGCTATGTTAGTACAGGTGGTTTGAAGTAAGAAAATGCTGCGCAGCGGAGAGATATACCCTGGTGAGACTGACGACATGGAAGACAAGGACCTCTCTGAGTCAAAAACGGAGGAGCACACGGAGGAGCGCCGAGTTTCACCATTTGCAGAAGACAAAGCATGTGGTTTTCTGCCCAGATCGATGTGAATGGGTTCAGAGCTTCCTGTTGCCATGTACCTGGTTTTCCTCCGATGAAGATCACTCAGAAAGCCATAAATGTCTTCAGCCAAGCGCGCCGTTGAAGGCCACTGCTCTTCAGGTCGTGGCGTTGCCATGCTGAAAGGCCGCTCGCTGCCCGATCAGTTTAGCCTGGGCCGTCAGACTGTCCCCGGAATCGCCTCTTTGGAGGTCCAGCAAGCGACCAGAAGCTCCCTGTCCAACGAGCTTGTGCGCTCGAGCACTCAAACGACAGCTGCGACAACGAACCCTGATCGGCAACTCTCAAAGACTAGGTCAGACCACCTGAGTGGATGCTTGAAGTTACGCACGTTGTTTGGGGAACAGCCCAATCGACGACGTGCGTGAAGATGCCCTGACACGACAACAGCTGGGGCTTTTCTGTTCCTTGCAAGGGGAAGCAGAAATGTAAGTTGAGAAATGAAAAAAGGATATATATTTTTTTTCTCTCCCTACGGAGTGGCAGCGCAAGTGGAAATGGCAAGCTCTGGCTGGGTCGTTGGGGTGGTTAATATGACGACGGCGGACACTGCAGACGCTCTGTGGTCTCACTGCGTTGTTCTCCACTCAGTCCTGCGATAGTACTAAAAATGTAGAACAGTGCTCGAATCATCAACCAGCAGAGCTAAGAAGCTGTATTTGGATTTTTTTTTTCCCTGCACAGGCGGTGTCTGCCATCCATCACGGAGATTGGGACGACGCGTACTGCCACATGTCATTTGATGCAGGATGCATACTGGCAAGGGAATCGCTACAGTCGACACGAATTATCATGGCTGGTCTACTATATAAGGGCGCAACAAAAATTAAAGCCGGGACAAACCGCCAAGCCGGCTATTTTGTCTGAGCAGCTGTTACTATTATGTTGTCTAATAGGGGGGTTCGAAGCGTCAGAATGTTGACGAATAATGTGGCAGCCTCTCACCGACAATGTTACGAGCTTCATTACGATAAAGGCATACCGAGTCTTGTGTGGCACGTACGATGGGCATATAGCAGGCTGGCCATTAGCAGCGCGGCCAGACCGTTACATCAAGGCCCTTGGATTGCTCAGCGCTCTACCTCGTCATTCCCAATAGCACTGGCGGCTAAGAGCTACACTATCTGGGAGCAAAATCGATGGGGAAATGGCGAGCAGCGAACGGCTGTAACCGCCATATTCTGCGGCTCTTAGACCTGCGGGGTTCCCCACCAATATTAAAGCAGTAATGGGCAGAGATGCTCGTACCAGGCGGACCTGCGGAATACTGCTTTGTTTTCTCAGAGCTGGGCGATCAGCTCTGTTTTAGACTAGCTATCGGAACTCGACACCTTTTCTTCACTACATTTCAGTTGGCTAACCGCAGCCGACGAGTTTCCCTTGCTGCGGTGAGAGCAAGCAATGAGCTCTCTTGTGCAGTACAGCCTGCTAGATTGTCTCTTGTTCCGTACAGCCGTACGCAGCAACGAGTTTTGCATTCTATGCCCATTGAGATTAGTCCAGCGCTGGCGTATACCGCTTAGCTGTTGACACGAATCATCCCTCAGCGCATCTCGGCATAACACGCACACACAGCGTAGCCCATCCTCGGCTCTTGCTTGTGAATCGTTCATGCCCAAATCCCAAATCCTCATGCCTAGCTCCCATAAACTCGATGCAATGCTTGCTGTATGACGCCGTTTCAAGTCGGATGACTTGATTCCTACCTGCCTTTCCTGCTTCCCGTGATCACTGCGATATTAATCGATGGTGTTTGGGTGGCAAACGGAGAAAAGAAAGAGTGAAAATGGCAAGACAAGAACCAAAGGACAGGGGGGTTCCGGCGAGTCAAAAGACCTGACCCGGTTTTTTTAAGTGCTGGTTACATCGTCAACTCAGCTGCTCGCATTGCTCCATTGCAGGCAGGCCTGGGGAACTTTGCCTACCTATCTAGCTGACGGCGAGAGCTCAAATTGGGATGCCTGCTGCACCTTTTCACTCTGGGGGTGGCGCATTCCGGCACAGAAAGGGTTGGGAGGGCCGTATCGGGCATCAACACATGCAAAAAAGCCCTGTATGGAAAGAGAGGCTTTGAGCCATGAGCAGCACCGTATGCGCCGTGACGGCTGGTGGATTCAGCAAACGGTGGCGCCCGGGGTAGCGGCCCGTTTCCCGTTGCCTAGTTGCTGGACCCGCTTGGTGCTTCTCGTACGGAAACGACGTAATGCTGCAGAATTGAGTTATACTGCTCTTTGATCCTTTGGCTTTGGCGCTTTATATCATGATGCGTTTTGACCCGGGATGGTGAAATGGTAGATGAGGGTTGAGTGGGCTGTGCCTGTAGGAATCACAAAATTGCTCGCACTAGTAGCTACCTAGTAAATTACTTTTTCTATTTTCCCATTTTTTTGGTCACTGCGGTGGGAACATCATGTCATGTCTGTCTATTCTTCTGGACTACACAGGACCCTCGCCTTGACAATGACGTTGCGGTACTGCATGTGCCCCCCGTTTTCGTCCCCGTGCTTAATCACGCCGGGGAAAACAACGCAGTTAATTTCCCGGCTAGCCAGGTTCTCCTCGTCTTCCTCCCCGCCGATGTCTTCCATCGTATCTGGTTCAAAAAGGACTTGCTGATGAGGTAAGATGGAGGGCATGTAGACCCGTAGTCGGGCCTTTTGCACAACGAGCAATCGTGCTAGCTCGATGGAGTTTTTTACTAGTACACGGAGGGCGGAGCCTCGGGCGGTCGAAGGTGAGGTCGAGGTCGAAGTTGAAGCTGGGGGTATTGAAGCCGAGGCCGGAGGCGGAGGGGATGTGATGATGCTGTCGAGGAGCTGGGTAATGCGAGATATGACAGCCTCGGCAAATGTATCAGTGTTGTCGTGGAGGTGGTGTGCCTCGCGGCGGAGGAGAGCCAAGGTAGACGAGCGCCATTGGTTGACTGGATCGGTTGAGGCTGTTTGGTCCCCTTTGGTATTAGTTGATGTTTGTTTCCCCGAATCATATACTACAAACGAGAGAAGAAGCAGAAGTAGGAGAAAGGAGAAGAAAAAGAAAAAGGGACAAGAACGTGAGGGAGTATAAGAGGGGGTGAGACAAACAGCAAAAAGAAGTGAGTAGTTGCTCCATCTGTTGAAAGTGCTGCGTATCTTCTTCTGAGAGTCCCACGTAGTAGGCATTGAAGACCATCTCAACGAGGATGCTCGAAACAATGGACTGCAATAGGTGGACTTTTGACGTGTGTATCAGCTCTTCGTACATGGGCACGAGCTGGCCGAGTTCCGTAAGCGTAGCGTCACTGGCCTGGGATAAGTCTGCTTTTCGCATTCCAGCTCTGTTAGCCCAAATGTTTGGCGCTGATGATACGAGCGAGCTTCTTGGCTCGTTACAATTCAGCTTGCAGCTCACCTAGTTTTGCTTTTCTAAAGTTGGTAATGACCCAGTTCTGCAGCCCGTTGCCCAACTTGGTCATTCCATCACCAAAGACCTCGTCGCTTGTCTGGTCGTCCGTTCTTGTGCTCGTGCTCACAAAGTCTTTTAGTCCCCTGACTTGCCCCCTAAGTCTTCTAATTTCATCATCCTTTTCTTGTAACTCTCGCCGCAGTACTTCAACTCCTTGTCGCAGCTCTTCTCTCTCTGCCTCGCGCACGTCAACTTCGGCTCGCAGCAGTCTCAGCTCTGTATCTGTGCGCAGGTACTGCTGGTTCAGTGCGCTATGTTTGCCCTGCCAAAACGTCGCGGTTTCGCTCTCTGTCTGGCTCAGTCTATCCAGTTCTTGATGGAACTCTCTTTCCATGATTCCCATTTCGTTCTCCAGATAGGCGATGCGCTCGTCTTTCTCGCGGAGGAGGCTTGTTGAGGCTGAATCTGATTGCTGCTGCTGCTGCTGCTGACGGCGAAGCTGCTGCTTTGAGATCGGGCTGCCGCTGCCGCCACTATTAATGCCGGTACTGGACACGCCGTGTGGACTTGATCCTCTGGCTGTGCTAGAAGAGCTGTTCGATTTATCTCGAGCCTTCTCTTTGCGTTTTCGATCTAGGATCGGGCTTCCATTATGGGAGTCGTCTCCGCCTGCTGAGTTGGTGCTAACCATGGCTGCGCGAGGTGGCATCAAAGGCATCGTGTCGGAATTGTTGCCGCCGCTGCTGTTCCCTGCGCTTGCTCCTGCTCCTCCACCTATCGTATGGGTGCTGTGGCGGCTTGTGTGCGTCGCTGGTCCAGTTCGCCAAGCTGGGCCGTTGCTGCTGCTGCGACCGCCACCGCGGCGCTTATCAGATTGATTCATTTCGCCGTGTTATGTCGCGCGCCGTATCGGGTCGAGGTTAGTTCGTCTGGTTTTCGTAAGTCGCTGTTGTGATGCCGAAGTGTAGGACTGTATGACACTGGTTCGGCATGATGGCTGATGCGTCAGGCAGGCCACTCTGGCGGCTTTGGTTTGTGCCCTTTTGTAGGCGAGCGCCTCCCCTGATAGCTCGCTTCTCCCAGGCAAAGACAATTAAAAGCGAAAGGGGACAAGATGCTGGTTCGGCGGCTGCCTAGAGGTCAGATGCGAGGATATGGATCTGGATATAAACGCCTGGGACGTCCCCTAGACAGGGAGCTGCCGCAAATCTGCCGACGGATCTTGGGAGGGGCTTGGGCCAACACTAAGAGCTGCCATTGTTCCAGAGCCAGCGCGGGGCATATCGATGAGCTTCCTTGCGTTGCAGCGCTAGAACAGCCTTAAAGCACGAGCCTTGTGAAACAGATGCATCCAATAATGAACGGTCGTTTCGTGGTGGATTGCATTCTTCTTGTTCTTCTTTCTCCCCCCCCTTCTATCCCTCTATCCCTCCCAATTATAATCCGCGCCCAACCGCACTTTGATTTCACTCATTGAATTTAGATGTCTTTTGCCTGTCACTTGACAGCATCCTGCAGGATCGCATCTCCACGGCAAAAATCGATATCTGATATAAAGAGAGATAGAACTTCATAGATTTTATGAAGTGGAAGTGGTATCAGAAGAATGTACAAATTGCACACTTCTGACTAAGAATCCTTATATAGACAAGCGGTTGTATGAGAAACATCATACTGAGTCGTGGAATATAGCTTCAATTTTAATGCTGCAGCTTCTTGCAGAATCGCTGCGTATAGGGTCTCATTGGCCTATGTTTGAGGATGCATGATTCTATTGACATGTACCACTGATTGTTGAGATGAGTCTCGGGCTCTATCAACACTCAAATTCGACATCAGCTTCAACTTCGTATGCAGCGTCGTCGGTCCCTTCAATCGGCTTGGCGCCCATTCTACACAGAGCGACGCGAGTGATGGGCATATCTTCAGCCCATACGTAATCATCGTACCGAGCTAACACATCTCTTGCGTCGATTGTTAGCTTCTCTCGCCTTTTTCCTCTTGCTCCACTGCTGCCGCCACTATTCTTGACATATATGGTATTGACGATGGTAGCATGAAGCAGTAACGGGCGATTTTCATCAATCATCAGTTCACTGTCTTGAAAGGGCTTTTGTAGCAGCTTGCAGAAATCGTATAGAAGGCCTGTAGGATCTGAGGGAGGTGCGTATAATACAGTTGCTTTCGCTGCTGGCTGCATTGAGTGCAGTCCTCGAATTGTGAGAGAAAGGCCGCCGTTTGGATGTGACAACTGACTCTCATCGGTATCCCCTCCCGATAGAGCCAGGGCAGCAGCAGACATCCTATTAGAGTTGGCCACTCTTGACTCGGCAAGTATTTCTCTCAATTTTAGGCCCTTAAGTATTTCTACTGCTTTTCCCACGCCGTCCTGATTCAGTGACATGACCCCGAGTGTTAGATGCAGCGTCCCCAATGGCCGGACCGCGTCCTTGGGCAGGCCGAAGCTCATTGCGCTGGTCACATCAGTCCGAAAAGATGCAAGAGTATTGGCCAGCTGCATCCCAGCGAGGGGTATGCAGAGAAAATGCGTAGGAGCAGGCCTTGGAGGCATGCTTGCATCAATCAGCCTAATGCGAGAGAATATGTGGCTAAAGGATATCTGCGAGAGACGATTGGTAAGAAGCTGTCAAATATGATAACTTGGGTAAATGTGATGAATCAACAAGGGAATCTGAGAATGTAAAGAAAGGTACAAGCAACGGCGTAATCCCCCTTGTCGGACACAGTCAATAGATAGCTGCCATAAAATACCATCAGTGAGCAGCATCACGTCAGCATCACATCCGGCATCCACGCAAAGGCATCTCCAGCCAACAGAAGCCAGCAAATAACAATCTGCCGTGTGTAACATGAAGAAAAAGAAGCACCGATCGCCGTCCCAATTAGAGTAGACTTGGTGGACAAGCGTCCTTGTACAACACACTGTGTTGCCAGTCAGCACATGCTGAGGCCATACGTTGATGCCACGATAACCCCCAAGTCTCTAGACTTGACCCCATTGCTTATATGCAGCGTGCCCAGATTGCGGAAGACGAATTTCTCTTTTTTTTTCCTCTGAAATCTTCAAGCAAGGGGTGAAGCAGTGTGCCGTGGCGAGTGCATGGCGAGAGAGGACAGGGATGCTTTGGGGCATGCGCTGTAGCATTGAAGATGCAGAGAGCCTTCCATTGTGATTCCAGCTTGGAGAAAACGACAGATGCTTCCTGTCCGCGAGACGCCAGTACCGAGATATATTCTTGAGATGCCTTACGTACCTTTGAAGACTTGTGGGTTGATGGAAACGCAGAGATGAGACGCCTGTCGGATGCCCGAAGCTGGTAGATGAATTGGAGGCAGCCACGTGCATCTCAGTCCTGACTCCTGCCCATGTTAGCCACAGATCTGTGCCAGATCGCGCCAAGCTACATTGGGATGGCGCCGCCAACTACGTAATTGGTGAGCCCTCGGTACGAGAGCTGCAGGTAGATGAGCTTCATCTGGAGATACAGTGTAGAGAAAAAAGACGACGAAAAAAAAAGGCAGAGTAGGCATGAAGAGTATTTGTTTGGCATGCAGATCATGATGGAATTCACTCTTAAATCTGTTGGTATCTCTTCTACGCAGCCCCTCCCTGTACAGACGACCTCTCTAATGTGTGACCAACTTTTTGAGCTCGCCCCAAAAAAAACATATTTGCTGCCATGAACCTGTCATTGCGCTTGTAAAGACAGCCGTGCGCGTTCCCTATATCCTGCCAAGTTTCAAGCGCCAGCCCGCAGACAACAAAATCCAAAGTTGTATTGGTCGCGTGACTTGCTGCTGCCATCACGCATAAGCGATGATGTAAGTAAAAAAGGAGTCGTGAGTGTAGATGATTTGAAGAGGAAAAAAAAAAGACATGGGTGAAAACAGAGGGCGATAGAGCGGTTAGGATGAGAAGCGGAAAATGCCATGGTTTGCATCATGTTGCTCCTCGCGCGAGGATATACAGCAGCCAGGAACCTAAGTGGCTCCCACTGTAGAGCTAGCACGCACAAGTGCTCCTGCTGGGCGTCGCAGAGGCAGGGCGCGCAGCCCTCAATGAAGTTTAGTTGTCATCGCCAATCTTCAGCAAAGACATATTAAACGCCCTCCTCTTCGTCATCGTCCTTGTAGAAATTTCTGAGTCCGGTTTCGACCTCTTCGTAATCGGACTTGACGGCTGTGAGCGCTTTTTTTATTTGCTCCAAGCATACCTTGACGTCGTTCTCTGGAGAGCCGTCAAGGTTTTCTTGCTTGCCGTATCTCTGGATCTTTTCACATCCATCTCGAACCTTGACCAAACCTAGCGTCGCGGAGGAGCCTTTTAGAAAATGTCCGAGTTCTGATAGTTTTTCGAGATCTTCTGCGTCCCTATATGAATTGAAGGCAAGGATAAGCGTCAGTAAACGTGAGAAGAATGAGAGAGGAGTGGAAGAGGGTCGTAGTGTAGATATAAGCGAGGATAGAAAGCATTGCACCCCGTCTCATGGCAGACAACGGGAGGGAGATAGGGCCACAAGCCCGAAGATGTGTAGAGCATCCGAGAGCGTAGCACAACGACAAGTGGTAGGAGTAACGTACAGGGCTGTGTCCATGGAGGCAAAAGTCTCCTCAGCTTGGTCAAAGAATCCAAAGACGATGGACGAGCTGAACTCGTTGTCACCAGGCTCGTCCATCTCGAGAATCTGCTTGAATGTCGTCAGGTCGATGGTATCGCCGAAGATGGCTTCGAGCTCCTAGATATCCAGCATTGTTAGTTTGCATAACGCTGGCGGGGGTGCAGGAAGAGACCAACTTTGTCGTCGGGGAGCGCCATTGTTGAAGGTGTAGCAAGGTCAGGGGTGAAATCTGCGCTTTTCTCGGTCGCTGAGCAGAGAAGACGGCCACGATGGAGGGGTTGCGGTTTAGTCGAGAGTGGGGGAGGGCCAAAAAGCGTCCGCGGCGACGGATTTAATAGTTTGACGAAATGCGACCCACAGGCAGTGAGAAGGTGCCCAAATGAGGATCTACGTGTGCATAGGGTCGGCTAGAGAAGAGAAATCAGGCTGCAAGAAAAGGCACAGTCAGCTATATGCGGAAAAAAAAAAAGAAGGGTGAAAAAAGCAGGAGGGAAAAAAAAAACAGATGGAGGTGTTTAGAACGACAGGGGGCGTGGACAAGCTTTGCGTTCTTGGTACGTCTGAAAGAAGCTGCGTGAGGGGAGCAGCAGTGAGGAGGGGTCCCAGCAGCAGGTAGGTTGCAGGCAATCGCAATCGCAGCTTGGCCAGCAGCCGACATGAATGGCCGCAGTGCCGAGATCTGGGGGATCGTGAAACAGAGTGGGCGAGGGTTGACTCACTAATCTGGCCTTGTCTCCGGCAGTGAACGAGGGTCCTGATTTTGTCGGGAGGGACGAGGAGCGAGGATCGTCAACGAACACGCGAGAGCGCTGCGGGTGTTGAGGTAAGAAGTGCGTCTAAAAAGCATCGCGGAGAGGGGCGGAAGAAGAGAGAGAGAGCTCTGTGAAGGTACCAGCACCATGTATCGGGTACACGGCCTGCCGGGTAAGCATGCTGTAATCGTCAACTTTACAGGCCGGGCCTAGGCGCACAGGCGGTAGCATGAACTAGCGGCTGGCGCTGCAAGCCCCGCGACATTCCCTGGCATGAACTGGCGCCGCAGTATCTCTACATGCTGCCTACTAACCTTACCTTGCCGAAACAAACAATCTTAGAAGCGCCACTACAGGACTAGTAGGTGGTCCTCGGATCGCGATACGATTTACCAGCATCTATTCCATACCTATTATATTAACAACTGCACCCGTTTTCCCTTTGCGAGAGTTTGTTTTACCCTCAGCCAGCTACCCACATATGCATCTAATAGCAATGAAAGGAGTTAACAGTAGTGGCAGTAAAAAATGGAAGACGGTAGCAGCTGGTGTACATGGTACCATGGGCGCGTGCCTATCGTGGGTAAACTGCACGGGTAGCCAAAATGTTCCTTTTCCAGACGGGACGCCTCTTAGACAAAAACTTGGTGTATTACTACGGGGTAAATTTACTCATGGGGTGCGTTTTCACCTTCTCCTGTTGATTTTGATTTGATAAACCGTAATAATGCAGGAGATGTATTCCAAAAGTAGAAGATAGAGACGTTTCTGATTGGACGCTTGCCACTGCTTTGTTGTCTCTTTCCTCCCAGGCAATGCTCCAGCAACCGCGGTGATGGAGAGAGTGTTGAGCTGTAGTGTGTCTGCTAAGAGCTGCGTACATAGACTGCATGGTAGCTGAGGGCGCGGTAGCTCGGGTTGGTTTTTAAGCTGATGCATGGCTTGTGCCGCCAAAGACGTCAGTGGGGTGAGGGGCACTGACGTCTTTGTCACAGCGGGCCGCATAGTGGAGACGCAAAGCCTGAAGATTGGTTGGCGGGTGGGCGCGGTGGCTGATGCAGTGCACAAGGGAGTGAGCGCGCCCCGTATTTTTGGTCTTTTGTACCTGTACCACCACCTAATGCTACCGCAGAAGGCGGTAGAGCATGCAGCAACACCATGAGCAAGGCACGCTGGTTGAACAAGCAAAAGGGGCTCCGTGCCTTTCGCATGAATTTAATGGATGCAGCTGCAAGACGCAAGGGCGTGATACGCTCTGTAATCTTCCTTGCCCTTCTAAATACAAAGGGAGGCCACTCCTATATGGGCTGTTTGTGGCGCCGTCATCGCATCACAGTCGCCCATCAGAACATCCCGGACGATGGAGCCAAAAGATTATGCTATACCGTAAAAACATGTACCTGCAAGTTCCAAGCTGCTAGCACTACTAGTAGCAGGTATTCCTGAACCAACTCATGGTAGCAGTGGGCGGACGAGAGAAAAAATGGCGCGACGCCGTCTTCTCTGCTCCGAAGAGGCATCTAGACCTAACAGCTCCGGGCTGGTAGAGGAGCTAACACCGGCGCTGTCGCCGCCTAGCTCGATTCACGACTCAAACAGGCAACGGGGAGAAGTCTCCGTATGCTGGCGGAGAGTCAAATCCCCACTAACGCCTGGTGTCGAGTTTCTTCCGCTCTCACGATACTCTCTGGAGAAGGCAGGTACCTTATGGAGCACGAGTGGCTGACTTGCATGGAGTTTTTATGTTAGCAGTCTACCTATGTTAGGTAAGGTATACTACAGCAGGTGCCTACTATGTAGTAGACAAGTGCTGGCAGTAGTGGTACTTGAGCCGTGCTCCAGGAGCATACAAGTACTAAGGCTATATGCATGTAGCAACGCAAGACTTCATATTAAGCACCTACCGTGGGTGGGTAGATGCTGAGGCCGGGGTCCCGCGTGCAAACCCAGGTACAGGCATGATTGATCCTTCTCGACCCGCCTGCAGTTTGCGTTTTAGAGCAAGCCGTCTTCCCAAAAACTAATTCGACGCAGAAGTCCTCTGGCGCAGGGGAGGGGAGCCGGAGAGCCGAGCCAGGAGGAGAGAAATAGACAGGCTTCAACACAGGGAAGGGTGGGCAGGGCCGCAGCATGGAGCGGAGGGGAGAAGGGGTGAGGGGTCACTAGAGGCAGGGAATGTATGGATCAATTCCGTACCAGGAGAAGAAAAAGAAAAGAAAAGAAAAAAAGAGGGAGAGGAAGAGGAAGAGAAGCAGAGCTGTGAGGGAGGTGTGGTAGGGTAGCGTTTGTTGCTGCGGGAATGAGGCATCCCACATCCCACCACTGCACGATAAGGGAGAAGAAGCAGTGAGAGAAGAGAGGGGGAGGATGAAATACCTAGCATCCAGCATCCATCCTTGGATCTGCACGCTCATGCTCTTGCGAAACACACGTCCAAGTAATGCTCACAGAGCCCAATCACCGCCTGATCGCATCCCTCTCCTACCACGATGCGCGAGATGCTTCAATGCAAGTTGGGGCCGTGGAGCAGTACTAGTAGCAGTACTTGGATGGGAGCCAGCTGCTTTGAGGCTCCTGCGCCTGCAAATAAACGGCTTCCCGAGCTGATGGCGCCCATTACGTCTATGGCTGCAGGGGATCCGTCAGAGTGGGAGGCGGTTACATCATTTTTGCAGGGCTCCTCCCCCCCGACAAAGGCCTTTGCGGTTCTAGACTCTGGGAGCAGCGCATAACCTCGCGCTTTTGGGTACTTTGTAATTCAGCAGGGGAAGCGGAACGGCTTTGCAAAAACAGGCCAAAAACAGGTGGCGAGATGCCAGGTGGTTGGGCGTATGCGTTCCGTACTGCCATTTTTCTTATTTTGCTATTTATTTTGATTATTATTTTGTGCAGAGCTGTGATTTATTAGAGGTCTTCTGCCCAACCACAGTTTGACGCTTGCTAGGTAATTACGCCAAGGTACGTACACGACACGAGCCACTTATAGACTCTACTTGTAAGTACTCTGGATATTTATAGGTAGTACACATAGCATCAGCACCATCTATCCGTATTGTTTTGTAAACTGGAGTGATAATCATTCCACAAGGTCTGGCCCTGCTCATTTAGGAAATGCCACCATTACTAAGGTAGCTATATTGGTATTTGTACAGCAACCTCTCCCCGCGGAGCCTTGGTTCATTCTCAGCGACCCGATAATGCGCATTAATTAGTGTCTGTTTCTCTAACACATACTGCCACAAAGGCTGTCGTCTTTCTCTTGTGCTTTATTTAGTATTTAGTCCTCGTCAGGAGGAAAGAGACTAGCCTAATGTACTGCTACCTGTCCGCCAGGTCTCTGCCGTCGAGCTCCAGCGCATTAGCGGGGCTCGTGACTACCACGACAAGCTTTGGGTGCTCAACTTGCAAGGAGGCTCCTGCTAAACCTCCGACGTCCATCAAGATCCCAGCTCACTATGGAGCACGGCCGGCGCTCTCCTCAAGTAGGAATTCCCAGGAGGCAGAACAAGCAGCTGAGCCGATGCGACGGAGCACTAGGCAATGCCTGATATGGAGTACACGCAAAGCTGCAGCAGCCATACCCCCTTACCATCCTGGCTGGCTGGCTGGCTGGGGGGAAAGCAGCAAGAGTCTGGTCCAACCCAGCCCCGAGAATCCGAAGATCCACGTCGTCTCACGCAATAGCCCACAGTTTGCGCCCAAGAGAAAAAGCACTAGGCCCTGCGAGGCCTTTGACGGGAGCACTACAAGTAGTCACTGCTAGTATGGTATACTAGTCATCGCCAGAACCGCACAAAGGACAAAAAAAAAAGCTTCTTCTTCTTGGACATTCAGTCCATCAGTCGCTGGCGAAGCCATGGTATGGGCAGCTAGATCCATTCTGGGGACAGTCGGGCTAGGTTCGCTGTGGCGTTCTCAACGGATCACACAACTCCTCCGCAACTCTACTCTTTATTGAATATCCTTGAAGCCAGAGCCCGGCTTGGCATGCCGTTCGTTTTGTCCATCGATGTTCTAGACTTTCAGTGCTGTGTCTCTTCTTCTCAACAGGGCGATGATCTGCAATGCCCAACACTTCCCTTCTGGCCTACCAAGTGCGGCCAAAGTAACATCCACGGCCTAGCGACCTTAGTTGATCATCCTGCACGGTATCAAGAGAGGGCAGCGTGCTCGGATTTTACGATGGCAACGGCCGGCGGGACAAGTCAGCGCAGCGTAACGGCAGTTATCAAGTCAACACAACAATGGTGGGATTGGATTGGCCCGCAAGCAGCAAAGTGGTAGTAGGATCAACAGCAGCTGACTTGATATGGTAGGGTCGGGCTGCGCCGGCGAACAGAGCGAATATTTACCATGGAATCGTCTGGAATCTATCTACCGAAGATACGCCAAACGCATGATCAGTCAAAAACCGTCCAGGCATCAGTCTGCTGACAGCTTTTGGTACGCAGCCAAGACCAAGATGTGGCTGAAAAGCCCTTGTGGACAGGGGAAAGGAGTCAAACTGGTGAGAAAGCAAGGCAGTAGACTGCTCATTATTGAGCTACGGACAGGTAAAAAAAGCTGATGACCTTGAAATTGGTCCTATCAAATGTGTAAAGAGTTGCCTGTTCGAAAACCACGTAGTTTCTTTATGTCTTTTGCCCCAAAAGGCGAAGTAACAGGGACTTGACATTAGCAAATCTCAGGTGTTGAAGCACGACAAAGGCGTAGAGCATGGCTTTCTATTGCCATATTCTACTCATCAAATTCGCGCAAGGCTATGGCTGAAATGGTGTACATGTGTGGCCCAGCAGACTCAAATTCTTGCCGCAAGTCCAATATCTTGTCCTTACTCTCGAGGCATCTGCTTGGAAATGCTCTCCAAATCCAGAACATTATCATTGCTAAGCCTCTTGGAGATCGCGGGTAGATTGAACACTGCTTAACAGCAAGACGCCTGGCAACAGCCTGACCGCCTGATTGTATACCCACTATAACATCACAGCTTCAAACCGTGACTAGGATCAAGACGCTTTAGATGGCATGATTTTTTGTTGTACTGGGCAAAGAGGAATGAAAAAGTCTTGAGAGACAAACATAATTACAATTCGCTTTGTTGTTTAATTCGTGAGTGAAGGTCGTAGCGCTGTCCACGAATATATTCTTGCAGAAGCCAGGGAGCTAATGGGACAGGGCAATAACTCCACTTTACCTCATACAAGTCAAGAAGAAGAGTCTGATCTTGATTTTGCTAGAAGAAGAAGTTGATCTTGATTTTGCTCTAAATTTATATACTATATAGTTTCACAGTATACCTTACTCTCTTATGCTTGATTCCTTTGAGAGGACTATTCATCTCGAAGCTGGTCAACCTGCATCCGCTTCACCGGTCTCTTTCAGCAACCTCAGCATGCGCTGAGCAGCTTCTGGCAACTCGATGCCCTCTTCGTCTTCGATCTCGCTATTAGCTAACTGTATCAGTTGGGGCTCTATTCTTTTCCACAACGTGCCCACGGGCACATATTCCTCTATAAACTCGAGGATATGCAACAGCCACTCTGGATCATTCCCCTCTTTGAGTATAGTCTCCTGGATGGGACCAATTGTCAGCTCAGGGAAGCGAGCAAGCTGCTTTTGGCAGCCCAAGTAAGGCGGCCAATTGGGGTCGGCAAGCCAGCCGAGCAGCTCGTCAACATACGGCTCCATTTGCTCTGCCGTGTGCACCCTTTCCGAGAGGCTTCGAAATGCCATATAGTCGAGCTTGTGCTGCGGCGCCCACACCAAGTCCGGATTGTCGATGAATCTGATTGCATCTCTTGCTCGGGCTGCCAAAGAGGGCACCGACACTCCCTCGGGGCTGGGTGCGCTGTCGGCTGAAGCCAACGTCTCCAGGGCCGGTCTGTAAAGCCCCAGGGTAGCTAGGGGAAGATGGCTGACTATGTCGTCGAGAGCTGCGCAGACGACGAAAAAGTCGGATTTTGTCTTGATAGGCTTGGACAAGGTAGAGGAGACGCTGGAGACGACTGACGGGTCGGCCGCGCGCCGGATGACCTCTTGCTGCGCGCCTGGCAAGGAGCTCTCGCCGCTATCAGGCCGAGCAGCATCTTGTGATACTGCAGCGTCGCTCATTGCGGTGTTGGTTGTGTTGATCCAATGAAGTGCAACGCCGTCCAGGGGTTTGCTCCTTAATGGCTTCCCCGAGGGCGTCGTCGCTGCACCCTGCGCTCCCCGGCTGTCGAGTTTAAGCTTGTGCCGCAGTCCTTTTGGCCTGGACGGCCCTGTGTTAATGCATGGTATGCGTGCGGGGAACAAACGAATTCCACTGCTGCTTTGTACTTGCCGTAGCCACTGCTGCATAAGGCACACGGATGCTGCTATATGTGTTGTTTAAGCCGAGTCGACGACTCTGCCTGGCTGCCGGGTAATCCGTGATAGCGCCGCAGTAATCATCGGGCGCAGCTCCGTTATACATGCGCCGAGGCCGGATTTCACCACCTTAGATAAAGCACCAGGCCAGGCACACTTGCTCATCTCAGTGGTGAGGATGTGGACCTCATTCAAGCAGTATCTGCACTCTGCACCTTTGTTGTCCTGTTCTGCTCTGTTCTGCTCTTACTTTTACTCCCCCCCCGCTGACAGCAGCCTTACAGTACACGTCAACTCTCAAGCTACTAAAGCACATCGTCTGATTCGGCTCTCGCAGGTGGACCTCGACATGCCGATAATGCAATTAGGCCTATGTACGGAGTACAGTCTCAGCGATCAGTGTGGCTGGTCGCTTCAGGGCCCCCGAGGCGATCTCATCTTATGGATCACCTTTTTTTCCCGCTTCGACGCCTAACCCAACGCAGGCGCTACGGCTGATCTCCCGATCGTGGAATCCTGCAAAAACCACCAGAAATGTCTGTCCTGGAATCCAGCGCCCAGGCGCATCCCCAGCCTGCCGTCTGGAGGAGCACCGCCGACGACGACTCGACGCTGCTGGACGACCTGGATCATGAGCCCAAGGTGCTCAAGTGGTACGGCGACTGGGATGAGTGGCGGCGCGATATTCAGCCCTATATCGACGTCTTTATATGGCGATACATGTGGTCGGACAAGGCGTCAGACGACCTGCCTCCGTGCCCAATCCCGCCGCAGGTCCAGCAGTTTAACCCTCACGCGAGAGACGTTTCGGAGCTCACCAAGGACGAGTTTGACGTGTACCACGACCAGAACAAGATTTACTATTCCAAGAAGCAGGAGTACGACCGCCGCAATGAGATGGTGGACAAGACAAAGGCGCTTATTCTGCGCACCATTGTCCCGGCCAAGGCAGAGGCGCTGGACGAGAAGCTCTCGCTGCGCGAGTGGATGATGGTTCTCCAAGCCACCACCGCCCCGACATATCGCCAGCGGATTGAGATGGAGCGGGTTCACTACAACAACGTGCTGGAGCGGTTCGACCTGGAGGGTGGTGAGGCGGACTGGGCCCACGAGTGGTACAGCGCCGTGACACGATGCCACAAGCTGAACTTCCCGGAGACGCACTGCGGCACTTGGCTGCGGGACGTGGCCGACTGCATCCTGCCGTACTCGCCGAACCTGTTTGAGAAGTTTATGCTGGGGGCTGACAAGCTGGATCTTGCTGCCATTGAGTGGAGAAGCAAAGCAGAGGGGGCTATTGATTTCCAGAAGACGCATAAATGCAGCAACAGCAACAGCAACAGCAGCAACAGCAGCAACAATAGCGACGGTCGTCGACGGGAAGAGCTTCAATCTGATAACAGCGACGCAGCATCTGCCTCTGTGCAGCCGCAGCCTTTTCGGGACGACAAGGAAGTGGTAGAACTGGCCGCCGCCACACCCGCCGAAGAGGACCGGATATGGACGTTCCTAGAAGTGTACCGAGAGATTCGCGACCTCGACTTTTCCGGATCAGAAGCAGATGTGGCACTCGACGACGGGGCCTCTTGGAAAGCGGATGACTCCCCCTTGTGCCCGGCCTGCAATCTCAAGGGCCACGAGCTGCGGCACTGCTGGTACGCGTTTGAAGATCGACGGCCCCAGGGCGTGATGCTGAGCCGGTCTCGCCTGCGCCGGGTGGAAAAGGCCATCCGGACGGACAAGAACTTGGAGCAGAGGGTGGAAGATATTTATACGGCGTTTACCGGAGGGCGGTTTTATCAGCGACAGCTTATGTTGGGCTCGACGCAGTCTACCTGGTGATTCATCTGATGATTGAGTGACTATTTTTTTTTTTTTTTTTTTTTTTGATGATTAACGTGATGTTGCAAATCGATGACTACGACACATGAATTTGACATGTATGATATTTGATCTACGAAATATGCGCAACCTAGAAGCAAAGCAAGCGACAAGATTCAATTCTTTCTTTCCTTATTTTTGAAACGGACTTTACGACAGATTTGGAGGAGACACGTCTATTTTCCTTGTTAGGTTTTTGGAATATATGATTTTTTCGATAACCTGATGTGCTGGCGATGCTTTGCGCTTCGCGGCTAGATGACGCTGACTGCCCCCCTTGACAGAAGCTTGAGTAAGGTAAAAATACAGATATAAATACAAAATTAACATTTGACTGTCCGAGATGCAGACAGACAGAAACTCCTTATGCCGTCCATGGTATTTGTTTACACATCTTGGCTCTCCCCGTGGATATATTGCCCGTAACGCCATTCATTGCACCACCATTCGCCTGCACGAGTTTAAAAAAAAAAAGACACTGTCAAGAAACAAGAGGAACAAAAAAAAAAAAAAAGACTTCACGCAAACCTCACGTTATTCTCCATCACCGGAAGCCTCTCGTCCTCAAACCGCGAGCAGCAGCACCCCGGGCCATCCGAGCAACAAGCCCCCTCGCTGCTCGAGAAGCAACACCCGCGCTCGTCGGAACAGCAGCATCCCTCTCGGTCGCTGAAGCAGCAGCCGCCGCGATCCGAAAAGCAGCATCCGTCGCGGTCGGAGAAGAAGCACCCGCCACGGCTGGAGAAGCAGCACCCGTCGTCTGAGCCGGATATGAAGCCGCAGCATCCCCCGGAGCCTGAGGACCCGGCTTCCCGATGATGGTGGTGATGATTACGGCGGTCCCAGTGGTCCCATTGATGGTCGCAGCGCGAGGGGCGGCGGCTATCCAGGCCGCGGAGGTTGTAGTAGGCGCTGGCAGCGGTGTTGCTGCTGGCGGTGGTCGTGTGGCTCATGGGCGCGGTGAGCAGGTAGCCCTGGGTGTTGATACTGCCGCGGCCGCCGGCTCGGCCTGCCATGAGGGATGGGAGGGATGAGGCGCTGGTGTTTGATCGGACGGTGACGTGGATATGGGCGTCGCTTGGTCTGGGGCTGTTTTTGTTGATTTTCTTTGGTCAGTCACTTGATCTTTTTTCTATTCTGTGCAGAGCATGATCTTGAATAAATAAATAAATACATAAATAAAACTACGCATAATTGAAGTGTTTTCTTTCAGATGGAAATTTGAGAGCCAAAAATCAATGATGAAAAAACAACTAGGAGGGTCATTTACAGAGTGGAAATCTCGTATGAAGGCGGCAGCTCGGCCTCGTCGTCGGCCTCTGCAAAGGGAAATGCAGTGTCGCCAGCAGCGCTGCGGAGTGGGCGGCGAGCAGCTGCGACGACAGGGCCGGGTGGATCGAGAGGTGATCGAGGCTGGGGTGGACGAGGAGGAGGAGGAGGAGGAGACTCGGAGGTGCTCCGGGGCACGACAAACTTGTCGTTATTGATGACATTCATTTCAGGCATTTTTGCAGGGGAAAAAAAAAAAACCAAGAAACTATTGATGACTTGGTTTTTTTCTTCTTTGAAGAAAGAGGAAGAATGAAAGAAAGATGGGAAAAGCTGTGGAGATGAAGGCAATTCCTGAGACATCTCTTGACTCGGGAAAGCTTCAAAAACGATTTAAGTTTCGCCGTAGCTTGCCATACGGTATGACCCGGCTCTTCGGAACTGGGCTTGCTGGGGGGGAGCGTGGCAAAAAGAAAAAGCATGGCCTTGCTTGGCTTGTTGGTATTACAAGCAACGTGCCGAAATGGAACCAGTTCTCCATATTACACATGCCTGGGCAAGATTGGCGTTGGGGAGGCTGGCTTGCGGATGTAATCAAAAGCCCGTGGCGCTGCGTCGTCAGCTGGGCGGAGATGGGCTGAGGGGGAGCTGAGGTGTGGCTTGCGGACCAAGACAGGAATGTATACAACTAAGTAAGTAGTAGTAAGTGTAGACATGGTAAGGGTAAGTAATAAGGGAGGTAATATAAGCTGGGTGTTGTGTGCATGGATCGCATCGCCCAATATGGATATCGTTTATCAAGTGCCGAGGATGGATCAGTAGATGCTTGCTTGCTTGCAGCTTGGAGAAGCAGCTGTGCAGACCCAACTACCCACCTAGGTATATCGCCTCTGTGCCATTGCTCGCCAATAAGTGCCATCATTACTCTTCACTGCTCTGGGTATACCGTCATCGCCTCCTACAGTATCAATGATGGTCGAGCAAATGTCTCTTTCTGAGCACCAGACTAAAACACAACACGAAAATCCGGCACCTGGCGAGATCCGGGATCCACCGCGACAGCAACGGCCTGGTGCTAAATCCTATTTTAGGTTATAGTACGGAGTTTAAAATGGAGCAACACCAATTTACCGGTGCTCCATATGTTTGAATGACAGCTTCGTATGTATATCTAAAACATCTAATCGCTGGGGCCTGCTTGCAGCCGCTGTTGATCAGTTCCTCCCATGCCAGCATTACTATCTACCTTTGGTAGTTAAAAAGCATCCTACCCATTGTACAACTCCATGCCAACAGCCATTGGCCGCTATGAGACGGCCGTTGACGTGGATGCCCAGAATTCATTGAACCCATCCTGCGTCCTAAACTCCTTGCCGTGTTCAAGTAAATACAAAAAAACGAAACAAAACACAAAGCGCTACTCCGTATGCTGGTATCCAACAAATATGTACAAGAATCATAATCCGACCATGATCGATGCCGCCCCCCATTCTCGCTAGTGCTACGGTATGATACTGCTGCCACTAGCCAAAGCGCTCAGCTTTTCCTGCGCGGTATTTCGTAAATGGACACATCACCATTCTTTATACCTGCAGCCCTGATACAGTAACCGACGTCTCAGGCTGAGCGTTGTTCTTGGGTGTTTTGGGAGGAGCTATTGATGTAGCGGCCGAAAAGTTTGACTCGTCGACAGTGCCTCTCCTCCTTCCAATGATGCTACCATCTTCAGTATTTACGACGCCCAACGGCAGAGCAATGGCTGGATCGACCGTCTGTGTGTCAATGAGTGCAAGGCCCCTGTTGCGCCGCATGTACCGGGACAGTTCGACAAGACGGTTAAGCACGCTAAACTCCATCTTCAGTTTTATGCTGTATACCAGAGGTTTCCACGCGGTCTGGAGATCGTAGTTATCGGTATACAGGAGGACCAAGATGCTGATGTCCAGGGCAATAATGACCAGGTTGACGAGTATGAGATGCACCATGGTGGTTCGATTTGAGCCAGTTACAAGCCCCCTGTAGCTGCGAAGGATATTGTATGTCTCGCGGATATACAGCGCCGAAATCATGACTTCTTGGACAAAAAAGACTGTCAATTCGATCTTCTCAAAGATGAAATACGCCTGCTCGTATCGTTCCGCCCTCGGCGTGTTGCAGAGGAAAATCAAGACCGTGAGGGGCACCAGAAGCCAGACTGCATTGACAATAATCATGATGAGTACTCCCCGGACCAGCCTCTCTCTAGGCAGGACAATGTGCAGTCGGGAATACAGCACAAGTGACTGGCCCGTGACCATGGCCGCCCAACCAAAGATGCCCAGCGCAGTGTACACGTAGGTTGACAAGGATGCGCCAATGCTGCGGAGCAGATAACCCACGGCGCTCAAGACGATTCCCAACGTCGAGACAATGAAGCTCCAGCAGTACAGTCCTCGATAGTGCTTGAACGTGACGGCGATGTGGCACATCAGCTCGCCCGCGTTGTAGAGCGCCAGGCTGAAGAAGACGTACATGACGATCTTTGTTCGTTCGTCGTGGCCAAGGCCCTGGGAGACGGCATTGCTCGCCATGGCCATGATTCGACAAGGCTGGGTGGTTTTGATGGAGGGAAGGCGGATAGCAGAGAAGAATGGGATGAGTGGCACCGCTGCGCTGGTTTCAGCAGCATGTTTCTCTCTGCGGCAGTGATGGAGCTGAAGAGCTGAGGGCCATGCACACTTGATTCCTTGTTCCTTGTTTGCACCTGTATCGGCGAGATTTGCCTTGTCGACGCCAGACTCGGATAGAGGGACCCAAAAGAGCGAAACTCTCAAAGAGCGAATTCAAAAAACTCTGAAAGGCACAAAAAGGTTTAAAAAAAAAAAAGAAAAGAAAAGAAAAGAGAAACTGAAAAGAAGTAAAAAGCACGTGAAGGAGATTAGCCAAATATGTAGGAGAGAGAGAAGGCGCAAAAAGGCTCAGCTTGCCGCATGCAAATGCAGGCAGCAAGTAATAAGGTACATGTATTAGCTCCAGACTACGTGCACCTTGGACCTTAGTATAGGCTCTGGGTTTGCCTGAAGACGATTATTATGCCGAGCTCGCCATTTTTGTGACAGATCAACAACGGGGACGTGAGAGGAGAGAGACCAAGGAGAGGCAAACCCGGTGACTGGGGCCGAGACCGAGAGCCCAAGAGGCGTCTCGCACTTGCGCACGAACAACAGCAACCACCTCATCCAATCCGACTATCATCGCACATCCATACATACCTTAGCAGTAGCTGCTGTTACATACTCCTCACTTGTACATGCATGCATGCCCCGGCGGTGCCATTTTTGACACGCCTTTATTATGCATATGCCCAAGCAGGGACTGACTGCCAGAGCAATGAGACATTCGACGCCGCAAGAAAGGGAGACAGACAGGGAGGGGGGGCCGGCTCCTCGCTTTTGCAGCCTTGGCAGTAAGAAGCCGAAGAGGCAAAAAAAAAAACCAGGCCCGTCACGGTTTTCGGGAAGCTATACGCGGGAGAGCTGGTTGGCGCGGCCGGGCCGTGGAGAGTAGCGCTGAATGATGATCTGGCGGTGGGCCCATTGAGCGATCATGCAGTCAGTCAGTGGAGAGGGGCTCTGCCTATTTTTTTTTTTTTTTTTATGTACTAGGTCTAGGCATTATTGCAAGTAGGTGATGCTACAGTGAGTAAGTGATGGCGGGCTCCGATTGGCAGCGATTGATGGGCTTGGAGAGGGTGGGTTTCTGGGGTTGATATCCAATGTCCAACTGGCTTTTGGGTCACAAAACGTGTGGTGACATCAGCTTGGGCGAGGTTTTGCTTGACGATCTCGTCAAATGTCGGGAGAAAGGAAGCAAGGCCATGTGTGTAAATGTAAACACAGAGAGGGGGGGATTCAGCTCATATAGAGTAGGTTTCGTTAAATAACTCTTTTGCCGTACTAAAACACCACACAGGGCCGGGGGTTTGCTTCACCGCATCCTTGCAATGCCCGGCAATGAATAGCACACCCCCTGGTATAAGGACAAAAAGCCAAGGCTGGGGGGGAAAAAAAACGACAAAAGAAGCAATAAGAAAAAAAGGCAACACCGCCTGCATCACCTCCCTACAGTTAATAGCGACTGGAGCGCTACCGGGTAATAATCAACTATAAATGGCTTACATGCCGCCAACAGCAGTGGAGTGGGGCTTATTGGCTATGGATATCCAAGCAAAGCAAAAGCAAAGCAGGAAAAGCTTTGGGCAAGAAAAGAAAAGAAAAAGTTCAAGATTGGAGGGACATTTTTTTTTTTAAAAAAAAAAGCAAGAAAAACGAACCATTGGATGGGCCATTATTTCGGCACCATCTAGCTGGAGGCAGCCCAGTCCCTTTTGGACCTCAGCTGTAAGGGAGGAGGCAGTATAAGCGAGTCTACCTATGTAAGGATTATATGGGCTGCATTTAGTTATGCTCCGTAATGCTACTTATGATCATCTACTGCTAGTACTAACAAACAGGTTTCATGCAAGTATTATATAGATAGCGCAGCCATAGCGTCGCTAGCCTAGGGGAGGGTTTGAAATCATCCACGGCTCCGAGACTTCTGGCTGCCACCATCGTGGCCCGACAGAGAGAAACGAGAGCGGCCCAAGGGCCCGGATCTGGAGACGACTGGCTTAGCGATGCTTGGCTTGGGAATTGTAAAATAGCCGCCCCTGTCGTCCTCCGGCTCTGTTACCCGAACCCAGCGAGGCGAGCACGTCGTCTCCAAATCCATCCTTTTCTCCGGCAATTGGGCTGCCGCCTTGGGGCTCAGCCTCAAGTCCCAGAGACTACTTGTGGATCGCGGCATCTACGGTACGGCTTCAATAGTAATACCTAATGGGCCCTTTGACAGCAATTCATACCTTGCATGCTGGCACATGACATTACTGTGCGTACAAGTAGTACTTGCATGTTTGGGATAAATTGGAATTGGCTGTGAGGGCGGAGGCGTGAGTGCGTACCTCGTACACGCATTACGCAGATGGATATGGATATGGACAGATTTGGCTGCTCCTATTAGGTACCAAGATGGCCTCACGAGCGCTGCAGCCAGCTGTTATACCCCATATAATGATGGGTACCTGCCCGGCAGCTGCATTAGGAGACGATGAGAAAAGCCTGAACAGCAAATAGCAGCAGCACCAGTGGCAAGCCCTTCCCCAACGGTCCAGCCATCCATCGTCACATCGTGGCATTTCCAGCAGCCAGCTGTGGGGACCAGAATCCCGCGGCACTGGAAGTTATGCCTTTGTCAAGAGGAAGCAATCGTAGCGATTGAGACGTAAAAAAGCCCAGGGCTTCCCCCTTTGTCGACTCGCCGGGTTATTGTGCTATACTGTATGCGAGCATATGAGCTTCCCTGGCGGCATCTTGCTACGGGCACGCCGCTTGAGTCTTGGGACCGAACTCTTCATCTCGGAGCTTGGATAGGACATGGCAGCGCGCTTAACAACAGACGATGTGATGGCACGAAGCCATATGTGCCTAAGCTGAGCTGCGGTGGAGATTGCTTGGCTGAGAATCCCTGGTTGAGCTTTTTGCAAGTTTATCCGTCTTAGGTTTAGGGCCGTGGCTGATCTGAAATCCCCGCATGGGACGACACAGTCAGAGATAATATGGAGTACCTTAGTAGGTAGTTTATATATATAAGAACCTACCTTATATGTAGGTAGGTAGTAGGTGCCTACCTAGGGCATATAACACATTCGGAGTTCTGTTTCTATCAATATGAAAAAAAAAAAAAAAAAGGTCTAGGGTAGGTACAGAGTAGCTTCAGGGTAAGTTATTTTGAGTCTCATCGCAAAATCTGGTCAGATTTGCTTTTTTTTTTTTTTCGTATAGCTGTTCCCCAGGGGCCTAGCCGTACCGAGGATGCCTGGAAATCAAAGTTTTCAGACGGGCCCAGCGCCTCTGGCTGTTTCAGTGGGCGTTGGGCAGCGGGCGATTCAGGGGTTCAAAGCCCCTATGGTTATCGTTGGCGAGTTGGTTGGTTAGTTGTGTAGTCTGTTGGCGGCTGTGTTCTGATGCAGCACTTGTTCGAGCTGCGCCTAGTATAAGCAGGTGTGTGGCCCAAGAGCGTATTAAGCCGTAACGGGACACTGCATAAGGCATAGTGGCTTCTTGCGACCTCTTATTGCCCAATTAGAAAACCATCGATTGATAAAAAAGTTCGATCTGTATTGCCTTCAAGAGCCTAAAGTAAAGGGCTAATCTATACCCCATTCGGATTACGACGTAATTCGGTCGCCAGACAAGAACAAGTAATATAGTCGACGCATTTCACCACAATTACGCATATTACAGCGAAAAACAGTGTTCCTATATATGACAAAAGCCGACTGTCGACATTTTGGAGGGAATGCTCCTGAGTTGGCTTGGATGGCCTGACCATTGAGGCCATGTTGCAGCAAGCCTATGCTACTATACAACAGCTGCATTGTTAGCTGCATGGCGTTGACATTGATATCATCTGCTGCAACATACTTTGCAATCGAGAATAGGTTCAAAAGCAGAGACAGCGATCTCAGAGATTTACTCCGATGGCGACTACAAACCACGCTCTATCATGAAATCGTTAATATAATCCTATCTGTGAACCGACAATTATACTCAGCAACCAAGGAAGCGCGGGTTGTCACATCCTCGCCTGTGTTCGTTCTTACCTCCTGCCATTTCTATTGCCTCTGATGAACCCCGCACGTCGACTTCTTTGCGATGCGGCAACTTTGATTACACTCTGTTCTTTTCTTTCCTTCTTTTCTCTGCAGAGCTACAGCGTTAGAGCGGTCTTTTTTTTATTTTTATTTTAATTTTAATTTTAATTTTAGTTTTTTTTTTCGATATTTTTTCGACACTTTTTTTCAAAAGCCTTTAATATGTTTTACATAATAGAACTGTAAGTATTACCTTATTATTCGATACGAATAGCTTCACCTATACTAACATCATTTGCTATCTTAGTATTCTTTCTCTCTATCTTATCATCCTCGCCATGTCGTCCGGAACTTGGGCTGTGATCAAGACATATCATTCTTTTTGGAAGGCTATGGAAACACGACTCCTTTAGGTACAATCTTTTGCTGTCCCATCCATGGCCACAGACATTCTGGGATTGCCACTGTCCTTTCTTCCTCGTCCCATCCATTCTCCAGCATCGCCGCCAAAACTCTAGGAACCGCCAATGCCGTACCGTTCGCCGTCCATGGAAAAGCTAGTTTGCCGCTGCTTGTCCTAAGGCGCGTTGCTAATCGCCTCGTCTGGTAGTCGGTGCAAAGGCTCGCGGACGTGACTTCGCCCCATCCGCCGCTGTGGTGCTCTCTACTGGGGAACCAAGCTTCCATATCGATCTTGCGGGTGGCGGAGGCGCCAAGATCAGTGGATGGCATGGACAGGACGCGACAGTACAGTCCTAGAGAGGAGAGAATCTCTGTCTGGATGTCTAGTATCTCGTCAAAGACTTCTCGCGCTTCAAATTCATCGGGGTTCGTCCACGCAAACATTTCCACCTTTGAAAACTCGTGCACGCGATAGAGGCCCTTTGTTTCGGCGCCACGAGCTCCAGCTTCGGCACGATAGCATCTTGATACGGCGACTCTCTTCATGGGCAAATCAACGGCGTCGATAGTAGCCATGGCCTTCATGCCGGCGAGAGGAATCTCAGAAGTGCCCGCTAAGCTCATCTCAGGTACACCTCGCTCAGCATCTGCTTGGGACTGGGCAATCGCATAGACTTGCTGCTCGCCATTCTGGTCTCGAGGCTGGAAGCCACAGGCAGCACCAATATGGCTGTACACCATGGTAGGGGGCGATACTTGCGTCCATCCATGCTTAGTTACCACCGCAAGGGCGTATTGGATCAGAGCTTGCTCAAGCTGTGCTGCTTCGCCAAGTAGGTAATACCATCCCCAGCCAGACGCCGTGGCTGCACCAGCAAAGTCGAGAATGCCCAATTCGGCGCCAATATGTACGTGCGACCTCCAAATTTTCTCAGGCCCCTGTTCAAAGCTCGGAGGCTCATTGATGTAGGTCAAGACTTCAGGTTCATCTCCCCTTGGCGTATCCGCGCTGGTGAGGTTAGGAATCTCAAGCGCCAGCGCCTCCATCTGCGCAACCGCATCGGCCTCCTTCTTCTCAATCACAATCAGCTCATTCTTCAGCGCCTTCGCTTCCTCTTGGACCTTCTCCCGGCTCATGTTCTTCACATCCTTCAGGTCCTCGTCATCGCTGCTAGTCGCTGAATTCGCCAGCTCTTTTCTCAGCAAATTCGACCTCTCCCTCAGCGTGCGGCCATCCTTTTGAAGTTGCTGCCACTCGGCATGCAATTGGCCTATTTTTGCAGGATGAGACGCCTGCCGTTTGTAGTTGCGCTCCAGGCAGGTATTCTTGTAGAGCTCCGGGTTCTGTCGAATGTGTTTGATGTCGATGATGGGTTTTGGTGCAGATGAAGGACGCTTGGCTTCTGAGAAGCTCCGCGCAGAGAAGATCCGGGCTTGTAGCCGCCACTGAGGGCAGCGCAAGCGGCATAGTGAGGAGATCATGGCGGGTTTTGTCGAGGCATGGTTTATGATGTCAAGCTCTTTGGAGCTTCAATCTCATGATGGTGGTGTGGTGGACAGAGCTCTGATATGCGATTAAGCGGGATCAGACAGTGTAAATTTTGCACTGTCTCGAGGCCACATGCGCACGAGATTGGCTGCGTCCAAGAGACGGGACACCGCCACCAATGACATAATAAGAATTCTCGAGCTCTCATTTAGAGTTACAGGCCATGTAGGCTATTTAGCTTTGCCAATCTTAGTTTCCTCATTCGAGACTGAAAGTTGCACATATTCCCACAGCCCTCGCATATAAAATTGCCAGATCAATCACCTCAGGCTATCTACACCGTATGTAAATAAACCAAGCTAGGTAATCAAGACTAATATTCAAATCCTTCAAATCATGACAATCGCATGCACCCACCCCCTTGCTGCCAGGCCGACTCGTGTTAATCAGAAATCTATGCTTAAGTCAACCATAAGCACTCTATTCATTCGTCACAAGCAAGAGAGCACATCAATTGTTATTAGAAATCTATATTTAAGATTGCCCCAGGCTGACTGATGCAATCGCTGTTTGATATCCACCCAAAGCCGACGACCGTGTTCTAGCATATCTAATACTATATCGCTCGTCTCTCATAGTAAAACATTATTCGTACTAGTAAAATATTATGATGCTTCCCAATCCAAGCTTTTGTATTAAAGAACAAAACGCCATGCTCACACCCCCGCTCGTCCATTTATAAAATGGTATGGTATCAGTCCATGTAAAAAGTCAAGTTGCTGATGTGGAAAGAAAACGAAAGAAATGGTAAAGGAAAGATTGTGGCCTCTCTTCGTAGCCTCTTTCATACGGTCTCAGCGGGACTACTAGCCTCGCTCTCCTTCTTTGGCGCATTAGCCAATGCTGCTGCGTTGTGCTCATCTTCCTTCTCTCTCTGCACCTCTTCGTTCTCGTCCACGTTGGTATCAGAAGATTCGGGTTCATCAGCCGGGGCGGAAAAGATGGGGGCGATCTTGCTCTTTGCTCTAATCTTGGCGCCGTAGAAGTAGAACACAAATGGAATTGGAGACAGGACAACGGCTACACAGCCGAGCAGAGTGCTAGCCCACTGAATGTGCATACCAACAAACATTTGACGGCCGAAAAGAGGGAAAGCAGCTCCAAAGAGGGATCTCATTAAAGTGTTTCCAGCAAGGGCTGAAGCAGCAAACATGAGGTAGGCATCGACAATATAGTTGAGAGCCTGAAGGAAAATCGACATGAGGCCGAAGCCAGTGAGAATTCCACTGACAGCTGGGATTGCCCAATGGATATCCACTGAGAACCCAGTCCTAGAATTATTGTTAGTTACTAATTGCTATTCTGGTGATTCGGGAGATCAAGAACTTACCATCCAAACCAGAAGATGCCGCCAGCAAAGGCAATACCACCAGCCATCATGTTTGGCAATCGCCACTCGGGAATTGGGATGCCATGGTTAGCAGCAAGTTTGCGATTATACCACGGCACCTGAAGAATGATGGTCAAAGTGGCAAGAAGCTCACCAATAACCAATCCGAAAAAGGTCAAGCCAGACAGACCCGGGGAGAAACCATGGACGCCTTGGAAAACAAGAGGGTACGCAGTGAAGAATAGATAGAGCAGCCCATAAATAAAACTCATATACAGTGAAAGGAGGAAGATGATGGGTTCAGTGAACAGAAGCCGTATCGGACGAAGGAAATTCTTGCTGACGAGTTCGCCAAAGTCAATCTCGATTTCCTCCTGCTTGGCGTGGATGCCCCAGTTCTTAGTACGTCGTCGCAGCTCCGAAGCCTTACCAACGAGGATGACTGGTGGATAAGACTCCTCGAGAAAGAACAAGTCAAGAATAAAAGCGACAAATCCCATAATGGCACAGATATACTCGGTCCAGCGCCATCCCAGATAGGATGTTACAATGAAGCCGCCGATAAAGGGTGCCAACATGGGACCGGTGAAAACGGTCATGGAAAAAATAGCAATCGCTGTTCCTCTAGTTCTATTGTCAAACATGTCGGAGAAGACGGCGGCAACGACAGCAAGCGGGCAGGAACCGAAGAAACCAGCGAAGAAGCGACAGATGAGAATCGTCTGAATATCCTTGGCAGTGGCCGTCGCGATGGTGAAGAGAGAGAAGCCAAAGGTGGAGAGGACGATGGGCAAACGACGGCCCCTCAGCTCAGACAGGGGCGCCCACAGCGAAGGACCAAATGCGAAACCCAGGACGTAAAACGAGGTGCCCAAAACGCCAACCTCGAGGCCAACATCGAACTTTCTGGCCACGGTGGATGTCGCAGAAGAGAAGATGGAAGATGTGAAGGAGGCAACGAATGTGGTATAGGCCAACATGGCAGACGTCAGGAGCTTCTTTCTTGTTGGCCAATTCTGGGCATGCAGAGGATCGTCAGGCCCATCGAATTCGACAACGTATTCCTCCTGGGCGGGTAGTAGCGGGGGATATGGCTTGCCGCCGCCAAAGGCTGGCAGAGGCTTTCGTGATGCTCTGCTCTCTGAGCGGATCGAGCCTCCGACGGTGTTAACGTGCTGGCTTCTCTGGGTAGCAATTCGACTGAGAGCCGTGGTATGACGCTCCAGATCGTTCTGCGTTGATACGCGACTCATGTTAGTTCGGCGGCGGTAGATGCTGTCGCGATCCGAAGACGACGAGGCAGACGAGGCCGTCATCGCCCGTTCAATTTCATGGCTCGCCCGCTGATAGCGACCAGCAGAGGCGTCGCGCTCTGCCTCCCAGAGCTCTCGTTCGGCGGAATCCATGATGCCGATATCAAAGGTGGTACAGCGCGCTCAACGTGCGCCTCTTCTCGTATGATCTGCTCCCCAATCGACAATGGGAGAGATGGATATAAGACAGGTATATCTATATCAGACGCTAGAAGACCGAGGAGGACGGTGAAGAAAAAAAGGATACACCGCCGATATAAATGATGCTATCAATGGCTGAGAAAGGAACCAATTGGCCGAGTAAACGCCAGAAGGTGGATGGAAAAGAGGGGAGCCCGATTGATATAGTCCCGGTCAGAGCTAGGGTGAGAAAAGCTTGACGGCGCAGGGGACGGCAGTTGTCGCGATAGGTGGCAGCGAGGCCGCGGCACAGGTACTGAATACGGCGGTGATCGGAAGCTGGCCGGGCGAGATCCCATGTACTGTTTACTCGTGAGGCACGGCCCTAGCACTGGAACAGGGCAAGTGCAGAGACGTCTAGTACGCGTATGGGCTAGAGCCAGTGATTGGCAGGGCTCTAAGCGGGGCTGCTAGTTAGGTAAGGTGGGGCTGCTGTAGATATAGTGATGTAAGGTGCCTATTTGACACTGGCAGGCGTGGTCTAGGGCGCGGCTCTGGCAATAGGAAAACTCTGTTTCAGTGGTGAGTGGTGGAAGAGGGTCCTGGCTTCGCTAAAGCGTAGGCGGATTTGGATCGATGCGATGCGAAGATGACCAGCGAGTCTGGATGAGATTTTCAAATGGGACAAGCAACTCCAACGCGCAGCAGTGCTGTTCCCGTTATCGACTAACAAACAGGGCGAACAAAAGTATCTCAGAGGGGAAGCTGAAGGAATGCTAGCACGGCTTTGTATGCATGTAAGATAGACGGCGCAACGCTGCTCTTTAAGTGCCACGATGATACGACTCGAGCTACCAGCAAGCAGAATGTCACTTCTGACTGACAGAACTGGTATTTGAGTTAGACTTGATTGCCGCCATGCTAGCTGGACCCATTTGGTCGATTCCTCCCAGCTCGCCCCGACATTAGCCAATTTTCCATTGTAATCCACACGGCACCGGCGCTGAAATCTCTGCGTGCGCAGCTCTCCCATCTCATCTCTCTTCCGTCGCAAGCCTAAGCACAATGGTATGGAGCCAGCTAAAGCCCGAGGACTTAAACGGGGTCCAGCCAACACGTTAATGCCGTGCGAATCCCGGCCCTTTGGCGTGGCTCCACCGCCAGAAGCATGTTGTGTGTGTGTTCCAAAACGCCAGCCGAGAGCCTTCAAGAAGAACTACGTCATGCTGCAGCGAATGGTTCTCGGCAGAGGCGAAACCGACGAGGTAGCCCATTGGCATGGTCAGATCTGCCGGACTCTCCATGGAGAACAGGCCCGTGAGGCTGTGGTATTAGAAATCGCATCTGTAGATTCCCTTGCCATGCGCGTTGTGGATATCGATGTGATCGTTGCGAAGATCGATCTGTTTGGTTCGCCATGAAGCAAGGGCCGTCGCCTCCGTCACGGAGCATTTCGCAATGCGGCTCACATGAGCACCTGGCACTCCATCTCGGGCAAGGGTTAGGGGCAGCGAAAGCGAAAGCGAAATGATATAGGGGCAGGAGTTGGATGCACTGTGGAGCAGTTGCTTGACGATGAATTGAAAAGACAAGGGGCTGAAATTTTTTTTTCCCTCGACTCTTCTCTTTTCGACATGTTCTGGAAACGATCGGGCATCAACTGCTGGTTCCTGGCACGGCTGGGCTCTCCTGGACCTACTACGTAGTATGTAAGCCCAGCGTATACTGTAACGTGCACGTATAAGAAAAATTCTGCGCGATACTAACGCTAATCCGCGAACCGAGAGCGAAAAGCCAACTCGGGCAAGGTAAAGCGGCTGTTGTCGGGACCAACGCCGCTTACTCAGGGTGAACTCTCCCGTTAATCCATACAAAGGCAAAAAGTGGGCACAGCCCAGAAGAATCGGACAGAAAAATGACAGTTTGCTCCTCCAGGCGTCTCTAGTAGATTCCACCTTTTGTCGCGGACCGGCCACCTTCTATGCGCCGGGCTGAGGTCGCTTCTGATTGGCCATTGCGCCATGCCGGGACGGAGAATACCTCTCAAAGTCCGACTGCACCAAGACGGAGATTTCAGCAACGCAGAAAGCTGTGACTGCTACTCTTGTTAAGCATTCAGATTGATTATAGTAGTGCTTGGCCTTGTCTTGGCAAGAAGTTCCCGTACCTGGAGATGGGATGCATATCTGATGCGGGAACACTAGCTCCCGTGCATAATGAGATGGTAGTGGTTCAGCTTCCTTGCGCAACTGGCAGAGAGCCACAGACGGAGCTGCGATAGGACAAGGCTACAGCGATGCTTACCTAACCGTACCTGAGCAGGCCGGAAGCAGAAAGATGGGGACCGCCAAAACGAAAATACACACACACGGAAGATTAAGAACACCAAGGTTTATAAAATGTTCTATTACGATATATTATCATGTATGGTAGGAATGGCAATAACAGTAGAAGCAGTAGGGCCTATATATGGGCGTAGTACTATTCTCAAAGCAGAAACCTCTTTCGAGACTTGCAGCTTTTAGGCTAGCAACTAATCCGTTGGCTTTGGCCCTATGAGACTTTCAGCAGTAGTTTCTCTTGTATGATCATAACATCGACCGGAGATACTCTCAGATCCTACGATCCTATGCCAATGCACACAATACGTAGCCATTGGCTAGGATTCAGGAAAAAAGAGAAGAAGAAAAATCCCGTTTTGCACAAGACTGCTGGGTTTCTTTTTTAAGCAGTCAGTCATGTTGTTCTAAGCGGCCAGTGAAACCATGCGTCTCTCAGGAGCTTGACAACGGCCTCCAACGGCAACTCGCTCCCCGCGGCCAGCGCATTACGTGGCAGATAGTCCATGTGAAGGATCCATAAGAACAAACCCTTTTTGCTACTATTTAATTTCGCCAATAGAAAGCCGCGCGATGATGATGCAGCCGCGTAAACAGCTATCATTCTTTACGCGTCGCTTGGAGTTGAGTAGACCGGGCGTTTCGTAAAAGTCCGCGCCAAAGTGGCTTACGCTTACAAGATGACACGGGCAAAGTCAAAACGGACCGTAGGCGAATTCAGCACAGGACCAGGAGTTGTCTCAGAGGAATACAAAAGGAATGCGAATGGGCCATTTTGATTCTGGATAGATCAGAAAAAAATATCAATTCAATTCTACGGTGTTCGCTTTCCCGCCTACATCTGTACATCGCTAACATTCTCAACACTAAATACACTGCACAACTGCCATCTTACTCCACACCAGACAACCACACTACTTAAAGACACAAGCAGTCGAATATGCAGAACTTACGAATTGCCATCATTGGAGCAGGCCCAGCTGGTAAGTAGGTCCGATACGAATCATCTCAAACCGATGGCTAACAATCAACCCAGGCTGCGCGCTCGCCCGACTTCTTCATCTTGGAGGCATCGAAGCCACCGTATTCGAAGGAGAGGATTCCGCCAGTGTCCGGTCTCAAGGCGGCACTCTGGATTTGCACACTACCTCGGGTCTAGCAGCCGTCAAAGAAGCCGGCTTGTGGGACGAGTTCCTGTCGCATGCTCGCTATGATGGGCAATATATGGCCATTACAGACAAGGATTTGCACTACTACGTCGTCCGGGGTCTTGATGCCGAGTCCAACGTTGCGTTTGGAGAACGCCCGGAAATCGACCGCGTGAAGCTCAGAGAAATCCTGCTCGACTCTCTCCCTGAAGGCACCGTCAAATGGGGCCATCGCCTGCAAAAGATCGAAGGCAGCACCTTGATATTTACCAATGGAACAACCGCTAGCTTCGATCTTATTGTTGGTGCCGATGGTGCGTTCAGCAAGGTCCGCCTATCCATTGCTCCTGAGCTGAAGCCGGAGTACACGAGAGTCGCAATGCATCATTTCAGCATCCCCGATGCTGAGAAAACCGCCCCAGAGGTTTACAAAATCGTCAACCGCGGAAGCGTGTTTGCCAGTGCCGATGGCCAGCGGTTCACTCTTCAGCAGATGGGCGATGGTAGCATCAATGCGGGCTTCGGCTTTGTGCGCGAGGATGCGGATTGGATGAAGCCTGAAAAGTGCGGCTACGACTCCCAAGACTTGGCCGAGGTGAAGAAAGCAGTTGCCAAGGAGATTGAACATTGGGGCCCCGAGTTTCATAGGGCCCTCGATGCCGCTCAGGGGGAGACAAGCACCAGATCGCTCTGGCGACTTCCCGTCGGACAAAAATGGCAGCACAAGGCTGGCGTCACTCTTATTGGCGATGCAGCGCATCTGATGACTCCTCATGCCGGTGAAGGTGTCAACCAAGCTCTCGAAGACGCCATGCTTCTCGCTCGTGTGATTCTCAAAGCTCAGAGCAGCGAAGAGCTAGACGAGCAGATCGTTGCATTCGAGTCAGAAATGATAGCTCGCGTCGAAAAGATTCAGCAGCTAGCCTGGGATCGCTGCCAAGGCTTGATGTTCACCCCCGGCGTGCCCAAGACTCTCATGGATAGAATGATTCAGCAACGGATCAAGGAGGCTAAGGCGATGGGGTTGGATGCAGAGCAGATGAAGGCGATGGATGCTGCTGTGGCCAAGGCACAGGCTCAGGCAGATGCTCTGAACAAGGCATAATTCATAAGCAGCAGCGTGTAATATTTGTCGTCTCAGCTATGTTATAGCTAAGATTATTCATTTCTTTGTCCTCTGCGTTATGTCGCTGCTTTGGTGTTGCGTTTGACTTTACTTGTTGGGAGCGGTAGCGCTTGAATCCTCTTGTTTTATCGCATGATTAGCGTCATCAGAAACTCCCCATTGAATACCTAATTACATAGTTCCTATACATATTACTCGCTACCTACCCTATTGTTGAGCTTTGGTGTTTCTGTTGCATAAATAAAACCCTGGAATGGTATAGCCAGGCAACGGAGTGCCGCGTACCTACTGCGTCACTACTACAACCCCGCGCCCAAGCGTGCACTCATTCCGACTTAGACGGAAGGACTACTTCATCTTCAACTTTGTAAACTCCAAATTCAGCATCATCACCTCCGTTAACAACGACAGCTAGGAAATTGAATTTGTCCACTATGCCAACCGAAGGCGTATACATACGTCCATCCGGACAAAAAACCTTTATCCCGCTGGAAAACAATCCCGAAGTCTTCACATCGCTCGTGCACGACCTCGGAGTCTCTCCAGATCTCGGATTCTACGATGTCTACAGTCTCGATGATGCGGATCTCCTTTCGCTGGTGCCGCGTCCTGTCTTGGCGCTCATATTCATCACCCCAGAGCCCATGTATTATGCAGTTCGCAACCAAGACGGAACTGCCGTGGGTCCGCCTCAACTGACCTACGATAAGAGCGGTGACCAAGAGCCCGTCATTTGGTGGCAACAGACAATTGGACATTCATGCGGCCTCATGGCGTTGCTACATTCGGTTGCTAATGGAGAGGCAAGAAAGTTTGTTATAAAAAACTCTTTCCTGGATGGTTTGTTGAACCAGGCCACGCCGCTGAAGCCCGTCGAAAGAGCCGCTGCATTATACAATAACGAAGAATTGGAAAAAAAGCACATGAAGGCTGCTAGAACTGGAAACTCCCAACCACCTGGTGCCAATGAAGACAATTTTAACCATTTTATATCCTTTGTCAAGGGAAAAGACGGCCATCTGTGGGAGCTGGAGGGAGCCACCGATGGCCCTCTGGATCGCGGACTAATGATCGAAGGTGATGATGTGCTTAGTGACGGGGCGCTGGATTTGGCTGTGCGCAAGTTTTTGAAGGCCAGCGATGGGAACCTGAACTTTAGCATTGTGGCATTGGCGAAGAAGCCGGAGTGAGATTGAACAAGTGGTATGCCATGATGAAGACTGTAGTGCTGCAGCTGTATGCGGTTGTGTAAGTCATTAATCGGTCGCATTATTTCCAACTACAAGAACGTAAGAGAAGACATTAAGAAATATGAAGGTAAAATAAAATAAAATAATGATAAATTCAATGCCGAAGTTGGGTTGCAGTGCATACATTTGTATGTACATACCTAGTATATATGTAGTACACACATATCTATGTATGTATGTAGGGCATATCTTATCTGATCTCAAGTTTCGGTCTGGGGGCGGGACGGGAAACGTCACCGGTTCTTAGTGCCAGGGTCACGCCGCCAGTTTCGGAACTTCGAATCTCACTTGCTCCCCAAAACAACAACAACTTCATCCTCACTCCCCCTTGCGGAAAATCCCCCGCCAATGAGCTTGATGAAATCCCGACACTAGGCGCCCGGGCTTTCTATCGCAATGGATAGCTCACAAGCGCCGCTCATCTCGAGCAACCGCCACGATGAGGATGCGCCGTACGATACTGTCGACGACGTGCCTGGGCCGAGAGCTGCCGCGGGAAAGGCGACGAGCGGGCGACCTGGAGTGTTTGTTCTGATCTTAACATTTGCTGCTGGAATTAGCGGGCTATTATTTGGATGTACGCATTTCTAATCACCTCAGGACTGGTGTTTACAGAGAAGACGCTTACCAGCCGGGGCTCTAGATGATACCGGTGTTATATCTGCCACCCTCGTTTCGATCGGAAAGGCGCTATCGGACCGAGACCTCACTTCGATGGACAAATCAATCATTACATCTTCTACTTCCCTTTTCGCGCTGCTCGTCTCGCCATTCTCGTCTCTTATTGCCGACCGGCTAGGCCGAAAACGGGTCATTCTATACGCCGACGTGCTGTTCATCCTCGGGGCGGTTCTGCAGGCTGTTAGCTCTACTGTGCCAGCCATGGTGGCCGGTCGCTGCATCATCGGCGCGGCGGTGGGTGCTGCAAGTTTTGTAGTGCCATTGTACATTGCCGAGATTGCACCATCGTCGTATCGAGGTCGTTTGGTGACTATCAATGTGCTGTTCATCACTCTCGGGCAGATGGCGGCTTACATCATCGGCTGGGCGTTATCCACGTATGCGTCGAAAGAAACTGGGTGGCGGTGGATGGTAGGCTTAGGAGCTTTGCCAGCGGCTCTACAGGGTGCCCTTGTGGCCGTTATGCCAGAGACACCGCGGTGGTTGGTAAAGGCTGGGAGATCTGAAGATGCCAAGCGCGTTGTTCAAAAGGTCAATGGCGTACAAGGACGGTTTGATGGCACTGCAGATGCCATTATCAAGGAGATTGAACTTGAGATCCGAGAAGAAGACGAAACACGGTTGCTTCACAATCGCCAGACCTTTGGTCCGTGGAATGGGCTCTACGTGTGGTTCGAGCTGTTGGGCGAAGGGAAACATCGCCGCGCATTAGCAATTGCATGTCTCTTGCAGGGCTTGCAGCAGCTAAGCGGTTTTGTGAGTGCCAACTTGAATGATCCTTCACTACTTGCAGACCCGAGTACTAACGTTGACGGCCCAGAATTCGCTCATGTACTTCTCGGCCACCATATTCTCCATTATGGGATTCGAAAGCCCTACCTTGACTTCACTCATCGTTGCCGTTACCAACTTTGTCTTCACGCTTGTTGCGCTGGGTTTAATTGACAAGATTGGCCGCCGACGGATCTTACTCTATTCAATACCCTTGATGGCTCTAGGACTGCTCCTGGCCGCGGGCGGATTTTCATATCTGTCTCTGGAGCAGGCGCCGGACAGTCGCAGCAATGACACGATATCAACATATGAAAGCCAGGGAAGAAGCGGCCCTGCCATCGTCGTCCTCGTCAGCATCATGATTTACGTCGCGTCTTACGCTCTTGGCCTGGGCAACGTTCCATGGATGCAAAGCGAGCTATTTCCTCTGTCGGTACGCTCGGTAGGCAGCGGAGTTGCGACAGCCACAAACTGGGCAGCAAACTTTGCCGTTGGGTTGACATTCTTGCCAATGATGGACGCGCTGAGTCCGTCCTGGACTTTTGTGCTCTATGCAGGAATCTGCACTATTGGGCTTGGCCTTGTCTGGCGGATATACCCCGAGACGGCAGGGCTGAGTCTGGAGGAGGCTACGGCGTTGCTGGACAACGGATGGGGCGTACGATAATTTGCGGACGATCTACTCCGTACGTCGTACCTGTATCAATGGTTATTTCATACATGCATAGAATAGCGGATATAGACACGTGTAAGTAATCCATGGCCCTGCTCTATGGCACAAGCACAGTATTGCCGCGACTCCTTAAAAGCTGCGTTGCCGTGGTAGCTGTGCCAGGTATTGATGCAAGGTACCGCAGATCCGTGGCTGGGCCCCCTTACTTTGTGCCGCAGGGCAGGGTGATGGAGCGTTCTAGAAAAGTTCGACATTATAACTTATACTGTGCGTATATAACAAAACTCGTCCCATTTGGGGGCCATCAGAAGCCTTTTTTCTCCTCTCCTACTGCATGTATGTAAGAAACACCTGATCCGAGGCAGTGATGGATGCAGTAGTCGGATCTGATGGGATTTTGTGAAACAACCAGGGGGAGAATGTCACCCCAGAAGGTACATGCATGCACAAGTGCCGTCACCCTCGCATAGGCAGAAGTCGTCGAACCAGTTTGTCGAGGCTGCCAGGCACGGCATCGAGATTTATTCGTGCAAATGCCATTGCCACCAGATCCCCCCAAACGATTGCTGGGCGCCAGCGTCGTATCGCTTCTGGATATGGCTTTGGGCAGCTATAAATAACCACATGACGTGAACCCCCAAAACGCTGCCCAACGCTATGGCGCTTCCGGCCACTGACAGCCTCCGGTTCCTGCACTTGAGATCCTATGACCTGCGTAACTGCGCATATCGTGCGCGCCCCGAAAAAAAAAAAAAAATGTCCCTATCTGTGCATAAGGGGGGGCCGGATAAAAGACAGATAAAAAAGTTTTTGATATTTTTTTTTCCTTTCTCTGTTTGTGCGTGTGTGCTTCGTATTGCAGCCTCTTCGCATTCCACGAGATCGACCATCCATTCATACTAAGTAGTCCATCTCGGTGACCCTGAGAGCCAAGAATAAGCCTCCCATATTCACACTGTCCCTCACCCTAATTCGCTTGCGGCAATACGAGGCCCTCCCTCCCGAGGCCCTGTCTCGAACGCTATTATTTTATACCTTGGCTTTTTCAAAGTGTTCGTATGCACACGGCTTCTGTATCGTCAATCTTGTGCACGCCGCCTCCCTCACATACTTACAATACAGAGCCCTGTTCGCTGCATGGTTGCTGCGTCTGGGTCCGAAGCTTCTCCGCTGCTAGCACAATAACGCCAGAGACTTGAGGGTACGCGCGAGACAGGGAACGTGCACCCTGCAGACGGCACAGGAGGGTACCAGCCCGGTATTTCCAGGTACCGCCTACCAGGCTGGCTCAGCTCTCCCGGTGGGCTTTTCTGCTGACAAGACGCAAAACACAGACCACCCCCTCTCGCATCTCTTCAAGACCAGACCACGAACACCAGCCTCTTGCAGGTCCCAAGCCCGGCCGTTCATTTCCCTTTCCTTTTTTCTTTCTCACTCTCTCGCCCTCACTCTCTCTGCTTGGCCCCAACGCCGCGAGGGCTTGTCGCAAGTTGTGCCGCCACGTCTGTCCTTTTGCTTCTGGCCCCCAGTTGAATGTGCGCATAGCATAGCGCATGACGGAAAGAGTGCGCTCGGCCTCTTTTTTTTTTGCTTTTTGTCGTCTGCCGCTCGTTGGATGATGAGGCTGTCCCTCAACCGCTGCTTTAGCTCTCCAGGACTCACGACTTCGATCCCGACCCAACGACAGACTCCGCCTCCCATCGGACGTCGTCGCTCGCTCATTTTCTTGAAAACCCGCCACCAGACGCTTTCTTCGACCCGCTAGCCAGCCACCCGCTTGGCTCCCGCGATCACGGCCCGTGGAACGATCATAAGGGGCGAGGGATAGACCCGACGGGAAAACTCGTCGCTACTACGAGCTTGGAAGGAATAATAGGAGGAAACCAAAGAAGAAGAAGAAAAAATAGAAGAAAAATAAAGACAGAATCGACAAGATGCAGCCGCAAGCCTCTGCCGCTCAGAGAGCATATTCGCAGCGGCGCTCTCCAGGTGCTGCCGATCCTGGGCCCCCGCCTTCGGTGCGAGCCATTTCTCCCGGCATCCCGCCAGGCCAAGCCCAGCGACAGTCCAACGTCTCTGTCAGGTCTGCTCCGTCAAGCAGCGGCTCTAGGAGGGCAAACCGCGAGGTATGTGGCATCTCCATGGGGAACTTGGCGCTCATCCCGGTCGTTGGAGCGCGACTCAAGCTGACGCCTTCTAACCGTGTGTGCAGGGTTCATCCGGATCGGGAAGTGGTTCCAATATGCCATTGTCGCAAATTGAAAAGAGCGTCACTCACCTGCTCGTAGCCACAAAACAGCTTCTCGAAACACTAACGCAATGGTCGCGCGGCCAGGCAACCGATGCGCAAGTCTCCGACGTCTACGTGCGATTAGGCTATGAGTTCAACATGGCTTGCCGGGCCTTCACGGCCATCAACGTTGACACATCCGACCTCGGCAACGTCCCGGATCTGCTTCGGAGTATACTCGAGGCCTGCCTCAGCCAAGAGGCCAGTGCCGAGAGCTTGGAGAAATATCTGCCTAGGATTCGAGATATCATCATCAACCTGCTCCACGGACTGAAGCGAAAACAACAGAGGCTGCGCCAGAAACAGGGGCGGGATAGGGAATCCTCTGTACCGGAGAGAACCACCAGCGTCAGTACGATTGCCAGTGGAAGCAGCGGATTGACAAATATGCTCGAGGATACCTTGGAGAGCCATCGACCAACTTCCCATCGACCCGGATCCGGTCCCCAGCCGAATGGTGGATCATCGCCCACACGGCGCTTCAACGCTGAACGAGACCAATCTAGGGGATCGGCTGCGTCAGAGATGTCCTCTGTTTCTAGCTCTACCATGCAGAACATGCCTGTAGTGCCGCCTTACCCAGCGGAAGAGTCGCCCATGCCTTCAATGCCTCCAGTGCCGCCATCAGCAGATCTTAATATCGATTCATTCCCACCTCCGCCTCCACCACCGCCGGATAATACATCTAGTGCTTTGGCAGCGCTTCAAAAAGGCGGTGATTTGGAAAGAAGGGCATCCCGACGCTACTCTCAATATCAGATCTCGAAACATCTCGGAGGGTCCGGTAGTGCCGTCCCTATGCTTCCCTCGCAAACCGGGACTTTACCGAATAGGGGAAGAAAGGAGGCCAGAGAATCGCTGCGCGCTGTTCAATCACGCGAATCTGTTCGACATAGCCGTACTGCATCGCAAATCAAAAGGGGCAGTACTTACAACAATTCCCCTATTCGAGTTCCCAGCCAGGTAGCAGAAGAAAATTTATCTGCCCAGCCAGCCGAGAGCCCGATTGCGAAGACCCCGGACGACAAGTATGCACCAGGTGCAACTCTTTCTGGGCCTCTAAACGATGCCAATCCTTTCATGGTCGAATCGCCGCAATCTGAAACCAAGAAAGAACAAAAAATTAAGCCAAACGATACCCCGACAACAGCACCTCTTCCCGCAGAGTCAAAGCCAAACGAGAACTATTTCCAGGTTTCGCCCCCGCCAACACCGACAAAAGACTTGACACTCTTCCTCCAGTACAAATCAAAAGTTAAGAAGATTGTTCTGCCCGAAGGTCGCGATGAACTTTCCATTGGACGCTTGCAGCTGGCTTTTATAGATAAGTTCTCTTGGAACACGCAGCAAAACGGCGCCGATTTACCCGAGATTTACATCCAAGACCCGGTATCTGGTGTCCGTCATGAGTTGGAAGACTTAAGCGATATCAAGGATCGAACTGTTTTGGTGCTCAACGTGGAGCCGCTCGACGAAGTTAAGCGACACATTGACGAGGGCATGTCTGCGCTTACCAAGATTGTTCGAGAGGTGAAGCAGAATGTGGATGACCAAGCCGTCACGCTCCAGCGGGTGTCAGATCGCCAACAAGAGACTGCCAAGGAGATGGCCCAGATTGTGGAGCAGGCTCAGCAGGCCCCTGTACGAGCTGCAGATGAACCAAAGACTCTGACTCTATTGGGAGCCGGAAAGAAGTTCAGCAGCGGCCAGATTGGAGAAGTCCAAACCTTGCGGCGCGATCTTGCTGTTCTCCGACAAACTTACTCCACTTTCCAATCTGAGATTCAAGCTTCCATGTCCACTATTCGCAGCAAAGCAGCAAATGTCAAAACAGTGGCTGCCAAGGCCGCAATCCCTAGTATGGATGGAGATAACGGATATGCCTACGTTACGAATGGACGGAAACAGCTCAACGCCGACTCGGATCGACTGGTTGCCAAGGTTGACGACCTCCAAGACTTGGTGGAAGATTTGCGCAAGGACGTCGTACACCGCGGTGTCCGACCACTACCTCGACAGCTTGAAGTCGTTTCTAAAGACGTTACTTCGCTCTCTAAACAGCTAAAGGCAATGGAAGATTACATGAACAAGGAGAAGCCGATCTGGACCAAGATTTGGGAAAAGGAGCTCGAAGATGTTTGCCAGGGTCGTGATGAGCTGCGCATTATGGAGGAGCTGCTTATTGACCTGCGCGACGACTTGGAGAAGGCGTCAGAGACTTTTGCTCTCGTGGAGCAAGCCACCAAAGAGCAGATGAAGGATGCCGGCACCGGCCCCAGCGCTGGTACCGCGCGTACTTTTTCCAAGGGCGTTAACCTCAGCAACCTCGGCAACAGCGTCAATCAGAGTGCCGCCAAAGAAGACATGTTGGGGGAGGTGCGAGCTTTGCAGCCCAACCACCAAGACCGTCTCGAGGCGATTGAGCGTGCTGAGAAGCTGCGACAGAAAGAATTGAAGAACCGTTCGGATAACGCACTGCATCGTGAGATTCGCAACTTTGTCGCCGAGGGCAAGCTGAAGAAATCGGGAGGCTTCGAAGAAGTTGAGCGAGCACGATTGGCCAAGGATGAAAAGATCCGACGTGAGGTGTGGGAGCGTATGAATGGCATGGTCGCTGAAGAAGATGAGGAAGAGGAAGAGGAAGAGGAAGAGGAAGAGGAAGAGGAGGAGGAGGAAGGTGAAGAAGGTGAAGAAGGGGGTGAAGGGGGTGAAGAGGAAGTTAATGAAAGTGCTGCCGGGAGCCAACCTGGTTCACCAAAGAAGGCCGAGAGCCCGACAGCGGCCAATGCCTAATGCAAAGGTCATTTTTTTACCGCAAGTCTCTTGCGGTGAATCGAAGAAAGGAAGCAAGGAGAGAAGAGAACATTGATTGATTGACTCTTTTCACTGGGACGGCTTGCTGTCAACCACAGAGTGGCTTTTGACGTATCCCTCTTTTTCAGGCCACCGACAACCCTTTTTTCCCGCTCTCTTATTTTTCCTTTTCTTTTTTTGTCAATGCCGAATATGAGGAAATCGAGTTAGACGATTGGGACAAAGACATCTGTCATTATCACGACCTCTTTCCTATTTTTTGATACTATATGTACTTGGACTGCCTGATACATGATTACTCTTGGTCGGGCTAGTCTTTTTTTTTTTTTTCCATTACCCCCCTTTTTGTTGTTCTGATTGTTGATCTTCACTACAATTTTTTTTGTTTGTTTGATATGAGATTGATGGAAAGCATTACATTACGTCTATGCGTGGAAAGCGGAGGAGAAAGTAATGAAGTTCTTTCGCTTGATGAAATGGACTGGATTGACTTTTTAATTAAGCTTTGTGTTGAATTGAATTCATAGCGGAGGCGAATGAGGGATCCTGCTTTTTTTTTTTTTTTTTTTTACATCTCTCTATTTTTTTCTTCTACTTGTCTTTTTGCGTGGTGGAGTTCCCCTCCCTTTCGTTATTTTTTATTCATTAACTATTACTGTTATTATCATTGTTAGCTCGCTCTCCCTTTTTTTTTTTTTTTTTTTTTTTTGGTTGGTATTAGGAATAACTCGATGCAAGCTCTCTGTATGGCAGTATCTCCTTTTTTTTGGTGAGCTGTCGGTGGGTGGCTTTTGATTACTTTGTTGAGAGATTGATAGCGCAGATCAAATAAATCATATCAAATAATTAAAAACCTAGATTCCAGCAAGGGGCAAGGGCTTCTTATAAGGACTATATTTTCTTAACAGTAAGACAATCGGTCACTTAAATGTAGTGTCATGAATTCAACGACGTCGAATAGCTGCCTACAAGTGCTAGTCACAAACACACAAGTCTCTTCTCTCTCTCTCTCCCCCCCTCTCTCTCTCTCTCTATCGTCAAATTCACCAAAGTAATTCATTCCCTATTTGAACATTTGAAGCGAATAGAAAAAAAAAAAATTGAAAGATAAAAAATAAATCATAGACATCAGCTCCAACATCATCCCAATAATGCCAGCTTCTTCATCCCTGTAATAACCGGCGGTTCAAGCTTCTTACCCTGCTCTTGAATGAATTCCTGAAACACGCCCTCTCCTCCAGAAGCCTTCCACGCATTCGCCTCACCAGCTTGCTGCTGCTGCTGTTGCTCCTGTTCCTGCTGCTGTTGAAGTTGCTGTGCCGCCGAAATAGCGAATACTTCCCTCACCGCAACCTCGCAAGCCTCCGTCACGTCCGCCAAGAGCGCCTCTGCGGCTCTCGCTCGCTCAGCCATGCCTCTCCTCACGAGGGCGAAAACTAGCCTCTCGGTTTCGGATTTGGCAGCCTCCACGCGCTCGACAAGTCGTCGCACACTGTTGACCAGATACTCTTCCTCGTAGACAGTGCCCTTTCGTCCTCTAGCGCGCTTCTTTTCCTCTCGCCGACGGTTCTTGCTCGTAGCGCGACTGACGCCTGTGCCCGCGGTGCCCACGCTGCCTGCCTTGCCAGTGTAGCGAGTGAACAAACTGGCGGAAGTGCTGACGCGCGAACTTGCCGCTACGGAGACGTCATCAGGCAGATCCAGTCCGCCGGCACGCTCGCCTTCATAGAAAGCGAGGGGGTCTTCGGCAGCTTTCAGGCGAAGCTCAGCAATGCGGGGGACTTGGGCGCGAAGCTGGGCCTTGCAGTCAGCCAAGAATTCCGTCGTCCGGCCGAGTGCTTCGGCGAGCCCAGTGTCAATGGCGGTCTCAAGAAGCTCGGGACGTGAGTGTTGAATGACAAGGCGAATAGCCTCGGCGAAATGGTAGCCACGGCAGAGACACTTGACAGCAGTCTCGAGCGAAGAAAGATAATCGAGGTGGATAGTCGCGGCAGAGGAGAAGTCTTTGGCCTCCCAGAGGGCGTCTGCGAGGGCGGTAGCAAGCTCGGCTTTGCTGTCTGCAGAAAGGGGAGGATCTTGCTGGTAGGCTGTGAAGAGACATTCCTGCCAGCATGTGGCACCGGCTGAACGGTAGCAGTTGGTGGCTTTGGCGTAGTTTTTGATAGATTCGTATGCTAAACCTGCTTCCCGATATTGAGATTTCGATTCCAGATAGATGGCATAGATTTCAGTCAGTGTCTGTAGACGGGGCGGGTCGTATCGATAGAGTTTGAGGGAGTCTTGGTAGAGGTCGTGCTTGCTAGTGTACTTGCACAGTTCGTCGAATGCATCAAGAGCCTGGAGATGACCCAATGCCTTCTGCCGACGTGCGAGGTGGTCGTCAATCTCAAACTTTCGGCGAAGCTCAGAAAGAACGTGTAGGTTTTGAATAAAGGGCAGATATTCTCTTGGATCTCGCTGAGACTGTTGTGCAACAAGCAAAGCAAGATCAAGGTTGTATAGACCCAAAGCATTCTCGTACACTCGGTTGACATCCACGAGGAAGCATATATGTTCTACCGCCTTTTCGGCAAGTTTCTCGTCTTCCTGCATCAGCTCAGCTACAAGAGTCAATCCGTCATCCATAGCTGGAGGCACTTTGCAGACGTGCGCGGAGATGATGTTTTGGAGGTGAGTTGCTTTGAGGGACTGTAGGCCTTTCAGAACCGCGTCGCAAATTGCATTGACCTTGGAACCTTGAGGCTTCGTAGAGGGTGGCGGTTGTTCTGGGACCGCGTTGATGCTGTGGAAGTGAGCTTTGGATCGCTTGGTATCTTGATACATGGTCTGCGTGACATCTTCCTCTCGAAGTGATGAGAGGAATAGATCGATGTAAGAGACCTCGCCGAGTTGATCCAGGAAGAGTCTAACGCTTGAGAGAAACTGTTCGGGTTTGTGATCATATAGAATGTTCATATCGACTCGCTGCGATCGACAGTAAGAAAATGCCCGTGCATAGTTCTTCTCATCAATTAAGCTTCTGATACCGGCAACCACCATGGCTCTGGGGAAGATGGTTTCCAAGTTGCCTCGTGGCATTTGAAGTACAATGCTCATATTAGTTGGCATTGCTGTGACCAGACGGGAACCACGTTCTACGCTACGGCAACGCTCATCCTTTTCAGGATCATCGCCAGGAACTTCCAAATCTGCGTCCAGTCAGCATGATAATACCAATTATGGGCTCTTTTTTTTTTTTGTAACATATAAACTTACCCTCAACGTCTGCTGTCAAGTGCACGTACTTGACAAAGTGATTGCTAGTGGTGTAAATGAGGTGATTCGGCGTAACAACAAAAGAAGTACAATTCTTGGCCAATAATCTAGAGTTGGCAAAGATGTGCCCCGCTCTCGAAAGTCCAAAGGCCATCTCGACGTCTTCATGCTTGCTGACTTCGAACCATGGAAGTTGCGTTGTGAACTGGAATGGAAGAAGTTCATGTCCAGAATTCGAGAGCCTGTACAATCTTCCGGATTGGTCCTGACCATAGCTCTCAACAGTAGAATCATCCTCACGAGTAGCGGTCGCTCCAAGGATCAGATTGCTATCTAGCATGCTAATTTCGGCAGTGTTTCCCTCGTCAGTCGATACAACCAGCTGTAGATGGCCCAAGTCATCTTGGTAGCTCATACAACGCAAGCTGTTGTCAGCCACCCAGCAGATTCTTAGGGGTATATGATGCTCCGGCATATTAGGGGTATCAAAGGGTAGCTTAAGCACCTCTACCGGCCTAGTTGATCGCCCATTTTTCAAAGGCAGCTCATAGAGGTCTACACCTTTCTGGTGCAGAACCACGAATGAAGAGTTCTGGCGCCCGAACGCTACGTCAACAACAGAAGACTCCGCTTTGATCTCGAACAAGGACATGGGCGGAGGCACATTGGCAGTGCGGAAGGGTGTGATCTTGACAGTCTCGCCATCGATAACGGCGACTACTCCGTTATCATACGGTAGGCGGCATGAGCCTCGAGATGTGTGGAAGATTTGCTCGGCGAGTATCATGCTCTCCGCCGACACTGCAGCAAATCGAAGGGCCTTCTCCGAGTGCCAAGCCAGGCAGGCAAACCCTGGGTCCATGGCAATTTCTTGCTTGAGATACCAATGGTAATTGCCCGTCGTCCAGAGTTGAATTGTATCGCTGAGAATAACAGCCAAGACTGTCGAGTCTGAGTTCCACTCGAGTCGGATCTTGGTGTCACTAGCATCCAAGGGGGAGCCGTTTGGCGAGCGCAGAGTAAACTGTCCATGGCGCAGACCGTTGCGCTCGAAAAACACAACGTCGACTCTATCCGCCAAGCGCTGGATACCGGCAATTAGATTACCAGACGGCCTCCAGCTCAAAGCGCCCTCAAATCCGTCCACGGGCTCGCTGACACTATCCAGCTCTCCCTCGCGAGAGTAGACTCTGATGGCGCGCCGAGAACCGCTTTGAACTGAGTTGACAGCTACATATGCGCCATCTCCGCGCCAGCTGATGGACGCAGACCCGTCTTCGTTTGAGCTCGGAAGGCCCTGGTCGACTTTCAGTGGTATCGTAGGATCTCTGAGGGCCTTGGCACCGCGACCTTCGAATTGTGTCTCCTTCTTGCCCCATCCTACGGAAACATGTTTTGACGCCTTCAGATCTTCTTCTGTCATGGTAACCTCGGCGACAGGATCGAATGTGCTTCCCATAAAGATGACAGTGTTGGCTTTTGTAACAACGGTCAAGAGCTCTCCGTCTGGGGACCATCGTGCGGCCGTAATGCCAGCATCGATAGATCCCATGATCTCAATGTGAACATCGAAGGGTCCTCCCGGCTCTTCTCGAACCGTAATGATATCGCCGCCTTCCAGAACAACACATGTCGTAGCGCTGCCGCTCAAGTACTGCAGATTGACGATTCGGTCGACGAGGAGATCGGGGGTCGGACTGGGCGCATCCCAGCGGGCGAGTGTGCGACGGGATCTTGAGATTTCATCATGTCAGTCAAACTGTTTCTCTCTTTGTGTGTGTATCTTTCTTTTTCTCTTGCCGTAACATCATTTCGGATAAACCAGATGATTCCCTGCAAAAAGGAAAGCAAGATAAAAAAAAATCCCAGCAGTAAAAGTTGCTGCCCCGCCCCCGCCTTCATTCTCACAAAACAGCAATATCTGCAAAGACGCACATTGAATCCTTCTCCGACAGCCTCACCAGCTCGATGGTCTGATTCTGAGCCGTCGGCCCAATGGAGCACACAATTTCGTCATTCTCGGGATCCCAGCAGGCGGCAGTGATGTCCGGATGCCGCCATCTTCCGAACCGGAGGTTGCGAAGGTTGCGCATCGTGAAGCGGCGGCTTTGGAGGGGCTCAGCGCATGGATCACAAAAAGGAAAGAGAGGAGAAGAAACAAGAAAAAAAAAAAGAAAACCCTGGTCGATGGGCTGATAGCGCGGGCGGGCGTCGCGTGAAGAATCGGACGACTGAGACTCGATCTGTTTTCGTTGCTTAATTCCTCCTTGCCTCAAGGTTGCATTCGAGGCCCTTTTCAGTCAAGAGTCGTGGATGTTGGCGGGCCTTCTTTTTTTTTTTTTTTTTTTTTTCTCCGTCTCCCAAAGCTGGGCTGGATGGGCTCGCAGCCTGAACCCGTTGTAGCCTCTGCGCCAGATCGGCGCTAACGGCCCCAAAGTTGATTCATGTTCTGGAGCCCACCTCAGTCTTGTAGGTACCTTGTGATGCTGTTGTAGCTGCTAGCTACTTAGCAGACATAGCAGTCTGAGCACAGTAGAATATAGCCTCAACGGATCTTTTACGAGCCATCGACATATAATCGACCGTCTCCTCTTGGCGACATGAATCTAAAAAAGAACACGAAAACAAACAGGAAACGTCGGCAGTTACATCCATCACCGCCACCAACAATGCAACTGCAAATCTCGACGAGACCGGCACTTTTGCAGCGTCATTAGCGGCTCTACAGTGCGTGCGACAGCGCCTGGTGACGGCACTCGGCGAATCACAGGCAGCGTCCAACCTCGGGATCTTGCTTCCCTGCCAGAGCTAAAAGCATCTCAACCAGCGCCCGACTCCTCTCTTGACTTACCTGCTTGTTTGTCGTTTCTCGCCGCTTCCCGCCGATTGTGATTCTCTCTTCACCTCACGCCTGGGTCTCTTTGCTTTGGAGGCTTGAAGAAGCTTTAATTGATTGCTTTCACAATCGGCGCCTTTCTGCTTGATATACCCACCCATCATGGACGTCTCTTACATTCCGCATGCCGAGCGCGTCCGCCGCAAGAACCGATCATCCACCAATGTCAACCATCTCTCGCTTGCTCCTCTGACCACCAAGTTTCCTCTTGATGATGATGAGGTTCTAGTTGACGCCGGCGTGCCGATGCCCCGACCCAGCACTTCGTATCTACAAGGCAAATCTGCTCCCACTACACCTCGGCTTCTCGCCAGCTCCGCAACCAACCCTCGCTCGCGCTCGAGATCACGAAATCGCACGCCTTCTGCTACAGGTGCCCCAATCACCAAGAGCAAGTCATCGTCGCATCTTGTCAGTGGCCATGCGACGAGAAAATCTACGTCCGGCACTATGACCCCCCGCCGGCGGCATGAAGAGGGACCCGACGGAGATTGGCTGCTGAGAACTGGCGCAATGATGACTTTTGAAGCGAGGGAGTACAAGGGCCAATCATGGCTCATCTCGCGCCAGAGCTCTACGAACCTTACAGGCATCCGGAACATTGAGGACGTTGCGTTTGAAGACGAGCTCGCTCGGGAAAGAGAAATCACAAGCATGCTGACGAGCAGACGCGGCAGTCTGGCTGACGATGACATGTCTATTTCCGTCATTGGAAGCAAAATACACAGTCGGTCTCAAAGCCGATCCCACAGCATCCATGGCAGCCGGAGCCAGCTCATGACACCGATAGAACGAACCGTAGACGACGGCTCGTACTTCCCCAACCAAGAGTCGCTCGCGGGACCCGACTTTGTCGACCTTGACGAGAGGCTGGAGGAACTGGAGCGAGACACACTGGAGGACGCCGAAGCCGACGTCAAGAGGCTGATGCGACGCGGCACCGGGGGTAAGGCTTCTTGGATGACGGGCTTCATGGGATGGTCGCTCTTCTCAGTGGACGAGCACGAGGAGGAGACGGATGACGATGACGAATCAGAGTACGACGAGTCACTCGCAGATTCTCGATCGCACGTGGACCGCAGTGCTTGGCTGAAGCGCCACGTCGAGGGACCGTTGGACCCGGAGGACTTTGTGCCGCCTCCAACGACGGATGAGGGAGGCTGGAGTGATGCAGCTTGGCTGCTTAGCGTAGCATCAAAGGTTATCTTTTGAGAAGTGGGAAATCTATCTATATCATGTTTTTTTTTGGCGCGAATACGAGAAACATCTCATCGCTGGCAGCGGTAGTAATGGAATCTACTTGTCAAGTCGCGATAAGAGCATCGTTTTCCTTTTCTCTCTCTCTCTCTCTCTTTTTCAATCTAATGCATTAATATTGGCCATTTTTTCTTCCCCAGATAAACGATCGATCGATCGATCGGCCAAATGTTGTATCTTTAGTCTCAAGTCTATGTCATCGTTATACAAAGAAAATTCAAGAGATACTCTCACGATGTGCGGCACATGGCAGCGAAAAGAGCCTCTTATGTGTAGACGGATAACAGGCATCATCTAAGCTGCCAAGTCTACCCTTACATAATAACAAAAAGAGATTTCTTCTCATATTTAGTAGCTAACCCGTTCATTTCCCAGAGGAAATGGTTAAGTGAAGTGCGTTGGCAGCTGTTACACGTACTAGCCCAGAGATAAAAAGTGCGTCAACCTCGTCAATAAACATAAACCAGATGTAGCTGAATGACAAGTGAGAACAGAGTAGAGATGGGCCTCTCAGTTTCGCCGACATACAGGTTGTAAATGGCAACTGCTGGCGGCATACAATGAAATATACTACCGACTGGCTTGCATAAATGAAGGTTTACAAGGTAAATTGTGCGGGAAGCTGACCTAGAGAGCGCGTAGCTGATTTTTGCGATTTTTGCGATTTTTGCGGATTTGGTCGGAATCATAAGTGTACCTACCCTCTTAGGCTTGAAAAGCATAAATCCAGCAACCTAATTGGCTAAACTGCTTTATATAACCCTGGTTTTGGATGGTGATTGCACTAGAATGGATGGTGGATAAGCGGTCCCTATTATAAAGTATAAACAGCCCCTGAAAAAAAAAAAATAAAAAAAAACAAAGAGCCCCTTCTGCCTTGTCCCTAAAGGAAAATAAAGAAAGGGGAAAAAAAAAAGGAAAAAAAAAAGACAAGGAATATAAAGAAGTAAAAGAAAGAAAAGAACGAAAAGTAAATACATTATTCAGTTGGATTAGCTTTAGTATAACGCCTGATTTTAAGGACAATATATTAGGATATGGCCAAAATATATAATTTATTTACACCTACTTAACCAACAATTTTAACTTTTGCATGCAGTTGCTATAGAGATAATTGTGCAAAACAAAAAAATTTTATTCTTAGCACCAGTAGTAGGTAGTAATCTGTCCACTCCACCTCTCATGAGAATAAAGACGGGATGCCTCTGCTTAGAAAAGAGCCAAAAAGTTTTGCTCGATCATCTAATATCACAACGCAGCCGAAGATCAATACATTTCACACAAATCATCTGCCAACATCACCACACAGCAAAATTTAAACAAGCAATTACTACTCTCTTCTCGACATTATACAAAGAAGATGGATCTGCATTTGGCAAAAATAATTATTTGGCGACGCTTGTAAGTGTATTCGTGGATTCTTCAATATATGAAAATTGATCTTTACTAATACATATTAGTTGCGATTTCATTATTTATTTAATGATGTATACAACGTTAGAATACTTGTAAGTGTATATATAGATTGTTTCATATTAGCGATTTAATCCTTACTAATATACACTAGTAACGATTTCGTCCTTTCTTTTATGTTTTTTTGCTTTATGGGTTGCCTTTTTCAATACCTTGAAAGAACTTTCGAACAGCCCGATGGCCTCATGTGGCAATATTTTCAAGATGGATTCTACAGAAGTGTTATCTTGGAGTTTTTGCGTACTTTACTACGCTTAAGTGCTCAACCAATTTTGGATGAGAGACGCCGAGTTAAAGAGCACCTTGAGTAGTTCCAATAAAGCAGAACATCCCCAACAACTTCTGGCGACCGGGACCCATTAGACGAACTCGTGCTGGGTAGATCAAGTTCCTCCTCTACATATATATGATTCATCTACTAGATCAAGCTCACCTTTAGAGCGATCCATCTACTTAATTATTAGGTATTGTCCAAAGTAGTATGAGCTCACAATAAAAACTTCTTACTCTAATCTAACATCTTCGTAAATGACTTGTCAAATTACAAATGCACTGCCGAGCATCAAGCATTTGAAATAACCAGTGGTATGCACGTATATTCAAGAGTTTCCGAGGCCAGTACGAGCTTCAAGATAGCCCCCCTTTTATTGCATTGTATACCAACTGTCTACAAGTAGGTACTGACAAGGTCTTCATGCTAGTTGGGGATATAAGCTCATTTCCCTGTGGGTTCCAAGAGAATCTTATCTGCTTTTCTCCACAAGTGCCTCACCATACCTGGCCGATGCCCTAAAAGAAGCCTAGATTGCCACTCTCCCAGCCTTTCCTTCAAGCGTATCATACTTACGGTTGACCATACATTTGAATCCCACTGTAGAAGAGATCACATGTCAGTCAACGAATAATGTGGTTTCAATTGAACGTGTATTTAAGCAAGTATCCAACGCAGACACTTAATATCTACGGGCCACACGCCTTATTACTCGGTACCCTCTCCATCTCGGAGACTTTGTTAGGATCATTCATTCTTGATGGATCATGGGCCAAGATTACTTACGAGAGTTGACGGTGCCATGGAGAACTCAAGAATGTGCGTTCATATTGTTGCCAAAGAGGCGCATGTCCCGGACGTTGCTGACCTGGACATTGTCCTCGGCAGACTTGAACTCTGGAAGCTCGCGCCAGGGCTTTTTGAGGTTGCCTCCAACAGAAGTGTCAGAGCCCTCCGGAGCCTGAGAGTGCTCGGGTTTGTTTGAGTGAAGGGGCTCGCTGGGAGCGTCAGATCCAGCGTCAATATCAGAGGGCATGTTGAAGAGTTTGATTTGGGCTTGATGGCTAAGTAAACTTCTGCTTAGTCTCCAAGATTCAATTATCAGGTGAGTGGATGTATTACGAGTCCAAGTAGGAGAGGAGAGAGTCGAGATCCCTCATTATGTATTATTCCAAAGGGCATAAGGGATGGGGGCGGGAGCCGTGCCGGCACCAGAAACGTGATCCCGACAATTCTTCTTTGATAACGCAGCTTTTGTGAAGAGCCTCGTTTGCCTTTGGGTGGTAACAAAGCATACAGGATGGGTTGCAGTTGCGCAAGCAGCCAAGACTACCGCGCACATCGTGACCAACTTATGAAGCTCGGATCAAAGTGTGCATTCACGCCTCTTCTGCAAGGCTCACCGATTTCGTCCACCACCGTAAGAACCCGTGCAGATCCCACAAAGTCACTTCAAGTCACTCCGACCGGCTGGTCCTTTCTCTTTTGCCGCTTCTTCCGAGCTGGCCAGTCTGACAGGAAAAACATGTCAGTCCTGGATGCCTTCGATTCTGCGGCTCTGCGCTCGGACTCGGATAATTGGCGCCAACCTTCCACGCAGTCATCACTTCCTCCAGCAGCAGAAAGGCGACCTGCGTCTTCTCCATACATCCAAGCCCTTTCAATCGCTTCGCTCAGCACCAGGGATGGACATCCTACTATTGCCCCTCTCTGATGGCAACCAGATACCGATGGTGAGCTTTATGTAGACAGAGCACCAGCGCGTCGTCAACACTAACGAACATCTGCAGTTTGCCTTAGGCACTGGAACGGCTTGGTTCAAGGAGGTTGGAGACACAAACTTTGAACAGCGTCTTGTGGATCTAATTAAAACGGCTATGGGAAGGGGTTCTACCATCTTGATTGCGCTGAAATGTATGGGACCGAAGAGGAAGTCGGTCGTGCCATTCAAGAATCAGGCATTCCCCGGGAAAAGCTCTTTATCACCAATAAGGTCGCCCAAGACATCGACGACATCCATGAAGCACTACAGGAGAACCTCAGGAAATTGCAGACTGACTATTTCGACCTGTGTGTTTCACTATCTGATGGTTAAAACAATCTCGTAGCAGAAGGACTAACGCCATCGCAGTTATTTAATTCACATTCCATTCTTTGCCGAATCGGATGCCGACTTCCAGCGTGCATGGAAGTCAATGGAGGAGATCAAAAGGGCTGGCAAGGCCAAGTCGATAGGTGTAAGCAACTACTTACTCCCTCATGCCGAGGCTACGCTGGCCGGTGCCACCATTCCACCCGCTTTTAACCAGATTGAGTTCCATCCCTATCTGCAGCGCTGAGACAATTACTTGTCGTGGCTGCGTGAGAATGGCTTGCAAGTGGGCTCGTTCAAAGGCCTGACTCCAGCATTCAGGGCTCCTGATGGACCACTGCGTGAGCCCTTGTCCCGCATTGCCAAAACGTATGACACCACTGAGGCAGCTGTCCTTATCAACTGGATCATACAGAACAAGGTTGTGGCTGTTACCACCACCACAAAGCCTGAGAGGCTAGACGAGTATGCCCAGGCTTTAAAGATCAAACTGACTCAGGATGAACTACAAGAGATCACGGATGTAGGCTCCACATACCACTTCCGCACCTCTTGGTCGGAGCATTTTGAAGCAGATGATCGATCATGAGAGAGAGTTGCCATGTCGATATGGAGACTTAAGCAAGAACGAGGAGCAATTGTCATGTTTAGCATATCCGCATGACTCGGAGCCAGCTTCGATCTCGGTTCCAGACGAATAGATAGACAGCTTAAATAGATGGGACCTCAATGCTAGAGCCATATCCATAGCTTTCATAATCATGTTTTGTTTTCAAAAGAACGCCAAATCCAGGCTCCCGTGGCCTTGCACTACGCCATCAGACCAAGTTGATAAACTCATAACCTTGACAGTAGCTTCCAGTAATGCCATCTCGGTAATTTTCTGCAGTTGCAATGTCTAGTTCTGCGTACGTTGCTCTGAATATCGCCGTCCATGCTGCCAACTTTAATCGTCTCATGATGATAGTGTCGGGCCCCGTGGATGATACCTCGGTCGGCCACGCGATTAAGCTAACCCTCTACTTTATGTTCCATATACTACCATGTCTCCTTGATGATAAATGGTGGGGTTATCTTCGAGATGGGCTTTCCAGCAAGTCGCCGCCCGGCCGGCTATGCAACTCCTATATTCTTATATGAGGTCCACCTATTAACAACGCCTGGAACAAAGCGACGACCGTCTTAAGTGGTGAGCACCTCTCTAGTATATCTCTTTAAATTAAGCTATACATTTAAAGCCTTATTAGCATGCGGCTCAGGAAGTGGGTTTTTGGGGTAATCATGTTGGCTGGTTGTAAGATATGGGCATAGCCAATGCCAAAGGTACTTCTTGGAGTCTTTCTCATTTCCCCCAAGATTTATCGCCAGGGCTGACGAAACAATAAGCTCATCATTGATACACTGTGTTCTAGTTATACGCTTGATCGGGGCCATCTGAAGGTGGAGAGATGCATTTGTGGGCCGGTGAGCTGGGTTAATGAGAGGAATTACTCAAGAGAATCTGAGCGTACATGGCGAACGACAGAAGCCGGGATATAACTCGTGAGTCTACGGGCAGCAGCAGTTTTGTTAGTATATGTAGGCTGTATTTGTTTGATATTTTCTCGCTTGGAATACTGCCGTGGATTGGGAAGGAGGTGAAGCTGTCTGATTCGAGATACGGTGACTGGACTCATTAGAATCATTAGAATGTTGGCAAGGTAAGTACTAATGGGGATGTAGTGCGTAATGTACAGTTGAACGCACCATGTTCGGCTCATGTCATGTAGGTGAGGCTGCCCCGCGTGATGGTCTAGCATCTTGTCGTTCATCCCGGTGCGACGTTTAATTATTTCTACAATTGCTCATCTCATTATTCTGAATCAGTATGGATAACAGCACCCAGGCGCTGATCTCACACAATATAATTGGCGACAATGCACGGATCCACCAAGGCAATGTCGATATTGCCAATCACCAAGGCGATGTCGGCATTACTAGCACACAGGGCCAGGTGCAAATATCTTGTTCGTACCATCGTTATGCTTCTGAAGCCACAATATTCATTCTAATGACTTTAATTAGCCCATTATGCCAGCCCCTCCAAGAATTAAAGCTCGATTACTTGCCTGCTACTTTTGACGCTGTGAGCAGGCAGCACGTTTCTGGCTGCCTTCAACATACGCGAGAGCAGGTACTATGATATTCGGACGTGGATTGATAGCGATAGCGAAAAACGCATTTATTGGCTAAATGGTATGGCCGGTACTGGAAAGTATACCATCTCCCTAACGCTTGCTCGCGAATATTCTAAAAAGAAGCAACTGGGAGCGAGCTTCTTCCTTTCTAGAGGTGGCGGTGACCTCGCCTCGGCTAGGAGGTTTACAAGTACCATAGCCGCTCAGCTTGCAGAATATTCTTCAGTACTACGGCAGCATATTATAGATGCTTCTACATCGAATCCTCGGATCAGTCACCTCACTTTGTATAACTGATGGGAAAAGCTTATCCTAGAGCCTCTAAACCTACTAGAGCCGAACACTGTCCAGTCGCCACTTGTGATTATAGTTGACGCTCTTGACGAGTGTGACGACGAAAGGGACATGGCGATGTTGATTGAATGTTTTTCGAGCGCTGTTGCGAATGTCAAAAAGACACCACTTCGGATATTTGTTACAAGTAGGCCGGATAGGCCAATTAATCTTGGATTTGGCAACATATCTATCGAATCGCACCAATATTTCGCCCTCCATAGCATTGAACAGTATATCGTGGATGGCGACTTGAAGACATACTATCTTCATCAACCGGCACAAGCGGCTCGGCGACATAGCTGGGATGAAAGCATAATACTTGATGATATGATTCAATCCCTCCTGCAAAAGTCGCATGGACTATTTATCTATGCCGCAACAGCCTGTAGATTTATTCATGAAGGTGGCATCCTTGCAGAACGGCGGCTTCTGAATCTTTGTGCCCCTGGATCATCCACTTCTGGAGCAGAAAAGGAGCTTGATAGTATATATACTACAGTGTTGGAGCACTCGTTCAGCGGGCAATTACAGTGTTGGAGCACTCGTTCAGCGGGCAATTAAACTCTGAAGAAGCTGGAATATTACAGCAGAGGTTTCAAAAAGTCGTTGGGTCAATTATGGTATTGTTTGATGCGTTTACGTTAAGACACCTCGCTACCATTATCGACGAGCCAAGACCCGTGGTAGTATCAGTGCTCAATAACCTTGGATCTGTTTTGGAGATCTCTGAAGACGACGAAAAGCAAACTGATATCCTACATCCATCTTTTAAAGATTTTCTTCTGGATTCAGGAAGATGCCATAACAAAATATTTAGAATTCCCGCCAAACAGCTCCATTATGAGCTATTCGAACGGTGTTTGGTGATTATGCGCAGCTCTCTACGCAAAGATTTGTGCGAACTTAAAAAGCCAAGAACAAAGGCGCAGGACGTTTCCAAAACTCGAGTGAATAAATATATTCCTGTTATACTGCAGTATGCGTGCAGCCACTGGATGGAACATCTACAGAAGAGTGAACTAAGTTGTTAAATCATGAAGGCATAGTGGAATTTTTTCGAGCTGATTTCCTTGGCGGGCTAATATATTGTTACTGGATTTTATTATAATCATTGGGAACAGAAGTTAGTAGCATTTTTTACACTCAGCTAAGCCTCCAATTGTTGCTGTAATCACTTCAAATATGCCGGCTCAGTAGGAAGCTTGAGTCAAAAGTATAGGCATGCCAGGAATTTTGAATTAAAGAAACCAATGTGACTGGATCGGAACACTGACTAAATTCAGCAGTGTTTGGAACTTAGTGCGAAGTGGCTTTTGAGTTCGGACTCCAGAAACGCAAGTAGCTTGGATCTCACATATAAGCAAATTGCTTTCCCAGTCGATTGTATCGCACTATATATGGCAGATCCAGCTGTGTCATTTCTCAGGCGCGAACTTAAGACACAGATCCCATGCCCTAGGCGGGGCTTGCGATGACGATGCCAAAGGTAAGACACAAGAGCAGCCGAAAACGATGCACTGGTTCGCGGCGACACGTCCCCGCGGACAGCTCTTGGCTATTTACTGGGCATGGCCCTCTTTCTTTCCTGCGGATCTTGGGTATTATTGGATAGTCAGCTTTAGGCATCCTCCCATCTTGGAAGGCTGTTGTTGCTATTCTTGAAGTGCTGCCACGAGGCATGGAGATACTGATGCAGCTGCCTTTTTCTCTTCCTTTTTTTTAACTGCTCTCTATAGAGAGTAAGTAAATCAGGCTTCCAGCAAGTAAAACGACAAAATACCCTGGCATCCTGATCTGAGGTAGGTAAGGGCATGTGCCGGAGATGTCTTGAATTATGCGGCATAACTAAGACCACCTTTATCTATGGGTCTCGCGTTAGAGCCCCGATCAATGTCTTGCATGTGTATTTCTAATTCGATAACGACAAAAAAAGGCGAGACAGCATATACATCTCTGTCTCATATTATCGACGCATCCGGTCGTGTGGCAGTAAAATAGTCGACGTCTATGTCTCATATGCAGCTGTGAAGCTTCAAAAACTAAAAGAAAGGTCAGATATTGTCGTTCAGATATCACTCAGTCAGTGGCCCAGTATAAGGCCTGTATCTGGAAGATATAAACCCTTCCTACCTCTTCTCACCCCATGTCTGTATATAGAGATTAAGAAGGCCCAATGCCACCTCGCCTTTATTTCATATATTCTCTTTAGTGCATGCCTTTCCAGTTTTCTACCTGCTCATCTAGGGTTTAGTATTAAAATGGCTTCAACTTCCCCGAATATCATTCTCAACGGCAGTGACGGGTAAGTACAATTGCATTTACGAAATGTTAGATTGGATTCATCACCCCGCTCTTAACCATAAGCTATTCAATATCTGTTTCTTCACGTCATGTACCTGTGTATGGCATCCGGATGATATATATGCCTAGCGTCTGTCTGGATATCTCGAGTATACAATGGCCAAGGTTTATGTGCGCGTCAAACAATGTAACAATCTGGAATGAATGCTGATCGAATTTCATAGCGCTGGCAAACCGACCACGGCTACTAGCAATGGTGACTCTCGGGGCTCCCATATTCATCACAACAACAGTATCGACCGCTTCTTAGCCGACAGAGGCCAAAGAATTCCGGTTGGCTTTGGCCCAGCCCAAACACAAAACGAGGCCAAGGCCGCCGAAGAAGCTCGCATGTTCGAAAATCTGCGTAATTTTGATGTGCAGTTTGGCTGCGACAATTCTCCAGGAGATGAACTTGCGCAAGATCAAAATTCTGATGGTAAATGACATTACCGCATCGGGTGCATATGCAATTGGGCACGATATATATTCCCCAAGAGGTAGCGAAGAGTTGGCGTTGATAATGGCTGCGTGCATTTACCCAGATGGGTACTTTGTCAACGCGATGCTCAGCATAGGTATAGTAGTGCAATATTTAAACTATATTCTGCATGATATATATGTGTAGCAACCCAAGACCAACTAAACTTAATCTATAATTACTCTATACACTGTCCAATTGACAATACAAACTCTTAATACAGAGGAGTCTTGTAGGCATCAAAGTGGTACATCTAAGTATCAGCGGAAACTTGAGCATAAATACAGCTGAAGGAGGTGGTATTGTTCGACCACAAGGGGCACATGGGCCAACGACAGAGGCTATCGACCGCTGGTACTGTTCAGGGCATTGAGAGCTGTGGGCGACGCCGGGGACCAAGAACAAATGGTAAATGTCGTCCATCTCGACGGTGCTAGCGTTGTAGGTTGCGTTGGGATACATGACACTGCAGATAGACTCGTAAGAGTGCACTGAGGATGCCGTAGGGATGGAACTGTTATGCTCGCCGTACACGTGGATGACCTTGCCGCCGGCGGTCTGGAAGTCGGTAAGATCTGGATACGTTGTCTACAGCGAGCCGCCGTACTTGTTCATACCGAAGACCACCCACTCCTTCAAGGTGTCGTAGGTGACGCTAATCAGAGTGGACAACGTATCCGAGTTCACCCGCTCCGGGTAGCGAGTCACCCACTCGCCGCCCAGGCCGGAGATGTCCAGCTCCCACACGTCGGTGGTGGTGTTAAATTGGGTCTGAGCGCCAGTAAACTCGGCACCGATGTGATAACTGATGTAGGCACGCCGGCCGACCTAGTAGAGCTGGTCGGACGTGGCATGTTGAAGAAGATTGCGCGTGAATTGCTTGTCCAGTGTGGCGAGCTCATTGTGCGCCTGGTAGCCTGGTAGTCGAACATGTACGTCGACTGCCAGTTGACTATGCCGTTGGCGAGCAGGAAGATGCCGTTTTAGTTTGTATCAAAGGACCCGAACCCGCCGTCAGTGATGCCAGACACGGCGCCGAATATGATGCCCGTAGGAATAAATCCAGCGCCCGGGTTGATAGCGAGACCGCCTCCTCCTGTAGAGACGTAGCGATTCTGAATGTTGGATGGATCTAGGACCCAGTATGTGACGCGCACGCATAATGTCGTTGGCATGTTGTTACGTGACATTTCGATAGTTGTTGTTGCTGGTCGGATACAAGTTGGAGCTGAAAAGGAGCTTGTAACCAGCGAGACCGAAATGGGAGACAAATCGGTGGTTATGCTTGGGTAGAAGTCACTGGCTTGGAGTGCTGCCTCTGCGAAGCTCGTCGTGAGTGGTCAATTGGCGTGGTCGATGCCATGTCAGCGCCAGCAGTTTGGCTCAGCCTCATCGCACTTGATCTTGCGGCCTGTAAGTCCCGCGCGTTAACGCCAGGCCGGTACTACGGGGAATGAAGAACAGACGTACTTGCATGTCCGACATCAAGTCTTGATTTTAGAGCTGCCTTTGCGGGAGCATTGTGGACGGAATTCCTTCTTGCAAAGAAAAAGTGAATTAAGACCAAAGATTAGACATATAGGGTTGATATGCTGCTGCTCTAACAGGCTAGGAGGATGATATAAGATGACAGAGGCCATTGGGAAGCCCATTTGATATGTTGATGTGCTTGAAGTTGTCACAAAGCTTTGGGGGCGTTGCGAATCAGACGGAGCCGAGCCACCATCTCCACTTCTCGGCCGTGAAATAATGGGGTAAATTCGAGCCCTCATGGCCAACCATCTCCCTATTTTGGCTTTAGCTCAGATGGCGATGCAGGGCATCTGGTGTTACGTCGTCAGTCATACCAACGGGTAGTACAAGGAGGTAGCAAAGAGAACATCGGAATACTTAGCATGCGGGGCCGATGGAACCTCTGCTCCATCTTGATTAACAGTCCTGCATATAAAGCAGGTGGCATAGTCTACCGATTTCTGAGATGGCTGCGGCTTGTATGAGAACGGGTAGCCAACGAACAAGGCCTGCTTCCTTACAACTAAAGAAAAGAACCTGCCCTCTAACTTCCAAAGTCTTTGACTGCCACTGGTTCCTTATCTCCCATTCCAGAACAGCCTGCCCACCTGCAAGATAATATCAAGAGACGGCGTCTGACAAGTGTTGTTCCGTTAAACTATAACTTAACTACTACTTTTGCATCCGCTTTCGGTAGGCAAATACCTCTTGTTGAGCCTTTTACAAAATCGAGCAACACTTTTATATCAGCAGAGTCGACAGACTCTTCAAGGTAACTTTCCAAACCTTGCTGCCCTGACTTCTGGAAGATCACCAGTGCAGTTCTCAAGATTGACATCCTCTCAAACGTCCATCCCCGCCGCCTTAACCCTTCGTTGTTCAAGCCCACTGTCCTTGCTCTATTGCCGATGACGGTAGAAAATGGCAAAACATCCCCAGTGACCATACTTCCCCCACCGACAAATGCCAGCTGGCCAATCCGACAAAACTGATGAATGCCAGTTTGCCCAGACACGATGGCACTTCTACCCACAGAGACGTGACCTGCTAATCCAGTTCCAGTAGCAAGCACTACATCGTCATCAATCTGGCAATCATGACCGACATGGACGTTTGTCATAATATAACATCTGTTTCCAATACGTGTAATACTACCTCCGTCTGTCGTACCTGTATGTATTGACGCAAACTCTCTGATGATTGTTCCATTTCCAACGACCAAGGCAGTGTTTTCCCCTGAGTATTTCTTGTCCTGCGGCGGTCCACCCAAGACTGCAAATGGATATACTTTACAGTCCTTGCCTAGTGACGTCGATGATAGAATCGTTACGTTAGAAATAAGCTCTGTGCCATCTCCAATTGTCACATTAGCCCCCACATGACAGAAAGGGCCAATTTTGACATTATTTCTGAGGATACAGTCGCTGTCAAGCAGGCTCGTGGGATGGACATATGTATTTTGAGGTTGCAAACTCGTATCCATTATGAAAAGTTCAGGGAAGTTTGATGGAGTTATTCCTGATTTCAGAGTAGATTCATCAGCTTCCAATCATGCACTTGCATCTTTTCCGATTTCAATCAGCAGCCCTCCATGTTATAGCAGGTGCGCAATGGTGGAGTTCTAGAAGGGCCAAGACGGGCCGCAATATGACTATGACCGGATAGATCCCAGCTCCTTAAATCAATAGTGCTTACATATGAGTGCCAGTTACTAATCCAATAATGCCAGTTATTAAAAGGCGTTGCTTGGACATCAGATCCAGCTGACAAGCTTGAAAATGGAATCGCTCGCGTGATAGACCGTTCCCCAGACTCCAGCTTACATGGATGACTGTTATTCATCATTGGGGTACGGAGTATATTTTTTATTGATTTATAGCCTCATTCAAATCCATTTCGGTGCTCATTACCTCATAGACTAAGCATTGAAGAGGATGAGCTGACGACAGTAGTCTAGCCTTTGAAGCTATGGTTTTGGCCCAGCATCTTAGTGGCACTGATCACGCTCCAGTGAAGTTCTACCAGCGATCACGGTCAAGACTATCGCGGGTAATCGGTGCTGCTGCTTTGCAATCAATCAATACACAACCTAATACCGCCGAATAGGGCTACCATTCAAATACGAAATAGCATATTTAACGATAGCTTCATCGGTTCAAAGAGCCGGTGAACCGGAAAATAATAGTATAATGGTGCAACATAATTTACTCAACAAAAGCAGTAGGATACATCGTCAAACATTAGCTGTTAGTAGTTACCAAAATTTCCATGGCGCGTCGGGTCACCGTACGGACCTGGCACGGCGCTTCAATGTATAGAAGTGCCTAGTTAACCATATTGGACGGGGCATCGATTTCTGTGTGGCGGATCACAGGTCTCTCCTAGTTCACATGGCAATGTGGGTATTTGGTCAAGACATTCTGACGATTGAGGCAAATAGGTTTCACAAGAATCATTGCACCACCATTCATGTTCCAGGAACATTCCCCATCACCACAATGTAATACTTTAAAATTCGGACACGAAAATATATAATATTATGCGAATATAAGCGTTCTCTGTTAAAAAGATCATTTGAGGACAGATATCAAAATTAAACAGGATTATGAAGTTACAAGTTCCACTCTTCAGAAATCTTCTCAAAGGCAATATTGCCAATTATATAGGCTACAATTTGAGTATCTAGAAACATCAGCTGTTATCGCCATATTGGCAATTCGAGGGGCTATGAAACAGTCAACGTACGACCACTGGCATCTAATTAGTCATAATATTCCACGATAGTAAGAGAAAAGAGTTAATGTACCTAGGAAGCAAAGGAGTTACACTTATATCAGCGACTCTCAAGTTGTGTAACCCATGTACTTTCAGATGGCGATCTACACAACTCAAAGGATCATCTACTGTGCCCATTTTGACTGTACAGCTGGGGTGGAAGAGGCCCATGCCAACAGCGTGAGTAAATGCCTTTGCAACGGGCGTGCATTAGCGAATAGCTTGGCATATTTTAAAAGTGGATTTATACTTGCCTCTATGTCTTCATCGTTGGCTGAAGAGGGGGCCAAGATTGGATGCTTTATATACTGATTCAAATAGGGCGTATCGAGAATTCTCAAAGTTTCCTTAGTAGCTTCTTTTAAGGCAGCACGATCAAATGGACTGGCGAGATAGTTTGGATCGATGACTGGTGGAACGGTAGGATCAGCACTAGCAATAGAGACTGTTCCTTTAGATTGTGGATTCATCAAGGTGAGGAACATGGTCAGATAGCCATCATTTTTATCTTCAAATACGTAAGTAGGCGGGATAAGGGGGCCCGGCTAGTATTTTGTCAGTCACTTCCAACAACCACAAAAGAAACAAATTAAGCTAATAGGCTCACCGTAGTCAACTCAAAATGAGGTGTGGTTTGCTTTAGAAGTAGCTCTCGAGATTCGGGAGGGAGTTGATTAAATCCTTCCAAGTCGGCTATACCAGGTAATTGAAGAAAGGCAGTAACAGCTGAAGACATAAACTGTGTCAATGGCCCGGTCTTTGAACTTCTGAGTTCACGCTCGGCCGAAGACATTTTCATCTCGTCAGATAAAAAAGTTACTCTTTCCGAAAAGCCATGGCCCATATGATACACTATTGGTATGCAAGGGTGATCGGAAAAGCCTTTTCCAACACCTGGAAGGTTTTGTACAACGTTAATTCCGATTGATTGAAGCTCAGCCAAAGGACCAACCCCGGAGTGAAGTAAGACGTGTGGACTGCCAATTGCGCCCGCAGTGAGTATAACTTCCTTATTTGCAAAGTCTATGGCTGTTTTAGCGAATCACATCTGTCACGTTTGCTATCATACGATGACTTACATTGTGAACGATTGCACTGCACGCCTACAGCTCTCTTTTCCTCAAAAACTATTTTGGATACGAAGGAGCCTCGGTAGATTCGTAGATTTGGAAGACTCTTCTTGAGGAATGCCGAGTCGCTCGTTGTCCTGAACCCTTTTTTGTTGGAATTTAAGGATAGTCCAAAACCAATAGGATCGCCGTCGTTTTGGTCCAGGTTTATTGAGTACTAAATCCATGAGTTAAGGGACTTGCAATTGGTCGTACCTAAAAAGATTCGTTTTACATACCCCAATCTCGGCCGCAGCCTCCAAAACGTGCTTGGCCTCTGGCTCTATCAATGGACCAATTGATACTTCTACTGGCCTATAATCTTCAATAACTGATTGAAATAGCTGTTTTCGGATAGATATGGAGATTTATTACCCTGAAAATCCGTGACAGTCGGCCCTTTGCTGAGAGAACTTTTCCCAGCCAGTTGGTAGTTTTAAAGTGACCTTTTCAATCTTGGAAATTTTAGCTTCTAGCCTAATAGGTGAATGGAACGAAATACCTTTTTAATACTACTGAGTATAGACTGAAATCCCCATTCTTGGGCTTTGGTTCTCTCAGCCCAAGCGTCAAACTCATCCCTAGCTCCAAGGGACCAGACTTGGAAGTTAATCTGCGAGCTTCCACCAAGGCCTTTGCCTCGGATCATGTCAATTTCTCTGCCACCATAATGGGCCTGAGGGGTTGACTTAGATCCATAGTTTAGTTCAGGATGAGAGGTAGCTAAAGAAAACCGGTGGAAAGTTTGGCGCAGTGAATTGTTTTCCTGTCTTTCTCCTGCCTCGAAAAGCGCAACGCTTGGCTTTGTTGCGGTTGATGCCAGCTTTTCGGCAATAAGGCATCCGGCGGTTCCACCTGGAAAACGAATTAATCATTTCTCCTTACAATTTTTAAAAAGAGGCTTTTTCTCATACCACCAACAATGATGAAGTCAAAAGTTTCAGCCATCTTGAAAGGTATTTTTTGACATAAGGATGAGAAAACTGAGAATGCACCGCTGGAAGAATATATATATATATATGCCACAAAAAAATATAGGAATGAATTTTATAAGGATTTTTCTCTATTAATCTTCCTCTAATTACTAAAAAGCGAAAATCTTGTTATTTCGATTACACTATTTCGCACCTGTATTCGCTTCATATGGATTATTAATCTCCTGCAGAAATAAACAATAAATATTAGAATCAGCATTATTTTAACTCTCTGAAATTTCTCTATAAAGTATAAATCTACTAATCAAATATTGAGAGAGAGTTGTCCTGCATTTATATGATCATGTCGGGTTACTAATGTGCTCTATTAAAGTCAAGTTACTATCTAGCTTCGCAATAGCCTCGGGCGCAGAAGTGATTCCAAACAGAGTCCATAAGCAACAACTGTCTAAACCTGTAACTAATTACTTCTTTAAGCTCATTTTATCTTTATTTGAGAATTCCACGTCACTTGTTGATTAGATAATCCATTCTGTATGTGGCTCTTTTATGTATATCATCATCTTGTCTATTCGGTCATTTTCCTACTGAGTTCAAAGAGTGGTGTGATTTTACCTATGTACATGTAACTAAGCACTAGCAGTAGTGGTTACGTGTATTAACTATTGAGACACTAAGCGCTAGTCTGCAGTCAACAAAGCTGCATGTATTCTCATTCTCCGAATTTCCTTCTCAGATAGTAGTCCATCTCATCCTAAGAATCGTTTGGCCAAGTTCACCACTTGATTAAGATGATTTTGAACACAAAATGGCGCTTCCATCTCCTGTTTCACAAAAGATTAAAACAATCCCCGTTTGCTTCTAGTTGCCGCAGTTAGGGCACTATCGCCAATTTTATCTACTTTGCTCACTATGCACGTGGTAAAGGCTCGAAATACAATTGTCAATGGCAAAGTGTGGACTTTATGGGTGTCTTTAAACCGAATATTGTTATCATAAAACTATAATCAAGACCATGAGAAAATATAATGAATTTCTGACCCCCATGTTCTATTAATAGCCAATGACTTCAGTTATCTGCGTCCTGGGGTCCTCTGCAAATCTCATAGAGCAGCCTACTGCCCACTAGTAAAAGCTCGGAAAGCTTATAATCTTGCACCGAAACAGTTTTTGCTTGATAGAAAGGCAAGTTACGCCTAGATTCATATCTTGAAATGGCCTCTGCCTCGTTCTCTAGGTCCGCAACATATTTATACCAATGGCCTAGATTGAACTTTTACTGTTCTACTACGGCGAAGAGCGCGTGGCTAAGAGACACTATATATCCTCTCCTCTTTTAAACGTTGTGTTTCCTGGAACTTTTTTCTTGGGTTAAGGGTGAATTAATGGACACCTTTGGAAACCCTAAAGAGTAATTCTTCCTGCTGGAAGTATTTAAGTGAGTTTCCCTTGGGCAATATAGCACGTATATCATATATTACCCATCAATCGAGTTGCAATGGACTTACCACCACCACCAGATATTGGAAATTTCTGCTCAAGCTTACTTTAAGGCTATCGCCAGGATTTAAGGTCAAGTGGCTGCTTGCAAATGTCAGCCGGCTGAATGATTCAGCATGGCTACCATTCCGTATATCGAGCATAATCTAGGGACTACAGGAGAATGTCAGTACAGACTGTCACTCAATATCAATTTTTACCATGAGCAAGGGTAGCTCTTTTTGATACCACTGATCGGACAACAGCTGGAGACGCCACGATTGAGATCGTGGTAGACACGCTCAGATCTCGGCCCCCGAACAGGCATTGCTAATATTTTACCTACACTAATTGGCCTAGACCCACAAAGGGTCGACCGCATCATTGAAGTTATGGAAGAGGCCACAGCTGGACATCCACATGCTAAGACAGCGCTTGATGTTGCGTGTTGGGGCATCTTTGGCAAATCGGTCAGACTACCAGAATGTGAGCTCCTAGGGAACGTTGAATACATTGTCAGGCAGGTTGTTGACAGCGGCCTGGCCTGCAAGCAATAAAGATGCTGAGATGTCTTTGAGAGAAGGCATGATGGCAAAGTAAAATTATGTATTCACATTGCCGTTGTCAACGCCGAGAGTCAAACCACTACAGCTGAAAAGAGCGTATCTGGAGAATATCAAGCAGCCTCAAACGCTTGAGGAGAGGTTGCTCCTTTGGTCGTTGACTAGAAGTATGGGCTGTTCCGCTATATAGTTGCTTGAACCTTGAGCATGTGCCCTGTAGCTAGTTCTGCTTATGCTGGCATGGCCATGGATTACCTGTCTCTGTCGTATATATAATACGGTGAGTGAGCCCCGGTTTCCACCACGCACTAATAGCTAATACCAAATGGTTCGCTGAGAACGGAGGACTGCGATCACTTGTGTAAACGCCTCGTATTGCCGCGAGACCCATCGTCTGTATACTAATCAAACTTGCAACGCTTTGTAATACAGTATACATGGCTTGTCGGATTCAATGCCAACAGCAGTTGCAACAAAAAAAAAACATACAACAGCCGGTGTTCGCTGATGGTCACCCACTCAACTACTAATCTGCCTCTCATTGGCTTGACGATGGGAGAGCAGACGGGATCCCGTATTCTCCAATGGATATGGTCGTATGTGCCATAAAGCTGATTAATTCTAGCTTATAGAGAGAGACGATGGCATAAGAGTAAAAGAGAGCAAAAAAGAACGAAACATACAACAGCCGGTGTTCGCCAGTGGTCACCCACCTGACTACTAATCTGCCGGTTAGTGGCTTGTCTATGGGGGAGCAGACGGGACCCCGAATTTTCCACTACCTATGGTCGTATGTATCTGTATCAACATTAGCTTAATATATATCTTGATAGCATAGAGAGTACCGAAGAGCGAAATAATCATTTATAAAGTAATTTTCACGGGCATTTGATATCTCATTTGAGGGCAAGCGGCTAGATATGCTCATAATCGTTAAAAATGATGTTGTAGTGGCAAGATATATATTCATGAATTTTGTGGTTAAGTTGCTTTGTAAAATTAAACAACACGGCTACAGAATTGAATCCCGGGGACTCTAGAAATTGCAGTTCCCTAACCCTGTAAGTAGCATATGTAGTCATATTATAGGCCTGACTATCCAAGGTCACGCTTAATAAAAGCGACTATTATGTTCAGATTATCTATATTGCGTAGCTATTAGATTCAGACCATATTAACTTGTTTTATTAGTAGATCAAAAAATTGGTTAGAGTCAAGGTATATCCTATATCCAGGAACCTGAGTTCAAAGATACATCATATTAATTGCTGATTGAGTGGATTAATAATAGTTCAGACAACGAGAGTATGATCACTAGATGCTATAAAGGTTACGATGATACACATTTGATCAACGTAATACGTAGTGATCAACGTAATACGTAGAAGTGTATGCGGGACATTATATGCTTTAGAGCAGAAGAAAACGAGAGCTCGAATACTTGGTGTGAACAGAATCAGAACAGTATTCTAGAAGCTTCGAATCAAACATGCTTAATCCATGATATGCATTGAGCAAAGCAACTTTTTCTGATGAACAAAAGGCTCATTGCTAGACCGGCACGGTATAATTTTATGCGGGGAGAAAGAGTCGTTTCGGGGGTTATTTTTCAATAAACGTATAGACGGATGTTAAAATTGAATAACATTCTAGCTTGCAGATGATGCTTAGTTCAATTAGACTCGTCATTTATATACGTGCTCGCAATTCCGTGCTCGCAATTCCGTGCTCTAGACATGTGTTTATGCTTAACTTGGCGTGCGGTGGTTGGTCGACTCCTTCGGGATAAGCTCGATTCTGCCACTTCTCAACTTCACAACCAACACACACATGCGATTTCACGCGGTCTGGCCCACAAACGCCAACTTGTCAACCCAGCAATTAATCTCTCCATTTGCTAAGGATGGGAGGAGGTCCATCTAGATACGTTCCGGAGCCCTCTTTATCCGCTGAGGAGAAAGTAGCGCAGGCCTTGCGAGAGAGAGCTGAATGGATACACCATCTATTCCCGATCCAGAGCACGGACGATGATGTAGACCCATCGTTGTTATCATCCTCGCGAAACGCGATAATCTCTGCGTCTGATGGCAAGCCGACTTCTACTCCGTATCTGGTATTATTACCCCCAGAAATCATAGAAAATATCCTCAGCAGCTTGAATAATCGCGCAATTAAAAACCTGCGCCTTACATGTCGGCGGTTTGCCGCTATTGCGGCGCTGCGCATCAACAGGGTATTCCTCTCGGCAAATCCCCTTAATATTCAGGTCTTTCGCGCCATTGCCGACCATGATGTGCTTCGTCATAAGATAGTTGAGATTATTTATGACGACGCGCGTCTATGGCGCTCCGCGGTTGATGCTGCTGAGGCTCGAGAGCCCACAGAACCTGGCTTTACTTGGAGACAATTTCCATCCGACATGGAGTGGTTTGAGAGTGAGCGTGATGAAAATATAGAAAATATATGCGGTCGCCTTGGCTGCGATGATCCGAGGCGCCCCGAGCATGTTGCCAGGGCTCGGCGCGCGCGTGCTGAATTATCTCTGGGGGAATCATGGGAATACTACCAAGTTCTACTACGCCAGCAAGAAGAAGTCATTACTAGTGGAGCTGATGCAGATGCGCTTCGATATGGGTTGCAAAGGTTTTCCTCACTTCGAAAGGTCACAGTCACTCCCGCTACTCATGGGTGGCTGTTTTCACCTCTTTATGAAACTCCCATGATTCGAGCTTTTCCATACGGATTCAACTGTCCGATCCCGCGTGCCTGGCCTTATGTGATCGACACGACCATTCATGCTGCACCATGGGAGAATGAAAAAGCGAGATGGCGCGGCTTCAATCTGGTCACAAAGATATTGGCCGAGGAGCAGCATAATGTTTCGGAATATGAAATTGATGGCCACTACCTTGGGACTGGGCTCAATTGTCGATTATTTGATAGGCGGTGCGAGGAGTATGACGATTTCGTATCAGTTCTTCGTCTTCCAAATTTTAAGAAGCTGAAACTATCGCTTTTTGTGGATGGCCAAGACTTTGTGGACTGGTCAGCTGTTTGTAATGGTCTGTTGCGTAAGGCCCTGGCAGAAGCTACGCAATTGGAGCATGTGAGCATAGCTATGGGTTGGGATCCAGATGGCAGAGAGCAATTGCCGGAATTGAGAAGATTCCTTCCTATCGAGTGCTGGCCTAAGCTGCAACATTTCGAGCTGTGGCATGTTGCAGTCGAAACAGCCGAGTTATTATCAGTCATTTCACAACTCCCAGATGGACTGCTTTCTCTCCAGCTAAACATGTTAGTCATTTCCCATGCTGACGGCTACCGCGACTTACTCAACGAGATGCGCGACAAATTGCATTGGGGAGAGCAGCGCCCTCACACAAGGGTGATCATGGCTGCATCTACCGACGATCACACTCGTGGGCGCGCGATATGGGTTGAAAAAGAGATTGATGACTTCCTTAAGCGTGGTGGTATAAATCCTTTTGAGAATAACGGTCAGGAACTTTTTACGCCTTGCTATGGAATGGGGGTAGTACGTGATGTGTTTGACCCGGACTGGACAAGGCCCTGGGCAGAATACGAAACATACCGAAAATTGGGGTATTATGAGACCTCATAATCATTGAGCGTTATCAAACCAAGTTTCTGCTCGTTTGCTAGTTAGTGGCCACGTAATATTGTACAACGGACTACCCGTTGTGCTCTATCGGCCTTTTAATATCAGCACGAAAGAGTACTCTACCTACATTTGTACGTCTGATGCAAAACCTAGAATTAACACACTTCCTGAGGAGCAGCCAATGGCAAGTTTCTGCGTCGCCACTGCCGATCTCACAGGGCGATATTCTGGCGGCAGCCAGAGGATGTTTTGGCCATTACAATTAACGAGCATCTGTCCTCACTTACAGCTCAGCCTATGGCTTTAGATTTGATACGATGCTTAGATCTCTCACTAGTCTTTGAGCTATGAGGTAGTCTATCCAGAGAAATAGTGGCCCTGTCAGTGACAATTGCTGACTCGTTTATAAGCGATGAGCGAGATTTGCGACTGGAGATAATCCACTTGATGAGAGATGATGAGACCTTGATGAAGTGTGGATGTCTAAAAGTTTTGGCAAATCACCCGATGCACATTCGTCAAGAGCGCCAATGATCCTACAGAACAGCATCGTCTTGCCGTTGTCAGAATCGCCTTTAATCCACAGCAGCTGGGTGTTTTTCATTGCGGCGCCATTGCTACAATAGATCGCAGCATAATTAACCCTAGCTGTGTGCAATTATCATTGCCTAGATTCTGATGAAAAGTCACAGACGCATTAGAACCAATAGCAGAGATTTGGCTGCTGCTTGTATTATCGTTCTAAATACTCCCAGGACCGTCGAGTTGGAACCAAGGGCCATCACTTTGCTAAACCCGAGTGTTTTCTCTGAATACGTCGTCTGAGATGTTCATTCTACTCAATACTAGCCCCTGGCCGTTGATTCTCAGAAGGTGTCTCGAAATGCATAATGTCAGGTAAACCACCGAGACAGCAAAGTGAATACGAGCAATGGACAGCTTGTTGCTGCCTAAGCCTTGCAACCTTGCGGGGCAATGGACGAGATAGAGGGCCATGAGCCAGTAAAATTTCAGCAAAGATTCAGGAAGGATTGGCATTCTTGGCTGAATATTCAAGAGAGGAAGGACAAATGGAATAAGCTTATATGAGCCATACCGTGGAGCCCTCGTCGCAACGGCTTGGACTGCTGTTTCATCGCGTGTTTCCACCAAAGACGGCGCTTATTGCTGCTGATGCGCGCTAGCAGCCTTCAATTCTCGAAACAGCAAGTCCCGGGCCCCTATTTAATTTTTGTATCAGACTCGGACGACGCCACCTATCTTCGACATCTTCAACATCTCCATATCCATTCCCGTCAATGGTCGGACCAGCACGCGCAGCATGACCCGCGCAATTTGGCTCGATGGCCTGCGGGGCATTGCTGCGGCCATTGTTGCGACGGACCACTACTTCATGGGCGCCATTTTGCACGCCGGCTTCAGGTCCTTCTGGGCAGATCCGCCTGAGGAGAATCGTCGACTGTATCAGCTGCCGCCCTTCCGCCTGGTCTTTGCTGCGCACGCCATGGTGCCCCTGTTCTTTGTAATCTCAGGTTATGCCATCTCAATCAATCTCATCCGACTGAGGGCCAGCAATAACAACGAGGGGTTCCTTCGCCGACTGTCTTCGGCAGTCACACGCCGCGGCTTGCGCATCTATCTACCCGTGTTCTGCATCACAGTTATTTCACAGATCCTCTTCTTCCTCAATCTCTTTCAATGGGAACCCTCAGATGATATTGTATGGGGTCGGAAACCCTGGACTGCACCATGGTTCCACGTTGAGTTCGTTGCTCGGTACATGCTCGACAACATCAACATCCTCGCCATCCAATACAACGGTGGTCTTAATGGCCAGCTTTGGACTATGGCTCTCGAGTTCCGCGGGTCTTGCGTTGTGTATCTCCTCCTTCTGGGTCTGGCGTTTTGGAAGCCGAGGCCCCGACTTTGGGCACTTGGAGCTTTGATGGCATACTGGTTCTACTTCGGGTTCTGGGATGTACTGGGATTTTTGGCAGGGTACTGGTTGGCCGAGTTGGAAGTCTTGTCGGAGTTGCACACTATTAGTACCGAGACGGAGTACCCATTCTGGCTCAAACCATATATCCCAACCCGGGTGCGATCCGTAAACTTCAGCACCATCCGAACATACGTCATGTTCGTCGCCGGCATGTGGCTTCTCTGCTTGAGCGACGACGGTGCTCTCCCGCCAGGATACCAGTTCTTGCAGATTGCCGAAACCTCGCGGTGGGATGGAAATTGGGGGATAGTGGACAAGACGTGGAAAACGGTGGGCTCAGTGCTGGTTGTCTCTGCGATCAGCTCCACAGAACAGCTTCAACGCCCCCTCAACTCCAAGCCAGTACAGTATTTGGGGAGAATATCTTTTTCGCTATACCTTGTACATCAAACCATCTACCACTTGCTCTGCGACCCTGTCAAAAATATCCTTTGGTTCATAGCCACAGGAGGATCGCAACCTGGCGATGATGCTGGTGATTACATAATTACATCCGCATTCTGTTGGATTGTGGGCTTCATCATCCTCTCAACAATCAACCTGTATACGGCAAATGTGTACACGAGATTCGTTGACGAGCGATGCATCAAACTTGCAAAGAGGTTTGACCAATGGGTCTCCCTGTAGCTGTTATAACAGCGACGACAGTCAATAAGTGGCGATCCTCAGCTACTATACTGCTCATAACAACTTAGTGCATTGTTGATCGCCGAATACGAGATGAAGAGTGGAATGAAATTACTACGGTCCAAATTAAACCGGAACTCCGCTAAAGCTGATGTGGCTGTTTGAAGGAGGGCTGGAGCTTGATCGCGACGTTGCGATGCGGTTCAGAGAGCGGAAAAGGTTTTATTATGGATAAAATTGTGTAAATTGTGTGCTAACTACTGCAGGATTTGTTAAAATAGAGGAACTAAACTCGAATAGATGAAATAACGAATTAGAAGAGTCGAACATTTTAAGATAACGAAATAGATATGTATAACAGAGGCATCCAGTACCTGGTTTTAAACGCTTGGCTACACACATTGCCCTACAACGTATAATGCGGGACACAAGGAATGAAGTTTAGAGATTGGCCGCCGAATGCTCGCTATATTACTAGAGGGTATGTGTTGGTACAGTTATCCATGACAAGGCCAACAATTAATGACTTTACGGTTTGTGGTACATATGAGAATATATGGTTTTAGTATAACTTCACAAATGAACAACATGAATGCTCTTCGAGCAATCTTGTTGTCCAGCTCGGTTATTTCAGCACAGTTATAGCGGAGAAGTGACTGCGAATTTTGAGCTATGTTTGCCAGCATTGTACCTCGTATAGCCTGAGCGTTGTTAATATTGTGCATGGCCATATCTTAAAATCGTAATGTAGAGTAAATAAGGAATAGCTCAATAATTATGCTACCTAGAAAATTGAGAAAGCGTGATGACACCACCTTTAATTCACAGGCAAATTCTCTTGATAAGCAGCACGGCCCATTTTAGAAGCGCCGTTATCCTATTGGTAGAGACGGAATGCAATATCCCAGAGGCCTCACCCCCCTACGTAAGAAATGGGTGTACTGAAAGTGTGGCACCCAGTACACCACGGGTTTCGCTGCGTAAACGTACAATGTCATAAATTAACATTCTTTGAACACAAATATTTTGCAAATTATTGTCTCAAATCCATGTCAGACTATTTCGTAGACCATTATACATGGTAACATATTGTTAGAACGAGATGGTAATACAAATATGAGTAAACAGTGAAATAATATTGTCTATATGCAAACTACGGGGTATCAACATTAGGTCACCGTCGCAAAGAAATTATCTCCAGAATATCCGAACGCCATGCCTTGTCTTTGTGCTGCCTTCACGCACCTTGTCTCAAATCCACAAAGGGCCTGAACAAAATGGTGGTTTGGTATCGTCAAACGGCTTAAGCTTTAGTTCTAAAGGTCAGAAAAATAAGCTCTGACTGAGTCACTGATTGAGAAGAACCACTTCACTTTCCTCATCAGCTTGGTCCCTGCGGATAAGTCTTGCGACTTGGTGTCGTGCGAAGAAGTGGAAACGAAACTTTGCTTGGCTTCTTGTATCTCTGAAAGTTCATCCCTAGTGTTGGGGCGAGACATTTCAGCCGGTTCGTCTGTAAGTTGAGCTGGAGGCATCAATTTGGCGTCGACCAACCCGTCGACCGAAGTCTCTGCTTGTTCACCCTTTTCCCCTGGCCCATGCATAAGTTCTCCAAATCTGGCCACTGAAAAGTCGCACATCTGCTTGACTACGCGATCATATACTTCTGGTGACAACTTATATACCTTGTCCTGCAGAGTATATGCGGGCATCTGGAGAAACTCTTCAACGTGCATGACCGTCTCGCGTACTGTTTCTCTAGGTGCCTCGAACCACTCCCTGTGTCCTCCTTGGCATTTGAAGCATTCTAAAACACGAATGTTGACATGTCGGAGTATGACTTGAGCAATCCTCTCGGCCTGCGGGGCACCGACGAACCTTTTCGTTTCGTAAATAATTTTGGTATTAATTCCATAGCAGTTTTTAGGTTGGCGCAGTCTCTCCTTGGCGCTCTTACTCGACCACCCAATCTTAAAGAGTGAAGAGTTCTTCTTATGTTCAAGGATGTATACAACGCCTTCTTTCATCTTCTCGTGTGTAGGATGACTGTTGATCACTTGAAATACTGGCGAGTGGTCTCGTATTGACCTGGTGCGCTGAATCCCGATAATGCCAAGCCCTTTTATGACTGCGTTTCTTCTCTCTTCATCGTCTCCACTCTCTTCATCGTCTCCACTCTCTTCATCGTCTTCTCGCCCATCGTTGTCTTCCCTCTCAGATGAGGTATCATTTATGCCGCTAGTAAATATAGAGTCTCTCATTCTCTCGGCATGATGCTCTTGCTTTATATCGGGGGCGATGATATTGTCTCGAATAGTCTCTTCTTTAGCAATGATATCTTCAGCATCTCCTTCGGCACTCTCTTCATCACTATTGTCCTCGATAAAAACGTCTTCCCCATGAATAGACTCAGTAACACATTCTTCCTCAGTGACATCTTCCATGTCAAATCGTGAGATGGTTCCATTACGCAAGGGGGTAGTAGGGAGAGAGCTCATTAATGTCGTATTGCTACTGAGTGAACGAGTCTCCGTAATGCTATCAACGAAAGAGTTGCCATCATCTGATGCCGCATAATCTGAAGATGCTATGGATCGTGCAGGCGTCGAGGGGAGAAGTTGTAGTGCAGCTGCCGTAATTGGTTGTATAGTCGACGTTTCGATTGACTGAACAGATGGTTCTGATTGATGTTTTGAAGTGGATCCATCGATGACACGTTCTTTCTTCCACATATCAAAAGCGTCGAGGGCTCTGTCACGATGTCTCCCCTTACAATGTGTATAAGTGACAAAGGTTTTCATTTTTTCGTGAAAACTTTCAGTGACAGGGCATTCTGTCATGTCCTGGAATTCAAGGAACAGACTAGGAATGTGCCATCTTTCGTTCTTCCTACAAGGGCGATTTCTGCATCTCCCGCCATCAACTCTCTTTGTTCGACAGGTTTCGAAATCGGAGTCTTGTGGATTCGGACATACATCAGTGTGTCGCTGTATCTCCGCGAGCTCCTGGAAGACAGGATTTGGTCTCACTTTTTTGGAAGACATCTCTTAAATGAATTGTTATAAATTATATCTTTAACAAATTTCTCTTGATACAGAAGCAATTCTAACTCATGCTGTAGGGCCCCATGAGAACCATCAAGTATTAATGCACGGGTAGCTGAGGCTGTGAGACTAGATGGAGCGCCTGGTGGAACTGCTATTATGCATGTTGGTTCTGCTTTTCTGCAGCGTGATCACAAGCCCTGCCACTCGGTGGGCAGAATACGCAGAAGATGGGCTGTTTTTGCTACCAACATGCATATCCTGGAAATCACTCATCCAATTAGGCAGCTCATTTATCGATAGCTGAACGTAGGATATGCAATCTATCCCACACCTGAATCCCAAATGAACAGACTCCTCGTGTTTAAAGTGGCAACCCATTGGTGGTTTGTGGCTTGAATCCGGGGGTGGTCGGCTGCCTCTCGATAACGAGAGAACAGGATATCTGGAATGCACACTCAAAATCGCAAATTAGTTGGCCAGCGCAGCTTACGGCTATTTAGCGAGCATTTCCAAGGAATTTTGCAGTCCTCTTTCAGGTATACGAGATTTTGATATTCTCCTGCCTACATGTAGTCAAGTTGAAAGAGCTTTGGAGCTCTCCACGAGAAATACTTATTCAACTGCCACACCCGATCTATCTATATTCGCCCCTCTTATGTTTTTCTTTCTCCTTAATTTACATACGATACGAAATGTCATAATACTCTCCTTTGATTCTGTTGCAGAGCTACAAATCCCACATCTCCAATAGAGGTATCATGAGGGACAAAACAACTAACCAGTTTAACACACCCTCTCGGGCTGTAACTTCGAACGCGGCCAACAGAAACATCAAATGTTACATAAAGCCGGTTTTTTGTGTTATGAGAAACGTTGGCCCTGCGGTTCGATTAGAGTCCGAAGAGAAGGAAGACCCATACAAGTTGCAACAGGCTACAGCGCGCCGGCCACCATGATTATCAAGCCATCTGTCTTCAATGAGTGACTTCTGTTAAACTTATGCTCGATACGGTTTAGAATTGCAGTCTCATCATTTATCACGATTAATTATTCTAGCCAAGCCAGGCAGTGTAGGATCTTTCGCAACGGGCCATAAATACGGTCGCATTAGTGCACACCCACTCTTAAGTCCTATGGTCAGCCATCAGGTCGGCGCTTCGAGAATGTGATTGCCTAGAAATGAGTGGTAATTGGTAGTTCGTACTGGAGTGTCTCTCCGCTCTAGTCCAGATGTCGGGAGTATCGGAGTTTGGTGTAGCAATCCAGAGCATACGCAACTGGTTTCGTTCAGAGAGAGATTCAGGAAGAACCGTTATTCCCTAATAAGCTATTAGTGTTAAGCTTTTTGATGTGTATGTTCTAAAACAACTAGGAACTTCGGAGTACTAATATCTAAATGCTGTGGACAAAAGATAATTCTCTATAGACTTTGTTAAGTGACGCTTTTTGATACATAAAACTAAGTAACGATTTCACTTTATCTAGTCACTATTGAATGAATTGCCTTATAAAAGGAACTGATATATTATCCTTGAGGTCTTTTCCCTTGATCAGTTAGAGTCTGTAAGTTCAGTTCCTAGGCATTGTTATTAGCTACGCTAGGTGGTATGTTCACAAAGTTCTTTCATTTTGCAATTTCCATAACATAAGATGTGCCATACAAAGCTGATAGAAAAACCCTCCTCTAAAAATAAACCAAATAATAGCACGAACTTCTCTTCACTAGATAGAGAAAGACAATACAAGTTCGCTACGCAAAATGATCCCTAGCTGCGGCAGCGGCTTTATCCTAGAGAGAAAGAAGCTGTACAAGCTAGATCAAATGGTTCCGTAACTTGTTGTTGCTCCGTGGTCTTAACAGCGGTATGCAGGCTGGGTTCCGCAGATATCTTTATATAAGTGTAAGCCAGTTCCCAGGTTCGTTCCTGACTTGTCAACAAATTAACATCTATATTTATTCTTTATACTAAAACTTTAATTAATTCTTTATATTCAATCGCTGTCGTAATATATATATATACATATATATTCTGTCTCATATTCTCTATATCTTGACACGTGCTTTTATAGATTAAATATTCAACATAGTAAATATATCTTGTCTTTACTATGTTATAGAATCTTAGATATAAGTTGATTTATTATAAAGACAATATTATACTAGGTAGGTATATGACTAGATGGTAATCTGATACAATTTAAACCAAGAGCCAATGCCCACTACTACGGGGATTCTCTTAGACGCGTGTTGGGTCTTCAAACCATGTTAGCAGGCCCTCGAATTAGGGATAGTGACATGTTGGCCTAAACCTAAGCAGTGAGGCAGCATATTAATGGCCAATTCACTTATGAGCAGCTAGCGCCGGGTTGATAATAATACGTAACTACATGTAATAAGAATTATTGCGGTCTTATGCAGCGTGCGGAGCAGGCTGCATTGGTCAATTCCTGTCCAGGGGTCCCATACCAATGAGATCAGGAACCTGCATTTGCTTTGCGTCTACTGCTTTAGGCCTTCTAGTGGAACATGGCCGAATAGAAGCCATGTTGCCTGGAATGAGTCATGAGAGAGCCTTTCTCTGGTGGGGACTACGACAGGCAGCAAGAGAGGTTTGTAGCCACGTCATTCATGTTATATATTGTTTAAATTGTCTAGCCTCCCTGCTTTCTTCTATTTTATAAGCTTTCTCGCTATATTCATTTCCTATCGCCATTCAAAAATGCCTTCCCAACCACCCGACCATCCACATGAATTCCACGCCGGCGTATGGGATTATGAAGCAAACAGGCCAGTCGTCGATGGGAAGATAGAAGATCCCATCACTGGCGAGGTTATACCAGTCACGGAAGGTACATCATTTTACGCAGGGCCACCTAACGTGGATATTACTATCATGAACCTACATGCCGACGCATCTGGCACATTCCGGTTCCAGCGAGCATTTCCGTTTGAGAGATTACTTGCTCACATTATGAGAGTCATAGATAGGGAGGGAATAACGCTTCACGCGTTGAATGCGACGTCTTATTCTATTACGGTCGTCTTGGCGGATGATTTGAAAGAGAAAGGCGGCTACGATAAAATCGCACTAGAGATGGTCAATGGTATTTGGGACTCGCCAGCATGATCATACGAAGCAGCCAGCATTGAAGTCCATATTACATCAACTACAAAGTTCATAGTTCGTGAAATACATGAATTGGTGCGTTTATTGAACTACACATCCATAACTTATGCCCCATGCGCGAACCGAAGCCGTAATTTACTGCAGGCACGAAGTATACATATAGCTCCTTGCTACCATCGTCTATTGGATCATGGATGGAGACAAGTCGACTTGGGCAACCAAGATTGAGAAATCTAAGTAGAAGTTAGGCTGGAAACGAATATCAAGGGCCTGTGGCCTTGTAGGGGAAATGCCTTAGAATGTAGCTTTTGAGGGAAGAGGGAGCTGAGAGCGAGTCAAAAGGATATATACCTAAGAGAACAACAGCCCACCATAGTCGCCTACTCTCTTCAAGTTCGCTGCGATTATATGGACGACGCAGCTTCAAGGCGTTTGGTCCTCCAAAACCCATGGCCTGGCCGTAGCGTGTACAAGCGCCCACGGACAGAAATGCGGATGGGTAGATGGCATGGTTAATCTCATAGAGAGAGATGAGCAGACCAGCTTCCGGGCATTCAACAGACATGACACCTGCCATCTCTAAACTCAAAAACCCTTGCTTTGTTGCAAGATGAGTGTCGGTGCGGGTGCCGTTGCCTGACGGCTCGGAAGGTGTCGAGGCGACAAGCCTCATGCAGAGGAGAAGCAGCGCCACGTCCGCAGGCAGCTCCGCCGGCGTTTTCCCAACAACCGGGCGCGGAAGCGTTCCTCGTCGAGGACGGGCAGCCATTTATGGACCCCATTGAAGAAGGCCGAGACGTACAAGTCTTGCTCCGCCCGCGTGGCTCCTGTGAAAACGGTGGGAAACGCATGGCTCCCGGGATAGGCCGTCGGGACGTGGATGCGGTGCTGCTGAAAGACATATCGGTCGACGAAATAGACAGCTGGGAACTCTACCGGCGGTGTCCATAGCTCATTAGCCTTCTAGGATCTGCGCTGGTGGTCGGTACGGAGGAGGCCGGGAGTTGGGGGTAAGCCGCTATCAGTCACAACATCACGACCACTCCGACCAGACGAAAGTTCCCGCGGTATTCTGCTCGCCCGTCGGGGGTAAATACATTCGCAAGATCGGCTAATACGTTGTTCTGGTAGTCAGCCATCTAGCAGGGCCTGGTTCCTCCGCCTCTGTGTTGTTCGAACGCCTTACATTGAGCACTGCGAGCACTTCGGCGTTGTTTTGTCGCATTTACGGTTTTGCAACTTGCAAGATACGCATGCTGGCGCCATTGTTCAAGCCGGATCATTTCATCCACTGCTACTTTGCGATTGTGAAGTACATGTAGGTAAGGGGAGATGAAGACGCACGGCGGCCGCGTCTTCATTGTTACAGGTGGCTCGTCTGGGTGTGGCTACGAGACGGCCAAGGCCGTTTACAATCTCAACAGCCGTGTCTACATTGCCGGCCGCTCGGCTCAGAAGGCAGAGGAAGCCATCCGCAAGATCAAATTCGAGCCGGCCGCTCCTCATCCAGCCGTCAAAGGGGGCCGAGGCGAGATTGTCTTCCTTCGACTTGACCTTCACGACCTTGATACCGTCAAGGCATCCGCCGCCGAATTTCTCTCCAAGGAGTCAAGCCTGGACGTAGTGTGGCACAATGCCGGACTCGGAGGTGCGCCGTTCGGAAGAAAGACTGTCCAGGGCTTCGAGACGCATCTTGGCGTCAACGCGCTCGGTCCGTTCCTCTTCCAGCACTTCCTAACTCCAATCTGTCTTGCGACAGCCGCCCGGTCTGGCGCCAAGCCCGGCTACTCGAGGGTCGTCTTTGTTTCGTCTTCGGGCCATCGAGCGGCGCCCAAACCCGACGGTATCAACTAGGGTGACCTCAACTTGCACGAGCTGGGCAGCATCAAGGGAGCCATGGCCAAGTATCCACAGAGCAAGGCCATGGTGGTCATGTTTGCACATGAGTTCGCCCGGCGCTTCGCGGTGCATGGCCTCCTGTCACTGTCCCTTCACCCAGGGTCTGTCAAGTCCAACTTCCAGAGCAACCAGCCCGCGCTTGTCAAATGGCTGACATCTCCGCTGCTTTACGAGCAGCATTATGGCGGCCTCACCCTACTGTTCGCTGGCTTCGCTGATGTCGTCGACACGAAAATGCTCGAGCAGGGCGGGAAAAATGGTTCCTATGTCGAGCCATGGGGTGTTTAGGGTACTGGAGCCGACCATGTCTTTGACGGTCTTATACATCGTAGTATGGGAGAAAGATTGTAGAAGTTGTGTGAGGAGCTCTTAAAGGAGTGGTTGTGATATGTAGATAGAAACCCTATAAACTAGGCGTCAAACACTTGGTTGACCAAAAAGTTGCCAAACGCAACCTAGTGTAAGCCATAAAAATAACACATGTCTCATATTCTCCGAAAGAGCGAAAGCCAAGAACATATTCCGTTGTAGTGGAGGGTGGCTGGGAAGATTCTAGCGGCTCGGCAGTGACGACATGATGTAGAGTGCGACGTCATTTAAAGGGGAGAAGCCTCCCAAAACGGAGTCAAGAAATTCCAAAATCAGATAGTATATAAGCTTCATATGAAGGACCGTGACCAGTTGTAAAGAGCTTGACGGGGTCACATTTCTCCACTGCCTATGGCTGTATATGATCGAATTGAGACAGATTCTTTATAGTTCACTTGGTTGCTAAGACGTGGCTCCTTTTACTAACGATATAAGCTCCCGGTCCTGGCACACAAGTTCAGGATTGCTTTTGCCAGTAGGAACTTATAACATAAGTCAGGAGTCCCTTTACTTAATGATCAATCAAGTAATGGTTTAATAACGAGTATTGACACTTAAGTGATAGGGTACCTATAGGTATAAGATGCAAGCTTGCTATATTAAGTCTAAATGAATGGTCTGATATACTAAGTGAGTGTGATATTAGATCGATCTATAAATGTAAATCTTGTAAAAGTTGGACTGTAAAAAATGCAATAATAAACCCAAGACCGAAACCATTCCCCTTCTATGATTCCTCCAAAACCCCGAGATAAGAGAAAGTCTAAGTAGATCGGTTGCAGGCGATTGTGAAACCAGTTTGCCAGTTCAAAGGCTTCTGAGAGAATGTCTGAAAGTCTCGCTCTGGGTCGGCAATGCTGGCAACCACTGTTTCGAGATCCTTCAAGACAACACATGCCACGTTGCTAAAGTCGGCAGTAAACTCCAGACTAGTGACAAAGAGAGTTCCGTCCTTCTCGAGGTTGGTATCGGCGTAAGCCTGTCCAAGGCTAACATTGGATCCATCAAGAGGGATAAAGGCGTTGCCGTTTGCTCCAGTGACATCGTTGGCAAATTGAACTTGAACAGAGTCTGTACGACGGGCAGGAGCTGCAGAGACAGCGAGGGCGAGAGTGGAAAGAGTGAAGGCAATAGCGGAACGCATTTTGATAAAGATATGAATTATTGGTTTGGATTAGAGTTGAGATATTTGATTGAAGAGATGTTATTTTTTGTGGTCTTGTTGTAGTGGTTGTTGTGGTGAATGTTGTAGTGATTGTTGTTGTGATGATATAAAACAGTATCTGAAGAGCGAGATGGAGAGCTGTTTATATAGAAAACTTCTTCTTTGAAAATGTATTTTTACGATATCCTATATATAGCTTGATGTTGTACAGAATAAGCGGATAGAAGTGTTCCGTACAAAGCCACAGCTAGCTTGAGGCTAAAGCTACCAGACAACAATATGCCAATGGCTTATGAAATTCATAAGCCGCAATAATTATATTTAATGAAGTGTATTACTGGTTTACATAAATTGACTAGTGGGTACGCCACATGGCTAGTTGTTGCTTACGCTGAGGCGGAGTGAATTGTCATGTGCGCTATGTGCTCCCAAATGTAAGCTAACATGCAAACGCAAAGTCTAACGAAGAACTCCACGGGTAAGAAGCTGGAGAACAGTTTGTGCTAAACAGTTTGGTACATAACAGGGACCGGCTTAGTAAATTTCCTAAATATAGACTAAAAATAGAGTATCAGGACTGGAAAACCTAGAGCTGGGCAAACTCATCTGGAAATAGAACTGCGCCTCAGCTGAATCTAGATTGCCACACTAATTCACTCTGCATCCTCTTCAAAGTTACGGCAAAATTTCTACCTTATCCTTCGTCAATACTTGTAAAATTCTTTCGAGTACTGCGTGCGGCCCCCAATCTCGATGAATAATCCGAAGGTACCGCCTTCAAATTGTATGGCGCAAATTTGGGCAGATATACATCGTATTCGGGCTCCGCATAGTCAAATACAACAGGCTGAAGGACCTGTACCAAAAGCTGACGAGCCGTTCTTTCCGTCAACATGCCTGAGCGCCACTCTATAGCCACCTGTTAGCCATGTCAACAGTAAGCACATGCAGATGAAAAGAGTACCAATATTCATGACAAAAGCTAATTGCGCCATTACCTACGGATTGGTTGTTCTTCGGAATTTGATTACTGGAATGTACTGAAATAGATACGGAAATGCTGGATTGCAGAATTGGAAGAGAGAAACATCATGTTATATGTGATATTCTTTTCTAAGAATAATAATTCTACACACTGAAATGTCTCCTAATCCATACCCTAGAGCACAGAACTATCATTTGCAGCGCAGCAAGTTGGTCGATACTTATGGGGAGCGACAAGATCTTATGACTCTGGGCATATATCTGCGTCTTTAAGTAGCCTTGGCATGAACACCGTCTTTGGTGATTCATTTGCTTCATCGCCAGTGTTGTAAAATTCGCTGGTAGTTTTCCGTTTCGTTACTAAAAACGAATTTTATTAGGTTAGTAACGAAACAAATGTTGTTTCGTTTCGTTTCGTTTCGTTTTCTTCAGGGCACTTAAGAAACGAAAACTAATTTAGTACTAACGACTGGTTACTAAGAAATTCCTTGATAATATTTAATTTAGTGACGAATTTACAACCCTGTTCATGGTGCTCAAGGCAGTGCGAGAGCTAACGGGAAGCGCGGCTTAGAGCACACTTAGTAGATGAATCGGGGATAATTCCAACGCCTGGGTCTGAGGTCTTCGTAGAGTATCGTTAGACTGGGACGTTGAATCGCCTAGTTCATAAAAAGGTTCATCTATGGGCCCGAGTTGGTATATATCAGGGATATTATGGATATACAATGCAGAGTTCCTGTGAGTGAAGGAAACATCTCGCGAGGTGTATTCTTTGATGGGTGCAAATGAAATTAGTTTGGAACTGTGGCCCTTCGCCTTGAAACAAGTTTTTCCGTTTATATTTTCCTTTTATCGACATATATTCGATCTTCGCTGTTCTTTCTGGCTTCAATCCAACCAAGCTTGAAATTACAACCAGCTTGTTGTAGCAAATTTCACTCGATGCACTGCGCAACCTCCTCTTTGATGATTTTTATCCCAGCATACCGACACCGAAATGCTGGTCATCGAATCGCGAGCGGGTAAATTTTTTGCATATCATTCACCATCTTCAGAATTGCTGTCCTCCGTTATATCAGAGGAAAACAATTACTGCGCGGTTAAAAATTGTCAAGTAAAATATACCATAGCGAGCAGCTTGCGCTTATGTTTGAGTCGATCTCCGTTTCATACAGCTATGTGCTGTATGTATACGTGCATGCTCTCACGTGTTCAACAACCCTGGACAGCCTAGTAATAAACCCTCCAAGGATTTCTATCGACGACTATCATCCCCGCTCAGTTGTCAAGCACCAAACCAGCATCGCAGTCACTGCTACCAAAGTAGTAATACTAAGTGGGATTAATACTAGGCCAAAATCTACCTGCTGAACCAGGGTTTGGCCAATACATAAGGACATTTTGAGAGTGGGGAGGTCTCTTCTATAATCCCTGTTGCTTGGAATCCAACCAAGGCACACCGCGATTTTGCTTTCTATTGTGCATATCCGGGCGCAGGGAAAATCCACAGATTTGGACTCAGAATCCTTTATGCGAAACTAAGACCGGCAATTTCCTTACCTTACAATATGACGTGCGGAATGAAAAGAACTAGATAATGGGGTATTCGCCTTCTACGCGTCGTCGATATAGTGACGATGCCCCGCCCCGGAGATACAGAGATTTCTCAAGTGGACAACTGAGCCCAGAAAGGATATTTCATCCGTCTCGCAGAGTTATTCAAAGAAATGAAGACAAATTTGATATTTCTTATGGAGGAGAACCCGTACCAGTGCATACAGCATTGGGGGAGCCCCAATCCGCCACAGGGTCTTACGACATTCTGAACACTTCATCGCGCCCGTTATCCCCGACTATTGGCAGTTACAATGTGGAGAAAAATGCTAGTAGTATACCTAGTTTCGTTGAAGGGATTGAGAATGACGGCACAAAAGCTGGAGAAGTTGAGGAGGCTGGCCTGTCGTGGACGGTGACTCTTCCGACCAACAACGAACAAAGCATGCTTTACACAAACCCAACAGACTTAAACTCAGCTTGGAAGGTAGAAAAGGGTTATGACAAAAAGATTGGTACGACAACTCTTCAATCGATTTACTCTATAAAATATTCCATTGGTGAGATGGGACAAGGAAAAACTACACTTTTCTGCCCACAAGGCCCAATCAGGGACAATGAAGATCTAGCCTCAGTACAGGCGAAGTGGCTGTAGGTATCTATACTGTCTATAAAGACCTTTCCGAAAGCTGACCTCTTTGTTAGACATGTTCAAAGGCATTCAATGAGTATTAAAGTCTTGGAAGTAGGATGAGTTGAACCATGATATATCATGGCACTGACTAACGATGATGTAGAAACTCGTCATGGATTGTCCAATAATTAATGCAGATATTCGAAGAGTTGCTATTCTACTCCTTGAAGCTGTCGAAAAGTCATTTCTCCGGGAATCTGAAAATGGTGCATATATCGAACCAGGCTCGGTTTTGCGATTTACTGGCACCCGCCAAGTCCTTCATGACTCACACGATTTTGTGGTCACGGAACCCGTTGTTTTTGTGGCTTTCCCATATGTAGAGTTGGCTTCATCAAGAAACAATCATGGATCCCGTGAAAGGGACGATTTCTATCCTCGAACTCTGCTTCAGAATCTTTACGGATTTGATGTTGTCACAAGCCGGGGCAAGAATCAAGTTATTCACAAAATGCCGGCCAGTAGTCAACCAAATGATACCTTGTTTGTCAATCAGTTGTGGTGCCTCATGATAGGTTCGGATATCTTGATCACTCTGTCGGACCGCCCTGCGGATGATTTGCTTGGAGACATGATCGGGAAACGCACCGACTACTTCAGGCAACCACTTAGGATCGAGATTGTCGATATGAATGGCTACCAGCACAGCATGAGTATATCATCGAAGACTCCATGGGTAGATTTCTTTCGGCATGTTATACTTACTGTTCACGGCAATCTCATCAGCATCATGGACTATGAGCTAGTCGACCAGACAGACGAAGTTGTAACGATGGAACGATGGGCGGAACTCGCAAAAGGGACAAGAACAACGCTTCTCAAGTTTTATCTTGTCGAAAGAAAGACATCAGCATCGCGCTCATCAAGTGTGTCTAGTCGAAGAAGCAGTCGCTCGGGCATTAGAAGACTTTTATTGCTCGATTACGCACACCGCGACAATCGCCACAGCTCAAAAACAAGCGTATCACGCTACCATGTGGATAGGTATAATGGAGATTCATCCTCTAGCGAAAGGATAGCTAAATCCAAAAGGGCCTCAACTCCAGGACGACCCAGGTACTTAGGGTTTTTGATGGATGGTCAATGGCATAACCAGCTAGCTAAGATGAAAGACCAACAACTCGAGGCGCAAGCAGAATTTTCCTCAAAAACCGATACACAAAGTCTCTATCCACATCCTTCTCCCACAATAATAACTCTAGACAGCAGTGACGAAGATTACCCTGGGACTGAGAAAATACGCCCTATTCCGCGCAATTCTCAAGACTTTGACAGTAATTCTGAAGGCGTAAGAGATGAAGGCGATTCTTCTCTGCGAAATATAGCTCAACTTCCGAAACACCAACAGCTACCTCCATTAGGTGATACTGATGAGGGTATCCGCCTTGCAGGACCTTTGTCAATACAAGACCATCCCTTGACGCACGAACAACAGGCTCCTGCAAGGGACAGTGAAGAACAGAGAGAAAAAGCCATAAGCCTCGAAGGCAGCTTTTTCTACATTGATGATGAACAAAACAGGACATTGAAAGAAGAAGCTTCAGATGGGCCAATAATAAAAGATACGGCTAGTTCTGCCAACAATGTTGGTACTCGAATGAGCGATGACGGGCTAAATGAATGCAAAGATACTTCCGCAACCCAATCAAATACACCAACTACAATGTACAAAAAAGTCCAGGTAGAAGATGGATCTGAGTCTTCTGATGAGGTCGAGATAATTAGACGCATATATGATGATTCGACTGAGGTTATTTTACCTAACAACAGTACCGAGTTCAACTTGGAAGATTATGCGGTGCTAAAAGACGAACATGATCCCGCTGCAGATAATTTACCTAACTTTGGCAATCAAGAAAGGTCACCAGAGAAAAGATATATCTTTCGGAATAGTACCAAGGTTGTTCGAGAATTTTCACATGGGAAGTATCGCTCCCGATCCTCCTACCTCTCAAATTCGACAGATGATTCTCTCTCAAACTCGACAGACGATTCCCTCTATTCACGTGGAAGGAGTCGTAGACGGAGACAACCCGCTTGGAGACGGGAAAATGCAGGTTTAGCTCATGAATCTTCGTCGCGCCCTGGGGTGCGCTTTCAACCCCAGGAGTGGCACTCGAGCGACAAGGACAATGCAGAGATGTCCCCTTTTGGAAGTTCAACTGCAACCAAGGTAGACGCGCTGCCTATACAAACAGCTGTGCCATTCTTTTTCTGGAAACAAAACAGTGTGACAAGTACATGCTCGTCTCATGACACTCCGGAGCAAGCCTTGATTAAGCTTCTTGATCAAATCGATGAACGAATTTCTGGAGATCCAATTGGCAGATACTATTCGAAAGTACCAGAGCTGACTATGAATGATGTCTTATCGAGGCAGGAGTCCCTTCACGAGCCTGGTTTGGGCCCGAGAATTGTACTGGATGAATCCAGTCAGGTGAATAGACTTGCTGGTCAAGGAACAATTGATATAAGGACAGGCAACATGTTCGCCTTCCGTTCATCTAAAAACCAAGCTGCAAGGATGAACAAAGGGGGCGATGAGAATAACACCGAAAGCGTGGAAGCGCTCAGCTCCTATTTGGACGATGATCTAGAAAGCAAAAATGAAGCTCCGGGAACAGATAGTAAAGACAAGGTGCCTAGTTTGACAAACGAATCGCTAGACCGAGGTGCACAAGAGCAAACAAACGTTAGCCAAACGCAAGCTCTAGGCCTCATAAGCCATGATAAAGCACTCGCGAAACAACTGATTGAGATAAGCCAGCAGATTATATGGTCATTTATACCAGATACTGGCGGCTCTGTGATACATACCCTATTAAAACGACTTTGGGGCTGTGTAGATATTATGTGTCTGGTAAGCAACCCCCTTACCCTCGCCTATGTATCAAACAGTCAATGCTGATGCCATGTCATCAACAACAGCAACTACTTTGGGAAGAGAACCAAAGAAGAAGTGACTCTGAGTGCACGTATATCATACGTAATTTCTCAAGTCAAGTCAAGAAAATGGATCTCCAAAGACAAAAGCTTACCTCGGGAAAGATACACTATTTATTTTGCGGAGATTGCAAGGCTGCAAAGCCTTACCAATCGGCCATGGATGCTCTGAACCATTTACATGAAAAGCATATTGAATGCAAGCATACTAATTCCGAGCGACCATATGACGATCCTTGCTATGTATGGCTTCATCGTATTTGGCACGATGGATACCCGATGCGAAGTTCCCGTGATGGACTCCTTGGGATTATGGAAGACTTCATCGAGGAGCTTTCCTATTTCAGCAACTATGTGAGGGAGCTACACAATATGACGATAAGAGATTCCTCAGCAAGCGATGCAATATCAACACCTCCATTACCGATGAATATTACTCATGCGTTTCAACAAATTGTCAAAATGTTTGTCTTTCGCTCCAAGCAGCTGTCTCTTATTAATCGGCGGCGAAGCTTAATCAGCGGAAGTTCACTTGAGAATTTTTCATTGATTCAGCGTATTGATCGAAAGATTGAAGAACTTTTTTCGCTAGAAATGGATGCGAACGAACGCATCATAGACCGTCTAGAAAGTGCCAAGAAAGACATCTTTCTGTCTGGTATCGAATCACATTCTGAGATGCTTGAGGCTGAGACTGTCCGAGTCCAATTTCTTGCTTTAGCACTCATGTCAGGGATACAGAGACCTCTTTTGCAGCCATCTGTCATGGGTCGCTCTCGTGTAAAAGATGCACTTTTGCAGCTTTATAAAGACTACACATCTAGACTTCATTTCCAAGCGAATAACCGACCTCGAAAACGAGTCTTCTTGGATATTCATGGTCTCGAAGAAGAGCTTCAAGCATTGGATAAATTGTTAGGTAGCCAGGAAAGCTGCCTCTATAATGCTCTCACTCTTATCGACCCTCTCACTTCTCGTTACACTACAGAGACGCGATTCAGAGAATTCCGAGTGGAAGTCCAATATGGTAATGATCAATTACACCAACTCGTAGAAAGACGGCGAGAGATTGACAATTTAGCGACACGGCTGTGGATTCTGAAAGATCAAGTGAAGCAAACGATTGAAATCATGGAAGAAGACCATGGAAAAGCGATTAGAGTTTTCACCGTCGTTACGCTGTTTTTCTTGCCATTATCATTTGTTTCAAGTTTCCTTGGCATGAATACGGTAGACGTGAGGGATTCGGACTGGAACCAGGGGATCTTCTGGATAACTGGAATACCACTAACGTTAGGAGTCCTATCGCTAGCATTTGTTTACGGCTACAAAGGTGAAGAAATTCGTGACTGGATGATTCCAAAATTGCAAGGCCGAAGCCACCAATATCCGTCACCAGCATTTCACGAAATGGATGGCCGGACATCGCTTGAGACAAGACGGAAAGAGTGGAATCTGGCTACAACAACAGACCATAACGCAACTCAGAAAACAGATTTTAAGACTCGAGTGGGAAGCAAAATAAAGAATATATCCGGTTGGCAGCGTCAAATGAACGAAGCCTTCAAGGTGTCTGACGGGCCTGATGGGAAAGTTTCGATAAGGAGGCGAAACACAGAAGATAGTTTGGCACCCATGAGGCATTGATGAACGTGCGCAATGAAGATAGCTCTGGTGTTTACATTCTACTACATGGATAGTTGTGTCTGCTGGAACTACAATAAGGATAAAGACTATGAGTGGTACAATTTTATGAAGCTAATACATTTCTGCTAGATATCATTGGTATTAGTGGACTTTGACAACAGCCAGGACGAATCCAGTGAACACAGGCGTAGGCACCATTGGGTGGCAAGATACTGTGGGCATCAACGTGGCCTGGACCCTGGGGTCTCTTCCAATCTTTGTCAAGATAGTCTCGCCTCCCTCCTTAGTCTGTCCGTCCTTGATCATTGTGGGGATCACATCGTCTAGGAAGATACATCCATTTGGACGCGTCAACTTAACAGCCCAGTCGAAGTGTTCCCACTGGTCCTCAAAGGCCGCGTCGATAAACACCATGTCAAACTGCTTCCCTTCCTCTGCAAGTTTCGGCAAGACATCCAGCGCCGCTCCGAGTATAACTTCTGCATCGAGGCCCTTCACATTCTCCAACGCCACGTCTCGATGTTTTGGGTCAATTTCGATACTGGTCACCTTGGCGCCTGCTTCCGCAAACCAGATGGACGAGTAGCCCCCTAGCGTACCAATCTCGAGAACCGATTTGGCTCCTATGATCTGAGCGAGAATGGATAGATGTTGGCCGGCCATAGGGAGGACGCTGATGGGCGGAAGACCTTTGGCTGTTGAGTTGGCCAGGCATTGCTCGAGCCTGGGATTGGGGCGAAGGAAGGCAGATTGGGCTTGGTTGTCGAAGCTTGTGGCCAAGCGAAAGTTTTCAAAGTTCATAATGGCCTCCATTTCTGATGTTTTGAAGTCCATGTTGAAGTGATGTAGTTGTTATGAGCTGTAAACTGGGGAAGTGCTTAATGATGATGGTGGTGGTGGTGGCAGTGAGCGTGATGAGAATCTGGACAGGACCAAGCGATCCATCACACATATATATACTTATTTCGGACTCCTTAAAGTACCGATGGGCCACAATGAGTATATGTGGCATTGACGGATGTCAGGAGGTATGTTTCGGGTGACGAAATATGATAGGCAGCTATTCTTGCGGCCACTGTGATCCATTTGGTGATCACTCTATCGCTCAATGGATACAGTTCACTGACTAGATAGCCCTGTACAAGGATTTAGGCTAACCCACAATCGTTAATCTCAAACAGTATAACTCTGGGATTGTCTACATGTGCACCCGTCTACCAACATAACTAAACCGAGTTAAATCCTGCGTTACTAGTCAACCCAATGACCACCGAGCCACTAAACCATTATATCTTTACTCAAGAACACGGATTTGTTCACTTATCTGCGAGTATACTATTTAATAAAATAACGTATGTGCGTAGTTGAGGTTAGAATTTTCCGAGACTATATCCGACGTCTTTCGGTGTTTTTCGGACACTGAAACGGACATAGCCACAGCTCTTAGAACGGGGTCAACCTTTTTTGCAAAACAACGATCTTGTTCGCTTACCGCTCGTTCAACTTTTTTTGATCAAACGAGCACCCTAAGTTAACAAGGGTAGTCTTTCCCAGTTGACGAATCAACAGCTGGTTCGGACACGTTCTCGGCAAGTTGCTTCAACGTCCGAGTCGAAGTATTGGGATTGCCCCATAATTGCCGGGACCCATCTGTTCCCGCATGCCAGATCCGGCTCGTTTAATCTTGTAAGGTTTAGTGTCCGAATTGATGTGTGCCTGGCCCGGTGGAGCGCCTCAATATCCCGAGCACCGAATCCGTAAACACGATGGGCTGCGCGTAAATCTGCATCTGCAATACATGTACCCTGCGTCACCAAAAGGTCGTGTGCGCTGCTTTCTTACGATGGAACCGGTGTCAACGTGCGGCATCCCTTCGTCTGGTCCATCATTCCATGACGCACAAAAGAGGGCCCCTCCGTCGCTGTCTGATTGCACCAATGTCTTTGTCGTGACCCCCAGCTCAGAACAAGCGTTATGCAGGATCCCAGCCACCTTGGTAGTGGATCCATTCAGACAAAAGAGGCCGCATCATAAATCCAAGCGCGGATGCCTCCAATGCAGGAAACGACGAGTAAAGGTTGGTCCTTCGTCTATTGGCTTTCAAACTCCACCGCTTATATCGACCCTGGTCTGCGAATGTTAACCTTCGGCAATCGTACAAGTGCGACGAGAGAGTCCCGGAATGCTCAGCATGCAGCCGCCGACAGGAGTCTTGCAGCTTTAGGGCTATGAGCCGCAGGAGAGAGGCTGCTGAATACCGAGAGAGCGTTGAGCGGGTGCCTCGAAGCGTCTCACAGCAATACGGACTGGCACTGAATGAAGCAGATGGAGCAGTGAATTTGCTACACATGGAACTCTTTCACCACTTCCAACACAAGACGGTCCCAACACTTGTCTTTAGCCCGGAAGCCTGGGATTATGCGCTGCAGTTATCATTCAGCTTCCCGACTCTGATGCATGCCATACTCTGTGAGTCGGCGAGGCATCTGTCGTTTCTCTTTCCCAATGAGCAAAGGTATGCCACAGCAGCAACCACTCATTTGATAAGGACATTAAACCTCTACCGTAACGAGCTTTCTGTTGAATTCACGCCATCTAACATTGATGCATTCCTGACCACGACCATACTATTAGTCGTGGAGATGTGGTCCAATGTCGAATTTGCGGTGCTTGAGCCTGACGGGACCATGTCTTATGATCCACTCAAAGACCACATCTTCAAACATAGCCTCGGTGTTTTGCACGTATTCTTGAGTTGTGTTCCCCTCTCCTTCCATAAGCCGTCCCCATTCCTACCACACATTAGATACAGCTCTCGGACTGTCCTAGTCAACGCTGCAAAGCTAAGTAAAGAGTCGTTTGAGAACTTCAGGCGGTTCTTTTCATATGACCGCCCTATCAGCCCTTCTCTCCTTTCCATTCCTCTCCCCTTTATTCGCAATTCCGACCTTGCCCCAGAAAGCTCGTTGGCTGTGGAGGTTCCAAAACTAGCAGAAATAGGCCCCTCCATGTCCAAAGAAGCAGGCTACTCTTTGCAAGGTTATTATGGCATTGTGGACCGCATTTGCCTCATATCGTCTTTTCTCCCAGAGGCACGAGATGGAGAATTCGAGGCTCTGAGCTCCGAGTTGACAAAAAACATTTCCCGGTATCTTCTCATCTTCCCTCTTCTGTGTGACCAGCAGTTTGTCTCGATGGTGAGACATGGAGACCTTCACGCAATGGTCTTATTGTATCACTTTTACCGCGCTGTAAGGATTCTTGTTCCTCCAACTGAGCATTGGTGGGCGCAAAAAAGAGCGAGTTTGTCAGAGACGGTGATAGAGAGTTGGATACTACGAGAGTGCTCTAGGAATGAGGCTTCAGCTCAATAGGTAGTCATGGACGTACATGGGCTTTCCTGGGAGCGATTAACGTGCTTTTAGTATTTTAAAGTGCAATTGCTACTAAGTGCACTATATGTATTAAAAGTATTGTAAGATTATTTGTAGCTGCAATATAAAAACATTTGTCCCCTCTATTGTATGTTCTTGAACGTAAGAAATAGTGGTTAAAGGGTAGACATATTAGCTTAATGGCACACGCGAGACATGCAGTTGGAATTAAGAAAAATACGAGATTCGCTATTCGCTTTCTAAGAGTTACGCCACCTAAATTGAGAAGTTATATATGATGTGAAAAATCTGTGACCGTGCCATCCCATTACATCCACCCCCGATGTCTATCTCCTCCATAGCATTGTACATTGAGTCCCGTATCAAACGCGACGTCCCTGAAACATGTTCTAGCAACCCCATGTAGATTTGACTTTGCATAAATAGGCGTTTGAGGATATTAGCTGGGTAGTTCTATCGGATGCTCATTAGTTCTTTCGTATGTCGTGCCTGGTAATTCTCTAGGTCCCCAGCCGCCCGTGAAACGATGCTTGGTTTTGGGACTCAGATCATACCAAGACTGATGAGTATTTCTTTGTGCGCCCTTCATTAGCGTCTGGCGGCGACGTGGTCGATTCCTTCGCAAAAGGAAGATGGCAGCAATGCTGGAGAAACACAGCAGAGCGATTCCGCCAATGACACCACCGATGATTGCTCCCGTATTGTTCGTGGAAGAAGCACCAGTGTTGGAGCCACCACCGCCACTAGCGGTTTCCTTTGCAGACGCCTCGGTTGTTGAGGGCGTTGTTGACCCGGATGTACTGCCGGGAGATGCATCTGTTGATTTGAATGATGATGAAACCCCAGTCGTGGACGATAGTTTCGTGCTCGTCGTCGTTGTTAAAGATGACTGCATGGTGGTTGAACTCAAATCAGAGGTGGGAGAAATGAGATAGTGCTCCGTCGTGGGGTTCCGGCCACAGGCAATATAAGAGTATGATTGGTCAACTCCAAATGTCAAGAGGACGGTAGAGCAGAATTGTTTCGGTCCACTACAGAGCTAAGTCATCAGCATCCGCTCAGCTCAAAGGGAATCCGCTACTATACATACCAAGTAAATGTAGTCTGCTGTGTTTGATCGGTATTCCCGCATCCACTCGAGCACGATCCTTGGTCGACACAGCTTCCAGCGAAGCCGCAGTCGGTAGCTGATATCACAGTGACTGGACAGAAGCCCCAGAGGCCGTTCATGGTGTCAACTCGACAATCGAATCCTGGGTTGGCAGTGCGCATCTTCTTGGGGTCGCCATTTAGAAAGCCGCAATTAGACATTCCTGTCTGAATATCAGCCCGTTTATCGAACTCTGTTCCATTGTGATGGACATTGCGTTGCGGTAGCCGTGCTCTTGGAGTGGGCTGTGGAAAACGGAGGTTCTGCGCTCTCACGATGCTAATGAGGGAGAAGAAGAGGAGAACGGCGAGTAGCCTCGTCGCATATGCAGTAGGGACTCTCATGTCTCATACACCGGGCATGTATCGTGAGGATTCTGGGCGATCTGCAAGACAAAGTGGAAGCAAAGTCCGTTGAGCGAGAGGAAGTGAACGCGTCGATCCATGACCAGGCCGCCCCCATTGCGCAGCCGTACAAATAGCATCTTGTCGGGCCCCAAAAAGAACCAAAAATATCTCGGGGCAAGGCTGTGCTTTCAGAAGACTGTTGGTTCCAGATTTGAGCCTGGCGGTTATTCAATCGCCAGCAGTGGCACGATTGAACCAATTGTTGGCTGCCCCACGGCGGCTCGGCACCAGCCGGTTGGGCGCTTCGCTTGTTTGACCCGCAATTCCGGTCAGCCTGGTCAGCGGCAGGATGACGCCAATGTAACCAACGACCAACCACCAGCCAGCGGCCAGCGGCTACAGAGGCCCCTTAATATAGCCTTTGCATCCTCTTGCTGTGCTTCATAATGCGGCCCAAGATGCGCTTTTTGGCATGCTGCATGATTGTCGACTCCCAAGATGCGTAGGAGATTGTTGGCGTTGGCCGCTCCCCTGATCGTGGGCTTCATCGTCGCAACAACTCTGTTTATGGGGCGAGATCGATTTGCGCGGCCTCTGTTTCTGCATGACGCTGATGATGGACTCTTAAAGATACCTGAGATAAAGCCTGTCGTTGATGGTTGGTGCTCTCCTCTTGACTCTCCCTTTGGATGTCGCTTTCTCTTCGTAAACACAACAAGTCCTTGCTGACCACGTCAATCCTTCTAGGTGCCATCTTGCCGGCCGCCAACATCACCCAATATCTCGATGCGATCCTGACGACACGTCCCTCAACGTTACCAAACCTAAGATGCCCCTCACTCAACAGCACTACGCGATACAGCGCGCTCAAGAGCAAAGACCCCTCCGACCCAGCTATTCAATACTTCTTCGCCCTCAACCTGCGACAAAACTTGCCTTTGCTACCCCGGCTGATAGGCAGCATTGTCGAGGCAATTCGCTTTCTCGGTCGAACGCAATGCGTACTGTCTATAGTTGAAGGCAACTCTCCAGATGGTACCGCTGATGTGCTTGCTGCTCTGCGGCCAGCGCTCGAGAATATAGGAGTCACATATTATTTTGAGTCATCTACGATCGATCCGAGCAAGGATGATCGCGTGGGGCGCCTTGCACAGCTTCGAAACAGGGCATTGGCGCCGCTGTTCGACTTGCACGACAAGGTGACAAGCAGCACAACCGTTATTTTCCTCAACGATGTATCCGCATGTCCCGAGGACATCCTCGAGCTTGTCCATCAAAAAAGGGCCCTCGGTGCTGATATGACATGCGCCATGGACTGGACATATGCTGGCGAACACCCCACCTTTTACGATGTGTGGATTGGCCGCACAATCAATGGCGATTCCTTCTTTGAAATCCCTCCAGACGGGAATTGGGACTCGGCATGGAATCTCTTCTGGAACGCTGACGAGACTCGAGATCGCTTCTCCAGGAATCGCCCCTTTCAAGTGTTTTCTTGCTGGAACGGCGCTACGGCATTCACAGCCCAGCCCGTTCTGGAAAAGACGGTACAATTCAGGGCAGCGAATGAATCCGCCGGCGAATGCAGACAAGGCGAGCCACAGTTGTTCTGCAAAGACCTCTGGTTCAAAGGTTATCGCAAAATCGCCGTCGTTCCGTCCGTGAACCTCGAGTACTCTGTGGAAAAAGCAAAGAAGATCAAGGAATCCAAGGGTTATACATCTGACTTGGTGTCGAAGCAAGATGCTGCAGACGATAAAATAGATTGGCGGCTTGACCCGCCAGACATGGTGAGGTGCATGCCTACTTGGACGAACCAGTATTGGCAGCCGTGGAATGAGACTTTGAAGCCATAGGTGCGGTGGGATACCCCGCTGTTTGTATTATTTTCTTTTTCTTTTATTTCTGCGGTTCCGTGTGCCTCAATGCGATGCCTCAATGCGATGGAGGGGGAAAAGGGCGTCAATTTGGATATAATATAGCATTGTATATAACGAGCATATAATGAAAACGGCAATCTTCATTGCCTCTACTTATTCACCAGTAACAATGGCTAGTGAAAGCAAGGCCGTGGTGCCCATGTCATTGTATCTCACAGAAGCTAAGTTGTATTAGAGACTCGTCAACACGCCGACTGCAAATCGTAAATCATCAAAGCCAAAAGGGCATCGACTGTCTCGGTGGAGGCGAGCGCCTTAGACTTTAATCGAGTAATGCAGGCACAATCTTTTATATCTATACTAGAGCCTCAGAGGAGGGCGTGATGGGGCCCTGAGTACTCAACTTTTTCTTGTCATATGCGCCCGAGTCAAGCAATACATTTTGACATACATTTCTGTTGAGCAAACTTAAATCAAGAATGAATTTCTTCTTCTTCTTTGATCTACTAGTCCTTTCGTGTCCGTACTCTTGCATTCTCTTGTAATCATAATCTCTATCTCGGAGCTTCGTAATGGGCGTTCATAAAGTCCGTAGCCTTCACGTGGAGTTCCAATCTAAAATAAGCCTTGGGGCTGGGGCGATATCGTTGTACCAAGAGTAAGAGAATGTTCACCCAGATTAGTTACGCCAATAAGTATTTGGCTCTCCTCTGTCGTTCTGGGTAGCTTCAAATTGGTTCTGTGAAATCTGAGCTTCCTTCTTATATCTTTCTTTGTCCTTTGTCTGAACGAGATTTTCCACATAGCATTGCCGATATACGAGTACACGTATACTAGATCCCAGCTTTCACCTTTGTCCATCTGCAGTGAGAGCTATTACCTACTTGCAAAAAATTAACATCCTGACCGATTTGCTGCCGTAGCTTCGCAAGCGCTCGGATAAACAGCGTCTGCTTCTCGGCATTCACCACGTCTATAAACCAAATAACGATTGACACCTTCCGGTCCAAGATGAAGCTCTCAATAGCGGCTTCATTACCCGGGTCAAGCGACGCGGGTTCGGCACCATGGCCCTAGACGGCCTGGGCTTGGGCATCGCTGCGAACGAGTGCGTAGATTGTGTCATAGGCTGGGAGTTCCATGCTGTCATCGATGAAGTTATGTAGTTGAGCCAGGATGCTCCCGCCAAGGTAGCCGGAGGCACCAGCGAGGAGGATGTTGTGCATGATTCCTTCCCTGAATGGGACGGTGGATAGGGACAGTTTGGCGCGTCGCTTGAAGTTAGCTCAATAGAAACAGCTGTTATTGGGTTGTAGCAAGACAAATGAATAGCAGCTATTGCCGACTTATAATTCCGCTATGGGCAATTATATGTTGAGGCTTTGACTGCATTTAACTCATCAAGACAGGACTGATACGAAATACAACATTTCCACGCATTTCCCCCAGTGACGAAAGGATTGGGCTCTATCGCATACTTTGTCTTTATGTTGGTTTCTAAGAATTAATTTGTCTTATGTTTAATTAATAATAAGATTATTATTTATCGCATATTAAGCCATGAATCAACTCATCGTATACTGGATTGAGTATACGGCTGGTAATGATGTGTTATCTGCACCGAATGCAAAAGAGAAGCTCAAGTTATTCTGGCCAATTGAGATTGAGTCGCGCGAAGTCGTCCAGAAAAGCTATCGCAGTGTATGAATTTTTCATTATAATAAAACAATTATTAGACAGTCGCAGGAATGAAGGCGCCAGAGCCAACATGCTGTGTAAGTCGAGTTCATATTGCTAGATCTGGGCCACTATATTTCCAAGCCCAAAACGCGAACAGCTTAGCTACCATGAAGAAAATAATAGAAAATGCTCCATATGATAGTATGGGTAAACATGATCCAATTTCACTGTTGGGTACTTGACGGCTCGCTCCAGATATTCCAATGCAGTCTAAAATTCTCGCAACTTGCCATCTTTCAGCAACCTCTCCAATGTTTCTGACTCTAGGCATAACGAGATGTCCACGCCTCCATCGAGCAGCCCGCTATCCATCGCACACAATAGACCATCCATAGCGACCATGATGGCATGCACATAGCGTGGACGCAAGCCTCTTCCCACAAAGTCAATATCATAAACCCCAAGTCGGGTCCACGAAGTGACAAGAGTGTGCTTCCTACCGAGAAATGCTCTCCAAAGACGCTGAGGCGCGACTTCATGGGCTTCGTCATGAAGTATAGCCGCTACAGCCTCAGGTGTGAACCGATCAAGGCATGTGCGGATCTGTGAGGCTATAGATTCAATCTTGGTGTCTGAAGCTGCGACGTTGCAAACAGGAGTGCTGATATGTGTCAGCACCAAAGGTGAACCGACAAAGGTGTCTGGGAGGCGCGGCGAAACTCGAGCGCGGACTCCTAGAGTAAAGTCCAAGAAGACTTCATCGTCATTCCCCAGTAATGGTAAGCGAGCCCGATTGATGCCTGTCCAGACATGAGCCAGCAAAGCATCGAGGCGTGAGACCCTGGCCGTGGTCCCAGTAGCTGACTTTTTCAGTCGCTCCATCTCGTCTCCTGTAAAGTGAATGATACTGGTTGTAACGGAATTAGAAATATGCCAGCTCTCCCACGGAGGTGGATACGCAGGCGATATCAGGGCCTTTTGTAACAGCACAGCATCTTTTGGCTTGGAGTTTATCGTTGACTGGCTTAATGTTGCTGGATGTCCGGCAGTCGTATCCCACCAGTCATGCCGAAGCAGAGGGAGAGAGCGAGCCGTTGAGACCAGTTCTGGATCACCATCATGAGCATCGATGTCACCGGCGGCTCTAGAATCTAGCCAGCTGGGCTCAAAGATAGGATACTCCAGATCTTTGGTAAGGTCTTGCTTCGTAAACTCATCGCGGCAGATGGACGCCCATCGACGCATGAAAAGCACGAGAGAATGGGCATCGCCTAACGGATGGGCCATCTTAACAGCCACAGCGAAGCCACCGGTGCCCAGAAGAGTGACCTGCACAATCATACTCGGCAGGCCTTGGAATGTCTCGAGATCATATAGAGCTAGGCTTGTTGACGACATCATGAGATCTGATTGAGGAAAGCTCGCTATCCACAATTCATTGGAAGCACGTATGGCGGGTTCTGGGGCCACTGATGCCGGGGAAGAATCCAGTTGAACAACGTTCCATTCCACACCAGGATCTGAATCTAGGCCGTAGGTAATCATCGGCCGATGGAAACGCTCTCCGTGGGAGCCGTTCTCGCGGAATGGCGCCCATTGAAGCTGGCCCGCCCAGTGTGGGAAAGCTTCGAGTGTCTTGATGAAGGAGGCTTTGAGGTGTCCAACTATATCTGCTGGTTCATCATGGTCGAAGATCCAGATGGCTCCTGTAGGAGCGAATCGAACGACGGTAGCATCAAGAATGGACAATACGGTCGAGACTGCCGATGGTGGCCGGGAGGGCGGGTGCAGCAGGTTTGTTTCTAAAATCTCTGCCCCCATAATGCGTGTTTAAGATGTTGCAAGCTATCTTCTTCTCGTTGCTCTCTTCCTCAAAATCCTGTACGGCAACTACCTAGGTTTAAGTATCCTTTAATACGGCCAAGTTGCACAGTGCATTGTGCTTGGGAAATCGCACAGTATTTTTCTCCGACCTAAAAGGGTATGGCAAATTATTGCTGGCCGGCTGAGTCACACGGCGCTGAATTTATTGAAGGAACATTTACTTCAAGACCCTTGGATATCACCTATCTCTCTATTATTCAGCTTGCAATTTGTGAATATCTCAAGTAGCGCGCGTCTTTTTTCTACATTATTTAGCCCCTAATTATACACAGAATAATCATATGCTAGAAAAATGTATACCATGCAGTAATCTACATGTGGCTTCTGTAGCTTCAGAGGTCCAGCCACATATTTAGAGGATAGGTATTCTCCATCGCCAAATCGCAAAAATTCAACATCTAATACACAGTGTAGTTAAAAGCACGCGAGTTGAGAATGAAGTGGCTATTGTGCGGTTAGAGAATGTGACTCGTGTGATAATTGTAATGAGATTTGCGATAAGGGGACATTTAATACCGCTAGACAAATTAATGCTGCACACCGGCTGAACAATTCCATGCCGCAGAACGTCAATCTCCTACCCATCCATCAAGACTCTTTAGTATGGATGCTAGATTTTTCAACCTGGTCTTGGGCAGCGTAATTATCTCTCCGTCAAAGCGAATTTCGAGTGACATTCTTCGCATGTAATGCTGACAGGCAAGTAGGTTTCCATTACACTTTATCAGCGAGGATATCTTTCTTGTGCACAGGCGATGCTACTGCCATAGAAATCGAATGAAGGGGCAGCTTGGAATCAAGACCGCTTTTTTTAATGATCAAACTCCAACAGATGGCGTGCTCAGTTAATCTCGATGATCAATCAGGTAATATCTCTCGACCGTTGTGGGATATCTGGCGTAACATTGATCTTGCACGTCAAATAAGCGGTTTTAGAGGCGGAAGAAAAAGGAGTAAATATATGTATCCTGTGCAATGGTGCAGCGCATCATTGATAGAGTGTGTGTGATTGCAAAGTGATGGGACTAAAAGTGGCCGCCTCACTGATCCCGCGTATTAGTGGAAGATGAAATATTTTTACTACCACCAGAGAAACTGTTCTGGGCGCCTTCTCCGGAATACGAAAGGTTACAACTGTCCAGATTCTCCTTTTCTTCTTTCATTTTCTTACCTATGAGCTTTTTGCATCAGCACACATACTGTATCTAGATCTTTACATAGCCACTGCTTAATGACGCAACGGTAATTTCTTTGAGCAATTCGATTCTAAACTCTCCGACGGACTGCAAGGTCCGAAAGCTTTGTCCAATCCTCACCAGGACGGGCTAGTTTGCTAAAAGCACTGCAAGCTGCATTCGAGTGATGTTGGCTTGATGCAGGTTGGTGGTCGCTCACACCTTGTTTTTGAGACATTATCGTAAAACTGCTATTCAAGGTTAACGCCCAAAAGATGATCTGTGTTATTACGTAGACGATTTTGGCGAGGGATTATTGTTCCGAGGCTGGACGCCACCCCCACAGTCGTCGGTTCTGGGTGCGTCTATGAAGTAGACGGCAGGGGTATACAGTATTCCACCAGATCATGCAGAGCAGAAAGGCGAAAAGCAAAGGACTCCAATAATATTTAGGATAGACTTATATAGTATAATATCATAACTAGTGTTACGGAAATTAACGAGAGTGTTTCGAATTTTAGCAGTGGCGGCATATTTCATCATGATAAATCGACTTCTTTTATGAGAACTACTACGTGGGTAGAGATATACATATATAAAGGGAGGTGCGAAACCTAACTATGCAAGCACATGGGATGCAGGATTATAACTCGACCTTGAATCAAAGCCTAATGGCTAGTAGCTTGTACTTGCATTCAGTAGATATTAGAGGAAAACTGCCTGTCTATATATTACCGTCTTTTATGTATGGTCCAAGTATCTGGTACACCTCTACAGTCCGAAGCGGGAAATACATCATTTGATCGAAGCTGTGGAATGCATGGCAAGCAGCACATGTGAACCAAGACCCTCTTTCCATCTTGTTGTAAATCGCGAGGATTCCTTTTAGGCGCATTGAGGCAAAAAAAGGATAGTCAATCTCAGGCAACGCCACGACCAGAGTGACAACAACCGCATACATATGCGCCAGAAAAAGAAATAAGAGTGGATCTCCATTACTGAGATCTATAAATGATGCAGCCGAGTTTTTTGTGAACCACGCCGTAAACGGGTAGATTAAACGATATTGCTCCTTAGCTGGGATGTCCGTTTGACACCCCTCATGAGTAATTGTCAGGACATCTCGGAGCTGTCGAGTTACGGCTGCGATGCTTTGATTCTGTTTGAAACATATAGTCAGTCGATTCATTGCATTAATACCTTCAACAAACAGCTGTGTAGCGAAGGCGTCCCGGATTTTATTCTCCGCAATTCGATTCGGCTTGTGAGATGGGGTACTCCCTGTTTCTTCAGTTTTGTAGCGGAGATCGTACTCAAATAGGGAATAGAATACGGATTCTTTGAACCAAGTACGCATCTGGTATGCCGCCTACTAGATCGTGAGACTCCCGAGGGATATACCGGCAAGGGGGCGGCCGAATCACCTGAGAAATGCAGTCTACGATCGCCATTAATGAACGGCTACAATTCAATTAGCAATGTAAACTAGGTTCCATGGGAGCTACACACCAGTCTGGCATCTGATATGAACAGCCCAGTGCCGCAGCTAGAATTGCATCCGCATTGCTTTTTGAAAAAGACTGCATTGCTTGTCTGAGCCCACTAAGAGCAAGAGTGTGATAGCGATAGGCATCTACAGATGCCTGGTGTGATTTGGCTCGTATTGCAAGGCGCTCTGCAGAAGCCGCTGCTAGCATATGAGCTACAAAGCTGAATGAAGTTGCGAGCTGAGACATCCTATATAGCTTGATCAATATAAGTCTCAGCAATCCTAACGATGAGACGTACGTTCGAAATTCGCCCAACAAGAGACACATATCACTAGTGCCACTAATGTCAAGCACACTGACCGCTAAACCTGTCTGGTAAAGATATCACAGCTCAGCCAGAGGCATGGTGTGCCAACCTAAAGATGTAGCGATCTTTAACGTGGGAAATGGAGGATATCCGGTTTCCTTCCATTGCATACAAGATTGCTCAATGTGTGCGGGCCAACACAAGGGTTCGAGTGCATCAGAAGCCTCTACTGCATGTGGTCTATAGTATTGACACTCTGATCCAGTAAGTAGGCATTTGCGACTACGGAGTTGCATTAGTAGATCTAATGTCTACACATTCAGAAGAGATAACCAACCACGTTGGCCGAAACTCATCGCACTTAACACGCTTTCGTTTACATGCCTGGCACCCGTTTTTCGACTTTACATGGCTTCGTTGCATAACAGTCTTTATGGTTTCCATAGTGTTTGTTTGATGCCTTCCACTATTCTTTGGGGTGAGTCAGAAGCCTTGGCATAAGGGCTCAGATAATGACAGCTGCAAAGCAGGCACCGCAAGTATAAATCGAGTTCAGGACGAAAAATTAAAACAGGTGAATGATTTGAAAAAGATATAGATGATCGGAGAGAAGATAACAGGATGAACGTAAAGTTTATGAATGCCGCGTAAAAAGTTGACCCGACTTAGTGATACCTACCAGCCATTTACATGAATACACACATCCGAGGTTTACACGAATGGCGAAATCGTTCCTCCCGGGTAGCATGTATTTTCCTACTTTCAGTTTAATCTGACTGTCCTGAGAGAAATACGTATATTATACTAATCTATTCTTATCTTAATAGATGTTATTTAAGATCTCTGAGAGTTATTTGGTTGTCTCGAGGTAGCAACTTTTATTACCATTCTAGGCATGAACGTTTACTGAAATAGTTCCCAATGACGGGATTCCAAGATAGAGCTAGGCTGTTATTTAATACTCTTGAACATATGCTAATTAAATCTTTCAGAAACTCAAGGCCCATGTGGCTTCTTTAATTCTTCAGGTAATCCAAGACTCGGCAAGAGTTGTTTTATGACGCTCTACTTGTGGTCATACAAGCTGTCGTCTAGTCGGATCTTGGCAGATCTATAGTGGCATAATCATTACAAGCATCGCTACATATATGCGTATATACTTCGAAATGAAATGGAAGGCTTAGAATGGCTGATATTGAACACTGCATGATGACTATCTGCTGCATGTGATACTGATCATAGAATACACTTCAGATAGTACTGGCTCGTAGTATAAGGTAAGTTGCCCCTAGGCGCTCTTAGGAAGGCGTCTAAGTGGCTGGACCCTCAGGATTCGTGCCTTTATAGCGCGGAGTCGCTGTTCAGGGGTTACCCTGGCAGGTCCTTTTGTAGTAAACTGCCCCAATTTTAGGATCCCGATGCGGCCCACTATGAACCTTTGTTGGTTCTGCTCAAGATAGGTTTGGGTGCCAACAGCACAAGATATATATATAATCTGTAAGCGTCTTTCATATGGAGCCTGTATTTTGCCACACGCATCATTTCCTCCTCAAGTACGCGTTCCTTATATTCGGAGTCGAGCCTTTTAATCGGCTTCACCAGGCATCAGCTGCTTAGCACCCTTCGCCTGCTCCGACACCATCAATGCCATCGACTTTCTGTAAACACCAAGTTTTGTTTCAAATCTCTCATCATGGCGACGCAGGGCGATGAGTTGGATCGCCAGCGTCCTGCGCCCGACGAGAGTGTCGCTACAGATCCGCTGCTTTATAGCATCTCTCCTGTCCAGCTATGGATCGGTCGGCTGGTATCCCGAGTATGCAAGGCAAAAACCATGGAGGATGGATGGCTCCCCATCTTTTCTTGTGCTTCGGCTCATTTACGCACTGTAGCCGCGCCTCTATATGCGAAACGCCCAGCAGCGGCACTGAAGTTCTTGCTGCAAAAGGAAACAGGAGGCATGCTCTTCTGTGGAGCCATGCTGGAGGTTTGTATAGCTTCGTCTTGTTGATACTGGCCTGGGCAGCCTCACGTCCTGTTTGAAGAAACCGAATTGCTAACGTTACGATTAGGCAATATCAGCCGTCGCCACCATAGGCTCGCCTCTACTACTCCATAAGCTCCTAGAGAGGCCCCATGATGCGCTGCTTGCCTGGGGTCTAGTGATTGTGACATTGGCCGCCACAGTATTTGGTCGCGCAAAGGATCAATTGTGCAGGGTTCATTATGCGTGGATGGAACTGATGCTTCGGGCAGCCATTTTCGAGAAAAGCATCAACTTATGCCCTGAAGCTCGCGTTGAGTACCCCCCCGAACGCATCGTTAACATGAGCTCTGGCGACGCGGATAACCTGGCGTACTATATGCTGAAGGTTCATGACATATGGAGTGCGCCCTTGCAAATCATTGGCATTGCGGTTCTTACTGTTACCATCATGGGACCAGCTGCACTCTTTGGTAAGTTGTATCTCACTCTTCATTGATGACCTTGCTGCTGCTCGTCCATGGCTAAAGGTTTTCTTCATCAGGATTTGCACTCGTGCTGGTGATATTTGTGTCTCAGTCTTGGGCCAACAAAGGAACGCGCAGTGCCCAGAGGGTTTATATCTCGACTAACGACGGACGATTGGGAGCTTTGCGAGAACTTTTGTACGGCATCGGTGGTGTCAAGGCCCTTGGTTATGAAACGGTATTTAAAGAGCGGATTAACCAGTTTCGGGACAAGCAGGCCGGAGCGCTGCGCAAGGTAAGGATATGTATCCTTCGATTGCTCCTGGACGTCGTTGCTGGAGGCTGGGACACGCTGATGCATTCGATTCTTAGTATCTCATTCTTTCCTTCGGTTACTTCACAGCTGTTAACCAAGCTGTGAGTGGCTTTGCTGCTGGTGTGGCATTTCTGGCCTATTACCTCATGGGCCACCAGCTAACAGCAGCCGTCGTATTCCCTGCATTGACGTATTTTGGTATGTTGTATCAACCTATCTCCAGCGCCTCTTTGGCCATTACGAGACAGTTTGCCACTTGGCCGAGTTTTCGCAGAATACAGGGATTCCTAAGAGCAGACGAGTCGGACTTGACTGAGTATACAAGCGGTGAAAGACGGGGACTAGTCAGTTTCAAAGCGGCCACCTTCTCGCATCCAATTTCTGATCCCAATTCCTCATCAGCCACGGCTGGTCTCGAGGTAGGAAACCTCGACATCCCTTCCCGCCAGCTGACAATCGTCGTGGGTCCTACTGGATCTGGAAAGTCAACCTTTTTGCGAGCCATTCTTGGGGATGTGACCAGGGCGTCGGGATCATGTAGCGTTAACGGCTCTGTGTCCTACTCAGCCCAGGACGCCTGGGTTTTCTCCGGCACTTTGCAGGAAAACATTGTGTTTGCGGCCCCCTTTGATGCTACTCGCTGCCGCACCATCATGAAGGCATGTGGTTTGGATCAGGATTTCCCAGGAGAAAACACATATATCGGAGAGTCGGGGAACAATCTTAGCGGTGGTCAGCGAGCACGCATTGCGTTAGCCAGGGCTCTCTATTCGGAATCCGATATACTACTGCTTGATGACCCTTTTGCTGCTGTCGATGCCAAAACACGAGCACTGTTATTCGATACTATCCGAGCTCTGGAGAAAACTGTGGTCCTCGTTACCTTACACCAATCCTTTATCCCTAGATGCGACAATGTCATTGTAATCGAAGATAGTAAGATTGCCTGGGCCGGTACTAGCAGCGACTTTGTAATTACATCCGAACTTTGGGAGAAATATATTCAAGCCGCCAATGTATCCGAGAGCGATTCCAATTCCACCAATGAAAGCGAGGGAGATTTAGAATCTGACGATACAAAGCCTCTCGAAGCAACATTAGTTGGTATGAGCGAGTCGTCTTCTACAGATGAGGACGTTTTCGAAGAAGAAGATCGAGCCAAGGGCACCGTAAGTTTCACGACTCTAAGATTCTATGCCGCCTGTGCTGGCGGCTTCATCGATGTCGTATCGATCGGCGTATTGGCTGCTCTTTTGACAGCCGCTAAGACAATGTCTTCGTACTGGTTCGTCTGGTGGATCGACGATGCATTTCATCTACAAGGCGGCCAGTATCTTGGTGGATTTATAGGTTTGACTGTCTCGCCAGGCTTCCTTGCAGGTAGGTAATAATGATACTGGTGTCTCTAGACTTTCAGATTCTTTTAATTACATAGACTAACTAGCTTTCAGCTCTTCTTGGCGTTGTGTTGGTCTTCTCAAGCCTTCGCGCGAGCCGCATCATCCACAGCACTATTGTCGACAACATTCTTAGCGCTCCGATTGCATATTTTTCTCGTCAGCCTGTCGGTCGGATTCTTAATAGGTTCACACATGACGTTACATCTATGGATGTGCTTATCATGAACGCTATTGATGGTCTTATAGCTGCTGGAAGTGCACTGATTGCGGCAATTGCTCTTGTGGCAGCCGCTGCTCCAATCACCTTGTTAGCTGCCATTCCGTCTGTAATGGTTGCAAGCTGGTATCAATTACAATTCGCTGTGTATGTTCAATACCTTATCTACTTGTTCCATGACATCACGTCCCTCCAAAGCCTGGGGGTAGGTGTTTCAAACCATCACCATTCTCATCTTGCTAACAGATGGGTTATGACAGTGCTTCGAGGGAGGTGCAAAGATCAGCTTCTATCTTGCATTCGCCGGTACTCAGCATCGTCAGTGAAGCACTTCGAGGCATGAGCTCCATTCGGGCTTTCCGGGCAGGCGGCTTTATGAGCAACAAGCACGATCGAGCGCTTGATACTTACATGTCGGCCGTGATATGTCGAAAGTCCCTCGACACTTGGGTAACATTTCGTGCCGAGTTATCAACGGTGCTGCTTCTCTTAGTCACTGCGATGCTTGTCGTATATACCGATGAAAATAGCAGCGTGGGTCTCTCCGGCACACAGGCGGGTCTGGCCCTCAGCAATGCTACAGCCATTTCTCGCAGCATTTATCTATTCACCTGGGCTATTACTCAACTGCAGATCGAAATGAATTCGATTGAACGACTGAAGACCTATTACGAAGGTATCCCGCGAGAGGCAAACCACTCAAATGATGCAGCACCCAAGCCTCCGGCTGATTTCGACTCAATCCAGTACAGGAACGTCTCCGTTATTTATAGAGGACGGCAGAACCCGGCCTTAGATAGTGTCAACCTAGAGCTGCCCCGAGGCGAAAGGGTGGGTATCATTGGCCGAACAGGCAGCGGAAAGTCGACACTGATATCTACATTGGCACGACTCGTGGATGTAACCAGTGGCAGCATCATGATAGGAGATGCTGATATCTCAGAAATGGACCCCCACAAACTCAGAACCGAACTCGTGTGCACCCTGTCACAACAGCCTCTATTGTTCAAGGGCACCATCCGCGAGAACTTGGACCCAGCTAGCCGCCACAGTAATGAGAAACTTCTCGAAGTACTGAGGATATGCCAATTGAGCCCATCGCTAGTTGGTTCAGCCGAAGGTTTATCGAGGGAGCTTATATCTGAGGCATTAGATCTCTCAGCTGGACAGCGCCAATTGCTTTGTGCAGCACGTGTGCTACTAATGGAGCCTCGCATTTTGCTGGTTGATGAAGGTGAGTGAAGATCCGAAATGCTATGCCCCTCTTTTCTATCTTCTCCCCACTCGTGGCCATGGATAAACTGGCCATAGTAATGCAAGACTGACATGATATTGACCGTAATAGCGTCGGCAAACGTCGACTTCGCCGCCGAAGCAGCCCTTCAGGAGGCGCTGGAAGCCTTGCCTGCCGGGACAACCGTAGTGTCTGTTGCTCATCGTGCTGCAACTCTCTCATGGATGGACCGCATTATCACAGTGGATTCTGGGCGGATCGTTGAAGATGGCGCACCGAAAGACCTGCTACGCCAGCAAAATAGCTACTTTTATCAAGTCATTGCCCGAGATGGAGAGGGAGCGATACGTTCTGCGTTGGCTGTGGCGCAGAAACACAATAGAACCTAACCTAATTCACAATTAAAGGTATAAATGTAATCGTTTCAAGATAGGAGCCGCACGATAGACTATGATTACATATCTATCTACAAGACTACCGCGCATGATAGCCTTCCACGCCCCCGCTTCTAGGCGAGCAACATACGTAATATGGGGAGGTTTAATATTGGCGTTTGAGCAACGGATCAAATTACCAATCATTTAATAGCCCTTGCATCACAAGCTTGCCTTAAGTCGGAGCCGAAAAGTTAGCATAAATCCTTCTCACAATCTTGTCTATTGTCTAGGCGTAGCCTATAATAGAGTCAATTGAAACCGCATATTCGCCATACAAAGTACCACATACTTAACCAGGATTGCACTGAACAATGCGGCAATGTAGCACTTACGGGGGCAGAGACAGTCGGAGAAACGTAATGAGTAGAAGAGGGGAGAGGGAATATATATATGCTCTAGAAAACAGAAATGCTCTGAGCAATAACGTTGATGATGCATATAGGCATAGATTTATGCGGTCGACGTACTGAAAGGAATTTTATCGCAGTAGCGTTATCCTTGAGCGTTGGTGCTGGGCCCTTGAATGCACTTATAATGCACCATCGAAAGGATCTGATACCAGATATTGTTAGCAGTAGATGTATGATGACAATTCCTTCTATCTTGACAACTTTTACGACTCGCAAGCTGCGCAACTGGGCATGGACACCATCCCTTCAAGTCGTGATCTGACGATATCGTTCAGGAAAGATTGTAATTATGCCTCTTAATCGTATTTATGACACAATGTATTCCAAAAATCTCCCCTCACCATAAGCTTGCCCATGGCTGATAGTCTTCAGCCTGCATCAACCGCTGAAGCTGCCTCCGTCGGACTCCAATATTCCCTCCATCGAAGAGGGAGAACACAGCAGCGTCATTCAACAATCTGGGGAAGTCTGAATCGGTTCGATAAGATGTTCTATATGTGCATTAGCGTATTAAACTTTATTTGAGGGATGTTTGACTTCAAAGAAATTGGCACAGCTTTCTCTTGGGGAAACTCACATTCCCACTAACTGCATCGTCTCCCAGACAGCAGCCACGGCCTGATCACTGCAGTACACCTTGGCCTGCAAGCAAGCTTCATATCGGCTTCTGTCGTCTCCTGTTCCTTTTTCTACCCCGTCAAGGGCCTTCCAGACGAGAATGCGGGATGTATCAATCTTGAGCTTGGCGTTGATTAGCAAATCGGCTGCGCTTTGTCTCTCTATAACAGGCACAGTGCCTCTGCGGCTGTCTTCTCGGGCAAATTTCAGGGCTGCCTCGAAGGCCGCACGCATCGTCCCAACAGCCATAGCACCTGCCAGTGCAGCAGACATGCTAAATGCGCGCTCGATAACGGATGCGCCATTCCCCGGTGACAATACGTCTGTAACCGGAACCTTGAAGTTGGTGTACCTAGTCAGTGGGCCAGAGGCGGCGATATGACCCATAAGATTCGGCTCTTCAATCTTTTGATAGGCTCCAGGGTCGTTCTGAGCCACTGTATCCCGTGTAACCAGAAGAACGATGATGTTTGACGCAGGATCATCCTGGGGATCTTGAGGTCCACCATCCTCAGAATACCGACAGCAGAGGCATGAGAGAGCAGCACCCTTGCCATCCCAGCCAGCGCTGTTGGTAGTCCACAACTGAATGCGTTTAAATATGATTAGCAAATGAAAAATAAAATTGAATGTTCAAATCAATAATGTGGCTGATCATTGTTACCTTGTTTCCATTTACAATATAATAGTCGCCTTCTTTTCTCACAGTAGTTTCTAGTCCTTTGCCACCCTTTTCAAGCCAATTGGCAGTGCCTCCAGGTTCGGAATGGGTTAAACTTGCAAGAGGATCACCATCACAAGTGAGGAAAGGAGCAAGAAACCTCTTGTGCTGCTCTGGTGTTCCGCCGAGAATCAGAGGCATTAACCCAAGCCCTGTGCCAAGCACATGAAGCATGATGCTCGAATCAACTGCATAGAGTTCTTCAGCAACAATTGCGCCATCTATGAACGATTCATTGCTTCCACCAAGTGCCGTTGGAACCTGAGCTTTCACAAAACCCGCTTTCACAAGTTTTTGGTAGAATGGAATAGTGGCTTGGAATCGGGATTCTTGGTCGCTATATTGAGAATATATTGCCCTTGCAGGTGAGAGAATTTCTCTCCCAACTCTGCCAGACTCCTCACGCAGAGCCTTTTGTTTCTCAGTTAGACTAAATCCAATCATATTAATTGTTAGTCGATTAACCGGGGAGGCGCAATGCTGGTTCTCGATAGGCAGAAGACAGAGCTAAATATCAAGGATAGAGTGACTTGGAACAATAAAAGATGAGAGCTATCTCTTTAACGTGTTATATATAGAGAAACATTGGCTATTCTTAGAATAGTACTCCGTACGTATGAGTTATTAACTGTTAGAGATGGATTCCCCATTTTGAAACAGAATTGGATGGAGATGATATAAGAGTGGCGCCAGTCCTAAATCCCGTCGTTCTGCGGCCGCTGTGCCCCGGTGCAGAGCATAGAAAGCCGACTAGCCGCGGATTTCTGGGGCTTATACACCATCTTAAGCATAACTTGCGGGCACTTAGTACGGACGATAGGATGTGTAATTTCACACTTAATCTTCCCACTATAACCAAGAAATCGTTTCTTTGCTGGCTTCAACTATCATGGACAATGTTATCCTCTTGACTCAATTACCAATGGCATCTATTCGGCTAGGCTCTGTATTTCGGTAATAAAATCGTCGGCGTTCACGCCCATTCAATTCAATGGTTTCCACCATTTTTCTTCAATCCATATCTGACGCTAGGAGAGTAATACTTCATTTGGTTAATGTTTGCGCGAGTCTTTCTGTTAGTTACAGTCTAATTAAACACGATACCAGCTAAGCGATGAGCACAGCAACTTCACCCGGCAATACGTGGAGCTTCACTGTCTTTCTCTAGTTAATGCAGCGGCAGTAATAACAGGGTAAATACACTTGTGCGAACTACTACGATGGGATACGTGCACGATACAGGAGCTTTCAAAAGGTAACATTATAGCGTAGGGTCTGATAATCTGAAGATCAAAGTCTTGAACTTCCCAAGATACCATCACAAGGACGTATCAGCGTTCCCCGCCCAAGGATCCGCCAATCATCATCAACCACGCAACTGAGAAAAGTGAGCTAGCTATTAGTCAGTAAGAACAAATAAACAGAGGAGGCAACGCAAATGGACAACTAGTGCACCACGGCTTATGGCTGTCGCAATTCATTTCTGTGATGAGCCCCACCACCGCATGCTACATGTAGTAACTGCATGGATACATAATACCACATATATATTTGTAAGCAATGGTAACACTGATCATCGTATGCCTAAACTCCGACTATCACGCACTATTCAATGCACTATTCAACGTGAGCGCATCCCTTCTGTGATAGAACTGTCTTACACTCATGCGTCTCCTCGAAGGCCACCAAAGAACATATGATGTATGATGTGGGGTTACACTCTTAGAACCGAATCAATGACTGTACTTGTAATAGTCGCCCATCACTTAGCGCTTACTTATGGGGAGCTTTTACCCTTTAATAGCAAGATATGAGACCATCTTCCAAGAACCTCAATCTCAGCTACCCCGCCAAGGTATTTTAAACACAACGTTAAAGGCTTGAGGGCTTGAGGTCTCCTTCTTCAGTTTCTCTTTTGTTTTCATCAGGATCTTGAATCGTAGAACTACATTAGTTTGAACTGTATAGGTCATCGTGGTCTTATAAATAACAGACAAGTTTCTGCCGTATTGCAGAAGCGAGATTGCTTAAAATACATTATTTCCCGTTCAAAAGGCGTATCAAGTATGCATGTACCAATGTAGATCTCCTAATATAGATACGCCGAGTAAAATCTTATATCCTTTCAATTGCAGCAGTGGCTAGGGCTTCGGTTACGCGATACGGATCTGCGGTGCCGGAAACCCTCCAACTGGCCACCAGAAAGGTCGCCTATTATTGCCAATGAGAGTGATTTCTTGCTCAAGTCCGAACCATGGCTCGTGCTCTGCATATGTGCCCATTACCTTGGCGCAGCCGTGACGAAAATTGAACTTGTTAGGTGTTCCATCGGCATTCCAATATTCTGCCAAAACAATGATGCTTGATGGTAGGCGGATAGTATCAGGGAATACAGCACAGGGGCGCAGTGGTACGTCGGTGTTGTTGATTGGAGCTTGCTTAGTTGAAGAACCATCAAAATTCCAAATTGGAAGACTATCGGGTGTGTTGACTCCTTCTCTGAGAGTCTATACGATTCATCACGAATATGAAGGGTACACAATTCAACTTGGGAGGGGGGATACAGTTTGAACTTACTCTCGATTTTGAACGCGTCTCGCCGAATGCATCAATCCAGACATATCCCGCAATCATTCGTCCGCCTTGATCGAGTTTCACATATTTTTCAGCCTATACTTCATTAGCAGCCTAATCCTTCTAAAGTCGTGATATTCATCTTCTTACTATATAATTCCTGGATGCCGTAGTCTCCATGATATCTTATGATGGTTCTAGAATTCACACAGCAAAGCTAAATATGACAACATCATTAGAAGTCAGAAGGTTGTTATTGTTTCTTTACGAGCACGTACTTTTCTTTTTGTTAGAGCTCTTGGACCAGTCGAAAGGTGCAATCCATTTTCGAGCAGGACTGTCTGCACTTTTTGTAGCTTAATGGACTATTCCTTTCTGTAGAGGATGAGCCATTGTACAGTTATTCCCCAGGCTTAATGCCAATCAATTGGATCAAGGGTTTAGCTGTTACAGGCTGTTGACCCGAACATACAGATAAAAAATAACCCGTATGGATATCTGCATGCTGTAAAGATAAGAAGCTGGCTGGCGACTGCTCAACATATATCCGATTGTACCCGTAATTCTCAATGCGGCCCCGTTTTGTCTAGGTCGATTGGCCATTTGATAAGCGTTCAATTACGTTACTGTGTTAGGATAGTACTTTGAAGGGCGTGGGATCCAGATATAGCCATGCGTAGTGTATTTATGACTCTTCTCAATGCATTCAAACGAATGAATCGCACTCGATAGCCTTATCTGAACAAACTGGCGATCATCATCTACCCTTTTAAGAATATGTTACGTATGATCATTTCGTAAAGTAGTCACCATACACAGCTCATGTAGCCTTCCTTATTTTGTCCTAGTTGAACATTTGATAGGTTTTCTCTCCAAACAGCCCTGCTTCGAGACCTTACTTCACTGTTCAGAGATCATCCTCACATTAGCCAACATATCTGACTATGTTCTTCATCGATGTATCTTATCCAGAACGCTCTTATAGCTACGCTAGTCTACATGGTACATTGAAGTTCTTGCTCTTCAGGTAGACATCAAATTAATAAATATTCCTGAAGGAAGAATTGAAGAATCTTCAGAGTTTTATAGGTGTAATTACGGAGCACTTAGGTTTGAATTGGAATGAAACTCTCTATTTCTAGCTTAACGATTCGAATCTATTTCCTCTGTTCTCTGAAACAAAGTTTAGTTTGAGAAACTGATGAAGTGCTTCTACATGGTCAGAAAATGCGGAATTCGGATCTGCCCAATTTTTCTGGAGTAAACAGCTTGAGAGTTGGAAGGTATTTGATGTATCACAACACTGGCAACTTCCCACCTCGGCTGATGAGAACTGGCTGGCCGGTAACTCCCGTGGCACATGTAGCGCATCTACTACTGGACTGTCAATTCTAGTAGTCCATAGGATAATAAGAAGCACCAAACCTGAAACCCGCTCCTCTGCATGGAAAGTTGCATCGATATCAATTGAAGAGAAGTCTAGAAGTTCGTTAAAATGATAAATATTATCATTAGTGCTCTCTGAGACATTTTGGGATTGAGAGTCTGCATCTTGATTGGTGGTAGATTTGTTAGACGGGTTAGGATCCAATGCGTGAGATATCGAGTCATTTAGCAGTTGAGTGTTGACAACAAATCGGGATAGTTGTGTCTGGACTTTAATAAGCTGCATTCGAAGATCACGGTTCTCTTCTTCGAGCCTGGCAATTGTCTCGCTCTGGGGCTTATAGCTGGAGTTTAAACGTTCTTGGAGTGTTTTGAGATTTTCGGCGCGTCGTCGTCGAAACGCTTGCTGAGACAGGCGATTCCGAACCTTCCTATAGAGTCTATTTAGATGAAGTATCTGAGGTACAGATAGGTAGGAATACTCACTTTTTATCATTATAGTCATTCTTGCTTTGACTATGCCCGCCTCGAGAACTGTTCGAAGGCATGTGAATTGTGCGTTTGTCTCCCTTGTCTCTCGTATGTCGAAGATGTCAAGGATATTGGGCTTCATAGTTTATCAAAGAAGAATATCATCTGCAATCATCCACAATTCATTTAAAAGTAACAGCAGGCATTTGCAATCGAATAAAGATGCATCAGACATCTTTTGGAAATTCCACTGGTTTAGACTCCAAGTCAAGTCGGCTCAGCTTTCACCCAGAGTTCCTATAGATTAGTAGAGGAAACTGGTTACTCATCGGACTTGAGGCTACCTTCGGCTAAGGCACGTTCCCCATAAAAACGTGTAAGAATTTGGTCCTTGATCAACTAGTGGCGTGGAACGGGCACTGGCCTTTCTACTCAATGAAGTCTTCACTTCTCTAATCAAAATACAATTGAAAGCCACAATAGAGTTGATGGTTCGCTGCGCTTCGGTATTGCAAGCCTTTGTCTGATTGTCGCCGAGTGACAGATCATTACCTCAAAGTGGGTCTCTTCTGTGTGAGATTTTTGGCCCGGCTAGTTTGTAGCCTATAATGCGGGCCATGATTCATATTCTACGTGGGAGAAGTGAGAAATGTTACGTATAGTATAGGATTTGGTAAAGGAATATCAGTAAATATCAAAGACCAGTTAATAGTGTGAGGCGCCTCCCGATGCTCGGCACCAAAGTCAAATAAATTCGTCAATGATTCGAGGAAAAAAAGCGGACATGATCTACCGGCGCAGTTGATGAATGTGTATATATATTTATAATGTTATACCAACCCGTCTTTTGTTTTCAGTCGTACAAAATTGCATGTTTTCACTCAAGCATAAAGAATAATTATCTTTTCCAACGGAATACAATGTCTACGATGCCCCCAGTAGCCATGAGTATCTTCGATGCAATCGGTAACACCCCGGTTATAAAATTAAACCACATTGTTCCCGATGGGTCTGCCGATGTCTATATTAAACTCGAATTCTTCAACCCAACAGGGTGTTACAAAGATCGGATGGCGCTATCCATGATTGAACAAGCGGAAAAGCGTGGAGATTTACAGCCGGGTATGACAGTTGTGGAAGCTACTGGTGGCAGCACTGGATCTTCACTTGCTTTTGTCTGCGCGCAGAAAGGCTACAATTTTGAAGTTGTGTGCTCCAACGCCTTTTCAGTTGAGAAACTGCGTTCAATCACTGCGCTTGGGGCAAAACTCGACATAGTACACAGTCCCACTGGTAAAGTCACAGCCGACCTTATGCCATCCATGATGCAACGTGCAAAAGAAGTGGGTGACCAAGAAGGATACTACTACACGAACCAATTTCAGAACCAGGATGCTCTTATTGGGTACGAAGGTATTGGCCATGAGCTGGTCATACAATTTCCCAACGGCATTGATGCTTTTTGCGGCGCCATCGGCACTGCCGGAATGGCCATGGGTGTTGGGAGAGTTTTTAGATCGAAAATGCCCGCCACGAAGATTGTCATTTTGGAGCCAGCCTCGGCGCCGCACATCACCAAGGGCCAAACTGGACCGCATAGTGTCGAAGGCATTGCTGTTGTAAGCCGCCCGACTCATCTTGATGAAACATTGTATGACGAAGCCCGCGCTATTGAAGAAGACAAAGCTCGTGCCATGTGTCGCCTCCTTGCCAAAAAGGAAGGGTTGCTTGTCGGCACATCCACAGGGATCAATGTTGTCGCAGCGCTGGAGCTTGCAAAGGAACTGGGAGCTGGTAAAACAGTTGTTACCGTTGCGGTTGATACGGGTTTAAAATATTTGAATGGCAATCTGTTTCAAGAGTAACCTAAAAGCGAATTGTCTTTTGTAGATACAAGATCACTTATCCAAGGGCCACAGAGCGAGAACAACTCAGGGAACCATTTGATATACTAGCATCTAGCCCAGCTCAGGGTCTTTTTGAATGAAAATTTTGCCTTGTTTTCTTTTATCTATTCAGAAGAAGCATTTATACTTTATATCAGGAAGCTGGGTTAGACTATGTTTCATCACCAACCTCAACCTTGTTTACCCCTTCTAGGTTTGTTGGGAGGTCACTACGCGACATCCCTAAATCTTAAAATAGCAATGTACATGTATATTAGCTACGTCCTAAATTATAGAGAACTTAATGAAAATACGCCTTTATGATCCCCTACGTTGATCATCTTGTTCTGTCACGATAATAGCATCCGGGGGACGTCCGTCTATTGAATGCAATCACTTGGAACAATATAAGATATATGGGCACTTCTTCTGTTAGTATATGCCAACCTTTCTGCGACTTCACATTCAAATGACCTAGAGATGTGTTTGCTGTTCTATAGAGGTAGAGTCTATAATAAATTGACTTGTTCTTATCTATTTAGTTCCTACCGATCTCAGGAGGCTGAATGAAGAGATTGTGCAATGGTGGTGGCGTAAATGGGCTCTCTCCAGGATGAATCTTGAACCAGGCTGAAGCGGCCAGCAAAACATGATGCTTCGTCATTCTCCTTGAGCAGATCAAGGAAAGGGAGAAGAGAAAAGAAAAGCATATAGACCAGCCTCAGACGTATCGCTATAAATCATCCGATGCAGCGCTACAGCGAAAGAGTGCCCGTATCTGCACCAAATTTAGTTTAGAATAAGGACTTTATGGGCCTCTACTAACCTCTTTGGACAACAAGTTTAATGAAAGCAATGACTGGATAAACTATGCTATTCTCGTTTGTATACCTCTTGCAAATATTTTAAGATGATCTTTGCTATATCGCTCGGATCTTTGTTGGTTGTATCAACACAAATTCCCAAAGATAGTCCTTCGAACTCAAAAAGTCTACATTTTGACCGGAAATCTTGAAGAAGAATAGGATCGGTCAACTTTGTTGTGGTGCTAAAGACCCGTTCCTGACTTGTGGCTCTCTCAATATTCACTTCGAGATCGCATTCCAGATAGATGGGGATAAAAGGCCTGCCAGCTGTTATAGCTGCTGTTTGATATTCATATGCAACACTTCGACCTAATTCATTGTCTGTCTGGAAATCTGCTCAATAATTAATTTAGTATATGGTAGATATAAATCACTGCTTTTTAAAGTATATAATATATTTACCTGTGAAAATGATGGTTTCTGAAGCCGTCGTAGGATCTTGAACATGTCTTTGAAATGCTCGCTCTCGCTCTCGCTTTCGTTCTATTTGGTAGCACGGGTCATCGCGAGAGAACTTCCATGCAACTGGATCTATGAGCTGGTGGTTGTCGATAATAGTAACAGATGCGCCTATGGACTTTATTGCCTTAGCTATGGTGAGTTTCCCAGTTCCGGGAAAGGCATTGATCCAGATGAGCGGCGCTGCCATGATGGCCAAAAAGATGTATTGTCCGAGAAAAGAGGTATATGCGAGAGTTAGTCACTACATGTATATAGATGCGTGAGAGTTAGTCACTAGAAGTGGAACCAACGGGTATTAATCAGTTGTGCTAATAATTCAAAATTCCTTAGCTCGGATATCACTAAAGCGGGCGACTTACTTGACTACGAAACGATATCATACCGCTGCATGGAAAGTTAGCAAATCCGGCCAAAGCATCCAAGCACATACGACCATAGATTGTGGAAAATTCGGGGTCCTATCAAGCTCTCTTCTTGCATTGGGTATCTTCCATTTTTTGCATCCCAAGACTCTAAGTCTGGAGTTGCATGATTCCGTTTTTTATGGTTACATCAACCTAAGATGTCCTGCCAACGCGGGTACACAAGGTGGAGTAAGCACTAGGGATTCTGTCAGGGGCTGAAGCTGTCATCAATCGATTCCGACTTTAGCGATTCAATTCACGACCAGCATAAAAGTGAACTTGTCTTTTCGTCGGGAGAGATCCCCGAAAGGCGCACTTGGTGAACAACACTCAAAATGGATGCACATATTTACCCGCAGCCCCTAGTTTTTCTGCTCTGTGCCGTTACCATCTTTGAAGTCTCTCTTTTCTGTCTGCCGCCGCATTCCCTCTACCGCGCCGCAGCCATCGCTCTGCTCGCGGCCGTGACCTACAGCTTCCAGCTCAGCCTCCTGGAACACATCCCAAATCGCGCCTTTCTATCTCTCGCGTTGGGCGCAACCTGGACTACATTCTTGAACGCTTTCGAGATCCTTATTGTGTCAAATGTCGGCCCTCAAGACCCCGGCCTTCAGTTAGCCAATTCCGAAAAGCCGATCTACCAGGCACTTCGGGCAGCCACATTACCATTCAACTGGCGGCGCATCGGAACTAAGTGGCAGATTAAGGCCCCAGCCTCGACGGAAGATGGCTCCATACCCGGGCGCGTGCGTTTCCTTTTCAGGAGACTGGGTGTTCTAATCGCCTGCTATCTCGTCATAGACCTCTGCGCTGCCGGTCCTCCGCCAGACCCAAATATGATCACGAGAGAGAAGCAAACTATCTCGTATCTGCTTGCTGGCACGGGGGCAACCTCAGAAGACGTCGGTTTTCGGGTGATAAGTACCATTGTCTTCCTTATCAACGCAGCCCTTGGCGTGATCGGGGTCTACAACCTTCTAGCAATAGTTGCCGTCCTTTGCGGTGACCAGCCACAGAGCTGGCCTCACATCTGGCAGGGCTGGCCGAGTCAGGCGTATTCTGTGAGAAGATTCTGGAGGTATGTTTAAACACGTTCTAGTTGTATTCCTGACCGCTAATCGAATGTATCCAGCAATTACTATCACCAAGGTCTGCGTAAGGCGCTCAGTGGGCCAGCTGATTGGATAGTTGATTTGGTTATCCCCCGTGGTAACCTAATCTCGCGGTACTCGCGGCTCGCTCTTGCATTTTTCTTCTCTGCAATGCTACACCACCAGGCTGAGGGATCTGAAAATGGACAATTAATTTTCTTCAGCAGTCAGGCATTTGGTATCATGCTAGAAGATACAGCTCACTGGCTGTATAGCTTTAGCCCCATACAGCTCCCTCGACACGTTGAGCACGCCTTGGGGTACCTTTGGGTGCTAGTATGGTTAGTGTGTCTCGTGCCGTACTGGTCTTATTCGACAATGCGCATAATAGACGACCCTGTGAGGGATCGAGCAACGTTTGAGATTTTCAAGAAGGTCTTATCCAAGTAAGAGTATTACAACCGCGACTAGTTGAACCCTGACCGATAGGGTTCCTTCCTAGAGGTAAGGGGAATGATGGTTCTGAAAGGCAGTCCATATACAAATATAGACAAGAGAGTTATAATGAGTATATTCATTAGGTATTAGATATTGATCTAATAAGTTTGCTTAATCGCTAGAGAATAAGCTATCGACATTACTCTCTAGGTAAAAACTATTCTCATATACTAGGAAGAAGGAGGGGCCTTCCTACTGTAATTCGATAAAGGTGGCATCTCTTAAAAAGAAGAGGAGGCCTTCTACAAAGCCGAGCAAGCCGATTTCAGAATAGAAGGAAGACATGACTTCCCTGTAGACTTCCTATTACGATCTAGTCCTTCCTAACAGGTTAATCCCTTATAAATAAATAGCTGGTTCTTTTACAATAGCTGCGATAATTGCAATTATTGGCCTAATCTTTTTCCTTATTGTCTTAACCGCACAACGGAGTTACAGCCAATATTTATATATTTAGAGATAGGTAGATAATTTAAAGCAGGTAATAAGTAGATAGGGTTTGTCCTTTACATGTTTCCTGATGTCTACTTTACCATATGGTTGCGCTACCCTTATATACTTTGGCTACTCGTTTGCTATCACATACGACCATAGGTAGTGGAGAATTCGGGGTCCCGTCTGCTCCCCCATAGACAAGCCACTAACCGGCAGATTAGTAGTTGAGTGGGTGACCATCAGCGAACACCGGCTGTTGTATGTTTTTATTTTTTCCTTTTTTTACTGTGCGTTTGTTATCACTATTGTATAATTCCTAGTAGCATAGCATTCTATCACATACGACCATATCCATTGGAATATACGGGATCCCGTCCGCTCTCCCAGAGTCAAGCCAATGAGAGGCAGATTAGTAGTCAGGTGGGTGACCACTGGCGAACACCGGCTGTTGTATGTCTTCATTTTTTGCTTTTTTTCTCTTGTGTTTTTATGGTATCTGGTTATGATTCCTACACCTTGATAGTTGTCACAATAATTGGGATACGGATACGTGGGGTCACTTATTGGCTGTGCATATGCAATGCAACCACACCAGTAGTAGCCAATTAGGTGGTGTCCATAAATAGCCCACTCACTCAAAGCCAGAGCCGCAGGCCACACTGTATTACGAACGAGAAAACTTAATTAATGTAGCATACAGAGTTTTTCAGAGTACCATTGTTCTATTGGTAGATCAAACGTATCTTTATGACTGTCAACAGTTTACATAACATGTCCCTCAAACCCAACCATCAAGTTCCAGTAAACGCCAGGCCAAATGAGACGCCGTATTTAAGTGAACAGACAAGCAACGATGCTGATCAGAAGCTTTTTTACAAAAGTCTCGAGCAATAAACTGTTTCAGGGATCGTACGATGCTCGCCAGGAAATTCATTTTTCTCTTTTTTTGTGTCTGTAGAAAGAAAAACGGATAACTTGCCTGCTGCTAAAGCAAGAGAGCGGGTGACAGGCTCAGTGTGTAGGCATTAATTCCAAAAACTCAAAAACTTGGTCGCTTGAATAAAAACTCAAATGTCGTAATCTTAACAATCCCATAGCCTTAACCGCGTACACACATGATATCAAAATTTGCGGCGGAGCCTCCAAGAAAAGAAAAAGAATCAGGCTGATTGTAATGCAAAGGTTTCAACTTAGGATGCTGGTGATGATGCATAACTTATATCGTGGAATTGCACGTCATCGTCGTGGTGAAGTGTAACGCTGTTGAATTCGAGGAATGGGTCTGCAGCCTCGTTGCCTGGAGTTGCCAGTCCGCTATCCAGTGGAACACCAGTAGCATTCATCGCCCTTGCTCCACTGATATCAACGCTTTCGCTCTCCTTGACGTTCCTAAAATTGATCGTATCAATTCCATGGCCCTGATTAGGGACAATCGGCGGCTTCATATGGCGAATGAGAGCCCACTGCGTCGTACGGAAGAAGGGGTGGGCCTTGATGTCCGATGCACCGGCGCGGGCACCTAGCCTTCGATTCTCGTCCTTGATGAGAAGCTTTCTGATGAGTGATTTGCACAGACTAGAAGAGAGTTAGCAATGAATGTGATGTCAAATATATATAAATAAAGCGACATACTTTGAGATTTGCGGTGCTCCAGTGTGATCAGGGAAAGGTATATCTTCGCGCAAAATGTTGGCAAAAGTGGCATTTCGGTTCTTCCCCTTGAAAGGCGTAGTTCCGTAAAGCATCTCGTATATGAGAATACCCAGCGTCCACCAGTCGACCGCGCTCGTGTGACCACTGCCCTTGATAACTTCAGGAGCAATGTACTCTTCAGTACCAACGAATGAATTTGTCCTGAAGTCAGCGATACATGACCGGGTATCAATAGTTGGTAGAGAATCCGTTCTCGCTCCGTTCTTGCCAACAATCATTGTCGGCTTGCCGCCGGGGCCAGACTGCTTTGAGAGATCAAAATCCGACAACATGATGTGGCCGGATTGGTGAAGCAGAATGTCTAGAAGAATATGTTAGTTGGGAGCTTCGCATCAATATTTCACTATTAGCACATACTCTCTGGCTTCAAATCTCGGTAAATGAAACCCATGAGATGAAGATATTCCAACGCAGCCGTAACTTCCGCGGCGTAAAAACGGGCGTCGTCTTCCGGAATACACTTGCCAGGGCGAGTCTGAAGGGCTCGGAAGAATTCTCCACCGCTGCAGTATTCCATGCAAAGATAAAGATGGTCTTCAGACTGAAAGGAGTGGTATAATGTAACAATGAAGGGGTGGTTGCTCGTCGCGAGGATTTCTTGTTCGGCAAGGGCGCGCTTGATCTTGTTTCTCTTGATCATCTCTTTCTTGCTCAAAACTACGAATTGAATGGATTAGTGACCGGGATTAAGACGCGTTTTTTAGGTTTTGCATTACCTTTCATGGCGTAGAGTCGGTTGCTCTTCTTTTCTCTCACCAAATACACTTTACCCACATCACCTTTACCAATAAGCTTAATCTTGTCGAAGCTGGAGGGACCAACTTCAACATCGCGGACTTTGATAGAGTTGGAGCTGTATGTCCTGCGGAAGGCCAAGGGAGTCTGTGGAGGAGGCAGAGCGCCAAGCGTATCTTCGGCATGTAGAGGATGTTGTGCTTCGGGCTTTGCGCCATCAATGAGGCTAAGTGAACCTGATTTGGCGTTCTGAATTAGAGGATCCTTGCCCAGTTCAGCAGTACCTGGACGATCGCCCTTGTTTCCAGCATTCGCAAATAATCCCTGGGCATTGGGTGCGCTAGCGACCCTTCTTAACCTGCGGGCCAGCTCTTCCTTCGTTTCGCTCGTCGCCTGCTCAGCCTCGGCACCATCCGGGCTTGAGATCTTGAGCGTCGGTGTATCTGGGGGGCTCGGTGGCACTGAGCCTTCGTTATGGTGGCGCAGGCCAGGTTGGCCTTGGTGAGCGAAGTAGGGGTTGGCAAGCGCCGTAGGGCTCATAGCCTCTTCCAACTTGTTATTTTCGCTAGCGACGGTGTGTGACCTGAGCCGGCCGACGGTGTTGTTGAAAAGCTTGGTGTGTCGAGAAGTTTTGGTGGAATGTGAGTCGCTGCTGTTTCCATTGCCCGTGGGCACGCCGCTGATGCTAAGGGAGTTGCTGCCCCTTTCCTTCTCGTTGATGCTGCTCGCGCTGCTGTTCATGCGGAAGAAGCTGCGCAGGCGATTGCTCACTGGGCCCCCGGCGGAGGTGTTGGCGGCCTTTGAGGGCATTGTTGGATGATCTAATACGATGGTGGCGGCTGTTGAAGGGGGGGATCGGAGGGTGAAGAGGAGGATGAGGATGAAGATGAGGAGAAGCAGAAAAACGAGGATGGGATGACAGAGAGCGGAGTCCTGTAGCTAGTGGATGGTATCAATGTTCGGATGATTACGATATCGGGGGTTCGTTTAAGCAACCGAGTCCATGGCTCTCCCAGCAAGGAACAGACGCTGATTGTAGGCAGACAAAACTTTTTTTTTTCGGCCAAGCAGTAGCGAGAGCGGGCGACGAGAGCCTCGAGGCTTATGGCGGTGCGGGAGGATGCGGCGGCGTCCGTTTGATGAGGAGAGTCGACGTTCTCCCTCAACTTGCACCTACGGCTGGACGAGGTACCATGAGTTGAGACGAGATGGTGGGCCGGACCGCTCACGGCAGCCACGTTGCCTCAGGCATCAGCGTCACTGGCCCTTCTGCGCTTTCCACTGGACAGGATATGTGGGGGAGATGGACAGGTACCGGTACTTTGGCAAGGCCGCGCAGTCGCAGCAGCGAAAACAGTGGGTTCTCTGTCACAGATCGGGGACTCCCAGGCCCTTATTCAGGCTGCTGCAAGACTTGTAGCGGAGCACTATAGCGCCACTGCACACATTGAGTTACGGGGGGCCACAGCGGATAGGATGAGGCGCTCAGGGGGCGCGGAGAGAGCAGCTAATGCTGGTAGCGGTACTTTCCCTGGCTGTTGGAAGCAGTCAACTATTTCCGCTACTAGAATTGGAGTCACCCTCATCAGATTTTTTTCAAGTACCGTGGAACTTGGCAATGGACAAGCTGCCTACAAACATTTGAAGCGAGTCATGCCATGTCGCATCATCAACATGGAACATCCAGAGCGATTCTCTGCCCACTCGTAAGCACAAGGGCACAGGGTCAGCTGATGCTTCAATATCTGCCGTAGGAACAGCAGTAGATGCAGAGCTGCAAAAACAAATGGTTCTTTTGTGCATTTATAATGGCGAAGCACATAACAAAAGGTCCGGCCTATTACTGCGATGCTCGGCACGAGGCGGCGCGCGCATTCGCTTTCGTGTTCCTGCGTCATCTTCCGTTCCTGTCTGTGGCTGTCGCCAGGTACCTGTACCTGCGCTCGTACCGGTACTTGCTCGGAAATGCGGAGACTGTCGGCCAGCATTTTAGCAGCAGTCCAATGGAGCCTTATGACGAGGGTCGTACGTTACAGGGCCTGCCAGCAAGGCGCGTTTCCAAGGCATGAAGGTGCGAGTTGCCCTGCTTACAAACCAGTGCCAAAGAGGCAGAATTCACGAGATGATAATGCTAGACCCAACATCACGTCTGTCCGCAGCAGCGCCCGTCTCCACCACAGGCCGTCGCGATGCGTACCGGAAAGGGCCAATACTGCAGGCTCGCCGTGCGTATGGCTGGCGTGGAAATGCACCAGTGAGAGGGAGCCTACTAGGGCTGCATTAGTTTTAGTGCATGCAAGTGCGTGTAGGAAGTAAGGTGGTTCGTAGCGGCAATGTACTGTAACACGCACCCAGTCTACGGAGTACAGGTACTGTAGGTACTAATTCATGCTATCATCAGTCAGAACGGCTAAAGAAAAAAAAAACCCCCCGAGGCCAACAGAGAGCTCAGTGGCCACCTTGAGCTCAGTTACGTGCCCTTCTCAACTCAACTCAGTATTCGCTTGCTCCCTCACGCTCTGCAGCATCCGACACACTGTCGGGAATCGCATCCTCGTGCCCAACAGCCGGTATGTTCGGCATCCTGCCATGTCTCACGGCGGTATTGATGCGCTTTAATATGAGCTACTATTAGGCAGTCTTGCTTGACAGCCTACCAGGGCAGACGGTCGTCGGAATCCATTTGTCTCGCGCTAAGCCGGGGAGCTACAGCCGTTCATCACATCGATTGCCATGATGTAATCCTGCGCTGGAGGGAAATAGAGCACCATGAAACGTTTTCGCCGATGTTTCCAGCCCAAGCTTCTCTCTCCCAGGTTCCAAGCTGGCGGAAAGTGGGCCGCCAGATCCATGAAGCTCCATCAGCTCCGCTGCAGTTCGTCAGCCTGATGAAGGCGCCGGTTTCCCGTACGCTGCAGCGTCGCAGCCGCGCGTTCTCATTCGATAGCCGGAAGCCCGGTGATGAAAGGCCCAATGCGTTGATGCTTCTGCAGCACAAAACTGCAGCCCCTGGACACAACTTGCAGCGTAGCCCGACTTGCCACTGTAAATACTGGCTGGTACCTATTACGGAGTCCGCCGCCCAGTGCTTGTGCTCTCCAGGAGGTGGCAGATGCCATCAGCGTCTCCAAGGCCAGATCCCAGTCGCATAGCACCGGATAGCATGATGTCTATTTCCGAAACTCGCTGACACCAAGAGACAGCGGCTTACAAAAACAATAACGATAGCATCAGTCATCAAGTAGGCAGACAGATACATGTATCCAGCAGCTAACCTGACACGTACAAAGCGCTCAGGGTATCGTTACTACCTACAGGTGTTTGTCCATCTACTGAACAAAGTATTTTGCTACAAGTTCGATGCCATGGAATTTAATAATGCGCCGATTTGAAAAATCACGTAGCGCCATGATTATTCATGAACGCAAATGGATATATGAGAAGCGTTGATGTTTAAAGTTGCATGCGAGTGGCGCATATCCTCCATATACATATAACTCTGTATTGTAGTCATTTAGGTCCAGCTGTCCTCCCCCTAAGCCCCGACACGGCGTGCCTTCCAGGGCCTATTTGGGCTGAGATATCAAATTAATCAAATCATGGCCTTTTTGTTAGGCAATTTACCTGTGCATTCGCGTCAGTAGTTGGCAGCGCCTTGATAGGCTCGAGGTGTATCTGCTGTACATGGATGGCGCACTATGCGGAGAATCGTCTTCCGTTCTCGAAAATGATCTTTTTTAGCTCTCCCTCTCTATACGCCATTATCCCACCAGGAATTCAATGGTCTATTGTTGACATGTTAGCCGTTCGTCAACCAATTTCAAGGGAGGACAGTTCAGCGAGATCAATAGTTTAAGTCGCGAATATCTGGCAGTGTGTTGGCGAGCCACCCAACAACAGCTCATCTAAGGAAATATGCAGGACAAACAGAATTTCTGATTGCCGCACCCAGTGAAAGAAAAGAAGTACATCATCTCCTAGGTTTATTTTAAAGTCTCCGCGAGACCTCAAGAGCCCCTATGCATATCTTTCAGCCGATCAGAAAACCGCCAAAGGTAACTTTCTCATATAGAGAGCTACTAATACAACAATACTTCTATCCAGTCGATAAATTTTGTCATGATAATTGCATAAAGCGACTGAATCTTAGATGAATATCCCTTGGACCACCTTTTATTTTTCTTTCATTACTTGAGCGTGTCAGAGTACTAGCGTACAACCTCTAATTGCTCTCATATTTGTATCTTGTATTTGTCGAAAATGAGCTTCATACAGATGGGCACTGGCTTCAGCACTATGCGGTTAACGACTAAGCTGTTCCGATATCAACTTCTAGACGTACGCCCGCTGCATCCGTCATTCATTGTTCCAACAGAGGCTGAAATTACTTCATTCAATACGAAAAATATGTAGAATCTGTCGTCAGATACATGTATCTACTAACATACATCCATTATCTTGACTTCAAAGATCCGCCCACCCAAGACTCTCTGAGCGGCAAAAAGTGGAGACGAAGCCGCGCGGACCAGCACTATGCCCTACGACACTTGAGGCTTGATGTCACTAGCCACATGCGGCACTCGCCTTGAACTTCTCTTCTTCAACTCTCATCTTCCCCTACGCTGCTCCAGTAACGCACCCACACAGCGCCATGGATGGCATTCCGAATCAGAAAAAGCGGCTCATGATGGACCCTACCGAGTTCTGGAGCAGCCAGATTGCCCCTCTCAGGCCGTCTACCCCTAGGCAGTCCACCCCTAGGCCGCCGGCAGTGAACGGGCGCTCGAGCAGCATCGATCTCGATGACCCCTTGCTCTCTGCATCTCCCAGCCAGCTTAATCCGGGGAAGAGTGATTTGCGGCAGTCGCAAATTGCTGTGGTTTTGAAGTCACCAACGGATTTGCATCAATATTCATGGTCACAAGTCAGCGACAGTGGCCAGGGCAATCGTAAATCTGCGCCATCACGGCAAGGCACACCCAACCTTGCTTCACGCGCAAAGAAAGAAACGCCAGTGCCTCTCCCGAAGCAACTACTCAAAATGCCAGCATCGGGGCTAGTAATAGGACCAGCATCAAAGCCTGGGCCAACGCCAACGCCAACGCCAGCTCACTTGCAAAAACTACCAGCCACGCCATTGACTCCGGCAACCGCAGCGGCGGCGACATCATTAAAACCAGCGCCAAAGCCAACTCCAGTACCTCTACCTAAACAGCTGATTAGACCATCAATACCATCATCAAAGCCAGCACAAACGGCAAATACAGCACCAATAACAACAACTACTACTACTACTACACCAAAGCTTGCGTCATTACCAGCTCTATCGCCCACCCCAGCATCGCAGCCAAGTGCTGGCCGAGGGCGACCCAAGGGTTGGAAGCCAGGCATGTCTTACACTTCACTTCGCGGACCAAGTTCTGCAGTGAAGCCTGTTCGGCAAGCCAAGCCAAAGACTCTCCCTCCAGGGCACGCAAAACGGCGTGGAAGACCGCCAAAAGCGCCGTCGCCTCTTCCATGGCAAGTTTACCAGTCTCTGGAGAAATCATTCGCAGCCTTCTTATGTGAATGGGGGAGTTGTAAAGCTGAGCTCCACAACTTGGATACATTACGACGCCATATCTCGGTGGTTCATTGTCGTAAAAGACCATTTGTATGCCACTGGGACAAGTGTACTGAGGAGGTGCCGACTAGGGTTTTTGCTGATCAACCATCGCTTCAAACACATATCGAAAAGGCACACCTTATACCGTTCAGTTGGCATGTAGGTGATGGACCGCAGAATAACAGTAGTCGGGGGCAGCGCCCGGAAGATGAAGAGATTCCCGATTATTTAAAAGATGAACACGGCAATCAAGTAACGCCATCCGTACGTGACCAGGAAGTGGAGGACTTTGTTACATGGAAGAACAATCGTCAAAAACTAAAGGATCTGCTTGTTCGGATGAATGAGAACCTACCAAGCGAAGAATCGGATTCCCTCAATGACGATGGTTGAGGAAGGCCGAGAGAAGCGAAAGATCTTTTATCAATCACGTTGCGAACTGCATCTCTTGATTCTACGACACTTTGTATGACATACATCCGCCCTTTTTGTGCTAGAACTTTTAATAACTTTCTTATGTCCATTCACCATTGCAACCCAGAAGGGTGTACACCCCTAAATGTTTGTGATATCTGTGTGTATTGTCTTATGGAATATTCGCTTGGCGCAGAGAGCATCTCCCGGTTTTGCTTCATTATAGACTTTTGACATATGCTAACACGTGCCTCGAGCAAGAACTTGAGAAATCCACCCTAACTACGTGTCGCGGCAGCTCAGAGATTTGTTTTTGTAGCAGTGATCTGGTCTCCTCGCCTGTCAAGAAGTAATTCCATCACTTCTTTGTCATTCCAATTTTTTGCTGCTGCTTTAATAATATCTTCCGTGATAATGACCCGGTCTCCTCGCTGGTTCAGCAGTAATTCCATTCTTTCTTTGTCAACCCGATTTTCTGCTGCAAATATAATAATATCTTCTGTAATAGTGATCTGGTCTCCTCGCCAGTTAAGGTGTAACTTTAGTACATCTCTACCAACCCAATCATTTTTTATTGCAGCTTTAACAATATTTTTTGTAACAATGATCTGGTCTCCTCGCCTGTCAAGAAGCAATTCAATCACTTCCTTGACATTCCCATTTTCTGCTGCCGCTTTAACAATATCTTCTGTAATAATGATCTGGTCTCCTCGGTGGTTAAGGAGCAACTCTAGTATCTCTTTACCATAAAAAATATTTCTTGCCGTAGCTTTAACGATATCCTCTGTAATTGTGATCTGGTCTCCTCGCCTGTCAAGAAACAATTTCATCGCTCCCTTTTTTGCGCTCTTTGCTGCTGCTTCGATAATCCCATTTGTGATAACGACCTCATCACTTCGCCGATCAAGGAGAAATTGCATTGCTTCCCCACCAAATGAATATATAATATGCATAATTGATTCTTCTGTAATATGGCTGTAATCTCCTCTCCGGTTCAGTATATCTGCCATCGCTTCGAATTTTTTTGCTTCTGCATAACGGCCCGAATTTCTAAAAATTGCTGTCAAATTCGTCACGTATGAATGTTCATCTCCAATCTCTGTTTTATAAATCTCTATAGCCTTTTCGACGTTCTCAACTACTGTTTCATTAATTTTCAAATTCCCTAGTATTAATTCAGTCTCCATAAGTGGACGGATCTTACCATCTTTTGGTATTTGATTCTTGATTGAGTACATATTATCTTCTTCACTTTCAGTCAAAAACCAAGTCCAGTCCCAGACGAGCAAAAAGTCGTGAGGCACGACTGTTGCCAACTGTAAAGTCTCTTTCCAACTGTTATCCGAGGTTCCAGCTTGTATATCATGTATTGGGTTGACAGCAATTGGAACAATAGTGAAATAATCCCTCCATCGCCTGATGATCGTTGGTTGTGATGCTCCTTGTAGAAGACAGAGAATATCGTCATACTGAATGGATTTTGCTGGCGTTTGAATAGTCCAACGAATTTGCCGGTATTTTTGTTTGTCACGATATTCCTATTCTTTGCACAATATAATAATATGCTGTTTGTAATCCCAAGTAGTATCACTTTTAACTGAGGAAATATACCCAAGAGCGCAACCTTTGCTCTTGATTACTGCCACCTCTCTATCGTGCCAAGTTGTTACTGATACTTGCTTGCAAATAATATGCCTGATAACTCGTTCAAAGAGTGTTTGCCATGTGATATTATAGTCGGGAGTCAAGCTATAGCTATTTGAGCTCATCCCAAGCAAAGCATAGATTTTGTCACGGGGATCAGAAGCTTCTCTGCCATGATACATATCTATCAGCTCGCTTAGAAGACCTATGTTGAGCGAGAATATTCTTGACTCGCTAGTTGCTTTTTTGGGCCAGAAGCCCGTGCGTCGTATTAGGTAAGTTGCAGTACGGATTAAATTCCCTAAGCCTGGATTGTCTTCATAGCTGAGTTTTAGTGCGTTGACTCCTATGCAGAACACATATCCATCTATCTCCGTAGAGCCACATAGGATAACGACATTTCGGGCTGCGGCAACTTCTTGGAGGACCTAAACAAAACTTGTTAGCAAGCTCTATAATCTCAGTTCGATGTCTGTTTTTACCCAAATGCGTCTGAACCATGGCAGTAATAGCAGCTTAATGACTGCTCTTCGAATTTCTCCGTGATTTTCAGTTGGTTGCTCGTCTGCGCTTTTGTATATTTCTTCAAGCGCTTGGTCGCTATTGTCCTCCGATTCCCCTATCCAAACAATCACACGACTAGCCATAGCATAAATCATTGCCATGCGCTGGACCTGGCTGTTGCGTTCTTTTATATCTTGCTGATTAATGGAGATAGCGTCTACCCATATAATTCGTTCAAAAAAGCGATCTCGAAGGTGTAATAGCGCAACATGAAGATTTGTCCTAATAAGTAGGTCGCAGCTATCTATCGAGATATACTGAGTCTTCCCTGGAGAACCCCATACATAAGACAGAGCATCGTATAAATGACTGCTCCCGGCTAAATCTTCCAAGGGATAATCAATGAGACTGCATCGCAAAGGAGCAGTTTTATCTTGATCTGGCAACAATTTGAGTAGGCGAATATGGCCTCGTAGCAAGGGAGAATAAGAATAGGTTTTTTGATTACATCTAAATTTGAATCCACTTAGCACAAGCATTTGGAGTTTATAATAGCTAGACTTAGCCTACCAACAGTCGTCGTAGCGCCATCGACTGGCTTAGTCTCAATTTGTGTTGGTGAATACATCTTCAGTTCAGGTTATTTGGAACGCTTTAATTATGAAATTTTCGAATTGGTATATTGTTTTTAATGGCAATAGCTTAGTAGGCTGAAGATGAGATGAAAGCGGGGATACGAGGTGGCTGTGAATCATCGTGATAACATTAGGCATCCATCTATCGCAGCCTAAAACTATACTACAACAAGTAATATCTATGCCTGCGAGATATGTATTATCAGTAACAATATTTTAATTGGCTACGATATGGTGGTAATCAAGAAGCAATTCTGCCTTGTAGCTAGTTATGTAGCTGCATGGCACTCCGCAATATACGGTATTGTAGCATGATACTACTTAAATGTGTGCCGTGTCCACTTTCTCTATGTATAATAGTCGTGTCAAAGAAACAGATCTCGTGGTATATTTCTTGAAGATACACATGTAACAAAATCATTCCGTATCCCACCGGATTTCCCCTTCGTTCAATTAAACCAGATTTCGCTCTTGTGATAAGTTTCTCTCAAAGATACCATTATCCGTGTTGGGTCTAAGGCTGAGAATGACATGCCCCGCATCATTGGCCTACATAACTCGTAGTATATCCTTGAATCTTTAAGCTAAGAATTAAGCATGCAATTTTACTTCCCTTGATCACAGTATGCCTATAGCACATATGCGTGCCTCAAATAACAGTAACAGGCAGGCGGTAGACATGAAAGAAGTGGAAAGCTATCATCATTTATCTAGATCTTGAATACAGATTTAAGAATGAATCTCTGAACTGCAAGAGAAGCTCTAAATTTGTGGTCCATCACTAGTTGCTAATACACGATTTTCTTTATGTTGCTCGCAATTTCTATAGATTCCAGTGGAAATAGCAGACTAGAATCAGTACATTGACTGACCTTAGCAACCAAACTGTTTCTGGTCGTAAGTGCAGCCCCAGCAAGTAAATGGCGCTAAAGATAACAGTTTAGAATGGAGTCTCTGAAGGTTGAGGGTTGGCTATTGCTTACCATTACCAAGACTGCAATCCCAATTATTACAATCTCCATAGACATAAAAATCCCAGCTGCCATGAGGGGTGCCATATTTCACTCTAAGGTGATCCCCAACCGCTACATCGTCAACCCAAAGAGAATATCCTCCATTGCAACCAACATTTCCTGATCCTGAATTAATATGACCTTGACATGTGACCACGCCATTGTCATTCGCGTGGATGTCAATACCGGTCGTGAATTGGCCGACAGAAGAACTTCCAGTGATCACCAGACAAGCGGAAGCGATTTGAGTTTGTACAAGGCCAGTGGCCGATAGGGCAAAAGTAGAGAACTTCATTGTAGATGTAATTCAGGGAGAGAATTTTTCAATGATTCGTACGTTGGAAGTTCGAAGTGATATCATTATAATTTTATATCTTGCTGTCAGACGCCTGCTCGGCTATAACACGAATTTACGGTCCCATTATCCTTTAACGTCCCCGAAAAATATGTTTTAGTCGATATTCTATGAATAAATGATTGTCGCAAGTGCGCTTCTTTCTCAAAGCTGAAAAGAAGGATCTGTAGGGATTATTCCAAGACCTGCTTATTTAGGCTGGCAATGGAAGTCCCACACAGGCAGGAGTAGTCTTAAATATGCTTATACGGCGGAGTCTGCACCATGTTAGCTTTAGCATCACGCTTCGCCTGCGCTAAACAAGTGGGATTCGGAGTCGTAGTGTCTGGCCGGGACCGGTTCGATATTCTCCCCCCCGAATGATATCGCATTAGGCCTTCCACCCTGGAACCTAACTATTTATGTCTTTTGGATAGGGTAGTAAAATTAGCCAACAGGAGCACAGCCTCTCTGTAGAATTCTTACTCTGAGACTAGCAGGGATGCTAAATATATGCATGTACACAACATTAAACCATGGTTGACCCTGTCCTACTTTGTGCGCCAACTATTTTTGTTGACTCTAGCATTATGCTTGTATGTGTTAAAATGTTGAGTACAACAGTCTGTAAACTTTGCAATTCCCCGCTACTTGACGAAAGCGGACACGGATAATGAAGTAAAACCACCGCCAAGATGGAATGGGCACTTTGTATTATTCATCTTTATTTTTTGCATTGCACTCATATTCAGATCCCTTAGCACAAATGTTAATAGTATATACATGTCATCAAGCACTCAAAGCGAGACTGTCGTTCAATGCTTCGATTTGATGGATAAATATCATTCCGGATTAAGCCAAAAGCGGCCAAATTTTTTTGCTTTGTGCCTTGATTTGTTAAGGAATACGTTCAACAGCCAAAAGTAATTAAAAGTCCGAACGGACATTTAACAGGCAACGCAAATTGGTTAGCGGGGACGAACAAGCCTATAATTAATTAAAGGATTCGCTCGTTTGGAAATTTCCGAACTACTTAATGGGTTGGAGTGAACTCGCTGTAGAAAACGGTGGTGGAAGCCGTTGCGCAATGCTATTTGGTCGCGTGGGATACACCTCCGAAAGCGCTCGCTCCGACTGAATAGCCAAGGGCACGGGTATATGAACTTTTGGCGTTTGAGACTTGTACTCGCGTTCATTATCGGATTTGTTCAGGGCTTTAGCATATGTAGTACAACAGTGATATGAACATTGGACGCTTCTATCTACATTTAGATCTTCGTACTTGCTGTGGTTGCCCTCGTAAATCTCTAGGGGAAAAAATATATTCAGCTAGCTCCTATAATAAAAATTAGAATGAAATATATCCCTCCTCTCTTTGGTAAGTAGACTGAGTGCTCGTACTTGCAGACACAAGTAACATGAGTCGTAAAGATTCAGCTCATTAACCTACATATTATTAAGGAAGTGTGTGTGAAGTCGTAAATCTGATCTGCATCTCTGCAGATCATTTTCTATGCATGTTCTCTCGCAGTTCGAGATAGAAAAGAAGTTCATGAAGTGACATACAGTTTGATAGTAACTATATGGGTTTCTTATCGTCTCGAAGTATATAACGAGCAATTTGAAGGGGCTGAATTACAAACAGCCTTGGCTCCTCATCTAATGCTTCGACATGGCGATGGAAAAATATGAGCTAACCATGGGGAAAATAACGGAGACGGTAGCATGAAAATCTAGCCTATTCACTATGTTCGGGCTATATCTACAAACTGGAAATGAAAAGACCTGGGCCGAACTTGCGGTGTACAAAACGCATATCAAGTTTCGTCTGTCGTACTATATTATACCATCTGTAAGAATCAGAATATAGAAAGAACAAAGATAATCTGTAATTTCACGGCTACTCTGGAGGATCATATTGAATTCAACAGCAACTCTATCCATTTTTTCTCTTTTAGGACACTTGGTGTTATGCATTTTACTTTTGGTACGAGGTCTAATATTTCCCTTTATCTAAAGCGTTAAAAGCCTTTAAAAACTATCAACATTTTAACATTGTGACTTTCATACATGATATGTATCGTTTACCTCGAAATCCAGCTGTAGTCTTTCATATTAGTGCATATTATATATATATATATATATGTAACGAAACCTTACCGCCTATTGGCTATTGTTGCTGTTGACAGATGATGCTCAATCATTGAAATAGCCTAGATACATTGAATCAGCCTAAAAATGCTCAGGCACTCAATCCAAGCCTAATCTGCCTTGATCTGGTTGAGAAAGTCGAAGTAAAGCTATATAGTCGTCGTAATGGCCTACCGGCTAATGTGTGGGGTATCAGGCATTATTACGGATAGTATTAGGCCCAGATCGTAGTATAAAGACGTTTCGCGAACAAGCATCTGGGAGGGAAAAAGGCGAGACTGAAGCCAGTTTCGGCAATACAATGGTCTGATCTAGCATTATCCACTGCCATCCTACCCGACTACAATCCTTGCACTACGTTGAATAGAATCCGGGCCTGTTGTGGTGGTATATGTCACTATCGAGTGTTTTATGCGTCACTTGGCAGGTAGTTGAAGAATTGGAATTCACTAGTAATTCTTGCCTACTGTGTGAAATTGCTGTACTCGATCTCGTCGTCTTAGACTTCTAATACTATCCTTCGTATCTGTTGAAGTGTAGTGTTTGTGCCGCTCCCTATACTAAACCCGAATATTCCCGCTATAGCTTGGAGCTATCCATTGACTCCAGTTGGCGAATAGTCTGGCAAAGTTACGCGTGCTACGCGATTTTTCTATTACTGCTTTTTACCACTCTTATATAGTAGCATCTATAGATACTTATCATATCTTCCATTAGCTGTACTCCCATCTGTGCAAAAACCGATGATATCCCCAATACACCTACCGCATCAGTTGTGGACCACATGCAGCTGACATTGTTAAAATGCAACCAGTCTGATCCAAATAGCCTAATAAGTGATTTGCACTTTTGGTGGAATAGGAAGCCTATAATTGGAGCGCTTCTCATACGTGTTTAGCCGATGTTCAAAACTGTTCCGGCTCCCGAAAATAGGTAACCTGGAAATTTACTCTTAGATCTACAAAGCGAGTATTTTGTGAGCGCCTTGAGGTGATTAGGTCAGCTTCTCGTTGCAAATATGTAAATCTCCAGCTTATACGGAATACTTCGACTATGAGTGATGTGGTGGAATTACAAGCAGAACATAATTTACGCACAAAGAAGTTATAAGCGGCCCAATGAGAACATCAGCTCTTTAACACTATAAGCCGATGAGCTTCATTACATGGTAAATAGTATGCTGGGCTTAGGCTAAGTGTATATAAAGCGCCGAGAATCCGCCAAGACATCACTTCTTTTAGATGCTCTGTACTCCCACAAGCATCTGACTTCTAAATATTATCAAGAAGAACATTCTATGATGATTCTCTCAATGAAAAAGTGCAGCCGCAAGGTATGGGCTGGCTTAGCATTGTTAGCCTTGCCTGCAATTGTAAGTGCATCATGCGCACTTCCTAGCACTTACAAATGGACGTCCACTGGTCCACTGGCAAACCCCAAATCTGGCTGGCTTTCACTTAAAGATTTCAGCCATGTTCCGTATAATGGTCAGCATCTCGTCTATTCTTCGACCGTGAACACAGCAGGTTCTTATGGCTCGATGAATTTTGGCCTCTTTTCAAATTGGACCAACCTCAGCACGGCCAGCCAAAATGCTATGAATCAGGGCACAGTGGCGCCGACACTCTTCTATTTCTCCCCCAAAAAGATTTGGGTCCTTGCGTACGAATGGGCTGCAACTCCATTCGCGTATGTCACGTCGAGCGATCCTACCAATGCAAATGGTTGGTCGGCCTCGCAACCGCTTTTCAGCGGAAGCATATCTCCCGCAAATCCTATCGACCCGGCACTCATTAGCGATGGCAAGAACATGTACCTTTTCTTTGCAGGAGATAACGGTAGCATATACCGGTCCAGCATGCCCATTGGCCAATTCCCATCCAGCTTCGGTACATCGTACACAACGGTTATGAGTGCCGCAACCGACGACCTCTTTGAAGCGGTACAGGTCTACACCGTCTCAGGCCAGAACCAATATCTTATGATTGTTGAGTGTATTGGATCTGTTGGACGGTATTTCCGCTCCTTTACAGCCACATCTCTGAGTGGTACATGGACACCGCAAGCTGCAACTGAGAGCAACCCATTTGCTGGCCATGCTAACAGCGGTGCTACTTGGACAAACGATATCAGCTCTGGCGATATTATTCGCAGCACAAACGACGAGACGATGACAATTGACCCTTGCAACCTCCAGCTGCTATACCAGGGCATGGCCGTTGGTTCTACCGGAGATTATAATTCTCTACCATGGCGACCCGCCGTCTTAACTTTGACCAACCCCGGCTCTAGCACAGGTGGTAGCACTGGAAGTGGCGGCTCAGGCGGCAGTGGATCTGGTCAAGCATCACAGTATGCGCAGTGTGGCGGCCTGGGCTATGCTGGACCTACGGTTTGCCAGGCACGTAACCTGTTTTGAATCTCTTAGACAGACTTTGCTAACATGAGACCAGAGCCCCTATACATGCACGTTTGTCAACGAATATTACTCGCAGTGTTTGTGAAAGAGGAGAGTACATTATGGGCATTGAGAAACAGGTAGTATACGACACGCATTATGTTGCTATCTCGTCGTAGTCTGCAGTAGGATGTCCACAGTGTGATAATCCATATCATTTTAGTTATTCCAAGTTCCAGATCGCTACTTGTCTTGTCGGCAGATATTTTCCGGGCTTCCTAGATATCTGTCTATGGCAGCTTGGCGAAGCGGCAGACTTCCATTCAGAATTATTATGTACTAAGCTATCAATTTTATTTGTTCGTGAATACGCCGTGATTAACATTGAGCAGTTCCAAGTTTTCCTGAGCCGATTACCGAATCTCTTGTTGAAGAGATAACTATACGGAAGTTTTCAACATTATTAAAGGTAAAATTAAGATTAGGCAACAAATACTTCACTGCTATTAATACAAGGAGAAGCGGACCCAGTGGTCGCATTAACACTCCAATGCCTAAGCCCACTTGCCTCACGAGTATAAAATGTATTTCTTTACTATGGAGATACTATACCATCCTAAACAGATAAGTAAGTTTCACAACTTATACCGATCTTCCTTATTAAGTTTGGCCTGCGGGAATAGGTACATGTTTACTCGCAATAGAACTATACTATCGTGAACCATTGCAAGTCAACTCCTCGAGCCTCTAATGCTTCCGGTAATAGCCTTGGGTCAGAGTTCATTATTTCTCCAGTTATCTTGTTCTTAAAAAACTCAAGAATAATCGGGTCGTCTCCAGTTAAAGGCCTCCCCAAGTCTTCGAGTGATACCCTTTCCCATTCAGGATGATCTTCCAACCTGGGGTCTGACACTGCCAGCTCTCTTGTCTTTTGGTTGTAGTACCTATGCTCTATTCTAAAATCTTGATCCGGATGATCAAATATCTGAACTCGCCAAGGATATTTTAGACTTCCTAGAAGTGCCTGGCAGTCGTTTAAACCGTAAACAAATGATGATCCCATAAGTCGGAAATCTCCATCGTCGGTTCCGCGAAGGACAACGGGTGAGTTGCAACCAGGAATAACGCATATTATATCACCTAGCACTTTGTTAGTATATAAGGAGTTATTTAAAGCGGGACTATCTATCCTTGATTGCGATTTAGGCCTCTAACTTCGCTCACCTGGCTTACAGCCTCTTGGACCAAGGCCAATATACCCCTCCTCAGTCTCCATATAGACTCTTCTGCCACATCTTCCGGAAACCATGTCATCAAGGTAGTGACTGGAATTGAGGATTTCTAAAGGTTCTGCCGACTCAGAGAATATATATCTTTTACAATAAGCTCTCCACTCCGCCAACGTGGGCCACCCTTTGTCTGTTGGGTTACGCTCCCTCAAGTCGTTCTGCAAGAGTGTTCTAGCGAAGGCGTCTATAAGTGGCTCTCCAGTAACATAGGTTCCTGTGTATAAATCTTCCGGCTCCCACAAACGTATAGCAAACAAGGTAGCTTGTGGATGTAAAATAGCATATATCCCCACTTTCTTTACGGTCGCGCAGCGCAAACCCCTTACTCGGAATTTGCTAGAGTCTAAAAATTGGCAATCAAGCCGTGAATTCCCTGTGGTGAATTGCAAAAGTCCCGAGTAATACGCATGTCGTTTGCTGGACTTCAAATCCGGTACCCAACTAGGTACATTGTCAAAGTCTGATGTGCGATCTACAACATCGCAGCCAAAGATTTCCCACCGCTCGAGTAATTTTGTATCGGCAATAAAAGCATCCGCGTATGTCTTTGTAACTGGTTGCGTGTAATCTGGATTAGTCGCCGCAACAAAAGCTGAAGGCACCATTGCCATCAGACCGTACACTTTGTCATGCCCGTTGGAACATTCGCGGTGCGCAAAGCGACGAAATAAGTCGCTCAATGGCCGGCCTATGCCATTCAAAGTAGAACTAGTCACTTTTGAGAGGGAAAGACGCTCTTCTCCATGATTCGGTTTATCCTTTAAACATTCTGTAGCACGACGGAAAAGAGACCATAACAGTGTCGCGTTGCCGACTTGAATGATGGCTAAGCGGTTTGCCAAGTGAATTTCTTGAGCCGTCCACACGCGAGTAAACCATGCTCTTAAAATTAGACATTCGATTGCTTTCCATTGAGCATCGCTGTATGGCAGACTATAGTCAATATCGTACCACATTGGCTCTTCAGCTCCAGGAGATGTCAACCGATAAGCATCCAGCGTTGTTTCAACCTGAGCACCTAAATATTCTAGCGTTGATATGGCAAGGTCACTGTCGTCTTTCTCTGGCCCAAGCCAAACAACAACTCGCGCTGCCAGGGAGTAGATATCGGCCATGCGGACCACCTGGGCGGCTTTCTCTGTGTTGTCATTTTGGTTGATACAAATAGCGTCGATCCAAAGTGTACGATGCTTAGAGGTATACCGTAGGTGTCGTAGAGCAGACTCGAGATTTTTACCAATAGAAAACGTGGCTACACTGGCGTTACCGATTGAAGAAGGCTTGATAAATGCGGTGCCGGGGTTGTTTGGCGTTCCCCACTGGTATGAAAGAGCCTCAAAAACAGCATCTTGCTCCCAAAATGTGCTATCAGGAGGCAGTTCATATAGAGCACGGTCTATGTGAGCATCGGGATGTTCCCATGTGGTTACAAAATCACCATTGCTGGATCCATCAGATTCACTATCTTGCGGGGCTTTACTACCATCTTCCGTTTCATCATCATCCTCACTTTCATCCTCTTCAGCGGGATCGTTGCAGAACAGATACCGGCCCTCGGGGGTTTCAAAAACCTCCCATCCCTTGGGTAATGTGCTCTGGAGCTGTGTTCGAGATAGGCGGGTGGGTTTTGACTCCTCTTTACGTGCATTCAAAGGTTGGTGAAAGATTGTTAGTAAAATATCATCGCAATATTGCTGAGCGGGGTGCAGCTGGATAAGGCGAATTTCAGAATCTTGTAGTGGGTGGTAATGATATGTGCTAAGTTCTGCAGACATGTTGGAATGTTCTCAATTTTCGAATCCGGGTAAATAGTGGATAATATCTTGAGTGAATAGGATGATATCCTCGCCAGCTGTTAGAATTACACCATTTTCTGATGGTAGATAATGCACACGTAGTTCAAATTCTGCAATAGAAATTTCGTCGACGTCTGTTCTAGACCCCTCCGTGCACTATTGGATGCAGGAGATTGGCTTGAATAAAGAACGATAAGCGCGCTTGGAAGCCAGTGATGCGGGGTATCGCAATATACATGCATTGTAAAGTCTGAGGAGAGTACCATTCATTAGTATTAGAATATGCAATGGCATTAATGGAGGATTCATACTAGCACATGTACGCGTAACGAGATTAGGAAGGTCCTTGATGCAGTGTTTAGTCGAGGAATTGTATCTCTATAAAAAGAACAATAGCTATGGCTTCTCAACATATCGTTCCATTCTGTTGAGTCAATGTAACTCAATCAATCATGGAGTTGATAGCCCGTCGTTGGTTAACGATCGCTTCATCATACTCGCATTGATGACTATTGCATTGGCATTGAATATGTCCCGCATGTAGAAAACAACCCACCTCACGTCAGTTGGTCATTCAAGGCAAACGCACAAATATTCGACTAGGAATAGAAAGAACAGTTGCCTTTCTGCTGAAATATTGCTAATGCCGGCAAATTTCCGCCGATTTGGTGTTTTTACCCCTGCTTCCCAAATCCTTCTCCCCACTTGCGTGTTTGCGGTTGGATATTTGCCATGTGAAGATGTATGTCTTCATTTTCCTTTTCAGTTATCGGGTCTCTTTAAAACATTCTTCTCCTTGAGCCCAATTTAGATTTACACCCGAGATGTAACCCCAGACTATTTTATCCCCAATTATTTGTTTTATATTTCTCTAAAGGGCCAGCTCGATGATTCTTCAAAGCGTCATACACAAGCTGCAAAGGCAAGCCTGATATCTGCTATCGTCTGTGTGTATCCTTCGTCATGGCCGACGCCGTCTCCAAAGACCATGTTGAGATCACAGCTGCTTCTAAACAGTTGTCTATGGAGAATGAGAAGGCTCAATCCGGCCCGCATGTTGCACACAGTCGCATCGTGCTGATCCCTCATCCTTCTGATGACCCCAGAGATCCATTGGTATGTTTTCATGTTTTATTTACAACTGGTTGCTTGTGGACGTCATTGATCTGTGTACATGCGACAATGATTCTCTTCGACCAGTCGGATTCACACATTAAGCTTACTTGATAACCAATCAAGAATTGGACGATATTCAGAAAAGGCAGAGTGCTCGCCGCCCTCTGCTTGGCTTGCTTCTGCGGCTTCACAAGCGCACTCGCGTCGCAGCTCGAAATTGGCCCGCTCTCGACTCTCTATCATCAGGCTCCGACGGCCATTTCCTACCAGAATTCATCAGCCAATGCCGGTATGGTAATTGGTGGCATATTCTTCTATGTGCTATCCTTCATCTTCGGCCGCCCTTCAATCTTTTTCTGGTCGCTCCTCGGCCTCATTGGCTCAGATTTATGGTCTTCTTACATGACAAAAGACGACCAATTCAACATTTTCATAGTGTCGCGCGGTTTTGCTGGTTTCTTTGGCACCGCCGTGGGTGTCCTCGGTCCACGCATGCTCATTGATATGTTCTTCCTTCACCAACGTGGACGCGCATTTACCATCTTCCACTTCTTCTTCGACTTTGGCACCGCAGCCGGCCCCTCGCTTTGCTCCTTTGTCGTACAAGGTGCTGGCAACGTGCAGTGGGCTTTCTGGTTCATTGCTATCGTCACAGGCTTCGCGGCCCTTCTCGTCTTCCTGTTCGTCGAGGACACTACCTGGGATCGCACTCCTGGAGCAATTAACAACCCACTGCCCGAAGGCTTCATTGCCAATCGCATTGCGACTTTCTTACCCGGCACTCGTATCGTCCCCCGGAAGTCTGTCGGCGAGCTGGCCCGGATTGCCAGCGTCCCCTTCAAGATCGCTGCTACGCCTGTCAGTTTGATGATTGGCATATTCACTCTATTCAGCTTTGGTTTCTCAGTTGCAATGAACTCGCTTACCCCTGTGTGGCTACAAAAGCCTGTCAAAGCTGGCGGGTATGGCTTTACGCCCATTCAAAACGCACTCTGTGAGTAACCTAGTTATCTTGTTCATTCTCTCTATAAAAAGTTTACGGGTTACTGACCTTTTCTCTTTCCAATAATAGTCCAATTTTCACACTGGACCGGCGTAGCTCTCGCATTTGTTTACGGCCAGGCCCTTGCCGACCGCTTGCCATTATGGCTTGCAGCACGTTTTAACAATGGGACTTGGAAGCCAGAGTATCGCTTACACGCTCTGTGGCTTCCCGCGCTTGTATGTAATTGCATAGGCATCGGTCTGTTTGGCTATGCTTTGCAGTATCATACATCGTGGGGCGTGCTAGCATTCGGATCCATCCTAGTTATCTACGCATCCATGTGTATTACGCCCATCACAGTCAATTATCTGTCTGAGTGCTTCACCAACAACGTCGAGGAGGCGGCCATCGTTCTCAACACATTCCGTATCGCCTTTGGTCTGTCTGTTGCGTTTTACATCACTCCTTGGGTCGATGCCATGGGTATTGGATGGACATATGGGTTGATGGCTTTCATCATGATCTTCAGCTGGCTCTTCGTCTTGGTGCTCATGTGGAAGGGTCATCAAATTCGTCAAATTGATCCATTTGGCCTCATTTCGACCGAAGAAGGTAAACACGTCCTTATCGATGAAGAGTCAGTATAGGACGAGACTCGAGCGACGTTTGATGCATCTATGTAAGGGTGGTCATTTAGGCAAGGCAACCTTTCACAAGGACCATATAAATAGATCAGGGATGGGAGAAAATGGAAGTATTATAGGATCACCGCTTCGATGCTGCGACTTGCTTCTCATTTCCTACTCATTATTACGGATTATCTTCTATGCTCAAAATATAGAATTCCAGCACATATTTAAAAATAAAAGTTTTCTTTTGCCCTAATCTGACTATCAATATGCTTTATAGTTTATCCAAGCAGCAGCTGTTATGGACTTTTAACTTTGCTAGAATCTATAAACCCATTCTTCTTTTTCTAACTATGTATTTTTAACGCTCAGTGCTTCGGGTACAGCGTAGAATCGGAAACTTCAACCACCCACAGCTCCCACGCACGTTTAGCCGTCGTAGCCACAGACGCAGTGCGCTCCCGAGCCTCATCATCATTTAGCAAGCGCAAGTTTCGCATAGAACCACCAACGGCAGCAATTAGCCCAACGGCGGCGCTTTGAATGGCAGCATTCTTCTGCGTGTAGATGGCATAGAAGACGGCGAGTTCGATGGACTTGGCCGCAACAGTGTAGCCGTGGCCACGCATCAGCGTGACTTTGTTGTCGCCGTCAAAGCGCCTGGCCAAGGCTTCGCCCATGTACGTATTGCGCACCAGCAGATCCGGCACATTGGGCGCGACAACATCGTTGGCCGAGTCGTGGACCGGCACGCCATTAGGATTCAGAAAGCCGGCCATGTGATAGCACGGTTTGAGCAGTACGCCCGAGATCGTGAAGGGGATCACCGACTCGGCATGGCTGTGCACCACGGCATTGATGTCCGGAAAGCGGCGATAAATCTCGGAGTGGATGTAGCGTTCAATGTAGCCTTGCGCTGCGTTGGGGTTGGTCGGCTCTCCGTCTGAAACGCGATATTCGATCAGATCTGCCTCGGTAGCGATCAGTGCTGGTGCGATGCTACATGCCATAAAAAAGAGAGACGAGTCTGTGGGATGGCGGAAGGACAGATGGCCGTATGCATCGAGCACATTGTGAAAGTGCAAGATGTGGCTCCCGTGTATAGACTTGCTGTAGTGGGTCTGAAGCAGCTTGGTGTCAGCCATGGTTGTCTTATCTCTGAAGCAAATAAGCTGGGATTCTAAGCTGAAACAATTCGTTACTGACTACAAAAGATTGGGTTGTGAGTTCGGCGTAGGCAATCTTGGGCAAATGCGGAGTAACAACAGCGCCGACGCATTAAAGCCTCATATGAGGAAACATACTCCCAAAGATTGGTAAAGTGTGTAAACTCCATCGAAAGCCGCTTCATAGACAAATAATTACTGGAGACTGGATAATTTTGCCGTTCAAGTGATTCATATTTCCGTGACTACAGATATCTATGACCTGAGTCCAGTGGCCGGACTTCTTACTACCCTAAACAGCTATCCCTCTTTTAATGCTGGTGAGTAGCAGTTTACTTCAGCCGGGTTTCCGTAGAATCTTATTAAATTTCTTAGCTTTGAGCCCGAAATTATTATATTTTTGCAAATTTTGAGCTATGTGAGTGCTAAATTTCTTCTAACCGTAGAAGATGTCGCCTTCGTTATAGGTTTAACATTGGGAGGGCGGCATAAGCCAGCTACCTATAACTTCTCCACCCTGAACTTAGTGAGCTAGTTAGTCTGAGCGAAACATCCCGTTTCCACGGAGTAGATCTGATCATAACAGCCCTGTACGGCAGTGGAGACATAGAATCTGGCATGAATTAGCCAAAGGCCCTGCTAGAGAGCATTAGCTCCATGGCTTGCTTAGCAGGATTGCGATTCCTCGCTCGCCTGGAAAGATACTGCAAGTTGTGCCACGATATATGCGATTAGTCGAAGCACAGTGATGGACGACACTCGATAGAATAGCCATGCACTTGTCGTAAATATACAGATGTATCACATTTCTCATTCACTTCACAAACACTACAAAGAAATCTTTATTAAAAAACACGTTTCGGTCCAAAAGCCAGCACGGCTCCCGTGCCGTGTGTGGGGCCGTGCCAAAGTTCGGCTCCGGGCCGGAACCAGTACAATAATCTAGACTAAAGACTTGGCATCACAGGGAGGGGTCTGTTGACTAATTGGAAAAAAAAAAAGAGTTAACTTGGAGTCTTTATGGATTCTGACAAGTACGGTACGCGCACGCACAGATGCCATGGTGTCAGCCTGGCCAGACACAAGTTCACATTCTCCAAAGATGACGCCATTGCTGCCCGCGTTGCAAGTGTAAGAAGATTCCACATACTCAGCATTCATCAAGTCAGCCACGAATCAAATAATCACCCTTTCAAACAATGTCAAAGAAAACTAATTTTTAAATAAATAATCAAAACAATTGAATAATAAACAGGAGAACAATAATAATAAGAATCATGGCGAGGCCAAGAAAACAAGCTTCCCCAAAAAGGCGAGGAGAAACATTCATCACCCCGCACAAAAACCGCCCGCAAGAGGTAGCAGCCAATTTCTTGCTTTATAAGCCGCACCACCAAAACGGCAAGCCCGCAGATACATACCGAATTAGTGGGAACAAGAGATCCAGATTTATCAGCGATTCCCCGTCCCTATCCGTCCATCTTTATACCGTTGTAAACAAATATTGGAGATTTGTCTTGCGCCATTCGTCGCTTTATCATCGTCATCCTCATACATCATATATATAATCCGCACACTACTCCTATTCACTCTACCTCAACTATACCATTGCCCTCTCTCTCCTCACTCGCCCCTCCCTCACTCATCCAACATATATATACACATCTCATCTCATATATACCCTCACTCAACACTCACTAACAAACAAAAAAAATATAATGGCCCCTCCCCCCTTCTTCGCAGTCATCTCCGGCGTAGGCTCCGGCACAGGCGCCGCCCTCGCCCGCCGCTTCGCCAAGTCCTACGCCGTCGTCCTCCTCTCCCGCAAGCCCTCCAGCTACGAGCCCATCGTCGCCGATATCAAGGCCAGCGGCGGCACCGCCATTGGCATCACCGCCGACGCCACCGACCCGGCCGCCACCGACGCCGCCTTCGCCCAAATCGCAAAGGAGCTGCCCGGATCGAAGCTCGCCGCGGCCGTGTACAACGGCGGCAGCGGAATGGCCCGGAAGCCGTTTTTGGAGCTGACGCTGGAGAATCTGGATGTTAGCCTTCAGGGCGCTGCGTAAGTTTCGAAATGCCCATTTATGCTATTCTATTAAAGTCATGTGTAACTGACAATCTACCAAACAGCAAGGGCCTCTTCATCTTTGCTCAAAAGACGCTCCCTCTCCTCCTTGAGTCTGTCGACTCTTCTCCTAACCCCCCTTCTCTCCTCGTCACTGGCGCTACCGCCTCTGTCCGCGGTTCTGCCTTCTTCGGCACATTTGCCGCTGGTAAATTTGCCCAGCGTGCCCTCACCCAGTCTCTGGCGCGCGAGTATGGTCCCAAGGGCGTGCATGTGGCCCTGGCTGTCATTGATGGCGGCATCGATACACCCTGGGGCAAGGGTGTAGTTTTCAACAACGGTGTGGAGGATGGCAAGATCAGCCCTGATGCCGTAAGTTATTTTTCTTTTCTTTTTTTAAACCTCAGTTTGTGTTTTCACTGTTCGGCTAACAGGTGTAATTCAGATTGCCGAGAGTTACTGGCACCTACACTCACAGCACAGATCTGCCTTCACTCAGGAGCTGGATATCCGCCCATATGTGGAAAAGTTTTAAAGACATTATAGCGTTCGTGATATAACTTAATAATACAAGTAAAATTGAAACAGTAACTCTTTTATACTATTCATCTCGTAGGATATGTGTGTCCCCAGTTGGCCATTAACCCCTGCTGAAAGAGCGTCATCACTCGGCGTGCCGTTAGAGCTAAGCACCGTCATACTTCATAAATCGTTGTCCAAAGCCCATTTGGGCGATTCCTATCCTTTTAATATAATAGCACATGTAAACTGTAGCGGTATCAAAAATTAAGAGAAGAAAAAGAAGGAGAAACAAGGTACTAGAAATAAGAGAGGAAAAACATGAAGAAAATGAAAAGAGTAAAAGAAAGTCCTTGCAGCGGCGCTGTTACATTATATCTCAGATTCCACATCTGGCGTCCGCCCATTCAAGGCCCCCATCTTCTTGACTTTACGGACTGCATACTTGGCTTCATCTTTGGCAAACCGTGCATTGCGCATGGGAAGCCACTGCATCAGCCCACGTTGCTTGCGGTGTAAATCACGGCTCTTCTCTTTGTAATTCTTGTACGCCTTGATGGGGTTCTTACTCCCAGTGCTGGCGTTACTCTTTCTTGAAGTGTTAGTCCCTGCTGATTCCAACGAATGGCGGTCTTCGCTACCTTCAGACGGTGCTGAGCCGTAGGTTGGGTCCGTTTCTGTCCTTCTCATTCCGATAGCCCCATCCCCATCTTCGTCGTCATCATCATTCTCGTCCGTGTCTATCTCAAAGTGCTCGTGACCTTCAGTGTCCGCGCTGGACATGTGCTGGTTCATCAAGTCTTGCGGATCTTGGCCAAATGCTCCGGTCCAATCAGTACCATCTTTTGCAAGCCAGCGATCTTTGTCTTTCTCGTCAGCATGTGCAAGTACATCTCGGCCTTGCGTTAAGGATTCATCATGCAGCTTCTGCACCAACTCGGGAACTTCGGGCTGGACTTCTTGCTGTCGTACGCCCTCCGCATAACACGCCTCCCAAGTTTCAATCGTTTCCCGAGAGTCGCTGTCGCTAACAAACCTAATATGATCCATGTCTGTACCAGCAGAAAAGCGACCTCTGAATCGAACGCGTCCAACCTCCTTAATATCCAAATCAGGGATAGAAGCAAAGTTCTCCTCGGTGATATAGTTTTGAGATAGTCGTAAGGGATTGTTGCACTTCCATAGCGGAATGTCGAATTCTCGCTCTTGGTTGTCGACCAGCTCCAGCAGCCACAACGCGGCAAACGCATCAGGCCCCCTCTTACCGGCGGGATGAAATTCAATGAAAACTGGTGATTTATATCTGAATCGTACCGGTAGTCGAAGCTTCTTGCCGCCTTCAGGAACGCCAATGTTGAACACCATGCTATCTCCTTCACGGACAGAGTGATCCCTCTTCACATTGGCAGTAGAGCCTCCAGTGCGTAGCCGGAGCCGAACGTGGCTAGCTGGCGCATAATTAGAAGCTACGATTGTATCGGAAACAAACTCAAACGATCCTATATCCCAGCCCAGCTGTGGGGGTGGCAGCCTGAGCTCAACAGACCGGAAGAGTAGGGAGATACGGATGCGGCCGAAGCCGATACCTCCATCAAGAGGATACCATCGTGTTACCTCACTGTTGGTTTGCATGATATCGGATAGCTTTAGGGGAACCACTCCGATTATCGGATCGTGCTCTCTATTGCGAGAGTCTCGAACAGCAACGGTAACAATGCAAGAGCGCCAATCCCGGACAAACTTCTCAGTGCCTGCATTGAAGATTGGCTGTGATGACACTACTTTGGTTCGTGTCTTGTAAATCAAATCATCATTGATAAGTATGGTGCAGTAGGAGCTTGGCAGTTTCTTGCCTTGCTCTTCCTTGACTTCACCGGCTTCTGGCCTTGCAGGCTCATACTCTCTGCCTTTGCGGTTTCCATTGGAGCCTTTGACGTTAGCTAGCTCCAAGCCCACAATCTGATGGACAACAACGCTGAGGATACCCGATGGCCAAAGAGGATCAGGTGGAGTGTGGACCGCGGCGTCCTCCTCCTCGTTTTGGATGGTGCCCCATTCGTCATGAAATTCGGGTCTGTCGCCAAGCTCTTTTACCACATTAACGTTGTGGCCATCAGTGCGAAGCGCTTTACGGAACTGCGTCTTGCCGAAAAATCCAACTTCCCAATGGAGTTCACCAGGCATAACGGTGTCAGGTTTGAGTCCGCTCAGCGTAGACACATGCTGGAACATCTTTCCGGGGTGCTGGATGAGCTCCTGGATGCTTAGTTCAATTTTTCCAACTTCATCATCAGCAGACGATCGATCACTATCCCAAAGCTCCACTGATAGCTGCTCATCAGCTTTGATGAGGTCACTGGTAACTAGTAAGCCGCAGGTCTCTTCGAAGACAGGATTGAGATTGTCTTGTATGACTCGGGTACAGAATTGAGGCTTCCCAAACTTGCTCCAGCTAATAGTGATGTACGGATCGGAACCTCCACCCTTGCTACCACGCTGGTCTTGCTTGCTGAGGCCAGTAGCTTTGTGGATTCTGATGAAGATGACGCCAAATGCTTCCGTCTCCTTCTTGATGTCGTCTCCTTGCAGCATCTTGCTCATATCCAGAGTCAAGCTCTTGGGAGCAACATACATGGAGGCTGTAGCCTTGATGGCCCAATTTACGAAATTAGAGATGAGGGGTAAATTCAAAATGTTGACGCCTCTTTGAAGCATTGGAGTACAGCCGGCTTGCACTTTGGGAATACCCATCAACGTTATCGTCATAGTCTTCAAGAATGGAGGCTCAGGGCTAAGCTGCAGTCGAACACGTGCGGTACAAACGAGACCAATCAGCTCAACCCATATCGGAAGAGGGACTCCGAAAAGACCTTTGATTCCGAGGTAAAACACAAGCTGCATGCCCATGTTGCGGGCTTTGGAGGCGATATCAGCTCCAGAAGGCTTTGCATGGTACCCGATCGAAACTTCCATGTTGTAGAATGCCCCGGCTTGGGAGACAGCCGCGAGTTCGTCTTCGTCCATTGTCTTTTCATTCTCCTTGTGTATTTCGTCCTTGATATCCTGGACATGAGAATCGGGGAGGGCTCTCATATTGAGGATTCGAATAGGATTGCTGCCCTGGGAAATATCGGCAACTCGCACGTGCTCAATAACACCAGGAACAGATGCTGCCATGACGTCTTCAATGCTGTTTGGAATTTAGCCAGGGACTTTTGCTTAGTACAAGAGCAAACGGGAAGCTGTTACTCACGTATCTGCAACACCAGCGAACATTTCAGGATTAATCATACCCCAAAAAACGCCAATCGCAGTATTCATCCACTCAACAGACTCCGGGATCAGGTTGATGGTGGCGGTTTCACCACGTTCCTGCTCACTAGACCACTCCAAGTCTCGTCCTTTTCGGATCAAATCCTGCACCCACAGGTGGACGCCAGAAGTGACGCAGATGGCCAGGGGGATCAGACCAAGCAGTCGACCGCCAAACAACCTCCCAAAGAAGACAATACCCATGAAAATTCCAGCACATAGGAGATTTGACCGCATCTCAAGGGCGGTAAACATTGGTTCATAGCTGACTGATGGAGTTTTGTAAAACAAGACGGACGTCTTTTCACTGCGAATAGGCACATCGGAAGTTGACCCCTCTTGAATTGGGTCGGGAGGCGCAGTCACATCCTGAGCATAGCGATATTCTTCTCCAGATTGTTGAGATGAGGTGGCTATTGTGGCATGTTTACCCAAGTTCCCGTTGGGAACAGACATCTGCTCTAATTGTTAGTAACAATAACGCTTTTATAACGTATGAGGCCGACGTGGTAATTCGTACTTGCGGGTTTTCCACTGCTTCTTCAAAGTCCATGTCGGCATCGCGAATCTCAACATCTTTTCCCGTCACTGGATCGCGCACTTTGCGAGTGCCCTTTTTCTCGAGGAGCTCATTGCGATGAATCTTGACATCTGGATTACGCTTATTGCGCCTTAGCTCGGCATCGATCTCGGCGTCTCGCTGCTTTTTTTCAGAGTCAAGGCGTTGCATAAACTCCTGGATATTGGGCACCCGGTTGGTGGCACTGTAGTGCTGCCCAGAGGGCATGGCATGGTCGTCGACATTCATGGCGCCGACATGCAGTGTTTGTCTTGGTGTGAGAGTATAAGAAAGTGTAAGCGGCAAGCCCACGATTCACTCATCCAGGCAATGGGTTTGAGGAGGAGAAAAGAAGATGGCTGTTGATAAATGCCAAGCTAGGTAGAATCCAGTTATGCTGACGACGAGCAGCAGGCCCAACCACTACCGTGGGCAAGATCAGATGCCAGCGCGGGGGAACAGCTTTGGCCAGAGCCGCAGTCAAGAGCAGTGAACAGACGGACGAAAGTCAATTTCAATCGCTGCCATCCGACCAGCTATATTGTGTAGCCGGCCGTGCCGTGGCAAACACCGACACCAGCTGTCAGAGCGCAAACCGGATCTGCGAGCGCTCTTCGATGACGTACAGTGATGCGAGCCAGCCTGCTTAGATTGCCAGCTAAGGAAGCGCATCAGTCAAGTTGGTGGGGATCTAGCTTCCAGCTCGCTCGAGGCAGCAGATGCGGTCCTTGCTCGATATGAGGCTGATAAATTGTCTTGGCCATGATTATTCGCTTTCGCTCCGTCCTCGCGCTTTCGTCATACTGGCGATGGAGGCTGCAGCATTTGAGGCGCTGCCAGATAAGCATGAGGGCGATCTGGGGGGTTCTTGCACGTGGCCTTGCAGCTCTTGTCCCGCAACAGCGAGAGACGCGTGTTGGCCATCGATGATATATTCGGTCTCAGACGAAATCGCTCGGTAGCAGCGCGACGCAAAAATCATGCCATCAACGAGCTCCAGCGCGACGATCGCCCAGCTGGAGATCTTGGAAATGCGGCTGGAAGGAAGGGATCGTCTGCCGATTGCGTAGATGGCGCAGCTGCCCGCAAGTGGGGAGCAAGAACCTGCTTTGCCAAGCTAAGCCACAATGAACAAGGATGTGGAGCTCTCTTGATTGTAGCGGGACTTTCAGCTGTCAAATGCCCCGTTATGCTCTGGAGCTCCTATGCTTTTTTTCTCCTTTTCTTTCTGCGTGTCTTGTCTCATTCTTTGGATGCAAACATGAAGCATAGAGCTATCAGGTAAATAGAGTGCTGGGGAAGAAAAAAAAATTTTTAAAAAAAATTTAATAATAATAAAATAAAATAAAATAAAATAAAAAATAACTGCCGAAACCTTCCATCATAGACCTTGGATAGGAAATTAATTCAGCAGCAGTCTCACCAGTGCCCAACGCAGCATAAGTGCATGCAACCAACCACTCAGCTTGCAGGCCCTGACGGCACGATGATCGCGATAATCACGATGCCAAGACATCCATCATAAACTCCTCAGCACCTTAAACTCCTAGCAACACCCAATGCAGACGCCCACAGCGCAAGACAGCACTAAACAGGAGATAGAGGAAAGGACTCCGGCTTTATTGGAGCTCTTATCGCAAGCCCGCTCCAGCAGCCGCGCCAAGATGCTTCCTTTTCATGACTCCCTCCAGCTATCAAAAAGGCGAAGAGCAGGGATTGCGTCCGATTAGATGAATGGCTAGCGAGAGCTTGGCAATGACTAAGCCGGAGCTCTCCGTCCGCTGCGATCATCGTGCAGTCAACATTACCTCGTCGAGGTGGGTTTGACTCCTGATGGAATGCCCTCCCCCACATAGGTACTTGAATCAGTAGAATAACCACCAAATAGAGTTAATGCAGCGCCTGTAAAAGAAGATTCGCAGTTCAGTTTGCATAGGAAGGAAATACAGTACAAGATCTCAATGCGGTAGATTTCAGCACCGGCTGCAGATGAACAAGAAACGCGTCGGTGGTATTTTATATGAAAAGACCCAACAAGAATACACAATGCTAGCTATATCAGAGCCAATTATGCCAAATCCGTACATATCCATACATATTTTCCCTAATCCCGCCGTTGATGATGATAACAATACCCTTTCCCAATCTAATACTATGCCCTTAATTCGGCCCACCCAGCCCTAAAAGCTCATCGACTTGAATAGCCGCTTCAATGCTGCGTTGTAATACCGACACCTCCTCACCACTCAGCCACCTAACTCTTTCATCCACCATGCAGCTCATGTCCTTTTTCCCGCCTTTTTTCCATTTGCCATCCATCATCCAGTATATCGGAACTTCATAGCCATGCGGATCTGCCAGCTTGTTCTTGAGTAGGCTGCCGTTATACCAGAGCAGCTTGTCCTTCTCGTCCACATGCGCAATAACGAAGCTGCACACGGTATTGTTCTCTTTGTTGTCCTCTTTTCCCCATCCAAGAATCGATCCGTAGTGCTTCTCAAATTCATACTTGGATCCGGCAAGTTCCAGTCCAAGCCACCAAGTCTCCTTGTCTCCATAAGTGATCTTGTATGACACTTCATCTCGAACAGCATAGGTGTTTTGCCAGGCTATGTGAAGCAGACCAACCAAAACCTCGGGCCGGGACTTGTCGAGAACGACGACTCCTGAGTCGCATTCCTCTGCGTAATCTTCGGTCCAGACTAGGGATTTGTTCATCGCCGGCGACGGCTCCTTGATTTGGTCTTTCCACCACTTGTGTCTGTCTTGGAACCCATGTTGCCACAGCAGCCGGTCGTGAAATAAGTAGGCTCCATTGTTGATGTAGGCATGCTGTTCAAACAGGGCATCGGGCGACTGTAAAAATACGGCATCCGCGTCGAGTACGATGACTTCTTCGAATCTGGATGCTAGAGCTGCAAATGACTTGATGGCCCAACCCCCTCTTCGCAACTGCAGAGTGGAATCATCAAAAACAGTCCATACATCCAGGAACTCTGTGCTGTGTGTTTTATCGAGCGATGAGAGGGCGTCGCGACGGTGTTTTGGCAGGTCGTTCTCCCCGGCATAGGCGACTTGGATAGGCAGAGTACAACCGAGAACATCTCTGAGAGAAGCAATCAAGTGTCCCGCAAATCTTGCTGATGAATCACTCCCCCCAGCAGAGATTACAATTCCCTTTGACCCTTTGGTGAAGGAGCTCCGTAAGTCGCCAAGGGGCGCTGTGCTGTCTTGCTTAGTGTCCGGCGGCTGGAGAAAGGGAAAGAGAGAGATGGCAGTCTCGTCAATGGCGTTGACGAGCATGTGTCTATCTTCCTCTGGAAGCTCAGATCCCCATCGACTATCAAGGATGGTAATCCATTGACTCAAATTCCTCGATCGTTGACCAACCTCCCAAAACTTGTCTTTGAAGGGAGGCTCGATGGGGTGCCTGCGATACTTGTTCGATGTTCTCAGAATAGAATTGAGGGATACATTAGTCGTGTCTGGGTCGTAAATTGCTTCCAAAATAGCATCGCCGGCGCCGTTTATGATGAAAAAGTAATAAAGTGCAAATGCAGTAGCAATAAACAAGGCTCCCACCACTCTCGGCCGGCGATGGAAATAGCCGCCAAAATGGGCGACACTCAGGTTGCCAGACATCATGGCATATGAAGAATAGGAAAAAATACAGACGATGACAGAGCCATCTAAAAACAACACAAATAGATCGTATCAAGAGTACGTGTACTCCACAGATAAGATGCTAGATCTAAAGAAACAACCCCCTGATCTATATAGAACGGGCATTTCCAGTCTGGAGTGCCAAGAGAAGAACGAACATGAAACGGGACTTCGGACTACGCAGTACGAGCGAAGGATCTTTTCGTGAATACACGTACCATTTGCAATGCTACTTCGTCATGGCTTACGCGCGCCACAGAAAGGGTGTTGCCGGTTGGCCCGTCTCCTTACTAGTGTGGTCTTTTGTAAACTCAAACTGTCTCCCAATTCCTGCGTATATTTCCGTAACCTTGTATATTCCCGCTCCTGTGGCTGCAGCAACCCGGGGCCTATTGCGTCTGCCGTCAGCTTCTGTTTATTCAATAACGTTAATACCTTAACTTATTCTTATTTATGATTTTTCTTCTACGCACTTTTGATTTCACGAGCTGCCAGAATGGGCGTGCTGGTCTAGCAAACTCAGCTCGTCCGCAGCCTGTCTGTCGGCTTACATCCTAGATGGCTGCGCACTGCGCCACGCACCCACATTTATAAACACGAGATTTTGCGCCCAACCATGCGCGTTGCTGTATCTGTCTAAGCCGCAGAGAGTTTCTGGTGCTAATATGAGATAAGCTCAGCTAGGTAATGAGGCTTTGGAGTGAAAAAAAAATGTGCTCCTGGCCTAAATATTCAGCATAGCTAGATGCAGCAATAGATGCCCCTGTCTACCTATGAACTGATACTCCACATATTCTCGAAATTCTTTGATATTCGCGTATACCAGGAGCTATGGCTATATTCCATTAGCCCGCATGGCATAAGATCCACTCACTAATTTTTTCTAACTCAGCCTCTGCTACCATGCTATTCACTAGGAATTAAGACCGTGCTCTATTCTACTCCAGGACGATGAGGTATAATCATCAGCACCAAGCATCTCCACTAGAATATACGCCTGCTCTAAACAGTCACTTTACGACATCAGAATTTTGGGCTTGATTTGCCAACGCCAAATATATTATTCTATGGTGGCTATATTGATGCTATCGTCCAAGCTTTCGCGTCAGCCTCAAGCCCCCTGTTCACTTCTCGTATTGATACAGTACATGTATACATGTATATGATCATTTCTCGGCATTTGCCAATTACGTTAGCTCTTGTCGTTATTATTGCCTGATTCGCGACCATTGCTCAACATATATATGATCATGTCTTACTAGTTACGTTAGTTTACGCTATTACTATCATCTACTTTACAATCAATCCTCAAAATTAAGCGTACATGTAAATGTTATAAGGTGCCCAATCATGGCTCTTATAGGTACTCAAACAAGATATGAAGTTTGACTAGTAGTGAGATAACCATTGATCTACGCTAATTAAAACAGGCCCTTGGATATTAGTTGGAAATGAATCTCGAGTGTATTTTGGATTGTGATGTCTGAGTCAACTGCCAAAATTTCATAATATCCCCCAGAGTTACAGACGAGTCTCACAGTAATCGCCGCTCTCATGCCCTAATGCCCTATAGAATCTTGTTGAGTAAACACATTCATATCTAGACTACGTTTATCAAAGATGCGTTTATCATTGTGGGCATGTAAATATATACTTATATACGCTGAGCATGTGAAAACTCGATTCTTGCGTCTTTGATCCCAGTTCAACAGATCAACCCAGTTTATGTCTCCTTCTCCGCTTCCACACCAGCAAGTATTGAATACAACGAGCTATATATAATTTCCTATTCACCGCATACCTCAATGAGGGAGATGGAATGGATTACGAGTATAATTGAAAATTCAATAGCCAACGACTTCCTTGCCCTCTTGCTAAGAATCGTCCCGCAGAACAATATCTAAGCAGTGCCGGCGGTGTAAGAAGATGTCTGTTCAAGTAAAAATTCGTATTGGGAGAAAATTTATATCCGGCGAATCATAACACTAATCGTGCGCGACAGGATGCAGCATCTATCAAGTCACATTATTATACGTATGCCAAAAAGAGATGTTGTATTCTTACCACAGAGGGTCATCTGAAACACAAAAGTACCCACTAAAGATGGCTTTGCCGCATGTGGGATACTGAGGCGCAGCCGACTTCAGGCAACATTTGTCGTTTGACTCTGCGCAGAATTCAGGCTAAGCGAGATATGATTAGGTATGAGGCCATTAGTGGGATTTTCGAGCCGGCTGTATCTCATCAGTTGGAAAGACACGCGTACAACAAAGTGGAGTACCAATTGGAAGTAGAACAAGTCCAACCGGGGGAATGCAGACAGCAGGAGACAGAAAATATATGATATGTCTATTCATATAAATTCTGAAAGAATGGTGAGACTTCCAATGACACGTTGAGCATCGTTGTGCCTCGGCTTGGACGAATACTACAAATTTGTCAAGGATACGCGGACCTTATAACTCCGCTATGTACTGTATGAGACATCGAAGCATTAGTAAATTGCATGTAATCGAGAACACGCTGCTTTCCCCTCTAAGTTTGGCTGTATCCTTATCTAGATAAAGTGCCCTTACCGCTCTTCTTCATCTTTAGATGGGTATGCATAGATAGAAGAACCTCCGCTCACTTGGTTCTCGTATTTTTGACTTCTCTCCTGCTTTTTCACTCCTCAGTATGTTCCCTCCACTTCTCCCCTCTTATTCTATTACTTTACACCGCAACTTCTGCCTGCGTCCAACTTTCATGCCTTGCAAATTGTTACTATTTCAACTCGATCCTAAAGGATTCCTGTGTTTGAGGCAACATCAAAAATTTAAAGGTCTCTGCTACCATATGGTTGAGGGCACAGAATGTTTCATACATACTCTCGGTGGCTAGCTCGATCATAATATGGGCTGTGGCCGACTAATCAATTGAAAAGATGAAATAAGTGTTATATTGCGCCTTGCCCCTTGTCAATCCACATCATCCAAACCTTGGTTTTAGAACTTTAGTTAGAGTGAATGAAACTTGACGTTTCTTGTTTGTTGATCTCTTGTGCCTTGACTGGCATGATTGTGACGACTCTTTCTGTTAGTCGTTCAAAGGCTTGGTTGACGTGACACCCAGTTCGGTTTAGTCTTCGAGCATGAGGTAAGAATGCATACATGGACTAACCTCTAGAATGATCGAGATCGTACACATGCAGGCCTCTCGCCCTTTCCTCTCCGTTAAACGAATACTATCTGGGCCACTAAGGAATAGGGTGGAACTCGAGTTAGCATAAGGAGACTAGGTGGGCTTCGAAGGCGCCAGAAAATGATACCTAATTGACTAAGAGCTAACTTAAATGTTCGTTGATGCTGCTGAAATAAGAGGTATATCCGGAAAACCTTTCTGACGTATGAATCGGCAACTAGATTGCCAAGAGAATTACGTTGCTCGAGCTCTCTTTAATAACACGTATGATATGATGTTGTCGAAGACGGTAATTTTTATAGGAGTATGATTCTTTGTACCGTGCTCAACCGAACCATGTTGAATATTTAAAGGGGACTAGCCACCTAGCAGTTTTCAAGACAATGTACGCTCTAATTTCCAGCACAGCAATTCTTAAATTTCTATTTGGAAACGAACTTCAAATACTACGAACATGGTCCTCATTTCTCTTGATAGCTAATCTCTTTGGAAACCCCCTTCCAACGATCCGTTGCTACCACGATGTAAAGCTTTACTATTTGAGATTCTACTTGTATTGTAAACTCCTATGTCAATGCAATTGAGGCGCATAGGTTCATTTGAAAATATACTGTCTGAAGATGTGAGAGCCACCCTATCGGAGGTTGAATCAGGCGGTAAATCCGACACAAACAGCGGTAATGAATACCATGGCGATGAATCCTCGCAGGCTTCTTGACAAAGTTAGAAAGCCAAAAGCATACACTATTAGCGTAGTGGTTCCATATTGATGCCATGTCTCGAATCCATGTTTTTAAGGAACAAAAAGCAGAATAGGATCGTATTATACCCACTTGTAGGGATTTATACCATATTGGCACCATGGGAGGAGCATGAACATGAAGAAGTAACCTGATCAAAAGCCATATTAAAGAATGTCGAGTCGCGATACATGCCGTCAATCTCTCCATCTGAGTAGCTCAACCTCCGTCTTCTGGACCTCCAGGTACATGACCACCACCATCGTCAGGGCCGTCAGGGCCTTCAGGGTCATCAGGTCCACCGGCTCCGCCATGAGGTCCGTCACCGTGACCGCCATCCTCGCCTCCATCGCCACCGTCATCATCCTCCTCGTCCACGGCGTCAAATGCCTCGTTGGCCAAGACATGACCTTCTCCTCCATCCCCTTCTCCTTCCATATCAATATCCAAATTGAAGCCTTCGTGACTCTGTACCACTCGAACCGCTGCCTTGGCCAAATCTAATGCTTCATCGTCTGGCAATCCATTGCCCCTCTCGGTGGCAATTGCGTCGCAGATTCTCGCTACGACAGTCTCCCCAGACAGTTCATGACTGGTGTTGAGATCATGGACCACGTTGAAGATGGCTTGCAGAATCGCGGGACGAGAACCAACAATTGCATCTGCACCACCGTTTGTATAATCGTCTACCAGCCGGAGGAACTCATCATGGATGCTGTTGTAGTCGAAGTCAGCCATGCTGGATATGAAACGAGAGTGGCAATGGAAAGGGAAAATGTGAGAAGAACGTTGGATTATTGAATGCCGAGCATGCAAAAATGAAAATAACAATAAAGTTGCTGGCTCTTTTGATGTGGTGAGGGATATTTGCACTCTGATGGAACTTGCACCCACGAGTTATGGCTGGAGATGGGCGGTTCATCTCTGGTTCTGTGGGGTAGGACGCATGTTGTATCGCTTGTATCATTAAGCACGGGCACGGCAACAGCCGATGGTTCGCAGTAAGGAGTACGGAACACTTGAAACTAGTTATTCTTCATGAAGAAATGCTACATCCGTCCAGCTAGCCAGCCAACAATTATTGAACCATAACTGTCCGAATGATCACCATCGGCATCATTAGGATCAGCCGCAAACGATATATCTCAGCCGCAGCGCCACCGTGACGCCAAATCACATCCCCTCAACCAATCGCCTTCTTATTAAGGTGGTTTCACTGGCTAAATCGGCAACATTTTGCATTCTTGATCCTTCAACTAACCATCACCACGATCCTTCCAAAACTCTACAGAGCGGTTTTCACATGATACAGCGCAGTTCAGGTTCAGCGTCCACTTGGTAATAATAAAATAATTTTTTAGATCGGCCTATATTGGCTGAACTAACTAAAAGCTAGCGTTAGCTTCCATTACACTGTGTACCACTCTTAACTAATGAATCATCTGTTTTTACAAGTTCACTACATTCCCTCCAAAGGCAATAAATAATATATAGCCAATCCTGCTATATAAAATGATATCTGACAGCTCGTGCTGGCCAAGGCTATCGTTTTGTAGCCATCGGCGACATTATATCAAGGCCACCTGACTCATCGTTGCATCAACTTCACTAATGCTGCTGCTGGTTAATAAAACATCAGCTGAGAGACGCCACCAACCTTGAGCAGAGGTACTTTAAGACCCCATGTTCTGGACAGATGGCTACTTACAATACAGTAGGGGAAGGAAAGGTTCCTGATTCAACCTAGAGCTCTTCTACCACAGCTACACCAACATCTGCAGCAACACAATCCACAATCTTCATTTTACCATGGATCCGCCAGTGAATGTTTATGATGAAGCTGACTACATTGCCCACAGCCTATCCCCAAGGCAGAAATATGGCGGCATGATATTTGACACAAGCAGTCAGCCACTAGCTTTTTTCGGTATAGAATTCCATTGCGACACGCAAGCTCGCTCCTTCTGTACCCAAGACGACGATGGTAGCAACAACTTGGTGGACTACGTGCTTTTGACTCATACCTTGAGGTTTATCCCTGAAGTTTCGACCACCTGGCGAGGCTGGGACCGGTACCGTTTCTTCGTCCGCGCCCTCGATAAAGATGCTTCCGCTTCGTTGCAGCAAGGCAACCCAATTCCAGAATCTGATCTTGGGAACTGGTTTAACAATGAGACGGCCCCAGGGGTAAGCCTGTCCATATCTAGCTACTGCATGACACTTGCGAAGACACAAGAGCCGCTAACTGTCTCTAAACAGACTCTACAGACTGCCTCTATTCTTCAATCTAGCCCCCCAACCTCTAATATTGGGCAGACATTTAGCAGTTCAGTAGGATCCAACATGGGCTTTAACGCTGGCTTCTTTGGTGACGAGCCCACAGCAACCTATAGTCAAGGTCAAGACATGTCTAAGAGCTTTTCCTACTCAATGGACAATGTATCCGTGCAGGACTACTCCAAGGAGACAATCATAAACAAGCAATTTACCATAAACCACCTAGACATGAACACCACACTTGGTCTCGACGCCAAGGCAAACAATCACACGGATTTCGGGTTCACTACGTACGAGGCGACTGTGGCTGAGTTATTCAAAATCCCAGACGACGGGCAAGGAGATAGGAACAAGACGAACCCCACCGTGTTCAGACGCTTTGAGATTGCTCTGCAGGCGGAGAGAGACTTGAAAACAGATACTTGGACCAATAAAGCAAACGAGGACATGGTGAGTCTGACAACAAATGTCCGTCAGATCATCAGTGTCAAGGCTCCACCACTTCCCCGGCCTGCTTCTTGAAAAGGATGAAATGAGAAGGTGAATCGGGTAGCCCTTAACGATTATAGCAATCAGGCTCGAAATTGACCAGGATATTTTAGCATTGATTCTCGCTCCCCAAGGCAGAGTTATGAATTTTACCATTAGAATGAAGCTCCAGTATTGTTGTTCTCTTTAATTAAACGGTCCGATATTAACGCGTCTGCATACGGTTTCTACATTTCATAGTTCCCCGTATCAATGGCACGGGCTCTTTGTACTCTGTCGGCTTAATAGATATTGGTGAATTTATACTACCGTAGGCTGCGTCCATGCAAGAACGCTATGTCGCCAGCTGATCTTTCTTTTTTGAAATGTGCCTTCTATAATTTTTCACCAAAAGATTGCTTTACAGAGCTTCATTCATATATGAATGTGATCTCGCTGCTTTGCGCGCGCTGTAAAGCCAATACACCTTTTGCTTCCTGACGCAGCTGTTGGATTTCACTTCTACTGATAAATTTCACTAGCTCTCTGAATCTATCTGACCGATCTTTTTGATGCATATTAATACTCAGATATTTTATATAGCTAGGTGAGTTTTGCTGCTCAGAACTGATTCTAATTGACTAATCAAACCTAGTTGCTGTTCATCTAGCTACCGAATATTGCTCAAAGTATTCGACATTGTTATTAATGCACGCTCATAGGCTCAGCGAAATCTAGTTCCGTTTGTTCAAGCAGATAACCACGTGAGCACATCCAATCTTCTTTTGTCTACTTGGCGTCGCGGTAGCTCGGCATTCGCCCAAAACAGAAGTCGCGTCGACTAGTGTTCCTCATTCAGTTCTAGAACATCGAATGCGATCTTTGACCATCTTTGACACGCCACCAGACGCACAAAACATGCATGCCTTGCTGCGCCACCGATCCTGTTGAAGGATTCAAAGAAGCTGTGCTTGAACCAAACAAACCAAGCACGTGTTGGCGATCGGCCAAGCGAGATGATGCAATTCATCCTATCTTGAGGCTTCCCGCCAAAAGAAGAAGTACCCGGCACTATTTAAAACGGAGAACAGATATGTGTGTATTTTCAGCTAGGATAGCGAGAAGCGAGGCCGAATACGCCCGCTGTACTTGTCGTATTACAGCTAGCTTGCCCAGCTTTCAGCAATTGACGACAGAAAAGTGCTTAGTACATGTAATCGGCCGCCATCACAGTGAATTATGGTAGCTACAAACAACTCAACATTGTAATTGGAATTGTCTGTAAATTAATTACACACAGCAGCGGCTAATACAAGCCCCTTCTAGGCCACTTCTTCACTCATTGTCCTCAATCCGCCGCCGTATTCTTTCCAATCCACCGGCTTAGCGCCAACATGACCGCTTGCGCCTCGGGTGACGTCGACGCTGCTGGTGATCGCTTTCCGCTTACATACTAATGCCAGCCGGAGATCATTTCGTGCCATCGTCCGCCACCCGCCGCCAATCTCGCCTGGGCAATACTAGAATCACGAACAACTCTTGGCATTCAGCACGCACGTTCCTTCGTGTCAGCCTTGTGTCTGTTCCTATGCGGTAATTTCGCTGCGTTCAAATTAACCGCTGGCCCTGCACGATGCCATGTGATATAAAGGCAATCTCATAGCCACCTCCGCATCTTGCTTAAGCGCTAGCTCGCTATTACCATCCAGCTCTCAGTACATGTAATAAATAAGTAGCGACCCAACAAACTTCGACCAATGTAAGCAGGGGCAATTTCTTCTTTCAACCTCATCAACTCATCAACCAGACACAGTCTCTCATCCACCATGGCCAAAGAACCAGTTGACGGCGAAGCGCCGCCGAGCTACACGCCCACAGCGCCGGCACCTCCCAACGGACAGACTAATCCACCCAGCAACATCGATATCACAGCCTCGTTTGCACACCTCGCCATCTCTTCTGATCCGCCAACCGGCATCCCCAGCGTTGACACCTGTCTCGCACATTTGAAACTCCTTCACGCCATCCACTCACTCAAGGAAGACGTGGGCTACACCGATGGCCTGTGGGGCCTCTGGGACGACCGCGCTGACAAGGACGCCGATATCATCGTCGACGGGGCGCTGCCATCGGGAGTAGATTTGGACAGGCTCAGCAAAGATGAAAAAGCCAAGCTGGCTCTCAGCCGTCTGCGCGAGAAGCGATGGGCCATCTTCCTTGCGCGTGCTGTTGACCGTTATGAAGCGTGGTGGAACGCGATTAGCAGAACGAAGGAGATGCTGACTGAGATCGACATGATGAAGACGCACGGCTCCAGATATATAGATTTCCCAACCAGTGGCGCACCATTGCCGTGGAGTGATGATTTGATTCCTCCATTGGGTATGTATTCATGAATCGTTCAGATCAAAATATTGTCATTTTACTTCTATGACCTTTCACTAACATGTCGCACTAGATGTTGTAATGGTCATGCACGCGCACATGTTAAACCCCAGGGCCTTCCTAGAAGACGCCATACGCACCAACATGATCGAGTATTGGACCGCCGGCATGCCATGGCTGCCCGTGAACAATGCCATCTCTACTGACTTTTCTTACAACGCGAATGATGAGGCGCAAACCAATTGGGTCTCACGGACAGGACTCAACTGGGCTAACCAGGATGACCCCATGACCAAGTCTCTTCGATGTCCATGGTGTAAAGGTGGCTTGGAGGTGCCATGGACAACTTGTGGAACAAAATCCGAGTCAGAAAGGTAATGTTGTTATAATTTTTTATAAGCAGATCATTTATCAGCGTGATTCGAGTTTGCCATTGCTAACAACTTATATAGTGCAAAAGGCACCATTGGAAATGGATACGGCGACGGCAACTTCTCCCACGAATGCCCCAGCTGCCACAAAACCATCACCAAAGAGGTCCTTTCTCTCTCAAAATTCATCCAGGACTCTTCTCTAGTGCTCAGCAAAACCGTTCCCATGCCCGGAACGATCCTCTCAGTGGCTTCCGGCACACCAGAGATCATGCCAGAGCCCCCATACTCCTTAATCTACTCCCGCACATTCCCCAACCGCATGATACAGCTTGAATTGCGCTCCAAGATCCTGGAACTCATCAACCCAGATGCCAAACACCCATCCATGCTAAGCGTGCGAGACATCATCGAGAAGACGACCAGAGACGGCCAGGCAATTCGCCGAATATACGGCAACTACAGCCGCGCAAGACGCGCCGCCTTACCGCGCGAGGCCAAGATAGCCACCCGCAAGATGATGAGCCGCTACTGGGAGAACTTTTCGCCCTTTGCGCTCGACCTCTGCGGCGCCGTCATGCGCCAGGGCGTCTTCATCGACAAAATGGTCAAGCTCGATTGGCTTCACAGCCCGGCCGCAAAGGCCACCATGAGCCGCCTCCTCACAAAATACGACCGCTTCGTCGACATCATGAAGAGACATCCAGACAAGATGGCCGTCCCCACGCTGGATGTAGACTTGGCCTGGCATACGCACCAGCTGACGCCAAGAGACTACTACGACTTTACGACTAAGAAGACGGGCAAGTTTATCGATCACGACGACAAGATTGACGAAAATGCATTGAGCGAGGCATTCGAGTGGACTACAAAGACCTACCAAAGCCTCTACAATGAAGTATACAGCGAATGCACATGCTGGTACTGTGAAGGTGAGCTTCACAAAAACCTCCCTCCCCCCATTCTCTCAACTTCATCCCCCACAGAAATTGCCAAACAAAAAAAAAAAAAAAAAAAAAAAAAAAGCTAACAATATCTCACATCAAAAGCCGTCCGCGAATCCCAATCCTCAAAAATAGGCAAACTCTTCAACATATCCTCCTCCCAAAAACTCGCCGACTCCTTCCACACCTCCGGCTCCGCCAGCCTCTGCCCGCCCGACAACTCGGCCCACATCTCGGCCCACAACTCGGTCAGGACGCTCGACGCCTCCATGCTCGGCGCGCACGCGCAGGCCCGGCAGCAGCAGAAGCTCGACGAGGCCTACCGGAAGGCGTGCAAGCGCGCGGAGAAGAAGGGCAGGACCTTGCCGGCCAGGGATCAGTACTATGATTACAATCACTGGGGCTATCCTTATTACAGTAAATGAAACCCATCATATATATATATATATATATATATATATATATACATACATCCATACATACACATACCCAATGTCTGTGGGGAAAAAAAAGAACCTTATACTGACAGACAGATTTAGTGTACGGCCCGTTCATGTATCCCATCTACTTCACCCCCGGCCTATACTACGGCTGGGATCCATGCTACATCTCCTCAGGACAGGGTGCCTGGGCAAACTGCGCCGGCGGAACTTGTGGCAACGGAAATATTGCCGCCGGTGCCTGCGGAGGTCCGGGAGGATGCTCTACCGTAAGTCATCATGTGTCTCTCCAACTTTGGTCTCCGATTTCATCATGGCTAATCGAGAAATCTTACAGGCTAACTGCGGCGGAGGAGCCGGTGGATGCGGAACAGCCGGTGGTTGTGGAGGTGGTGGTGGGTGTGGAGGAGGAGGATGTGGTGGAGGAGGAGGAGGCGGAGGATGCGGCGGCGGTGGTGGATGTTGAGGGAGATTTTGCGCCCCTCTACTTTTTGTAACGTAGCAGACTTGAGACACTGGAAAGCTGGTTTAGCAGCCCGGTTACATCTCTCGTATACATGTGCCATATGCACAACGACAATGGTAATGTTAGCTGTCTATGTCTGTTTATCTAAGTTCCTCTAACTTTGGTATAATATCTGCTGTAGGAGCTATGGGTGCTGTGGGCGCCTCTCTTATGCTCGTGATATCCGTAAACTCCGTTCCATCTTAAATCACATCCTTCAATATAATCAACGCGTCCAATCCTTGGATCAAAATTAGTAACCATACGCGGGGCTGTATAAATATGTTGTTTGATAGGAATCGCCGAACAAATCAGCTGGCTTTTTGAGATACGCCGTTCGCTGTGTAAGCTTCGACAGGTGTTGGAGGGTCATCTTTGACAAAATGCTCGACATCCGGCACCACCTCTCCCTCACTAACAATGGGGAATGGGGTGAGAACATGGCTAATGTCTCCCCACCATTGCTCGCCAAACCGTCGGTACCATTCCACCGTCATCTGCAGTCCCTCCTCAAACGTTGTCTTCTGGTCCCAGCCCAAGTTTCGTAGCTTTGAGCCATCAACAGCGTACCGACAATCATTGAACGGTCGATCATGGGTATACTTGACCCATTTTCGGAACTGCTCTGGAGTGTCATGGGCAATGTCCATGGCCGAAAGGATTTTGCCGCATAATTCGAGGTTGGAGATTTCGTCAGTGGAACCAACGTTGTACACATGGCCAACCTGGCCTTTGTGAAGTATCGTGTCAAAAGCATCTGCAGCATCGGCGGCAAAGAGATATCTCCGAGTGGGACTACCGTCGCCATGTAGGACGACAGGGCGCTTGCGATTGAGTAAGCAGATAAATTTGGGGATGATTTCTAGCAGACTGAATTAGATTGGATCTTGTGTCAACCTGATTTCCTTGATGTAAATAAAACTTACTCTCGGGGTACTGATGCGGGCCATAGACATTGTTGCTGCGAACAATAATGGTAGGGAGTTTGAAACTCTTATGATAGGAGTGGACCATCATTTCGGCGGCTGCTTTGCTCGCAGCGTAGGGGTTGGTTGGGGCAAGGATGCTGGATTCCTGCAGCTCATCTTCGCCGTGGCCCACTTCGCCATAAACTTCGTCTGTCGACACGTGGATAAATCGTTTAACGCAGGCTTTCTTGGCGCTCTCCAAAAGAACGTGAGTGCCGTAGACGTTGGCATGGGTGAAGCTATATGAGTTGCCGAAGCTCAAATCCACATGCGACTGCGCTGCGAAGTGCATCACAGTGTCGATGTGATAGCGCTCCATGCAGTCGAGGACTTCGGAGGGATTTGTCAAGTCGCCATGGTAAAAAGTAAAGTTGCGCTTGTCATTGAGGGCTCTGGTATTGTTCAGAGCGGAACAGTAATCGAGCTTATCGAACGATACAATGTTGTAAGCGTGGGGGTATGTCAAGGTGAGATGGCGAACCACCCAGGAAGCACTTTGGGATGACGGCAAAAGTTAGTCATGCATATGCAGGGCGGCAGATGTGGCACTGGAGGGAGCGGCAACGTAGAGGCTGGCAGACGAGTGATGGGCCATAAAAAACTCACATGAAGCCCGCACCACCTGTAATCATGATGTTCCTGACGCCTTCACGAGGCTCGAACTGAGTAGTACCTGTGAGAACAGGCGCCTGCTGCCAGATGTCAGGTTCCTGAAAATAGCTACGATGGCCATTCATGGCGCCTAGTCACCATCATGGATCAGCTTCCCGTCTTGGACGTGAACGAATGAGAGGCGGGTTTTTGCCAGATTGGGAGGGTGCATGCATACCGTTGGCCAAGGCGGTCTTGACCGTGGGTCTCCAGCCGGGCTTGTGAAGCGCGGTGGTGGCCATGAGTGCCTCGGGGCTTCTCGCGGAATTCATGGCCGGCGTCGCCTGGCTGGGCGATGGGTTCTGGCTGCAAGCGTGCCGCTGCACGGGCGATGAGGGCGCGGCGTCTGAAGAGTGCGACGACGAGGGAGAAGACGAGTAGTAGGAAGACGCCGCAGACGCAGGATACGATGCCGCCGGCGAGGACGCTGGCGACAACATTGGCGATGGCGGGCTGTGGGAGAAGCAGCGGCAGAGGCTCGGGTGTAGGCCCTGGATCAGCCGTTTCATATCACGACGGGTTGTGGTTTCCTCGGGCTGGATTGTTGCACAAACGGCGGACGATGTCGATCCAAGCAGAAGCGATCAATGGCTCCAAACGGGCAGGCGCACGCGGCAGTTTATATTGCGCAGGCCCCAAACGTCGCTCGCCTTTGCCAGGCTGTGTTCCGTGAGCCGCGTTTACTGTCCGTCTACGAGCCTCGAAATTGGCTGACGCCCAGCTCGTCACAGCGCGCACAGCGTTCGCAAGAGCCCCCGGGATAGCGCTTCCGGACAAAGCCCCGACTCCTCCGTCCGTCTGAGTCTCAGTCTCGGCGCTTCGTGTGAGGGTCGGATCGGGTCTGCCCCTCTGGACGGCTGCAGCGACAAAGCAGAAAAGCGGCGGTGGCAGCGGTGATGACGGCGCATCCGCAGGTGAGGGTTTGTTCCATCTGGGGTCCCGTCCCGTCCTCGTTTCAACGACGCCGGCAAGGCACGAGCAGCGCATCCGCCTCGCCTCTGCTCTAGCACTGGTCGCCGAATCCACTCTTTGCAGACGATCTGCCCGTGATTGCTTTGCCTGTTTTTTAATTGCGAGATGGAGCGGCAATGTCTCACCAGCGCCTTGTCTGGAACCGGCATAGCGCCTAGTGCCTGTTCTTGGTCAAATCGGCCCGCTGCGTCGACGTCAGTACCTGAGAGATACCGCGACTGCAGCATCTGGCGCTGTGCGTTCGCGAGTACAGCGCAGGTCCCGCCACGCATAATTGCCCCCCTGGCTGCGGTGCCCACAAGGCGGAAGACTCTACCAGGTACCTTGCCACTCTCCAATCTGTGCCTGAGTACGTCATCCACAAGCCTTCTTTTTTCACAGGCACGAAAAGCATAATAACCAGGAGCGCGCATTGATTACTCGCAGCGCTGGACATGGCAGATGCCGCGACTATGGAGCACAAAGCCGGTGCTGTGCTAGGCTACGGATCCTCCCATGGGCAAAGCTGCCGAAACGACACAAGCGTGTGCACGCCGTGGATCGACAGGAGGTGCAAATTGGCCAGCACCACACCAGAAGTAACCTCATTTGCCCATCCGTGTCAAGCGTGTACTTGCATTGGCGCGGCTGGCAGCTTAGGCACTGGATCCCGGCCCTGGGCCGAAGCTGCAAAGCGACCAAGTGGCGGGACTGAGCATTCAAGCAATTAGAAGAGAGAAGAGGGAATAAAATTCGTATAAAGGACCTGGTCAGGTTACAGCCTCGTTCATGGCTAGGCTCTGCCACGGGTAGTACCTAATCTCGGGTGGGGCTATTCCATACAAGGCAACATGTTTCTTATGTTTGAAACGCAAAGTATATTTCCTCTGTTGATCCTCACTTACATGGAAGAAGGAGGAGGAGAAGCAGAAATCACAGCCCCACGGCAGCTGTCAGAGCGATCCCTCGCAGGGTCCTGGTCGCGCCAAGCAGCCTAGCTAAATTCAATCTTGCTTGAATGAGACAGTGCCCGCGAGACACGGATAACGCCTCAAACACCTCCTCTGCGAATCTGGCGCGCCACAGACATGAAAGCCGTGCAGTAGCACCACAGCACAAGGAATGCGGGCGCCCGACTCGGCCATTGGACACGCTGCAGCTACTGCTGCTGCAAACTGTATGCCGTCTCCTATATCGGGTGAAACATTATGAAAGATGTGCAGCTTAGCAGCTGAAACTCCTTGTAGTCAACGCCATGAGCAATGCCAAGCCAATGACCAATGCAGCTCGGAAGCTGTCGCCGGAGAATATCACCCGCTGATTGGCATATAATTGCCATGCCGCATGCAGCCTGGCCTTAGTGGTGTTGCATTCCTCGCCTTTGGCTGCGAGGTGTGCAGTGCAATACTCGTATGGATGTATATTGGGCGCGGCATACATAAAGTACAGAGAGCAGTTATCGTGGACGACAATCAACCCCTCCCCCGCCCAAAATGTGTGACATGGCTGATCATCCAGCATATCTGGCAACCAGTCAAATTGATAAGAATATATGAGATGCGTAAGAGGCGTCGTTACTCAATATCTCCTCTGGCAAACACGCCAATCGCTTGCACAGGACGAGCCTCTTCGGCTGCAACATGCATGATGGATTGGGCGATTTGCTGGACTTTTGTCTGTGAGGATGATACTTGGTGCGGGGGTATGACGACTGAATGTCTGATGATATATGCAACTCGCTGCATTTGTGAAAGAGGAGAAAGGAGGAGAAATCGAGTCTTACATCACTCAGACTGGGAGGTTCGTGTCTTTCCTGGGCAAAGTAGGCCGCCGTGCCAGACCACTGCGTCTATAAATATCCCGAGTAGATATCAATCTCTGATATCAAAAACTTCTCCCATAGTATCATCCAGCGACCAGGCAAATATAACTACATCTTCCCAAATCATCAACTTCAGATAAACCCATTGTCACTCATCAGTAACCATGTCGACCACCTTGGTGCCTCTCCCTGTCCGCCGCCACCAAAGGCCGCATCGGGTAGGAGGCTGGCTGCCCAAGAATCCCAAGCTTTTAGTCGATTATCTGCGTGATCTCGTTTCTGAGGTCAATAAACATAGATTATCTGCCCCCAAAGGCGCACTGAGGCTGAGCGAGCCTGTCCAGGATCTCCAAGATCTGATTGAGAGCACTGCTGAGCTTCGAATGCTGGCCCAGGCCATGTTTGACGAAGTTCCCGACAAGCCACCTTACAATGAGGACCCTGTAGGGAACAAGCAGATTAAATCCTACCAAGAAATGCTAGACTGCTTTGAATTTGTCATGAAGCACAAGGCCCCGTCATGGAAGAAGCTAGAATATGATGTCGGCTTGATTGGCTTCCCTTTCAACGCTATCCTGGACTGGCCTATGGCCACAGGTAGTGGATATGCTTTCTTCCTCAATCCCAGGGTCAATGCAAAGCTCAAGGTCATCCTCAACACTTGGAAACAAGACGTTCTGATGACTGAGAAATCCAAATATGTCATCACTACCGCCGACGACGGATGGCTGAGCCAGGAGGCTCTCATGCATATCCAAGACGACACCAACGTCGTCGGCGAGGAGCTGACCTTTGAACAAACCTTCAAGTGCGATCCGGCGGGAGATCCAGTACACTGGGGATTCAAGTCTTGGGACAGCTTTTTTATCCGCGAGTTCAGGAACATGGACCAACTCCGCCCGGTTGCTTTTCAAGGCGAACCACAGTGGGTGGCCAATTCGTGCGAGTCCAAGCCTTTCGCCCTTCAATCAAACGTCCAAGCGTATGATTCCTTTTGGCTCAAAGGCCAAGCTTACTCTGTCAACGAGATGCTTCGAGGACATCAGTACGCGGACGAGTTTGTTGGCGGCACGGTCTATCAGGCCTTTTTGAGCGCCACCTCCTACCACCGATGGAACTCGCCTGTCTCTGGCAAGGTTGTCCATACGGAGATTGTCGATGGGACATACTTCTCAGAGCCTACCATTACTGGTTTCAGCGCTCCCGAAGGTCCTGATCGCGCTGCCCCCGATCTTGCCCAAGGCTACATTAGCCACATTGCCACGCGAGCCATCTTCTTCATCGAGGCCCCGGAGCCAATAGGTCTCATGGCGGCAATTTACATCGGCATGGCTGATGTCTCGTCCTGTGACATATTGGACAAGTTCAGCGGCGAAAATCTGCCGGCGACGGTCGAGAAAGGAGAGGAGATTGGAACGTTCCACCATGGGGGCTCTACCCATTGTTTGCTTTTCCGACAGGGCGTCAATCTCGCGTTTGTAACCGACGCTATTCCTGGAAATGCAAAGAAGAATTTGCCAATTCGGGGGGCTTTGGCGTATGCGTATTAACGTTAACTGACGGTATGTCTGGCATTATACCGCTGGCTGCTGCTGGCTTTGACTAAAGACGAGGGGGTCTATAGGTTAATACACTCATTGCGTCGTTGTGTACGCTCGTTAGACAAATCAATAAACAAGTATTAAACACTTGACTTTGGTCATTGGCTTTGTGAAATCGAAGATACCTACTGTATTCACTGTACCTAGTAGTTGCCCCAGTACCTAATGAAGTTCTACACCATTTTCTCTGTAGTGGACGTTCCAGCGGTGCATTACTCTCCGTCCTATGAGCATGTATTAATGTGATCGCTATGTTAAAATCCACGTTGGACTTTTTCTTTTTATCATCAAGTATGAATCAAGACGCTTTTAATTCCGAAATGAAGCTCTAAAGAAGTCCATATCATAAAAATTGACTCTTTGGGTCTTATCAAGAGCGGTCAAGTGGCAAGTACATGTGCTTTCCATTTTGTGCTGCCAAGAAAATTTGCTACGTCTCACAGAGAAGCAACTTTGAGCTGATTTCATCCAAAACTCCAACCAACAAGGAAAAAAAAAAGCGACAATTGCAGTAAATCTTCCATACCAGAATTCCGCGCAGCTTTGCGTCGTCTATACATCCCAGACACATCACACAGTCGACACCTTGGATTGCAGCAATGCATGACCTTGAACAGCCAAGAATGGAAGAGAGGTCCAGAGATGCTTCCCCAGGACTCTTGGCATCTCAAGATGGGCCAACTGAATCCAGTTACACATCCAGTTCGCTCCAAGCCGTCGCCTGGATGACTGTTAATACATTAGCGACAGTCGGCATAGCAAGACACCCCAGAAAAGAATGCATCTTTAGATCCCTACTAACTGCAATATAGGTCTTTGCTAACAAGGCCATATTCTCGGAGCCGCGATGGAAGCAGTGCCAGCTCACATTCGCCGCCATCCACTTCCTAATGACTTGGTTCACGCTCTTCTTGCTGTCTCGACCAGCAATTGGCATCTTTGTGCCTCGTCGAGCTCCCATTCGGCATCTGATGCCCCTAGCCACCGCAATGTGCTTCAACGTTATTCTTCCAAATCTATCTTTGGCCTATTCAACGGTCACATTCTACCAGATTGCTCGGATCCTGCTTACGCCCACGGTTGCAATCATGAATGTCGTTTTATACCGCGAATTGCTTCCTATAGGCGCTGTACTCTCGCTGATACCCGCCTGCGTAGGAGTAGGCATGGTCACATATTACGATTCTATTCCAACTGACAATGAAGCCATCAAAACCACCTCCACGCTGGGGATCGTGTGCGCCTTCACCGGCATCTTTGCATCATCTCTGTATACAGTCTGGATTGCCGCCTACCATAGAAAGCTCAACATGAACAGCATGCAGCTACTCTATCTTCAAGCACCAATGGCTTGTTTCTTCCTTCTCCTCTTCATTCCCCTTTTCGACCAATTTCCCGGGCCAGCGTATGTGCCGTCTTCTGTAAACAAAGAAATGCTCGTCATTGCGGTATGCCCCTCGTTCATTTCTGCTTCCAGCTTACGGGTTTGAACTAAACATTTCCAGTCAATGGTATTTGCTTCACTGATAAACATTTCTCAATTTTACATAGTGGCACAGACCGGACCCGTTTCTAGCACAGTTGTCGGCCATATTAAAACCTGCACCATCGTGGGCCTGGGATGGACCTTGTCCGGCCGTGGGATTAGCGATAGATCGGCGCTTGGTGTCGTCATTGCGGTAACAGGAATCACTCTGTAAGTACTACCTTGACGTGGAGAACAGGTACATGTAAAAGCTAACATAGTAGATACTCATTCACCATGTTGAAGCACAAGAGACAGAAAATGACTAGATATGGAACCGCAGTTGCGGCTAAGATGTGATTTAGAGGTTGATACGGGCAAAGGATATGTTATTAGAAGAATCTCTATGAACTAGACAACCCTTGTACGTATCTTCGTATATAGACAACCGTAATATGATAAAACATAAAAACAAATAACGCCGCTTCATTGATAAAAGTGAGTCTACAGGTTGAAACGCTTCCGATCCTTCTCCATCTTGGATTTCCACTCCCATTGAATGGCATCATCGCCTTCGCTTCCTGCTCGTCCAACTCCCTTGTCAACACGTCTCAGCTTCAACGTAAACCGCGGACCCAGCTCCTGCAATCCCGCTCGGATACCTTCAACACCCTTGAGCGCATTGCCCTCAGCATCGGTGACGCTCTTCTCTGTCGCACGCTTATCACGGAAGACATATCTGAAACGTCTTACAAAGATGTAATCTCGCTGGTTGTGTAGTGCGGTGACTTGTCGACCCTCAAACTCTGGCCGGGGAGGGAACATTGTCTGGAAGAGCTTTGCCGTAAGAAGACCCAGCGGCGTCTTGAAGTTGTTCAAGAGCAGCTCGGGGTAGTGGTTTGTAGGGTTGCCATGGCCGGGAAGCTTCTTGCCTTCGATCCAGTTTGAGATTGTGAAGTGAAATGTTGGTCCCTTGGGGAGATGGACGACAGAAAGGCCCGTAGGCTTCTTCTGGTCCTCCTTCATGAGAATAACGGCAGTGTAGCCTTTTTCGGTGGAGAATTTGCAGATTTCGCGGAGAGAATATTTGTGTCCATAGCGGTGGGATGATCGCGGAACATAGTTGCTGTTGGGGAAGAGGGTGGTGAGGATATGCGCCTCTTCGTGAAGGGTAGAGTTCAGAGAGGTGGTGACGAGGATCTTGGGCTCAGGAGGAGGCTCGTCGCTGAAGAGTGAGGGGAACTTGAGAGCTAGCGACGTCGGCGTGAGGTCGAGGTTCGTGCTTGTTGTTGATGGAGCAATGCTGGGATTTCTCTGGGCTCGCTTCTCTCGCTGCCTCTCTAGTCTAGCCTCTCGCGCCTCCTCGTCTTCCTCTTCGTCCGAATCCAGCATACTGTCGTTATCATCATCGTCGTCCTCCTCCATCTTCTCTGCCGCCTCGATCGCCGCTCGCTCCTCAGCCTCGGCCTGCTCCATGCGTCTCCTCTTCAATTGCTCAAGATCCACCACGGCTCCGAGGCTGTCATCGTCCACGTCATCCCAAACTCGCTTATGCTCCAAGGTGCGCGGGACATTTTTGGCAAGACGGGCCGCTTTGAGCTCTGGGTTCCGGCTCTCTTCTTTTCTACGACGGTGTCGCTCTTCGTGGCGTTCTTTACCGGATGCTCTCTTGTGGGCGACAAACAGCTCTTTGCGCTTCTGCTTGTTGGCAATTTTGAGCGCCTGGACAGGTGGCTTTGAGAACCCCATCGTAACTGCGCTTTGCTCGCGAGTTTTGGTTGGGAGAATGGCGGGTTGTAAAATCAAAGACGGAGGGTCGCATTGGCAGAACCAGTTGTTAGAAAATTTTAGCGGGTACTTGGATTTTTTTTACTGCGTCCACGGCACTCTGATAAGATAAAGATTAGATAAGCAACTCATCTACATTGTTTCATTGGGTATGGCTTTAAAATATGTGGGTCAGGCATTTGTATACTTACGTCTGGGGCGTTCGTATTAACAAAATTTGGCTTGAAAAAAGTTTTGAGGATTCTCTTATCGTCTACCGCAAGCCAAGCCGCGTCCGTATCGTGGAACAATTTCATATTCGACCTTTTCACCTCGCCTTGGTCGATTTCCCGACAATTATTTGAGGAGAATAAAGCGACAATGGCGATCAACGGCACCAAGAGGAGAAAACTGGCTCACGATTCCTCGGATGACGAGGCGCAAGCCACGGCATCCAGGAAAGCTCAGAAAGACTTCTTCAAGCAGGCGTCAAACTGGGACCTTGAAGACGACTACGCATCTCGCCGTCGCAAGAGCAAGAAATCCGACAAAGAGAGCACCAAGCTGCCAATTAAGACAGCCGACGGCCGATTAGAGATCCTCCGCGAGCTCGAGAAGGAGGAGGATCTGGTATCTGTTGAAAGCGACACAGAATGGCTCGAGGGCCGCGAGGACGATATTGAGTCAGAGGTGGAGGAAGAGGTGCAAGAAGAGGCACCCACCGTGTCTGAGGCTCAGCAGATCCGGGAGGCGCAGGAAGAGCTGGCAAAGCTAGCCACGTCTCTCAATGAGAACCCTGAGGAACATGTTGGTTCGCTGAAGACCATTGCCGCCATTGGCGAGTCGCCAATCCCTGCTATTCAGATGCTGGCTCTCATGACGCAGATGTCGGTCTACAAAGATATCATCCCTGGATACCGTATCAGGCCTGCAAATGAAGACGACCCAGCGGAGAAGGTGTCTAAGGATGTGCGCACGCTGCGCAAGTTTGAACAGGCCTTGGTGCTTGGTTATCAAAACTACGTGAAGGAGCTAGCCCGATGCGCCAAGCTGGAAACAAACCCCGTGAAAGGAGGACAAAGTGTTGCTGGCATCGCCATCACATGCGCTTGCACCCTGATAGCTGCGGTGCCGCACTTCAATTTCCGTTCTGATCTATTGAGGATCTTGGTGAATAAGCTGAGCAGAAAGAAGATTGACGGCAACTCAGTCAAGTGCCTTAAGGCGCTGGAGACATTGTTTCGCGAAGATGAAGACGGCAAGCCAACCATGGAGGCTGTCTCATTATTGTCGAAAATGATGAAGGCTCGGGAGTACGAAGTGGATGAGAGCGTAGTCAACCTATTCCTCAGCCTTCGCCTGCTCTCTGAGTTTGCCGGCAAAGCTTCACAAGACGCAGTGGAGCGAACTACAGTCAAGAAGAAGAAGTGGGAATACCGCTCCAAGAGAGAGCGAAAGGCTAAGAAGGAGCAAAAATCTCTGGAGAAGGATATGGCTGCTGCGGACGCCATGGTCGACCACGAGGAGCGAGACAAGATGCAGTCCGAGACTCTGAAGCTCGTATTCGCGACCTACTTCCGCATCTTGAAGATGCGCGCCCCTCATCTCATGGGAGCCGTCCTCGAGGGTCTGGCCAAATACGCCCATCTGATCAACCAGGATTTCTTCGGCGACCTGCTCGAGGCGCTCAAGGACTTAATCCGCCACAGCGACGATGACGCTGATGCCGACCTGGCTACCCACAACGAGGACGACGACAGCGTCTCCATGCGAAACCTGACGCGCGAGGCCCTCCTCTGCACTGTCACTGCCTTTGCCCTCCTTGAGGGCCAAGACGCCCACAACTCTCGCAACAACCTCCATCTCGACCTTACCTTCTTCACAGCCCACCTCTTCACCTCCCTCCTCGACCTCTCAGTCCACCCCGATCTCGAACTCACCAAGATCGCCCGCAACACATCAACCACCTCCAAGATCAACGTCCAGACCACTACAGTCCTGCTCCTCCGCTCTTTGACCGCCATCCTACTGCCCGCCTGGAACATCCGCTCCGTGCCGCCCCTGAAGCTCGCCGCCTTCAGCAAGCAGCTCATGACGGCTGCTCTACAGCTGCCCGACAAGTCCTGCCAGGCTACGCTGGCCCTGCTCAACGACGTGGCACACACACATGGCAAGAAGATTGCCAGCTTGTGGAATACAGAGGAGCGCAAGGGTGATGGAAAACACAACGCCCTCAGTGACACGGTCGAGGGCAGCAATCCGTTTGCTGCGACGGTGTGGGAGGGCGAGCTTTTGAAAAAGCACTTTTCGCCCAAGGTTAGAGAAGGGGCGAAGCTGCTGGTAAAGACTTTGCCCTGATAATGTTGATTCAATATATAGTGGAGGGATTAGAGAAAAGCGTTGATTTAGATGGAGCAACTGGGTAAATAATCTACATGACTGCACCACAGCGGCAATAAATGTCGAGACAATAGACCGTTGGAATTATTATGCCCACCTCTGAGCTCAACTAGGCAAATCGCCTACAAAGAACTATCACTAATACCTATAGTAGCTCAATTCGCGTATCATGCCGTTCCAAAATGATGATAGATAAATTTATCCATAGAAAATTGACGTCCGGTATAAGCTTCCTCACGCCATATGCCACAAAATAGCCGGAGCAGTAAGGAGTAAAAGCTTCTATAGGCGTCCTTATGCCCACATCGAAGCCGACAGCCCTTTTGTTGACTTTTTGATAGAGAGGTCATTCTCTCCATTTGTATCCATAGCCTGTACCGGATCTTGATGAAGTCTTGGCACAAAGACTGGGGCGACAGGAGAGAGTTTGCGTGAATGCGAGTAACCAGGCCCACTGCTTGGCTCAATGTCAACATCCGCGCTTTTGGGAGCAGTTTTGGTATCGTTAACTTTGTCGTCGCTTTCTTTCACCTCACCATTATCATATCCTTCGTCAACTTTCTCGGCGTTCTTCTCTTGTGTCATATGCCGAGGGCACGTCTTTTCATGTTTCCCTAGCGCATATTAGCTCATTAACTCTACTAAAGGTGTATATGTGCTAAAGTTTTACCTTGTCCATCTAGCTCCTGACAGGCACATTGACGGCTACTAGGTTTGACGGTTTCTTTGATAGGTGGAGTATCCAGGGTGGGCGTTCCTGGGGCGTTTAGATCCATTGCCTTGGATAACATGTTGGCCAGGGTGTCGATCTCTTGGCCAATACTTGGCTTGTCATCCAGTATTGCGTAGAAAGCATCAAGTATGTTCCCAGACTGGCTATTGCCAGAGGATCGTGGTGGAGTTGAGAAAGGTTCGGGCTTTGTTGTCCCTTCAATGCTGTCCTTGTCGGCTGGAAGGCCCTTTTGAGATTCTTGGCCAGGGACTGGGGCAGATATTGTAGAAGCCTTCTCGCCCTCTAAAGGAAAGTCAGCTTTTCCATGTTTACACATGCTGAACAGTCTCCCACAGCTGCTTAAAGGTGCCAACTCACTTGGTGGTTTAGCCTTTGAACCTGAAGTAAGAAAATCCTTGCCTAGGTTACCGATAACGGGGCGACTTGCAGCTCTCCTAGTTGCAAAGTCTCCAGACGCACCATAAGTTCGCCTGCTTGGAGGCGGGGCCGAAAGGCGAGAGGATGGGACAGAGGGCGAGAAAGTCTGGCGCGGTGGTGCAGCGACTTGGCTGTATCGACTCTGTTGTCTTGGCTGGTGAGGTTCATAATGTTCCTTTCCGCCTCCCAAGCTACCACCTCCAGATTTCTTCTTCCCGTTTCCTTTTGATCTTGAAAAGCTCTGGGCAAGCTCAATGGCAGCCTTCATCATCTCGGGATCGTTATATCCACACGCACTCATTGTGCCGAAGAAACAGTTCAAAACGGTGAAACGATGAAATGATGGGTAAACCAAGGGTCAAAACCCACTGCCGCCGCATTTGCAGCACTGCGAACAAGCAAAACGGAAATGTGAATGGTGTTGAAAAGGTGAAAAAGAAGAGAGAAAAGAGACGGAAGTAAGTGACGGGCAGCGGCGCGGAAGGTAGGACAACCGCTGCTTGTGTGAGTGTGGAGAAGTGAATCTGGCAACTGACAGCAAGTGTTTCTGTGCACGGGCATTTTCTCTGTGCACAGGAGCATAAGGAGAATGAATGTGCCTTGAACACCTGCGTCAAGTGCCCATCGCAGGCATATGCAGCAACCCTGCAGAGTCACTTTATAGAATACGCCAGACGCGACGGTCGCCAATGCAAGTCAAGATGCCTAGCTGGGGGCCGCAAAACATGATAGACAGCATATTAAAACAGGTAATATTGATGAACACCAGGTTGGAGATTGACGGTTTCCAAAAGGGCTGGGTGACCCGCAGCCTGTAGATACGGTATAGCACACGGGTTGGTAGAGACATTCATGCATATCCAAGCAACTAGGTAGGCACTTGAGTAATTCGTTCAGAATGGGTTTAAATTGATCCATGCCAGCCCATCTAAAGATATATTACAATAACCATTAATCAGCATTGCCAACTATAAAATTATATACACAAAGCTAGTCTCTAAATCTCTATATCAGTGCCGCTCGTCTGGACAATACCAACCTCGCTAATACCAAAGCAAGCCGTGCATAGGCTCGCGTAGAAAACATTTTCGCCCGTATTATTTCACGCGCTTCGCTCCAATAGCTGTTTCCACAGAGCTTATTTGGGTTGCCTTGTACTCAGCGCTGGGCGCTTCTTTAAGCCAAGGCGAATCGACCGGCGCCACAAGGTTCTCGACAACGGCCAAGAGCGCGTCAGCTCCCGGAGCATGCCGAGAGATGGCAATCGACGAAACTCTGGGAATACCGAGGGTGCTACCTATCCTCTCAGAGCATGGTTTTGAGAACCCCACGAGCCGTATCTTGTCTTTGTCCGGCAAGTTTCGAGACGCAGCTGCCACCATTTGCGGGAAATGGTGGTTGAATGCTGGTGACTGGCTTCCTCTAGCGACGAAAACCATAGAATAATCTTTAGGAGAAGGGCCTGCCTCTTCAGATGACTTTGACAGGGATCCGAGGTTTTGAGTGATGGAGTTGAAGCCAATGTCTACGCTTCCACTGAGTTCCAAGCTGCGTGGTGTTGGTAATTTGACTGACTCCGCCACCCCTTTTGAATTCATTGCCATCTTCTTTTCCCTTTTAGCGGCCCGCTTTCCTTTAGATGGCCTGACGTGAGTCCTCCGATGTTGTCCGATGGGGCTCAGAAGACTTTGGTGCCCTTCTGTTAGCAAACTTGCTTTCGTTGAGACGGTTGAGAGGGTCATCGCGAGCATTGCAGCTTGCCACTCCACTTGCTTTATAATGAAAAAGCTACTTAGGGGAACATACCTGCAGAGGAGTTCCAAGATAGAATCCTGGTTATCAATGGATATCTCAGGCCTATCAAAATTCATTAGTTCAAACTCATGATCGATAGGGGACGCCGTGTTCGATTCAAAAGCAACATACCATGAAGACGTAGAGAAGGGCGTGTCAAGGTGGTGGACAAGCCGTTTTTTTGCTGCGGGTGTTGTCATGGCTGACGGTGTATCGCAGATTGATACACGGATACGGAGTAGATAGCCCCAGTATTAGAGAAACCTGTCGAGAAGGACGACTGCCGCCCGTGCAGGGATAAAAATGAAATAGCAAGCACTGGATACGGAGCGACTTCGCTTTCTTTGACTCTGATATGAACAGCCTCTTGCTCTTGGGGCGCCGCCCCGCAAATCTCAAGCCAACCAAAGGAAAAAGTTTCTGTCCGCGGCAATGAGAACGCTAAGCAGCCTTCCCAAAACCGGTAGGCCCGCTGCGGAAATATTGCGAGCCGCGGAAATAATGCCCGTAGGGATGCGATGTTGAATATAGAATTTATCTCGAAAAATAATGGACCTGATATTTCTATTTTAATAGTAAATTGGGTCATATGTGCAGCAGTTCTTGAGTTGTGCAGTTTGATACAAGTAAAGTCTCTGATTCCTACGTTGGAACTTCGACTCCTATGGCGCCAGTTAGCCGGAGATGCGCGGCATCGTATTTTGGCCGAGATTCAATATGCCCTGAAATACTTTGTAAAGCATGTGCCACATTCAGCGCCGCCATGCTTGAGTACCTATCCGTCGAAATCGCCATGTATATAGTTAAGCTTAGCTTGAATTTATAGGTGGGCGTAAACCTTCGGCAGTCAACCGCAAAAAAGAAGCTTTCAAGGCGATTAGTACCTAATACTACTTGGCAACATTTGTTCATTTTCTATTGACCGCTGCTAGTGGGAGGCATGGACGACACCGTAGATACCAAGGCACAGGCAGCGTGTGACTCCTGTCTACTAGTATTATTAAGCCAAAGGGCACATACCCATCGAGTACATCTCGGTGTACGTTCAATGGTGCTCCTAAGATTCAGTGAACAATCGCGACGACACCGGGCAGGTATATCTCAGTTCCTCCTTACCCGCAGCGGAGCGCAAGTCACGGCTGCGTTATGTCCAGATTCTCCAGCAAAGGAAATCCACCCGTGGTTATAAACTCCGCCCGCCTACTCGACTTTCCAAAGCAGAATAACATCAATTCACATCCATCTCTATTCAGGGAGACGGCGATCTGCCTCAGCCGGGCATTTGGCAATATCCAGACGCTCACGAAGGAACTGCGCACGCAGCTGATGTCGCCTCGACAGCCCTGACCACGCAGCAACAGCAGCATCAGCCGCATCGCATCGCCATTCCTTTGGCCCTATCCCGGCCTGACATCTGGACTGCAGCTGTCACTGTCGCCTCTTGCGGCCCGCTGCACCCCTGTTGCCGTCGTGCCTAACCATCCCCCACTACGCATCGCCCTCTCCCCGCTCCACGCACTATTACACATTGTCATTGATACCGGTACTCCCACTATTCCGGAAGCTAATAGCAGGCAAGCCCATCAACGCAGCGCAACGCAACGCAACATTCTCGCTGGAGTTGCAGTTAATTTGCAAGGCGTTTGCGACATGTGCATGCTTGTCACTTGGGTTTCTCAAGCCTGATCCCAAGTCCACGTCCGCGCCCAAGTCGAGACCCAGGCAAACAGCCAGGGGGGGCTTAGAGCCTTGCATTTGTTCTGCTCTCTATTCTGCCTGGCCTTCTCCGTCATACCTCTATCCAGAAGAGGCACATACTAGTCAACACCTAGTCTGCTTGTACAAGATCAACGCACATGTGCCTACTAATACTACTAATACACTTAGATATTCACTTAGCCAGCTAGTAATCACGACATTGCAGCCAGTTAGCCCAGCTCTCTACAGCATCGAAAGCAAACAGTCGACCAGAAGTCATCGATAGCAGCATCCCGCCATATCGATAACGCCCTCTTTGTTTTTCCTTCGATTAAGAAACGAAAAACGAAAAGGTCCAGCCAAGATTCCCATCGGCCACCACCTCCAGACAGCCAAAGTGGTGCTACTTGCCAACCTGCAATACTTCATTAATCTGCCATACTGATCGGGCACTGGCTTTGCCGGAGGCGCCCGATCCAGCTTTGCCGCCGCAGGTACTGCGCTAACAGAGGTAAGGCAACACCCCACCACAGCTGCCCGCTACTACCCTGGGGCCTAGTTATAGCTACCCCTCGCCCTAGTTCCACACAAGCACCCGCGTCCCTCCAATGCTGCTTCTCCGAATCCTGACTTCATCGCGAGTCGAAACCACTTTTTTTCCGGCGATTCATGTGCATCGGCCTGGCTGTCCGGCTTCTGCTCCCCTTGTCCGCTGCGCATAGCTGCAGTTGCCCTCGGCCTTGTCACTGCACGACTGCCTTCACTCTGCGCACGGCAGCCTTCGCAACCACACATGTTAATTCTCTATAGCTGCCGCCCAGACGGCCCTCGCGTCGCCGTGACGTCTTTGGACCTCCACGCTTCGTGCTGCCACGCTCATCCGCACCGGCCAGATGGCGCCCGTCCCAGAGATCCTCGATGCCCTGGAGCCCAAGACCTCTCCTGAGCCGAGCTCGACCCGGCCGAATCCCTTTGACGACAGTGACGTTTCGTCTCGCAAGCGCCGGCGCACATCCGCCTCGGGCTCGCCTTCAGCCTCTGTCGAAACAGGCGTGCACCGCTCAGACTCCGGCTCGAGCCCGTTCTCTACTGTCAACACCAGCGTCGCCGCCTTGGACGATAAGATGAAGGTCGACCAGGACCCCGAGCAACCTCGAACGCCGCCTCAGCGTGTGAATTCGCCGGCCTTCTCTCCCGAACCTCCCACATCCAGCCGAGTGACCATCAATCTAAGAAATGCGCCATACAGCGACTCTACAGCTTCCCCCTCCGCCCCGCAGTGCTTCTCTCCGTCCAAAGTCCGAATCCAGACTCCTGAGGAGGACCAGGTCCAGAAGAGCATCGAAGAAGAAGCCGATCTTGACCTGGCTCTAAATTCCGGTGGAGGTCTAGGAAATGCGCACGCCTCGCCTGTGGCTTCTCCAAGCCCGCCTGTTGAAGTCATCGCCATACAAGAAGACGATAGCATAGCAGAAGAGGTTGAACTCGTATTTGACCAAGCCCTCCTTGACAGTTCCATCACAGATCCCACAATGGAATTTCCCTACCATAATACGCAGAATACATTACTAGAAACATCGAATCGCCTCCGGGATTACGTATCATCTCGTTAGTATCTAGCACTCATGAAAGTTGTAACAACAGGGTGCTAATTATCCTTGTATTCAGAGTCATCTCTAGACCCAAGCGTCTTTGAGCAAGTTCGAGATTGGTTAGACAGGTTTCTCTCGTTTGCCAATCAAAACAACTCGCAAGTTGTTCTTAGTTCTCTTCGACAGAATAAACCTTTCTGGCTATCTTTACCCAACGTTATCGACGCTACGATAAGCAGACAGTATGTCATAAATTATACTTTGGAGTTTTCAATCTTAGCTAACAATCGCTCCAGACATTGTCTTTCAACTTTGCCAGGGGTGCAAGCCATCCGGGTAGCTGTGCTCAATTTCTATCACTCGTACCTGGCTCTCACAGCGCAGCTCGTTATGCTCGACTATCAGTCCATCCAAGAATGGCAAGCTAACATTCAGCCTCACCCCGATGGCCCTCTGTTGTTTGCTCCCGGATATCTTTATCAGCTTCATAGGCTGAAACAATACCATGAACATCTTAGAGACGGCGACTTCTCCGACTTCCCTCCTAACTCTTGGGGCCGAGTAGATCCTGCCTCATACTTTATATACCAGCTGCAAACCTTTCCTGGAGGCAATATTGAATCTCTCGGCCGCTTAGCGACGGCGCTTACCGAGGTCGTATCAATAGTCCCAAGATTGGCTGATATCCTTGCGCCTATAGCGCAAGTATTGGTTTCCTGTCTGCAGAAACCCGCTGATGTTGTGGGCTTGGACTCACAGGAACAACTAAGAAAGTTCTATGACCTCTGGAAATCACTCTCCTCGCTCCTGGGTGTAGTCATTGACAGGCACGTGGGCTATTTGACTAAGGATAAGGCTGCTTCATTAATAGAAGCTCTTGGCGAGATGCTTAGGATCTGTCTGCCATGCGGCCACGAGGATACCATCAGGCTGCTCGAAGACCATCAAGCAGAATACCCAGATCTCGTTACATCTGAGAGAGAAAATCTTTCGACATCGCAAACTGTCCACGCCATTGCGTGGGAGTGGAGAACGGACATGCTTGCAAGATTGATTCGTTCCACTCAAATGCAGCTGCGAGTAATGGCCATTGAAGTCATGAGTAATGAACTCGTCGACAGTTGGAGAAGGCTCGGAGACCGCTTCATAGACCCCCAAGCCCCCCAAGTCCCCCTAGACCCTTTCCTCAATCACCAAAGCCGCTATTTGCTCCGGATAAACCTAGTGGATTATCTCATCGGCCCAAATTGTCACCCTGAACTCATGTCCGGAAGCACCAATATCATTGGATTCCTAGTGGTGACCAAAATGTACAACGCAGCGCACACCGATCGTTTGTGGCAGGGAAGCACAGAGAGTCAAGATCCCCGCGTTGCAAGAGCTCTCACCGAGCTAACCAGCTCAGTCACCAATCTACTTGATCGCACTGCACTGTTGTCTCTTTGTGAGAAGTTCCGAACACTTCCGATCCAAGACTTCAATCAGTCGATAATATTTCTCTGGGGCTGTGTACTCAAAGAACTGGTACTTCGATGCCAAAAAGAGCAGATATCTCTTGGACTCCTTCCATATGAGCTCTGCTTAAGACTACTGAGGGAGGCGTCAATATGCACACCGGCTTCGCAGTCGCTCTATCCAGAAGTACACTCCGAAGTCATGGCAAGATTGGACAATTTAGTGGCATTTGGCATTGACGATCAGGACCGTCAAAAGCTATATTCCGACTGTGTTGAAGACGTGGCGGCAAAATCTCCCACTACACTAGGCAGTCTATGTTGTTTACAGTTCGCTCTGAAGGGAAATGTGGCAGGCGAGCTGAATGTGCTCATTGAGCAGTTTGATTTCGCAAGATTACTTGTCGAAGAGCTGGAGTATGCTATCCATGCAGGCAGAGCTGCCGGCATGCCTATGGTTCTCTCCGGAACCTTGAACCGACCGAGAAGAGACTTCATTGCAAAAGTTATTCGTCATCGACCAGATGCAATATCTGGAGATTTGGGAAAGAAACTTTGGAATCTCTTGGTTGGTACGGCTTGTCTTGGAGAGGAGGACAGGAATTGTGGTTGGGGTATCTTCATGGCCTTCGACCGTAAGACAGCAGCCGAAAATCCGTTTCTGCAATTGTGCTATTCCCAGTACTTACCTAATCTTCCTACCTCCTGCTTTTGCAGGGGAATGCTCAATTGCGTCAACGCACAGCTCTCTTCCGCGGTGAACGACAATGCTGTTGATTGTGCTCTTGATGACCAGAATTATCTGATTCAGAGCGGCTTGGAACAGCTTTGGCGAATTATCCTGTATGCCGATGATGCTGAGAGTGTCAGCATTGGTATCAAAACCTTGGCCGTTGACGTTTATCTAGACAGCAAGGCGATTTCAACGTATCCCTTCAATCGAGCCCGCCAAGTTCACTCGTCCTTTGTCGATCGCTGCTTGGGCCAATTGAAAGATGCCGCCAGGAAGATCAAAGCGTCCAGTGACGGGACGTCAAGTGGCGAGGATGAACCAATGGTCATTGTGGCAAGCGAGGATGAAATCCAAGAGCAAGAGCGCATCTTCACCCGAACTCTGAGGCTTTTAAAGCTCTTTGTAGAGACTCACTATACAAAACCCGCTCTGTGTGCTCCCGATTTCCGGCCGTTCGCCAAACAAGATCCAAAGGAAGTCCAAGGAGACCTTACGATGCTCCAATATCAGTCTTTTGACGATGGACTGCATACGGAAATGAAGCCGCTGCATATCGGAAAGCTCAACACGGCAGCCTCTCTATTATCCAGTCTGAAGCTCGAGACGGGTTTCGATTGCTATCGCGTATTTTATCAAGGTCGGCAGTTTCTGCCTACCGAAGAGGAAATTTGCAGATCTCTGGACAGCTTGGATGTCAACGAAGGCCTAATCCTGGTGAGACGTGAAGAAAACGACCCTATAAATATAGTCCGAGTCAAGCCAGGCTCATCTCCCATTGAGATTCAAATACTGTCTCGCTTCCAAGAGCTCTGGACGTGTTTAGGCATGGAAGATGCAATCTCCAAAGAAATATATAGCCTTCTCATCCAGTTGCCTACTGACGGCGGTATCATCGACCTTTTTGAGAGCCCGACGGCCACGCACACGGATATTTTCCCACCCAGACAGCCTTACAAATCACTCTATGTCATTCGTGCGTTGACTGAATACATTGAATCAATTCGCTTGATAGAGTCAAGCGATGAAGAGGGAATAAAAGCCTTAAGATTCTCCCGAAGCTCATACGAGGAGGCTCTGAGAAAGTCCTACTCTTTGATTGTACTGGCCATATCGAATGAGAGTTTTCTGGATCAAATCACCCCCTCGTTGCAAATTGAGCTTATGGAAGCCTTAATGGCAACCTTTGTTCGGCTCTTACAAAACACTTGGCTCCTATCGGCGCAGCCAGTCAACGACGGAGCTACATACCCGTCTCCAAGTCGTCTTGTCGACATTTTATCCTACGCATCAGGAGCAATGCAAGAGGGCTCCGAGTCTTTGATCGACCGTGCGATTGCTGCTATATTGCGGCTGTGTCTCTTTCACAACGCTTTCATGGAAGAAATTGCAACTCTTCCCTCTTTCACAAACCTTCTCAAGAAGCTAATACTTCTCGATCCACGCTCGACAGTAAGGAAGCATGTTGTGGAAATGATAAAGGAGGCAGTGGAGACAGAAGGGGGCTACATGCAAGACTCTCTAACCGTCCCATCGGAAAGAAGCATTGCCGTATCGTCCTATCCTCTGACGAAATATGCTTGGTCTACTATTACAAGCTTCCTTTCCGAAGCAATCAGTATTCCTAGCCAATGCCATGAGTTTTTTGGCGGTCTTACATACCTATTATACAGGGCTTCCCAAATTATGTCTCCTGAAGTGGATACGCCCGCCTTTGCTGCGCAAGTTTGTGGGCTGCTGCTCAGCCACAATTCAACTGAGTCGCTCGATCAGCCAGAGACTCAAGATGTTTTGGCAAACGATCTATTATCCATTTTGCTCAGCTGTCTGCAAGTTGACGAAACGCTGCCAGCTTCCCCAAGCTTGCCCGATGACATTGTGCAGAAATTACTTTGGAGACATCTTTTCCCCAAGCAACGAACTCAATTGGGGCACCCCATGCAAAAAGTATTGCTGAACGCAAATACTCGACAGAAGCTGTACGAAGTCATTCTGAGACTGGCAGAAAACAATCAAGTCATACTCGGCCCGTTATTTAGGTCCCTTAACTCTCTCGTTCCTTACTTTTCGGGCGAAGAAGATGGCCATTATATATACGATCTACCCTACCAGTTTAATCGCGAGAAGGCCATTAAACCCTGTGGCTATGTTGGCTTGCGAAACCTTTCAAATACATGTTATCTAAACGCGCTACTCACTCAGCTATTCATGAATACTCAATTTCGGCGATTCATTCTCAGTTTGGACATACCAAATAACGCTGGTTCCCAACAGTTATTGTTCCACGCACAAAAGCTCCTTGCCTACATGCAAGAAAGTCCTTGCCGATTTGTAGATCCTGAACAATTCGTTGGAAGCATAAGGACATACGAAGACACCTATATCGACATCAACAGCCAAATGGATGTGGATGAGTTTTACAACTTGTTATTCGACCGGTTGGAAGCTCAGTTGTTGACAGACGACCAAAAGAGGAAGCTTAGGGGAATCTACGGCGGGCAGCTTGTCCAACAAATCAAATCAAGGGAATGTACACACGTATCGGAACGGTTCGAGCCATTTTCCGCGATACAATGCGATATCAACGGGAAACGAACGCTTCAGGAGAGCCTTGAAGCTTATGTTGGGGGAGAAATCATGGAAGGCGGTAAGTAAAAATGAATTCATACAGCGATATCTCCTAAACCTGTGCCTTGGCTTATGAAAAAACGTGATTTCTAGATAACAAGTATAAATGCTCGTCCTGCGACCGGCATGTTGACGCTGTAAAAAGGTAATTCAAGAGAAATCAGCGCGTCCGTGGTTGATAATTATGCTAACGAATGCTTTCCTTCTTCCTTCCTAATTTTGCAGGGCTTGTCTCAAAGATGTACCAGACAATCTAATTTTCCATCTGAAACGATTCGACTTTAGCCTTCGTACGTTGCAACGAAGCAAGATCAATGATTACTTTTCGTTTCCTCGTACGATCGACATGCGGCCATACACAATCGACTACCTCAGCAACCCAGCAACTGGCACGACACAAGAGGATATATTCGAGCTAGTGGGCATTCTAGTGCACTCCGGCACGGCAGAATCGGGTCATTACTATTCCTTCATCCGAGAACGCACATCAACAGATGACCAGCCTCGTTGGTTTGAGTTCAATGACGATAACGTATCACTATGGGATCCGCGCAATATGGCGAACCATACATTCGGCGGCCTTAGCCAACAGTCAATACATGATACCAACGGAACAGGGTATACTAAAAATTATAGCGGATATATGCTTTTCTATCAGCGCGCCTCTGCCCTCGCTGCAGAGCAGCAGCAAGCAACATCATCCACCACGGGGGCCGTCGCCCCCGTGCAGGTTGAAATTCCCCCACACCTGAAAGAACACATCCTCCGTGAGAACACAGTCATCCTCAAACGGCACTGCTTGTTTGATCCTAACTACATCACATTTGTGGAGAGTTGCTTCGCTCAGGCAAGATTATTCGGAAACAATTCGTCGCTCAGTCCAGGACAGCAGCAATCTCTAGACCCAATCTATGATTTACCTCACGGCTTGAAAGATCTGGCAATGGAGGTGGCTATAAGTCACTTGGATCAACTAGTTACGCGAATCGAGGATACGCCAAACTTCAAATCCTTCTCAGAAATGATCCGAAGGGCTGTTGTTGAATGCGGAGACTGCGCGATTGCGTTTTTCGAGTATTTTAGTAGGCGCCATGCGGCTTTCAGGATGCTGGTCCAACGTCATCCAGACGCCGCTGTCCGCACTTTTTCGTGGAAAACGCTGATTCTCGCGATGGAGAAGATAGCCATCGAAACACCGAATGTGTACGATCCGCTGAGCCCCAACATTATCCAGGACGACAGAAGCGACATTGCTGTCGATTCTCCAGCTTCTCGTAGTTCGCCATCTCCAAGACCCTCCGTCTTGGAAGAGGCAGTACTTCTCTTTGACCATCTCTGGCGACACTTTCATTTCCATCTTCGTTCTTGGGATGAGGTCTTTGGTTTGTTGCTCGATTTTGCGAGAATGGGTCCGCGAGAGGTAGCCCATCTGTTGGCGAATGATTACCTGCTTAAGCTGCTACGCATCATTGCGGCCGACACAATGATGGAGTTGCCGTTAAATTATGCGAGAATGTTGAACAACATCTTTCGGCGAGTTCCACGGCCTCCGTCGTATGCGGCGATCTTGGCGCTCATCGACTATTTTATATCGCAGCTTGAGCCCATGCTGGGCGCACAGTATATCGTCGATACACCAGAGGAGCGGCTAAACTGCGATGAGGCACCGTTTCCTTGGACGGCAGACGAGGTTCAGTTGATACACAGCCATCCAGAGCGTCAACTAGCCAGCTTTTTTATCGAAAAGCTACTCGCGATTGATCAAGCCCGCCCCATCACCCATAGCATACTAGGCCGCTTAACAACGCTCGCGTCTCAAATGGATCTGAGAATCTTGAATAGTCTACGGAAAAAACTAGAGGCGGACTCGACGATGCAACCAATGGACCCGTTCCTACGAGCCGCCGCCCAGTATTTGGAATCTACACAGTCAGCTGCTCACAGTCGAAGCATCATACGCTTTATCGCTGCGCAGGCCCAGAGCTTACAGAACAGTGAACCTGTAGCCTTCTTGGAATTCTTTAGCGCGTCACTCAATCTGAAGAGACCGCATGGCGACATAGTACGAACCATCGAAACGTGCAGCCTCGAGACACTGCCAGACTGGGTACCTCATCTACTCGCATATGGAGACTGTGGGATAAAATACGACACTGAGCGCTTTCTAGATACTGAGCTCTTTGACCGCATGCCCAACGCAGATGATGTGGACGAAGACGATATCGCAATGCTTGAGCGAAGGGAGATCTCGAAAGAAGTTATCCGGAGACTGGGCATGGCGTGCGTATTTTATCTACGAGATACGCACATTAAACAACGGGCTCACATCGGACGCGATACTGCTTCCATGATGGTGCAGGTAGCGGCCAAATGCACCCCCTTCTTTTCGGATGAGCCAGGGGTGGATGATGAAAGAAGTATCGAATTCAACAACCTCCAGCGTGGTATGCATATTCTTGTTTGACTTGATTTTCAACTGACCAAATGGGCACATACACTAATACTTGGTATTAGAAATTGCGAATGCTGTACGAACAATTATTGTTGATGAAGTGGAAGATGACAACTCTGGTAAGACTACGCAGCGCCAAGCCATGAGACGTTGACTAATATGAGTGTCTGTCACTTTTTAGACTGGGAGGGGTCTTACATGTCATCAGATCCTTTGGATTGCCAGCCAGACCTGGGAATACAGCAGATTGGAGAGCCAGACGAGGCCCTTGCGACATGATGAAGATGCATACTGCCTCCTTGTAGGCAGGCCTATGACGAACATAACGAGGATGGGTTCAAAGAAGCAATAAGGTCTGGAGTTTGGGAGTTTGGTCTGATAATCACTAGACGTTTTTACTTTTATTTCTGCTTGTTTTCCCCCCTGTTACCCTATCTATCTTACTATCAAGCACTGCCGATTAAAACGAACAAATGAACACGAATGAGAATGCAAGCATGTAAGAACAAAAATGGTGGATTTGCGCATAGCGTCGGAGTGAAAGGCGCAGAGGAACTTGCAGCTCACTATGAACAGTGGCTATCACGAATTATGAACTTGGGGTTAAAGGAGAAGGGACCATTATCTGCGGCAATGGATGAATAGATCAGTACGAAGCAATGTTTATACAGAAAGATTAACCATGTTTTTTTTTTCGCCCTCATTTGTTACTGTGTTGTTGCCTCCGTTTTCTTCTACGTGGTATGAGGTGACGTTGACAGGATACCCACATGGGCACGCGTGATGCTGCAAGCCATGCGGCCATGGTAAGGCTGAGGGGCAGTCATTAATTTAAGCTTAAACCGAAGCTCTTTATTTAGAAGAGAGACAGGGAAAGTAAAAAGAGACAGATCGATCTAATTAACGAAAGATTGGCCCCCTGTCAAACGGCTCTCTTGGCAGGAGAAGGCCGCAAGTGTGGATTTCGGAGCCAAGAATGGGACTCCGAAAGATGCCGAGGGTGGCCCGACTGCGAGGGGGTGAGTGGAGGATAGGGGCTTCGGGGGTTGGATGCCGAGATTGATTGATAGGAGTGGCGCAACGTCATTTTCACATGCTTTGGATGATTTGCTTGTTTTCTAGAAGAAACAGTGCGTGTCGTCTAATAAGGGAGTTGTATGTAAGTTTAGCTATATGGCTACCTAAGTATGTAACTCTTGGTGACTACCTAAGCAATCAATGCCTCATGCCGATTTTCCAATGTAGTAACTATAACTGTAGTGTATCGTTGGTAAAAAAAAAAAAAGAAAAGAAAGAAAGAAAAGAAAAGAAAAGAAAAAGAAAAAAAAATATAAATCTAGATACGTGAAATAATATTAGTCTGAACCAAGGCTTTCTAGGACCGAAGGCGGTGGAACATAGAATGTAGTCCCCGTCAAGGCCGTGGAGAAGTCCAGGATGCGGTCGTGCTTGCCGGGAGGATGGCCGACAAACATGCGCTCCAGCATCTTCTCAATCACCCACAGACGGCGCGAATAGCCGATAAAGTAGGTGCCGAAGACGCCGGAGCCGGGCGAGCCAAAGGGCATGTTGTCGCGCAGGATGCTGTACTCGTTGCCGTCGTCGTCCTCGATGGTGGCGAGCGTCTTGTGCGCCTGCTGGTGGCCGTCGGGCTGGTCGTCGAGCTCCATGTTGTCCAGCTTGGTGCGGCCGATGATGGCCTCCTGGGCCTCGGTCGAGAGGCCGCCCCAGGCCTTGACGTCGTGGACGTACTTTTGCACGACGACGTAGCTGCCGTCGGCACACGCGGCGTCCTCGCCGGCGATGAGCACGGCGTCCGGCACGGCGGGGCCGACCGGGTTGGCGGTGCCGTCGACGAAGCCAAGCAGGTCGCGGGCGTCGAAGTAGCGGAAGCCCTGCGTGTCGTCGACGACGGCGGCGGCGTCGCCCAGCTTGGCCAGCAGCTGGCGCTCAAACTCGAAGCAGATGTCGCGGCGGTCGGCGCGGATGTGGAACAGCAGGTCGCCCGGCGTGGACACGGCGGTGTGCTTGGCGCCGCTGATCTGGCGGAAGGGGTGCAGCTCGGCGGGGCGGCCGAGGCCGGTGCCCGCGGTGAGGGCGTCCCAGGCGTCGGAGCCGATGCCGACGGCGCACGAGAACTGCGAGTTGAGGTCGCGCAGGACGACGTTTTTGGCGAGGTCGCTGACGGAGGCGAGGACGGAGCGGATGGTCTTGAGGGCGGAGGGGGAGGACGAGTTAATGGTGAGGACGAGGAAGGTTGCGGATTTGGTGAGGGATGCTTGGACGGCTTGGTTTTGACTCATGGTGGCGGTGGTGGTGGAATTTTTTTTGAGAGATTTGGAAGATTGTGTTTTGGCGTTGAGATGGGAGCTGGAGCTGGAGCTGAAGCTGCGGCTGGGACTGGGACTGGGGAAACTGGGCTTGGATGATGAGATTGGTGAGATTGATGAGGCTGCACCACTGCCAGAAGAGCTGATTGATGAACAAGGTCTGCCGCTGAGGGCGTAGTTATGAGATGAAGATGATGAATGTCGTGATAGTGAGGAGCGGGGTCTTGAGTGAAGCCGGAGCTGAGGCGGGACGACACAGAGACAGTTCCGGCCGTGACTGAGTCGCGCAAGTCTCTGGCTGTGCAATTGGAGTTGAAGGGCTCTTGCTGTGATGCGGCTGGCTGTCACGTCCATACCTCGGCGCTCAGGGCAGAAGCGAGAATGAGAAGATGATGTGAAGATATAAATAAAAAAAAAAATAAAAAAGAGCGAGAGAGAGGATGAGCAGGGATTTGCTTATGAAGTAGCTCAACTAAGGGAGCTCTGGTGGGTTGAACTGCACGGCAAATGGGCGATAGTGGACCTGCCGGATAGCTTGAGCTGGGATTATTCGCTGTCTGGCGAGTATGAAATTGAACAATAGAGTATGAGAGTGACGTAAGGCGGAGGCTGCGGACCCAGTTAAAGCATCCGAAGGGTTTCCGAGATTCGGGCGGCCAATGGGGAGGTGGATTTTGGTCAGCGGGGCTCGTATCTTTTACCCTGGATCTGATCTCTTATCTGATTTCTTGTTAGGCATGTATGTGCATGAGCAAATAGGGGATTGATTGATTGATTAAATCTGCTGGACACGTCGTGAGCATGGAGCAAATCAAAGTGAATTGTGCAGTTGCTTTTTATACAATTTATTTTATTTATTTTTTGTAATGCTACCATCATTCTTTCAAGGGGATCTTTCTTTGCCATCAAATTGTGGCGTTGTGTACTAACATGTATGCTAGGTACCTGGTTTGATATGTATATAAAACAGAGATCCCCATGAGTCTCAATCTCAGCGCCCATCATGAGCCATTGGCCCTTTACGCAGCAACCTTGGCTTCGGTAACCTTGGCGAGACGAGCGCCAAGATCCTTGTCGACGTATGAGAAGTACTCTATCGACAATGTATTAGCAGAAAATTCAAAAAAGGACAGGAGACTTTGTTATCAAATAGTGCAGGGTAGGAAATAATAAGACTCACCATAGACTCGGCTTCGGATAGAAGCATTCTTAGCACCAGACAGATGGCCAGAAAGGTTGTCAATGAATCTGTCCTGGTGGCCGGGCTGCTGTCCGAGGACGTTCCACAGGGCAGTAGCCTGCTCGTAGTCCTCAGGGGCCATCTGGCTGGTGAAGCTGCTCACCTCACCGGCCCACTTCTCGTGCTCTGTGATGGTGGTGCTGATCTTGCCATTGTTCTTGAGAGCCGTGGGCTTGAGCGAGGCGTTGACATAGTTGGGGTCCGCACCGTAGTTGTCTGAGAAGTTCATGTAACCATCACGCTGGAAGGGGGCGTAGACGGGGACCTTGGCGCGGTTGGTCGGCAGTTGCTGGTAGTTGACTCCGAGACGGTATCGGGCAGCGTCGGGGTAAGCGAACATGCGAGCTTGCAGGACTATTTTGCGATTTCGAATTAGTAAAGCGTATTTTCAATGGTTTTAAATCGGCGGACATAAGGAAGATGGTGATTACATACTGGGATCAGCAGAAGGGGCAATGCCGGGCACCATAGTGGATGGCGAGAAGGCAGCCTGCTCGATATCGGTAAAGTAGTTTTGGGGCTATTTGCTTCGGTTAGAACAACAACAAAAAAAAAATAGCTCTCTCCATCACGAATAGAGTATAGAGAGAGGGGAAACAAAACAACTTACGTTGCGGTTCATGGTCAACCGACCAATCTGGCGCAGAGGATAGTCCTTGTGAGGCCAAACCTTGGTCATGTCGAAAATGTTCCACTTGTACGTCTCCGCCTCCTTGGGATCCATAACCTGGACAAAGACATCCCACTTGGGGTAGTTGCCCTGCTCAATAGCCTCAAAGAGGTCCTGGGTGTGGAAGTCAGGGTTTTCGCCCGAAATCCTGGTGGCAGTTTGGGCGTCGAAGTTCTTGACGCCCTCCTGGGCCTTGAGGTGGAGCTTGATGTACTTGAAGCTGCCGTCCTGTTGTATTTGAAATCATTAGTTTTAGATGAACACATACACACACACCCCCCTTGCATGAAACAAGTTGTATGTTAAGAGGGCGGGGGAAAAGAAGGTCTTTACCTCTTTGGTGAACTTGTACGTGTGGCCGCTGTACGCGTTGATGTGACGCAGCGAGGCTGGGGTGCCTCGGTCGTTGAAGAGGTGCATAAGCGCGTGGATACCTTCCGGGTTACCCAGGTGGAAGCTGTAACACCCATCATGTTAGACATGCAGTTCAAATTTTCTCCTCTTTTTTTTTTTTTTTTTCAAAATGGGGACTTACTCCCAGAACTAAGCAAGAAAAGATATACATGTTAGCGTTGGTTTCTCGTCTTCGTATCACTGTGGAACTAATGATATCTTGCCACGTACCATGTCCGAGTCGGCCAAGTTAGTTTGAGGATTGCGCTTGTGAGAGCGGTTAAGCGAAGGGAACTTGATGGGGTCCCTAACGAAGAAGACAGGCTAAGGCTCAACCGTTAGCAAAGGTCTCACACACAAAACCACTACCACCCCTGCAACAAATGACAGCGAGCGGAGTGGAGGGGTAATTCATAGCATAAAGAGCTCACAATGTTGTTGCAGACAAAGTCCTGGTTGCCTTCGTCCGTGTAGATCTTCATGCCCCAGCCGTGGACATCTCGAACAGTGTCGGCAGAGCCACGCTCAGGGCCGACAGTGGAGATACGGAGGAGCACATCGGACTTCTTGCCGACAGTGTTGAGGAAGCTGGCAGAAGTGATGTCTGTGCAGTCGTGTGTACATTCGAATTCACCATATGCACTATTAACCACATTTGTTAATTTACTTGAGAGATTATACATTGTGCGTTTGTGCGGGTGGATCGGCTTACCCAGCGGCTTTGGCGTGAACAACACTAGCAAGAGAGCAGAAATCATCATGTTAGTGATACTCTGAACGTGACAAAGTGAGTTAGAAGACCTGTGTGCAAGTTTATTCCATACCGTTCAGGAATTCGTTCACGGTTAAAGTGGGCCAGCGTCTCAACCAGGTGGGAGTCCTGGAGCAGCACAAGGCCACCGCCCGAGCCATTGCGTGCTTGAACGCTGGTGGCGGGATTGGGGATTGGGCAACCTGAATGTAGTCATTATGTAAGTTGAATGATTTTTCCCTCTGCCGTCAGATGAAAGAAAAGGAGTTTGGTTGGATGGGTAAAGGGGGAATCAATGGGGGGTGGGTGGCAATGGCATACCCTCAGCAGTGGTGAAAAATGATGAAGACATGATGAATTGGAGGATGGTGTTTGTGTGAAAAAAGAGTCTTGTAATAAGAAACAAGTAAGAAAAGATGAGGATGGAGGATGAGTTGATGTGGCAATGTGTCTGGGAAAGGCTGGATTGATATACTTGTTACAGGTTCCTCTTTTCCACCCCTTTACCTCGTAGTTTCTCGGCATTCGTCTTCATTCAAATCTACATGCTTAATCTAGCATACTTTATGCTATTACGCTGTACTCTATACACCCATACTCTGCGCCTGTACGTGTTAGTCTTGGATATCAAATTTTCGAATGACGCAGGCAAAGCTTACCAGCCCGATGTCCGACTCCGAGTTCCATCCGAGGCCGTCCACACAGGGCCTATGCGGCTCAAACAGACTCTCAGCCACGCCAATTCAAACCAAAAACCGTGGCATTAAGCGAGTGGCAACGTTTTTACTGTCTTGATGCCCAATGATCAACTATCCTGACTATACTGAAGTGGTATATTCGCCTTCATCACATGCAGTATCAGAGTTTCACCAGCTTTGCAGCTAATGCTGGCCTCAATTGCCTAAAGTCCATAGTGCCAAGATCCTTGCAGGCCCGGCCTCGTCCTATCAAGATGCGTGCATCTGTCATGCGGGATCCTGACAGCTCCATCGCAACGCCCGGCATCTCCTCCATGGTATCAATCAATCTTGCGTTTGGCGAGCTGAGGCAAGGCCAGGCCAGGGTCCGCGTTTGAACGCAGGCGAGGGAATTAACTGCTTCTGGACTCGGAATTCGGCAATGCTCTAGTCCCAGGCAGAGGCGGCAGCGCCGTTGAGCCAGGACTAACGCCGAGCCAATGGCAGCCGCAGCGCAATGACAGCCGCGGCCTGTGATTGGGCTCGAGGAATCTCCGGATGGGCTCCGCCGACACGCACGCCGAACCACCGCCAGGCTGGGCAGGGATCAGGGAGCCAATGGCAAGCTGAAGATGACGTAAACTGGCCAATGTCCGCGGGTGGCTGTCGGAGCATTCCCCACCGGCCGGCTGAGGCTGGGCTCCACTGCGGCTTTTCACCTGTGGCTTGATGCCGAGAAACGGGCGCTCAGCCTTGCTGTGGAGCTCGTCGGTCTAGCCTCGTTCGAAGCTTGCTATGCTCGGCGTCTTCTCGTCTTTGAAGTTTCATTTGCTGGGCGATCGGGCACGGCAAGCTTGGAGCTTCATGCAGGGTTGCGAGCTGGAACCTCGATAGCTCGCGTAAAGCTGGGAATGATGACGATTGTCGAGGTTCGGCTATGGGTGTGCACGGAGGCAATTTCTGGTACTACACCGAGTAGCCGAGATGGGCCTGGTCCAAATAATGGCCTCGAGAAAGATATAAGAAGGAGACGATGGACGGCCTTGAAGTCGAAATTATCATCAACATCATCATCACAACAATCAGCATCACTCACACAAACAATACAACAATTCATCTTTTCAGTTGAACCAACATCAACAATCAATCATAACAACATCCCATCAATATCAAAATATATAAGCCACAAGACAGTGACTACGCAATTCACTCCTCCGCTTCAAATCTAGCCAAACAATAAGCTTCTCAACTTATTCAAAAGCTCAAGCCACCCTTCATCATGCCTGTCACTGTTCCCATCAACGCTGGTGACCGCTTCGATTTCATCGTCGTCGGTGGAGGCACTGCCGGTAACACTGTTGCCGGCCGTCTCGCTGAGAACCCCAATGTCCGCATCCTCATTGTCGAGGCTGGCGTTGCCAACCCCGAGCAACTCAACGAGGTCATGACCCCCTCCAACGCCATGAACCTTCGAGGCAGCAAGCATGACTGGGCCTACAAGACCACCGTGGTCAAGCGGGACGACTACGAGCGTATCGAGAAGCCCAACACCCGTGGCAAGATCCTCGGCGGTAGCTCCTCGCTCAACTACTTCACTTGGATCCCCGGATGCAAGCCTACCTTTGACATGTGGGCTGAGTACGGTGGCGAGGAGTGGACCTGGGACCCCCTCGTTCCCTATCTTCGAAAGTCTGTCACCTATCACGATGACGAGGGCCTCTACGACCCCTCTCTCGCTAAGATTGGTACCGGCGGCCCCATCAACGTCTCCCACGCGGAGCTCCTCCCTGAAATGGCTCCTTTCCGCGATGCCCTGACCAAGGCTTGGGTCTCCATGGGCGAGCCCCTCACTGAGAACATCTACGATGGTGAGATGATTGGTCTGTACCACTGCGCCGACACCATCTACAAGGGCCGCCGCAACGGTAGCTTCCTGTTCCTCAAGGACAAGCCCAACATCACCGTCCTTACCGAGGCCCAGTCCAAGAAGCTCATCATCGACTACGCCTCCCGCACCTGCAGCGGTGTCACCGTCGTCCTGGGCAATGGCCAGGAGCTCAGCTTCTACGCCGACCGCGAGGTCATCCTCTCCCAGGGTGTCTACGAGTCCCCCAAGCTGCTCATGCTCAGCGGCATCGGCCCTGCCCGCGAGCTGGCCAAGCACAACATTGAGTGCATCGTCGACTCCCGCCACGTCGGCCAGAACCTGATTGACCACCCCGCCGTGCCCTTCGTCCTGCGCGTCAAGGACGAGTTCGGCATGGACAACACCATCCTGCGCAAGAACGAGCTGAACGCGCAGGCCCACGCCGCCTACGCCAAGGACCACTCGGGCCCCGTCGGCTCTGGCTTCCTCGAGATGGTTGGCTTCCCCCGTATCGACAAGTACCTCGCCAAGGATCCCATCTACAGCAAGGCCGTCAAAGATAACGGTGGCAAGGACCCTCTCTGCCCTGATGGCCAACCCCACTTCGAGCTCGACTTCGTGTCCATCTTTGGCAGCGCTTTCCAGTGGCATTATCCCGTGCCCAAGGTTGGCGCCCACACCACCGTCGTCGTCGACCTGGTGCGCCCCATCTCCAAGCCTGGTGAGGTGACCCTCACCAGCGGCAGCTACCTGGACCAGCCCGCCATCAACCTCAACTTCTTCGAGAGCGAGCTCGACATCATCGCCATGCGCGAGGGTATCCGCTTCAGCTACGACCTCCTGACCAAGGGCGAGGGCTTCAAGGACCTCGTTGTCGACGAGTACCCCTGGGACATGCCCCTCGACAACGACGAGGAGATGCGCCGCGTCGTCCTCGACCGATGCCAGACCGCCTTCCACCCTTGTGGCAGTGCTCGTCTGTCCAAGAACATTGAGCAGGGTGTCGTCGACCCGGCCCTCAAGGTCCACGGTGTCAAGAACCTGCGAGTCATTGATGCCTCCATCATGCCTGTCATTCCTGACTGCCGTATCCAGAACTCTGTCTACATGGTTGGCGAGAAGGGTGCCGATATGATCAAGGCTGAGCACAAGGACCTGTACTAAACCAAACTATACATTCCCCATCCCAGAAAAAAAAACTCTTAGCTCACTCACACACACACACAACTATTTGATTTGTACTGAGAGGTTTTTTTCATTTTGGGAAATATGAAGGACAAAGGATAGGATAACACCACACCACACCACTAAATGAGATATCATATCCCTCTAATGTGATGGATGCGATGGATTTCATATTTTGTAGTTTAGTTTGTCAGTTGAAGCGAAGTTAGAAGATTAATTAAGATGATGCATTAAAAAACCTCATTGTTTCCACGCTTAAATCCACTATCGTGAAGCTATCCACTACAAAAGAGTGGCTTTTAGTTGAAATTTTCAGCTGGATTAGTTGAGGGGCTTTGAGGAGAGCAATCAACTAACTCCACACAGAAGGTGCAAAACTAAACAAATAGATCTTTGTTCGTTATGACCGGCAAATGATTCTTTACTACCGGCTATTGAAAAAGGATTGTTTTCATTATAAATTAGATGACTAGTTGATTGTGAAACGAGTTAGATTATATTGGTTCCTAAGGCATGTGGCATCATTCCCCAGTGAAGCGGATATCGAAAGAATCGGGAGTTTGCAAAAAGGCCGGCAGATAACTCTCCAATTGCACCACAGCACGGCAAGTATCCGCCCCATAGTTTGTCATAATTGAATTGCATTATTCAATGTGTATGTGTATGTTCATTTTGTGACCACTGCCTTTCATAAATTCGCCTGCGGGTATCCTAGAGTACGACTTCAGGTGTTGAATAGTCCAATTGCTGTTCACTTCTAGTCTCTACCCCGCTGTCACTATTGACTATCACTGCTATGGTGAACATCCAACTAATAGAAAGAAAGAGAAAGGAGAAAGAGGATTAGTACTGGCCAATGAATGAACAGTAAATAGTATTTAAACAATGTATTAATAGTAAATATTATTAAACGAAACACGATAAATCCAAATATATGATTGCCATCGCATATGATCGACATCCAGTCCATCCTGGTGCATACATACTTGTAAACTTCCTCACGTAATACCACCTAACCTGTAAGCACATTGCAAGACATCATAATCTCGATGTACGACAGGCACATAAAAGTATACAATAATCACATGCCTATTGCGATAAACTTTTGGTGACAGTGTTGTTATTATCCTTGTAGTATATGCATATGTTCATTTTTGGGTTCCCTATTATTTCGGCAAGCCATTCCTCCTCGGCATGCATGTGAAAGGGTTAAGCAAGCCCCTCTAAATCTCTAGATGCTACAAGAAAAATATATTCAACAATAATCCCAACAATTTAATTATAATTACTTAGGAAACCAGAAATTAAGCTTTCATGAGTGCATTATACAGGAGGCTGGTGTTCAATAGTTGCCTAGTTGCTGGAGTGACGCGAAAAGTATCATTTCATTCAAGCTTTTGCCAAGGGCGGAGCTGCGTCTCCCGCTTTTCTCACACAATCTCCAGACCAGACCAACAACAACAAGCCGACGATCTACAACTAACTAGTAATGATTTAGTGACTTGCATGTCATGCAGAAACAATGCACTCAAAAAGAAAATCCACATCCCAGCCCCTTCTTTTCACAAATTCAAATTTCTTCTTCGTCTTCCGAGTCCCCCTTCTTCCTGCATTCTAGTATTAATTAACAACCCACAACAGCAGATCCTTCGTGTCGCTCGGAAGATATCAATCAGCTCAAAAACAAGGGGGCAGCATAACTTCCGTTCTATTTTTATATAAATAAAATAAGTCTCCATGAAATCACATCCGCAATCTGCAGCCAGATCTGCGTCCTCTGTTACACTGCATCAAAATCTCGCACGATAATTTTTGCTTCCAACAGTCGTAGAGAAAAGCATTTTGCCAAACTTTTACTAGCAAAAACCTTCCCCTTGCGCTTATCCCAGGGCTTTTGTGCTCTTCTTCACACAAGAGCCCCCCGTCTGGCCAATAGCCATCCAGAGCACAGCGGTTTAAAAATAAACATTCTTCTTTAGGCGCCCAGCCTGTGACACGGCTGGCGAATCAGACGGTGCTCTCCCCCACCTCATGTGCGTGACAGGGGGGCGGCCCAGAGAGACCAGCGCAGAAAAGTCCATCATCTGTCACATTTTGCGGTTGTGCTGTTGGTTCAGCAGTGAAAATCAATTGCTGCGTTGGCAATAATCTCTTGGCTCTTCTTTGTTTTGGGGGTCACACACATGCTTCTGGCCCCTCCTTCAGCTTGCTTCACTCTGCGATCTGACACCGAAATTTCTTTTCTGTAGTCACAGACCGTTTGTTGAGAGCACAGACAGATGATGCACTCCATCACTCGTTCCGGGGTGAGATTTCGGCAAACTCCACTCCCGCAGCGGGGCCGTCACCAAGCACACATCAGCTTCGAAACTCTCTCTCTCTGCATGGCGCTTCAATCATGCGGAAACTCTCGATACCGGCTGCTGACGGACGACAACACAAAATCCATGTAAACAATTAGCTGGTCCCAGCACCCACCACCTGGGAAACAGGCATGGCATGCTCTGCAGGTCGCAGCAAACGTGAAAGCCATGGGGCAGCACACCTGGCTAGCCTGCGAGCCTTTTACGCGCCGGGCTTAATGCATGGGCCGGCCTAGCGTGCCGTTTCAACATCTCAAAATAACTCTGTCGCGTGGGGAATGCTTGAGGCTCCATAGACGGTTTGGCTTCCGGGGCCCTTCTTCAGGTGACATTGTAGGCCTGTACCTGCTTCTGGGATGTGCCGCGATCTGGAGGGGAAACACGAGGAAAACCGATATAACTTCAGCAGGATCCGCTTTTGACCTTGTTCCCTCCCCTCCTCTTTTCTCTTTTCCACGACGTCGGTCCCGGGCGGTGGCGGGCAGCATCATTAACAACAACTCGACTCGCTTTTGTATGTATGGTTCTGCTCTGTGAAGGGAATGACGAACGACCCAGCAGCCGGGCTGAGGCAAATCTTGGGGCCATTCTTATTCTCTCTTATTTCCAGCGAGCATTGTCGATTCCCCTTCGTACACACCGTCCTTGATTCATGAGGTATCATGGCGCTCAAGGACAAGATCTCCTCTCCCCTCGAGGCGGGCCCATCCGTCCTCGACGCCCAACATGTCCCCCCTCATCTTGCACCAGTCCTCGAATATACGTCTAGCCGGCTTGCGAAGAAGGCTGTCCACCTTACGCTCATTATCGTCCGTAGAGACTACCAGCTGCTCAACACAAACACAGTCGCTTCCTCAACGCCTCGGACGCCGGGCACCCCTCGAACGCCTCTATCCCCTCCACTCACCGGCGGCAGCACCAGCAGTAGTCGCCTAGGATTGTCCAGTCCCGTCGTAGCGTTGAAGCATTTCATGCGATCCGCTTCGCAGCACGTCGTTGGATCAGGCCGCTCAGCCCAAAGCCCGAGGAGTGCCGTTCCTCCCATCTCACGCCCCTTCACAACCACCGAGCTGCCGAGTCCCAGGTTTCGATGGCCGCTCTCACCCACCACGCCGTTGTCTCCGCCGCCGATGACGCCGTCCACGGCATCATCGCTGACGACCATTGATAGCAACGGACCGCCAACCCCGACCTGCACGGGGCTTCGTTGCTTCTATTCTGGCGACTTATCCCCGCGAACAGAGAAGATCCTGAAAAGCACTCTCATCAAGGCGGGGAATAAGTTTGGCGTCGGGTAAGCGCAGAACAGGGCTAAAAACAAGAAGAAGTTCATGTATTGACACAAGCAAATGTGCGTCCAGGAGCGGATGGCTTGTACCCTTTACAAGCCCGAGCACCCGTGAGCTTGCAACCCAGCTCTTCCACAGCTCCGTCGTCCAAAACGAGATCCTCTTCTCGTCCGACGGCCTGACCCTGCTGACTCTCGATCGACTGTACAGCATCAAGAGCGCTCTATCAAGCTACTCCAAGACAGGTTCCGCGCTCATGCTGGAAGATGCCGTTGACGAACTGCGCCGCTTTGTCCTGGCCCACAATGGTCGTCGAGTAACCAGATCTGACCTCCTTCGGTCATTCGACTGGCTGAGCGTCAGCAATTCCGCCATCATGGATCTCGATCGCATGTATCAAAGAGCATACGGCGGATATGACCAGATAGGAGGCATCACCGGCATGGCACCGGAAGTAGTGACTCAGCCATTTGTGCTCGATCTGCCGCCGAAAAGCAAATTCGAAGACTGGGAAGACGGAAGCCTCAGTCCTTCGAGCACCATCCTCGACGAGGACATCATAGGGGTCGCCGTGACGGCCGTGTCCTTTGTCAGACCACCAACCCCTCGCAGAATCGGCCCTGCCTTGAAGCTGCAAACCGATTTCTCCGCCAAATCCAAGTATCTGGACCTAGGAGACGAAGTGCCCCGGGAAGACGAAGACTCCGAGGACGAAGCCCATACCGCACGGCCCGTGGACCAAACCGCTGCTGCCATGTGGAATAGCCGGCTGACCATTGACCAGATGCTCAGCCCGAACCAGGACCTGCATTCACCGGCCATAGGACCCATGACTCCCCACGGATACGACGACATTTCCCCCGTAACGCGCGGAGAATGGGGCTTCCTCATGGGCGGAAATGGGCTGCAGATAGGGAAAACGGCAGCGGTAGAAACGTTTTGATGCCTTTTTATGAAGACGTTGTATTGAGTGAATGTGGCACATGATTTTTTATTTTCTCTTCTTTCTTTCTTTCTTTCAGATTCTTCTTTCCACTTTCTAACTTTCTTTTCAGACATTTTTTTGTTGTTACATTCTATAAGTTTCTACTTTATTCCATCCTGGGAAGCGAGGTGAATTGGCGTTTTTTTTTTTAGGTGGCAAAACGGGAGGGTATATTAGAGAAATTTCGCACATACGCATGAAACAAAATATATACAAATTACGTATGAATGCATCGTTGATACAAGTTCCCAAGTGCATAGATCGTCTTACGCTCATTACCATCCGTAGCGACTCGAAGCTTCTCGTCTGTTGCTTTTGCCCTTTGCGAAGCTCTCTTCCAGAGCGTCACGCTGAGAGGAAGCATTCCGTACCAGCTGTTGCAGGCTGTGCTTGCCGCTGTGTATGGCGCGGACGGGGTTGTGTGTCTGCTGCTCGCCAGCAGCTCTGAGCTCTTCGTTGTGTTGATATTCTCGGTCCATGTTGAAATTGATAACTTTCTTCGCCATCTGCGTATCTCCTCCTCCTCCTCTTCCAAATAATTCCCGTCTCGCTGCCGCAGAAAGATTCAAATCATCGGCCACATTGTCTAATGACTCTGTTCTCGTGTTTATTGAAGCAGCAGCCGTCTGACCATTGTTCGTTTGTTGAGAATAGGCATCAAGGCCATATGGGTTCATAGCCTCGCCAGTTTCAAAGAGGGGCTCGTATGCCCCTCCAACTGCCGTCGCTGTTGGAGCTGCGTCTTCCTCGACGTGCATAGAGAAGAGCGACGTCTTTTTCGGAGCTGGCGCCGGGGCTGGTGCCGGTTCAGGCTTTGCTGATGCTGTTTCCGGGGCTAAAGCTACTGGTTTCGTTGCTGATGCTGTAGAAGCCTGGACTGCCGTACTCTTAATAGATTTCTTCTTTGTATTCCGAGCAACTGATAGAGGCTTGAACATTAACGGTTTCCCCACGAGTTTGACTTCTTCCGCAGGTTTCATTGTATCTGGTATTGACGGTTCGGCTGGTCGTTTAGGAGGTGGCAAGCTCAGACCGCCCGCCGCACCATCAGCGTCGCTATTGGATTTATTTGAAGGCTCTTCATCGCGGCTGAATCCCTTTTCCGCACTAGTTTTGAGGTTGATGCCCGGTCGACTCGAAGATTTGCTTAGTATCGGCTTCCCAGCATTTTTGGGTGGAGGGAGAAAGGAGCTGAAGCCGGCGAAGAGGCCGCCTCCGCCGGTGCGCGCACGTTTTGCGGGGGGTTCATTGCTATTCTCTGCACTCGCGTCGCTAGAGGAGGAAACCTGAGGGAGGTTGAGGACGATTTTGCCTGGATTCGACCGGTCGACAACTTTCTGGAATGCAGGTTTCTTTGGCGCAGCAGGCTTCGCAACGGGCTGCGGCGCATCGACCTCGGCATCTGAGGAGTCGGACTCGGAGTAATCGACGAGACCCATTATGGAGTAAGAAGTTCGAAATGCGATGACGGATTCGACGTATTGTATGGTCAGGCGACAGGCCAAGCTCTGATGTGATAGTTGTATGTAGGAGCCAAAAAAAAAAAAGAGTGACGATTAAAGACCGTAGCAGCACTCTGACGTGAGCGAGCTACCTAGGCAGGTGGATACAATAGCGCAGGTATTAGCGGTTGATGCGCTAAAGCAGGGGTCCGGCTCTGGTATCTTATCTGTTAGTGCGAGACCCTTTTAATGCTACCCCACGGCAAGCTGCGAGCAACAGCATCATCGTTCTGGCTTTACTTGACTTTGCGCCTCCCTCGAGTCCAACTTTGTGACGAGGAAACATGTGAGCGATTAATGGCATGCCCGCAAATGCCTATTTCAATCCTATGAATACGTTCATCAACTCGAATTAACCCCTACAACCCGCCCGCTTCCTCCAACAAGCCGTCTTCAACATGTCTCTCATTCAGCTGGAAGAGTGAGTTCGCAAGTCCCCTGGGTGACGATATCGCCTGCCGACCTGTTGGCGCATAGGCCATTCGCCCAACTAACGGTGTTTGATTCTTCAGGCTTGTCACATACCAGCTTCGCACTGGCTATCTCAACGAAATCGCCGACGGCGTGGGCGAGCGACTCATCACTGTTAACGACAGCAGCATCAATACCGCGCCATTCAAGTCAGCTGGCTGGCGACCGAACTCGTCACATATAAAGCGGACACACTCTCCGCCGATACCTACGGCAATTGCTTCAGAATATTTCCAGGCGCCGCGGCAGGCAGGTCTGACGCTGGAAGATGGTTACGAAGATGGCGGTCTGCTTACTGGCGGGGGGGCCGACACCATGGGCCCGGGAGCAGCAACCAAGCGGCGCAGGCGCCGAGAGCAGATGGAAGAAGAGGACAGCAGCGACTTTAGCGATGAGAGCGATGACGAGTCTGAACATCGGGCGGCACAGCAGATCAAGTTCGCCAAGATGCCCGTGAGGCACCGCGCCGGATCTTCACCTGGCCAAGCCTCTCACATCCCGCCGATGAATACCTCTCCTCGAGCCCCCAGACGAGGCTCCCAATCATCTCTTAACATCCTACCGGGGCGACCACGACGAGACACCGTGACTAGCAGCGAGGTTTCCTCCGAGAACGAGTTCGACATGCCGGTTGCGTACAGGCATAGGGAGGCTGCGCGAGCGGCGACGAGGGCGATGAGGATGCAGGACAAGATCAACGAAGAGCCCTCACCAGGCGTACAGATCGCGGATCCTTTACATGATGAAGACGAAGACGATTCTGACGAGGCCTCTGATATGTCGGGAGAGTATGTTGCAAGCATTGACGAGGCCTCGATCCTCGACGTTGTGGAGAACAACCCGATGAATGCGCCCATGAATGCGTCGCCTACTCGACAAGTGGTAGGCACACCTCCTAGAAACTTTACCAGAAGACAGTCTACTATTCGAACGTCTCGGGTACATACGTCGCCGTCTGTTTTCGATGCACTACCGCCTCCGCGCCCGATGAGCACTATCCGACCTCTCAGCGTGGTTCAACCCCAAAGTCTACTCTCCGCGGCTATAAAGGCTAAGCGGTACAAATCCAGCGTACCCTTTCAAAAATTTGCGCACCTCAACGGAGAGGGAACGCAAGGGGCTATTTCTATTCGCATCTACGCAGCATTTTCCAACGCTCCTAGCAAGTACTTGGAGGTGGTTATTCGACCCAGAGTGCAGAATGGCCAGGGAGTGGAAAGGGCTGTCACAATAGCTGATCTGATAGGTCTGGGACTGTATCGATACAACGAGGAGAAGAGAGAGCCAGCTATAGCCCCCAAGAAGCGCAATATCAACTGGTATACGCTCAGAATGGTAGAAGAAGGGGGCGAGGTGGATGACGATTTCCCCCCGTTTGACCGGACAAAGCCTCTCACATCGGCAACTACCGTCAACAATGCACATATGCGAGGCGGTGGGCGAGGGCGATCTAATTCAAAAGTCTACGACGAGTTTGCCATCGTTGCCGCTACGGAATCAGAGTATGAGGCGAACCAAAAGCTAACTCCCCAGGAAGACGAGGAGGAGGAAGCACAGCCGTCTCAAGATAGCATCCCGGAGGAGGCAGTATCGCCCAAGGCTGAAACACCTACACCTAAAATGGAAAATGCCAATGGAAATGGCAATATCAATTTCGGCATCTTCTCACCTCCGCAGTCGGATCATCCGCGACCAAATCCCATTTTGAATACAGCGTACCGGCCAAATGTGCTCCTGGCAGATGCTCCCCAGACACGTGCAACGGTGTCCAATGCGATGCGAGGTCAGCAGAAGCTGCTACGGATCTACATTATGTCGTCTGATGTGGCAGCCGGTCAAATGGTGACTCTTGACATCACCACCGACACATATCTGGCAGAAGTACTAGATCAAGTATGCCGCAAGAGAAACCTTGACAAGGCAAATCACGTACTGAAGCTGCCCGGGTCTGGAGCGCTGGTAATGCTGGACCGGCCAGTATCATCGATAGGAAATGTGACGGATCTAGAACTATACCGACGTCGGTTTGCGACGGATGGCCCGCTAGCCACAACGGGCTCTCTGGGAACCTCGTCACCGAAGATGGTAGCAATGCTAGAAGGGCCCCAGCCACCGCGAAAGGGCCACAAGAAGGCGTATACACCCGGCTCTCATCCACTGGCACGCGAGGTCATCCAGCCCGATGAGCTCCCGAGCGCCAACTACAAGCGGTACACGGTGTGGCGCAAGCAGCCAATGCGAATAGTGGGCATGAGCGAGCGAGTCTTGGTGATTGATGGCGAGTATATCCACATTGTGCCGGCTTCCGGAGGCAAGGCCATGCAGGAGGGTGGAGGCAAGACGACGACGGTGCACTTCAGCAACGTGATCGGGTGCAAGGTGCCTCGAAAGCACCCTACCAACGTCAAGGTGAGTAGCAACAGAATTCTTTTAAGCTTTCTCTCTTTTATCTTCTTCTTTTCTTGAGTTTCAGCTACATGCCTTGCCATGACAGCCTCCCCGCATAGTGGAGTTGTGTTGTTGCGGGTGGCGGGCTCAGCTTCGTTGTCACGTTTTATTTTCTCTGTATTCATTTTGGATCTGAATTGCCGGATGAGGCTAACACTGGGACTATTTAAAAATAGCTTGTCGTTTACAAAGCCACGGAGAGCAAACGCTACGATTTTGAGGCTCGGGGGGCTGACGAAGCTGCTGAGATAGTGGCAGAGCTGAAGAAGGGCATTTCACCTTACAGAGAGGTTTGAGCTTGCGTGTACTTGGAAGTGGGGAGCGGGCGCTGGAATTGAGTTTGGAGGCGGGCTGTGAAGAAGACATACGCAGCCAATCATTATTTTGCCCTTTTTGGTTTTTTATTTATTTTTTTACAATTGTGTGTATGAATAGCCCTGATTTTTTTTTTTCTTATTACGAGTCAGATGCCCGAACGAGGCAAAATGTACACGCGTTCCGTGATGAATTAAGCGTTATCTTGAAAGTGACGACGTGTGGCTGAGGCTGCATGCCGGAGACTTGTGACACGATGGAGATGCTAGCAGCGCACCCAGCCGCTGTGGAGCAGCCTAACAAGGACCGGAGGTTTTTTCTAGGGCCTGCAACGGTAGATACATTTGCTGTAGGTACCGGATAGTGTACCTTTATTACGTACGACAGGGGACGCCGTCTGATGACATCTGGGGTTGTCGATCCTAGGAATAAGTCCGAGGTGATGCAGTTCAACTCTGGGCGTAATGGTACCAGCTCTATATTATTGCAGGTGGTTAGAATGAAAAACAAATGAGATGTTGAGATTGACGAAGGCCGTTTGATCGCCAAAGCTAGGGCTGGTTATTTTAATAGGAAGGATTAATATCATTCTGCCTAAAGTATGGAGCAGATGCGCTTAATATTGAGATTGGCTACGGCGGAAATTATGGTCCCATTTAGGAAATCATAGCTTGCATGTTGCATGTTGACGTTTTTACACCCAACGCTGGCTATTCTTGACCGTCCAGCTATATGGAACTAAATAGCAGCCCAATCTCCTGCTTATTCGTATCCTTTTCCCTCAATAACCAGCAAGTAATGTTGCCTTGGCGAGCTCCTGCATAGAAGAGGGACATGTCTGACGTGTTCAGCGCTGAAGGCTTCACGCAGGCGTCATTATTACTACAGGCATTCCTAAGCAGGGGGCCGAGCAACGGCAAGGCGAAACCCGAACTGGCGTTGCAACGGAATGACAACAGCATGATATCGGAGACAGCCGGCTAGGAAGGGCCGCAGTGTCTCGGCAAAGTCTCCGAGGCGGCGATGAGAAGCGGACTTGGGCATCATAGCGGCCGAGGAAAAAAAAAAAAAAAAAACCCCTAGGCAGAGGTGGTTGGTTGGTTGGTTGGATATCCTCATGTTTCTATGACGCCAAGGTTGCGCACGAGCGGTGAGCACGGATGTGCTTGTAGCACTGCAAAAAAGGGAGATTGATGTAGCACTCGTGCGCCATTATTCTCATTGGATTCCGTGGCTGGGAGGGGAGACAGAATGTCTTGGTTTTGGATACGGCATCTTGATCCTGTCCCTAGCCATGCACATGGACGCAATGACGGAACATGAGACGTGTATCTTGCAAATGCTTGTGGTGGTACAACTGCATGATTGAGGCGTTGGCTCACTCGGCCCCCTTTTATTATCCAAGACTGGTGCAACAAGGTGTATCGTCACCATGATAATCTGCCTTGCCTTTATCTCCAGAGACGAAATTACTGGTCATTCTATTCCATGACCACTTTTATTTCGCCTTCTATCGGCTTTCTTCTTTGTTATTATGTTGGCATTATTATTTTAGAAGAAAGAAGAAGTGTTAGATGCCGACTTGGCTCTCAAATTCGGCCCAACTGTTTGGACAAGCAGTAACACAAACATAGAATATACCCCGTATATGTATGTAATCAGACGCGGAGGAGTGTCTCATGGGTCGTTGAGCTTGAGCTGTATCACGGACAACAATCGAGACCAAATATAGCACATTCTATTTTATTCTCCAGAGAAGAAGAAGGGGAAATGAATGCGGTTGAGCGGGCTGCGTTGCAACGGGAAGAAGAAACGCCTTTTACCAACACAATGTTACACGCAGATATGCAGAAGAAAGGAGTAGTAATACTGACGTTGGTTTCAGGCATAATAATAAACCAAGCGGTGTTTATAGCATAAGCCCGTTTCCATCAGCCTAGGGACTCGCAGCGGCTACCTTTCCTCCAAAACGCCGGCTCTACAATTATACTAAGCCTTGCATCTCTTTGAATCCGTCATGACGCTTACTCTGCTTGTACAACGCAAACCTCCAAAAGCTGATCTGACCCATCTCCATCCAATCAAACCCAGCCCGCCGGTGGCACCCATGACTTATTCTAAAACAGGCCATGTCCGCTTCTTCACATCTACACGCAGCTTCCAAGCAATACGCTTAGAAGTAGGCTCTCGATCCTCCGTACCACTGCTCCACCAGCCGCCGGGCTTCGATCCTTCTGGGGGAGAGTCGGCCAACACGCCTTTTACGTTTCATTTCTTTTTTATTCCCAAGAAATAAGAAAAAGAACAAGGAATAAAAAAAAAAAAAAAAACCAAGACATAAAAACCAAGACATTAAGCATTTCCCTCCATTTCTTAAAAAGAAAAAAAAAAAAGTGGCGGTGGCTGGGCAGTAACACATACTTGCACCGACTCCCTATATTCCAGCCCTGGCCTTCTTCCCTTCTCCCTGGTTTTCTTGGGCGAGGCTTGGCCAGACTTGGCTTTTTTTCTTTTTTTTTTTCTTTTTTTGGCGGCGTTTCCAACCCCCCTCCCCCTTGTCGAGAATCGGTACTTTGGCGGCATGTACCAGCATTTGGATATTACTGTACCGGCAGGGCGTTTGCTAGCTGCATGTGCCTGTGGCCCACTCCCCTGCTGCTTCGATCTTATTTCCCCATTACTAGTTCGATTCACTGCGAGCCTCTCACGTTGGACGCAACGTAAACGCAGCTGGCCTTGTACAGCAGGATTCTGGTTGCGTGATAATGCCTGTAGATGCTGCTTTGTCATTCGTGTTATTTTTGTCTTCTCCCCCATCGCATTTTTTTTTTCTCAAGAAAGCGGTCAAGCAAGGAGCAACAAAACTCGGCGTGTCTTTGGGCATGGCAATCGAACTACCAACCTGGGGCCGACACTAGTGCCCTTTACTTGGGACAGACCTCATCTGCCGCCAGACATGAAGCAGAAAAGGATCGCCGCCTCGCCAATCACAAAAGTCAGACGTCATCGTGGAGGATTCTTTGCCGCCACGCACACGCCGCACTGCTCAGCTACTAAGGCTGAGAGAGGTATGCAGGCAGTAGTAGTCGTAATACGTGCTGCTACTTAATCTTGTTCGCTTAATCCTATTGCACTGAACAGCAAGCAAACAAGACAGAAGACGCGCCCCAAATTGACTTGCATGCGCCATGATCCACCAGCCACCACTAGCCAGCCCAGCTAAACACACGCCGAACTAACGACAAGACTAATCTGTCTCATCTTCATGTTTCTCATCCTCCTCCACTAACGGGGTCCAGGCCACCCCTGCCCTGAATCTTGTTAGCCATTTTCATGGGAAAAAATCAGCCCAGACAAGACACCAGTAGACACTGACAAAGATGGGCTGCCTCACGGGGGGGAGACGTAGCACAAACCACCAGCACAGCAGGTGGCTGAGACCGTTTATTTTTTATTTTGGCTATCCTTGGTTGGTTGGGCTTCCCTCGCCGTCTTCTCCTCCACCCGCCGCCCCCGAGTCTTAAAGCCCATATTACCACGGCGACTAAAACAAGATTAAATGTGACACAGCCTTGGCACTCTTCATCTTTCGCTCTCTTGTATAAATTCTTCTCTCTCCCCATTCGTTTTGTGCTTTTCTATTTCACGCTTCCTCTCCACATTTGCCATTCTGCTACTAGCCAGATCTCTCTCATCAACATACTCCCATTTTAATCTATCTGCCACAGCAAACGCAGACAGACCAACCCCGTCTTCTCGACTTTTCCAAATTCCAATCTACCAAAACTTCTCTCTTACACACACACACACACACACACATTCACCATGAAGTTCTCTAGCATTGCCATCTTCGCGGTTGCCGCCCTTGTTCAGGTATGTATCAAATCGGCTTCCATCATTCTACCATCTTACTTCTTTGAACCATACACACACACACACACACACACACACACACACACACACACACACATATATATATATATACTTCCCAACACCACACATCATATAAACCACACAAAACGCTAACATTCTCCAAAAAAAAAAACAGGCCAACCCAGCCCCCTCACCCGCTCCCTCCCCAGCTCCCGTCCCGGCCCCAGGCCTCTTCGGCGACATCTCCACCTTCATCGACGGTGCCGCCAACAAGGTCTCAACCTTCATCGACGGCATCCACTCCAACATTGACGAGGGCAAATCCAAGGGCAGCGCCATCGGCAGCGCCATCAACTCCATCCTCCACACCGAGGCGTCCGATGCCTCCAAGGTCATTGCCAGCCTCACCTCCGAGGCCGGCTCAATCTTCAGCTCCCTCAGCAGCGTCGCTGCCACCGCCACCGGCTCGGCTGCCTCCTCATACAGCAGCGAAATCTCCAAGCTGAGCGCGTCCCTCGCCAGCGCAACCAGCGAGGCCGCCGCCGCCGTCTCCACCAAGGAAAAGGGTGCTGCTGGCCCTGCTCAGACCGGCTACGTGGCCATGGGTGCGCTGATGGGAGGAGCTGCTATCCTCGCTAACATGTAAGCGAGGCTGGTGAATGCTCGCCGTACGTGTTCTTTTATGGAGCCAGATTTTGGCCGAGGGAAATGGATGGATATACGCATTTGTATGTGCATGGTGTAGGGAACACCGTAAAGGAAAGGAGGAAGACAAAAATACCCCCCTAATTCACGAGAGCGTATTGTGACATGCCTTTGTTAAGGGCGCCTTTTAATTATGAAATAACGAGTCTAAGACTATATCAGTCTGTGAATTTAATTCAAATCAAGTCTTGATTTACCTTGGATAAAATAAATCTCCCTTTGAATGCTCCATTCTGTGCCACGCTCTCTAAACGAGAGAGAACACGAGAGCATCTAGCATTCGTTATTGCTCAGTAAATGACCCAACGCCCATAGTCTACAACGGGAATTATCAAGACTTCTTCGTCGTCTGTCCCCAGAGCCTATCCACGATTTGGAAAATCGCCGTCACGTCTTTGATAACATCACCATCGCTCTGCCCACCCAACCTCTGCTGTATCTTATCGGGGTGCCAGCGCACTCGCTCCTCTTTGAGCTTCGCAGCAAACTCCTTCTCTCCAATATCCTCCAGGCTCAGGCCGTATATGAGGAAATCTCGAACTGCCTCCTCATTAACGTCCTTCCGCTGCCCACCCAAGACCGGCCAAGCAATCTTGTCCAGAGTGCCGTCCCAAGCCGACCAAGCCCGCGTATATGTATCCCATCCATCAGCCCAGCGCCGCCTCCGACGTCGTTCTTCAGATCGGCGCAGGCTTCGATCCATTTCTTCTCGCAGCTTGCGATTTTGCCTGTCCTCTTCCTTCTTCCTTTTGCGCTCTTCTTCGCGCCGTGCCCTCTCCTCCAGCAGCCCGGCGTTAGTCTTCTCCCACATCTTCTGCCGAACATACGCTGCGTATTCCTCATCCGTCATTTTCTCAAGGTCGCCTGCCGGCCCGACTTTTTCGTCCGAATAGACATGAATAGGCTGGCCATAGACGCCCTCCCAATAGGCAGCGCCTTCATCGTCCGCCATGGCGTCAAACAGCGATTCGCGGAAAGCGGCCTCTGTGTCAAGCGGCGGAGGGTCATGGGGATTAGGCGGCGTGGGCGAGCGGTGACGTCGTCGGCTATGGCGATCGCGATGGCTGCGGTGACGGTGTCGACGGTGGCCAGATTCATCTTCTTTGCTTCGAGAGCGGTGACGGCGCTTCTCGCCCTTCAGCCTCAGCCGTGATCGCCTCGGCCTCGTCGTATCCATGTTTGCGTCTTCGCCATCACTGCCTGCGGCTGGCTTGACGTCATTTGCGGAAGGGCTTGTTGGCGCGTCCTCCCTTTGGTGCTTCTCTGGCGAGTTGCTCGGGTTGATGGATGAAAGGATATGCCGCCTCTTTGGCGACGGTGGCTCATGGCTCATGGTTGGGGCGCCATAGTCACGGCCAGGCAGAGCTTTGGTTGTCAAAGGTTGAGGCTGAAAGGTGCGGAAACAAACCGGGGCTGGCCAGGCTAGCAGGCCACGGGTGTGTGTGGGGGCACTATAAATAACCTTGCCTTCTGCAGCCTTGGGCTCCCGCTGTCCTGGAGCTTTTCAAATATAGTACAAATACGGAGTAAATAGCAAGGCTATGCCAAACACACACTCAATTTAGATTTTCTGTTTTAAACTAGGTTCAAAATTATTCTGTGATAATATGTACATTGAAGGAAAAGCCTGAACTGATGTGTAGAACGATAACACGCCTTCTCCATGAGTACTGTGATACTCCAAGTTAAACGTCTTCCTAGCAGCTTCTGTAGCATGTAGAGACAAACCAAGCCTGCCAACCTAGTTCTACCTATAGGTGCTATCAATCATATTAGTGGCATATGATACTGCATGCCTCCTTTATTGGATCAACCGTTCGATTCAGCGGATCATCTTCTGAACCCTCTCACGCATCCGCTTGAAGATGGCCATACTAAAACCTTCCTCCTTGTCTTTCGGTCGATGCTGCTGTACGAAAAGCCATACTGCCAGCATTACAACACAAGATGCGAGAACAATGGGCTGCAGTGTCTTGACGCCCTTTGCTTGTGCAATGGCACCGACGGCAAAGGGCAGAGCAGCTGAGCCAGAGCCTCCAACGGCCGTCGCAAATCCAATGGCGCTGATATGGAGGGAGCGTGGTAAAACTGTAGTCATAAGCACCACTGCCGTGGGATAGATGGGTCCTGTAACGAGGATTAGTATAGGTATGTGAATAGACGTCGTTTTCAAGAAAAGGGCAAGACGAAAGATTGACATACCCAAAATCATGCCCAGCAATGCAGATGCCACTGCGGTAACTACCATGTTAGGGACGAGCCAGAAGACCAACTCTATGACAATAGCTAGCCCGAGATACAAGAGCATAGCCCGAAAGCCGCCCAGCCGGGAGGTGACGAATCCTAGGACAAGTCTTCCTACAGTCATGCCGCCCCAGAATCCAGTAGCAGTGGCGCTACCGGCAAGCGTAGAGGCGTTGCGCACTTTTGTCATGAAGACGACAATCCAACCACCAATGGACACCTCGGTGCCGACGTACAAGAAGATGAAGAGAGAGAAAAACCAAGTGAGCTTGTTCTTGAGAGCTTCCCTCGTTCGTCCTGAGGTAGTGTCTTCGCCAGCCTTCTGGTGAGGATTTTCACTCAGGTATACTGAGCCTGTCTGAGTCCAAAATGTGGTGGTGGATGCACCGAATTCGAGTGCCGAGGCGCTGACCTGTCAAATATTGTTGTTAGTCGTGGACCTTGGCATATCAAAGCAAATCACAGGAAATCATCGTACCATGATGTAATAGAACGTCCACCAACCCCCGTGTCCATGTGAGCTGATACTGGTGGCAATCAGGGGAGCTATCGTTGCTCCCAAAGCGTAGCAGGCCTGCAGGACGCCTGACACCTCATGCGAGTTGGCCATGTTGCCGATCCAGGCGCTCCACGCAGCATCCACGACGCCATTGCCGAAACCAACGAGGATATACATAACAATGAGAACGGGAAATGGCGGATGGAAAGAGATAACTAGATAGGGAATCAGACGGAACGCCGGTGCAATCATGGCTACGCCTCGCTGGCCGAGGCGGACATGCAGGGGACTATTGACAAAGGCCGCCATGGTGTATCCGACGAATGGCGACAGAAAGATGAGCGAGACAACGGTGTAAGTTAGATTGTAATGAGTTTCCAACTATAACCATCTATTAATATTTCCATTCTGTTGTAAACGAACAGGGCGGCGAGCGTCATACCTGAGGAACTAGAGCCTATAGAGACGAAGAGCAATCAGTATCTGTACATGCAGAAACAATGTAACCACCGGGTACTATCAAATTTTTTCACTGCACTTACACCGTACGAGCCATCATTCATTCCCAAAACGAAAAAGGACCAAAAGGTGGAAAAGACACGGTACTTGTTGATAGGAGGCGAGTTCCATTTCACCTTTGCCTCAAAGGCGTCGTCCGGAGGGGTCGAGGCTTCGCGAGTGAGTGCGGGCTCGAGAATGGGAGCATTTTCAAATGAGTTCTTAGAGGCACGACTGCCTTTGAAGGCCGCCTGGGGTGGAAGAATTTCCAATGGAATACCGCCCTCTGTAGTGTGAAGAGTCTCTGTGGCCGTAGATGTCGCCATTGTCGAGACGGGCGGCAGCAGACAGGATTAGATTAGCTGTAGTTGTTAAACGTTGTCTCAGAGACTCAAGGATTCAGCGACGATTCCTCCAGGGCCAAAGCTCATATTAATACTCTGCGATGGCGATGCCAGCTATCTTCTCTTGGCCCCAATTAAGATCAGTTGTTTTGCGATGTGTTGTGTTGCTTTCCCGCAATTACGGTGAATCGGGTATTTAGACTTGTTAGCGCCCTCTCAGGATTACCCCATTCTGCTCACCGGCCAGCAATTACCAAGCAGAGATGACTCCGTTAGCGGCGCCCTCAATGCAATCGAGTTCCCTGAGCTTCGTATTGCAACGTAATAGAGCAAACTTGTCAAGATCAGATTCGCCAGACACAGTCACAAGGGCAGGCCTTAATAAGAAACCCCAGCACGTAATTTTGGCTTTAAGCTACGGACTAGGCAAGGGTGGCTGGCAGATGGAGATCGCAATCGTGCAAACACGCTTATTTGAGCGTGACGATCGGCTTTCATTGGATCGGCTTGTCGATTGACAAGTTAACACGATACATTTGCAGCCAGCTGCCGTGCTGTAAACTGATCAAGTTACATCCAAACATTTATGTAAAGATCATGTGAGGGACGCGGCCCTGTATCTGCCGAGGCTGCAGCGGCATACTGTATCGGGGAGTGTCGGGACGAGGCTGTGCTAGTTTTAAGCTTCTAAGAGTCATCCGTTATTCTGGATCTTGTGGGGTGCACCTCCCACCGCGATCCATCTCTCCCCTGTGGAGCCCCGCCTCTGGCAGTCTGTAAAGCCATGTGAAAGATGGCTGTGGACGGATATACCGAAAAAAAGATGCACGTATTGGAAGGATTCTTGTTTGGGTTTGTAATCTAAAAGAGAAGAAGAACGTGGCAACAACGTGTCGGATCCTGTCCATGTCTATACTACACCTCACCGTCTAAGCCTTTGGGCTATCACCGTATCAGAGATGGGCACCACGAAGAGATGGTTAAACACTTGAGCTTATTCGCAGTTTCATTCTATGCTGTATAATGCTGCATATGAAGTGGCAATTATCAATTACTCTTTATTCTTAAAAAAAAAGAAGAAGAAAGAAAAAAGGAGGGAGAATTTAGCAATTGATGCATAGATTATCGTGACTACATACCTTACGCATATCCATAAGCTGATGCTCCGGAAAATTGTGCCAACGGCCCAAGAAGTCAACTGTGTATTTGTAAGGCTTATCCACTAATGATTCTATTACTCAATTGTAGTCCTAGTCCATGCTCGAATCCTTCGAGAACCAGCATCACATCGGCTCCTAGCAGAGGCACTGTTCTCAACTTCGCGTAACTCATACCGTTTAGAGAGTTAGTCTCTAAAAAACAGCCCTTTGTAAGTACATGTATGCAGCGTTACATGCATTTCAAGGGCGCATCCTCCTCATTCCGTGCCAATATAGAAAGAAAGGATGCTATTAGCTCATCTAGTAACAGTTACAAAATATTTGCCAACACAAGAAGCATCCAGAAGACGCTATTATGATTCTCCATCACTTAAACGTGCTGGAAATTCAAAGTTTCGGCCCCGTAACAACAATCTTTAGCAGCACGAGGGATGTGGGGCCCCTTTGTGGCGTTGCCCACCAGGGTGGTTTTAGGACACGAATTGGCGGATCTGAACCAATCAATCGCCCTGTGCACAGAATCGCAACGCCAAAACGCTCGTCTTTGCTACGTCGCCTCCTTCCGCATCCTCGCGATCCAACGCGCCCTGCCTTTCAGCGTCGAGAGTCTCAAACGCCTTGCGCTCCACTGCCTGGACCTCAGTCTGTGCAGAGAGAGGCGAGCTCTGGTCCGGGAGGCCATGCCGCGCAGATGACCCCGGCAGCAACAGAGTTCCCCTATTTGTACGAAACAAGTTGAGTTTGCGCCGGCTTCGACTAGCGATCCATCATGGGCGGCCTTCTCTTACTCGTCGGCCTATGCGTAAGTCTGCACGCGCTGTACAGATTTGGACTCTTCGTTTTGCTGACTTTGGACGTTTTAGATTGTCATGGCAGTGGCGTACGCAATACCTTCATCGAGCGGTTAATACGAAAGACACACTCAGCTAACAACAAAACAGGTCGTTCCTAGCCGGAGCCCTGCCACTGTCGATGACACTTTCACAATCACAGCTTCGATTAATATCTAGCATTGGAGTTGGCGTGTTGGTTGGAACATCTCTTGTCGTTATTATACCCGAGGGCATCGAAACCGCAGTCACGCCTGCAGAAGCCTCTCATCTTCACAAAGTACGGAGCCTAGTTCGGAGATCACCATGGGCCCTTGGAATCGACCCTCGAAATATCATTGAAACATTCCCCGTTGTGCAGACCACCGCCCCCCGAGATACGATATTAAGTGGCGACCTGGCTAGCATTTCACCACGGATCGAAATTTCACAGAGCTATCAAGCTATAAAAAGACGGGATGATGGGGAGGAGCAATCGCAGGAACCGTCCCAGCCTGCTCCGGAGCAGGAAGAACACGAACACAAAGAAAACGAAACGGCGCACACGCACAGTCATGAGGTTCCAACGCTGGAAATTGGATTCTCCATGATTGCTGGCTTCATTCTGATGTTCCTCATCGACAGGCTTCCCAGACATGCTACTGAGAGCCTGCGGTCTGGACCAGAGACTCGCCATATGAGCTTGGACGATCTTGGAGGGGGGGATACGGCATCCATTGACGAAGAGGCGGATGGCTTCTTGAATTCTTTGGCGCCGACCCCTCGAAAAGCGCGTAGCTTAGCAACAACCACTGGATTGGTGATCCACGCCGCAGCCGATGGTATCGCCATGGGAGCATCTGCAACGTCATCTAATATGCGACTGGGCTTCGTCATCTTCATTGCCATCATGATTCACAAGGCCCCCGCTGCCTTTGGCTTGACTTCAGTGCTGCTTAAGCAAGGACTATCAAAGCGGGCAGCTCGAGGTCACTTGGTGATTTTCAGCTTGGCCGCGCCTGTTGGAGCTTTGTCAACATGGATCATGATCACGCTGCTTGGTGGCGATCACTTGCAGGGGAATTCAGGTCAATGGTGGACGGGCATGCTTCTACTGTTCTCGGGGGGAACGTTTTTGTAAGTCCACGTTGCCATGGTCTCTTGGGTTAATAAACCCCAGTAAACTAACTGTGTATACAGATACGTTGCGATGCAGGCTATGCAAGAGGACACCGGCGCTCATAGCCACGATCACGGCTCCGGCATGAATGGCTACTCGGATGGCAACTCTGCACATCAGCGAAAGGCAAAGGGCCCTCAAATGCGAGACACGATTGCCACGGTTGTGGGTATGGGGATTCCACTTCTCGCGCAACTTGGCCACTAGAGATGCCGCTAAATACGATTTGCACGCATACACCGCGTATCAAAAGTACCCAGCAGAAAGGGGGTGTGTTTCAATTGTTTCTATGATTCCAAAACAGCATTTACTACGGGATGATCTACTACAGATGTAGACGGGCTTGTGGATAGTTTAGGTATAGAGTTATCATATCTTTGAGGGTTGAAATAGTTGGTCGCTTTTGGGCTTATCATGCGCAGCATATAATTACATAGAGCACGATACCTTAGATGTCTGGCATAGCTTGGCAGGGACTTAAAAGCATTGGTACTTTTTGTCAATTTAAATTTTCTATATTCACTAATATCTCTACTGCGTTTACTACATGTATGTACATTATAGCAGAGCTCTTTTACAATTTGAGCGTTCTTATTCCTGCCTATGCGCATGTGCACTTTGATTCTACGGCGCCTTGATGTGCACGCCTATCAGATGTAGTGCTGGCTGCATGTAGCTACTAAGCAAATCCACTGCACATCACGCCACTATTAAGAAAAACAGGGTACGTTATACTCTACTTCGTGGTGCCAGGATCACATTAATGCCCAACAACGGGTCGATTCAGAGTAAACAGCAGTCTAGATTGGCTCAGCGGAAATGACGTAGCACAGGAAAAGCAATAGTACAATCCGGAGTGAATTTTTCCTTTTCCTTTTTTTTTTAAGAAGAAAAGTACCGCAGGTAACGTTGTGAGGAGAGAGGGGATCTCTGTAACCAGGCGGAAATCAATGTGAAACAAGCTTGGATAAGGGGGAGGATCCCTTGCGAAACAAACGATTTCTTTTTTTAACTTAAAAACGCCAAGAGAAAAATTCAATATGTGGTCGATCGGGAGCCCCGTTATTGGAAGGGGCCCTTTTTAGAAGCCGATGCCGATGCTGATGCTGATGCTGATGCTGGTGATAGATAGTACTACTAGCAGTTCTGGTATGCCCCGAAATAAATGAATGGATACAACGTATTTTAACATTGCAAATGCGGACCGCTGCAAGTGAAACGACGCCACGTTGGATGGAGATGGAGAACGCAGTCCCATGCACATGGTGCCACTGCTTGGGAATATCGGATTTGTCAGACCAGGGGTACAGTAGGGCATCTAATACTGCGCCTCCCTCTTTGTTGAAGAAGTTTGGCAAAAGAATGCATAGGCTAATTAAATGGGTAGAAATCACAATGGCTTCAGCAGCAAAAAGAGGAAGAAAAAAATTGGGCATACGCACATATACTTTGCACTAACATTCCGGTTTATTGTGCATCCATGAACGCAGGATGCAGCGGTCAGATGAGGCCACTGCTGCGTGTATGCACCCAACTTGCTTGTATCTGCACTGCACCAGTGAGTCGCATGTCTACAATGAGCTTCCTAAAACGAAGGGGCTTGCCGCAATATTGTCTCTCTTATACTGCATTCCAGCGTGTATGCCGTACTGCGGGCCGGAATGGAAAAGGATGGACGTGCGAAGCCTTTTCAGAAGCACAGTCAGCAGCGGCTGCCCCTTGAGCACGACGATCGGCCGAGATCCCAGCCACCGGCGAGAGCTGTAACGCTTTGTAACATCTAAGTTGATAGCTCCGCCTTGTTTGTTATTTTAAGCTTTTCTACCGGGTGTGCACTATACCAGTATGAAAGCCAATAGTGTGCACAAGAAGTCCGACTCTCACCAGCTGTTTGCCGCCCACCATTAGCATGACTTACACGCCGTCTCAGCTGCGATTTGCAGCCCAGCTCAGCCAGCCAGTCAAGAACATACACATCACCAGCGTGCGCCTTTGTATTGTCTGTTAGACACAGGCGCTTGAAGCGGCATTGGGCAATGCGGAGAGCAGTATACGGCATAATCCATCATGTATAACATAGTCTGGTGACCAGGTTTTGGGTTACGCGCCGCTTATTAGCAGAAGAAGGTTCGGCAGAGACTCTGTATTCGCAGTGCAGGCTCCATGCATTAGCATCCCATCCATGTTGTATAGAGGCCTGACGGGGAGAGGGGCTCGGTGGGACCAGACCCGATACACGACGCATCAAGAAAAGCCTCCTTGTTCAGCCGTTGCACAGGTGCAGACACCCAAGACTGGCTCTGATCCTGATGCCGGGTGCTCCGCAGCGCCAAAACTGCTACTCCGTCAGTGCAGCGTCAAGGCGGCTGCTGCAAGGGCATCTTGGGCATGTCCCCCGCCTCCACCGTGGCCAGCGAGTTAGTCAGTTGAGGCGCCGCATGCGGGCAGCGCAGCCGCTGTCTCGAGAGCCACAGTGCCGCTAAAGGCGCCCAGGCTAGCATGTACTACTACCTTGTCACGATATATACAGGAATAGGTATACCTACCAGCCAATGCTCCGTTCCTTCAAATCAGCAGGTAGTAGGTAGCAATACTAAACACCATGTCGAGCCGTTTCTTGCTGATGACGATGTGCCCGAAAGGGCCCCAGGCGCCCCTCCTGTGGCTCCGGCATCTCCAGCGAGCAGCGCCTGACGAGGCGGATCGCAGCGCACGCAGGTGGGACACCCACACCCAGCGCCAGGGTGCTGTTGCGTGCTGGCGGCGGCTGTTAGCAAGCTGCGTACCGCGCCTCCCCTAAATCGCGGTGGCGCCCGGCAGATCGGTACGCAGCGCACTACTACAGGACACCCTGCCCAGGTACCTGCCACCGCCTGACAAACGATCAAATGCTGTCACGCTCGTGCCGTTCCACTAGGGTACGTACCTGCACAGTAGCGCCGGTAGGGGCGCGGTACGTGTGCTGTACGGGTAGGGTCGCAGTGCCGCCCCGCGCGTCGCAAGTACACGCCCGTACTCGACGACCCTGCCATCCACTCCAGCTGGCACTCCAGCAGACCCAGCGCCAAGCGGCACCCGCTTTCCTCCATTTCCAGCGCTGCTCCTCCTCGCACTCCCGCTCACCTCGCTGACCGATTGCCCTGAATCGCCATCACTCTGGCCTCGAACCTGACGAGAACCTCGCCCCGACAAGCCCAAACGCTCCTCCTTGCAGCCGCTCCACGACTCGACGTCGCGAACCACAAGCCCAGCGGCGCGCGCCTCGTCCTCGGCTCTTCCTGCCCGAAACACTCAGATACGGAGCCTGCCGAAGCAGATCAGGAACCAGGGATTATTCCCCTTCCAAGGCGGTCGACCAGCGAATCCACCAGTCCATCTCATCCATCATCCCTTCGATATTCGGCGCCGCCAGTCACTGCTCCGTCATCCAGGCCGCAGCACCAGGGAGTCGCCCGAAACGCGCGACACGTCTTTGACGATTCTCATTCGCCCTTGTTAATCGGCAGCTTCCACTCGCTTCATCCCATTTTGGACTTTTTGGACCCTCTGGGCCGCCTCTTCCAGCACCGTTTAGGAGGCCGACCCATGTCCTAAACTACCGGTATGCTTACTGTTCTTTTCTCTTCTTCTCTTCTCTTCTCTTCTACTTCCTTTCTGGATTCTTTTCCTTTGCTCTATCCTTCTGTTCTCCCTCCAGAATCCTCCCTGATCCAGTGCCCTTTGATGTTGGCTGTGCTGCTGTGGATTTAATATACCAATAATGCGTCCTTGAATACCTCAGCAACAAGCACGACAATAACTTTATTCAACACACCTCATTCCCTAGAAAACCACCATCTGCGTCCATGTGTACTCAAGCAAAGGCATCTATAAGCTAATATTCGCCCATCATCAGGCTAGACCAGGCCAGGGCCCTCTTTTTGTTTTGTCCAACTCGATATTTGCCATACGCACCCGGCCCTTGTTGCTCACCAACATCACCTTGTCGAGTCCGCAATTATTTCAACTTAATATCCTGATATCGCATACCTTTGCCAACGTTTTCTTCGAGCGACCCTATCGCCCGGGCGACCATGGCTGGCTTTAACAGACCGATGAGCTTTTCCGAGAGGAGAGGAAGTTTGCTGAGTGAAGAATTGACGCTTAATACCAACAACTCGCTATTGCACCAGAGAGTCGAGAAACTGCCGCAGCAGAGTCGCCAGATGAGAGGGCCGCCTACGCCTAACATGCCTACGCCAGCGGCTGATTTCGACCAACAGCTGACGGGATCGGCTCCCGATCCCCCAACTCCAGCCGCGTCCCCCGGACCTGCACACTGCCAACCAGACTGGAGCAATGCCGCCGATGACGAAGACTTCTTCTTGGCCAAGGTCCGACAGCATTTTCAGAACTCTTCCGGTCCGCAGCGGACCAGAATTCTGGCTGATTTGTTGAACCTCTGCACGAGCCAACAGCTTAGCTTTGTTCACCAATTTGTCAGCCCATTATTGAAGAAGGACCCGTTCACCAGTCTTCCAGATGAGCTATGTTTACGGGTGCGAATTTACACATCCAGCAGCATTATGCAATTTCTTATTGCCTTTTTTCTCTTCCTGCTAACGAAGTTACAGATATTATCATTCATTGACGACCCCAAAGTCCTGGCGCGATCGTCGCAAGTCTCGAAGCGTTGGCGAGATCTCCTGAGCGATGACATGACGTGGAAGAACCTTTGCGAGAAGCACGATTATGGTCGCCGAATGTCGGAGGTCTCGCCCTCAGCTCCGATCATGACGACGCGATCCTCGGCCTACGCTGTCGATGTCGATAGCGAGATGTCCAGTAGCTTCCCGGGAGCCTTTCCCTTCACATCACACGCCCCAAGTTCGATGAGTTTTGAGAGCAGGAGGCCCAAAATACGTTCATACAAGTCCCACTTCAAGCAGAGATACCTCGTGGAAGCAGCTTGGAGATCTGGCGGCACAAGCATCACTCGCAATATTACACAGGAAGGAGGCGTGGTCACTAGCTTGCATTTGACGCAAAAGTACATCATTGTCGCCCTCGATAACGCCAAAATCCATGTCTTCGATACCGATGGCAACTCGATGAGAACTTTGCAGGGTCATGTCATGGGAGTCTGGGCTATGGTGCCCTGGGGGGATACTATGGTCAGCGGTGGGTGCGATCGCGATGTGCGCGTTTGGGACTTGAAGACTGGGTAAGTCGGCATCTGCGAATAGGAACCGCTTCAGCACGCTGTCTATTCCTCTTGTATTCACTTTATTAACCTAATGATAGTGCTTGTCTACATACATTGCGAGGCCATACATCGACCGTTCGATGTCTGAAGATGGCTGATGAGAATACCGCCATTTCCGGTTCTCGAGACACAACGCTGCGCATCTGGGATATCCGCACCGGATTATGTAAAAACGTCCTTGTCGGACACCAGTCAAGTGTACGGTGCCTGGAGATCAAGGGCGACATTGTAGTATCCGGGAGCTACGATACGTTTGCCAGAGTTTGGAGCATCTCAGAGGGAAGATGCTTGCAGACACTACAAGGACATTTCAGCCAGATTTATGCTATTGCATTTGACGGCAAGAGGGTGGCGACTGGGAGCCTGGATACTAACGTTCGAGTCTGGGACCCCATGACTGGGTAAGTTGCTCGTGCTATTGACTCCCCTCCTGACTTACGCCGGCATCGCTAACCACTTTTTTTTTTCCTCCTTGCAGAGAATGCCTTGCTATTCTCCAGGGCCATACATCTCTTGTCGGGCAACTGCAGATGAGGGGTGATACTCTAGTGACGGGTGGTTCTGATGGTTCGGTCCGAGTATGGTCTCTGGAAAAGATGTGCCCTATCCATCGCCTTGCTGCCCATGACAATAGCGTCACAAGCTTGCAATTCGACGACACTCGAGTTGTTAGTGGAGGAAGCGACGGGAGAGTTAAGATTTGGGATCTCAAGACGGGCCATCTTGTTCGCGAGCTGATTGCTCAATGCGAAGCGGTTTGGCGAGTTGCCTTTGAGGATGAGAAGTGTGTCGCATTGACATTGAGGCAAGGTCGCACAGTAATGGAGGTTAGTCTTCAACATCCACCCTCTAGATTGACTTCTCATCTTCTCCCGCGGTACTAATTTGGGAATAGGTCTGGTCATTTTCTCCTCCGGAAGAGATGCTTTACGATCGTCCCTTTTCGCTTCAGCAGCGTGTCCTCGAAGACGATCCCGACCGTCCAATGAGCGCGATGGCGTTTGATTACCGAGGCAATGATGTGACAATGGCCGGCTTAGGTCGAGATGCATCATCTCAAGATATGAGTATGGTGGACGCTGGCCCGTCGACAGCTCCGCTTCAAGGAGGCAACATGACTTTCTTCCACGACAATTAATCAGTGAATATTCCCTATATGGTTTGTTTTAATGCGACCTGATTCGGCTGGCGCAATGATGGGAACTATTTTTGGCTCTTACAAAGAGAGAGAGAGAGAGAGAAGCTGGAATCAAGCAGGATTCAAATAATGACGGAGTCAAGTTGTTTGGAGCGGCTGGCTCGCCCGCTTTGGCTTTTATATACATGGCGCGCGGTTCAGGTTATAGATCGCGGCGTGGATCTTGTGGGAAGCATATTTAATGGCGTTGCTGCATCATTTGGAACTTCGAGTATAGCTGGAAGAAATCGCATCACATATGGGCATGAAGATGGGGATGTTTATCAATTTGAAAGCGACTGGGTCGTGGAGCTTCCTTTGTTCTTTTTATGCTACAGAAGATTGGTTTTCTTTTTCTTTTTTTCTCTTTTCTCTTTTTTTTTGAAGGATGCACCAGTAAGGACGGGATTCTGGGCGCCCATAGCAGTTCTAGCGATAATACCAGGAATATAGGATTAGGTAGAGGTAGATCCGATGCGATACGGAGGGAGAGGGCCAATTATATTTTCATAGCCTCTCTAGATTAGAATACTCATACCCATCTATCCAGCTTTGATCCGAAGATTGAACAGCCTCTTGTCAAGACGTAATTTGTCTTTTGCGGCCGAGATCGAGTGGATACTGCGAGTCGTAGCCACATGTCGAAGAAGCGTCATTGACGTCATTGTTTTATTGTTTGGACAATAGGGCCGTCAGTTTCGCAAGAACGCCGAAACTTTGACCAATTGCGTCACAATGGCATAATATGAGAGCAATCTAAGTTGGATTTAGATTGCTCGAGGTAAAAAATAAAGTTCAATATAAATATAGGAGGTAGATACCTTAACCACCTTCATACCTACTTCCCTACCTATCTACCTACCTTTCCACCTATCTACCTTTCTACCCCTCAACCTATCCTTCTCTACGACAAAACCTCCTTCGCTATTTCGTTTTCCGCTAGATCCATTGCATATTCATTTCCTCCAAGATGATTTCTACAAGATCAGCAGCCAGACTACCGCTGTCTCAGAGCAGACTTGCTCTACGCACTCCGAAGCGCCAACCCATTCGTTTCCAGTCTACCTCTTCGACATCTTCGTCGTCATCAGCCACGGCTGCAGGCAATGGGTCGCTGGGAGCTGGTATCATTGGCGGCGTGGCCGGAGCAGCACTTTTCTACGGAATATATTCATTCACGCCTGCTGGTCGAACGGCTAGCAAGCTCAACAAAGCCGTGAAAGAGGCTGAGAAGAAGTACCAAGAAGCGGCAAAGAAGTTGCAGGCGAATACTCCAAGCTCATCACAAGCCGTCGATTCCATCAAGCAGTTTGCTTATTCTTACGTTGGATGGATACCTGGCGGCCGCGGTTTCGTGGATGCAGCATTCAAAGATTGGGAGACTGTACGGAAGGAACACGCTGAGGAGGCGGATAAGATTGTGAACGATGCGTATAAAAAATTCCAGGAGATTTCCAAGTCGGGTCTCAGTCTCGAGACCGCATCGCGCGCTTTCGACGCCCTTGCTGACCTGGCAAAGAAGATTGCTAATCTTACTGGAGATGCCCTCTCGGACGTGGTGGATAATCATCCTCAGCTTAAGGAGAAGCTCGGAGGTAATATCGATCAGCTGAAGCAAATGGGCGAGCAGTACGGCCCAGAGGCGAAAAAGCAAGTGGACGAGACTTGGAGCCAGGTCAAGGACATTTTTGCCGGGGGATTTAGTGCTACAAGCATAGCCAAGGCAAAGGAGCTCATCGACGAAAAGACGAAGCAGGTTCAGAAGCTTGGCGATGAAGCGTGGAAGAAGAGCTTGGAAGAAGCAAAGCCGCTTCTTGACAAGAGCCCCAAGGTCAAGGAACTAGTAGAGAATAATACCGATGCTCTGAAGAAGGGCAATATCAAGGAGCTTTTTGACAAGGTGCGCGATGCGGCCAAGTCTGGAGACTTGGGCGACCTGGAAAAATACGTCAACCAAGCGAAGCAGAAGATTGGGGACAAGGCCAGCGAGATGGGATGGGGATCCTTGAACCAGTATATGGACAAGATACCCCAAGGCAGCGAGATCTTGAGCAAGTTGGAGGAGATGGGCCGAGTTGCACAGGAGCATAAGGAGGAAGGGGAGAAGCTGTTGAAGGAGACGATGGGCGATATTCAGAAGGTGCTTGAGGAGAAGGGCAAGAAGGCGCAGGAGATTGCTGAGTCTGGGAAGAAGAACTGAATGATGACGGCCTCTTCTTACTCTATTACATATCATAACAGAACTTGGTGAGTGTCGCTCGGTAAGAGTCACCACTTGATAATTTTGCCGTTGCTAGATTGGCTCGCCAATAGTCAACAGCACATGCGATGGCTATCCTGTTAAGATGAATATGAAATTGTACTCTGCTTTACAATCTGAGTGGTTGGGTTTTATTATAGAGTACTTCACTATTCATAGGCTAAATAATCATTGTAATGCTACATTTCAAAAGAAACACACCAATAAACTGGGGGGTACACTCATAGTCTCGTAAGTTCGCTTGATATTATTCATTCGGATGGTTCTAAGGCCAGCTGTTAACACGGCAGTAAATATTACAACTTTCCTAAAGGACTGCCACCTGCGTAATTATACTAAATAATCGCCTTATCTATCTACTTAATGGTATTCGTGTCGGCCTGCATATGAAAAGGGAGTATTAGCTGTGTAAGTTGCGTTTCAACAGCTTACAAAGATGGCAGTGGTCGCGGTTCCGACTTGGGGATCAGTGGACACATGGTCGAGTCTCGGTCAATGTAAGCTTTTCATTGCATGGGTCTATTCTGAAACTAACCGTTATCACTGGGATACATATAATGGAATATGGCGGCTTGCTGCATGGTCTGTCCCAGACGAAGCCCTGGGATTTTGCAACAATTGGCAAATACCTAGGCCAAATAAGTTAAGTTGTGAGATAATTATGCCGAATAGTTCCTTTACTTTGAAAGAGACATGAGGTCTCGTATATAGCGAATGAAGTCAGAGCCTGTGATGCCTGCCAAGGTCCTTTCCGGGAACTTCGCGAAGCACTTAAATAATGGAGGCTGAGCTTGATGATTCATGGTATATGCCGCTGCATGTTGAATAATAGAAACTATCTGAGATGTATATTTGAGATACTCACTACCATGGCAACGAAGAGCCTACTAGATAATATAAAGCGCTACTTGGCTTATGACAATAATTGCGGCGCAGATGCTGGTAAAGGCTTAGCCGCCGTTGCGGCCCTGACTAACTCGCAGCGAACGAAACGCTGCATTTAGCCTGCTGATCCACGGCAAAGACACACGTTGCGCATTGCTTGGATAAGAGTGGATGTCGTCTTCTGGAATGTAACCACGGCTTCTTTTTTCACGTGGACCTGATGATGGTTTTCGGCCGATTAATTTACGGCTACGACTCCGGTTGGTCTGATGATCAGTCTCGGTGGGTGGCAATTGCAGCAGCTGCCAGGCTGCATCTCCCCCTTATTGCTTGCTCTTTGCCGTGATACTACCCAACTCGACACTTTCAGTAGCTCTTTTAGGCAACTCTCATCTCATGGATATGACCTGGTGATAAGAGGTGGCTCCCACAAGCCGAAGCTTCTTTCCCAGGGATCCCAAACTTGGAAGGCCCGATCTCGTTGGCTTCGGTTCTTAAAGGAGCGAGAGTCGGAAGTTTAAACGCTTGTCATTTTGTTATTCTCTGTGTTAAGCGAATATTGTCGACCAGCATAGAAAGAAACAAGAATGATATTGTTGACTTCGTTATTGCTGCTGTTGGCAGTGCCATCTTGTCAGAGTCTGTTGAAGACGCAGGCCAAGGAACAGCACGCTGGAGAGTATGCGCTGAGACCGCTGAGTTTTACCCGGAACGGAACTTTTCAGGTTTCTATTTTTGAGGATCTTCACTTTGGAGAGAGTGGGTTTACTATCTGTTGATTTTGCCGTGATACTTGAGTTTGAGTTGTGTAGCTAATCACTGATAAAAGATGCTTGGGATACGTGGGGCCCTCAGCAGGATATCAATTCAGTTGGCGTGATCAACAAAATCCTCGATCGCGAGTCCCCTGGTCTTGTCGTCTTGAATGGCGATCTTATCACTGGAGAGAACACATTTCTCGAGAATAGCACTGTATACATCGACCAGATTGTCCAGCCTCTTGTTGAACGGCGCCTGACTTGGGCATCGACATATGGCAACCATGATCACAACTTCAACATATCCGGCGAGGGAATTCTGGAGCGAGAGCAGCGCTGGCCGAATGCTCGCACCACCAACATGGTTCCTGGACGAGATGCCGGTGTTACCAACTACTACTTGCCAGTATACGCGGCGGGATGCAGCGAGATAGATTGCTCCCCCGAACTCTTGCTCTGGTTCTTTGATAGTCGCGGCGGCTTCTACTTCCGAGAGCTCAATCCAGACGGAACCCAGCGCGGCCAGCCGGACTGGGTTGATACCAGCGTCGTGGACTGGTTTCAGCAGACTAACCAACGATTCATGTCAAAGTATAGGCGGGTCATACCATCACTGGCTTTTGTGCACATCCCCACATACGCCTCACAGGCCCTGCAGGTAGAGAATGGACGAAATAGTGTTGACCAACACTACCAGCCGGGGATCAATGACGACTACCCCGTTGCTACTCAAGCACAAGGATGGTGCCCTGATGGGAGAGACGACGGGACATGCGAATATGGCGGACAAGATGTCCCTTTTATGCAAGCCATTACTTCCACACCCGGCTTGATGGCTGTGTTCTCGGGCCATGATCACGGTGCCACTTGGTGTTATAAATGGGACCGTCTAGTTCCAGGAATGACGGTTGAGGGTACAGGAGTCAACCTCTGCTTCGGACAGCATTCCGGATATGGAGGATATGGCAACTGGATTCGTGGGTCACGACAGGTCCAAGTTGACCTCAGGACTCTCCGCAGCGCCACCTGGGAGGCAGAGACGTGGATTAGGCTGGAGAGCGGCGATGTTGTGGGCTCTGTGTCACTGAACGCGACGTATGGGAGTGACTGGTATCCTGCCACCCCGGACAACATGACGTATTGTCCGACTTGTAACTACTCCATTATTACTCCGGGGCCAGGATCAGGGGCCTTTCAGAAGAAGCTCAATGTGCGCCGCCGGGGTTGAGTTGTTGAGTGCCGAGTGCCGAGTGTTGAGTGTTGGAACAGTACTTGGTTAATGTCGATTTTTGTTTAGCATGTATTGGGTAATTGAGGGGTTTCTAATGTTATTGGGGTAGCAGCTTGAGTGAATATAAATTCTTTGAACGCATCTGGAAGAAGCCTTTGTTCTTTGAGGCTAGTGAGTGGAAGGGGGGAATACTTTGTTTGAAGTGGAATCCTTGATTTCTTTGTAACAGAGGGTACTTTTTGTGCTTTTTCTTTAACATGCAGATATAGACATTGTTGTGATACTTTTGTTAAACGTGCAGATATAGGCATTGTTGTGATCTTTCTCTTTAACATGCAAATATAGATATTATTATGTCCATGTTTTGCTTCCGGTGTACTTTTTGTCTCCTGACAAACATTAGTCTATACTAAAATACGGCAGTACTTTGTGATACACAACAGGAATACCATATTTGTTAGAATCCAAGATCAGACTCAGAATCTCAAGGCCCAAGAGGATTCAAATATTCTGTGATAAATAGTTTATCTCTCCATCTGTTAAGGTACATTTTAATACTAATCGCCCCAGGGCCACCCAGCGTGAGTTGTGAATTTTATATATCGTGGGGAATATACTTATTGAAACCGACGGCGGGTTTGTATCAAACTGCAGAAATCGCCGGACTTGGGGCATATCGGCACTTTAATGTTTATGTAGTGCTGAACGAGGGTATTGTCTTGGTGAATTTGGGACTCTTCCTTTAGGATCTTACCAAGCGGTTTGCAAATGGTTCCTTACTCTCACTGGGTGACTGCATTACCAATACTACTGGATCTCCATTGGTTATTCGGGGCCTCATAACATACAAATCAAGAGATTGAAAAGAGGGAGCTGAAAAGAGGTAGCAATATCTACAAAAAGGACCATCGTTGTTTATTTGTTAGGTGGATATGTACTAATAGTCGCTCTATTGTAGCTCGATTGAACAAAGCCTTTATGCTATGTATATATTACGGAGACGGCTTGATGTCACCTAGTAATCAACTCTTAGTGGGACTGCGCTATTTCGTGGAGATGTATCTTAAAGAAAAGTTTTTATTGCACAGAGATTGAAGAAGCGGTGGACGCGCCATGAACAAGGCTTGAAGGCCCTAGCTTCCGTTCATTTCCTGTCTGTTTGCGAAAATGAATAGCTTCCTTTACAAAAGGAGTGGGTTTCTTTGTCCCTAAAGTGAACATTTTGAACGCCTTTGTTCGTTCAACAGAGTGATTGCACTGTTCATTTCTTCACTGCGCTCTCCGGCCTCGAACTCTCAAATATATAATGCCCTCCTCTCCCCGCTCTTACACTCGTCCAATACTCTCAGCCTCAACAAACATTCACATCAGCCATCACTCTTCCCTTCAAGGAACACACAGCGGCAAGCCGGCTGGTATTCTGGGCTCAGCAAATCAAAGCGAGAAAATAGTCTCGATTGATTTGCCGGCTCTAGGGAGGATTGATGGCAGAACAAAAGTCTACTTTTTTTCTACGGCAATTTTGAAGCAGCTCATAGCTTGTAAATGACTGAATTGAATTCTTTTATCGTGGAGAGTTGCATCGAAAGCTTTCAAAAATGGGAAGAGAATATAGAAGGACCATCTCAAAGACTTCTCCATTTGCTCAGTCGGCTGCTCGTTTCCAGAAGACATGATAACCTCTCAGATTTTATCAGCAACCTCGAAGCTTTCGATAGCAATACAAACATACAGAGCTATCTCAAAGACTTCTCCGACTGTTTGGCTGGAGGGTCGTTTCTCGAAGATCTTCAAATAATTATGCCTTTTCTTCACAATGTACTGCTTAGCAACTCCAACCGTCAGTGTACATATGCCACAAAGGATCTTCGAAAGGATTTGGGCCTACAGTGGAAACGAGAAATGCGGGAGAGTCGTTTGCAATTCTTGGATAGACAAGATCAATCGGTTGGGCGTCATCCCGTCATCAGCATCTCACCTCGGCGTGGTTGAGCCTGTCTTTACCGAGCCCCATGTCTCATTTCCATTCCCTTACCACTTCCTACTCCTTTTGCTACTAATAGCCCCCCTGGTTCACACATATCGTGGTGGCAGAGGTTATAGCGAGAAACCTCTCTCAGCAAAGATTATCAAGACTATATCATGGTTGAGATACAAACTCTACTCGTTTGTATACAATGCCATTCTCAACTGCGCCAGGCCAATACTTTCCATCAACATCTTGCCACGAAAGATTATCGTCACAGACCCTTCTATGCAACATATATTTAAGATAAACCTCAAGACCACCTGCAGACATGGCTCGTATCATCCTCAAAGACTTGGATACATCCATTGAAGCTACTCCCTCACCTACGCGGGTCGAGCAACATTCACGAGTTTATATTATAAGAACACTGAAAATGAGTTGATATTGCTTGTGGTTTGGGAAGCTGGGGTATCTGCATCATGGACATGGGAGACATGGGTATACTTAATTGTAGACAGAAATATAGGATTTCATTGTGTTTATATAAATTTTTACTTGTAACAGTAACAAATCTGCTGTGTTTTTGGATTTTCTATTCCCCTTCGTCTTAGTGGTAGGTATTATGCATTGTGCCTTCTCAAGACTTCGTTATGCTAATAGTAGATGTACGAGCAAAGCCTTTGGGAAAGGAAATCAATGCGAGCTGTTTTACATGTTTATAAATAAGTTGAACTTTGGACAAAATAAATTTACACACAATCAAAACCTGTATTGACCCTTAAGAGAATGGCGCTCTCATACAGCTGCATGCTTCATTACCGCTCTAAGCTACCCGGAATTAGAGCCGAGTGTGGCGCCGAGCAGTGACATTGCATCACTGCTAATCGATAAGAGCATCCCGGTCCAACGACAACCTCGCTTCATCATCTTCCTGGCCTGACCATTGCATCTTCCAACTTTGCCAGCCCTGTCGTCACCACGGCTGCTTATTTATTGACAAGCCAAATAAGAAAAGATTACTTAGATTATATACCGCTGTGCTTGTGTTGCCGTCAACAACCTCCAACATGACGGATCACGAGAATTCGAGCATCAAGCACAGTGACCACCTGCTCTTGGTAAATAAAGCCTCCAAGCTCTGCTTTCCCCTACATGTGCCCGATTGCTTATCTCCTTTCAAAGGACCAACCTCTTCTACGCCTCCCCAACGAGCTGCTACGCAAAAACTTCCGAGCTGCACACTTCGCCATCGAAAAGGACACCTCGACGCTCAAGACGCTCCTCCGAGACTCGGCGACCGCAGCGCTCTCCGGCCGGGCCACCCAGCAAGATGTACTGAAGAATCTGGACGCCATGATCAGCCGCATGCGAGGCGTGAAGCGCAAGCTGGGTGCCTACGCCGACGAAGAAGCACGGCTGCACACCCAGACCGCGGCGCGGATACAGCACCTTGATGAGCTGTATACGATGCACAGCATCGAAGATGTCAAGTACGAGGCTTGGAGTAGGAAGAGGCTGGATCGGCTGCTGGCTGATTATCTGCTGAGGCATGGGTACAACGACAGTGCGAAAGAGCTGGCAAGCGAGAAGAACATGGAGAATCTGGTGGATGTCGATACGTTTGTTAGCATGAGCCGGATTCGGGAGGCGTTGCTGAATGGGAGTGTTGCTGAGGCGTTGGCTTGGTGTACTGAGAACAAGAAGGAGCTTCGAAAGATGGAGGTGAGTTTAGCTGCGATTGCTTGTTTGTGCCTCTTTGAACTTGACAACTAAATCTATCCTCTTTTATTTACAGAGCAAGCTCGAGTTTATGCTTCGATTGCAGCAGTACATAGAACTCATCCGGACTCAGTCGCAGCCGAAACTTGTCGAGGCTATTGCGCATGCGAAGAAGTACCTCATGCCATACTGGGGCACATACCCCAAGGAAGTCAAACAGGCATGCGGCCTCCTAGCCATCCCTCCCGACAGCTCATATGGTATATACAGCGATTTATACAAGAGCACTCGCTGGAACGAACTCGCCGACCTATTTACCACCACCCACAACAGCCTTCTATCCCTACCCTCCGTGCCATTGCTACACGTGGCTTTGTCATCAGGACTATCGGCCCTCAAGACGCCAGCATGCCATTCCTCCCATGCCGACGACATCTACAACGACACAGGCTCTTCTTCCGCACTGGGCCACGGCGTCTGTCCCATCTGCTCCACCGAGCTCAACGACCTGGCTCGCAATGTTCCCTATGCGCACCACACCAAGAGTCATGTCGAGCACGACTTGTTTTTGCTGCCCAACGGCAGGGTGTACGGCAAGGAGCGCTTGGAGGATTACGCCAGGAAATCGGGCTTGTCTCCTAATGATGTTAAGGACCCTGTGACTGGGCAGACTTACCCGATGGATCTGCTTAAGAAGGTGTTTATCACCTAAGAAAAAGACCATCGGGCATCCTGCCTTTCGGTTGTGGGTTGATACACAAGTATCAAAATTGTGTTCCATTCAAGGTTCTCTTACATGATAGTTTCTACTTTGGCATTAGGGAATGGATTAGCTTGGCTTTCTGAAGTATATGGAGTAGTTTGGCTTGGAGTTTTCTTGGTATTAGTAGCATGGATGTTTTTTTCATGGGACCTAGAATTTTAAGTATTTTTTTCTTTCTTTTCTCTGCATCTCTAGCCCCTCGTTTTTTGCTTTGAAATCTGGATATTGAACAGTAATACACATCCTGCAGAAATTCTCAATAGTTTTGCGCTCACTTGATCGTAGGCGTGTAAGTAATTATGCTACATCACCAGGCATGTGAAGACGTACACATGAACAAAAGTATCATTGACCTACACCCAAAGAACTTGTGCAATATCATTACAAAATACCGAAACTCACATGATACGACCCGAGAAGAAGAATGAAAACGGAGCAATCTCGTAGAGCCACAGCCTCATTTAACACGTACGTAAAGAGTTTACCTTGCCAACTGGTCAAGAATACAGCCACGACCTTTGCCTAGCATTGACATTTGACATTTGCCCACACTTTTGTCATAGAACTAACTTTTTTTTGTTGATTTACCCTCCCTATGAATCCCATTTGCCCGTTCCCATTTGCGTTTTTCCATCCTAACAATCCTATATTCAAGAATAACCAGATTTACAAAAACCAAAACCAAACGCAAGCAAAAGAAGCCAGGCAAAAGCATCATTTTTGAAAGAAGAAAATCCACTTGAAAAGGATCTCACAAAAATCAGTGAGTGATATAGCCCAGTCTGGACACCGTTTCGCTTCCCATCTTCTTTCTGCCCTCACACACGTCATTATTTCCTCCTCCTCCACCCTTTTTTTTTCCGATTACAGCTCGAGCGTTGCACGAAGTTGACGGCATGGATAATTGAAATATCCATGCTGCCTACTGATGTTTATATAAGAAAAATAAAGCACGATGAATCAGAAGGGAAAAAAAAAGTCAAGAGAGATAAGAAAATGAGACTGAAAAATAAAATCTGTTATAAAAACACACGACGACCCAAAAAAAGGTTGAAGTTAAAGAAAAAGGCATAAGCATAAGAGATACAGAGACGGAAAAGGAAAAAAAGGAGGAAAAATTAAGAAGAGGGCTGTCATTCAATACACGGATGAGTAAGATCCCTCAGCAGCAGAACCCTATCTGCTGTTCCCTCCAAATGCAAAATTACCAAAGACGCCGCCTCCCCCTCCAGGTGTCATCGGTCCTCCCATTGTAGGCAGACCATTCGTATTATGGGTCTGGGCTGGGGTTGTCGCGAGATGCGCAGGGCCCGTATTTGGAGTGCTAGGCGTGTTTCCGTTTTGTCCGCCGTTCTGGTCGCCCTGGCCCATCATCGATATGGGCAAGCCGACGTCAGGGATGCCAAGTCCCCAGACTTTACCAAGATGGTCGTCAGGGATCTCGCCGTTGAAAATCCGGTCGCGCATCTGGAAAAACACCTTGCCGGTAAGGAGAGAATCCGAACCAGCCTGGTGAGCAGACCCGATTCGCTTAACCTTCAGAGTCTCTGCAATATTCTCCAGGCCGGATTTGTGCTCAAACTTTTGCAAGATTTCAGTGGTACCAGGATCGCTGGGAGTAAGCAGCCCTGAGTTGTGGAGCTTGATGGCATATTTCATCAGATGCTTTACATCATACGTCATGGGGAAGTACAGCTTCATCTTGCGATCAAAATCGATCTCGTCGTTTGGCAGGGGCATGCAGATGAGCAGCTTTGTGAGGTAGCCAAAGTCGTAGCCGCCGTGGAAGGATATCCATCGAACATTATCGAAGCATACCAAACCTGACGGTATTAATAGGGAGGCGAACTGGTGAGGGTCGATGCCGTCGCGCTCAAGGAGATTGAAATCAATGCCAGCCTGCTGGAGAGACTCAATCGACTTCTCATTATACATGTCGTCTTTTAGAGAGAATTTGAAGTTGAACTGCCATGAGTAAGGAAATGGTCCTTGCCCAATATGCCGCCTTGTCGCTGCACTGAGTCCCAGCTCGGGGCCAGGTCGCGCCGGTGGTGTCTCGCCATCTTCGTTGAATAATGTGATTCCAATTTGGATAACCTTTAACATATCGACGTTTGTTCGTAGACACTGGTAATGGTAGTCGCTCTTTCCTCTGAAACCGCCCATAGGTCTTGATACAACGCCGGGAAACTCCGTGTCCTTTTTCATCCCCCCACCAGAGTTAGCTGGGTCCTTGTATACAAGAAAGCGAAAGGCAGACAATCGTGAACAATCAGTGGGATGGCAATGGCTGCCAGCTCGCAAAAGAATTCCAGTCATCAACAAAAACTCACCATGGCAATGTAGGGGTATTTATCAATGATATCTCTCAGCACAGCCATCTCCTCTTCCAGGTTGTGTTTCCAGACTTCGCGTATCCTGCCTTTATTTGACTGCTGCGTCCGCATTGTGGGATGGTCCATCAAGGAATTGTGCTGTACCTGGCCGCCATGCTGTTGCTGCTGCTGCTGCTGCTGTTGTTGCAGAGCAGCGGCCGCGCCCGGCCCATGCGCAAACCCCATCCTTGCGCTCTGGCTGCCGAAGCCCGTGTCTGGGAAACCACCGGCGCCATTGAGGGCAGCGGCGTTGAAGGAGTTTATGTTATTCGGCGTAAACGGATTCAGCTGGGCGTTGGCATTGAGATACTGATTACCCCCCAGAGGCCCTCCCTGTGGCTGGCCGTGAGAGGGGAATCCAGGCTGGTGGAAAGGCGCGCCGACGCCGGGCCCGCCGCCGAAGGCCCGGAGCTGTGGTGGCATGGGACTGGGAGGAAAGGGCGGTTGGAACTGGCCAAAGGGTGGAATCCCAGGATCGGGATGGGATGAGAATGGAGGAGGGCCAGTCGAAACGAAGGACGAGGGGAGTTGATGATGGAAGGGGGGCGGCTGGTTGTAGCGTCCTCTTCGGTATCGCGGGGTGGTCGAGAGCGGTCTCTAACGTGACGAAGGGGGGCGAGGTCCTGAATCTCCACGGCCTCTTCGGGCTGGCATTGGGTACGAAGAGGACTGTGGGCGCAAACAAGAGCTGTTGTTCTCGCCTCTGCGGCTGTCAACTCTCGAGTCAATGGCGAGACGCTGGCTCGAGACGGGGAGCGTCGTCGGAGCGATAAGGATGTTGGCGATAGACAGAGCTAGGTACAGATGAATGCGGTTGGCCGAGCAGGGATTTCTCGTCACCTGTCGTTCCTCTTCTTTCTTTCTTTCTTTTTTTTGTGTTTTCCTTTCGTCTCTTTTTCTCCCTTCGGGACACCCTTCAGAATAATCGGTAACGAGATACTCGTATCGTTGATTAGCGCTCAGTGGTACACCTTGCAGAAGAGGAAAAGTATAAAAATAGCAGAGCAGCTGGATAAAAGAACACGATCACTGGTGGCCTCGTTTCTGGAGGAGGTGACGGAAGCGAAAGCGGTACCGCCCAGCAAATAGCCGTAGATGGCCCGTGCGCCGCATGCCACCTTTTCTCGGCCCCTGCGTTATTCCGGCCCCCCCCAAGGAACTACCAGCTGCGGAACTTCCAATCAAGCCTCGTTCGATATCACCAGTAGAGTCCAATTGCAAGCACCTCAATTGGCACCATGCTTGCTACAAGGTACGGCAATGGCATTCTGTGGTGCTTCTTCTCCGATGCAGCTGAGTGACTGACCTTTCAACCCCGCCTCCAACAGAGCACTGCGAATGGCCCACGGGCCCAAGCCCAACATCACCGGCTTCAACATGCGCGCCTTCAAGGAGGCCACCGGTCAGCCTCGATACGATCCTTGGGAGAGAGCGTTGGTCTACCCTATTTCCTTTTGAAAATTGTTCCGAATTACAAGCAGAGGCTCCAAGAAGAGGCAACGGAGAGGAAGGCTAACCAGAGATGATTCATACAGCGAGGCATGGCGATACAAGGGCACCTTTTCCCGCTGGAACAGATTCAGAACCGGTTTCCCCGGCCTGGGAATCGCCACTGTTGCATTTGCTGGATACTGCGGCTACGAGTACCTGTTCTTGAATGACGAGCACCATGGCGAGGGTCACGGCGAGGGTCACCACTAAAGCGTTGTTTTGTTCTGCGAGGGCGGCATTGTTGGAAGATGGTTTTTTTTTTTTTTCAGAGGCAAAGCGGTGTGGAGGAAGAAGAGAGAGAAAGACGGAAAGGGAGCAAGTGTACATATATCTCTTGAAAAAGAAAGACAAAGAAAAAAAAGAGCTTGGGAGAAGATTTGCGTTGGACAAAGAATCCACACAAATATAAACTCAATTTAAGAATACCATGCAAAGGAACTCTGCGATACGAAATGCTAAGTGCGTGCTTATGGTTGTGATCACTAACGACGGGTTAGAGTACTTTTCATTGAACAGATAATTTGCAATAGATGGATTGCGGTAAGCTTGGCTACTACCTACTAGTACATGTATAGAAGAATGAAGATAACATAGCACATTCACATTGTCAACTAAGCAAAAAACAAGAAATTGGTGTGTTTGGGTTCTCCAAAAAAATGGAAAAATTTAATCATATTTTCCTATCATAAAGTCTACGTCTCTCATATAAAACGCTAGTTTTCATTCTTTGCTTTCAGGGATACAACTCAATAGCTGGCGCTCTCAATCTCTTATCATATTCTTTTTTTTTCCATAGAGCTCAATTCCAGCAGACATGCCTCCCTCCATTGTGTATCGCGCGCATGGTGAAAGAAAGGGGGAATAGGAGAAGAAGAAAAAAGGGTAAAAAGGGGGGGGAATGATGAGGGGTTGAGATCAAGAGAAGATGAGAGAAGTGAAGCGAAAAAGAAAAAAAAAAAAAAACAAAAAATAAATAGATTAACAAAAAGAGGGACAGGAAAAAAGAACAAGAAAAATGGTCATCATAATAAATAGAATCCGACTCCATGTTTCATGCCAGAACATCGTTTCGTAACATCGGCTATTTGTAAGAAAACACCCAGACATGCCAAAAAACTTGAAAGTACGCGGGGGTATGCGATGCTATTGCCCAACGCCGTTGACGACGTCTAGGACCTCTTCGACAGCCTCTTCCAGCTCGCTGACTCTCTCCTTGAGAGTCTTGTTTTCGGCTTTCAGGAGGCCCACGGTGTCCCAGGCGATGCTGGCGTCTTGGCCCTGGCAGTTGCGACATCCCTTGATATCCCTATCGGGATCTATCTTGAACAGCTTCTGGAAAGTGGTCAGCTGTGGCGGTTGGGAGTTGCGGACTGGTCGGTTTGCTCCAAATGTTGATGTCCGTGAAGGGGGTCCGGGCGGCGCGGGACCCTCTACGTCCGAGATGATGCTTAGCGCCGTGTTGGTAGGACTGCGAGGACGAGAGAAGATGCTGGCGGCTTCGACGCTATCTTCGTCCGTCTCGAAACTGAAATCGGTCTTGGAGGTCTCACCGCTTCGCCTCCATCCGCGTCTGCGTTGTTGGTCTTCTTCGACGCAGAGGTCTTCCGATATCGATCCTTCGGATGGCGTCAAAAATTTGTCTCTCGCAGCTGCTCGCTCTTCCATTCTCAATCTCTTCTCTTTGTTTAGTTCTTCCATTAGCGTCTGCATCTCGCTCTCGGTCTCCGCTAGCTTCTGAGCCATGCCCTCGAGCTGCATCTTGAGATGCCGCGTTCTGGTGTCGGCTTCGGCTTTCTCGTCATCAATAGCCTCCTTTTCGGCTATCATTTCCTGGATCGTGGTGGCCTGGCGCTTATAGGCGGTTTGGTATTTCTTGAGAAGGCCAGTTGCCGTCTGCTGCAGATTCATAAAGGCTGCGGGTGAAAAAGTTTGCCCGTCCGGAGGGTTGCCTTTGGGGAAGAGCGACGTTTCGATATTGAGACCGATGAGCTCGTCGTTTTGCGGCACCACGACGGGCGCAGGGGCGAGGGCTTTGATGGCCGGCATCTTGGAGGCGATGAAGGAGAGCGTTGAGTTGCGAGGAGACGAAGGAGAAGCGGTATTGGACCTGTTGCAATCGCTATGGTTCGTCACGCGTCTATCTTGACCGACTTCTCCAAAAGAGGTGCGACGCGTCGCAAAAGTCGGACTTTGATTCTCGGAATGCGAAGAGTCTGTCGACGGTGATGCTGATTGCGCTCCGGGGGCTTGCCCTGCTCGTAAAGGAATGTTGCTACTGGTGGTATTGCTGGAAAAGTCTGATCTCGACCTCGAGTGGCCTCTCTGAAGCTTGGGATTATGCCTCGGCTTCACAAATTGCGACAAGTCTGGACGTCCAGCGCAGTCTTGATAGGAGATGCTGGTAGATTGACGGAGAGGAGATTGTTGTTTCGGAGGAGATGCAGGTCCCACATTGAACAGGGCGTCTCTTCGGTCGACGACGAGGCGAGGATTGGGACGAGCGCTTGGGGTTGCTCGAGGTGTCGATGGGGAGTCTAGGGCCAAGCTTAAGCTCGGTGAGAGAGGAGGAGTTTGAGTCTGCTCATACCCCTGGCCGGGGGTTGCTGTCGAGCTGCCCATTGTACCACTACCTGGTAGGATTTTGCGCTGGCGCGGTGAAGGATACTAGCAACGGAGTGGAGATTTGGGCGGAATATTGGACCAGACCAGCGACCAGCCCCCCAGTATTTCGCGATCGTTACCGATGCTAGACGGACGCCACAGCGAACTTGTTTCCCTCTAGCGGCAGCGCTACAGAATTTCGCTTTGGCTCGAGGCAATCTCTCTGTTACCGTACGGCTGGCGGTATTGGCTGTGGTGGAAGAAGTGGGCGCGTGGACTGCCGATTTGCCTTTGCAGGAAGGTGAAAGGCCCCCCAAGTCCAGCCGGAAGGGATACTAATCACGGCGAATTCCTCAGGGCTCGAGGGACTGGCGCTGGGGAAACGTGACCCCAAGATTTCGGCGGTCCCCTTGAATCAATCCGACAGTCGGCGCAAACTGCCAGCGTCGATCCTACTGTCTGTCGCGAATTAGCAGTTGCTCGTCGCTAGCTGTCGACCGGCCCGGCTCCACCGAAAGGCAATTCAGAGCAGCGGGATGTGCCTGTAGATGCAGAATGCACATGCTCAGTAGCTATGCAGACGTACTTGTACTAGTATGCAAACGTAATGCACGCCCGGCTGCCAGGGCGCGACGCTCTGTCTTTGGTAAAGCTGCTGCGCCGTCCTGCAGGTTCTATGCACAGGATGCTGTGAATGGCGTAGCGGTCACGCACAACCTCGACTCATGCAACAAGGTCCAGTCTTTTTTTTTTCCTCTGCTCTTGGCAACGCTTGTTGACCCCCTTGGCTTATTTTTCTTCGCTGCGGTGCCTCTTCGCCCCGGCGGATCTCGTCGCTCCGTGGCGACCAAAACAAACGTTGTTTCAATGGGCACGTTATCACTGATGACGCCTAGACGGCAGCTGCTGCGTGTCTCAGACGCACCCGGTCAACGGCATGTGAGAGGCCGGCCTGGAATGCTGATACGCCGGACGTCAGCTACTGACTGGGCGACAGACGGCCCACTCGATCAGACGTCAAGCCCTGCCAGCGGATGCACAGAGTCTGCAGTGCGTACGGAGCAGTACAGCAGGAATGCAGCAGCACAGTACCTGCGAGCACGAGGCCCTGCGGCATGGACTGAACATGCGGTATGTACCTACAGGACGAGCCTCTGCGTGTCTGTCCGTCACTCGCTCGCTTGGCCTGTCCGTGGATCCGCGCGGGTCCAGCAAAGTCTCCCCTCTCCCCGGCTTACTGGAGGTGCTAGCAGCGGTGGATAGCAGCTGTGCAGTACAAGTACAAGCGTTATGGCAAAGGCGGTCAAGCGAGGACCAAGGAAGAAGCACATAAGCAGAGAAGAGAGGTGAAGAAGAGAAGAGAAGAGAACAGAGCAGACACGCAGATTCGCGACGCCGACAGCGGGCAGGGGCCAGGGCCAGGGCAGCTATGCAGCGCCGTCTTACCACTGACTGCGTCCCTGACTGTTCACATTTGCCTGCGCAGCTCCAGCGCCCCGGGCCAATGACGGCACATGGACGCGGCCGCGCAACGTGGCGGTGGGAAGGCCGTCCAGGTCAGGTCCTGGCCCGCCATGCACTCAATCTGAACCGAACCCGACAGAAAGCTTCTGCTGCAAATCCAAAGCATGTGCTCCGTCCTGGCAACGGCCTGCCACGAGATTGGCCGCCTCGGCGTGCCTGGCTGCTGCACCAGCGCTCTGGTCTGGCGGAGGTGTGGTGGGGTGGGGGGGATCTTCGGCGTCCAGCGTTTCCAGCCAGTCCGGAGCAGCTCCGGGCCTCGAAGCTCGCCAAGCTGCCTCAGGTACACTACATGTGCTGTAAAGCAGCTGCCTGAACTGCTGCGCTGGCAAGCTGGCAGCCCACTATCGCAGCCGCCACTCCAGCGCTCCAGCAGTCCCCGCTATCTGCTACCCCACTCCATATTCTGATGTGCGTGCCATACACGTTTTGGTACTCGTCTACTCCGTACGCAGCTCGTAATTCTCTCGGTGGCTGGGCTTGGCTTGCCACAAGTCTCAGCCACATACTGCATGCAGCTATACGCAAGGTCTGATATAGCAAACGCTGGCGTAGAGCATATCCAAACCAATAGAAATCGGCGGAGGCAAATCCAATGTAGACTCTAAAACAACAGTCCCCAGAAGACTCAACGATTTCCTTTGCGTGTTTCGCAGTATGGCTCTATGAGAGGGATTTTGAAGACTCAACTGAAGGCCATCAGGTATAGAGTGTATTTTTTCTTACCTGAGTTGTCAATTCGCATCCTTATTGAGTTGTCTGTGCATGAATGGCCGCTCTATAGACATCATGTTAACTCGTCGTGATAGCAGCCAGTTTGATTCGAGTCTCTGCTGAATACTAAAAGTGTAAATGTAGATAGACTGCATGTAGGCATCTAGCATTGAAGCCTCTTTTACAACTCTAGAACCGTTGCCTTTTGTAGATACTAGAAACTTGATACAACAAACTTGCTCGACTTTTCCATGCATTCTACTTCTTTCCGAGCTCTTCCTTCCAGTAACCAAGCAATCTACCATTCCTCTCGAGGCAGTAACCACACTCTTTTACACACGAGCATCAAGTTAATTAGTTCACATACATCTTTACAAATCTTTCTTAATTGTCCTCCCCAAGAAAAGGGGAAAAGAACACAAAGCCACAGTCATTTCCCACAAGACAAGTTTATAAACTCACCACCATCGTTTCCAATCCTGACCATCCATTCTCTCGCTTTGTCACTGATCCAAACCGCTACTTCTCCTACTCTCCTCTCCTCTCCTCTCCTCTCCTCTCCTCTTCTCCCCTCCCATCATGGCAAACACCGCAAAACTCGCTCGAAAGCGCTTCAAACATCTCTCCAGCCACCTCCTCATCTACTTCGTCCTCTCCTGGTCCGTAGCCAACTTCGTCCTCGTCCTCTTCTCCACCGTCGCCTGGATCACCGCCCGCATCCGCGTCGTCAACGGGCCCTGCAACAATCAAGGCGTCGGCTGCGACTTCACCCGCTGGGGGTTCTACCTCTTCACCGCAATCAGCGCTGCCATCAGCTCCACCACTGCCGCCCTCATGGCCCTCAACACGCTCTTGCGCCCTCGGAACTCTACTCTCGACCCTGTATGGGTCTTTCGCGGCGTCTTCTTCACGCTGATTCCCCTCATGACCATGGTGTACATTGGCTGGAGCACCCCGGACAAGCCTCCTAGCATTCTCAAGTTCCCCCGTCAACTGGACTGTCTCGAAGTAGGTGGCCAAGATCAGCTTCCACTTCGTGGTATTGGCGGTGCCTTTATCTTAGAATTGATAGACCCCTGGAAGGAGACGGCTCCGGCATTCGTCGTGATTCATATCAACTTGTAAGAAATTCAAATATTTTTTACTTTCAGTTGTCTCTTTTCTTGGAACAAAGCTAATGGGCTGCCAGATTTCTTGGTGCCCTACTCGCCGGATACTCTACCGCAGTCTGCCACGCTATCGTACCTCTACACTCCCATAATCCTGCTTCTGAAATTCGTCCAAATAAAGGTCTCGTTCTTCCGCCAGTTGCATGATTTGGAGGTGAGAAGAAAGAGAAGGACGTATATTTCATTTCTCGATTGGTGTAATATGCAGCATTCTGGAAGCAGGTTTCACAGGTACATGGGCGATGCTTTAACAATACAGGGGCAAATGGTGGTTAATGATAGATTGGCAATGCGACTTTTAGAAGAGATGGTTTGTTGGCTTGTTATCAACAGCGAACATTGTTACGACAGTAGTCTCACGATGATATTGATACTAATTAGCATGCTCTCACGCAGTACGGAAACTAAACCATTCTTTCGCACAGCTCACGCATAACCTCGAACTTGTGTAAGCTGCAGACCAGTAGTAATATTCATGCATAAGTTGATCGACGCCGTAAAACAACCGCTAATGTCCTAGATTCTTATTAGGTACATGTACTTAGCAGCCCCTGTTGTAGTAAACAAATTACAAGAAATAACAAGCATTGACATCCCCTGGTACCGGGTAACCAACTCCGAAATGAAAGCAACTGGCACCTTTAAAGCCGTATTCCGAAAGAGCGCACACTAACGCCTCTTTGCCTTGAACAAACTCATTCCATCATCAAAGCCGTATGAGGAACTATAAAAATTAAACGCCGATAGTGGGGAATTAACAACAGGTAAAAGATAAAAAGATGAATAGAAGAGGAAAAAAAAAAAAAAGAACAGAAGGGCGAGAAAAAGCTTCCCCCCTGTGTACCCTGCCAGGCCCCTTTCTCTGCGCCCATAAGATTTTCGTAAACTACTGCTCTGTACAAACTTCGCTTAATCAAAAGAAATTCCAAACTGGCGTGTGCACTCAATGCATTCCCATCGTATTATTCAGCCCCCCTTATTCGTTTATTCTCATGATTTCATCTTCATCGTAGCTCAATGGAGGGGAAATATCTCGGTCCCGCAAAGCCTTGGGTGATAACGGACTGAACATCAATATTGCTCCCTGGGTCGTGAGAGGAGCTCCACATTTTGAGAAGGATGTAGCGGCCAGAAACAGGTGGCTCAAACTTGATGGTGCACTTGCTCTTCTTCTTCTCGATATAAAACCGCGCGTGAGGAGAAAGTAAGCTGCCGAGACCGACGGCACGGACGGCTTCTTGCGTGGCGTTGGCATGCGCATCTAGTGCCTCAGAGAGAGAGGCGCTTGGCGCATTGACTAGATCATGATCCTGGTCTTGGTCGTGGTCGTAATCTCTACCTCTAGGTCGATGAATAATGTTATGTCGACGGCTGTGGTGAAGAAGAGGCTCGTCTGAGGGATCTCGGGGGCTGAAGGGTAGGATAATATCGTCTACGTCAGACTCCAGATTCTCAAAGGGCAGAGAGCCAATGCGATTCGGGGTCCGGTGAAGCCGCGCCCCATCATAGCCATCTTCATCGTCATCTTCTTCATCGCTGCATTCCGTAGTAACGCGGAAACCAGCCATCTCCCTACTAAATTCCTCAGGCATGTCGGGTCGACCCTCATCGTCATCGGTCCGATAAACGTAAGATCTCCTGGCCCTTGTGCTTGTGGTGCCATCGTCATGGTGCTGGATAGAAATAATATGACGAGGCTCTTGCTCAAGAATCAGCGCATTATTCGCCTCTCCCGTTCGTGCCCGGTCTCTAGCTGTTTGGCCGTACTGGATTTGGTATTGGGCCGTTCGATTCAGTACATCGTCGTGGTCCATGGTGATGAAAATCATGCCCTCGCGAACACTGGGGAACCGGGTTAGTAGGAGAAATCACCAAGAGATAGCAGTCTCTCCAGGATTACTAGGAAACCTACGGATGCGAAAAGTTGGTGGCGCAGGGTGCCTTGATAATCAGCTCTTGTAGTGTGAATACTGTTCCGCCCTGATGCTGCAGAATGATATTGCACCTGTTCCCCTTGGTGCAGTATACTGAATTGTCGTCTCTGAGGATGTTCTCAGCCGCGTACGACGAATGGTTCGAAAACATGCCTCCGTCGCAGCTCACAATCTCCATCCGCAGCTGACCTGGGTCTACCTGCCCATACCTGCCATAGCGAAAGGCCTTGGGGCCGCCGGACCCCATTCTGTCCGAGTCCAGTTTCCGGCGTTTATTCCGGCGGTTGTCGTCTGAGAATTCATGCGGACGGAGGGGCTGGGGGAGCGAAGCAAGAGTGGGATCTGGCTGATCCAATAGTGCTCTCAGACCGGAATTTGCTCGACTGAGGGATCGACCCAGCTCTTCAATGTTGGGCGTCTGGGCGCCCGCGAAACTACGCGGCTGAGGGTAGCGTCGTAGCGAAATTCCTGTAAGGCGCTCTAGCTGGCGCTCCCTCTCCTCGGCGCGACGTTCCGCCTGTTCGTTAAGGTTTCGAATCCGCTCGGCTCTCCGGGCTGCAGCGTATGACGACCAGTGAAGATTACGGGACAGCGTACGGGGCGGTGCAGGCACATTCTCGCGACTGCGAGGGGAGTTTAGAGTCCGTTGAGGCGGCAGTGGCGGGGACAAGGCCGGTATGAGCTGTTCGTTTTCGACTCGAGGCAGCCGTGGATAGGAATTCGATTCCGAGCCCGATCTTGACGCCATGACAGACAGCTACCGAGGCCCTGGTTGAACGACGTCGCGGTGCGGCAACACAGATCGTCTTCGCCGTTGAGAGCGACTTGGTGGTTGTCAGTGAGTTGGAAAGACGAGAATCGAAACGTCCTGGCGTGGTTGTCGTTGATGGCGCTGCCAGGGTTGGTTGCGCTGTCGGGGTGGCAATACTGGATGCGTGAGTTGGGCGGCGTTCAAATGACCCAAGCAGACTCCATATATTATGCCGTCAGCCCGCCTAGACTAATAAGGTGTGCTGTAGGGTCCGAGTTGGCGTAAGAGGTCGGCAACTTTATTCGCCGATGCTGGGGCTGATAAGGCGGACGATGATGGAACAAGCTGCGGAAGCAGGATAAATAAAATAAGATGGAATAGAAGAAGAATAGAAGAAGAAAAGGCCAAAGAAGAATACAACTGTCTCAGAGGAAGAAAGGATCAATGGATCTGGTCTAGAGGCATCAGGGGACCAAAGGTCTTGATCAGCTCACTGTCTCTGGCATCTCTCAGGCAGCGCGGCTAATAGCCGGTCTCAGCTGCTCACTTACTTGTGCCTGTCAGTGAGGCACACTGACAGCAGCGGGGTTGTCGGCAGCCTTTGCCTGAGAGGATTCGCCTGTGCGAGTCACGGTGTGTGTGAGTCGGTGCGTGTAGCGACTTGTAGCGACTTGAAGGTCAAGTGGCTCTTGTTGTTTGAAGCCCGGTGATGAGGATGTTTGGTTGAATTATGCTATTAAGACGGCGTAGACGTGCGGATAAAGAGTATCCAAGATGGATGAGGAATGAAGATGGAAAGCTGCAGCAAGTCTGATCTATCGCGGTTCACCGGCTTTGGCATCCTGATCAATACACGCGGGGTCGGATGGTGCTAGTCCAGGCACTATTCGGCTCTATGCCTTAGCGGCTCAGAGGCCGACTTGGACGAGCCTAGCGGTGATCCATAGCGGTCTGAAAGTCATATTGCGGGCAGCCTTAGCAGTGCAACCTCGAAAATGGCTGGCCAATGAGGGCATGCGACCAGCACCAGCGGGTGGGCTTTCCCTACAGTAGGTGATGGAGGATGCGTACAGTCTGGGGGGAATCTGATGCTATATCACCTCGCTAACATCATGTCAAGCCCTACCTTATCGGCGAAGGATAGGTCCGGAGCACATCCGGCGGATTTCTCCTCATCTGGGGTGTCAATTCGGATACCTGCTGCTATTTCATACCCAAAATGGCCCTCACAAGATACCTCAGCACCTTGGTACTTATAGGGAGCACTGGGCCTTTCTTAGCTGTCTGTCTGTGTAGGGGCCGCCAAAGCTTCAGGTATCTGGCGACAGTGTTACTAGCACGGAAGCGATTCAGCTACTTGCGTCGACTATCAAAGCTGAGCCGGCTTGGCTGCGGAGGCATTACTCATCATCCTCGCCCGCAGCTGACGTGCGGTTCAACCAACGGAGACTCGGGCGGTGCAACGCAAGCTCGGGATTCCAATGGCGGTGGTGTAACAATCACTCCTTGGCGTAATTGAAGCAACAGCAGGCACGGAATGTTGGAATTCAAGTGAGTTGAGAACATACTTGTAGCGCATGCTTTACAGATCTTACTCAGATCGGCCCACTGTTAAAAGCTACCTGAAAACTCTGCGGTGATTCTCCTAACATCTAGTACTGCTCTAACAGCGCCCCGCCATCTCTAGCGCAGTCGACCCGCGTATCAGCGCTGCACGGCTACAGGCGAGGCTGCGCTGATTCTCATCCGCTTTGATATCTCATCTCTGTATCAACCCAAATGGCCAAAGGCCCGCTAGCAAGCTGCTTCTATCCATTTTGACGCTGGCCGTGTGAATGCTTCTTTAATTTGCTACCAGCATCAGGATTGCTTGGATTTATTTAGCACTCTTGGACCTAAAATCTCAGCTTTATCCATCTCTTCTAGAAGCTCCCACTCGATAGCCCTCACGAGACCTGCACAGCCTTGCCATTTCTAATCTAAACCGCGCCATCCATCTCCATCTATTCACCGCACGACCTAATCAATCCTAGAAAACTCCATTGAAGATGGAACACCAACCGAACAATGGCGTCAGTGACGGTAGCGCAGCACCCATACCCGCCACCAACGGCGGCACAGCTGGACTGAATCCCGAGCTCGCTGCACCAGATGCCATGGCAGCAGCCATGATGATGTCCGGCCAGGCCTTCATCCCAGATCCCTCTCTCGGCACTACTGCCATCTCAGATCCGTCAATCATGGCTACCATGATGTTCAGCAATGGTCATGCTGCTGCCGGCCTCGCGCTGCCAGACAAGGCTATCACAGCAGGTAAATCTCATACGCCCACAAACACACACACACACTCTCTCTCTCTCGGTTGCAGACTCCCATCTCACAGTTTCTCATCAGATGAAATCGCCCTCTATGATCGACAGATCCGCCTCTGGGGCATGGCCGCCCAGGCCAAAATCCAAAACGCAAACATCCTCCTCATCACCATCAGAGCTCTGGCCAACGAGATAGCCAAGAACCTCGTGCTCGCCGGCGTCGGCTCTCTCACCGTCCTCGATAGCGCCATCGTCACCGAGGCCGACCTAGGCGCGCAGTTCCTCCTCTCCGAGGTGGAAAATCCCGTTGGCCAGAACCGCGCCGAGGCTGCCAGCGTGGCCCTGCGCAAGCTGAACCCGCGTGTCCAGGTCGTCGTCGACCCGGAAGGAGTCAAGTCCAAGGGCCCGAGCTACTTCGCCAACTTCGACATCATCATTGCGACGGATCTGGACCCCGATTCATTCAATCTCATCAACACGGCGACGCGCATCAACGGCAAGGCCTTCTACGCGGCGGGCACGCATGGCATGTATGGCTTCATATTCAGCGATCTGATAGAGCACGACTACGTCATTGAGCGCGACCTAGGAAACGTTGCCACCGAACTCAAGCAAGAGACGCGTACACGCTCCATTGTCGACGTCAAAACCAAAAAGGAAGGCCCCAAGGTCATCGAATCCGTCACCAAGCGAGAGCTCTACTCGACCTGGTTCCTCGCCAGCGATGTCGCCAGCCTGCCGGAAGAGTACACAAAGTCAAAGCGCCGCCTAAAGAGCGTCACCCCGACGCTGTCCTGCCTGCGCGCCCTGTGGGAGTTTATGCAGATCCAGGGCGGCCGCCTGCCCAGCAATCGCGAAGACCTTAAGCTGTTCACTCAGATTGCCACGCAGAAGCACAAGGCCCTGAGCCTCCCCAGCGAAACGCTCAAGCCGGAATTCCTCCGCAGCTTCCTGCAGAATCTAGGCAGCGAGATTGCCCCCGTCACGGCCATTCTGGGTGGCCAGCTGGCGCAGGACGTCATCAACGTCCTCGGCCAGAAGCAGCAGCCTATTCAAAACATGGTCATCTTCGACGGCACTACCATGGAGGCGCTCATGTATCCCTTGCACCCGGAGGGCATCCTCGGTACCAATCTTCTCTCTCTAGGCGGAGGCGTCGATCCATTGATCCCCAACGGAGGCATGATGTTACCACCGGACATGTCCGTCGCCCTTGGCGGCAACATGGTCATCCCGCCGCTAGACCCCAGTGCTCTGGCTGCTCACCCGCATGGCATGCCCATGGGCGATTTACCCGCAGTAACAAATGCTCATTTGCAGGCACAGCCTATTGCTGCTACCCAAGCCCCTAACATGTCCGTGCCAGAAGCTGTGCCCGCGCCTCCCGCGCCTCCCGCACCTCCGACTACTACACAACCTCAGCAGCAAGCCGGTGCCAGTGCCAGCTCCGATATCCCCACAGAAGCACCAAGTCAGGATGCTCCTGCAAGTTGAGACGAGTAGAGTATGAGCATGAGCATGAATGAGAATTAGATGTGATAGCATGACGATTTTGACGATGAGATATTATACGATATACAGGACGATTGGACGTTAACAAAAAAAAAAAAAAGATCGACTCATATTTTGACATAAAAGTGTTGAAGGAATAGGAGAGAGGCAGATAGGATACAGAAAAGGCAAAAAGATCAGTTCTGATTTTGCATGTAGTTATAGGTTCTAGGTCATTCACACAAGTTGCACATAGCGTGCCTTTTCAATATGTCTTTTGTTTTAAGAAAATTCATAATTACAATCACACGCACAGATACTCTAAGAATGCCGCAATTAGAATGAACTCTCAATTCTTTTATTCCTCTTGGTTCCTAGAAAAATGAACCCAAATGTCTCATGCTTGACAATCCAGATCGCAACCAACCCATCTGCCTATATCATATCATATCATAGGTAGGGGGGAAAACAAAACTAAAAAGACAGAAACGAGAAATAGAAATGCCCACCCCTCCGTCTTTCCATCTATCTCATCCGTCATCGTAGCATCTAATAGTCCTGAGCCCTCGTGAACAATTTTTAATTACTCCCCTTACCCCTTCCAACCTCCCTATGCTACCGAGCCGCCACCGTTGTCCCAAATTTTTAATCCCTCTTCCCGTTGACGAATCCCTCTTCCATCCCATTTTCACAGCTAGACATAGCCCACAAACTAGATGTTTCATTCTCCACATTAAAGGGGGAAATGAAGCACAGGTGAAAGAGGGAAAAGCAAGAAGCAGAGATGACCATATGGTACAACTGAAAAGGGAAAAAAAAAAAAAAAAAGAAATAGGAAAAGAAATAAACCAAGAATCAAGATGTGGTAAAATTTGAAGAGAAAACAGTTCTCGCGTTTCCAACCTATACTAAGCTGGAGGGTATACGAGGTAAGTCATTCCTATTAGCCACCCAAAGAAAAAGAATCGACCGAAGCCGTCATTTCAAAAAGCGAATAGAGAAAAGAAGAAGAAAGGTATAATCCCAGGAGTTCCAAGCCAAAAAGCAAGATAGGGCTCGCTAAAGCACAAGCGCGAAGATTTGACAAGAAACAAGAACGCAATATTGAAAAGAACAAATTTAGAAAAATCCAGTTCGTCATTTCTTTTAGACGCCGACATAATGCCGAATTAAGTAGCTGTTGGTATAGCTTTTTGTCATTTGTTTTCCTCTATGGGATAACAAGTCATCTCGTTAGGTATTTACGTTGCCTGGGCTTGGTTGATAGCTCCCATGACGAAAGGGCGAAATAGGTCACGAAGTTTTCGCCAGCGCGGCAAAAAGGAAAAGAAAAATGTATAAACAGATGCACGCGAATATATCCGTCATCCGATGGTATTGAGTGCTTGTGTTGGTAGATTATAGCGCAGGTTAAATGTTGGTGCTCTCTGCTTGAGAGGTAGAGCTAGCTGTTGTAGTTGAGGTAACGGTAATGATCTCTTGTTCGGCTTGAGTAGCTTCTAATGCAGTTTCTCTTCGAATAGCCTTCTTCTTTGATGCTGCGCGGCTAGAATTTTTTAATGTTTTACTCCTTGTGGTAGAACGATTAGGCCTGGCTGATTGTGAAGGTGCAGCTCTGTTGGATTCCGGAGCTTTAGTTGGTTTGGCCCTTCTGGGGCGGAGACGACGTGATGTCGTGTTATTCTGAGAAGCCGAAGCGTCAGCAGAGACTGTTTCTGCTGCAGATATGGCTGGTTCGGTAGAGGGACCAGCATTTTCGCTAGACTCGGTATAGAGTTCCTCAAGATCCATATCTTGAGCCATGGTACGCCGTGGAGCCGGAGGAATGTTTCGTGGGAAAAGAGGTGGTAGTTGGGTAATTGGTTCAGTAAAGCGAACAGACCAGTTAGGATGGAGCGGCATGGTCTGGGACTTATCATTGTCTGCTTGAGCAGCTGTCTGGCCCGGCGTTTCCCGTCTCTATCTGGAATCGTCTCGGTCATTTCCCGCTTCCGCTCTATCTTGCTTGTCGGCCTTGCTTCGCTTCCGAGGTTGGTTCACATTCCATCCCCTAATTTGCGTTGGACCGGAACTTGGGAGAGCGGCAGACGAGCCAGTTTCTTTATGATCATAGGGAATAGTCTTAAGCTCCGGTTTGTTTGACCATGCTCGATGTGCGGGCACTGGAGCAGGCTGTAGCTTACGATATTTACCGGATCCAGCATCTGAAGACCCCGAAGGTGTAGAACGATGGCGGTGCATCGAACTGTGCATGCCCTGTGGTGTTCCGGGGGGGCTCTGAGCCATAGGGCCGGACATTGGCTGGGGATTGCCAAAAGTCGGCGACAAGATCTGCGAGGCATAGCCGGGGCCAGATGGTCCCATGTAGGACTGCGGCTGCTGAGGATTAGGCAGAATTCTTTCTGTTCCAAGTGGCTGCATAGGAGCGAGAGGAGGCTCCTGGGCTGGATAACCATGATGGTAAGATCGAGATGGAGCAGGGTTATAGTAGTTACCCATGCCGTGTACACTTGGCCTTATCATGGGGTCGCGCATCATATCATCTTGAACAGGCTGAGCGCGGCCTCGAGGTGGCCTGAGTGGCGGAAGAGGCTCAGCGTTTGCATTATGAGAGAAAGGCATCCTTGGTGGAGGCTGTGGCACATAATGCTGCGATGGCGGTGGAGGAGGAGCCTGAGCAACGGGAGGAGGCGGAGGAGCCTGCTGGGGCCAGTAGACAAGAGGATATCCTCCGCTGGGGCCCGGGGGAGGACCAGGAGGGGCTTGTGTAGGAGCTGGGCCGGGTCCAGGAGCTTCAGGTCCATAGTTTGACATGCGGCTGCTTCCATACGCCGGTTCAATGGGACGGCCAGAACCCATATGAATATCTCTTGGTTCCGGCATATAGCCACCATAAGAGTAATAGCCTTGATGAGGTTCCTGAACTGGAGGACCCGGAGGTGGAGGGGGCGGATGAGGATGTTGCTGCTTATACTCATTGGCTCTTGAGGGTGGTGCGTGGATCATAGGCTGCTCAGCAGGTGGTGCCTGATAGACGATGGGCTCTGGTCCCTGAGGGGGAACAGGCGCGTGAGGCTGACCAACAGGTTGCATTGGTGGAAGCTCTTGCCCATGCTGGGGATTTCGAATGTATCCCCCAATAGGCTCCATAGAGCCATGCTGTCCGCTAATGGGAGCATGTCCTAAAGGTGCGATGGGTGCCATATCATCGCGCTGCGCTCTTGTGTCGGGTCCGAATTCGGCTACGAGCATCAAAGGAGCAGGTGTCTTGAGTGCATGGCCCTCAGGCTCCTGTAAACGTGTCTCAACGTTGCACAACTCAGCCAAGAAATTGAGGGAGAGACTGTGAGTGTCAGGGGCCGGCGCCTGCTCAGGTTTGGAATCCGTGAAGACATCTCTAATGGCGTCATATCTTGCAGGCTTGGGCGCGGGCTTGGGCGCCGGGGGGACGGCTCGTGTAATCTCTTCGGCCTCAACAAATGCAGTCGCGTAAGTGAGGACGGAAAGAGCGGCGAGGCCACCTTGGGTTGGCTCGGCTGTCTCCTCCTCCGAAACAACCGGCTGCTCATCAGTCGTAGATGAAGCCTCTTCGATCTCAGGCTTAGATTCAAGTTCCAATGCAGCTGTGCCCAAGGATCGATCGCGAAGCTCCTCATCAGTAGGCATATACTCTGAGATGGCAACATCTTCCAAGGGGATGCCGTTGATTTTGCAGAAACGGCGCATAGTGGCACTCATCTTCACTCGCACAGGCGCATCAACCACACGACGGTTGTTAACCGTCCTCTGGTATGAGCGCGAAGCGTGAGAGATGCGTCCAGAAGGTTCGGCAATATAGACTACCGGCTTTCCGGGCATGACAAACGGAGTACTAGGCCCTTGTTCGTTGGTGCTGGTAGGCAAGAAGATGCCATACTTTGGGTGAACGCCATGTTTTTTGACGAGAGCCAGATCAAAATCAGATTCCCGGGTGTTGGAATAGTCGTAACCGTTGCACCAGTAGTCGAAGTGCATGCCATTGCTGTTGGGCGTGTCGAGGTATTTACCTCGCTTGGCGCGGGTGTGGCCCTTGGTAGAGTCGTTGGAACTATCACGGAAGCCAATGTCCCATTCATCAAATGAGAAGAGACGTGGAGCGAGAAGACGGCTAGAAAGCCCCTTATCTTTCATGGACGGCCTCTGGTTATACGTGCGGCAGCCATGTTCATCGGGTTCGCCAATATTCTTGGGTAGAGGAGGACTCTTTTCACGAGCCGACAGTCTACCGTTGAACTTGACAACAGCAGAGGAGGTAGCGCCGTTGGGCATACTGACAGGCTCGGGAGACGCAGGGGCTGACTCCTCTTCTGCTGGAGCACCCTCGATGTGGGCTTCAATTTCGGTTGCGAGAAGACCCTTGGCAGGAGCAATTGGAGCAGCCTGCAGAAGCTGGCTATCAAAGTTGCTGCGAGTTGACTTCTTTGGTGTCGGTTGGCCTTCTGGCTGATCTTGGGCGCGGCGTTTGTTACTACCTCGGCCACGGCCTCTGCCTCCTCGGGAGCCGGAAGAGCTCGCGGCAGCCGCAGTGGCAGCAGCAGCCTCAGCATCGCGGGCCCTTTGCCACATGTCAGTGCCCTCAACTCGTGAGGGATAGGGGACCAAGTGGCCATCTTTGTAGCATTCATAGATGCCGAAGTCATCGTCAAGAGATTTGTCAGTGATGACTTTATACTCATATTGGTCATCACGGACCTAAAGGGAAGTCGTGTTAGTGAAAAGGTTCTCGCTGGTATGATTGATAAATGGCAAGTGGAATTGAATCCACAAGAAGAAAGCCGGCAACAGGCTGTAAAATGTGACCGGACTTCAGGAAAGCTAGCTTGACTATGACTTATGCAAAGAAAAAAAGAAAAAGACAAAAGACAAAAGAAAAGAAGATAATAGCCGTGTACTTACATCAACTGGAAGATCTTTTGAAATCAGTGTAGAAAGGATACGAAGACGGTTAGCTTGACTGTCGTCAAATCGTTCTGTAACGTCCTCAAGGCCATTCTGAGGGAGAAAATAGAGTCAGCTTCGAGATACCCTCGGAGAAGGGAAGAATGAAGAAGAGAAGAAAAGAAGGCAATATATCCTTTGAAAGCTACACCAGAACAGTGCTGCTATCCAGGGATGGATGCTCGGTAAGCAGGGATAAACAAAAACAAGCATACCTCAAATTCCTGTTTTAGAACATATTGCTCAGCACTATAAGTGCCTTCAGCGAGGCTCAGATTGGCCTCGAGCTGGCGGTTGAAAAGATCTAGCTTCTTAGCCAGCCTCTGATTCAGCTCCAGCACGACAGGCCAGTGCTCGGGTGCAAATCGATGGCCGTCTGATTTCTGCAGCAGCTCCTCGATGCTCCGGTCAGCAAGCTCCTGCAGAGCGGGCTTGAGGGCATGAGCCACAGCTTGGTAGGTGGCCTTGAGATCTCTCTGGCGCTCATAGGCGGCCTGGACGCGAGAGTCTGTGAAGCTCTTGGCTCGGCCTCTGCGGGTGCCTCCACGGCCGGCCTTGTTGAAATTTGCTTTGGATACGCCTGAAGTAGAAGAAGCACCGCCTCGACCGCCACCTCGGCCTCGGCCAGCACGGCCACCGCGCCCACCTCTGCCGCGCCCACGAGTGGCCGGCTCCCGAGCGGGCGATTCATTCTCAGTAGCCATGATGAGGGATGAGCCCAATCATGTACGGGCCTGCGACTGAGAACGAGAGGATGGAGGAGCTGGGGCGATGTGATGTGGTGGTGTTGGGTGTGTGTTAGATGAAGAGAAAGAGGCGTAAAAATGGTTAAGTGTGTGAGAACCGGGGTCAGACCAGCCAACCAAGTTCGTCAGTAAGCCAGAAGAGCACGCGCGCCGCGCCGTGCTGAATAAAAAAGAACAGCTGGACGCCGAAAAGAAGAGAGGCTCGGATTCAGCGGCAGCAGCCCATCCAGTGCAAGCAGAAACGAAGATGTGACGGGAGCAGCAGCCGGGCCTGGAAAAAGACTTGCTGGCGCGGTGTTGATGGGTTTGGAGAGCAGTGTTTGAAAGAAAAAAGGGTCTGCGTGGTACTAGAGGTGATGTGCATGGACGGTACGAGTACGTACACAGGAAAGCACTAAGGCCGGGGAGTACCTTTTTTACCTTTTGGGGGGTGAAAGGAACCTTAATGCTTAGAGAGGCGTCTACTGCAATAGGCCGGACGGGCAAAAAAAGGCTGGGCAGCGCAAGGATTTGCGGCCTGCTTGGCTGACAGCTGGCCGTGCAGCACCACAATGGGCAGGATGCAGGGACAATAGCGACGACAGCAGCAGTCGTGCAGCCGCAGCCGGGCAATAAGTGAAGTGGTCGTGAAAGGGTTTTTGACGGGGTGAAGCGTGCGAGAAAACGCGGCAGCGCTGGCTGCGAGAGACGAAAAAGGTGCGGCCAGTCCCTTTTCTGGGCCCCCCTCAGCCTTGGCCCCGGCCCAACCGCCAGCACAGTGACTTTTGCAGCGCAAGGCTAACGTGGGCGCCCCGTCACTGCGAGGTACCGGCGACTTTGCACCCCAGCGCACCGCAGCCACTGCAGGCCGCTGCTTTCAGCGAGTGGCGCCCCGTGATTGGCGGCCGGGCTCTCAGGAACGTCGCGCTAAGCCGGTTTTGTGCACAATGGCCTTATTCCCGCGCCTCTGGTTGGTGCGGACGAGGTGAATCTCCGGTTGCCGCGCTGGAGCGGACTGCTGGGGGGCGCTCTGGCTGGCAGCAGGTACCGGTGACTTGCAGGGACCCGGGGCGAGACGGGACGAGCAAACGAAAACTCCTGTTCACCGCACAGCGGAGAGGTGCAGCTGCGAGACTTGAGCATGCGCTCACTTTACGAAACAGCCACCAAGGCGAGCGCGGGAGCAGAGGCTGTGCTGCCCGGCAACAGGGAAAGCTTGGGCTGCTCTTCTGTGCGAGATGGCGCTTTTCCTACTCGAATCAGAGCAAGCAAGCGTGGCCGTGTGTTAGTTATGGCTGCTTTAAGTTTTATCGTCCGTGTTGTCGCCGAGTTTCATCAATCAGGTACCTAGTTTTCTAGTACATGTAGCTTGTAGCACGACATCTCTGCGCTGTTCAGCTCTTCACTACAACATCTCTCTGCCGGTACAATACAGAGCATGTACCTCGCTCTGCGTCTTAATGCAACTGTGGGGGGCCCGAGATGCCGTCGCTTTGCTGGTTGCCATCATCGTCCTCCACCGCGCGTCATCCTCGTGAACTGCGCTGCCACGTTGGGCATGACATGCAAAGCCCGATTTCACCTCAGCAGTGATTCACCACACAGTGCTCTTGGGGTGGGCCGCTTGCATTCCGTGATGCTCCGCGGAAGAAAGAGGCTAAAGCTGTGTGAGAGTGATTTGCCGAACAAATGTCACGTTGAACTGATTTTCTGCCACGCACCCCTTGGTATTGGAGCGCAATGGCGCCTGGTAATTGGCCAAGGCACCGGGCGGCTCCAAGCAGAAGCATGATACAGAGCTACGAGACGTATTGACTGCGTGTTTGAATAGCTTTCACACGCTGATTTCTACCTATTGCCCTCTCAAGCCGAGCTGCTGATGTGTCTAAATGGCGGCGTTTGCAAGCCAATTTCTCTGCGGCACAATAGCGGCAAACAGACCCGCTCCACTTATATCCCCGATTGCCTTTTTGGGCCTTTGGCTCCTGTGACGGCAACAGGCTACGTACCTTGCTAGCGAGAAACCTCCTGCTACGTGGTGCTATGTATTTGGGGAGCCTTACCGAGCAGCTGAATGATTGGTGTCAACGTGTTGGATCCCTGCTTATGAGAAGCTGCTCCTTGCATTCCCTCGTGAGAGATAACACACAACGAACCATTTGAGAACAATTTGAATTATATTATTTTGCATCCGCATGCTGAAGCGAACCGAGGTATTAGAAAAACAAAGATTAAAAAAAAGTTTAAAAGTCAAAAAAGGCAAACCAAGAAAAGCCAAGCCGCTGCACAAGATCTCAGTCCCAGATTCTGTCATCTGCAGCAGCCGCTGTAGCGCTGCGGGCTCTGCTCCGCAAAAAAGAAAAAACAGAAGCCTGAGGGAAAACCGGACAGAATCGCGTTAAACAGGGTCAGGCCTTACAGATTTTAGCGCGGCTCTCTGGGCACGGCACCTAAAAATTGCGCTTTTGGGCCTCAACCGCTGTAGCCTTATCGCTGATTGGGCGCGTCGTCGCAATCCGCTGCCGCCATCCCGCCAGTAGTTGCACGTGAGATCTTCCCTTTGGAGCTGGTGCTGCTGGAGCTTTGGCGCGTGTACCGTGCCGGACCTACCAGACGCAGCTGGTTGGTCCCTTGGTTTTTTTTTTCCCTTTCCATTTTAATTTTTTTTTTTTTTTTAGTACACGCCCCAAGAACATTCCGCCTCAAAACAACATTTTTCTTCTACTGTTTGCTGCTGCCGCCATTGGATTGATTACTCTCTTTACTCAAGTATATTTCATCCTACTTCTCCAAAAACAAGACTCCATCTTCAATGGCCAAAAGACGAAAGCTGCAGCACCCAAAAGCGCCGCAGCGGCCTGCTGCCCGGCCGCAGCAAAAAGACCACGGCCCGTCAAAGAAGAAGCCCCTCCAACCCGCAAAGAAGCAACAACACCGCCAGCAGCAGCACGACGAGCCCGTGATCCCCTTCAGCCCCAACGACCGCATCCTGCTGGTGGGCGAGGCTGATCTGAGCTTTGCCGCCTCCATCATCCAGCACCACCGCTGCACAAACGTCACCGCAACCGTCCTCGAAAAGGACCACGCCGAGCTGGTCGAAAAGTACCCCGCCGTGGATACCAACATTGCCGTGGTCAACCGCCGCCCGGACGCCGATGCTCCTCCCACGAGCCCCAGCCACGGCGCCGAGTCTGCCGCCGGCAAGGACGGTCAATCGGACGTAGACGAGGCCGCCGAGGACAGCTCTGCAAACTACGATTCTGAAGACGACTCACAGGCAGAGAAGCCGAGGCCCGTTGCCGTCAACAACAAGCTCGTCTACAACGTCGACGCCACAAAGTTCCCGTCCTCCATCGCCCGCACCCCCCACGACCGCATCATCTTCAACTTCCCCCACGTCGGCGGCAAATCCACAGACGTTAACCGCCAAGTCCGCTACAACCAAGAGCTCCTCGTCTCCTTCTTCCAGCGCGCCCTCGCCTCGCCCGCCGCGCCCCTCGCCCGCGGCGGCTCCATCATCGTCACCCTCTTCGAGAGTGAGCCCTACACCCTCTGGAACATCCGCGACCTCGGCCGCCACGCGGGGCTCCAGCTCGAGCGCAGCTTTCGCTTCCAGGCGGCGGCTTATCCGGGCTACCACCACGCGAGGACGTTTGGCGTCGTGAGGAACAAGAAGGGAGAGGAGAGCTCGGGCTGGAAGGGCGAAGATCGACCGGCCAGGAGCTATGTGTTTATGAGGAAGGAGGAGATGCAAGATCAGACGAATAAGAAGAAGAGGAAGCGAGGCGGTGACGATTCTTCGAGCGACGAGGATGACGACTAACTAACTAATGCCAAGAAGGCCCCCCCGTCTTGGCACTGTATATATTTGATGGGCTATAACACATGCATACGTACATATGTACAATTTCAAGTGGAGACTTTTTAGACGATATCCATGGCAACCTGGGCAATGGCGTTTTATATCGGGATATATTCTGGAAATACTAGCTAAAAAGTGTTTTATTATTTCCAGAATTGCAAAAGAAGAAAAGGCCCAAACCGGTCTATTCGTATAATAATAATACTATACAAGACATCAAGACATATTCCACACCCAAACTCCATACCCATGATTCGCGCCTAACGTGCATTTCACCTCCTTCTTACACAAGCTCGCTTATCACATGCTGGCCACAATTCGCAGCAGCAACGCCGCTCCCCCAAAAAACCCCCCCCCCACTAGAAGCAAAGTACCCTCGCACAACCTTCAAACGCCACCTTGAGCCAATTATGTATGGCATATGCAGAAACACCATATTCCAAATTTTACGCAGAGTCAAGAAGAAAATCCCCCCGAAATAGTGAGCAAATTGTTCTTTTGTTTTTTTTTTTTCTTATATGGCGACGACGCCTTCGAGTCTGTTTAAAAAAAAAAAAGAAGAAGAAGAAAAAGAAAGATGATAAAGGTAAAGAAAATCCATTAATAAGATTCCTCTTTTCCTCAAATTTCCCAAAATTCCAACCCCAAAAAACTCCAATATCATCTCATATTTTCCTCCAAAAATGGCAAAGAAATGACAAACATCCCCTTTTTGGCTGCTCCCTAATGGTGTAAAAAAAAGGGAGATAATGTCAAAAAAATAAAATGAGATAGAAAGGCGGAACAGCGGATCAAAAAGCGGCATGTTCCACCTTCACCCGCTCCCCACTACCAGGGGGAGTATATGAAGGATTAAAAAACGAATAAAAAATGGGGGGAGCAAAATCCTCATGGAGAAGAGGCAGGATAAAAAAATAAAATAAAAGAAGAGCAAAATAAAAAGAAGAAGAAAAGCCATAGGTATAATACAATGCAGATTTCTATCGTGACCCCTGAAACTCCCCATTAAAGGAAATAATAATAATAATAAGCAAATGGTTTGTGCATTAATGTGTAATATGTGCAATCCAGGATAGCTTGAATTATGCTGATACCTCATATGAAGTTAGTGGCCAAAAGAAAATTAATGGCTTAACAGTTCTTTTTGTAGGGCGTTGCCATGTTCGTCCATAGACGTCTGTTGTCCGGCTGGGTCATCTGAGTTTGGCCGGGCCACGGCCTTCTTCCGGGCTTGCTCTTCTTCATCAAGCCTCTGTGCCTCCTCATTCTCTCGTACCAAGGCCTCTTCTTGCTCAAGCAAAGCCTGCGCCTCCTCTGTGCGGGCTGCACCAGGGTTCTCTGGAGGAGGCGGCGGCGGCGGCGGGGGAGTAGCCCCATCTGGGTCATCCTCTTTCAATCTCTTCATCTCAGGTCCATCTAGTGGCGAGTCTACAGAGGCCACAGCAACCTCAGCATCTCGCTTCCGTTTACGGTCAGCAGCGCCGTCAGGCGACTCTTCTTCCATATCACTAAGAACAATATCCTCTGCAGTAGCTTCTCTCTCTTGAGAAGAGTCTGGGCTTTCACCAGGCTTGTCTGCTCCAGAGGCCGGCTTGCCATTAGTAGCCTGCTCGCCGCCCGCGCTCTTCTTGGCGGTCTCAGACGTCCTCTTTCTATGGTGTGCTTCATACTTGGCAACTGCACGGTCCAAAAAGTCCTTGACGTATTTTTTGATGTTTCGCTCTTGCTTTTCGGTGAGAGGCGCAGCAGGGTCACTAACGCGGTTATTCTTGTAATCAGATGCAACCAGCTTCTTTGCAACATCCTTTCCAAGCCTCTTCAGTTCTTCCTTGGGAAGCTTATGCCGAAATTTGTCTAATACGTGCTTCACAGGAGGATATACCTATACACCACATTGTCAGCCTCGGCTCCGGCAGCGAGAAAACGTACGAAATCAGAGTTATAGTAAGGGAGGGACCAGGATAATGGAACGACGTACTGTGTGTTCGTAGAGTTTCATTTGCTTCTCGATCGGCAGAGCCCGCCACTTTTCCTTCCTGGGCTCCTTTGGAGAGGCTTCGGCTGGTGCCGGAGTCTGTGAAGCAGGCTGCTTGGGTGTGCCCTCTTTGGTTACCTTGTCAATAATGCTTTGAATGAGAAGCTGCTCTTGGATGGCCTTGGATGGGGCTTTTGGTGTCTGCTCCGCAGCCGGCTGCGTTGGCCGCTCCCAAGTTGACTTGCCCTGCTTGTTATAGAAATACGTGTTACCATTCGCATCCTTGGCGGCAAACCACCCTACAGGCAGGGCATTGTGAAACGGTCTACGTTGACGATGGCCATTGTTGAAATATGAGTTATTCCTTTGTGGCACATTGCTTCGCGGTCCCTTGGGAGCGTCAATGGGTCGCGGAGAGGCGGTCTTGGGGGTCGACTGAGAGCCCGCTGCCGCCGCTGCCTCCTCTTCCCGAGCCTGCCCTCTTCGCTCTTCGAAGATGTTTTGTGTCGGTGCGTTGGGATCAACCTTGCGCCGTCGTATTCGATAGGCGACCTCGAGTTTACTCCATTCTTCCAGCAGTTTCTTGGACTGGGAGGAGACATCTTCATGCTCGGACTGAGATAGGGTCTGGATTGTCGCCTCAATATTGGAGTCTTGGATCTTGTTCCTTGTTAATCGTGGGAATTTGTCCAAGATGGCCAAAATCTGTAAGACCACGTTGCGATCGTCGATGAATGTGTTGAGAGTTGTTTTGAGGATTTGGTATGCGTGCATGCGCATCACGGAGTGAATGACGCGCTCTTCGTCACAGCGTTGTATTCGCTCCAGCAGCTTAACCGCAATCCACTTCTCCTTGCACTGCATCAACGTAGCCATGACCTTGCGAGCATCGTCATCATCCAAGCTTCGGGGCTGTATGCTGTTGACATACTCCTCGTCATCCTCATCGGGACGCTTCTTCCGGGGCTTCTTGGGTACCTGGGTATCCCAGCCGTCGGTAGCATCGATACCCAGAGCCTCGACGGTGGCAGTAGGTAGTTTGGTGGCGCGCTCCGTCTGCGTTTTCCCTCCAATGAAGCCAACGCAGTTCGTTTCTCCGCAATAACAGGGCTGAGGCTCCGCGCCGTAGCGATCGACATTGTAATTGAATACAAGCTCTTCGCCCGCCTGGATCTTACGCAGAGCAAAAATTCCCATGCGAAGCTTGTCGCCGACGACCCATTTGTCAACAAAACAGTTGGGATTGCACGAATGATTGCAAAATCGGCCTAGGTTTCCCTTTTTCGTGGCGTCTACGAATTCGTTTTTGTTGAGCGACATGAAATAGAAGTGCTTGATGCCCTCCTCGTCATACTGAAGCATCCGCCGCCGAAATGTGGGTTCATTGATGACCTCTCCAATATACTCGTAGATGAAATCATTTGGCTCGAGCATCGCATTGGTGCGAAGGCCAAAGCCCTTCTTCTCGGTCTTGATTACCGTCACGTCTGCATACTGCTTGCGCTGAAAGCGCCGATTCTGGCAACCGCCGCCACAGTTTCCTGCATTAGCGCTACACTCCATCTTGGTCGCACGGTTGATGCAGTCCGACTCCTCGCCACAAGCAAAATTTTCGCCATCCCCTGCTCGCCGTCAGCAAAATAATGCAAGAAAGAAGATTCCCTATGGCCTAGAAGGCCACGGGTGAAAGGAAATGGGGATTCGGGCTGGGAGAAAGGGGAGGAGGGGAGGAGGGGGGCAGAAGGAGCCCGACATACGCCATTCTTCTCTGCAGTCGCAGTCCAGGGAGTCGTTGTCGGTCGAGCCCAAATTCCTCGATCCATAGAGACAGTCGGGGATAACCTGGAAAGTTGTGCATGATTCCTCGGTTACGCTTGGGAGGTGGGAGTATAGCGGGACCTCGCGAGCGGGCGGCTTCTGTGACGACTTGCGCGACAACCGCGCAGGCCTGGTGGTTGAGCTGGGGGTGCCGACGCTTTCGCTCTGCGATTTCGTGCCGTCCATGGAGCTTGGCGAGGGGGTTTCGCTATTCCGAAGCTTTGGGGTTGAGGTAGAGCCTCTCGCGGCAGATTCCAAGTGCGCGCCATTCTCGACGGCATCCTCGAGCTTCACCTTCTCCATTCTGCTCGTTGTGTTCTCTTCATCCTCCATTTGACAGCCTAGTCTGCAGTGTGGAAGCGAGGAGGCGAGGGATGCAGCGTTGCTCTTCTGCCAAGGCAAGAAAAATAGCCTGATTCAAGGGTGAAAGGTTGCTGAGAAGGGCGTCGCGGTGGCAGCTGTCTCTCTTTTTTTTTTTTTTTCCTCGTTTCCCTTAGAAGATACGCGCAGGGCAGGGAACCGCGTGCGGAAAGCGAATTAGGAGAGATTGGGCAGAAACGCGAGGGTGGCGGAGAAGCGAATGCATTAAAGGACCGGCTGCTTCAAGATTCGCATCGGCAGTCGAGGGCTAGCAGGCTGGAATGAAAACAAAGCAGAAGCTTTTCGAAGTCGGGTTCGCACCTCTCGCCTCAAGCCAGAGAGGCGTTCTCACTAAGCTGGCCGTCCAGACCCTAGCAGTCGGAGTTAGAGGTACCGGTAGCGGTGCCAGCGGATTTTCTTAGGCCCGGCGCGCCGAATTTACAACAACCAGGGGGACTCAGCTGCCGCCTTTTTTGGTGGTCAGTTGGGTCGGCATGAAGAAGGTGCATGTATCTTCTTCTTATCCATTGACTCGTTCTGGATGCAGACACCGAGACATTTGTAGTAGGACGTGCATGTAGCTTATTTCACCATCACGAGCAATGGTGAGTTAAGTAGACGAAGGAGAGCCGGGAGCGAGGGATAAGAGCAGAGAGACTAAAAGACTGATGCATTTCTTGCTTGATGAATGTGTAAGTAGCCGCTCAGCTATAAGATTACGGATATTAGGTATACGTAGCACAGTTGCAATAATCATGGTGCTTATATCGAGACGCAGATCCCCCAGATAAAATGCACCGTGTAGGCTCTAATTTGAACTCAGCATGCTGCAAGGCAAATTCTAGAAAAGGCTCGCTCAGCTGCAAAACAGATTGAGCCAAGCTGTGACATACAGTGCATGGACCAATGGCAGCATCTCGGGCTCAGACGTTTGGCGCCAGCCGTGAAAGCCGTTTAGCGCCCTCGCAAGGGGGGGAACCAAGATGAGTTGGCAAGGTTGGATGTCGTCAGAAGCACAGCACCAGCACAGCGCACAGCTATCCCCAAGCGAAGAAGTTGCAGTATTAGCCTTGCTTGTGGCAGTAGTCGGCGAGACTGGGCCTCAGCCTTACTGCTCAACCACCGAGAGTGAAGTACAATCGGTCTGATTCACTTACACCAGACAGACTCTGTCTGCTTCCAGCCCGCATGCCTTTTGGTCAGATTCCGCTGTGTTCGTGCCACCTGCGCGGGATGCAATTAATTCAGTCAATAGTCCGTCTTGCACATGTCAAGGCTAATTGATCGTGAACTACCATCCAGGAGTCTATGATAGCACCATCGCAAAGTCGCATCTTGACCGCCACTTCAAAGGGTGCTTACCCAGAAGTAGCAACACCGGAGTTGCCGTCTCTCAGAGAGGAACCTAACAGACTTGGAAGCGCATGGGAAAATATTCCTTAGCGTTCCGGCTGATATGCAAGTTGGGAAAGGGCAGAGAAAAAAGAATTCAGCACGAAGCTGGCCGGCAAACGAAAGCGGCTTGCTGCCAGCGAATTACATGTAGAGATTCAACCCCAGGTTTGGCTATGCAAGCGTTTGTTGCTGCGGCCACGTGGCGACGTAACAGAAAGACAGGCATTGAAAGCGGTACGACCATGTTGAAAACGAAAAGATGCGATTGGGAGATCGACACGATTCGTCAACCAAGGGGAGTCCATTCCGGGAAAATGGAAAAAGGAAGCAGTCTTCCAAGGCCAGGTAGGGAAGCATCATTGTTCAAGTGTCTACCGCCTTTACGCAGAGAATTTTTTTTATGATGTGTTGTACATGAGTGGGTCTTGTGGGTGCCAGCTCATTATGCATGAGGTATTGGCCGCAATAAGGAACCGGTTCATGTTGAAATAGCAAGCCTATATAAGAGGCAGGCTCCGATGATTTAGCCCAAGTGGTCTTGTGTCGTCGAACGAGCGGTGGCAGAAAAGAAAGCGAAGCAATCGCCTGAGGCGAGGTCGCGATGCTTCGCTTCGCTTCATGGTTCGTCTGAATCGCGGCTAACGGGACGGGGGCCGCCGCCGCCCAGAATATCTCTTTTTCTATTTGTGCAGCCAGCCATACTCGCCAGTCACTTGTGACGAACCTTGTGTGGATTGCGCTGCGGCAGAAGCATCTGACAAGAGCGCAGAGCGCGGCATGATTGGTGCGCCGCCGCCCAGTGGTCTTGTGGCCATCCAATCTGCTCTTCAGCAAATGCAGAACCAGTGGGCCAATGGGCGAATAGCAGTCAGCTCGATGCCGCGGTGCATCACGCGCGCAACAGACGTCGTTTTTACTAACTCAAACCCTCTTTCCGGAGCCTTGCTTTGCAGCATGTACTATCGTGCAAGCACAAGATTCATGGAGCGAATGGCCACCGCGATGCATATCTGGTGCGATGCGGCCACTTGAGCGGCCACCCCCACCTTTGCTCAGCAATCAGGATGGGTCAGACAGGCAGAAGACGAGGGCGGCCCCAAGCAGAGCAGGACGACGGATGACACGAGAGCCAAGACGCAACAATGAGAGAGGGAAAAAGCGAGCTTGCCGCTTCTGGTACTGAGGGACGGAAATCAAAGCAAGACAGTCAGGCGGCCGATGGCCGGCGTGGGATTGGCCGATTGAGCGCAACCAGGTCCGCCGCGATGCAGCTGCACGTCAGGTATGGCCACACCCATTCGACGATGATGCTTGACGGCGTCTGGAGCGTCGGCTGTGTGTCGCATCGCCTAGGCGTGGTAGCGCGCAGCAAATCGGATGGCGCCGTGGCCTCGTCCAGCACCCGAGCCCTGCTGGGATCCATCTACGGTACCAGCAGGACCTCCAAGGGCCTCCTCGGTAGTTGGCGGTACTGGCCAAGGTGGTTCGCGCACAGCTATATTAATTCCCTGGTGATCTGAGGGCTGCGACGCCGGCTGGTGGAGGGGAGGGGAGGCAAGCAGCAGCGTGCAGTATGAGAGAAGATGGGTGGCGGAGGGATCAAATGGGATGAGGTCGAGCCTTCTGCCTCAGACTGCACGGGTTGGCAGAGCCAGGGCGAGGGAGAGATCCAGAGCCACGACTTTCACCGAAGTTGCCATGCCCTGGCACGACGGGCCATACAAAGGCCGGCCTTGGACGACATATCTGCGAGAGGACCCGCCGAACCGCCTGCGTGTGGACGACGAATGAAACCTTGGTCATGCTGCCGACCAGGCAGTGACTTGCGAGGTACCACTGCCGGGATGAGATGGTTGGCGATGTCGATGGTGTTGGGGCATGGCGATCGCGAGATGCGGTGCGAGTGCGGCTGCGGCTATGGGTCGCGTCGTGTCGTCGTCGTGTTGCTGATGTTGCCGCCGCGGTGTTGACGCTGCGGGCGTTGGTGGTGTTTTGTTGCCAGGCCCGTTTGGAGATACACAGCGAGCTGGACAACTCCACGGCCCTCTGCAAAGTACCTGCCCGCGGCTGTTTTCCTCTCCCACGACGCAAGTACCTCCAGCCAGCGCGCTATCGCACCGTGGCCTCCCTGTCGTTCTGGTACCCGTGCCACCGCAAGGCCCGCTCCGGCTAAACAGGCGCCCGTCCGCATGGCTAAGGCGCATCCATGTTCTTAGTACATGAGGTTGGCACGGCCGTCTCACTAGACGGAGCGTTCCATCGACGAGAAAGTCGAAAAAGGCCCTGTCTTGAGTGCCGAGAGGCGAGGAAAACAAGGCGTTGTCTGTTTTCGCCGTCTTTTCTTTTGCGGCCGTATATACACATGCAAATGCAGGCATGTGCAAGCATGGACGGGCATCGGCCACTACTCCATGCTCGACACAGCTGTGCAGGCGCCGCTCTGTACGGAATAGCATCAGCTACCCTTTAGTCCTTGTCTGGGGCCCTCCCACTCCACCTCCCAGGATCAACCCCCCTCCCTCTCCGTCTATGCGAGACAACGGTACGCCCAAAGTAAGCCTTTCAGGCCTGGGAGACGGTCCGGAAGCAGCAACGGGCGACGCGGCTCCCCATCCATCTAACGATATGCTGCAGCTCCCCGGCAGACCTGACAGACCTCAGCAGGGCATGCTGGTCGCAGAATTGCCTTCTCTGGACTCAACTGGACCAGCCAGACACGCCACTCCCAGCGCCAGGTTGCGGACGGCCCTCCATACATTAGCGTGCGGCGGCCTCTGGATCGCTCTGTCAAATCGCCACTGCAGGGTGCCGTCATACCTAAATATCATGTGCGCAGGTTGTACCAGTGAGTAGCTCTGGTTCTGGATGGGAAACAAGGCCGTTGCTGCGAGTACGAAGTACATCCAGAATACTCCATACTCCATTTCTGGTCGATACTACCAAGACAGACCAGGGGGGTGGTCTGGCGGGCAATAATTTTTTTTTTTTTTCTTTCTTTTGAATCCAGATCCAGCGGGCAACGATCACTCAGTCTTGGTAAAGCGTCTAGAGGCCGGAACAGACATACGTGCATCCATCCCTTGCTCGCACGTCTTGGTGCTAGCAGACCGTCCGTGGAGACCTGGTAGCTGCTGCCGACTTGCGGGCTATACAGAGCGCGGCGCAGCACGGCGTGTTGGATGCTGTCGATAACAAACTGCCTCGCGGGCTCTCTTGGCCACTCACAACGGCTCCGCAGCTGCTCAGCTCTGTCAACCGCACCGCTGCTGCGAACAGGCCCGCCAACTGACTAGTGGCCGAGGATACACGGCGAGAGACGACGACCGAGAGAGAGAATATACTGCGGGATACTCGTATCCAGATCCAGATAGGCCTGCCTGTGCCTTGCCATCGGCATTCCCCAGTGGTGGCTTCCCCCAGCCCACCGTGGCAACCTTCTGCTCTGCTCTGCTCTGAGAAGAGAGGAAAAGAGTCCTACGATCTCCAAGGCTCCGGATTTCTTTGTAATTCCCGTCCTCGTCTCTTTTTCAACCCCCCTCCTCCGCCTTCTCTTCCCTCCTCCGTCTCTTCCTCCTCCAGCATCTCTCCTTCTTGCGCTTTTGTGTTCCTCTTACGACCGCAACGGCTCCAGCTCGCATCGGGTCATAAATCGCAAAATTTCAACGCCGGGGTTTCGACTGGGCATCTGCCTCCAAGTAAGGACGGGCCAGCCCTTATTTATCCATCCCGGCAATCTGCACCGTTCTGGTCGTTCTTTGCATCTGCTCGCTTCGGTGCCTGCAACAAGCGTGCTACTGCATGTCGCGGATCGACGCTGCACAAGCGGCGCCTCTCCATTCTGCTTGTTTGTTTCTCGTCGAGACCCGTAAGAGCCCGCTCGTATTAGCCACGAGGCCCGTGGGAAAAGCCGCGCGCCTGCCGGCCGGTGTCGTGCATTCTTGGTATTCACGATAGTGGGCTCAAGACCACATCGAAGGAGGATCCAGTCCCTCCACCACTGGTGCCGGGGAGCAACGCCCGCCTGCAGGGCGTGCCATTTTGGACGGAACTTGTTTCTCGACTAGTCTCTGGCCTGCTTTTTCCATTATTACTGGCTCTGCAGCATCTGCCTGCCTGAGAGGGGTCTTGTGGAGGAGTGGCTGCACAACCACCACCATCAAGTTATCTCGACCAGAGCCGTACTACGACACTCCCTCGCTCTCTACCTCGCAGCGCTGCGGTTTTTGATAACTCCCCCATCCGGGCTGCTTCGCGGGCCCATATCTTTGGTCTTCATCTACTTTTGAATCTCTGGTCGGTAGTTTCAACTCCTCTTCTATTTGCGGCGTCAATGTTTGTGCGAGGGCTGGCACCACGTTCTATTCTCCTTTGCTCTTTGTTTCTTTGACATTCACCACACGCTTTTTTCGACAACCCCTCCTCTCAGAAACCATGGCTGCTTCTTTCAGCTTGGACGAAAAGGTATGCTTGGGAAATTCCTATTTCTATCATACAGTTGCAAGAGCCAAAGTTTATTTTACTAATGAACTTTTACCTAGCGATTTGTTCTCGCAGAGATGATCAAATGCAGCTCAGTTGATGTCGACATGTTGATACGATTTGTCGAGTCAAATGTGTCCGACCCCAACTGGATGATTATGCAAATCCCGCCAGGTACGGTGAATCCAATGATGCTGCATTTCTACTTCGATATTTTTTTTTTGTTTTGTTACGGTGCATTCATTTTCTAACTTGACATTCAGGTCGCAATCTGGAACAGTGCATGCAAGTCGCGAATCGGTCGCCGACAGCCCCAAACCATAGATCCGCAATGTCTCAAAACGACCATCTGGCCAACAGCGGTATGAATCATTCAAGACAGTTTGCGCCGAGAACAAGTCCTGGTGGCCAAACTCCTGGGGTTATGCCAATGTCGCCCGTCAATATGGCTCCGTGGCCACCAGCGGATGGTGCTGAGGACAGACGTGCACCGCCCTACGAAGCTCCAAATGCCCCTGCTCCTAGAAAGAGAGGACGTCCTTCACGAGTAGACAGAAACACAGCTGTGCCTCCTCGTCTTGCCAACATCGCCCCCAGACCTCCTCAGTCCGTTCCGGGCTCTAACACACCTCGGCCTATTCTCCCGGCTATTCAGCGCCAAGCTGATACTCGAAGCTCTCAGCCGCCACCTCCAGCGCAGGTCCCACTAATGCTCGACTCTCCACCGAGTAAGAAAAAAAGAAAGACGAGCGCAGGTGCAGTTTTGGTTTCCACCCCGCCTCCTCCTCCTTCTGTTACCACACCTCCTGCGTCGGTGGATCACGAGAAACGACCAGTAAGTAGCCAAAAATAGCAAACGCCTGTATGCCGGTCTAATTCACAGCGGTAGCGAGAGTCGAGCGAGGCAAATTCCACAAATGGACGTGAGAATATACGTGAGATGGGACAAATACAGTCTCCTCGCCCAATGCCGCTTGAACCGGAGCCACGACATCATCCCTCCCTCATGCCCGTAGCCTCCGCGGCACCATCTCAAATCAAAGCTTAAATAACAGCACTAGCCACAGTTTGGCACTTCTTTCAGGATTTCTGTCAAAAACCCCAAAAGGCTAGGTTAAGGGAACGCTATTGTGTGTGTTTACTTCTACACTTCATGTTTCTTTCTTAGTAGTGTCACTACATTATACCCTTCCAATTTCACCCATTATCCCATTTCATGTATTTGCTACGTTTCTTTACATTTCCCCTTTTCCTCGCTTTCCTTTTCCCTTTTCTGTTTGTCTTTCCTTTACGTTTTGTGTGGAGGTGATTTGGAGCATATTGGCGTTTTGTTACTACATGACCTGCGGGGTCGGCCTTTTGATATTTGGAAACATGTATGTGCATGGATTGAATGAAAGTCAAGAATCTAGGTTTGAGAAACGAAACGAGCTAGGTAATCATGAATGACATGGTCTCGAAGCGGGGTGGCACCATCTTCCCGCTTCTTTCACTTCTCCCATTTTCTTCACCTCTTCCGCCTTTATTTTCTTTTTGCATCGCACGGGTAGATAGATTGAGGTGCTGTTGAACGGCATTTCATCCATACTTTTCATAGGTAGCCAACATTTGTGTGCCATATGGCGTTCAACGATTTGAGTCGTTGTTTTGGCATCTGGTATAAAGGGATCCAAGGGCTGTACGATTAGTACCAGTAGGTAGGCATTTTGCTTAGATAGCACTGTTTATTTATAGATGCGTTTTCCGGGGCAAAGAAAGTAGCATTTGGCTCACAGTGGAGTGCTATACTTGATACCCAGATTCACCATCTCCAGAACTTGGTATACCCCTAGCAATATTTATAACTGTGTGTATATATATATGCGGGTGTACGGTACGAAAGCATTCATTATGTGGTAACGAATAGGTTTCAAGCCTCTTCTCAGGGATGACGAAATATCCCCGCGCTATGATTGCACGGAAAACAAAACAGGCCATGGGTGTCTTTCCATATGACGTGGGGTTTCATTGGTGCTGCAACACAAACAAGGGGGTCAAGTTTGCGATTCGTTGTAGTACTGCCTTTATTAGGAACTAGGTAGGTACCTATGCGCCGAGCACAAATTAACGCCAAATGTAGGTAGTTGGATTGGATTCTAAAAATAGGCAGCGTTAATATATCTGATACTGATGTCGATATTGCAAGCAGGGGACCAATAAACTGGGTTGGCATATTGAAGTAAGTAGTAGTGTCTAGTAGTAGCGGTATTAATACCATGGCGGCCTGATCTGTGCTATATTACATCTATTACATACATAAATAGTAAATAGCTACTAGCAATGCTCTGTGCAATGAGAAGCATGAGTGTAGTGTTGCTGTATTCTCAGCCATGATTGTTCTGGGATAGTTCAATTTTCATTCTCGCAAGTACTTACACGTTGAGTTTACATGATAAGAGTTCCCCCATCTTGAGATAAATGGCAAACCTCTGTTTGAAATGGGAATATAGGTAAATATATATGACAAAAGAATATAGGTAAATATAACCAACTGCTGCACATCTTTTCAGTGTGCCTTTTCTTTGGAACCATGTAGGAAATAATACGGATGAACGCCATATATGTTTGTTTTTATTCACGTTATTTATTTATTTTTACATCTTCGTTTTTTATTTATTTAAAGCAAGTCGCTAAGATATCTCATATTCTTCATTATTTTTTTTTTAACTATTCCTTTCGTTCGTTCTTTATTGCATTTACTTTTTTTTTTTCCAGCTGTTCCTTACAAAGCCTTAACAATCTTCTCCAGGGCATCAACCAAGATATCCGCGTGGTGCTCCTGGAAGGTCAGCATGGGACGCAGACGCACGGCGCTGGCGCCACTGCCGCCAATGTTGATGCCAAACTCCTTGGCCTTGGCAAGGAACTGGTCGCGCTTGGGGTTGTCGAAGGCGATAAAGGTGCCCTGGCCCTTGCCGCGGAGGTCCTTGAAGTGCTCGGGGTACTTCTTCTGCAGGCCCTCGAGCTTGGAGTAGAGGTAGTCGCCAATCTTGGCGGTGTGGTTGACGAGGTCGAGGCGCTCAATCTCGCCAATGATGGCGCGGAAGAGCAGGGCGCGGACGGGGTCGCCCATCCAGGTGTTGAACTGGCGGTAGGGCTTGTTGGGCCGCAGGGCCGGGTTGCCGTAGTAGAAACCGGCGGCCTGGGCCTTCTTGGAGAAGGTGACAATGTCCGGGGGGTCCTGCAGGTTCCAGTGGTCGTGGGCCCAGAACTTGCCGGTGGCGCCGACGCCCGTCTGGACTTCGTCGACGATGAGGAGCACGTTGTGCTTCTTGGTCAGCTCGCGCAGGCCGCGGAAGAAGTTGGGCGAGGCGTGGTTGTCGCCGCCCTCGCTCTGGATGGGCTCGACGATGACGGCCGCGGGGGGGATGTGCCACGTCTTGATCAGGTGCTCGACCTCGTCGAGGCTGGCCTGCTCGATCTTGGCGTTCTCCTCGGCGTGCTGGTCGAGAGGGTACTTGAGCTTGGGGAAGGTCGCCTGCGGCCAGTCGAAGGCGGGGATGTCGACCTTGTGGATCGGCTTGGAGCGCGTGGTGGACAGAGTGCCGAACAGGCGGCCGTGGAAGGCCGTCTTGAAGGACAGGATGGAGAGCGAGGAAGAGCCGGGCGACTGGTTGTTCATGGCCGAGTCGAGCTCCTCCTGGGTAAACTCGACATCCGGGCCGCCACGCTCGAGCTGTCGTCGGTAGATGAAGGCGGCCTTGAAGGCAGTCTCGTTGGCGTCAGAGCCCGCCATGGCGGTGAAGACATTGTTGAGGCCCTTGGGCGCGACCTTGAGGATGCCGGTCTTGAGGATCTCGGCGTAGTCGTGGGAGGGGAAGTTGCCCAGCGCCGGGCGGTTGATGATGGCGTTGACCATCTCGGGAGTGGATGCGGCCTTGGCCAGCGCGGGGTTGTTGTAGCCAACGGGGATGGAGGCAATCTGGGCGTAGCTATATAGATCCAATCCCAATGACATCGAATTAGCACCCAAGAACCACGCAAACCACGCTGCTGCTCGTCAACTAGTGCACTTACACGTCGAGGAGGTAGTTGCCATCGGGGTCGGCAATGTAGTTGCCAATGCTCTTGGTGAAGTCGGTCATCATGTTGATGCTGCGAGTATCAAAGACCTCGCTCAGCTCGGCAATCCTCTTTGCACTCTGGGGCCCAGGGATGCTGGACTTGAGCACAGGAGCCTCGGGCTCGCCCTGGATGAAGGCCTTGGTGGACGCCATTCTGATGGAGGCGTTGGAGAAGCAGCGGGCAGAGTTGAGGGAGGAGGCGTGGAGGGAGCGGATGGCAGGGCGCAATGCCTGGGCGGCACGGAGGGCAGGCATCTTGACGGCCGTCTTTATATGCTCTGCCGGGGGACCGTTTGTGAGTTTCTGTTATGTATCGCGGCTGCGTAGCGTCGGCTTGAAGCGCAGCTGGCCTTGCTCCTTTTCTCTCTTCTATTACCTAATTGGGGGCCAATTGGAGATGCTTGACGCGCTTCCCCTCACCGGCTGTCACACGAGAAGGCAAAGAGACGAGAAAAAAAGAGGGAATAGCAGTGTCGTCAACAGGCTCGCTGTCCAGCTGCGTGGTGCGTGCGACCCGGTGCTTTATATCAACGGATGGCGGCGGCTTATCTGCGGGGCGCGCAATGCGGGGGAAGCATTGCTAACACGAGGCAGCTCTGGGGGCGCTAGAGCACCATGACGGGCCCTGATGGCGCTGCGGCGTCCACTGAAGGCCGCTGCTGTCGCTGCTGCTGCTGCTGCTGGACCGGTCCCGAGCCGGAATCGGGGGAGCCGGTCCTGGAGCCGGTGCGCCCTTTGGTGGCTGGGGCGGATCTGCCCTGTTTACGTTATTGGATCAATGAAGCTTTTCTTCGACGCAATTGCACGACGAGATGGCCCAGTCGGGCAGGGGACCTAATCTCATCGTGCTGTCGCCCTCGGTTAATTGTTCCTGCGCCGTCGTGGCTTGCCTCAAACGCGTTCCTGTGATCATCTAGAAGCAGCGGATTCAGACGCTCTTATACACTAGAAGACACTAATTCATCAAGAAGCAGATACGACTACTAGGTACCTACCATCAAATTGCAATTGCTGTCCATCTTCCCTCATCTCCTCCTCCCCGACCTCGGCCCCCTCTCTGGCCAATTGGTCAATCTCTCGCATTCCCCTTACCCTTTAAGCGGTGCACCTGACCGTCTCAACGCATGCACGAGAAGCCCATTTGTCTTACGTTTTCAGTTGGCCCCGGCGGATCGGACGTGTAGCGAAACATCCCCACGTGGGGCTCTCTTCCCCAGTGCTGCTACTACTACTACTACTAACTAGTATTATGACTACTAGCAGCCTCAGTAGTATAAGTGGCAGAGGGTAAGTGAGAGTGAGGGGCGCGTACTCGCTCGGCTTACTATACGGAATGCAGAGTAGTGCAAGTGATCCAAGATAAGGCAATGGAGTGTAAGTTTGGCATTTTGGAGATGCGACAGGCACACGCAGTCACATATGGCATCTTGCGGCACCCGAACAGGAAAGAAACAAGCAAATCTGCCTATTTTGTAAGCTGCCGGCAGTGGTTGGATCAGGTCCCCCCTCGTTTTATTTGTTTTTCTTTGTTGCATTACTAACCGTGCCATTTCTGCTGCCGGTCCGGCCTCGCTGCTGCTTCTTCCGGGGGCTCTTTTCAACGTTGGCATCGGCGCTCTCCCGGCTTCCGGCCTTGCATGAGTCTCCACGGAAATTGTACCATGTTCGTGTTGAACTTTGGTGTTGTTACTAATACCCACGCATACAGTCAGCTACCATTCATCTGAGACGTACATGTACAATTTCTTTTATCTAAATTGACATCATTTATTAATTGTTACTATCATTATTATTACTAGTAGTATTGAACATGTAATTTTTTTTTTTTCTTGTCCCTTGGTAGCCTTACCCCCTTACCCCAAACGAATGATGTACATGAACACGATGTACATGAACAGCAACTATAAAGCATCTTTATATTCAAACTAACATCTGCCATCTCTTTTCCACATAGCCCCCCTTCATTCGGCCTAGAGAATGGCTAGGACCGCGAGCTCATCCGCCTCCCGATTCTCCTCTGTCGCGGCGCACCAAATCAAGACATTCGTACCCCCTTCTTCATCTTCACCCGTATTGCCCACGTCTCGCATCAAACTCTCAATATCCATGAGCAGCTGGAAGTACATCACCTTCTCTCCATAGATGTTCCTCCCAGCGGCTGCGGCCCAGCGGCGGACGAGGCCTGGAAACACCTGCTGGATATACAGCGAGTGCGTCTTGATGAAACACCTTCGAGGGTGAAATCCGTCAGAGATGATCGTGTCCTTTACGACCCTCATGGCCCGTGATAGAGCCTCGATCTCGGCCCTAGTCTCCGTCTGCGGAAGATCAGGATCCAGGGGACCGCTCGCGTTGTGGGGAGATCCAGGGCCGAAGTAGATGCCCCAGCCGGCTCGAGCGCCGCGGACTCCAGGCCGTCGGCACCGACCGCTGATGCACAAGACGATGCTGCCGTCATCTACCTTTCTCTCTTCGCTGCCGGGTTCTTGCTCTTGGATTTGCAGGATGCCTTTGGTGGAGTTGTAGGCGAGGAGCTGGTCTTTTGGAATGCTGCGGCAAAGCACGTCCCAAGTTGGGCGATAATGGCGGCCAGGAACAGAGGCGTCGCGTTCATCTTGATGTCCACATCTGGAGTATGAATACATTCCGCTGTGTTGGTTTTGGTGTTCGTTCGTCTTGATGTTGAAGGCTTGACAGCAGAGAGAGAGAGAGTATTTTGACCGAAGAGACTGCTTAGAAAGAAAGAGAGGTGAGCAAAGCTGCATGGGAGGTTATAAATTGCTTATTTTGCCATCAAATAGCATCAGATGGCAATAAATTTTATCAACAGTGGGGTTGGATGAGGCGTGGATCTGTGTATAAAGAGTATACACTTCGTGGCTAAGGAGCTTGAGAAAGTACTTTGGCGATTTACACCAAGAATGGGTCATTTGAAATGTGAGTGGAGGAATCTACAATCTAATGTTTTCCACTACTTTGAACCAAATGTATGAACTTAAAATGGGAGAGAGTTTTGTCTGTGCGATATAACTTTTGCTACTTTACCTTAACATCGCCAGCTTGCAGGCAGTTGAATTTTACCTAAATGTCGATGAATCTTTTTACTTTATAGGCGCTCGCAGGCTTTTATATACCGTGATGGTAGTTTAAGTCAGTTCGTCCCTAATAGCATAAGAAATTGTTACCCAATGCATGGAATTCGTAATTCAGCGCCCCAGTTGTAGGTGTTGCGAATAAACAACCTAGTAGTATTGTACTGCCAGGTATTTCTACTGCCTCTACTGCTTCTATTTCTTTTACTCTCTAAGTATTATACACTTTTTAATATTCTTCTGTGTGGACTAGGCCTCTCGTCAAGCCACGTCTAAGTTGCTGGATAACGAATCTGAAAGCGTTGAATAACACTTCCCTGAGTCAATTACATCTTAGCTGTTGTATCTTGCGTCAAAAAAGTCGTAAGGAGTACCATGAGTACTGTTTCCTTATTACTCTTCTGCAGAATCTGTGCACTACGCTGTAACTACTACTAGGTACTACCTACTAGGTAGTAGTAATGTTTAATGCTAAAGTATACGTGATCATAGTAACGTAAGATAAGCGCGCAATGATGTTAATATGAGTAACAGCTTGAATCACGAATAAAAAAGACATGTGTGTTGACTCTTTAAGCAAAAAATCCATAGTGCCATTTTATCAATCTGATTCCCAAAATATATCGCCACCTAAAACTCGGGGCAAACACAGCTGTGCAGAGACGATGCTTCCATGCGCTTCAAGAAACACGAAAAGAAAAACAAGGAAAATTCTGTTGCCATGTTTATAGCATGCAGTAATCCGCCAAAGTAATAATGCGAGCCGACAATCTTTCTGTGTCTGCGTGAAGAATAAAACCAAACCCAAAAGGTGTAAACCAACGTTGTCCAAGTCGGTCACAGGCCCAAGCCAAATGCGCCAAGTGTATGCAAAACTAAAATCACCGCAATACCCAACGAGTCTAACTCTTTCAACTCTGAATGTGCAAACCATTGCCTCTCTGCTTTACAATGTCTAGCCGCTCCGTAGCGCGCTGCAAACATCCACATTGGAGGCCACTTCTCTTAATGGCCACCTTGCTCGTCTTCTAATTCTCGAGTGTATTTAACGAATGTCTTTTTATGGATCTACAACGCAAGACATGATCAGCACTGTGGCATCTGGCACGACGATTGAAACTTTGGGAGGGGTAGAATAGCCACCACTTACCATTCCAGCATATTTGCCGTCCCTCAAGACGCAAATGTACCGTAAACCTAGCTTAACAAAACATTCCCACGCCAAATCTATCGGCGATCGAATATCCAGTGCAACGGGTGCCTGTATGTCGTTAGCAAAAGTCTCCACCTCGTTTCCTTGCCATCGAGAATTATCAATGAATGCTTACTGGATCAATATATTGGGTAAAATCTGTGGGATCGGGCCCATTAATGTCTTCATCTTCATCAAGGCTTGGAACCTGGTCCATCAAGCAAAGGTTTGAGCCTTCATCTTGCAGCTGGTCCAGGGCATATTGAAGATCCGGAGCAGGTATAAGCCCCACCAAGACGTCTTCTCTCAGGATTGGCAAGCCGCCATCCAGTTCGCCATGGCGATGAAGGATCTCCAGCTTGCTGCGCAGACTTGAAGCAGGGACCAACGGCGAATTTGTAATATCTATAATTCGTTCTCTCCGTAGTCGACGGACCAGATCCGTCAAGTCGCCGCTGAAAATAGGCTTATGCTTATTATCCAGGAATGGGTACGCATTCATGTTCGTAAGAAGGTCCTATTATATAGGATTAGTTGAATTGCTTTCTGTTAGTCGCCTCGCCGTGTTTCACTTACGTAGATGCTGTTTGGCTCAATGGCATCCGCCGTCCATTTGGCCACAAGAATCGACAGGGAGAAGGGCAGAACGTAGTCAAGACTGCCAGTGAGCTCGAATAGAATAACAGCCAAAGTCACTGACAACCGTGTTACGCCACACATGGTTGCACCGGCGGCAATGAGGCCATAAACTCCGGGCTGGATACACGTTCCATCCGCTGCGGTTGCACAACCACCCCAAACACTCCAGTCGGGCGTGGCAAGCACTAACCACTGCGCGAGGTGTCCCACAATCCGTCCCATCAAACCACCGACAACCATTGATGGGATATATATTCCGGCAGGAACTTTCTGTTCAATTGTTAGAATGTTCGTTTTCAAGCTCTTAAAGGCGGTACGGATACATACAATTCCAAATGCAATGACGGTCAAGAACCCCTTGATCAAGAAGGCCATGATAAGCGTCGACAAAATCAAGGGTATGTCATCGATTGACCTCGGGCAAAGCCCCAGGCTGTCGCTCTTAGTACGGTCGCACGGAGAAGCCAGGTTGAGAAGAAGTTTTTGGACTGTTACTTTGGTTAATGGATTCCAATAGCTCATGAGACCTGTTACAACAGCCACGAGAAACACCTCCAGCATTGGATACGCCTTGATAACCCTAATCCGACGGAATGATTGTGCCCAATACTTGGATGCTTTGATGAAGAGAGCTCCCATGGCGCCTCCGACAATGCCGACAAAGATGAAAGATCCCAGTTCAAAGTACTCCCAATCGATCAGGTACCGAATCTCAAACATGACAATCTTGTGGGTACCATACGGATTCAAGAACTTTAGAGAAAGTGATGCAACGATACAGGCGAAAAATGTCCGAAACAGCGTTTTGGCCGGGAAAAAGTACGATACTTCTTCCAGGCCAAACAGCACTCCTCCTAGAGGCGCGCCGAAAGCCACGGCTACGCCAGCCGCGGCAGCAGCAGAGAGAACTTCACGTCTCTTGGCATCATTACGATCGTACTTTGCAAAGAGACGGCACGCGATATTGCCAACACAAGTGGCCATGTGAACGAATGGGCCCTCTTTGCCAATGCTTAATCCCGAAGACACACTCAAAATTAGCGAGACCATCTTGAAAATTAACGTCCTCAGGCCGAGGAAACCGTGAAGAACAAAGCCGCTGAGGATGACTCGAACTTCGGCGACACCGCTGCCTGCTGCTGAGTAGTAAACCATGGGCGGATTGTCCGGTTTGCTATCAATCACCTGTCGAGGGCTTGCACTATCATCGCCAGGGCCTTCATCTGGCACGGGATGGGCGCTCTCAGCAGCAAGATTTTCGTCCAAGGTGGTCAAACGATAGGCTGAGGGAACAACAGTCTTTGTCCACAGGGCCACCCAGCAAGAGGCGCAAGCAAAGAGAACGACGCCTCCGACATAGATGAGGAAATCCGTCCACTTTTCTCCAAAGGGGTGATAATTCAGTGCTTGAGACCATGTCTTCCAGTCCTCGCAGTCGGTGCGTCCTCTAGGACAGCATCTCTAGACGTCATGTCAGTCAAGAATTTCAAGGCCAAGACAGCTACCAAATGGTAAAAAGAAGACAAACATTCTGCTTGCACCCACCTTTTCATCAAAATACCAGGCTTTTGCACAATAACCGTCCTTGAAATCAAACACAACAGACTCTGCTACATCGACTGTATACGCTATCAGGGCAATAACAAAGCCGCAAAGAGCACTGAGAATCCAACCCTGGCTCCCATCAATGGTCGTCAGGATTCGACCCCAGAAATCCTTTCTGCTGCGGAGCGCTTTCACGCGATAGGAGTCGGCTATCGTATCGTGCACCCAATCGGTGCTTGTAAACTGATCGTACCATACTCGCTCGTCGGGGAAGATGGAGCCCTTGGACTCTGACATGGATCGCTCAGAGAACGCATTGACTAGGCGCTGCCCCCAAGAAGAGCGACGGCTATGGTGTCGAGTGCCCGGGATGCTATCTACAGTCGTCGTCGAACGTTGTTAGCTGATGCTGATTTCAAAGCACAAGAAAACTCGGATTTTCCAGGGGCCCAAAGGAGGGGTGGCCGCTGCGTTTCTTCTTCCATACCTGAGTGGCTCTGATCGCGGGATAAATTTGGACGGCGTGGTGAAGCAGCCCCGCCGTGGATTCGAATACGTGATCGAGAGGTGTTTAAGAGTAGTGGAGCGCGCTCGTCGGGCTCGTTGGCCGAGTTCTGGCGACGCATGGCAACTGGCCGGCGAGAGAGACGGGGAGAGGTCGGCTGCGACATCGAGCCGTAGCCGTCTCGTTCGGCCATTGCGGTGGGCGATGTGAAGAGAAGCTCTAGGATAGAGGTGGCGGATGGTTGCTAAGGAGGAGGAAGTGTTATATGATGAAGGGATTCTGGATGTGGTAAGCTTCGATGGGGGTGTGGGCTATCAGGGTGGTATGCATTAGCATCAGACAGGTCATTTGGGGCCTCGGATCGGCTTTGGCTCGGTGATGGCGCAGGGACTTGTGCTTTTGCCCGGCAAGGAGGATGGAGAAAATGAAGGGCTGCTGTTGGCAGTAGCCAAAGCCACGTTGGAAAGTGAATAGATGGCTGTAGACTAATAGCAGACTAGCAAAAAGGGGGACGAAATGAAAGCTTCATGGCGTTCGCAAGGCTGAGCGTTGCAACCTGCACGTCTCAGCGTGCATTGCCTAGCTCTAGTCCCGAGTCTGGGGTCGCCTGGGGCTAGCACTAGCCTCAGCGTCTGACCTGGTATAGCCACTGAAGGCTTCCTATGCATTAGGCACCGCACAGCGCGTTATAGGCCGGGAGCCGTCAGGTGAGCCGCTTTGATGGCGGTCGAGTCAAGCCATGACGACAAGTGGCGGACGGGATCCAGCCAAAATGGAGCTTTCGTGCATGCAGACGAGTTGCAATAACCAGCAAAGAGACTCCATGCGACTTGCTGCCTGGTCGCTCTGTCGCTCTCAGCAAACATGCGCCGTAGCCGACTCGGTAATTCGGAAGCCAGAACCGCGGTGATGCCACAGGGTATGAGATGAGATGGTATTGCATCAAAGGGTCCCCGAAAAGCATCGGATGGGCTGCAGCATCCATGCAGGGCCCTTGGCATTCCATCATCCAGCATGAATCATTGGCGAGTAGCCTTGCAGTTGCGCAACACGCACTTGATTGGCCCTGGAGAAGAGGGTGTGCGCGCTGAGCAAGGCCCCTGTAGTCTACAGTATTCAGGCGCGCATCAAAAGAAACTGAATACACGCATATTACGGAGTATACACCAAGGCGATAAGATTGGCACTGCAAAGCAGGTTAATGACTAGGCATGCAGGTTGTCTTATCGACGTATCATCCGACATGTGCCGATCATTTTGCCCAGCCTCTAGTTTTTTGATAGCCGCTTGGTCATCTACACGAGATCAAGAGACTGGCCTAGTGCCCATCACACGAGCAACTGCGGGCGATCTCCATCATTTTTTAGCTGGAAAGCGCGGCAGAGCGCACTCGCTCCTTGCCTAAGCCAAATAAGCATATCTGATGCATACCGTAGGCCTAGGACTTGCAAACATGCCACCGAGGCAATTTTGGATATCAACACTCGTCAAGAAAGCCCAAAGTGCTGCGAGGTTTTTTTTTTTTTTTTTTTTTTTTTTTTCTTTTGCCCCTAATGAAATTATGTAGGATTATGGATGGTTGTCTAAGACTATTGCCGTCATAGCTTTAGTTGCTTGCTATCGCAGCCATTCCCTCTGCAAGTGATCACGATTCGCAGCATTGTGCTACCAGCCACTCTCGTTCGCAGCCCAAAGAGGTGGCATTACGTAGCATTGGCACAAAAGTACGAGAAACTGCAGGCCATATGCGGCAATGTGCACAGTAAACACCCGCAGGCTAGTTTGGGTTCGACCTCCAGTAATTCTATGGGAATAAGAATGTCTTTTGTCTTGATGTGGGTTATCATATGTATATCCAAGCAGATGCTGCATTTTCTCTTGGCGGATGCGGCGGTCATCTCAACGGCTCCATTCATACAAGCAAAGCGAGCGCTAGCACAGTGGTGGACGCACTTATTTCCGGCGTGGAGCTCAAGGTACATGCACCACGTCCCAAGAGTGGACTAAAATGTGCTTATCTTATCGGCCAGAAAATTTCATGCTCCATCGAAAAGTTCCAAGCCATAGAGCGCCATAGCGACCCGTCTCAAGCAACTTTGTTCAGTCGACGCTCCCAACTCAGTCGACCAACTTGTTGTATTTTTTTTGTTCATACAATCGCGCGAATCCAACAATCTAATTCGGAAAACCACACAAATTCCGCCATGGTAAAGAAGAGAAAGGCCTCTCGGCACGCCGCCGAGCCCAGTGGGCCAAAGGAACTGGACCCTGCGGACGCTCGTCTCAAAATCTCTACATACGAGGATGTGGCCAATTCAGAGGACGAATTCTTCATGAACCGGGATACAATCATGCTCGACGATGAACCCAACATGAAGCGCAGGAGAAAAGAAGACGAAGAAATCGACTTTTCAGACGAAGAGGTCTTTGGTTACGACGACGCAGATTCAAACAACAAGGCCCGGCCGAGTAAATCAAAACGAAAGGCCACCCAAGACGATTCAGAAGATGAAGCAGATAAAGCCAATGGAGAAGAAGGCGAGGAGGAGGGATGGTGGGGTGCATCTAAGAAGGAGTACTACAATGCGGACAACATCGAAACAGAGGCGGATGCTTTGGAAGAAGAAACTGAGGCGAAGAGAATACAGCAAAAGAAGTTGGCTAAGATGGCCGAGGAAGATTTCATCTTCGACGGCGATGAGTGGCTAACAGGCGAACAAGAAGAAAATGAAGGCGCAGAAACAGTGACTGAAGTCCTCAAAGAGGTCGAGGTGACCGATGACATGAGCACCGAAGAGCGCCTGAAGCTGCTATCTGCTCGATACCCTGAATTTGACTATCTCGTCAAAGATTTCCAAGAGTTGCAACCACAGCTGGATATACTGCGGACAGACGCCAAAATCTCCGCCCCCAAGTCTCTAGCTGCCATCAAGTACTGGGTGCTTGGATGCTATGTTGCCTCGCTAGCCAGCTACTTGGCCATCCTAACATCACCAGCTCGTGATGCTGCCAAGGCACAAAGAACCATCGATCCTGCCGAGCTGCGTGAACACGATGTGATGGAAACTCTGATCCAATGCCGCGAGGCATGGGAGCGGGTCAAAGACATGCGATCCCTCAAGACATCTGAGGAGTCATTGGCACCCGATGTTGACTCTATTCTTCAGTTGAATGGAGGTGAATCAGCCGTCCAGACTAAGAAGAAGGCGAAGAAGGCGAAGGAGGATGCCGCTGCTGCGGCGAAGAAGGCCAAGAAGCTGGCAAAGGCAAAGGCAATCGAAGAGACAGTTGCTGATCTTTATGACTTGCCCATCAATACAAAGCCAAAAGCAAAGAAGAAGGATCAGACAAGCCACGCTCAAGATGACGATAGCTCGGACTTTGGTGAGGAGGAGGCTTTGGACGCTCGCGCAGCAGCTGACAAGGCGGCGCGCAAGAAGAGCTTGAAGTTTTACACATCGCAAATCGTGCAGAAAGCCAATCGCCGGGCTGGTGCTGGTCGCGATGCTGGTGGTGATATGGATATCCCTCACCGCGAGCGCTTACGAGACCGCCAAGCACGTCTCCTGGCTGAGGCTGAAAAGCGAGGCAAGAGAGATTCTAAGCTTGGCGCGAACCTCGGCGAGGACAGCGACGAGGAAGATTCCAAGACTGCCAATGCGGTGCGCGATGAAGAGGACGAGTATTACGACATGGTAGCGAACGCTTCCAAGGCCAAGAAGGAGGACAAGACTGCCCGATACGCCGCCTACGCCGCCGCAAGCAAGGCCGACAGAGTGGTAGAGACAGAGGAGATTGGCGAGGACGGCAAGCGAAAGATCACATATGCCATCCAGAAGAACAAGGGTCTGGCGCCCAGAAGAAGCAAGGACGTCCGCAACCCCAGAGTCAGAAGAAGAAAGCAGTTCGAGGCCAAGCAGAAGAAGCTGAAGAGCATGAAGCCGGTGTGGCAAGGCGGCGAGCCCAAGGGAGGATACAGGGGAGAGGTCAGTGGTATCAATGCTACTGTCATCAAGAGTACGAAGCTGTAGAATATACTCCGCGTTTAATAGCATATATAAATCATGGATCTCGGCATATAAACTTGTATCTACCCGGGAGTGTGACTTTTATTGTGATTATTATTTTATTTCAGGCTAGCTGCATATTAATATTATTATACATATTTCTCTCAGATTCTTTTTTGCTGGTGGCTCATAAGCCTCCATGCCTTAATCGTCATCTAGTGTAAGGGTTTCAGGGTAATGCAAGCGGTGTTGAAGGTGCGCACCTAAGCTGTCATCTTGTGCCCCACCTAGTCAACCGCCAACAGCATCTCTACTTGGCCTGTAAACACCACTTCAGCACTAGCTGCGAACGCAATCTAGAGACTGCAATTCTCTTGACGAATAGCCATTACACGTTTCAATGACGGCAATTCTGTGATATTCGACCCTCAGACCTCGCCACCATGGCCACTCCCGATGCGACCAAGTTCACCACTTCCGACCAGATCTTCTCCGCGAACCACACGCTCCCCCAGATTCGCTCCATCCACAAGGCCCTCCATGTCGAGATCGAGGACAAGGCAAGCCGCCTGCGTACGCGCGTAGGCGGATCTTACCGCGACCTTCTCGGCACGGCCGACACCATTGTCCAGATGCGCAGCGACAATGATGCCGTACAAGAGCTCCTGGGCAATATGGGCTGGCGGTGCGGGAGGACGGTGGTGTCGACAAAGGTGGCTGGATTGGCCAAGTTTGTGCGCAAAGAGCAGAAATCAGAAGTTGCCGAGTCAGCTAGAAAGAAGTTGCTGGATGGATGTCTGCTACTAGTTGGCAGGCTGCTCAGAGGTCGCGGGGAGCTGGACGAGAGTGTCAGGATCGGCGACAGGCTGGTGTTGGCAGCCAAGGTGTGGGTGCTGAGCCGCCTCCTGGTCAATAGCTTAGGGAACGAGTTTGCCAACGACGAGGCTCGGCAAGCTGCTGATGCTGTCAAGAAGAAGCTGGATAGCTTGCGTCGACGGCTCAGGACGACTCTGGAGAAGACCATGGAGAAAGCTGGTCCCGACTCTGATAGGGATGACGTGTTAAAGGCTCTCGCTGCTCACAGCCTTGCGAATAGCTCTGGAACCAAGGATACCTTGCGGCACTTTTTGGAAGTGAGGTTCAAGGCCATCGCTGTGGCTCTGGATTATGAGGAAGAAGATGGACGAGTAAGGAGTCCGGACGATGTTATCCAAAGCCTGGGACTGTATGCACAAACTCTATTAGACGTGCAAGCTTTGGTTCCAAACAAACTCTCGCAGGCGCTCAATGCCCTGACAAAGAAGCCTCTCCTGGAAGATGCCTCACTACAGAAGCTGGAAGGGCTCCGACTCGACATTTTTGAGAGGTGGTGCGGTGAAGAGATCCAATATTACACGCCGTTCATTCGTCATGAAGATCTCGATGGGGCGCAGGCAAGGGAGATGTTTGACAGCTGGATGGAAAAAGGCCAGCAAGTGCTGCTTGATGGGTTGAAGAAAACTCTAGAGCCAATACACGATTTCAAATCCATAACCGAACTTCGGACGAATCTTCTCCAACTATGGATACGCGAAGGTAGCAAAGTGCGAGGTATCGATCCCGAAGAGATGCAAAACGATTTACGGAAAGGCATCAATGCGCAGATGCTTGCCGTTTTGGACGCAAAGGTTTCCAAACTTCGTCTTGTAGGCTCAGAGGTGAAGGCCACGCTGGAAAGCTGGAAGGATGGCGCGACTGGGAAATTACCAGGCCTTTGGGATGAAGAAGGCTACGAGGATGCGTTGGCTATCGGAGCTCGCCCATTCTTACAAGAAGTGGCGTCACGATTCTACGGCCGTAGCGACGCTGTGTCCAAGGCGCTCAACTGCTATTCTTCTTGGTACCACATCATCGACGACGTGAAGGAGGTGGTTGGGCAATTGGAGAAACAGCGCTGGGATAACGACTTTGAGGAGATTGAAGATGAAGAGACCATCGAGGCGAGACAGCAGCTGCTGAGCAAGGACGATCCGAAAATGCTACAACAAAAGCTGGATGCCAGTCTTGACGCATCCTTTGATTCGCTTGGGAAGGAAATTCAGCAGCTATGGGGCGGCAAATCCGAGAGTAGCAGCAGCAGTGATATCGCCATGTACTTGATTCGAGTCTTGCGTGACATTCGTCGCCAGCTCCCACAGCGCGATACCCTCAAAAACTTTGGTCTGGATATAGTCCCTGCCCTTCACCAAACGATCATAGTATCGACATCAGCATCGTCAGTGGACGAATTTGTGATGACCGGATTATCTGGGAGGGTTGCAGTTGGAAGGCCGTTATGGGAAGGCGACCCAGCACTGCCAAGTCAACCGTCCCCCGAGACATTCCAGTTTCTCCATAGCCTGCTGCTGTCTTTGTCAGATGCTGGCATTGATTTGTGGACCGCAGCCGCAATGTCAGCTTTGAAGAAGCATGTCAGCCAGCGATTGTGTGAGGCATGGGACCAAGAATTGCAGACCATTAAATTTAAGGAAGAGGACAAGGCTGTGGAGAAGAATACTAAGGAGGTGAAGGGGCCGAAAGAGGAAAATGGGGAAGAAGTAAAAGGGACAGAAGTTGATACAGAGAAAGAGTCAGAAATAAAAGAGGAGGAGAAACAAGAAGCAGATGATGGGGAAAAGAAGGATGCCGCTGGAGAAAAGGAAGAGCCAGACGGCAGTGAGAAGGATCAGGACGTAGAGAAGGAAAGAAACGGTTTGGCATCTAGCAACGAGCAATTGCGAGATCTTTGCATTCAATGGCTGTTCGACATCTCACTCCTACGCCTCTCAATTGGAAATGTGGCAGGAGAGACAACACAAGTGTTTCAAAAACTGGAAGATGCAGTTTATGAGCGCAGTGGCCTAGAGGATTCCTCGCGGCAGCAAGTTGGCAAGGCGGCCAAGAGCTTCTGGGGCCGGACGAGTCTGCTATTTGGATTGTTGGCATAATTAGACACAGACATAGCGAATTGCTTTTTCCCACTTTATAGACATTTTCATCATGCCTACAATATTAATTACATGAAAACCAAGAAAAGAGCAGAAAATCCGTCCAACGACCCCCCTGCCGCATTACAGCTTGTGCCTCTTCTCGCCGCTCCCAAGCTTCCTAAACTCCTCCTGCGGGACGCCAGTCATGAACCTCTCCAGCCCAGCAAACACCTCGTTGAAATTGTTCAAGTTTACAATGTTCTGTTCCGGCCCCCTTATCAACTTCTTGATGCCCAGCAAACTATCCCCCACAAGATGCTCCCCCAGCCTCTCATCCACCTCCTTGAGCACCAACTCCCTAAACTTGCCATCCTCACCCTGCTTCACCTCCTCAAACACCTTGTTCACAAACCCGCACCGCTCCAGCTCCGCGCTCGCAATCCGCTTACTCATAATCAGCGCCTCGTTGGCCCTCGCGGGGCCCAGCCTCGTGACGAGCGCGCGCGACGAGCCCCCCTCGGCGACGAGCCCTATTGACGAAAAGGGCGTGAGCAGGAACGCGTGCGGCGCGCAGTAGATGAAGTCGGCGTGGGCGATGATTGCGGCGGTGAGGCCCACGACGGGGCCGTTGAGGCCCACGACGAGGACCTTTGGGTGCGCGGCAAAGGCCTCTGTGATGTTGAGGTTGAAGGCGACAAAGGTCTGGAGGAGCTGCTTGCGGGCTTCGCTGGGGTCGGTGGGATTTGGTCTGCCTATGGAGACGTCTGCGCCACTGTATATACGTTTTTTGTTCAGCATCTCATTTCATCTAACCAGCTACCTTTTCTTTTGATATCGTTTCTCACGCATATCCCTGTTATAAGACAAAAAGTGTTGAAAAAAGGAAAATCACCTACGCGGAAAAGAAGCGTCCCTTGCCGAGAAGGACAGTGACATAGACCTCATCGTGCGTGGCCACTTCTCTCATCGCCTGCGAGAGCTCATAGTACTGCGCCTGGTTGAGCGCATTGAGCTTCTTCTCGTTTGCGATGGTGATGACGGCGACGCGGCCGCGATAGTCGACTGAGATGACGCTGGGAGAATCTGTAGTCGACATTGTGTGTGTGTGTATATATGTATCTTTGTACAAAAGCTAGGGGGTAACAGCGGCCAGTGTATACTACAAATGATAAGAACCAAATCTTTCAAGAACGGTAATTGCGCTGCCAGGAAACAAAAACAAGAACCCAGTAATCGCTACTTTATCTGTGCCATGCCAGTGAGATTCCTTCGATCTTTAAGTTCCGGGGTTGATGCAGGGCTTCCCCAGACATACCGAGGTCTACGGGCCGAGTTTGCGGGGCTGCTACGGGATGCGTGCCGCCGAGTGCTTATTCGGCCTACCCCGGCGACATTTACAAGAATCTATACAAGGTAAGAATTTATAAGCTGCTTTTGCTTTTATTGTGCCTACTACTACTATATGTTCTATGTAACTGAAACCCTGGGTATCACCACGTATGGTACAATATCTCAGGTGCAACGACATGCTTTGGAAAAAAATAAAATAAAATAATAATGCCCACATGTTGGTGAGTGCATGTAGAACAGCTGAATGACAGAAATGTATATACACGTCTCTCCAGCTGCGCCCGCTCATGTAATCGGCATCCCTCCCACTTCTAAGCTTTCAGATCTTGCCGCCGTTTTTATCTCTTCTCTCGTACACATTCTCGCCTTTTATCGGCGCGCTCGAATTTGTCGCTGCTTTGGAAGGTCCAGTGGCAGCGTAAGCTTCGCCACATGTAGAGTGCGATCCTCAGTCTTGTCTTTGACAGGCTTCACCCTGGCTCCGATCTCGTGGAAGTACTGATTCATCACCCTCTGGTCCAACTTGAGGTCATCTTTCAGATGCTGTGTGTCCACCTCGAAGTTATCAACAATGCAAGCCAATGCGCAGCAGTGCGCAATCAGGAGGTCAATGTGGAACTTCCGCAGCTGACCACCGTCTGAGAACTTGCGCCGAATGTTTTCAACGACCGCTTCGGGTGCCGGTGCCAGTAGCTCTCGGAGCTTTTCTCGGGGAGGCAGCTGTCTAGTACCCTTTTGGCGGCCAGGCTTTGAGTAGAGGTAGAACAGGAGGACAATGGAGAGGTATCTCAGCACGCGCAACCGCATCTCTGCAGAGTCGTTGGAGGCAATAGCTTGCACACGAGAGACAACATATCGAGATTGAAACTGAATGCTTTCGCCGTGTTTCGCCTTTTCCTGCCATTCTCGGATGGGAACAAGGTTGATGATGTCTGCTCCGATGAGTTCCTCGGGGCGGTATACGTCATAGACTTCGCTAGCATCGACATTTGCTTTGGGCACCGGCTTGGCTTCGTCGACGGCTGCCTGCAGCTCTTCTCTCGAGGCCATTGTTGATGTAACCGCGCCAATGGAGTTGAGGATGGCTTTGGAGGCATCGTCCAACTTGACTGGGGTGCTGGTGTCGCCAGGCTTCCTTTGTGGAGTAATGGCATTCAATACCTTGTCTTGGATGGCCTTCTTGGCCTTCTTGGTTCCGAAAGTCTGACCAAGATCCGTTCTCTGGTCCAGCATGCTCTGCTAATATGTTAGAACTTTTCCATGCTTGAACTGCGGCAGAATTAATTCTGAGAGGCGAACGCTTACCTTCTTGCCCTCTTGCTCCGTTGTTACTTGCTTCGATCGGACGGCACCGCGCACAACCATCTTCTTGGCCTCAACAACTTGTAATTTGCCAGTTTTAGGATCGTAAATTCCGATGTAGTGGTTCAGAAGTGGTTTCGAGCCGCGCTCTTCTTCTCTTGCTGTATAGTCCAGATTTCGATGTGTTGTGGAGTGAAGCAGAAGTCCCTTGTCGATGGCGGCCTTTTTTGACTTTGAAGAGGCCGCATTTTTAGGGAGATATGAGTGAAACATAAGATTCGAGGGCATTTCCATGCCTGGGGTATTCGCTATATTCTCGTTAGCAAATGCGCAAAAGACTCAATTCAATCGGCGCGCCGCATACCAATCACAGGAGGGCATGACTTTGGGCGAAGAACGGAGGAGACTGTAGCAATTGGGTGCGGTGCGTCAATGATGACTTTTTTCTTCGATGACCCCGACTTCTCCCCATCCCTCTTCCTCTTCTTGTGGCTAAGATCAGACATTTTGCACCGAATTTCTGCAATCTCTCTTCAGTCAGGCGTTGTTGCGAGGTGGGATCTTGCCTGTTCCAAAAAATTTTGGTTATCGGGCGGCAGGAAAAAGTTGGCCGGCATTTATCCGGGCGGGCGGTGAGAATGCCACCCCACCGATCCAGAGTGACGTTATGAAAGCTGCAGGGATGAGAGCATAGCTCCAGAGCTTTGTTTCATATCGATAATGGGTTATCAGCTCGCACACAAATTGGACCGAAAATTACATGGTCACACGAGCTTTGGGTTTGATACTGATAGCTTTCACAAGCTCCTAATGCAGTAATTACGATAAGATTCACGTCGTCACATAAGAGCTCAAATTAGATGGGAAATGAAGTCAAATCTGCATTTTTGTTTTTGTCAAGTAGCGAAGATCGATCTTAAGCGCGCCTATTGTAGCAGTTTTTGCTTCACGGCCTGCGACCCATCAAAACGGTGCTTTCACCCAACTGAGATTGTCCAAAGCCCCATCCTTCGCGTTCGTCCTTTTGACTACCAGAGCTGAATTGGCGAGGCGCACCGGCATGCAGACTCCAATTCGATCGTCGCAATATCCATGGTTGGTGCAGCAGCCTAGCTGGTGTCGTTTCATCGTGAACTCATGTTGTATGTGAAAGATGTGTCAAGTCAGGTAGAAGAGCGAGTCGTTTATTTGCTAGTTTCTCGGTTAGCTCTCGCGATTCCTGCTGAAAAAAAGTCGGCTCGAAAACACTTACGAGCGAGCCCTCATCTTTCTTCTCTTGCGCTTAAGGCGACGAACGCGCTTCTTCCTCCATTTGGCTCTCATCTTGAACGATGCGTCTAAGTCGTCGTTAGCGATGTGATTCTGACGGCAGCGCCAACATCAATTCGCATTATGAGAGCGCATTGGGGCAATTCCAATGCGCTCTCTAGCTGCAAAACGCCATAAAATTGGCTGCGGAAAGGGCTTTCTTACTTGTTCTTTGATGAGAATCGTTGTTGGGATGAGGTAACAAGGGAAAGGAACTTTCGCCGGAGCGGGGGAATTTCAAGCACTTTGACAAGGCTGCTGTAGGGCACAAACCCCCCAGGCATCACGTGGTGACCCCTCATCGGGGCCCCCGTGCATGAGAGATCAGAACAACTACAGTGCCAATAATGCATTTACCATATTCGTACTGTATATCTCCCCATGACGGGCCAAGCAGAGATGGCAGGTGCGATGCAAGTCGACCTTTGCTGCAAATTCTAGGGTAGCAACGTAGACGAGGAAGGTGGAAATTCGTACCTTGATAGATTCTGGATTGCACCCATACAAATCTTTTTGACTTGACCGATCTCCCTTAATCTGGAGATTTCAATATTTTGTGACGTCTTTTACATATGGCGAGCTTGACACAATCACTCACTATGGCGGGTGCGGCAGATGATTTATACGATGGCTTTGGTCAGGATTGTGAATTGGCAGCCGCGCATCTTCGCTTTGTGGACAATCGCATCAGTGACCAGCTTGGCGAAGACATTCCAATCTAGGAGCAGGAAATCTTCAAGATAGGGCGAGATCCTGATGCAAAGTAAGCTTGCGATGTGTGTAATGTCGAAGTTGCAGAATATCTAACAATATCTGCAGCACTTTCTCCATTCAAACCGACTCAAGCAATCTCGTATCACGAAACCACTGTGAAATTTATGTGATTGTCTATGAACCATCAGTCAACCACGTCTATGTGCGAGATCGCAAGTCTGTTAATGGAACGTTAGTCAACGGAGAAGTTATCGGTATCGGACCGCAGATATCCTCAGGGTATCTCTTACAAGACGGCGATGTTATCGAGATTCGACCCCATTGGAAGTTTTATTTTCACCAGCCTCGAATGCCTCCTCCCCGTCCATTGACGGCTATTCAAACTGACGAATGCCGAGTTTGTCCCTCTTACTGTTCTAAGCCAGCTATGTTTCATTTGTCTAATAAGCAATAGATTTTCGAAAATGAGTATCTGATAACCCCGCGCTGCCTTGGCACCGGTGCAGAGGGAGCTGTCTACCTGGCCCTCGATTCAAAGACTAAACGACAGCTTGTTTGCAAATTAGTCAAGCTAGGAAGGCAAGATGGGAAGATGCCTCAAGATGAGATTTATAGGAAGCTCCAAGAGATAGATGTCCTCCGGCAGCTAAAACATGTGAGTCTCCTACAAACGAGACATTGATATCCGTCCACGATACTAATTTGCCAACAGCCTAACATCTTACCCTACATTGACGCCATCACCTCACCACACTCCTTGTAAGTAAAAAAGCTGTTTCTGTAAAAATGAAGCTATATTAATTTAATGGCCTAGGTATATTTTCACCGAGCTCGCATCTGGCGGTGATCTCGTTTCCTTCATTAACCGACATGAATTTATTCAGGAGATTGATTGTCGAATCATCCTACGACAAGTAGTGCGTGGGCTGGCTTACCTTCACAAAATGGGCATTATTCATCGAGACTTGAAACCGGAAAACATCCTACTGGCATATTCTCCAAGAATATCTTGCCATCGCATTATGCTTTCGGATTTTGGTGCCTGCGCCGTTCCTCGTCGGAATAGAATGATAACGGATATTGGTACATTTGAATACAAGGCTCCGTAAGACTGAGATTGCCCTCATCATTTAAGAAAATCTCATGCTGATATGTTCTAGTGAGATTTTCTCGACTATAGAAGCGCAAACTACTGCAGTTGATGTGTGGTCCCTTGGCCTCGTCACACTTCGGTTACTAACCTATGACGTCGAGAGCTTTGGAAGTCTTATACGATTAGATCAACCGTCTCTTGAGAGAGCAGTCAAGACAATGATTCAAGAGGTATCTCCCAAACGCTCTTCTAATAGCCAGAGATTTGCTTTAGCCTGTCTTCAATTGACACCGGTAAACCGGATCACTACTGCCGAAGCGGAATGCCACGATTGGTTTTGCACTCCACAGAGACATTTCGAATTCTTCCAGCAGCTCGACCAGCGATGTTTTGAAGATGTGGGTGACAGCACCCAACTCAAGCCAATGCCATGGGATCTGGCTGCTCTTCAGTCCTTTTCACCTACATCAACAGCTGGCAAAATTTCTGCCAATAGCGGCGAGAACTCGACTCAGTGGGGCTCGCCATCTTGTATCGAAACGTCTGAGTATTTTGGTGGCATTAAACGAGACATAGAGTCGGCAAAGGTAGAGCTGGCGAAAAGATTGTCGTCACCACCCCAAAAACCCGAAGCGCTACCATCCAAAGCTAAACCAGCGGCGGGTTGCCCAAGGGCTTACAATGAGGAAAAGTCCTTGAAGTCACACAATCGTAGTCATAAGGGATATCAGAAAGTAGAGGCCCGAGTTATGACGGCTCGGCAGTTACGAATCTGCGATGTGCTTCAGCTTCCTTTCACCGATCTTCACAGGCATTCGAAACCGGCAAACGCAAGCTCCAAGAGTCATCGAGAAGATGTATTGGCAGAGCTGAAACGGCTAAATGCCAAATTTTTGACAGATGATACGCAGATCACCATGGGAAATGAAGACACTAGGGCCAAGAAACATTAACATCACATATCATCGGGTACAAAATCAGCAATGAACCAGCGAAGACGAATGCTGAGTAGGTGTAAGCTATCAAAGATGACTTGACTATTTTTGCGGGAATGGTTTTCCTGAGTTCGGATTCCATTCCAATCGAATGAGAATAGATATAGCAAGCTTGAAGCCCCTGTCACCCTTCATCTTGCCTTGAGAGTATGGTACACTGGCGCTATTATGTCTGATGGATTATAAGGAGACTTATATATGACGAAGTTTTACAAGTACAATCATTTGAAACGGCGCTGCCACCGACAACGTATACGAAGGAAGTGAAGAGAAAGAATGATTGTACAACTACGAAAGACGCCATGTATTGTAAATGCGAAATATAAGCCATGCGTTGAACCAATCCATATTGGACGACTAAATAAAGCAGAACAAAGTCTCAACTTTCATTGGGGTTTTTCACGACCTGGCAGCGCAAAGCCTCCCGCTTCAACCCACTGCATGCTGTTCCCTATCACTTCCAGCTTGTCTCCTCTCCGTCGACGCTTCCACATCTCCAAAGTCTCAGCCACCAGCTCCATGTCCGATGCTTCATCCACCCAGTCCCACTCATAACTCTTCTCCCCTTGTTTCCCTTCCTCTCCATCACTCTCCATCTCGTATTCAACAATGCACCGATATCCTTTCCTCTCACACCTCTCACACCCCTGCCTCTTCAGCGCCTTTCCCGATCCTCTCCCCGTAATCACCCCTCTGGAACACGCCATTCCCTGCACATGGCATTGGAAACACGCTCCCAGCCCGGATATCTTCTGCCTCCGCTCCCCCACAAACTTGGGTGGCACGATGGCGTCTCGAACAGCGCTGCCCTCCACATACCGCGGCAGCGCCCCCCTGATTCTCTCCTCGTTGTCATTCCACAGGCGGTAGATGCTCGCTCTCAGGACAAGCATCCTCTCTCTCCATTCCTCGTGGGGCTCCTCCGTCCCATCTTCCATCCGCCGCTTCCCCAGCCCAAACTCACAATCTACTTGCTCCACCATCCGCAAAACTTCCTCGTCAACCTCTGCTCTCGAAAAGTAGTTGCGCCGCGCCTCCTTGTCGCGCACACATTTCCAGGCTTCCAGCTCCTCTTTGAATGACTTGGCCTTTAGCTCCCTGGCCTCAGCTTCTTCTTTTTCTTCTTCTTTTTGCTCACTTTGCGCCTTTAGGACTTGTTCTTGTCGTCCATGCTCCCGTTCTAGTTGTGCGTCTCGTTGGCGATTGCTTTCTTGCTGGCGTTGCGCGGCAGCATGGCTGACGGCCAAGAGAAGACTGGCCTTTTCTCCCATGGCCGCTTTCTTCTTCCTACTTCCTTTCTTTCTCCCCCCCCTTTTTTTTAGAAGGCTGGAAATGAGTTGTTTGCTGGGATGGCTTCTCATGGCATTGGCGTATGGATAGAGGTTGATATTCATACTGTATTCATAAAGAATGTCTGAATGGATCGTTACAAACGCAGCGGCAGCGGCAGCATTCAAATAACAAAACACTCACTCAAACACACATGCCTGTTCAAGATCATGGTGATTGAGGAACTTGTTCCTAACAACGCAAGACGCAAATAATATGGGTCGAACTCTGCAGGTATCCTCGAAGCTTCATTCAAACACACCAAATTACAAACGGGAGACAAAGGGGCGCAAACGCATGCGCTTTGTTTGTATATAAAAACAGTCGGCAGCAATGGTATTGGTATCGTGGACTAGGTTACGCGCTGAAACGCAACAATCTAAAAAACCATACAAATTCACTTTCACGCACAAAAACCAGTCCTCGCCCATAATCCGATCCCACCGCTACCCATGACTCTCTTGGTCATGAAAACGAGCCAATCCCGTAATCCTTCCCTAATCCGCAAACCGATGACGTGTCCCAATAAACAATAAAAATAAAGGGTAAAGAAAAATAAAATAAAATCCCAAACTCCAAGTCCCGAATCCAAAAAAAGACAACAGCAAGCGATATGAGTGAGACAGAGCCGACCGCTACGTCGTATAGCAAGAATAAAGAGCGCTACAAAGAAAGGCTTCTTTCCAAAGCCACCCCGGACAGTTGCAATCGTATGCTCGCTGTCGTTTCTCACTCTTTTGGTCGCTTGCACCCAAGTAGCCAGTCCTGGCTGCCGGAAGAAAGTGCAATATAATCTTAAAAAAAATTGCAGTAAATAAGGTCAATCAGGCTCTAGCTCGGCTAGAAAACCAACGACGGGAAGAGAATATAAAATAAAGAAACGCCTGTGCCATGAATATACCGAAAACCCTCAAAAGTTGAATACCAAATAATCAGCCAAACGCCCGCTGCCAGTACCTGAGCGGGGATTCTCTCGTCATGCTTGTATCTGCCAAGCACCGTCAAACGCCACCAGAATAGGAAAAAAGAAATATCGGAAAAGAAGTAAAACAATTGAAAAAATCGAACCGAGATCCAATTGGACTTTTAAGAGATCATACTGGTTTTGTCCAAATTGATGTCCAGCCGTGAGGCTTCCAGTGTTATGTAGTGTTTTGCCTTTTGTGTAGCATATCGTTATCTGCCCGGTGATACAGTTGTGGTGGTTCGCGCCATCCGCTTCTTGGGAGTTTATTTTTTTTTCTTCGCTCTGATATTTTATGCAGACCCCTGTGAGAGGGGGCTGCGAGGCGTAACATCACCACTACGGCGGCGGTTTAGCGCTTGTGCCTTGGCGTTTGCTTCGTCAATGAGCCGCTGCTTCTTGCGGACGACGGCAAGTCTGCCAGAGATCATAGAAATCACTGTTTCTCAGAGTTAGTTATTGCTTGAAACAAGAAAAAAAAAAGAGGATAGGGTTAGAGTAAACGTACTTTTCTTGATATGAGCCTCCTCGTCACTCTCAAGGTCGCTGCAACTCTCCTTGATGACGTCGCTGCCAGATGCTACCTTTTTCGAGAAGTTGGAGTCATCACCACTGTCCAATACAGCCTCAAGCATGCGAATAGCAGTAATGTATGAGATCTCACAGCCAGGCAAATTCTCATTTGTTACTTCGTCAATGGCAGCAGCGCGACTCATCTCAAGAGCTCGGTCATACATTAGCCTTTCAGCAGTGATGCCTGGCGTGAGATACACCTGCTTCATTCCAGATCCTGTTGAGGACATAATCGAGTCCACTCCTTGATTTGATGGGTGGCTTGGATGGTCTTCTGGTAGCAGCTTCTGAGCTTCCATCAGCTTTAGGCGCACAATCTCAGACTTCTCCAGAACTTCGTTGAAGCGTTGGCGCACCCATTGCACCACCGCATTGATGCGCTGGACTACAGACTGGGATACGGCTGCCGAAAGGCCATTAGTGACATCTCCTTTGCTCTTCATCGACCACCAAATGCTGGCAATGTCCATGGCCCGAGCCAAGAGAGAAAGCGATTTCACATAAAGAACCAAAGCCTCCTCCGAGAGTGCTACGATGGCTTCTGCTGTCAGTCCGTCATCCTCTGCTGACATCTGCTCGGCCGCAATGCCACCTAGTCCGTGGTTTGTGGATGGCGCCATAGGGACAAGCTGCTTATACTTGACCTCGGCAAATCCGTAAACGCAGTCACTTCGGGTGGCAAAGTCTTCGATGGCCTGTGCAGAGCGGCCGTCTTCGTCCTCCGAGTGGATGCTTCGCCCGTCTCCGATCAGTCCTGCCGAAGTTGGCGGTGTCGGATATGCCGGGAAGGGATGGTACATCGGTGGAGACTGTCCCTTGGGGCGAATGGGCATCCTCACCCCGAAAAGACGCAAGCTGGCATCTTGGATGGCCTTGGTTATGGCACTCGAAGCAGATCCAGGGCTCGCAGACAAGGCCTTCTCATATGAGGGGCGGCGGCCTTGGCTGGCTCGGCCTTGCGCTACAAGCTGCGTCCGCGATGCAGGAGCTGCAGTGGCTCCGGTAGTAGAATTCGGTGCCCCCTGTTGTGAGTAGTGACGAGCCAGCTGCCTTGATTTTAGAGAAGTAGGGCTTTGAGATGCGAGCTTTTCGTTCGCGGCCAGCTCATCCGCGAGGGCGTTTACTTCGACATGCCTTCTCTCCACAACCACATAGTCTCTCTCAAACATGACATCCTGCGCGGCCTTTTCCTCTTCGTCCGTCAGAATCTTGCCGCTCGGCACCCGGGCCTTGCGAATGTCCTGTATGAGAGATGAAGGGGGCGAAGTATTATGCAAGGATGTTTTAGATACCCTGGGATGATTTGGGAGTGACGCGGCATGGGGCGCTGGTGCTGGGCGCTGGATGCCCAGGCCTGCCCCGGTCTCTCGAGGTGAGGTTGGCCGTCTATGGATCTCGCCAGACGGCGGCCGATGTCGGCCTTCGTTGGTGTTTTCTATTATCGGTGATGACCGAGGCAGCTGCTCTCGAGATGACCTAGCAGAGCCAACCTCGATCGCTCCATTTCGTAGGGATCCGACGCGTGGTGACGGTGCCGTAGCTTGACCGTGGGAAACCGCCCTCAGCTCACGCCTAGCGGGCTTTGGGATATCATCCTCGACTAGTCCGGGTATTTCATTAACAACGATGGGGTGGGCAAAGAAGTTTTCAAAGCTCATTCGCTCCACAGGGCTCCTCTTGAGTAAACCTCTTACTAGGGATTTCATTTCAGATGTAATGATCACTTCTTTAGGGAACTTGATGACGTCTTCGGCGGCCTCTATCTTCCTCAGCAGTTCGACGTGGTTTCTTGCGCGGAATGGGGGCTTCCCCGAAATCATTTCATACAGGACAGTACCAACGGACCACAGGTCAGCTTTGGCGTCGTATCGTTCGTAACGGAGGATCTCTGGGGCCATGTACAAGGGTGAGCCGCAAAGGGTGTCGGCGAGAGACGTTGAGGGTAATACGCGAGCGAATCCAAAATCAGCAAGCTTCAGCATCGGGAGGGAAGCGATGCCAGACATGGGTATTAAGGAATCCTGGCTTGCCTCCATGATAGGGAGGTTTCGCTTTTCCCTAAATGCTTGAGACGGTAGTAGAAGGAGATTCTGGGGCTTGACATCCCGGTGAACGTAGTTTTTGCTTCGTAGGAATTCCAGGGCACTAGCCAGTTGCTTGAGGAAATGACGAATGACAACTTCGTGAAGACCAGAATCTGGGGCGCTGGGGTACTTGCGAGCCATGTCGTGGGTGGCAGGATGGGTAATGAGCTTGTCACGTTTCTTGATGAAGAGGGAAAGGTCACCGAGCTCGCAGTATTCCATGACAAGATTAATGTGTGTAGCGGATTCGAGGCAATCATGAAGGGCAACGATATGCGGATGTCGAAGAGTCTTGAGGATTTGGATTTCGCCATATAGATTTTCTTTCAGTTTCTTGTTCAGTCGATCTAGTTCGACGGATTTGATGGCCACGGCAGCTTTCGTTTCCTGATTGAAGCCCAGCATGGTTAGCATACACGTCATGTTAAGGAACGAAGGGGTAGGGAGATGGGGAGAGATAGAAGAAAAACAATGGCGAAAGAAGGGCCAGGCCAGGCAGAGTTAAAGGAGGTAGCTAGATTGAACGGTGACAAACAACAGAGTGCCGCTGATGATGATGATGGATGCAAGCACACGTTTTTGGTGAAACGCGGTCGGGAAGAAGCATCGTACCTTATGCCAGCCCATGTAGACCTGGGCAAAGCTGCCTTTGCCAATCTCCTTGTCGATGGTAAACTGGCCTACATTGCGCCCACCCGAGCGCCGGGAGGAACTATCTTGCCGGCTCGCCATGGCTCCCTGTGTAGCGTTGTCGATGACAGGAAGAGAGCGAGGTCGGTCACAGCCCGTGGGCTTACAAGATTCGACGGTCTATACTAGCGACCAAAGCTGTCATGTAGATCTAGACGGGCGTGGCTTCGGACGGGCAGCGATAGTGAAAGAAGTAGAAGAAGGAAACGAGCCCAAGACGCGACGAGACAGGGCTATAAGAGAAGTGGGCGAAGGGAGATCTGTGTGACAAGGATAGGAGGTCGGTGCAGTGGTAGTCGAGAGCTTAGAATGGAAAGCCGATGCTTTTAGGCAAGCGGCGGGTATCAGATAGATCGAAGAGGTGGTTTTCGCTGGAGGTCGATGATGGCAGGTTAGCAGAGCCGTAGGGGACGGAGTAGTATGTGAGTGTGAGAGGTTGGATGGAGAGCGAAGGGTGGTCTTGTCGTCCCGCGAGCCGGTGTTGCAATGTGAGAGAGGAAAATGGAAAAGAAGGTAAAGAAGAAAGCTGGAAGTAGAAACAAAACAAAAGAAAGCCAGGGGAGTGTCGGAGAGAGGCCGCAAGCCGAGTCAGACGAGCGCCGGCGTGCAGGATGCTGTGGTCGAATTGGGG